TGCCTGCTTTGGAAAAGTTGTTGATTTCTGGCGAAGAATTTGAGGCACCAACAGGAGTGTATTTCCCGGACGAGTTCTGCCTAAACATCAGCGTACCACGACTGAAAGCATTGAGTCTATGCAGCGTCAGGTTCCGGAATCACAACGGCTTGGTGAATTTGTCTAAGAATCACAAGACCACCCTGAAAACGTTGAAATTGGAGGAAGTGGGTCTGGAAACCGGCTCCTGGGAGGAAGCGATAGTGGATATGAGATGTTGTTTGGAGCTCAAAGTATGCTCTGTTGTTTCCCCTCTCGAGTTATGGATGAACGGGGACTACGCAGTCCTCGATCAATGTGGACGGACATTTGAGGCATCACTCGCATCATTCTTGCTTAAGAAATCAGACGAGAATCCGTTCTTGAATGAGGAAATAGTCGGGTTTCGGGAGCACCAAGGCTCCATTGCAGAGACCTTCCATGAGTAATACGTCCGAATGCACTGGTTCAATACTCATATACTGTGTTTGCTAGCCTGTAATTCTTATCGTTTGAAACCATAACATGGCACGGGAGGGATGATCAATAAGACGCTTTGACACAGTATCTGTCAACCTTGTGCTTCTAAAGCATACCTGGTTAGGTCATTGCGTTTGTTTGTTAACCAGTTCTTGGGAAGTAGGAGTTTTACGGGGCATTCGTGGCTATCTGGATATATCCAAGGCAAGGCTTTGACTTGGAGGTCAATATCTCTTCAACTTTCCCAATTCTATGAGGCGGACTCTTCAAGTGTCCTTGCAAATCTGTTATATAGAGGTGCGAAATTGGGAGCCTTGCTGAAACCAATATTTGCCATCGGTCTTCGCTGTATTGTACCAAGAGACAATGTCCTCAGCCCACTTTTAACAAACCAATAGGTTCAAAATTCCGCGGCCCACCACCAATGTGATCATAGATGTCAAGGTTGTCATATAACCGGCTAGATCGTCCACCTTGCATTTGATTGCTCTCTTCTTCGTATATCATGTCGTATTTCTCGCCCATTTGTTGAATCCGATCAATAGGCTCACCGAATCGTTTATCGTAACGATTCGGTGACTTTTGATTTTTCCCACGTGCTAGTTGGATTACAGAAAAGTCACAAAGGCCCTCGTCTGTGATTGATAACACCACTTCCCCTGCATTGATCCGTCGTCGTCATGTGGTCCAATTATCAAGGCCCAATCATTTTCGTGACAGTCCCGCTAGGGGCTAGCGATTGGCTACCTACCCGCCGAACGGGTCCCCACTAAATATACCTGTCAGTGGTGTGTATAAGCTAGACTGTCCGCCACTTCTAAATGCATATTCAACACCCACTTTTTATCATCTTCGCACACACCCGCACCCATCCAAGCCCCATAATAGTCTATAACACGTCCACTCTACAAATTATAATTTGTCTGCGCAAAGTTTGCATCTCACATATCAGCAAGAGCTGAAGCACATGCTCCAAGAACGGCTTGAAACTGCCGAGAAGATGACGAACTCGACAGAGCAGTGCGCTCGGGTAGCAATCAGCTACAGCGGTCAGCTATTTCACATTGACGCACGATCCCGTGATCCAAAGCACATCCGTACAGATGGAAAAGATCATTCCGAGGCGGACATTGACAATCTAAAAGCTGAACTGAAAGCAATGTCGCAGCGGTCATCAGATCAGCGCTTAGCGACACAATGGCCACCAACCCTAGACTTGATCATTGATGGTTGATTGAAGCACCTAGGCGAGGTCATATTGGCCGCTTCCACACCTTCACGGCGCCACGACATTGAAAATTTGCCTGGCAAGTAAGGATGAGTTTAGGGGATTCTAGTGAAACTCAGTCTGGTCTTGCCCAGACTATATGTGCGTGGACTGAGAGAGATATTGTCTTCTAGTTACGCCAGGTTTATTTGAAGAAAAGCTATATGATAGGGCGAAAACACAATGGCAAAACGCCAGACTCGTGGGAGGCTCTCTTTTTACACTGCAATCCACAAACATGCTTGTCGTTTTGGCTTCACTTCACTGGATTACTACCATCAGGGACTAGTTGTCGCTCAGTCTGGTACCAAGGCCATACCATATACGTGGCAACGTTGGACCCTAATCTGTAGTAGTTTCTCCGTGACCTCCTTGTGTCCTCCAAGGAAACGACATGATGGTACTAGACCAACAGTCCAATAGAGAATTGAAGATGAATGCAAACTTAGTTTGACTAAAGTTCATACCGACATGACGCTTCATCCGATATATTTATCTATCAATACAGTAATTGGCAACCTTTTGTGGTTCTAAAGCTATTACATGAAGAATGACCAACAGTCTCCTTTGGGACCAGCACTTTAGTACGGTCTATTGCTACAAGCTATGGTTCATCTCGGTAGTGCCAGTATAAACAATCAATAACGGGATAGTTCCGCCGACTTCATATTCCTTCTTTTCATGATCGCGGCGGATAACCTCCAGTAGATCTAGGTTCGAAATTCTATATCCTTCTAAAACAGCTTCTGCATCATCTGAAATCGTTGGTGCAATTATGATCTGCCTCGGTGATTATTTCGTAAGTTAAATTTTATCATCGGGAAAACAGCTGGTGGAAGAACTTACGGGAGCATAATTAGGCTGCGGCATGTCGTTTGAGGACTTGAATCTCTTGATAGTGGTCAGGTAAATATATACGTGACTAAGAAATGTGACGCCTGCTCCGATTGCGCAAACTTGCAAGACTGCTTCGAAATACATGGCTGCTGGCAACTGGAAGCAAACAAAATCCATTAGCAGGCAGAACACTATTGAAGATTTAAAGGTGTGAACGCAGTGTGGGACGTGGAGGAATAAGGAAAGAAATAAAAAGGAAAAATCAGGACAAGAAGGATTTATACGCGCGCTATTCGGGGGGCTAGGCATATTGAATAGACATAGAGGGACAAGGTTGAGGCTTGCGGATACGTCGCCATAGACCTGGCCTAGTAGATTGTATGAGTTTCAAAAGACTAGCGCCAACGCTAAAGGACCTCCGTCTAGCTACGTCCCAAGATAATACGAGTTCTATTTGGGAAAACTCTCACTCTGTCATCGGCGGCCACTTCTCGATACCTTGCTGAAACCGGACACGCCATAGTATGATAACTCCTGCCCGAAAAATAACTCACTTATCTGTCAAGTGTATAGCCACTTACCTCAAACCATGAATGTCGTTGGCTGAGCTACACGAACTTGTAAAGTATTTGCACACAACGCTTTTGCCAACAAGTTTCGCTGGCTGAGGTAGAGTTTCTCCAAGGTGAGATGAAGCTGGTGTATCGCCTATTGTTATCAAAGGAACTATTGCCGAATCAATCACTAACGATAAATGTAGAGCTAATCGTGGCACTGCAAACTCTATGTCTCTTCAAGTGGTATGATTTCTGGCGATCTATGGTTGCTCGATCAAGGAAACTGATGTGACTTCCCTACTTATGAGCACAACTTGGTCTTTAAATGGACTGATAATTCTCAGACTCCTTGTGAGTCACCAAGATGTCAAGGGTCAAAAACATGGAACATGTCACAATTTATCTTCATCTCGTGTGGCTGTACATTCCTTGCATCTGTAAGTGAGACCTGCTTGATACGATCTCTGAAAGCAGAATCTCTGGATATGAAGCCAATAGTTAAGGGACACCTGTTCGATCTAGACGCATAGAGGTTCTCCTCGTGGATTTTCCTAGCAGTAGGGGTTAACATCCCAGCGCTTAGAGATCGGCGGAAAGTCCCAGTTTAAAGATAACAATCAGCTTATTCAATCAGCTTATTTTTGATCGAACCGTAGGCCCACTGTCCTACAGCCATCGCCGATGGTTGCAGTCCTGGCTAGAGGGCAAGAGAGAGGGAAAAGAGCGAAGTGTCAACGCCTGGCAGAGGCTTGAAAGTGGGGCAGACCATTCCTTTTCGCAAAACCCCATTTGGGCAATATGATCTGTTGGCGAGTCTGGGAAAACAAGTAACATGAATAGTAAGGTATCTTAAATTACTCCTCGATTCCGTTTGATGGACAAAAAGTATCCTCGGGCACTCCGATGGTTGCCTGATCAGTAGACATTACACCTTGGTCGACCCGGGATGGCCTGTTGCAAAGTGATTTTCACTCAAATTCCTTGTTCTCCGGCCGTGGACAATATATTAATTAATACATCCTTCGGGCCTTAAGATATCTCGGAAAAAACGACGACTTCGTGTGTTCGTAAAAATTCCCAGCTAATTGTTCATGTATATGTAGATAGATGATTCAAACTGGACCACATCAGCCGACTATTTTTTAAGTGGCCTAGGTATAAAACACGTAGACCGAAGTGAATCCGTTCCTTTGGTGTTCTATTGGGCCAAGCCTAATAGAGCTGGATCCTGGGATGTATGTCGACTTCCCACCTACTGCGAAGATGGGCCTCAAGGTGAAATAAGAGTAGCGTATCGCTGAGACAGGATAGTTCCATCGACACCTACCACAAAACTATTATTCGGGATGGCGGCGTGCCCTATCTTCTGATATGCTAACTCACACGTTTCAATTGGCCAGGCTTTGCCTCAAAATGATGTGTCTGTGTCACAACTAATTTATGCTGCCTCTTCCATGACAAACACCTGAGGTAGCTTGCATTTCATATGACTGGACCAATTTAGGACATATGACTGTGTGTGGATTCTCCTTTAGCTGGTGACTACGCTGCTAATTACTTCAATTAACGTATACCTAAAAGCACCACACCCCTTTCTAAGGCCTCACAATGGTAGGCTATGCAGGATACAAGGCAGTGTACTGAAAGGGTTCGGAGCCTTCGCGCAGAACGGCTCTTCGGAAATTACACTTAATCTTAGTGGCGTTCAGCGAGTGACTATTAAGGAAGGCCCTGCTGTGATTCAATCTCAAGTCACTTTTCTCAACTTGTTTGTTGAGTTTTATTTCTTACCGCCCGTACCAGTCCGTAATTCCCCCTTTTGCATGCCTATATTTAGGAACATGAACCGACTACCTCCTGAAATCATTCTTATGATTGCGCGTGTGTGCAAGATCTCAAGCTTGGCTACGCTGTGCCGTTGTTCTAAGTATTTCAGTGATCTTTCGACACCTATCCTTTATGCGAAGGACATTGCATCTACACGACCTCTATCTATAGCCTTCGCTCTGCAGCTCGAGAACGAGGATGTTTCTGTTCCGATATTACGAAAAGCGAAGGCTGCCAACGCAAACCTCGAAACCCAGCACAGTATTACACTCTTGGATCCCACCCCGCGTCACTATGACATATTCTTTCGCGGTTTTAAAACATTCAAATACCATCGGTCGACGTTACTAGGCATTGCTATATCAAGAGGCTTGGATCAAACCGTCAATTTCTTACTCGATGGAGGTGCTCACATCGACGCAATAGTGGACAGAGAGATCAATCACCTGGATGTCCTTGGGGAACCCCGACTTTGGACGCCACTATTTATTGCTTTGACCACCAGGAACCGCCATGTTGCAATGAAACTGTTAGACCGAGGAGCCTCCCTTGACGCGCTTGGATCCGGGTTGAATGCCCTTCATATTGCTGCAGCCGCAAATCTCCCCGAACTTATTCAGCGTTTCTCGAAAGAATATCCGTTCGACGCTAATATTCAGGACGTGAACGGAGATACAGCCCTGGCATATGCCATATATTCCCCATATTCAGATGTAGCCCTGCTATCACTTCTGGTCCGTCTCGGTGCCAATGTGAATTTTCTGATAGTCTACCATGGACAACATATCAGTCCCCTCAGTATTGCCTGTATGAGCGGTCGTTGGGATCTTGCTATAGAGCTCCTGCATCGTGGCGCTGATGCGACAGGGTGTAGAGAGGTGATGGTTGATGGTTCAGGCCCTGGACCGCTACATCCGTTACGAAGTGCTTGCTCGAGAGACATATATCACAAAGCTGAGGTTGGCACAAAAAGACGAACTCTCATCGAGGCACTTCTAAATCAAGGGGCAGACCCCAATCGACAGGGTCATACAGGTGAACCTCTGATCGTGGAGCTTGTCCGAAAGAAGTTAGGAACATGCCTCCAATACCTCCTTCAAGATGGACGATTATATATTGAACAAACGGATGCTCAAGGCAAGACGGCACTAGCATGGGCACTCTCAACTGAACACGGCGCCCCTGATCTCGGAGCCTTGCTCCTGAAGCATAGGGCGAATGTTCCGAGCTCATCGGCCCAAACCATACTAAAGTTCGTTCACGACATCTGGAACGCGCGCATGCCAATGGACATCTGGAATCTGTTGAGCCACCATAAAACGCTGGTACGAAATTGCCAAGTCCTAATAAGTCATGGCCGTAGCCTTGTCCCAAAAAAACGAGACCCGGTCCTGGAAGGATTTCTGCAGAACTGTCCAGATTTCATGGTTGAAATGGTTGAGTGCGTGGGTAAGAATGGACGAAGATTAACGAACGACATAGTACTTAGTAGAATGAGGGATGAATTCATATTTGAAAGGAAGTGGCCACGTGAATGTGCTCCCCTCCCTAGGAAGAATTGGTGGCACAACATGAGTGCGAGGCGGCGGGAAGTGCTCCCGACAAGTCATGACTGTGCGGGAGGCGTGTAAAATTTAATGAAATGTTTCCGTTATAAATAGGTCTATAAATTATAAACTAATCCCAATGCTCATTGCCGCAGTTGTTTACTTCCTCACATCTGTTTCTTTGAAAATCAAGTTTTAAACACAATGAAAAAGCTAGAAAACTCAGTCATGTTGAGCAGTTATGGAAGATTCTCGTGACTAGTTCTGTGACAGGATCTAATCACGTCTGGCTAGCTAGTGACAAGACGAGTCTGATCGGCGTATGAATTTGTGTCGATATCAGCTAGCATTTTAAAGGTAGCAACGATCAACATAGGTCTCAAAGCGTCTTTCAAAAGTGCCTTAGAAGTGAATAGCTTAATTGACTCTCTAGTAGTATGCTATGTCAAGACCCCATAGTAGAAGGTTATTAGGTATAGGACAATTTCCTGCGTTTGACTACTACCTTGTCTGATATGCTTGATTTTCTTTTCTTCGCACGGGGGATCTCCTCCACGTCATCAATACCCGTTAAATCAATGTAGTCAATGGCTTCTTCTGTATTTGACAAAACCTCGTCATCTTCATCGAAAATCTTGTCATCGTCATCAAAATGATTGAGATTAGAGTCATCATCGGTCAGGGTGCGACAGATCGTGCTATCAGACTTCCCTGCTGAAAGACCTTTGTAAACACCGTTCTCATACGTGGGATCAATGAAGATAATTGTCTGTGTCGTTTCGATCGCTTCATCTTCGTCATCGAAGCAGGTGAGATCAATGACTGCATCATGCTTCGATCCAGGGAACAGCCTTTGGTTGTCCTTAAGGTGTGCAAGATTGATGTCGTGATTTTTAGATCTGAGCGGAGGTGGTCCGTTAGGCTTATTCGGCTGAACGACGGCGATGACTTCCTCATCATCAGAACAAATCCAATCAGGAAAAAACTCTTCCTGTTCATTCAGGAGATCAGGGTCCAGGCCGCAGCTGCCGATAGCCTCCTCAAAATAACTTGACAGAGATTCTGACTCTCTCTCAGTATTCGAAATAATGCTGCTTTGAGATTGAACGGCGTTAGAACACTGAGCTAGCCTCTCAACAGTGCTTATATTATCCCTGCCCGCGTTGTCGGACACTGATATAATATATCCAGGCGTCCCTTCATGGTTCGGGCCTACGATTGTTTCGTCTCTTCGTTTGGAGGAGCATAACTCATCGATGCCAACTACGATCTCTTCATTGTTGTTGCCCATCTTAATTGACGATGGGCATACTAGCAATGCCGGATTACAGTGACCAGAGGCAATTCCATTCATGGCTGCCTCAGTGTCGAAAGAACTTCCGCTATCAAACAGTGAAGCACTGTTGTCACCAGCAATCGGATTTGTGTCAAGAAGTAGCGTGGTAAAGCCGCTCCACCAGGGAATGAAAGGATATTGGTCTGGTGTTGCTGGAAAGAAAAATGGTAATGCCATGATGAAGTTGGAAGGTAGATCCTTTGTTGTAAGATAGCTGTGTGTAGCTAGTGCTAGCCCTGAGCCCCAGATGTCAAAGGGAGCACTATTCCTTTCTTTGTATTCTAGTGAAGCGCTGTTAGCTCCAGTAGATGACGACATTTTCGCGGTCTTGAATGTTGGACGTGGATGTTGAGGTTGATTGATGGACTTGGATCTAGAAATTTTGTAACACCGAGGAATGGGGTGCTTATATAGACTATCTGACAAGCACTTCATGAACAAATACATTATGGCATTTGCCGCCGTGGCTATTACTCTAATGTAACAGAACAAAGTTGGCCGCAGCATATGGCCTAGTCCAAAGAAAACAAGAACACCTATCGACATCCTTTGGTGAGGCTCATCCCTGGCTGTACATTGACCTGAGACATCGTGGTGGCCTCTTTGCCTCATATCGTACCAGAAATCTCAATTCTACTGGCTCTCACACACTTTGGTATTTATAGTTGTGCCTCTAGGTGCAGGATAAGTCCCAGGAAGCGCTACGGAACTGCTTATGAACAGGTCGCTTAGTGGCAACCAATGCTCAACATTTGGTTAGGCAAGATTTCGAATGGAAAATCCAGGATCTTAAGATGTCTCATTGTATGGTCATCTGTAGGCGCTTCCCCAAACAGCGCATCTTGCTTGAGACTCGCGACCACATAAGAAATAGCCGCTTGAATTCCTTCCAAAGGGCGGCACTAGAACTTGCTAGAATGCCCAATGACTGATTCGCTTGAAGATGTCACATGGGAGTGTGATGACCCTGTGGTCTTTGTCATGTCAATGAGAAGCACTGCGTGTATAAAAACATGGCGTTCTCCCATTTTTAACGACATGTAGACCATATCATACTATTTCCTCATCCTTTCATCCATGAAACGTAGTTGCACACCACAATTAACGGTTTATCATATACACAATATCAGAACACAAGCCACGAAGACGACTGAGCTCGACAATGGCGATGTCAATGAATATCTATATTGATCTGACGGAGCCTGTGAAGAGTTGTCAGCGATGCAAAAGCGTACTGGATGAAGCATACATGTTGAAATCTTGCCGATGCGTGAGTCATTTGTGTTCTTAATACCATTCTTACTAATAAACCTTAGGTGATTTGTTCTGATTGCAACAGGACCTACCCTGGTCAATGCCACTACCGACACCACACTCCTGCGCAACAAGTATCTCTTCCTGTCTTCGGCTCGGCGTGTTGTATGATCTGTTTGTCTGATGACGATTTGAACGGTTTGAAGCCAACACTCAGACTTGCTTGTGGTAAGTCATACAAGACGCATCATGAAGAAGCTACTAAATGGGCCACAGGCCATACTCTTTGCATTATTTGCTTGATAAAGCATGAGTCGATGCACACAAAGGGAACGGCATTTTGTCCATACCGATGTCAACCTGTTGATGATTGTGGAAAGTGTGATGAACGTGACGGGATTCGTTGCCGCGTCTTACTCCGCGTTCACGATCTAGGTCAGATTAGGAACGATTAGGAACGAGGACTGATAGCAAGTCTCTGTTCGTTGAGTAGCTCATTTACTCATTAGAGAGTAACTTGGAAGAATCTAAAACACTTCGAGTTCTTTAATGCAAGACCGAAAACAAGATCCTTAGCACAACCCCTCAAAAGTTAGATGAACGCTGCCAAACCAAAGTGTTAGAGGCTTATCCTCGTTGAATAGTGACCTAAGACGCTACTGCGGCCGCTTTGTCTCATATTATACCACAATCCATATCCCTATTAGTATCCTCACTCTTCTTCCACTTGTCTTTACGTCTTGGAGTTTAAGAATTGTCCCAGGAAGTGCTACGGAGCAGCTCGTCAGAGAGTCTGCATGGTGACAATCATGGCTGAATGTGGCAGGGTGCTAGACAGGGGAGACTGGGACAAAAAAGTAGGTGGAAAATCCAGGATAGTGAATATATGATGTGTATGGTCATCTGAAAGCGCTTGGTCAAAAGACGTCACTTAACTAAGACACGACAAACCTTTCGAGTGGCCTTCGATGTGCTGCTATAATATTCAAGTACTTGACCACGGTTGAACCACAACCCGGAAATGTGACGCTCTATTGAAACTGGCCATGTAAGACATAAAAATATAAAGCATTGAGAATAGAAATATTTGCGCCCACTCATCTGAATGACATGTCAATCACAAACTAACTCTTTCTCACCCTTTCATTGATATAAATATAGCCGGTAATTGTAGCTAACGGTTTATTATATCGCCTCTCGGGAAACGATATCTTTCTAACAGAAACACTATCACTAATTTCACAATTAAAAAAAAAAAAATGTATCGCCCAGCTCCATTCCAAGCGTAAATCCAACGTTAACATTGCCCTTGCAAGGTTAACAACTATACCTAATCTTAACTATACTCTGTTACGGCTATTCTATAAAGTTATCTTACGAGCGACTTTCGTTCTAGGGTAACACGTCAATATTAACCCTACTACTAGCATATTGCCCAAGTTTATCTACACTAACATTTCATCAAATATTAATCATAATGCTCATTAGATTGTTGTGAATGGGTTATCTAGGTATTGAACTATTTATCGGTGTTATGTAAAGTCTACATGAGAGTAACGACAAGAGTGAAATTAGTAGGGATCATGGAAAGACTGGAAGGAAAGTGCAGAAAAAAGAAAGAAATGATAAGGGAGTAATAGAGATAGTGCCCAAGCAAGAGAAAATCGCGATGCTAATGCATCCTACGTAGTTTACTGCTACAGAACCGCGGTATTGACTAGTACGCAAAGACTTGCGACGTCAACCTGCCCTTCACGGCACACATGCGTTAAGATCACCTTTCCCTCTAAATACTGTCTGTGCGTAAGCTACTGTTAGTAGCCAAGCGTGCATCACACCAATTATTATAACATCACGCTATATTAGCGGAACACTCCAAAAACACCAAGGGGCGAAATCTGGCAACACCAGCGTGCTGGAATCGCCAAATGGTCGAACCTACCACGCCGGCGCGTCTAATTGTGGCCCCCGATCCCTGCTACACAGCGCAGACGGAGATAAACACTCTGTCTGTACTTAATCTCACCTAGCGCAAGATAGTTAATATCCAGAGTATCCCACTCCCCCCGAAAATGACAGGAAAGGGCGCTGCCGACACCGAGCCCACGGTCCAGGGCATGATCCACGACAACCTCGCCAAAGCCGAGCGAGAAGCCAAGATCCGGCGAGAAGTCATCAAAACACTCGCTAGGTCGCTCGATAGCTTCATCGACTCCTTTAGTGCCCCTAACAAAGGGGACCACAAAAAGGTAGCAAGGGACTTCGCCCGAACCCTAGGGCAACACCTAAATGTAGCCGTCTTTGCGGAATCTGGAGGCAACCTCACCGCCCCCATCAGACCCTGGAGTACACTACGCTCGGAAGACTCAGGTGCCCCCCTTCAAAGCGTAACAACGGGGACGTCCTACGCGGCAGCAGCCAACAGAGGCGGAGTGAGACAGCGCCAATAAGGAAACAAGCGGACTACCCAAGGAGAGCTCGTAGCCCAAAGCGACCTCCAAGGGAAGCAAGGGGACCAGGATCCCTCCCCGGCAGACACTACCCCCTCCGAAGAAACGTCTTCGTCCGAGGACGTGGATATGAAATCAGGGGGAATCGAGGCTGCTAAAGCGCTAAGCGCCCCGACCCCGGCGGGCACCACTGTCATGCCACCGGCAGGGCCTAAATTCATCCGCCACAAGGCCAACACCGAGGACAGGATTAGGAAGCCCGAGCGCAAGCAGCTAGAGACGAGGACCCCGTCCCAGGCGGCCAGGGCACTAATCCAGCGGCAACAAGACCTAAGGAACTACGAACACCTCGATGAATCCTCATAGATCCAGAGGAGAACCGGCGCCGCCAAAAGATATCAGGGTTGCAGTCTATAACACTGGTATGGTCTGGTTAGTTCACCAGACATTCCTCTAAGTCTGTTGGCTAGAGGACATCGACGTCGTGCCCGTTACCGGTCCCTGGATCTCCAGGGACTCGGCGAACATCACCTAAACACACCCTGGTTTTACAGAGTATGGCCCTACGGACACCTGGGACGTAGGGGAAGATAGCAGACCTAGGGTCATGACTTATGTCAGGACGAACGGTTTCCTATAAGTCGAGAGGCGCGCATCTATACATAACAGAGACCTACTATGGATAGCAGTTAACGGGTATCAAATACTCAACCATTACAGAGCACCCCTAACAGCCCAGTTATTGACTACATCGTAGCGATCGAACCAACAGCAAACACCCTCGTAGTAGGGGATGCGAATGCACACCACCCAGACCGGGAGATCGGAGTGGAAGACCCGGCCGGTGGGGGCCAATTATCGGAATGGTCAGCTCGGACGGATATGTGTTACGTCGGTGAAGTTAGCAGGGCGACGCACAAGGCAGGGCACGTGCTCGACCTACCCTTCACCAGTGTGCCCGGAGTCGAAGCACGAATCACCAGGGAACTAATAGCGGGATCAGATCACCTCGCCCTAGTCCTAGAACTGCCTACGAAAGGAGGAAGAGCACTACCGAGAGAAGGGAGGCGCTGGAGGATCCCGGACGACGAGCTCACCAGGCTCTGCGAGGTGGTGGGTGTTTGAGTGGGAAAAATCAGGAGCATTGAGGACGCCAACACAGCTAACGACATTAATCAAGCCGCTAAGGCTCTTACCGAACTCCTCAAAGACAGCAGGCAAGGCGCACCACACAGTCGGCAAATTCGCTCCATGGTAGACCCGCGAGTGCGCGGAAGCCCTGAAAATTGTCAGAGATTCAGGTAAACACCAGGACGCTAGCAGCCCTAAACGGCAAGAGTTCCTAACTATCGTATGGAACGCAAATCGAGACTAGAGGAGATCGATTATCCACGAAGCCCAAACAGACTGCGACCTTTATAAGATCATGGCCTGTAACAAAACGAGGCAAAAGATCAAAAGCCCGCCCCTTACGGACGGGGATACCGTTATCGAAAACGGGATAGAGAAGGCGGAATACCTCCATAGAGCAGTGCTCTCCCGCTTCGACCCCGCGGACGACATACAAGACCCCCCGAGCGGGCAAAACTCGCCCAGCTCTAAACTCCCCTAGAACACCAAAGTCATGTTAGAAGAGGTCGAGAAGTACTCAGCCAGAGCGACCTTGACCGCAACAAGACTAGACACGACTACTTCCAGGTATATCAAGGCCACATGGCCCGCTATAGGAGAGTACTACCGACGCCTCCTAGAAATGTGGCTAGAGCACGGCTTGTTCCTAATGGTTTGGAAAGAAGGGGAGGTAGCCATGCTCCCAAAAATCAGCAAGACCGACTTCAGCTCATACCAGTCGTAGAGACCGATCGCACTACTATCCTGCCTCGGAAAGGGGCTGGAGAGATTAGTGGCGAAACGCATGGTATGGACAGCACTACAGGCCGGGCTCATCAGCCCTTGACATGCCGGGGCGGTACCCAAAAAGTCCGCCGTTGACCTAGTAGCCAGCCTGCTCCACGATATCGACAACGCGCTGGCCAGAGGGCTCAAAGCTACATTGGTCATCCTCGATGTTCAGGGAGCTTTCGATGCACTGCTAAAGAACAGGGCATTACACAGAATGATGCCCCAGGATGGGACAGCCTGGCCATCCAACTAGCGCAAGACTTCTTGTCGGATCGTAAGATAAGGACCACGCTGGAAACCAACACGACGCCGGTTAAGGAAGTCGACTGTGGTACGCCACAAGGATCGCCCTGGTCGCCAATGTTATACATGTTATACCTGTACGAGCTGATACAGGGCAGGACCCGCTGGGATACGCGGATGACATAGCGGTCCTAACGTTTGGCCGCACCATCGCGGAGAGCGCTAGGTAGGCTAAGGTCGAAGTTAACAAAATTCTAGACTGCGGCCGAGAGCATAAGATCGCCTTCGCCCCCGGAAAGGATGGAAGCTATACACTTTTCGAGGGGAAGGGACCGACAAAACCCCCATATCCACACGATGGAGGGGAAAATCACGCCAAACCCCTTAACAGAACAAAGCTAAAGACACTACCAGCCCTCCGGTGGCTCGGGGTCTTCCTCGACCGCAAGCTAAGATTCAAGAGGCAGGTCGAGATCAGGGTGGCCAAAGCGCTGAAAGTGGCCAATCATATCAGAGGCCTAGCAGCCGTGTGTAGGGGACCATCGGCCGAAGGCCTACGGAAAGCGGTAAAAACTATCCTTATCCTTACAGCATTGTACGGTGCCGAGGTATGGAATAAGGGCCTCGGTTCAGACCTAGATCACAGGTAGACCAAACAAAGGGCGACCCCAAGGAGGCGGCGGTGGAGGCGTTTAACTGCTGGTTTACTAACCGATCCCCCTGGGATATCACTGTCTTCTCTGACGGATCTAAAGACCGAGGCCTCCTGGGCTACGGGTATGCGATCTACGAGGGACAGGAACTCGCGGCGGAAGGATACAAGCGAACGGACGCGGCGGTGGCGGTGTTCGACGCAGAGGCCCTGGGACTTCTCAGGGGACTACAGCGCACTATTGAGGTGTACCCGGAGGCTGAGATAGTGCTCTGTGCGGATAACACAGCCTCACTCTGGAGCGCCCAGAAAGACGCACCAGACACGTCTCAATAGGTGTTTATAGAACTACACAAGCTCATAAAACCACACCGGGTTGCAATCAGATTGGAGCCCCGGCCACTATGGGATTAAGGGTAACGAAAAGGCAGACACTCTGGCGGGACGGGCAACCACACTGACAGCCAACATCCCTAAAGACGTACTCACTAGAACACTGTTCTTCCAACCAGCGGAGACAGATATCGAGTCGAAGCCCACAGCCTCAAGCCTAATGAGCATGACAAAGGACATGCTACAGGCCAAGCTAAAGAAATGGAGGGAGGAAACGGGGTCCCAAGCGGGTTCGAGATCGCTAAATTTACCTACGAGCCGTTTAGCAAGACACCAAATCACCTAAAGCTACAAAGGCGAAAGCTCGGGTGGCTCCTGTCGGTAACCTCATCATACGGCGACTTTCACTGGTATCACAACCGATATGGACACTAGGATGCGGAGGTTCACTGCTCTTGCAGGAGATTGGGATTCAAGTCCCCAGAACATATAATACACTAGCAACAACGACCGAGGTATCGGCTCGCCTACACGGTTTCTGTGCGACTAGCGCCACCGGCGGCAAATTTATCTTTGGGCCAGTTGCAAGTGCCATTGATTGTCCGGACCGGTCACGGCTCCTAATCGACTAACCTCCGGGGCTCAATTCGAGACTATTCTGCTACCTTTCAGGACTAGGCTTTTGTTTTGTCGCAGGTAGGTTAGCGTCTAGTAGTGATGCGAAGTGTGTAGATTCTCTCATGTAGCATGGACGACTTTGGCGTTCGTGCGCTTAAAGACCATCAACACTGTCTTGGCAAGTTTCTAGCATGGATGTCTAGTGTACTACAAGTGGAGTACGGTTGCGGGGAGAACATCGAGAGGATAAGTTACAACATGAACCACATGGTCCCATCCTTGCCAAGGAGCTGGACCCATAGTACTCAGCAAGTTATACATGAGCGCACAAAAGAGAAACGCGCGCGGCTCAAAGCCCTATGTTGTTCAAAATATTTGAAGTAGAATTGTTCATGCGGCACTTTCATGAGGTCCAAGTGCTTAGCTCTCAAAGTTGGGCGGCACATTTGGGATCGGATAGACCTTACGACGATTCCGAGGCGTTACGTTTTCAACTCGGGAGCAGAACGCCGCCCCTCTTTTCAAATCAATCATGATGTAAAACTGGTTAAAGAAAACTCTATACACTGCAAGTCTTACATTTCACGAATAGTACTTTCAAGGTTTCGCTATCTACACTACGACACCTCGATAATCAATGCACTTGAGTGACGTTTGATTTCAAAGTGCAAAGTGCAAATATTTTCTTATCATAGATTGGTTCATAGGACCATCAGCTCGTTTCAGGTTTGGATCTTTAGCGCTTAAGCAGAGATGAAATATCGCGATTGAATATTGAGCCTAAATCTCTAAGGCGACTGTTTTCTGTACCACCTGAGTACTGGAGCTGAAAGGACTAGGGCCAATCGAAAGACCTCAATGGTCCTCCTACAACACATCCACGACAAGTGTATTATGGCGAATGAATAAGCCCTCCATGCGCCGCTTTCATGTGATTTTTGAGCTTTTCAGACGACCAACATCTGAATTGGCAATTCTCACACTGCAGAGCCTTGCCGGCTGGCCATCCATGTTCCGTCGTCCAGTGCTTCTATTGCCCATTAATATCTTGGATGCTCTCAATCATGTTGTGACATCTTACCAGCTTGGCCTTTCTGGATTTGAAGTTCGTTTCGCAAAGGGTGCAGGGCACGAGGGGCTCCCAAGCATTCGAACAAAGCTGATCTAGCTCTTCGAGGCTTATCTCATGTCTTAGATCGACTTCCGGTGATTCCACTGGCATGATTAACACGTTGGCGTCGGCATCAATGGGGTGAGGTAGGTGCATCGGTAAGGGTTCATCTTCCTCATGCGAGGAGCACCGTTGTTGTAATACTGTAAATAAACTGGCTATCTCAATTTCGTCGAACTCCGAGGACACAGGAATGAACCCATTAGCGATATTGCTTTCGTAATTCTCCAAAAGACTATAATAAGGTTCGTATAATACCGACCCAAATTCTGTGAGGTTGGCACATGCTGACTCGGTAGACTGAGGTGCTGGTTGGTCATCATGTCGAGAGTGTATATTGAGAGTGGACGATGCCATGTTCTTTACGGTTTGTGTGCAATTTAGAGGATTAATTGTTCGCGTGGATCCTGCCCATAAGGAAGACGAAATTCCGATTGTAAATGAATTATTGAATAAGTTTTGGATTTCGGCCAGAGCACGATCAATGGTAGATAAAGGCAGAAAGCAGAGACACCAGAAAGGATGATTGTGCTGGGCTTCTTATACCCAAACCTTGGAGGCCTCGCAAGAATACAGCGTGGTATTCAACTTTGCTGTGGCATCTCAAACTCCGTTTCCACTGAGATGACTACACCTGCAGTACAGCGAAACTAGGATCACGCTCTCCCAGTTTGGATAGCTACTATCAGCCTGATGGGCGGTGAGCAATATCAGAAACGATCCTGCATGCTGACGGCCCCTTGGTTGTCACGAGATGGCCGCTTGGATAAGTGATGACCTTTGTGGTACAGGGATTACGGCAGGGAGAAACCGTATGAAGCAGGAAAACAAGAGGCTCATATGGTCTCCAACCTTGACAATGAATGACGGAGGCCTCATTAAGTGTCTCAGGTGAGTAAAGATCTCGGGGAAGAACTCGGTCAGCGATATTGATTGGCATCTGTTCGTCCACGATGCTCATCAATAGGCCTAACCGCGACCTGGTCTCGATCTCATGGCTTCGATATCACCCTTTGAAGAACCAATAGTAAACCGCCCGGCTGGTGTATTTATATCAATATTTACGCATATGTGTACAAGGGCGATTTTGACAAACTATCTCTCCTGACTCAAACCCAAAACTCTACCAATTCTTTTTTTCCATCACGCCATTAAATTATAGCAAGCGACGTGATCTCATCTCACACCACGCCCACTCCGCCGAGTATCTAGCACCAGCTAATGAAATTTGTTCTCATCTCTCCTCCTGCTGAAACAAGGCTTTCTTGAGAGTTTAATACTCGGCTTTGAGTCGACGTTCCCTCATATAACACTTATAACGCATGCGTAGAGGAAAAGTGGTCTTGCCAACTCGGATCTGTTGATCTAAGCATGTGTGATGATGGCCTCCCACATCTACCAAACGGAAGCTATGCTATGATGAAGAGCTGTCTTGGAATTGAAAATGGTTATCTGCAAGCCAGAAGGACTCCTCTACTTATTGAGCTCTAGGCCAGTGAGACGAGGTCAAAAGTAATTTGAATGTAAGCCAACTAGTTCAAGGCTTGCTAATGTGCCTTTGTCCCATAGAGTCGGTATAGAATTTGAGTCTTACAAAATCCCGCCTCCAGCAGGTTAACGTGTGGAGAAATAAATTTTCTTTATCGTTATGTTCAATTGAGAATAACTTATCATCTAGCGTGCTAGTATCTTCACGAAGGTGATAATTGAGATTTTTATATTACCATAAATATATAACATAACCGAAAGATTAGACCCTTGCTATCGTCTTACGAAGAGCGTTTTCTAAAAAGGAATGGCATTCATCTCGAGTAACTGCGAGATTTGACACAAAACTAGACTACATAACTATTCTAACATGAGAAAGCTATATAGAAACCGTGAATATAATCCAATCTCCAGTTGGAACAACATCTTACCCTCTCGACCTTTGATTCATCACATAAGGTGGGCTTTTTCGAACTCTTGAAAGACAGCAAAACTGGTAGATGAAGAAGGACACCGCCATTGTACACATAGAGAAAGACACAATGCCCATGGTGATCTGGGCTGACAGAGACCAGTTTCCACCCTGAGCTGTATAGATGTTCACTAAGATGGTGAAGAGGCAGCTGACAGAATTCAAGAAACCCGGTCTACACAGTGTCAGTTTAGAGCATATGACACATGGGCTTCTCTCACAAGAATAGATGCGTTACCAGCCAGATATAGTTCCCTCTAAATTTATACCATAACCAAGTAGTTCCTGCCGACCCAATAATAAAACAAATGATTGCCACCGGAATGATCCCTTTGTTCAGGTCTACCAAACGATCTACAGGTGTAATACCTTTCTCAAGAAGCTGGGCATTTTGTAGAAAAGCGAATGTGGCCGGTAAAATGAAGAATCCAGCTAGAAGGAACCAAGTTGATATAGCAGCAAGAAAGCCATAAGAAGTCTTAACTTTGCTCGACTCGATGATCATGGAATTGTATGAGCTGTCCATGATAGAATGATCCATTGGGTATGTAATATTACCATTTATTCGATGGAACATTCTCATTGTCTACTTGGTAGATATATAATGAAAACGATGTTAAATCTGAACGGGCTTAATGTAATAGTTTAGGATTCAGAAATAACGGGATAGCTGCCGTTATATTTAAAATACTGCATTCTGAACATGAATATTGTAATTTTTCTTCTGACTCGTTTGCGCCTAATCATTCTATTCCTTCCGAGTCCGATCCGGAATCCTGGCCTATGTCATAGCTTCGAATAGACTGGGGTTCAACTTGCACATGCTCATCGTTCCTTGTATGCACGCCACCGGATTCGTCCGGGACACGGTGCTCTCGCTCGACAATTTCAAAAATCCCACCTCCTCTTCTACTGGACGTTTCGGCTGAAGTCTCTTGCACAGTCTTTGTATCTTGATCCTGATGATTATCTGGTGTCATTGAAACGTAACGAGGGTTAGCAAGCCGTGGAGCGACTATTCTTAAACTTTGAACTGAAGCGGGATCTCTTGTGCGCGGTCGTCTAGTGGTCGGTGTCTTGATGGATCTTACCGGCGTCGCTGATCTCGCTTCAGGCTCACGGGGTCCAGAAGGACTAGTCCTCTGGGAAACTGAAGCATCATTCTCTGCCTCGTCATCAGTGACTTCTGAGTTCGAAACCTGTAGATCGCTGGCCTCGCCATCTGTGTTTTGATTAACTAGCCTCCGCTTCTTTCTGGTTGGCTTAACTCTTTCACCTGATCTTATTGACGCTTGGTAACGATCCTTCATTTCGTATGGTCGTTTGAAACTGGGAGGAGGTGCTCGATTCATTCGAGACGGGACTGGCACCATAAATGGCCTCGTACTGGGTGTGTCTTCAGATAATGCAGTAGAGACCATGACCGGGCTGCCTGTTGTATCTTGCTCGATATGTTGGGTATTCTCTTCCTCAGGAGGATGTGGGTGAGTCCTTCCAGTCAGAACTGTCTCTGCTAATGTTATTGGTCCTTGGACTTCAACAGTTCCAGGCGTCTCTGATGTATATGGCGTTGTACTAGATGTATCTTCCTCTGGAATAGGTTCGAGTAACACCGTAGAAATTGTTGTCTGGTTGTTTATCATTTCTTGCTCGACATGTTGGGGGGTCCCTTCCTGAGAGGCATTCATCGTGAGAATTGGCAATGGTGAACGGTTCATTCTGGTCGGAACCGGCAATGTTAATGTTATTGATTCTTGGACTTCAACAGTTCCAGGCGTCTCTGATGTATATGGCGTTGTACTAGATGTATCTTCCTCTGGAATAGGTTCGAGTAACACCGTAGAAATTGTTGTCTGGCTGTTTATCATTTCTTGCTCGACATGTTGGGGGGTCCCTTCCTGAGAGGCATTCATCGTGAGAATTGGCAATGGTGAACGGTTCATTCTGGTCGGAACCGGCAATGTTAATGTTATTGATTCTTGGACTTCAAAGGTCCCAGGTACCTCTGATGGTGGGAATTGGATAGAAGGTGTGTCTTGTAAAAACCCAAGATCGGGTGTGAAGGTATCCGCTGTTGGGAAATTTTGAGAATCAGGGATCTCAATATCCCCGTCCGCCGCGCTTTGTGCTCTTGGAGCGTGTCTTAAGGAAGGTCCTAATGGGCGGACACTTACTCCTGACCGACTCCTCAATGAACGTTTCCTACCATCTGACTTAACTATTCGCGAAGCAGACTGCCGTCGTTTCGACTCGGATGCTACCGTAATACCAGGCTGCCCGGCAAAGTCGAGACGAGGAATGGGCACAGAGCCAAAAAACGACCGAATGAAGTCGCACTGAACAAACATTGAGTCCAGAGAATCATCTTTGAGGAGGTGGCCGTGTAACGAAGGTAAAAAAAGCTTTTGCTGAAGCTCTTGATAGGTGACCGTGAAAGGTTTGCCTCCCCGCCAGTCTGCGGGCATCGATGTATCTGGAATTTGACTATTAGATCCTGCGGGTAGTGTTGCATAGGCGGCGCGATCGAGAGACGGTGTTTTCCCAGTGGTATGATTGGGAGACTGCGTTGTTGATTTCTCATGTGCAAGTTTTTCGTTCATAAAACCAGCTTTTCTAGCCATGTCGCAAAAACTCTCAACACAACTGCGGTCTTCGTATGCCACAACCTTTTTGTCCTGTTTGCCTTGCAAGGGGGCATTAGCGCTGAGCCGTGCAAAGTTCCGCTGAGCTCTGATGAACATTTCTATAAAGGCTAACTGAGGAGTCATGAAGATTTGAATTGGATGGAATGCTCCCTCACGAATTTCGATGCATGATTCTGTCGGCCGCTTCCAATCTGAACATAAGGAAGTCATTAAATCCACACGCTGTCTTTTTCGGCTACCGGCTGTCACTTCCACGAATTTGGCTACTTCTACATGTTTTTGGAGGATCTGAGCCGAAATTGAGAAATACTTCATGTTCTCATGAAAAGTTCTGATGCTGGGGATTACGCCGCGAATCGAAAGAACGTTTTGTAATAGATCTTGACGGACGGCGCGATTCGTTATTAGAAAAAACAGCTGGCCTAGGCCCATCGCTCTTCGAATTTCTTCTTCATCTTGCTTACAGGCTCCTGGGGATCTGAATTGCAAAAAGTGTACAGTTTCGATATCCAAAAGGCCCTCTAGGTTATTGTGTCCTTGGAAAATCTGGCTCCACACCTGGCGGATGTGCCCCACAAAAGCGATTATTTGTGGATCGCAATGCAGTGCAAAATGTTTGTGTATATTACCCAGTTGCAAGCCGTCCCATAAACCAGTCAGCGGCCATAGTAAGTCCAATGCTTTTGCAACGTCGGTTCGCCTTAGTAATTGGAACACATTTTTTCTCTTTGGAGGTGACAACTTGAGCACACATCTTCGAACTTCCCCGTGCTCTCCTTTGTTGATACTGATACGAACTTGCCGATAGATCGTCCCATCCGATGCGTCATTGCATAAAGATTCAATGTCATCAAGTAAGGAAATGACACGGTCCGGACCTAGAGGTAACACATTAATACAACGAAATACTATGTGTTTAGTCTTGCACGTACCTGCAGCCCCACAATATAGTCGGACAGTCCACCAAGCTTTGTCGTGGAATGCCAATTTTGCTGCAATGGCGCGACGGCGACCTTGAAGACACCAAATAGTGAAACTGCCTGTCACATATGGGAACTTACCTACGGCTGATGTTTCGAATAGTTCCTGTTCAGAAAGCTTCGTAGCTTTACGTATGGTTTCCAGCGTTTCCGGAGTCACGATACCACGCATCTGATGTTCTGGCCTGGATGGTCGGCACCGCCCTAGTCGGAAAGACCGCGACAGCCTGTGAATTTTTTTCAAATCAAGCCTAAGAAGCTGTTCTTGTGGATGCCAATTTTTTGATGCCGGGGCTTTGACACTGGCGGGTAAATTAAATGACAATAAAGTCAGGGGCACCCGGACGATGCCAATGCAGTCCGCCTCCATTGCTATAAGAACGATGCAATGCTTGGCGTCAATGGTCAGAATAAACCTTTGAGATTCCGCGGTCCGAGAAAAACCCTAATATGATATATGAACGCTGTTGATACTCTCTAAACCCTTTTCTTTTGCTTTTCTCCCCCTTCTTCAAAGTCCGTAGATGTCAAACTAGACATAAAAGAATTCGGCAATAAAGAAGCTTGGCAATTATTATGTAACAGGCAATGTAAGGGCAGGCATCCTAACAGCGTGCATTCACTATTGTACGCAGCATCATCTTTTTATGAGAGCTATTGTGGGTAGCAAGAAGTGCATCGGCTAGTGAGGAATTTCAAAAGTTATAATTCAATTTTAACCATCGCTGGCCCGCTCAATTTAGCGCCAACCTTCCTATTATTGTTGCCCCACGCCGCTCTCAGGGCGGGGACGCTCGACGCATTTCATCGAAGCTGCCACTACGTCAAAGTATCATCTAATTGTACCTCACCGCAGTCGATGTGCAATGGTCTACAGTACGTGGCTAGAACTTCAATCTGGTGCTCCTGGACTTGGTGGTCCATTCCTTCTGGAACACTTAGTGCCGTACGAGTCATTTCGCAAAGGCCAAGAGGCAACGCCGAGTGTGGTCGTCGCGATAGGGGGCCTTCAAAAGAGACGATTCCTACAGCAGCATTTCTTCGTCAGCCATGTTAGCCTCGAGCCGAACATCAGAATGGGATACCAACCGGGAGTTGACTCGATTTTGTTGGACTGCGAGCTTCACACTCTCACCCATGCCCCTCGAATAAAAGCCGGAATTACGCCTGGGTGCAATACGCGCCACGAACTTCATTGCGGTTCGGGAAACAATGCAAACGAGATCGCGCACAGTCTGTATAATCACATTTTAATGCCTTTAGCAACTGTCACTTTCCTCTTTGTAGCCGATCTTGGCGGTTGGGACAGTGTAACAAACCTCCTGGGGTTCTGGGCGCGAAGGCCTGTGCACGAGCCTGAACCCACCCCAGCCATAGTCATCCTAGTATCGAGTGACCACAAATGTCAAACTAGTGTCAGGGATGTCATATTACATGCCTCTACCAGGCTGCTCGAACAACTGAGACTATCTGAACCAGCAAGGCCGTTCACCCGTCCAAATGCTGAAATGATGATACAACGACGATTCACGATTAAGATTTTGAATCGATGTGCCACGAATCGAGATACACGTGCTGCTACCATTGGCCTGATCGAAGCAGCTGCAATCCAACAGCGCCAAAGTCAGCCTGCGTTTTCTACACGTCATCTGATATACCTCCTGCGGGTGGGCCTCGTTCATTATAGTGAAAGTCCGGGACATTCTTTCAATTCGTATCTCGCATTGAGACAGCACAGTCGAGTTCCTCCCGACGTAGCTCATTGCTTGCAAAATGTTCTGAGGTCTGTGGCAGGCACACTTGAGGAGAAAGCCGACATCATCGCTTCTGCGCTTTGGCTTGATGCTTTCCCACCAGGAATGCACTGTGAGGCCCCTTCACCAATTTATATTCATTTCAATTAATCACGTTGCTCAGGCTTTTCCCCCGACATAATCTTTTCGAATTTTTATGCGACGAATCTTGGCCTTTCAAACACGTCTTTTGAAAACAAAGGGCTTAAAGATGTAGTGAAGACGAGACTTATTGAGTTAGTGAGGACAAGATTTATTGAGTTAGTGAGCTCTCAGTGCACCGATCACTTAACACGTCACATCGCAGCGCTCAACTCCAGCAGCACAACAGTATCGACTTGTGGTGAAATATGTGTCATTTGTTTTGCAAGGACAGCAATGTATACCTTCGACTGCCAGCATCGAATCTGCAATACCTGTGCTCTCAATATAGGAGAACAACGCGAGCCTTGGGAAGTGAGCATACAGCGATGCCCAGTATGTAGACGACTTAATACTGCTGATTTCATGATCAGACCTCCGACAGCCGGACTAAGACTTTTGCAGCTGGGGGGTAGTGACTTTGCAATTATCTGGAGTTTCTTGAGTCAGCTCAAAAAGATGTTGAACCTTGGATCCCTACCGTTTTGTCAGTTTTTCGATGGAATCATTGCGGAAGGAGCCGGTATGTAGTCGAGACGGTCGATCTTGTGTGAAGCATAAGACTAACAACACAGGGATTTACTTTGCTCTGTCTCTGTTTCTAGAGAAGTGGAGCATGAAAGATTGTAAGTATCACATCGATGGGCTGAAGCAGCCCAAATTTATCAAAAGAGACGTCATCACATTTGGTCGCGGTCTTGAATGGAATCTGACCAGAGTGAGACTATCTAACCACTTCGGTTTTATCATCGAAGGCAAGAAGCATCTCTCCTCAAACTTCCTTCCCGAGGTACACAATGGAACCTCGTACGTAATATATGGAATCCACTCGCTTGATTCCTAGCTGATGTATTCTAGTATCAGTCATCGCATGCTCGCCTGGATGGGCAGGTCCCCAGACATAACCATTAAATATAACGGGGGAAGCTATAGCGATGGGCTTGTTGATGCAATATCATCCAAGCTTATATCATCTTTGTTTTACATTGAATTGATAACGGTGCCAGTATTCCGTACTGTACCAGCAGAATGTACCGTACGTTTGCTCTGCCGCGTCAACCCCGGTCCGACCTTTATGAATCTACTTATGGAGCTGCACCAGCGACAAACGTGTATACAATATCGCAGCGCGGACAGCCAGTTCACGGAGACTCCAATTTTTACAAAGAAGATATGGAGTATGTGTAGTAAAGGGATTCCTTTCGCAAAAGAGCTTGACTTAGACGTCGTCAATATGGATTCATTGATCGAGGTTAAACTTGATAGCCGGGCCGGATCGCCGCAGAACATTAGCAATTGTCCATATCGAATTATAGACTTGATACAGGATCAAAAGTTAGATGTTACGTCTGTGGTCCCAGGGTTTCAAGCTGAATCAGAGATGAGTGGTACCAGAGACGAGGATTTGGTAGGGGGAGATACGCTGGCAGGGTCAATGACAAGGATGTACAGAGTACTGAATGAATTATGATGAAATTAATACAAGCTATTATAATTCGCCTAATGATAGCAAGATAAAACCTTGAAATGAGATGGAATCTACCATGCCCGCCACGCACGCGAACCAAACCCATTGACCTTAGTGCTATGTCTCACAAAACAAAGCTCGTTTCTTATAAGCAGCGCTTTATGCTTTTATGATTAGAAATGGTAAGGAAAGCGTTCTATTTTTGATGCCTAGCATACCGGACAGCTCTACTCGCGGACGACGTTCTCTTATGTTGACGTAGTTTAGGCTACTCCTGCGTGTTGCAACTTGCTTCTCTTTTGCCAAGCACGGTAAGGGTTTTCTTTAGATACCGCTGCTCGATGGACGTTGAATGCTGACCTTTGCAGCATGGTCTCCACAAGAGTTGCTTTCGGTAATTCGTGTCTCGATAGGAGTATGATTCGTGGAGGCATTTGACTCTAACTCAGCAATCTCTCTCTTGAGTGTTCCGACGGGAACAATTTTGCAAGGGCCAAACTGTTTCGCAGGATCTGCGATGACGCTGTTAATGTTGGACGCGGGGCAAGGCCAGTTCGGGTATGACTGAAACTGGTAAGTTTTCCTTCGCACTTGATGAATAGGCATCATTTCTTTTAGCTTGCCGATCTTTCTCATCAGACTGCCAACGCGCAGACTGAATAGACGCTGCTCTCGTGTAATCGTCATAGCTCTGAGTTGACGGAATGCGAATAAGACAAATACGGCCGAGATAACTAGGATGTGGCGTGTAATGATGACTATGTAGAGTTGTTCTATTGCGAACGTATGCAGCTTTTATTTCTGAGATATTGTAGCGGCTAATCTATTTGTCTACTAGATAGTGATACCATCGTTAACTGATATTCATGCTAAAGGGTGTCCTTGGCCGTAAGCTGCTTTCACCGTGTACATAATTACATGCCCATCCAAAATTCAAAAGCTGGGGAATGTTCAAATAGCATGAAGCGATTCGCTGGCCATTGTGTTAAATGCTATTATTTGACCTCCCTTTGTTACGCGATAAAATGTGGATGTTTATAAAAAAAAAAGCCATATTAGATTAGTGACCATCATATAGCTGGCAAAAGTGGGTCGGGCTCCATCTCATTACCACCGACCCTTAAGCCAACCGCGAGTCGCTCTACCCCCAACCGCTGTGGAGGACGACAGTCTCGGCAAGCTAGCCACTCCAGTACACGCGCGCGTAAATGGAGATAATTTTCAGGCTCGTTAGTAGAATGGGTTCTAGCTATTGCCGTTCAACCTAGCGTCGTTGCCGTTAGTCCGGCTGTAGCATAAGCTCAACACAACTGTCATGATGCACGAGCGTGGAAGGATCTAAGCGTGAATCCAATCAGGTGGAAGCTAGCGCTAGATTTACCATATCCATGAATTCTTCTACAATTGGGATACTAGTACATCCCAAGTCATGTGATATAGGTAGGCTATCACCATAAAATAACAGGGTACTAGTAGGCAAGTGGAGTATCTGGAATATGCTACTGATCACTGTAGGACATCCCTGCTTTCCGACCAGTAGCCACTCGCCAAGGCTTACTAGTAGCTTTCACTGCTTCCAACCGTCTCCCAGTATATTTGCAACGTTGATTGTCAGGATTTAGACCTGGTTAAAATTAAAAACCCGAATCCATCCCAGTCACACACCAATGTGATATTCTAGTAACTTTCTCTTAGTCACCTCCGGATTTGTCAACAATTACAAAGCGAACTCCGATAAACTATCTCGAAAGTAGGGATATATGCTGTATTGTTACTAGTCGCGTTAGGTAGTAGATCTAAAATAAACGACCGGAAATGTAGCAGCATGGATTGAATTTTAACAAGAGAGCAAACACCGACCTACATTTGGACTTGCACCGCTAGGAAGCACATCACACAACCAACATATCGACTGCATGGTACTTGAAGGATCAAACTGAAGATAACTACTGAGAGGACGAGCGCCCGTCTCAAAATGCATTTGTCACTATACAAACGAAGCCTAGGGCTTCATCACTAAAGAGTACGTCACTAAACTGTTAGCTACGATGCCCTAAAGGACAAAGGAGGACCTACAAAGTGGTAATCTATTCGGCTTCTTCTTCCGGCACCTCCTCGATGTCCTCAAAGTGCCCAATATCTAGTTTCCCTTTACCAGACTGTCTGAAACACCCGCTTCCAGTTGAATCCAATACCTTCTAATACGGCAATTTGCCAATAATAATTACCCTTTTATATAGGGTAATTAGAAACCATCCCAACCAAGTCGATTGTTCCATCTATGATCATCTTAATTCATGGGAAATCTAATAAAGCCAGGCAAAGAAACGCTAAATGTAACCAGTTGCCCAGGCAATATCAGTGATTATGTACAAGCCCTTAGATAACAGCGATTATGTACTTGGTCTTCAAATTCAAGGCTAACTAATATAGGTAAGTCACCGGGGTAAGCAAAGCTAGTTGCACCCTTTACGTAGTGTGATTTACTTACGGTTAGTGCGAAAAAAAAAATAGGTCGTTCACATGTTCAGTAAGCGCGCATGCAGTGTGATGCAGCAAGGTAGACGAAAAGATGCACATCTGAAAGTTGAAAAGAGGGTCACTAAACCCTTTTGTACGATCGGCCCGCATGGACTCCCATGATTGACGACCCGACAGTTCGGAACCATTTAGTACAATAATAACATTCGAAATTGCTCAATCTAGTCAGAAATACAAGTGTCTCATCAAATCTTTGTTAGGGTTTCTCCGCCACCAATTTGCCCTCGGCTACTCCATCTCTTGTTGCAATTTTCCAGGTGTGGTATCGGTTCGTGGCTCCCCGAGCTTCACACTGTTCACGTTGGCTTCCTCCTTGGCAGCTTCTTCTGGTGCAATTTTCGCGTGTTCCTCAGCAGAGACGCTTGCCCCAGAGCTCGACCAAATCTTCTCCTTTAGCTCGGCCTCTTTCCTAGCAGCTTCCCTGACATTTTGTTCTACAGTACGTTTTGCCAGTTCCTTTGGAAAGATGCTTTTCCCAGAAGTTGACCAAATCTTCTCCTTTAGCTCGGCTTCTTTCCTAGCAGCTTCTCTGGCAGCTTTCATGGCAGCTTCCTCAGCAGCTTCCCTAGCATCTTGTTCTAATGCAAGTTGTGCGGGGTCCTTTGCAAAAGGGCTTGCCCCAGAGCTCGACCAAATCTTCTCCTTTAGCTCGGCCTTTTTCCTAGCAGCTTCCCTGACATTTTGTTCTACAGTACGTTTTGCCAGTTCCTTTGAAAAGATGCTTGTCCCAGAAGTTGACCAAATCTTCTCCTTTAGCTCGGCTTCTTTCCTAGCAGCTTCTCTGGCAGCTTTCATGGCAGCTTCCTCAGCAGCTTCCCTAGCATCTTGTTCTAATGCAAGTTGTGCGGGGTCCTTTGCAAAAGGGCTTGCCCCAGAGCTCGACCAATCCTTGGACATTGGCCCGTCACCTTCCCTGGCAGCTTCTTCTGCTCCTCTATGGTTCCATGGACTCCCAAACTTCGCCCACTTCACCCTCCTTTCCTCGTCGTACTCGATGCTTCGTTTGATGCTCATTGATGGCGTAGCTAGAGTGATACCTAGCGCGGAGCGATACTGGATGGCAAAGAATAGCAATAAAAATTGCTTTGGGGCCAACCCATGAGGTAATTCCTCTTGGCGCCATCCTACTCCACTAAATTGTCTTCTTCCCTCGATAATCGCATCCCATGCCACGATTTGTGACAACAACCGCTCTCTAACACTCACAAATGAGTTGAATGGTATTTCGAGGGTTTGTTTGAGAGCGTTATGGATTTGGCTTTCTGTCCAGGTGTGAGCCGACTGTACTACATCCGCCTCTTTATCCAGTCTGCCAGATATCATTTCTGCCATTTGAATGCAACACTGGCGTTCCTTTAGGCCTCTCATCACATCTTTCAGATTCTGCTCCATGTTATCACAAGAGCTATTGCCCAATTGAATAGAAATGCTAAAAGGCAGTACAAATACTAAAGAGTAGTATAAGGATCTTAATGGTGGAACAAAATGGTATCAGCCTATGATGAGACTTAAATAGAAGCTTCCTAGATGATTTGATACGTTCAATTTAACCATTAATGTCCCAATTTGCAATGGGTATCCGCTCAGAATAAAAGTTTAAAAATAATTATTCTCTAGGCCCATGTGAGCTTTTGGTGTAGCTCTGGTTCAAATTAACATTTGAACGGCGCTCATAACAAACTTGTAAAGTAAGCGACCCTAGAAGCAAATGCCACGCAATAATAGTTAAAAAAGCATCCACAACCGCACCACAGTTGCAATGAACCAGATATGCTGAGTTTGAATAAAGCACTTACATACATCACTGAAATACTCAAGCACTAACTCGAGCATCGGATCAAGCTTTACCGTAATGTATGACAGACAAGTATCGTGCACGGAGTCTTCATGCTCATAGTAAGTAAAAGGGGACGACAGAAATGCGGAGTATGCTATGCGGTGCTGATCAAAGCCTCTTAGTTGTCATGACCTATTCAGCCCTTTTGCTACCAAGGGTCATATAACAATGTTTTCATCCCACCCACAGTGTTCGCAAAGCGGAAAAGCACCAATTCCTGTTATATTAAATGACACATTGACACGTCAAGCACGAAAGAAGGCTGCGGCCAAATTCTCGAAAAGGCGACGAACTTTAGTCAAACGGGCACATGACTTATACAGAGATTGTGATGCCGAAGTCTTCTTGGTTATAAAGAAGAATAACAAATTACATGTTTTCAATTCAGAGCCTTCCCGGGCAAGTTGGCCTCCAAGTTACGACAGTATTGTAAGGCGCCCTTTATACGTCTCCATCCGTCTCTGATGACCGCTGACAATTTCGAGATCAAATCATATCCCCTACCCAACATCCAAACTCCATTGACTATGCAAGTTTCCAATGCCAAAAATGGGGTGGAATCTTGAGAAGGATTGGTGAAACAATGCTTTGTTCAGGTTCGCGTGGAACTCGTGTTAGAAGCTGGGGGAGGTAGCCTGCAGTATTTATTATTTTAAGGAAAACCAATGTTGTGAAATTCACTTCTGCCTACCGAAGCTCCTCAAGCTGCTGTTGTTAGTTATGCTCTAAGAGATATCTTAGGATTATTTACCAAATCATTGATGTCTTTCACCACCAGTTCGCAAAGCTCCACGATACGACTGACTACATGGGATATTCGTTCACACTCCTCAAGTACATGTCGTGCGTCTACCGATCTGGGTGATTGGTGCGCATGTAATGAAATATCGACGGTAGAGCTCGACCGACGGTAGGCGTGGAGGTCTCCAGTGGAGATGAAGCTAGGTTCATAGGAAATATAGGGCATATCGTCGCTCGATATTATATTGCAGTACATACAGCATGCACTCATGTTCTCAATTCCCATGTTGTACTGTGCTGAGGGGCTATCCTGCTCAGACAGGCAGCGTAGTGGAGGGAGTTGAAGGTTTGACATGACAATGAGATTGAAGCAAGAAAAGGGGAAAGCAATTGTGTCAATCATAATCTAATAATGACCAACTAAGTCGGTAAATAAGCAGAGTTTTATAACTAAAGGTACTAATCGAAAAGAGCTAAGAATATCGACCCCCTCCCCCCCCCCCCCCAAAGAAAGAAACGCAGATCTCAGGGATCCCGGCGCAAGGAAGATCAAAAACCAACATCTAAATACATGTGTGTGTGGAGATATAATGGCAAGAAATCAGGACAGATCGTGAGACTAAACACTCATAGTGCAAGACTTGACGGTCTGGAACACCGTCAAAGTTGAGACGATCGAGAGAGTCATTAAGCTGGGAGACAAGTTGTGACCGGAGCTCGTGTCAAAGATAGAAGCTGCTTTGACCACTGTTGTTGAGGGCAGCCCAGCAGCGGCAACCACTGTTCCGGTTGATGATCCCGTGGATTGAAGCGGTATCGTCTCGGAAGCGCCGGCGTCAATTGTCGAGGTCGGCAACATAGCGACTTCGCTGGTCGTTACTGGGAACGAGTTAGCCTCAGCAGCTGATGGCGGAACAGGATCGGCTACCCTTGTCGAAGGCAATAGTGTGGTCGATACTTGTACTGGTAAGGAAGACGGTCTGGTTGCATCTATGCTTGGGACAAGTGTCGCGCTTGTCGTCGTTCCCATGGTGGTTGCCGCAGCCGCCCCAAATTTTCCCGAAACAGTACTTGTACCTCCAGTAGTATCAATCATCACCTCCGTACTCAGATCCCTCTGAGTTCCGGTGGGCGTCCCGACGACTGTCTGAGTTACTGTTGTTGGCGCTAGGGGACCTGCAGCTTGTGTGACATAGTGGGTCTGCGTGGTTGTAAATATTGTTACAACAGACTCAGTGGATACGCCGGACGAGGCTGTCGTCGTGAAGACGCCGGTACTAGTTTGTACCACCTCTGTGACACATCCTACGATCCCTGTACGCTGCAGTTGCATTTCAGGTTGCTCCAAGCCTCCAGATATGTTTGCGTGATAACAGAGTGGAGTCAGCCCGGAGCAATGCCTGCTTCTGGATTAGCCTGCACGCATCCTGCGTATGGTCGCAGCAGAAACTCACCACGTGACAAAGGCCTCTCCGTTGGGAACTTCGGGTGGCAACATGAAGGTCATCACTTGGGAAGCGGAGCAATTGAGTGGTTGAAAGGAATACGAAAGTGACAGGAAGTCGGAGTTCGAGAATTCAAGGGATGCTTCACAGCGATGGCTCTGATCGTCATTGATACTAAGTCTTGATTTAGCTAGGCTTGAGAAATTACAAGGATAGACGAAATCTACCAACCTGGCTGAGACTTTTGAGAACCCGGCATCCAGTGCCATGAGTGGTTCGGAGATGCATAAGCCTGATCGCGGGGTCAAGGTCCAGCCTCGGGTAAGCCAAACAGGCGTTGTAAGTAGAATTGCTTGAAGCTTCATTATGCTAAGAGTTAAGGCGATTGTGTGATGATGAGGCCGTTGTAGGAGTGCGCAAACGGGCGCTTAAATAACATGCAGTCGAGTTGCGAAATAAAATACCCCGTCACGTACCGCGTAATTTTAATTGCGAGTTTTAGATTATAAGTCCTCTGGTCTGAATCTTCTCGTTCCTATATCTACCCCAACTCCAGGTCGTTTTATCCTTATATAATCTGACACAGTAACATATCTTACAACCCAATAGCACCACGATAAGTACATATAACGAAATGTCGAGCGCTTGGTTCAACAACATGGATGCGAGCCAGCTCCCAAATTTTGACTTGGAGGCACTTCCAGATAATCGCGACTTCGACTTCGATATTCTAAATGGCTTCCCGTTAAATTTGGGAACTGACGCCAACTCTGCGCAAATGAGCCTTTCCACGGACGATGATATGAAGAGGTCAGTCTATTGTCGTCGTAAGGTTACGTACTGACAGTGCAAAGCAAACTGGCTGAAATATGTTCACGGCTAGAGCGTATCGAGGCAGGCATGGCAACAAACACTCAGCTCAATCGACTCAACTCTGTCCTCGAATCGACAACTTTGCAAGTCAATCAGCGCATTGAAACTTTGACATGTGGAGTGGATAAACTGAGGCGAGGCTTGGAAGCGTACTCAAAGACATTAGTTCAGACAATTTTGGCTGCTGGTGGAGCGGGTACAATCTATGCGGATGAATAGCTTATGATGATCAGGTTTGTCTCCGACAGCGGTTGTTCTAGGTTAAATGTTGCTTTTCTAATTCAAACACGTTGCATTCTCCCATGCGTCTTATTTAAATTCTTTCCCTCCCTGGTGTTTCACTTATTCTTGATAATGCACATACTCGTGATATATACTACGACGAAGACAAGATGGCCAAAGAAATGAACGACCTGCCTCCACTGCAAATCAATCACAACAGAATGAGGCGCAGGAATGCTTCAGTTCTACAAATGAATCCCAAGCCCGTCATTGTACAAGCAGAAACCCTAGGGCACGAGGCTGAACTCCAAGAGCTCCACAACGAAAATCGAGAACTAAGAGAAAGATTGAAGCGACTGGAAGAAAGACTCCTAAAGAAAGAAGCCAAGATAGAGCACATCTCAATAGAGAACAAACAGAGATGCGTCGAGATTGCCAAGCACAAGGCTCTGGTTGGACGCGTAGCACAAAATATTGCACACGCCTTCAAGGAATACCAGGATCTTACCGCACAGGCTGGAAATAAACAAACCTCATCATTCCTGTCATCAGAATCGCAGGTTGGAGACATACAGATCGCGTACCAGGAGGCCACGAGTGTTTGGAGCCACTCTGATTCAGAATAGCATTTGGCCCTGGTTGATGAGTGGGTGGCTGACTCAAGTTCGCATTTTAAATGAAAACATAGTGCTAAGAAACCGAAAGTAACCGAAATGTCAGGAGGGAAAGGGCGCTATTTTCAAGCATGAAAGGCTTTCATTAATGGTTGTGCACTATTTAAACACCCTAGAAGCACTAATAACTTGCTCATCTCATCCTTATTTACGCCTACCATTTTGAATAAACCATTTCAATCGCAAAATTGAATTCTACAATCGCATCGTTACAATGGGGCCAATCAAGTTTGCAGTAGCAGCCATATGCACCTACGCGCTTGTTCACGCGTAAGTAACCTTAGGTATTCTTCAGGCTCGTACTACTACTGACGGGCACTAGTGTGGATAAGAAAGTTGAACGGCATCAACAAGAACGGCGTTCTCGTGATCCACCTCGGCGCCGATCCCGCTATCATGAGAGTGGTCACTCGTCTACTACATCGACTCGTACTACTACATCGAGAAGCCGCTGAGGTAGAGCCCACCGTTATTTATAGATTCGCATATACTTAAGATAGTCAGATTCATCGCGCATGGTGTCACAATATTCATGTGGTAAAACTGGGAAGATAGTAGTAGACTCTGAATTGAAGCTGTCTTCGAAAACTGCAAGTAGTAATTGTGAACTGGGCACTTAATTCTGAATGAGCCCGGCGGTAAATTTACCTGTACTAATGGTGTTCCTAATCTAAAATTCGTGGTGCAGTTCTATTAGTGCTCTAAGCGCTGACGCGTGCCTAAAATTTGACCCAGGTGCATTAGCGCGCTACAATTTAGCGCTTTCTGCCTACCCTTCACAATCCAGCTTGTGCAATTTAACCCTGTGCTATACGTCCTGGAAATAGCAATCTACTCCATTGGATTCCGTTAATCGTGTGAATCGGAGAGTGGCAAACCGTCTTGTATATTTTAATTATAACATGAAGCTGTGGATAGCCGGACTTCATGTATACATATGTATATGCTCGGATTCTATATTCGCTTGTTTTCCTAATACAACCGTCCTAACACAATCCACCATCATGTCCACCATTGTCTGTAACGTGATCGATCTGAACTTCATGGGGCTCAAAGGAATGCATGTTACCCTCGAATGTCTCGAAAATACCTCTGAGATCATTACCGAATTCGAGGCACAAACAGATGAAGATGGCAGAATCACGCAATGGTATCCTAAGGGGGATGACGTGCCGAAGATTGTGGATACTCGCGACTTTAATATCATAAACATGATATTTTTCACAGCCGAATACTTCGAGCACAGAAAGACGCCCTTGGCAACTGCGACCGGGCATATGGATACAATCAATCACATCCACTCTGTTACAGTCCAATTTGGGGCGGGTGACACAGCATACAGCTTGAGTCAAGTAAAAATCCCGATTGCCTGTCCTCCAGGCCCAGCTACATCGAGAACTTCATCAGTATGTCCTTATCGCTGGCCCTCGACGTCACACGAAACCAATATAGCAAGGATTGACAGCATCAGCCATCTTCATCAGAAAGTCAGATCATTGCGCTCCGAGCCACGTTGGGCCGAGCCTGACACCACTGTTATAGAGTTAGTGAGAAAAAGGAGGTTAAGCCTCGGTAATTCTGAGGAGCCGCCCGAGAAGAGGCGTAAACTAAACTTAACGGGGGAATCATTTGAAATCATTTTATAGCTTCATGTTCGTACTTAATAATATTTCATCTTCTTTTCTATTTATATTTAGTAAGACTTTCATTGAATTTATAATATACTATAATTCAATTAATATAGAACTTTGTTAGAAGCTATCGACTCTCGACTCCGCAAACGGCACGTTGGAGAATGCCTCCCTGTGCGTAGCTTCCCCAGGCCTACCTGGCAATTCTTGTGCAGAATCTTCCGCGGTGGTGTCCTTGGTAACGTCCATCCCTGCGTAACGAGCCACCCTGCGTGGCCAGCCAAAATGCAGATACTTCGTCTTCAACACAACCTCCACTTCGCCTACACAAATGTATTTGATTAAATTTACATGCATTCTATCCTTCGGTTATTTGGAAGCCCTGGGCCCTTTCTTAGGCAAATATTACGCTGGCGTCGTCGCGTGGTCGCACAGGTTAAGACTAGCACTGTTTCGTCGCGGTATGATACCTGTCCAATAAAACTCCACTACTGGGCTCCCACCACTCAAAATACTCATTACGAGACAGTATCAAACTCCTACGTGCTAAATTCTATAGTAGATAATTATGCTCGAATCTGTGGCTGCCGTGGAAAGGTAACTCATCCAACACCGACATGCCGATCGGTACCTCTGGATGTATAGGGCACGATTCTGGCTAGCGCCAAATCAGGGCTCCCCTGTCTGTGGCTGATCAACGTGTGGCAGTACAGATATCAGCACATGATTCCATTAATCCCAATCTGAACAAAACCGCCGACCAAGACCAACCCTTAAAAGTATGATGATGAATGTCAATTTTATGTCCGTCCCAGACCTTAGGTAGGTCTATGCAGACAATCTCTATGCAATGGTCTATGGTACACGCCTGTGGCACGGGAGGGTCCCGCCCAAGTCCTTCCTGCGTGCTCCCGCGCCCCCTGCTCGGTGGTCCGAGCGTTTTTTGTCTCCCCCGACGCGCTAAAAACCCGCGCCGTAAAAATTCTGCCTTTACGCGTTTCGTCTATCTAACTATAATTCTATCTATTCAAAAAAAGCGAATAAAAAGTGAAAATAAGAGCTCGTGGCGACGAAGAGAATAACTACGGGACGTCGTAAAGGGGTCGTTTATAGCCGGCAGAAGCTCTTGGCACAAAAGAGAGAGAAGGGGGGGGGGGGGGGGGGCGCAGGGGGCGCGTGATCTGGGTTGGGCGGCTCCAGCTTGACAGGCCGCGACGCTGAGTCCTAAGCTGGGTGTGTGGGAGCTGCCTTCGGCGGCAGCAGGATGGCTCCTCTATGGTACAGTATGCGGAATCCACCAGCGTTGTGCTGCTGCTGGTGTGTGGTGGCTCTGGACGACGCCCTCGAACCCCGTACGATCCGTCGATTCGCCGGTAACGACCCGGGTCCTCGAACGGAATGCCTATAGGTGGCCGGTGTGCGTGGCGTGTGTCGGTAGTGGCTGTCGTGCTACGTATGGCTTCTTCTTTTACCGTTATTTGCACTCCTCCGGCCCCGGGCCTTCGACGGCAGCGTGGGTAAACTGCCCAAGAAGGCCTGTACGTAGGACGAAAATAGCGGCGGTTCTGGCTCTCTTCGGGTGATCCCATATCACCGAGGTGCCCGTGGGGGGGGGTCCGGTGCCGTTCCAGTCGGAGTCTGGCCGCGACCAGAGCTCGTCTCGTAGGGCGTTGAATCTGCGGCAGCTGATAAGGACGTGGCGTACCGTCTGGCGGCCGTCGCCGCATTCACACATAGGTGAGTCTGTCTTTTTAATAGTCCATAAACAGTCCCGCAGGCCGATTTTCCCGGTACGCATCTGGAAAAGGGCTGCGGCGACCGCCCGTTTAAGGCCTTTGCATTAATAGAGGGTCTGTTTCTCGGGGTGCTATTGGTATCCGTAGAGTACCCTGCCCGAATCCGCGACTTCCCATTCGTCTCTCCAGCGGCGGAGAGTGACTTTTTCGCCAGCATTCGCTGCGAGGCCAGGGTGGTGTAGAGCCCTGGGGTGTCGTCCGTATGGGTCCGGTCCGGGTGGCCACATTCGTCAGGTATTCGTTGTGCCGCATCTTTGGCCAGCTCGTCGGCTGCCTCGTTTCCTAGCACCCCCTTGTGGGCTGGAATCCAGTGGATATGTATCGTCGTCTCCCGGGCCTTAAGTTCCGCAGTAAGTTTGGCGATTTTCCGGAGGATAAACTGGCCGGACTGGTTCCCTGGGTGGGCCGCCGAGGAGATGGCGGCCTGGTTATCCGTGAAGATATCGATCCTCCGGAACGTGGCTCTTTTGGAGCGCTGTTCCAGGGCAATTTCGAGGGCCATCTGAACACCTAAGAGCTCCGCCAGATAAACCGTAGATTGCTGGAGTGTGCCGAGGTAAGCGGTCCGTTGACATTGTGTCCGTGCCGTTGGCTGTTTCGGCTGGAAAGCTGCGGCGCCAACGCAGCCCTTATACCCACTGCCATCAGTATAAAATATCAGGGAGCGTTCTGCAAATTTATCCCAGATTAGCTTATGGTGCGCTTGCCCTGCCTCTTTGCCCGACGCTTTAAAAGCGCTGCCGCCCTGCCACCACGGTGGCACGACGTAGGGCTCGATAACCTCCCAGGGCAGGCTGGGTCTTGTGGTAGACCGCGTAGTGCTGTATAAGCCGTGACAGCGGCGACCTCCAGTGGGCCGCCCGGCCCACGTCCCGCTCCGACGTTCCTAGGCCGTGGGTTAGGGGGTTAGCCCTTAACCGTAGATAGGCCTTATGATTTGCCAGCAGGAGCTGCTGCTCGATTGGCAGCACGTGCATCTCCAGCGCCTGGGCCAGTCCCGCGGTGATCTTGATCCCCCCAGTAACCGCCAGCAGGACCTCCTTTTGGAGGTCCTGAAGGACTCGAAGATGCTTCGCCGTGGCTCCCCACACGGCGGGCTTTAATGTGCGGCTGGTACCACACCGTGTTGCAGTACGTAATCTGCGGGACTATAATGGCCTGGTAGAGCTGCCGGAGCTGCAGCGTGCCACACCCCCAGTCCCCGCCAGCGAGGGATTTCAGAGCCCGTATAGATTTCTTGACCTTCGCCACCACTTCGTCGATATGGTGATCCCACGACAGGTCTAGGTCGAGTCAGACCCCTAGGTGCCGCAGCTTATAGGTAGGCTGCTTCGGTTCGGTGCCGGGGAGGTGGAGGCATTCCTCCGGAGGACTTTCAGCTGCCGTGCCAGCCTTTTTGGTCCTGAAGTGCATCAGCTCGTATTTTTCCGGCGCAAAAACGCAGCCATAACAGGTCGCCCACGCGGCCGCCCGATCGTGGATCCGTTCCAGGGCCCTGCAATTTTCTGCTGCTGAATCCCCTACCACCAGGATCCCTATATCGTCCACCCACGCTGTCGTGCTTACGAGAGGTCGTCCAGGAGCGACGGGCACGCCCCCGGTCTCGCCGGGATCCGTCCCAGACGGCCCGCTGGGGGTGGTGCCTTTGACTATTTCATCTAAGAGATCCGCGTTATAGAACAGCCAGAGGAGCGGGGACAGCGAGTTGTTACTTTGAAAGGATGCGTAATGCTCTTTTCAAGGCATCTCGGCGTCGCTCTTTGGGGACTTGCTGTGGCGCCACTGTATCTGCACTCATTAGGCAAATTCCTAGCCGGGCATCTTTATCATAACTCACCATATATCCTCTGATTTACATCCAGTAACTTCTTGTGAAGTAATCGTACGTGTTCATGTTGGGGTCCAAGCAGTGCCTCTAGATTGTCGTATGCGCGTTGATAATACGCCCTCGACTCAGGTAATTTGCCCTGATCTCGTAGCAGGGCCCCATATCCCCACATAGCATTTATTGCTGGCCGGAATCTGGCAATATGCTGAGGTGTTACGGTCTTCTCATACCCTTGAAGCGCCCGCAAGTACATCTTCTCGGCCTCTTGCATCTGGCCTTGGCCCGAGTAAAGTGCGCCTAGGTTGTTGACCGTGCCGAGTGTCGACGTGTGATCCGGGCCCCACGTCTTCTCGTACCCTTGAAGCGCCCGCAAGTACATTCTCTCGGCCTCTTGCATCTTGCCTTGGTCCGAGTAAAGTGCACCTAGGTTATTGACCGTATCGAGTGTCGACGTGTGATCCGGGCCCCACGTCTTCTCGTACCCTTGAAGCGCCCGCAAGTACATTCTCTCGGCCTCTTGCATCTTGCCTTGGTCCGAGTAAAGTGCACCTAGGTTATTGACCGTATCGAGTGTCGACGTGTGATCCGGGCCCCACGTCTTCTCCTTCCCTTGAAGCGCCCGCAAGTACATTCTCTCGGCCTCTTGCATCTTGCCTTGGTCCGAGTAAAGTGCACCTAGGTTATTGACCGTATCGAGTGTCGACGTGTGATCCGGGCCCCACGTCTTCTCGTACCCTTGAAGCGCCCGCAAGTACATTCTCTCGGCCTCTTGCATCTTGCCTTGGTCCGAGTAAAGTGCACCTAGGTTATTGACCGTATCGAGTGTCGACGTGTGATCCGGGCCCCACGTCTTCTCCTTCCCTTGAAGCGCCCGCAAGTACATCTTCTCGGCCTCTTGCATCTTGCCTTGGGCTTTGTAAAGGAGACCTAGGTTGTTGACCGTATCGAGTGTCGACGTGTGATCCGGGCCCCACGTCTTCTCCTTCCCTTGAAGCGCCCGCAAGTACATCTTCTCGGCCTCTTGCATCTTGCCTTGGGCCGAGTAAAGGTTCCCTAGGTTATTGACCGTATCGAGTGTCGACGTGTGATCCGGGCCCCACGTCTTCTCGTACCCTTGGAGCGCCCGCAAGTACATCTTCTCGGCCTCTTGCATCTTGCCTTGGGCCGAGTAAAGGAGACCTAGGTTATTGACCGTATCGAGTGTCGACGTGTGATCCGGGCCCCACGTCTTCTCCTTCCCTTGAAGCGCCCGCAAGTACATCTTCTCGGCCTCTTGCATCTTGCCTTGGGCTTTGTAAAGGGTCCCTAGGTTGTTGACCGTGTTGAGTGTCGACGTGTGATCCGGGCCCCATGTCTTCTCGTACCCTTGAAGCGCCCGTAAATACATTTCTTCAGCCTCTTGCATCTTGCCTTGGGCTTTGTAAAGGTTTCCTAGGTTGTTGACCGTATCGAGTGTCGACGTGTGATCCGGGCCCCACGTCTTCTCCTTCCCTTGAAGCGCCCGCAAGTACATTTCTTCGGCCTCTTGCATCTTGCCTTGGTCCGAGTAAAGGTTCCCTAGGTTATTGACCGTGTTGAGTGTCGACGTGTGATCCGGGCCCCACGTCTTCTCGTACCCTTGAAGCGCCCGCAAGTACATTCTCTCGGCCTCTTGCATCTTGCCTTGGTCCGAGTAAAGTGCACCTAGGTTGTTGACCGTATCGAGTGTCGACGTGTGATCCGGGCCCCACGTCTTCTCCTTCCCTTGAAGCGCCCGCAAGTACATCTTCTCGGCCTCTTGCATCTTGCCTTGGTCCGAGTAAAGTGCACCTAGGTTGTTGACCGTGTTGAGTGTTGACGTGTGATCCGGGCCCCACGTCTTCTCGTACCCTTGACGCGCCCGCAGGTACATCTTCTCGGCCTCTTGCATCTTGCCTTGGGCTTTGTAAAGGAGACCTAGGTTGTTGACCGTATCGAGTGTCGACGTGTGATCCGGGCCCCACGTCTTCTCCTTCCCTTGAAGCGCCCGCAAGTACATCTTCTCGGCCTCTTGCATCTTGCCTTGGGCCGAGTAAAGGAGACCTAGGTTATTGACCGTATCGAGTGTCGACGTGTGATCCGGGCCCCACGTCTTCTCCTTCCCTTGAAGCGCCCGCAAGTACATCTTCTCGGCCTCTTGCATCTTGCCTTGGGCCGAGTAAAGGTTCCCTAGGTTGTTGACCGTGGAGAGTGTCGACGTGTGATCCGGGCCCCACGTCTTCTCGTACCCTTGGAGCGCCCGCAAGTACATCTTCTCGGCCTCTTGCATCTTGCCTTGGGCCGAGTAAAGGAGACCTAGGTTATTGACCGTATCGAGTGTCGACGTGTGATCCAGGCCCCACGTCTTCTCCTTCCCTTGAAGCGCCCGCAAGTACATCTTCTCGGCCTCTTGCATCTTGCCTTGGGCCGAGTAAAGTGTACCTAGGTTGTTGACCGTGGAGAGCGTCGACGTGTGATCCGGGCCCCACGTCTTCTCGTACCCTTGAAGCGCCCGCAAGTACATCTTCTCGGCCTCTTGCATCTTGCCTTGGTCCGAGTAAAGTGCACCTAGGTTGTTGACCGTGGAGAGCGTCGACGTGTGATCCGGGCCCCATGTCTTCTCCTTCCCTTGAAGCGCCCGCAAGTACATCTTCTCGGCCTCTTGCATCTTGCCTTGGGCCGAGTAAAGGAGACCTAGGTTATTGACCGTATCGAGTGTCGACGTGTGATCCGGGCCCCACGTCTTCTCCTTCCCTTGAAGCGCCCGCAAGTACATCTTCTCGGCCTCTTGCATCTTGCCTTGGTCCGAGTAAAGTGCACCTAGGTTGTTGACCGTGGAGAGCGTCGACGTGTGATCCGGGCCCCACGTCTTCTCGTACCCTTGAAGCGCCCGCAAGTACATTTCTTCGGCCTCTTGCATCTTGCCTTGGGCTTTGTAAAGGGTCCCTAGGTTGTTGACCGTGGAGAGCGTCGACGTGTGATCCGGGCCCCATGTCTTCTCGTACCCTTGAAGCGCCCGCAAGTACATTCTCTCGGCCTCTTGTATCTTGCCTTGGTCCGAGTAAAGGAGCCCTAGGGAGTGGAAAGCCCAAGCTAACTCATCGTCTCCACTCTGTATTGTCGCAGAACACGTCATCGCATGTGCCAAAAGCCTTTTTTGAAGCAGCCAGAACTGATCGTCTTCTTGTGACGGCACCATTGATGCTATGCATTCCAACGCAAGCTTATTTAGACTATCATCTCCACCCTGATTCAATATATGAATCGTCCAAGAGTGCAGGCAAGCATGGATGCTATATCCCCGGGATCCACCCACGCCTGGACTAGTGCCGTGTGGCTCACAAAATCCGTAGCTATGCAACATGCCCATCGCGCTATTGAAGCTCAATTCGTCCTTCAGGTCCACCATCCACGATGGTCCGTTATCGCTGCGTGGCTGCAATAGTTCAAACCACACGTCTTCGTTGTCAAAATAGGCCCACCATTGGAGTAAATGAGCAGCCAGTGGATTTTGCTCTTGTAGGTGTTTGTATGAGACTTGCCACGTAGAGGAAAGTGTGCGGTCTTGGTACGATCCCAGGCTCGGTGTGCTGGAGTGGAGCCTCGCCCAGGAACTTTGATAGAGCCGAAGATAATCACTGACGGTGATTGCAGCGTGCCTGATGTAGGCCCCAGCCGTGGCAAGCGCAAGCGGGAGACCATCGAGCTCTTCGACAAGCCCTTTTGCATCCATGTCTATGGCAATGATTAGCCAAGCCTAGCGATTTACGGGAATCTTACCATCGAGCGGAATGGTTCGGCCTGACGTTTCTGATAATACTTTAAGACAGTCATATATCGATTCAAGCTTTTTGATCTGGATACGATGACCTATATCGACCTGTGATAACCGCGTCGTGATTACGATCGACCCTTGGTACGAGGATGGAAGAAATCGATGGATGTCTATCCCTCTGTCATTGCTATGATTGGTCAACCTTGGATTATCGTAGTTGTCGTACACAGCAAGCCACCTGGTGTTCCCCGGCAAGCTGAGCCATGCCTTCACAGCTTCGATCATATGATCGTTGTTCTGCAAATCTAGGCCTCTGAGGTGACTCGCATTGGGGTGCTGCTGCAAAATCTGCGTCGCGACTCTGGTAAAGCTGAGTTGTATCGATGCTTCATCTTTAATATTAAACCAGAATATGGCAGAGTACTCGTCTCGGAATCGCTTCATATAAGCCACGGCAAGCTGCGTCTTGCCAATGCCGCCGAGGCCGTGCAGGACAACAACGCGACGGCTACCATCTGAGCTTAGTGTCCTGCGCATTTCTGCGATTTCATTCTCTCGTGCGACGAAATCCTGAGATTCGGGGACTGCAGATAGGCTGAAAGGGAGAGAGAAGTCGTCAGCCCGTGATCCTGTATATGTTAGATATTCTGCCATTTCTTAATCAGTCACTGGATTCTTACCCTTTACTCTTTTCTGGACCTCTTCTCGCAGCCGTTGCTGTGCGTTGTCTCGCCCTTCACCGTAGATAAGCGGCAGGAACACGTCGAATATGCCCAGCAACGAATATGCCACGTCCTCCTCACGTGTCGTCTGGCGGCCGCGAACCCATGCTTCTCGTTCTGCAACCGTAAAGTCGGATAGAGGCGCACCACGGAGCGCATTCGCAGGAATGCCTGTAATGTCGCGAACCAACGGCTCTAGTGTGTGTTTATCTCCTAGCCAAGACTTCTCTTTCGAATAGAACTCGACTGTCTCTGGGGCGATTAGCTCTTGTAGCGTCCATCCACGGGTAAACCATCGACTTTGTCGGAAAGCATCCTCCCATGGCGTTGTAGTGTGTTGTTGACTTGAGGCTATAATGCTAGAGACATCGGGCAGGTAGACGTAGCATCGTTCCGCGTTGTGGTACCATCGAAACATGCTATTAATCGCAGTCTGAAGCTCGCTGCTGTCAGACTTGTCGATGCAGCAGGTGTCAACCCAGAAGTACTGCAAACCGTCCCGGTTTGCTTGAATTGCGCAAAACTCGATCTTTTCAAAGCCCTGTTTGTGTTGCCAATCACCTGGCACTTTTGTAAGATCGGAGAAGACTACCTCGTCAGGGCCCCAAGTGTGTGAAAGGATCGCATACGCGGGGACATCGTTGGGAGGAAGGTCGGGGGTCAGGCTGTAAGTGCCTATATCGTTACACTGTAGCAGCCGCATTACAAGATCGCAAATATATCACCCAGAGATACTTAAAGCCGATGAAATCATGTTTGGCTTGACGGCTACGGTTCGTGGAATGATAAAGGCATCTTCGTTGTCGCGAATACACTGGTCAGCGAGGCTTGCAGCAGGCCGCAGCTGCGGGGTACGATGGACTCAGCCGCAAGGCCTTCAGTCATACAGAACAGCAACCCCATTCATATGTGCTATTTTCCCTTCATGCGTACAGTTCTTGACTGATATTCGACATCTTGCGAATGAGAAGGCTCTCTGGCGTGTTGTTAATTAGACCAGGAACTGGAAATTGGGTTTGGGGAAAAAAAGCAGTGTTGGGAACAGAACGGGCGACACTAAGTCGCTGGCATCTCGACAAGCGCCACACGTTTATCAGCCACAGACAGGGGAGCCCTGACTTGGCGCTAGCCGGAATCGTGCCCTTTCCATCCAGAGGTACCGATCGGCATGCTGATGTTGGATGAATTACCCTTCCACGGCAGCCACAGACTCGAGTATAACTATCTATTATAAAATCTAGCACAAAGGAGCTTTGAATTTTCTATTAACGAGTATTTTGAGTGGCGGGGAGCCCGGTGGTGAGGTTTTATCGGACAGGTATTATGCTGTGACAGAACGGTGCCGGTCTTGACCTAGGCGACTACGCGACGGCGCCGGCGTAATATTTGCCTAAAAACGGCCCAGGGCTTCTAGATAAGTCAAAGAATCGAACTTGTATGAATTTCAGGAAATATATCTATGGAGGCGTGGTGGAGGTTGTGTTGAAGACGAAGTACTTGCGTTTTGGCTCGGCACACAGGGTGGCTCGCTACGCAGGGATGGACGTTAGTTCTCACACTTGATTATTGTTATCTTCTTTTCATATACTCGTGAGACCCGCTGGCGGAGAAGAGCCGAAATCTCTGGGTTGGTCGTCTAAAGCTGACATGCCATGTAGCCGTGCCTTTTGCAGGGTCTACTCCGTGGCGGGAGATCGGAACATCTGTCGGCGTGCTTCCGGTCTGCGCGATCACCTCTTCGATGACCATCTCGGGTGTGACTATCTGTTGAGTTCTTTGTAGATAGTCTACTATCGCCCCCGGTACTCCTGGGACGATGTAGCTGATCCATGTTTCTGGGAGTTCTACCGCCTCCGCTTGGAGGGCTCTGTTAAGGCGGGGCTTGTTCTCTGGTCCCATGACTTTGTCCCGGAGCTCTGCCGTGGCTAGCTTGATCGCAAAGCCGGTTACGGTCGGTTTCGCGTCCGGAATGTCTTTAAGCGTTCGCTGGAATTCTGATACTACCGCCTGCCGGACGGCATACGGCTGTATGGCTCGCGCAGTCGGTGTGGCAGGCATCCTGATCAGGATTCTTAAGTCCTCTTGTGGCGCAGGCGTTGATGTTCTGGTCTCCGTAGTTTGAGCAGTCGAGTGTTGGCTCGGCGTGCTCTTCATGTTAGTGGTCGGAGGCGTTACCCTCGCTCGTCCGCCCTTTTTCGGGCCTTTTGCCACCGTGGCCCACGTCTGATTTGCGGGGTTTTCTTTAGGTCGGTTGTGGCTTCCCGAACCTGATTCCTCGGACTCTTGTGTCTGCTCTGGGCTGCTCTCAATCCTAATGGACGCGTATAGGTGCCCATCGGTCTCTGCAAGTACTGTCGTGTTGAGATGCCTCGCTAGGACGTTGACGAGCTCTCTTACCGTCCTGCGCTGGGTGCTGAGGTGATCTCCCTGGAAGGACTCAACGAAGCCGTCGAGTGTTCCTGCCAGCTTCGTGATCACTTCTTCTTGACTCTGAGGCCTCTCTCCACTTGAGCTAGTTGGCCTGTCATCATTGACTGGACCATCTGTTCCATTCCAGCGGCCTTCCTAGGTAATTTCACGGGGACCCTGATGCTCAGGGTCTTGGCCTTCTTCCGCTGTTTGATGTTGTCATTTGATGGCGTGTTTGGCCCTGTTTCGCGGGTGTGATGGGCCTGTTCCTCGGCCGGCGGGCCTCCCTTGGGGCACTTGACGTGCTAGGCTAAAGTCTATGATATGCTACTTAGGAATCTCCGTCTACAATCGACTTCATAGACCCCCCTTTTCACTAACCTCGTCTATCTAGCAGCTTCTCCGCCTTATAGCTTGTGTTCTTGGATCCTTCTACCCTCGCCGGTTAGGGCAGCGTAGCCCGATAGTTCTACGCAGGTGTGAAAATCCTATCTAGATCGAAGGCCGCCTGCTTGCGGGCTCCATATTATGGTCTCTTATCCAACTCTTTTTAGTGTCGGATGTATGCGAGGAAGACTCTGTCGGGCTCTGCGGTGGAGAGCGTCGCACTGTCGAGCCTGTGCCTGTTAACGACTGGCACGAGCCGGGTTAAGTAGACCGTAGCGGGATTCGAACCTACTTGCTCTCGTTGGCCACCACCATAATGAGAGCACCGCCAAGCGCACTTAACCACTGCGCCATACGGGTTCCAGGGTATCAGTGAAGGAATGAATGGATATAATAAGGATTGGATATCCTACTCTACATAGACAGTCATTACTTCAGTGATCAATCTAAGCATCTATCTTACCCATAGGTGAAGCTAAAGCTTTGACGACTACACTTCTGAATCTCTATTGCTCAGTATATTCTGAAGGTCTATCTCTATAGTCTTCTCTTTGCGGCTAGCATATCCTGTTAGCATAAACCCCCTTGCATTATATTATTTGTGGTTGTGCAACCCGATAGTATAATCGTCACAACTTGGTGGAAATGCGTAGGACTCTTTTCAAGACATCTCGGCGTCTGCTTTTCAAGGCTGGTTGGGGAGCTGTCGTATCTGCAATTATTATTAGACGATCATGCATTGTCTAGCTTCTAGACATTAACTTACTAATAATGTTCTGGTTTAGGTCTAGTATAATTTTATGCAGTGATTGAACGTCGTGATGTTGGGATCCTAGGAGTGCCTTGAGATTGTCGTAAGCGCGTTGATAATATGTCCTCGCCTCGACTGGTCTACCCTGTTTCCCCAATAAGGCCCCAAAGCCCCACATTGTATTGATTGCTGACCGATATCTGGCGATATGTTGGGGCCCTATAGCCTTCTCGTACCCTCGAAGCGCCCGCAAGTACATCTCCTCCGCCTCTTGCATCTTGCCTTGGGCTTGGTAAAGGTTCCCTAGGTTGTTGACCGTGGAGAGTGTCGACGTGTGATCCGGTCCCCACGCCTTCTCGTACCCTCGAAGCGCCCGCAAGTACATCTCCTCCGCCTCTTGCATCTTGCCTTGGGTTTTGTAAAGGTTCCCTAGGTTGTTGACCGTGGAGAGTGTCGACGTGTGATCCGGTCCCCACGCCTTCTCGTACCCTCGAAGCGCCCGTAAGTACATCTCCTCAGCCTCTTGCATCTTGCCTTGGTCGGAGAAAAGGAGACCTAGGGTACCGAAAGCCCATTCTAAGCCCTCACCGCTATCTTGCATTATGGCGCAAGACTTTATGGCATGTGCTAGTAGTCGTCTTTGAAGTAGCCAGAATTGAGCGTCTTCCTGGAATGGAACACGTGAGGCTATGCACTCTATCGCTAGTTTACTAAGACAGTTATCCCAATCCTGATTCAGAATGTGAGTTGTCCAAGAGTGCAAGCATGCGTGAATACTGTATCCCCTTAACTCGATCACGTCTATACTAAGACTATGTGGCTCGACAAAGCCGTAGTCATGTAGTATGCCCATTGCGCCATTAAAGTTTAGCTCATCATTTAGCTTACACATCCACGATGGGACGTCGTCTCCGTACGGCTGGAGGAGTTTGAACCACACGTCCTCGTTGTCAAAATAAGCCCACCATTGAAGTATACGGGCAGCCAGTGGATTTTGTTCCAGCACTTGATCGTATGAGACCCGCCACGTGGAGGAGAGTGTGCGGTCTTGATATGATCCTAGGCTGGGAGTGCTTAAGTGAAGCCTCGCCCACGACCTCTTGTATAGGCGAAGATAATCACTAGGGCTGATCGGAACATGCCTAAGGTATGCTCCAGCTGTGGCAAGAGCAAGAGGAAGCCCGTTAAGCTCCTCTACAAGACGTCTAGCATCCGTGTCTATGGTCGTAATTAGTCGAGCCTAGCAATTTGCGAGAACCTTACCATCTTGCAAAACGTCTCGGTCCGACATCGTGGACAAGATTCTGAGACAGTCATCCATTGATTCAAGCTTTTGAATTCGAATACGATTACCTATATCGACTTGTGACAACCGCGTCGTGATTATGATCGAGCCTTGGTACGATGTGGGAAGAAAACAATGAATGTCGACCCCTGTGTTATTGGCGTGGTTGGCCAAACTCGGATTATCGTAATTGTCGTAAACCATAAGCCACCTAGTGTTACCCGGCAGGCTGAGCCATGCCTTAACCGCTTCGATCACCTCCCCGTGGTCTTGCTGTAGATCAAGTGCACTTAGGTAGCTAGCATCAGGGTGCTGTTACAGAATCTGCCTCGCTACTTTGGTAAAGCTCTGTTAAATCGACGCTTCGTCTTTAATGTTGAGCCAGAACACCGCAGAGTATTCGTCTCGGTACCTCTTCGTATATGCTACGGCAAGCTGTGTCTTGCCAATCCCACCGAGACCGTGGAGAACAACGACGCGGCGGCTGCCGTCTGAATCTAGTGTTCTGCGCATCTTCGCAATTTCGCTCTCTCGTGCGACGAAATGTTGAGTTTCGGGAACCTCAGACAGGCTAAAGGATACAGAGAAATCGTTTGCACGGGTTCCTAACCATGTTAATCTCTGAGTCTGCTGTCCACAGGTCGCCAAGGTCATCTTACCCTTGACCGCTTTCTGGACCTTCCTTCGCAGCCGTTCTTGTGCCTTCTCTCGACCTTCGCCATAGATGAGTGGCATGTGAACGTCAAACATCCCAAGCAGTGAATACACCATGTCCTCCTCAACTGTTGTTTCGCGGCCGCGCACCCATGCTTCTCGTTCTGCATAGTAAAGTTGGACAAGGGCGTACCACGGAGCGCGCTCGTAGGAATTCCTGTAACGTCGCGTATCAAGGGCTCCAGTGATTCTTTGTTTCCTAAAGAAACCCCTTCTTTTGAATAGAAATCGACTGTTGATGGGGCGATTAGTTCTTGCAGTGTCCACCCACGTCGGAACCATCGACTTTCTCGAAACGCATCCTCCCATGGCGTGACTGGTTGCTGTCGATCGGAATGCCCAGAGCTAGAGACATCACTCAAGTAGACGTAACATCGTTTCGCATCGCGGTACCACCGGAACATGCTGTTAATCGCAGTCTGAAGCTTGATGCTGTCCGATTTGTCGATACAGCAAGTGTCGACCCAGAAGCATCGCAGCCCATCTCGCCTCGCTTGCTCAGCACAGAACTTGATCTTCTCATAACCCTTTTTCTGCTGCCAGTCGTCGGGTATCTTCGCGAGGTCGTCAAACACTACCTCGTCGGGCCCTCAGGTGTGGGACAGGATCGCGTATGCGGGAACTTCGTCGGGAGCGAGGTCGGGAGTAAGGCTGTAGTTACCTGCATTGTCGCGCTGCAACACTCGCATCGCAAGGTAGGAACGGAATTACCGGAAGACCCCTAGGACTGATAAAACTATGTTTGTCTGGATGGCCACAGTTCATAGGATGAGGGAGGCATTGTTTCCGTTGTCGCGAATGTACTGATCAGCCAGGCTTGCACCAGGCTGGCACCAGGCTGCAGCTGCGGGGTAGGGACGAAGACTCAGTGACAAGGCTGCAAGTCGCACAAAGCAAGCCTTCCGTTGATGCAGTGCAGGCATTCTCTGTGATTTGCATGACGCCGTTTTCAAATCGGCCATACTGAGAGTCGTGAACATTGTGGGGAAAGGAAGCAGCTGTGCATTCGCGCGCCCGCAACGGTTTCAACACCGCGGCCCCACGCTGTACCCGTATTACTGCCAGAACTAGCTTCTGACATTCTTGATCGCGGTAAGCGGAGGTTTCTTCTGAATAATACTTTTGACATCGGGCGGTGGATTCGTTCTAATGGGGGATGACGGAATCACGTGTTAATATCTGTACCGTGCCCTGACTTGCGCTAGTCCTTTTCCATCGACAAGGTACCGATCGGTATATCGATGTTGTATGCATTGCCCTTCACTGCGGCCACAGATTCGATCACGACTTTTGAATATGAAAATGCGGACGAGGGGGGTCGGGGGGTCAGAAACTGTCCTGTGATGGGTATTACGATTGGCGAGAGCCCAATGGTGGGGTTGTATTGGATAGGTCGTGAATAGCGACGGAAAGATGGTGGTCTCAAGCTACGCGATTACGCGACGGCGCGGGCGATTTTGCTTAGACTGGGGCTCAAGGTGTCTAGATAGCAAAGGAATCGAATTTACACAAATTTGAGCAATTGCATTTATTGGGGGGAGGTGGAGGTTGTGTTAAAAACGAAGTATCTGCATTTTGGCTCGACACACAGGGTGGCTCGCTACGCGGGGGTGGACGTTATCTTACCTATAGGTGAAGCTCACGCTTTGACGACTACACTTGTGAATCTCTATTGCTCAGTGTACTCTAAAGGTCTATCTCTATAGTCTTCTCTTTGCGGCTAGCATATCTTGTTAGCATAGCCTGTTAAATTATTTGTATTTTATAACCAAATAGTGCAATTGTCAAATTAAAGCGTTATATTTATCAAGATATCATAACATAATAACAGATATAATATAAGTAGCTTCTTGACGCGAATTATTTTTATAAATCAGGTACTAAAGACCACTGCGTACGCTTATTAGTAAACATATGAAATGTAACGCAATCTTATTCAGTTCTCGAAACCCCCGTTAGAAAAGAAATGAGATCGTCTCAAAGTCCAACTCCAGATGGCGGCACCACACCAGACCCTCTGTAGAAATTGGCGGCATATTGTATTCCTATCTCGTCTGGCAATTTTATGACTTGTTGTCTTTGCTGCCTTGGCACAGGTCCTTGGCCGACCAGATAGCGCTGCAAGTAGAACAGGCCATCCGTAATTGCCCTTGAGAATTTTGCATCAAGAACTGACTTGGAGAACACGTAATATCCCTTCTTGTCTGGAAGACTCACAACCAAGTACGCGTATTTGTTATCCTCGCATACCCCCGACACAATAAGAGTCAAGTCATGCCACTTATAACCTTTCAAGTGTTCTTTCTTGCCAGTCATCAGATAACCCATGTTCTTTTGTTGAAATCGAGTACGTTCAGACTCATAGTCAGATCCTTTGACAAGAAATCCCCTCTGGTGGTTTACTGATTTTAAGGATGGCGCGATAACAAATAGGAATCCACGGAATTTTAGCATCCCCAATATTTTTGCTTCTAGTTTTCCGAACTCAGGACGGTCTGGGTCTTGTTCCAAGACAATGCGGTCGTAACTTGTCCCATCATCTATGATTTCTATAATTGGCGCAGGACCAAACTCTAGAGCTGCGGTAGTGGCTCGACCAGGTTCGACGCCGGTATTCCCACGCATTTGATCTATGAAACGATCCATTGCACGATCATCCTCTACCTTGACGGCGGGACTTTGTACCCGAGCAGGATGATCTATACCTCCCATACCTTCATCATGGGTGGGAGGCGGTAGCTGGTTGCCATTTTGAGCAACTCCCGTAGCTGTTGCAAAGGGATTTTCCGGACTAGGATGTTCTGTACCTCCCATATCTTCATCATGGGTGGGAGGCGGTAGCTGGTTGCCATTTTGAGCAACTCCCGTAGCTGTTGCAAAGGGATTTTCCGGACTAGGATGTTCTGTACCTCCCATACCTTCATCATGGGTGGGAGGCGGTAGCTGGTTGCCATTTTGAGCAACTCCCGTAGCTGTTGCAAAGGGGTTCTCCGGACTAGGATATTCTGCACCTCCCATATCTTCATCACGGTGAGTGGGAGGTGGTTGCTGAGTGCCATTATGGTCACTACTGTTTGGTGCGGGTGGCTGCTGATCAACTGGGGTTTGGGATGACATTTCAGGGACTTCAAATGATAAATGGTAATGAAATAAGAGATATAAAGATAGTATGATATTATAAGATCGATACGGTGGTCATATATAGTATGAGCTTTATATAATCCCAAGGCCCTAGGCATGTATCGAAAGAACACAAGTAATGTTAATTTAAAACCATGGGGGAAAAACAGAATAAAAACAACGGTTTAAATGTTAAAATGAAAAAGTAAATGCCTAAATGAAACCCTGATGCTCCTCATCACTTCGACCATGAACAGGTAAATTGGTAACATTTGGAGGAAAACTTTCGTATGCACTTCTCATCGAAAATTCGCTCAACTGGACATGATGCCGCCTGCTTAACATACGTAATGCACTATTCCGGATGAGATTCCTAAAATCATCGCCGCCGCAGCCTGACTAAAATTAGTCATTATTCAAAAGTTCAAGCGGCCTACAACGTACTGATAATTTGCGCTTCTCCTGAAAACGCGAAAGTCTCGCCTTCTTCTAGCTTCTCGACAATTAACTCAGCGCCAGACTTGGTATTGTAATAACAATGAACATATTCTGACGGCACAACCGTTGAAAATCCGGGGATACCATTTCGGGATGGATAGAAACAGCATATATAGACGATTGGCTTGAAACCCGGTATTATTAGCATGAATCCCGATTCATCGAAGTCTACTAACATGTTCTTTATCCAGTATTTGTAGCTTTTTGATGTGATCAGCTACCCACTCCTCTTGAGTGTTTTCATCTAGGCTCCAATACAGATCAATTCGTCTAGTTGAATCTCGGAAAAGAGATTTCGGACGGTCGTCTTTATGGACGGAGGGTTTGTGTGCTGATGAGTCCATTCCTATGGCTGGAGCATTTCTGTTCCAACCCGATGGAACTTGTGTCTGTGCCCGTTTCTCGGCATCATGTTTCTTTCGAGCAGTAATGAACATAGCGACTGTTAATGCACTGATAATTCCAGCGCCCCGTGCGGCTAAGAATATGTTTTCGTAATTTTCTGGGTGAGGGTTGTCGCTGTATGGTCCATCGATGAGTAGACCTTGACCTTTTTGGAGTCTCTCCAGTATCCACGAATGAGGATTTCTTGGGACTAAAAATGTAAATGATTCAGCACCTCTTTCAATCCAATCTTTACCCTCGCCGTCAGGGATCACGTAAATGGGTTGGCCTCTTGAAACGTCAAAAACGAAAGCGGACCGGCGACAGAAGACATAAATATACGCTCCTGGGGAAATCGGTATCCGTCGGGGCACGTGTGCGCGAATGCGAATCGTCCCTTGACGGGGCCAAACGTCTAAAACCTTGGCAGATGTGCTATAGAACAAAATTCGCCCCAGTCGGAAGATTGTCAACATAAGCCAGAGACTGGAGATAATTACTATCGCCACTTTTGTAACGGTTGACGAGGCCGGAAGAGTAATAATGTGCCAAAACGTGCTACTTAGAGCGCCCAGTGCAAATATCGTGTGCCAATCTGGCATTGCTAAGCTCGCTAAGAAATCCGGAAGCCGGAAGCAACTCAGCCTTTTCAGGTTTTGCATTGACCACGCCATCCATTTCAAGTTTAGAGCCCATTTGAGATAAAAGACTATCGAACAGGCTGTGGTTGCAATTGACTTTTGTGTGGTTAATGGTTAGTTATTGTGCATGACTTATGTGAAGCATACGTACGACGACTCCAGACAGGATAATGCTCCCAGCACGTGGACGCAACATCAACACGACGACGACGTGAAGTATGGCTTCCAAAGCAGCAACTCTACCAACCCATCGATGCACTGCGGCATACAAATCGCGGTCAATCTTGAACCAGTTGGCGAGTTGATGAGTTGAGCCGCTATAGTACAAAATACAGAAATTAGTCAGCGCGAGAATCGCAGCTCTTTGCTCTAGATCACGCTTGTTGGCTTCTATACCACGATGGCTAGGGTAGGAAAGGGACAGAGCCGAGATGTTTCCAGCAATGTACATGGCTAGTAGCACTGCTTGGAGCCGTGTTAAGTTGAACCATCGCCTCTGCACGAATATATATCGATAGCGCAAGTGTTGCAGAAAGAGTAGATGCAGCCACGATCCAGCATTGGAGGTAAATTTGATGTGAAGTAGGGAAAAAAGCATCAAGCTGATGATCCCACCAAGGATAGCAGCGTACCACTGAGTAGATTCCATCAGACCGGTATTGACGAAAGGTTGAGCAGACAATTCAGAGCACCAGTGGGGGATTCTCGTCGAAGAATGCGTGAGTTATGCTACAACCATCCGACTATCGTTTAATTTTGGAATCCCGCAAATGAGAACTGAGTGGCGTAACCCATGAGCGGACTCCTAAGCGCGGCACCATGCTCCGCGAAGTGGAGTTCCGTGAACGGCGGCAAATGTGATTCCCCACTACATAGAAGGTCCACTCCGATCCGTAGCCAGAGGCCGAAGCGCTAAATTGAGACCACTACAACCTGTCCACACCTCCGCCTCACAGTCCCGAAATAACCGGGGAAGCGCGCGCTTCGGGATTCAAGCTTCCATACACAACGTGACCATCAGCAGTAGGCTATTCTAATCCTCAAGAACAGCTCCATTCATCACTTATAAAAGCGCGTGGATGTGTCATTTTTCAGTGCACCCATACACCCATTAACACGTGTAATATCTTGTTCCTGCAGTTATTCGGAACCAAAACTCATTCGTACTGCATATATTTTGAGATTTGCTACTTCCAAAAATGCCTAAATCTGCAAATCGCAACAAGGACTATGCGCGAGGAGTCTCAAATCGAAAGAAAGGCCTCTTCAAGAAAGCAAACACGTTCTACAAATTCTACGGAGGAGAAATTGGTGTTTATATAAAACACAAAGGTCGAGTCGACACGTACGAGTCCGTGTCTGGAATTTTTCAAGCTATGCCATCTCGGATACATCGCACCGTTGGTCCAGATGACTTCGATACTGTCGCCGATAGGCATTTCACCCCGGAGTCTAAGGCTGACATGGACAACGAATCAACCGCTTCGTCAACATGCACGGAATCGACCGCTTTGTCAACATGCACGGAATCTCCGCAATCTAGCTCCTGTGGCGAAGAAGGAATGAGCCGAGAGTCCTCATTTACTGTCATGCCTGAAGATAGACTTGGAGTATCCGAGATGTCCGAGATGTCCGAGATGTTGTTTCCCTTGGATGAGACAAACTTATTGCGCTTTGAGCAGAACGAGCAGTCCATTTCTGAAATAGGACAGACTTGTGTATTTCCGTCCAGCCTTGTCACTACACCAACCCGTAAAGCTTCTAGCGATAGAGGCTCAGCTTGCAGCCCTCAAGTCCAAGGGGCTTATAAAAGTCAATCAAGAATTTTCTGTCCAACGCCGATGTCAGCTAGGACTGCTAAAGCTTTGCTAGACTTAGCGGGGAAGTGTTTTGAAAATTAATAACGCTGTATCTTCACAAAGAAAGACGGGAATGTCTCAAAAAAAATCTGCTAGGACGAGTTACTACTCAAAATACAATATTCTCAGTAGTGTATTGTAATACTTTCATGTTTCTTAAAAGGTGAAGAGGAAATTTTTATTTGTCTAGTTCAACGTGCATAGTGAAAACCGCAAAACTTACCATGCTTATAATAAGTTTCTTCTGTTCAGGGTATAATGACTAAAGTCATCACAGCAGAAAACAAGCACAATAGATATATCAATATGGGAAAATATAGGGCTTTGTATTTTTTTATTGAAGTTTCACATGGATAATGTTGCAACTATAACTCCCTACTTCATAACCGAGACCAACTAGTTACATACTGGCTATGTGCACAATGATCCGATGTATAAGCTAGATTGGACCGACAGCTGTAACTGCGGCAGCCATTGACACAACTTGTTGGTACACCATGAGCCAATTCATGTTTCGGGATGTGTGTGCCGTCTATATCCGAACTTAACTCAGCTAGTGGCATGTCATGTGAGGTGGAGAACCCGGCTGGGAGTTCATGAATGTCCGTTCCGAGATGACTTGCAGCTTAAAATTTGTCAGTTTGATTGGGATAGTTCAGATGGCAACAAAATCGCACAAGAGTTTGAAGTCAAACCGGTATGTTGATGAGCCTGGTTGCGAGACTTATGAAGCAGCACAAGCCAGATCGCCAAGAGGAGTATTGAGATCAATGCAACACCCAATCCAATTGCCAAGGATTTATGCAATTGAGGGGTGTCTTTTGTTTGAGGATTGTCATTGTCGGGCTTCACGGCTGTTGATTTCGGCAAAAACGCCGAAGCGATAGACGTTGCGGTTTCAGGGACAAAAAGTGTTGACGTTGCGAAGGATGTTGATCGAGCAGTGGGCGTAGGAACTGGTGAACTCACTTCTAAACAACCTTCTACGGCATCGCAGGGATCCCACGAGCAACATCCATAAAAACTATTTTTGTTGCAAGTGTAGAACGAGCTGCCAACGGGACAATCGGTGACGCTTCGAGAATATATCATTTCAGGGATTTGCTTGAGTATTTGCGTACAGCCAAATATGCCGGAATCTCCCTCTTTAGAAGAGTTCCAGTCCTTCTAGAGGGCAAACGAGAATACATGTCCAAATACTGGAACGGGCAAAGTGGGGTACGTCCGGGCCCCCGCCGCTAAATTTAGCATTCTTCGGCCAGTGGTAACACTAGGGTTAACAGCCAATTGCGGGATTGCGCCAGGCTCGCAAGAGACCTGCCAGAAATAAATGATAAGCCACGCATCGAGCGGCAGTCCTGAAATGATATCCTCATAAAGTCAGCGGCCGTTTCTTGTTTGACATGATATTATTTTAATTGCTCCTTTGTCCATTTTCCTATTCCCTACACCAATCCATCATCCTGTGGGCCTATTTGCTGACAATGCCTACATTTTCGTGTCGGGTTCAAAATTCGGACCATACCGGTATCCCATACACTATCGTGTATATAACATTCTTTTCTATCCAGGAGAACCAGTGGGCTCAGCTCAAGGGAATTACGGACCTGAATGGCAATATCCGTCTCTGGACGTACCATAATAAAAAAATGGAAACTTCTCACACTATACTCCAACCGTCAATTACGCAAGGTATCATTACTCTTGCTGCAGACAACAGATTCAATCCACCAATAGCTCAGGACATTGGGATCGAGCTCTGGCGCTATGGGTCGTATTCGATTGTCTTCGAGCTCAGTGAAAGTCTCCAGAAATGTACCGTTCAGCGATCATTGAACAAAAATGGATTTGTACCGTATCTCGAAAATTATAAATTTCATGCAGCCGATAAAGGTGGACCATCAAAACTACTGCCATCAATTATGATCCAGGAACCCTCAGAACTGCCATGCTCAGAAGACTCGAGACCGCCGTCTCCATCTGCCCTGCCACCACCATTGCTTCCGGATATTATTCAGAGGCGAAAAGATGTTACCAGACTTAGTGCTAGTCAGACTTGGTTATAATAAGTCCTGAGTGCGCAACTGCGGAAATTGTTTCAACCAGTGCAAAGCCGACTAGTGTGGTTATTCTTAGATAGCTCTTAGTCAGTAATGAAGTCTCTTGATCTTAGAGTTTCGTATCCCAAAGACCTTGACATCAGGGTTAGTGAACATATTTTCTTTATTTCCATATACGCTGCGAGCACCTCTTGTCCTGTAGCTAGCAAGTCCCTCATTGTTAGTTTAAGTAGACCAACGCCACACCTGTTTGAGATGGATCGGCTACCAAAGTGCCCCAACCAATGCTTTAAGTATCCTACGGGCTGTGAGCCCCTCTTCGACGTGGATACTATGCTTAATACATTGAAGCTGGAACGAATTTCCTGATGGTATAAAGCTCAAACTTATTTTGAGCTATGTAAAGTAATACTCCGCTAGAACTGGTCTCCCTTATCTGCATTTAGTCGAGGCCGTTTCGAGGTCGCGATCTTTTCAGTTTGGACAATTTTCTTTCTCTTCGGACCGAACCTGGTGCCGTCCCCGTTGCAGTGAGCGCGATGCCTGACAATGTTTTTACTGTCGTTGTATCCACATTCACATAAGGTTGACTTAGGAGGCGTGGAAGTTTGTGTATGTGTGTCAACAATATCTCCTTCTGAAATGACCACGGTCACTTGTGTGTCGCTCTCGCTGTTTACGGCAGAATTCTGTGACTGATGGTCAAGCAGAGCCCGAACTTGGTGCTAAAATTGATCGTTAGAGCCTGCATGCATTAGGCTCTCTCGCGGTACTCACCTCGAACTGCTCAAAAAGAGTAGAAATGGCCTCATCGGTCTTGTGACGGTTTCTAACTCTGTTAGGTCAACGTTCAAAAAAGAAGGCACAGAAGAACATACCCAGGCTGGTTTACACTCGTTCCCCCTTTAGAGCCTATTCCCTTGGTAGTGGGTGCTATGTCGTCGACACCATTGACGCCACAGGCCGTTGGAGGTATATGGGACCACGCATGTAATAATGCTTTGTTGTCTTCAATTTCCTCTCCACATTGATCACAAGATCTTTTTTGCTTGCAATTATCTGCATGTTCAGATATATGGCGGCGCAGATCCTGGACATGGGAGCCACACCAACATTTCTTCAGCGAGTGAAACTCACCTATATGCGCAGGGATGGCGTCTGACGGTAGTTGCTCGTCGCAAGTTGAGTCTGGACATTTCTGGAGTCCATGGGAAGTGAGAATATGGCCTGGTAAATATTCGGAATTAAACCGTTTGATGCAGTAGTCGCACCTTACCAGCGAATGGACCTTTTCTTCGTGAAATTTTAAAGCTTCTTGTGAAAACATCTTGTCACAGTTTCCACATGGCACATGGAATTCTGTGACATGCGCCTCGAAATTTTCTGGGGACAAGGTATGGTGACAAAGGGAGCAAGGTTTCCATGAATGTGCGGAACGAAGATGGTGGCCCATCGTGTCGCTGGGATATTCCTCAGAGCATTCCGGGCATAGCCTTGGTTGATGGACGCCTTTAACGTGATCAGCGATCGAGGACGCTTCATTGACTGCTCCGCAGAAGTGGCAATGCTTCCAATTGTGGTTTTCTACCAAGTGTTTCTCCAGATCCACTGCATAGAACTGAACATCACATTGGGGGCAATTTTCCTTCGCGTGAAAGTTTTTGAAATGTTCCTTAGCATATTCAGATTCCAAATCTGGACATGTAATACATTTTCGCCACCGATGAGTCTTTTCGACGTGACGTTGAAGTTCTTCTCGATAAATCATGGTGTCGCATTCGGGACATGGGGCCGACTCATGCGTCATCAGATGCTGCGAAAAGGCGTCTCGTTGGGTCGTCATGGGTTGACAATCTGGACAGAGTTGAAGCAAATGCGTGCTTTGCAAATGAAAGAGTATTTTATCCGCGTCACTGGAAAAAACTTTACAGAACGGAAGTGGGCAATGTTCGGCCATATGATGCTGAAGATCTGACAGTTCCAACTCACACTGCGGACAGATGTGATTTGTTTCGATATGTGCAGCTATGTCACAGCTGGTTTCACGACAGTAACGGCAATAATGTGCAGTGGCAGCATGGTCTTCAACATCATCGCAGTACGTTGCGCAACTCGTGCAAAAGTGGTATATAGCAATATGCTTAGCCCGATCCTGATATACCATATCGCAAGGGGGGCATGTATGATTGCGATCCTGATGCAGTTCAAGGTCCGAAGCATAGGCGAAGCATAAATCGCAGCGATGGCATGATAAAACATGCTGGTAATGGTGCTCCAATTCGGACCCTTTGACCTCAGGACAATCGCAAAGGTGACAGTCCCAGAAATGCTGTTTGAGGTCATCATGATATTCTCCGCAACACATATGCTCGGAGCTGATGTGATCCTCCCGAAACCCTTCTGACTGACAAGAGCAATTATGGTACACCTCCATGTGGTGTACCATGGTCGATGCTTTAAGACGTCCTTTTGCACAGTACGGGCAGATATGTCTTTCTGCAACATGTTCCTTCATGTCCTTGACACCATTGCACTTGCACTTCTGGTTACACTGGAGATAATGCATTTCGTAATGCTCAAGTTTGATTCGTGCGTCGCAAAAAAAACACATTTGAAAGCCGTGGGATGATAGGTGGTCGTTGAGCATTGCCTCCGGCATAGGCATATAGCACTCCTCGCAAGAGACAAACCCTGGCTTTTCAGTAAGAGGATAGACCTTTGCATCCCCAAGTGGGTGTCTAGGATCGAATGCTATAGGAAAAAGCAAAAATCGATCTGGTGGGATGCGGAGGGCATTTAAGTCGCGATTGAGTAGGCCGGTAACATACTCTGTGGAGTCTTTCAAATGAGTAATAGTAGGCCATCTGTCTAGTTTTATATCGACTATACGCCGTCTGTCTGGATGGCAATGCAGGGATGCTTGTCTGAAAGCCTTCGTGATGTCCTTCTCAGAGTATTTTTGTTCCGCATCAAGCCCAAGAGCAATAAAAGGGCTATAATGAAAATCAAACTCTCGCATTCTCATCAAAGAGTGAGGATTGATGACTGAAGACTGAAGACTGAGGACTGAAGACTGTAGACTGAGGATTGAAGACTGAAGACTGTAGACTGAAGACTGAGGATTGAGGACTGAGGATTGAAGACTGAAGACTGAGGACTGAAGACTGAGGACTGAAGACTGAAGACTGAAGACTGAAGACTGAGGATTGAAGACTGAAGACTGTAGACTGAAGACTGAGGATTGAGGACTGAGGATTGAAGACTGAGGATTGAGGATTGTAGACTGAGGACTGAAGACTGAGGACTGAAGACTGAAGACTGTAGACTGTAGACTGAGACTGAGGATTGAAGACTGAGGATTGAGGATTGTAGACTGAGGATTGAGGACTGAAGACTGAGGATTGTAGACTGAAGACTGAAGAATGAGGATTGATGACTGAGGATTGAGGACTGAGGATTGAAGACTGAAGACTGAAGACTGAAGACTGAGGATTGATGACTGAAGACTGAAGACTGTAGACTGTAGACTGTAGACTGTAGACTGAAGACTGAGGTTTGAGGATTGATGGTTGAAGACTGAAGACTGAGGATTGTAGACTGAAGACTGAAGAATGAGGATTGATGACTGAGGATTGAGGACTGAGGATTGAAGACTGAAGACTGAAGACTGAAGACTGAGGATTGATGACTGAAGACTGAAGACTGTAGACTGTAGACTGTAGACTGTAGACTGAAGACTGAGGTTTGAGGATTGATGGTTGAAGACTGAAGACTGAGGATTGAAGACTGAGGATTAAAGATGGAGGATAAAGGATAAAAATTGGAGCATGGAGAATGGAGGAGAGGTGGAGTATTAATAAAAGACGGGGCTAGCTTTGTCCGAGCGTAAGTACCAGAATGCAAGCTGGGGTGATTGGCAAGGATTATTCGTGCAACATGAATGCTAGTTTTCAAAGTATCGATACATGGTGTTTTAATACTTAACTTAGACGAACGTGTATTAATATTATAACACCCACAATGGTACTGTGCGTCCTGGTAGCTATATAAATGTTACGAACAAACAAGACCCTTGCCAGCGCAGGAGAGAAATGACGGCGACTAAGTACGACAGGACCCCACGGACCAAGAAGGGCAAGGCCCATGACGGTGGGGAAGGCAGCCGCCGACAGGTGGCAAGAAAGGGTCACAGCCTAGGCAATGATCCTAGCCTCGGGATCACTGGGAGCATTATAATTCATGAGATCCCAGAAAAAGGATTATACTCGATGGTATAATCCAGTCAACATCAGTGAAGGAATGAATGTATTTACCAAGGATTGGATTTCATACTTTACATAGAATGGTAAGCGTAAAGTTACTTGAATTCCTTCGAAAAATGTTAAGCGAACGAGAATATCTATATACTAGCCATGATCAAGCCTATAGAAGAGCGTCGGGCACCTTGCCTTGCGTTAATATATATCTTCTATTTTAACCATGCTGGTTCCATTGGTGTTACTAAATCAAGGTGCATCGCGAGCGGTGTTTTCGGGCTTCGCGGTGGTAGCATAGTCTTTTCCTCCGCCTGATTCAGTTAATTTAATATGCACCTGACTAGCACAATATAGCCAAACTTACTTTTTTTATAACCTGAAACTCCGGCTTACATTCGTTCTTAACGACCTTTAGGTTTTCCGTGAGAATAGAGACTTCGGAACAGACCTCTATATACGCACGCTGCCAGTAATGAGCTGCTTCGCGATAGTGATTCAGTAGGGCGGTAGTGTCTTCGTATGGAATCGTCTGGAACACGTAGGGACAATGCCACCTTGGGTCAAAAGAAGAGCGGGTGAATGAAGGAGTTATTGGGGAGAGTGGCGATAGAGACGATGTATCAGAATCATCGTGCTGCAAAGGTGGGAGTGACATCTTAGAGCAAGTTTTGACTTTGAGTGTACGGAAAAGCTTTCGTTCGAAAAATTACAACACGGTTTAACGGGATAGGCGACCTTTATATAGCTAATGGGTTCAAGAGAAATCACGGCAACGGATCACCTATAGCGCGGCCGAGCGGGGTTAACGGAAGGAACGTGCGGTTATTATGGGTCCCCGGGTCGGTGGGTGCAAATACCATCGGAGACGGGGGGAAAGCGCTCATAGCTTATGTACCGAAGATAGCGATGATTGGATGACTATGAGCAAGGGCGCTTATACCATGCGCCGAGGGATCATTCGGTTTGCAACTTCTTAGCCGGGAATCAGTCTGGCGCAGGGGACAGTGTCTCGGTTCTGAATTGGGTGCAAGGCAATGCCAGCCAACAACCAGAAGCGCCAGACCAGAAATTCATATCCACCTTATACTTGAAGTTATGTTAATTTTAGTCCTGGGCGGTGACTATTACACAGACGCGATTGGGGTAAGGCGGCTTGCTCCTTTTTCAAGCTAAAACCTGTAGTCGGGTGCAGGAACTGTTTAAAGTGAGTCAATCCCCATGATATCCTCCACATACCTCATCTTTTCTCATTCGGACTTGCCACCATCCATACCAAGCTTGGTTTTTCTGCAAATGCTCAGAGATTAAGCCTTTGGCTAAACAAAGTGCCACGCAGAGATCAGCTGAGAGCAACATGGACAGTCTGGGTCGTGTGTCTGCCAACCGACCCACGCTGTCGGATAGCCAAAAGCGCCAATGCCCAGAATCGTTTCGGTTTTGTAATCTGCCGCCAGGTAAATACAATAATTATTCGTTTTATATATATGTGCTGACTTAAGGATAGAAATTCGCCACATGGTATACAAAATTGTTTCAGAAACTTCAAAGGCTCCTATACAGCTTCGATATATGGGACCAAAACGTTTTCCAGGCGCGCCACGTTGGCTTCGGACAAGAAAGCCGCGTATCACTGGTCTTATGTGCGTTGTACTAGTGAATTGGTTCATCTACGCCGAGTTCTTTCCATACTACCAATCATATGCAACAAGAAGCACTCATATGGTGGATCTAGAGGATATTGGGCTGTATCTCACAAACCCAAACGTAAGCAGAAACTTAATTGTCACCATCAACCCATGGGCATCTCACGACGAGATGGTTGACTTGTTGCCGCTCTTGCAACACAAATGGGGAGCTCCTGAATCTAGTCTATCCTTTGCCATTACGAAGGTATGGGCTCAGTCGAGTTACAAGGCAGGTTTAGGACACATAGCTCGGGATCTTAACCTTTTGCTCTCCTATGATCAGATACTAAAGCTTCAGGTGCAAAAAGGTGCCTTGGACGGTATTGAGGTATGCTGGCGTAGCTACTCTGTTATATTTGTCATTTTCATACGAAAAGGACACACAGGCAGCAAACAGAGGTACGAACAGTCTCTTAGTACCGATCTTGCGGAAGAATTGGGTATACTTAGTTTACGTGAAATTGAGTGGAGAGTCACGAGCCTGTCACCAGGGCTTTTAGAGCACGCGGAAGAGCTTTGATTTGAAATGTTATATAGTGCTACCTAGTGAGACAGGTCTTATCACATACCTTCTGTTACTCAAAATCGTGGAAACTACCAACGTCTCCTATCTGACGAGCTCATAGCGCTCTGGTCCCATTTACTGGAGTTGTTGACGCTTTGTACTGTTGCGCTATAGCCGCCATCCTTGGCTGTCGATTTGCTACAGGCCATCTTCTGTTGACTATGACTGCGTACTGGGGAGGCTCGAGGTAGCTATCTGACCTCCAAATTTCCAATTTGTGAAGTAGTCCAGGAGCAGAATCCTGTAGGTCCTGACTGAAAAGTTACACAATATTACAGGTGTAGATGTTCTGTGGAGACGCAGTACCGAATACCCTCATCGGATTGAAAGGGTGTCAATTCTTGCCCAATTAGGAGGCCCGAGACGCAATCACCCCTATCCAAAGACACTGTTGCTCAATCCTGGAAAAGAGTGTGGCGCGTGTCGGAACACAAAAGCTTAGCGCGAAAATGTAGTGATCGGGGAGTCCGGAGGGTGATAAATGGGAGTAATTCATTGTAAAGCATCATTGGACACGTCGGCATACTGTCGAGGTGGTTGCATTAATTTCCCGGCACCGTAGTTCACAATCAACTCGTGTTTCTACTCCATACCTATTTGGTCACAGTATGTGCGCATTAACGCGCTCCTAGCGCAGGATGTTGCTGTATTAAGCCCTTCGAGGACAGATGCGCGGCGAAATGGTTCTCAATCGGCAAGATGAGTCGTCTAACGAGTACGTACATGCATCAAGCGCGGTGACATACGACCATGCCTCGAAGTTGTATACGTCGAGGTGGATGCGGGCGCTTAGTAGCTAAGTTCTTGCATGGTGGCCATGGCCAACACATTCACCGCAGATTCACCAGCCTAATGCAGGCAGATCACTGTGATATCGAAAAATCCTTCAAGCAGTCTCCAAAGGTCGACCTTGCAGATCTAGTGCGCCTTCATACCCTGCACTTCACGGAATAGAGGGTAGTTAAAAATCCAACCGCGAATGCAGTTGCCAAGCGAATTTGTTGTGTTGGTGCCAAAGGGTAGTCTTGTTGGCAAACAGTGCTTAAAATCTGTGAAAAGCCTCTAGCGCCGCCAATATCTGCCACTTCCAAGTTACCAACGCCGCGCGCGACTTTTAGCGGAAATGATTACCGATGGGATGTGAATAACCCATTTTCGGAAATAAAATTCTCCTGAATCCATACGATCCCGTGCATTTTGACAAGTCATTTTGACAAGCTATTTTGCGTCACGAGTACTGGTTGGCGCGAAGACGCTTATCGCTGCTATTATCGCTGACAAGGATTCAATCCTACAAGACATTTCACCGTAAGAGTGCATGCTACCACTCAATCTAGTTTACAATAAAACCTGTTTTCAGCTGATCCTTGGGCAAATGGTATTTCCCAGCTGTCAAGCCAGGGCTTTGACCTCGTATTTGACCGGCCCGGCAATGCCACCAGGATTCGTGCGTATCGGCTTCCCGACAGAATGGTTCGGAGGTGGGTCAACAATCAAGTCTAAAACCGTTTTCAGGCATTCGTCCGTGGCAAATGACCACGCTAAGCCAAGATCTGGGCAAGGCTAAGACTATCACTTTCGTGTATGCACTATCGACTACATCTAGGTACCTCGACTGTGCAGCACGTCGCCACACGCGTAGCAAAAGAACTCGGGGAACGTGCCGGTGATTTGAGCTTCAGCAACGTTAAAAGCTAGTGCAAAGTGCGCGCTTATTCAAAATAAACAAACACACTAGTAAGCCTTGTTTTAGATACAGGTCAGTGAACTAAATCCGTATCCAGTGAAATCTGAACCCGCAACGTCTCCAACAACAACAACTTGTGAGTTGCAAATGGGTGATCCACTCCTACTCCTCCAGTATGTGCTCATAGATTTTTTATGCTTCCCACCTCCCGACCCATGTCATTCAACTCCAACACTATCAACTCTTCCCGGACGTTATCGGAGAGCTGTGCTTGGCATGTGGGACACCTGAACGCCAACACGGTTCCGTACGCTGCCTGCAATATCGGTTGCATGCTTAATGCATGAAAGAGACAATTGCCGCAGAATACATGGCCTGCGTTTAGTTAAGTTCCCTCGTTGTATTAGCTTCTATGCAGATCGACTTACCACACCGCTTTATGAGGGTTGGCTGTTCTTTTTTCAAGATAACAGATACTACAATCGTCCGTACAGTAGAGGCGCTTAATCTTTTGGCTGAGCCACAGATTGCCTAGGTCATGTTGATGGCATCGGCCTTCCATGGTAGTTGTATTGGCACAATAACCACATGTAGACTGCAACCATTAATTTTTACAGAAACTGTCCGAGTTGAGGTAGTACTAACGCATCCACAATCTGTGAGAAAGAAAGTCCCGTTTTCCGTCATCGTTCCATTACATTGGTTACATCGAGGTGCTGGTTCCGTTAAGTCAATAAATAAACTCTTTTGGCTTCCAGTCTCCAACTCAAGATGCAGTGATGCATTGGAATTTTCGTGATCTGATGAGTACCCCATATCTGTGAAAAGGAAAAGAAAGCTGATCGTTTTCTGTGAAAAGGACTTGCAAAGGGTGGACACGGATACGCACAGAGTCCGTCCGGTGAGGGATCTTCGAGAAGCTTAAATCAAGGCGAAGCTCCGGGGTGTTTGCCGCCGAGACGATGACCCACTTCAAATCTTTGGGAACGGAACATGAGGCCGGGCTTCGTTCCATGAACATTTCTGGGTGAAATGCGCAAACCAAATTTTAGCCGGATCACAGATATTGGTCCTCGATAATCCCTGTTGCTTGGCAAGCCGGCGCTTGCGGATTTTAAACTTGAGGATCATGATAACAAGCATGATTACACGGAAGTCGCGTTGCGCAGTTACTTACCATTAAAGTAGCGCATATCGTTTGGTCTCATCGTGAACAGACAGTTGATTCAGTTTATATGTTGATCACTGAGTACGATATGGTCATAATGCACGCCCGATCATGTTCTAATGACGGCTCATTTCGACTATTCGACCTACCCCAAGAGCTACGAGAACGTATCTATATGTTCCATATGGAAGACGAAGAACCTATTCGGAATCTGGCGCGTAAAGTATCATATAGACTAATGGTGAACTTTCTATGAGTTTTCCTTTATTAAATAACTGGCGGGAAGTGCTGATGTCTTGTAGATACCGAAACTATTCCACGTCCAGATGATTCGGCAAGAAGCTATCCCAGTCTTCTTTCAACGAAGTATCTTCTCCATTGAAACTGCTTGTATACTTGCACCGTGGCGCGTAGGCGTCATGCCTACTGGGTGGAAATATCTGGAACGAACTCGTGGCCCTGATATAATGCGAAAGCAATTTTCGCTATACTGCGATAACCATATGTCCGGCGTGGCTGTATTTGACAAGCGTGCGCTGGAGTGGCTCAAATCGGGCGACATTATGCCGCAAGCATTTTTTAGAAATATTCGTCTCCATGTTTACGACCTCGACAGCCACATACCTTCCTCACGTATATTAGTATCAAACTTGAATATCCGGACGCGTGGGAACTCCGTCGAGTTCGATGAGACCGGAGAGTCCAGAGTTTGTTTCGAGACATGTAACGAGGAGTTCCACAGAGTTCAAGAGTCTACCAAAAGTCTGCCTACAGGATCGTACGAGAACGGCGGAACTTCAAAGGCTTCTCACTTGAAGATATTCAGAATATAGTACAGTCTTATCGCGCTGTAGAGGACGACTGAAACCTACTCGAGATCGAATAAGATGTATTTCGAGCAAGACAACGAAGGTCAGCCCGAGTCTGAAAACATGGGGATGAAAGATAGACTTTGTTTACAGTAAAACACAGGGGGTCTGCCCTCGATTCTTACTGCCAAATACTGAGAAGGCCTTGGAGAATGAAACATAATACCAATAGCAATAAATACATAATATTCGAGCATGAGTATATCTTGTATCCTCGTTGTCCATCAAATGGCTCTCTAATATCCGACCCATCCTTGGCCATTATTGTTGCAAGATCCACCAGCCGACTTTCACCTATGTTGACTACTATTATGGCGGATTACTGCTCTCTGATATCAAGATCAACGTCGGCGTCAGATTATGAGTAGAAAGTGCAGAAGCATGGAGTTGTATTCATTATAGGTACCTTAAGGCTATATCTCACAGATTCCTCATTCTCAGGTCTTCCAAAATTTTGAACACTTTTCAAACTTTCCTTAGTAAACCACTCCCAAGTATCGTCCCCCTTCTAAGCCTCCTTCAATTTCCACACAATACCTTGCTCCTCTTCGGCCTATATAGATGTTTGGCCCCCTTTTCTCTTCTTGGCGATCTCCGCGGTAAACATGGTAAGTGCTATTCCGGTCAGCTGTGCTCCGGTGCCGGATACCTTGGGGGTCACTACTAGGTCCGGCCCCTAAGCATGAACCCCTCGTCCACATTTTTCTCTTCCGAATCGAGATCCTGTCGTAATCTTCGGGCAAAACAATCATCCAAGGAGTGACAGTCTTCTGTGGCACGTTGGTGCCAGCTTGGTAGGCGGGCTCGTTTGGCTGCTCGACTGCGTCTTTAGGCTGGCTCACTAGCGGGATGTCCTCGGTCGCCTTGACGATATGTATAGCGTTTCGTAGGTTTCCTTGCCATCCTTAGGACTCCTTTGATCTGGGACCACAACCCCATTGGTAGTTGGGACGTTTCTATGGGTTTGCCCGTCTTGGTTGGCTACACGGTTTCGCCCCTTCATTACTTTCGTCTTTTGCTCCAAGAGTGTGGGGTCGACATAAACGACCTCGACGCCTCCCTCGTGCGTTACGCGTACTGGCATCTTGGCATCGAACTCGGGCTCTAGCGCAGACAAGCCTCCGTATACACTCAAAATAGCATGGCCGTCCGTGTCGGAAGCGCGAGAGAAGAAGCTAGATTCGTTGTCCATTATCCCTGTTAGCATCATCGAAATCCACAGGATTCGGACTTCGCGGTAGTGAACAGTGTCGACGTCTTGGACGGACTCATGGCGCACTACTTTTTCTGCGTCGTCGAATTTAGAATTGTCGAAATAGCCCATTGGGAAGAAATATGGATCAAAATCAAGAGAAACCTTTTCTGTCTCTGCATCTTCAATATAATCAGGGAGAGTGACTTCGTCGACAACTTTTTGCTCTGCTTTCTCGGAGGTAGTTCTCACGCTTGTGTCGTTTGGTAGGAAGTCTTCCTGCTCGAAAATCTCGCTGACCCCCGTGTACTCGGGACACCCGATTTCCACTTCACTAACTGACATCTCGCAGTCTTTTTGTGTACTAATTGGCTCGTACATGGAATCCTCGGCAGTAATGTCCTTCGTATTCAGCAAAGCCAAATCAGTGGCCTCGAACACGTCTATGGAAACTTCAGAGGCAGGTTCACTGGCCGAGATTGTGTCTTTGGTGGTCTCCGCTAGAGCATTCTCTCTGTCAGCTTCGGAGCATTTTGCCGCCTCTCGCTCGGCACGCTTCCATTTTTTTTGCTGCTGCTTCCTATTCCTGTTATTTAATCTGGTTTGCGTCAGGGTTCGACGGGCAAGACCCTCTTTCATCCATTTCTCCCTCGCCGTCTGCTTCTTAAGCTGCTCTTCGCTTGGGCTTTCCTCCGGCTGAGGGGGACAAGGTGTACTTCTGGCGAAGGAAAACCCACGAATCACGAAATCCTCTGGAAGTGGGCACGTGTAGAGCCGTTCCCCGCTGCATCCCTCATTACCTAAGCTGACCTTGGATACGACGTGTTTGTGCGGAGGGACTTCGATTTTGAGCTCTTTCTTGGTAGTTTGGCCGAATTTTGTCTCGGCAGAATCAGTGTTGGCACTGTCAGTTCCAACTTTCTTCGCGTTGATTTCAAGCTCGTTACGGTGCTGGGTTATAACAGTGGCGACAGATGTTTCCACATCAGGCACAGTTGCAGCTGTGGGTGCTTCAGTCTCGAGTCGCTTGGCCTTTTCCCTCTGCTCGAGCACATAGACCTCCCAGTCAGCGTATCTATTACTTCTGCCGTAATCTCCTGGTTGGTCTTGCTTGTTGAGGGTTGAGAACATAACAGGAAATTCCGGTTGGAATATTGACTTCCAATCGCTGCCTCCCTTTTTCTCAAAATGACGCAGGAGCACGTTAAGCAGCGGCGCTAAGAGCTCTGGGTGGAATGCGTAACCGCAGCGTGCCTTCAGCTTTGGCCGAGCTTGGAGGGCGCGCATGAAGATCAGGAGCACGTGGACAAACTCCCAAAACTTGAGGTCCTGTGTGTCTGGCTGAGTCAGGACGCTAGTAACAACGACTCCAAGCAGGCTGGCCGCCCTGTCAACTACTGTAAAATCGCCATCTCCTTGGTTATGGACTGCGATATCAGCGGACCATCTGGATTCCGCGAGGTCCTGGGCCCAAGCTGTCGTTACTAAGCATTGTTCGTCGCCATAATAAGGATCCAAAAATAGCAACTGGCATAACATGAGGGCGAGCTCGGGGCTATATCTCGTTAAAGGAAACGCAGTGGCCATATGGAGAGATTTACTTACCTAGGGCGAACAGTGTAGCGTTCAGCACGCGCAGAGCGTTGTGCCACGACCTCGCCAGGACATGTAAACCGGCGCTGCGCAATACACTCGACTACAGACGGGTGACCCGTGGTATGATCTGGAAGTCCGGCAATTTTGGCCAGTGCCTCGTCAAAGGTACGCAAATGCGTCACCTTCTGACCGTGGTAGCCGTATTTGGCAAGCAAACTGGGACTCTCCGCAATGAGGATCAGGCAGGAGACGGCCGTGAACAAGTTAGTCTCATCCTGAGAGAGGTGTTGTGCTTCAATCGTAGACTCCTTGTTCGACGGGGTCACGAAGATTCCGATAAGGGTGAGAAGAGAACTGTGGGTGTCAAAGAAAGGCTGCTTGACATTAAGGGATTTTAAGTAGTAGAAAAACTGCAACAGATAATCCGGCTGGCTTAAAGCGGCAATATGATGATAGAAGCGACCGATGGCGTAGTTTTCTTTGTATTCATGTGCTCGTATTAACAACTCCTTTGATATCTCCTTCCAGCGCAGCCGTTCAAGAGCGTCGTCTTCGATGGACATTCTAGATTTTATTAGCGCTAAACCTCGCGACACTTTTGGGAACCAGGCTAGCTTGTGATCGATCATCACGTACCTTAAACGAGCCACATCCGCTTGATATTCAATCCAGGTCAGGCGAGATGCCGCGACGGTCTCCTCAAACAGTCCGAACATGGTGTATGACATGAGGGCCAGAGCCTTCATGTACTCGAGAGACGTAGGTAGTCGGTGGCTAAACTTCTCAAAGAGGGAGTGTACAACGTGCTGCCATAGCCTTGCCTCCATGGAATACTCTTCTGCAAGGTATTTGAGTGCCGCCGGAGCGGAAGGATGCTGTTGGGATGCAAAGAAGAAGTCATAATGCTCATGTAGCAGGGCGCGGTGCAGGGTAATTAGAGCCTGATATTGTTCATCGTTGTAGCTTCTCATCCACCCGCCGCGAACGGCTATGTAGGACCATTCTCCAATACGCTTGATCCATCCTCCTGCGTGTCCTTCAGCACCGGTGTTCTGAGGAGTATTGGCAATAGCAGGCTGCTTTTCAGGGCTGGCATCGCTTGCAGAATCCGCTTGGATAGCAGAGTGTTCGTAACAACATGTTCCGGGAGCCTCCTCTGTTGTTAGAACAGCCTTATTCGGTTTGCGCTCTTCGGCGACGTGGCTGGGCGCAATTTCAAAAGTGTCGTTTTCACTCTCCCCCTTGGTCGCCTTCTGTTGCACCGTATCCAAGCCAAATGGCTTACATATAAGCAGCGGCTCGCTTATAGCTGTATCCTTTGCTCGGGCTACTGCCTGCCTATTCGCCTTAGCCTCCGCTTTTGTTTTTTCTTCAGCTTGACGTCTGGCAGTCTCAGCGGCGTTGTGATCTGCCCGCTTAAGTGCCTCTTTTACAGCATCAACCAGTGCGCGTCCCACCGTCGAGTGAAATCCTTCTACCAGCACGTCCTTACGACCTTGTTGGCCAATCAATCTCGTAGTGGTTGAGACTAGACTATCGTAGTCGGGTGACCCAACTTCTTCGGCCCACAATTCTTGAGCCACCAAGAATGCGGGTAGATACTCTTTGGCGATGAGAATACTAGTTGAATCTTCCTTTAGCGCGGGAATGGGCACGGCGCAGAAACCTGGGTCGCGTGTATCAACAGTGACACTGCAACCAGTCTGGAGAGCGTCATCAGTGGAAGCATGGTTGGCCGGTTGAGCGTTGGCTTCCTTGAGAGCTGCCGACTCTAGGGGGACTGCGTTAAAAACAGCAGCCGAATTTGCGATTACTTTCGGACATGAAAGCTGCTGGCCTCCTTCCTGTACATATTCGTTCATGTTGTCCAACCAAGCCGTCATAGCGTCGAAAAGGACTTCCGCCGGATCGATGCCGTTACGTTGAAGCCACACTAAAGTAGAATCGGGCATTACTTCCAGGAAATCCATGACACCATGTGGGTACATGGTATCTTTGGTGTCTACTTCTTTGCATTTGGACTCGAGCATGCCCAAGCCGGCGAATACGCCTCGGACCTCAGCGACCACTTGTTGCTCAGAGACTATACCAGCCCAAGGCTCGTAGATCAATCTTTGTGTTCGAGGAATACGCCGCCGAGCCGAGGAAGGGTTCATCCATGGGGATTCCCGGTATATTGGGTACCTGTGATGTGTGCGATAGTTCTCTTCGCTTCTTTTGTTGGGGGGTGGAGTGCGGGACGGAGCAACCGTAACCACGAAAACTCTATCGATAGGGACAACAGCGTTATCCACAGCGTTTAAGCCAGTATGGGCCTCTGCACTATCTTGATCCGATGAAATGACCGCTTCGGCATTCTTCTCATGGCCTTCGATTCTCTCGACATCAGTTCTGGGGTTGCTTTCCTTCAGGGTTAGCCAAAATAATGATTTGTGGATGAGAGAACATAGCTAACCTCTCAACACCATCCTCAGGCGGTGGTGAGGCAATGTCGTCATCTGTTGGACCACCCATGGCTAAGACTCGGTAATGATGCCTCTGAAGAACGATAAGTGTAGACTTAGGAACACAATGATACTGCTAGAAGAGCTGGGGACTGAACTGGGCGAGCGATAGTCCTAGGGCACTTGAAAGGTCACAAGATGTGATCAAATGGGAAGAGGCACAAAGGAAGGAACGGGGATTGCAATTGAGGAATGCACCCGGAACTAAAGTTGCGAACCACAGGCTGCATATTCAGGCGCCTGCCAGAGTTCTAGCGAGATTGACCGGTTCCACGTTGCGCATCCCATAGCCCGACTAAATCAGCTGAGCGCAGGGTTCTGCTATTAGTGGTCGGAAGCTTCGGAGAGAGCCCTGTTCCGTTTAACTGTGATTGATTAAATATATCAATAGCATGCATAGTCGATGCAGTGCTCCAATTTCGGTCAAGGACCCCTGATGGTTTGTTGGGCCTAGATCAACGAAAGAAGTTACTGAACCTTCTTGCAACCAGAGATGCTTCACATAAGCTTGATAAAAAGCTTCTGATTGAGTTTAGTGGGAAGGTCAGGTATCAACTTGCTTGATCATCATGGTGTAATTGATTATGCCGCTATCATGCTTGTCTACTGCAAAGGTTTCGGTGAGATCCTAGTTTGGGATATTTGTGCATTAAATCTATTCCAGTCAGTATGTATAATTGATGCGTTGTTCCATTCTAGGGTGAGTAATCCCTGATTGTACATGGTCTTGATGGGCCGCAGCTAGTCAGGGAAGCAGAAGAAGTATCCGCTACAAGACTTCGCACACGGCTATGTACCGCTGGAATCGGCCCAGATAACTAAAAAAGCATGCTTTGGAGGCCATTGACGAGCCAAATTCCGTTTATGCACCTCGCGATTCGTACCATATACATTTTGCTATCCGCATAAAATAGAGTCACATTCTTGGCAAGATAGATAGATTGGTTTACTGGAATTCGACTCTGGAGCACACCAGCCTCGTGAAGACACACCCCAATAGGGGGCTCCCCGGTCTCTCAAGTACCTTTTAGTATACAGACGGCCTAACACGGGCATAATTCGATGTTAATAGTTGTGTACGTTAGTAGTCTCCTGTATCCGCCTCATTACTTGTTCGGTGAGTGTCTTGTACGCAGCCTGATCGTTTGTATTGATTTCTGGGTCCTCTTCCATATTTAGCTGGACCTCTCCCATATGTTTTATTTTCTGGAAAGGGGTGCTTTAGAATTTGCGCTTGTCTAACACCACATTTCCCAATATCAATTTTCAATCAACGGAAAATGTCCACGTCAATAGCAGAGGGTGATGCCTTCAGAACCTCTTCGTGGAATTCTATCTACATGGGCGTTGCAAATTTGGAGCGGGCTCGTAACAGACACATTACCAGCTTGATTAAAAGTTCAAATGTCGAAGCTCGTCTCAATGCTCTATCCAACCAAGAATCCCATGTGAGCCACACTACGGACCACGTTGTCGAAAATGATGTGAACGCCCTTGCGCGTCGAGTCGCCGCATGCTGGAAGCTCCCGGGCAACAATTTTACCATAGCTGTCTTAGCCGCGAAAGGTCTGACTAACAGCATCGAGGAGCTCCGCATCAAGCTGCCCAATCTCGGAAACGAAAAGTACAATCCCGACGCAGATTTGTTTGAACTCTTTCAAGTCGCAGCTCGAGCGTTAGCAGTTCGCTTAATGAGGCCACCTCTACATGTCGATTGCACAGTCAATCAACTATCTCTCATATACTTGACGCTTATTAGGACTGTTCCATATACTCAAATAGCTCCTTCCGCTTGGCTAGGCAATTGTCAACCCAGGCGCCCTATGCCTGGTCCGCCACCTTCCTCCGGATTCGCTCAAGTGCCGGGTCCCCTACTGCGTCAGCAAACTACTCCTGGTACATCGAACCCTGGCTCTGTTTTGGTCTCTGATTCGGACTCTGATTCGGACTCCGAACTCGAGATTATCGATGAGAAATCAGGAGACAGAGTTGAGGATATCGGGGGGAAAGCAGAAGACAGAGTTGAGAAGCCAGGAATATGGTCATGGTTTAGACTTCCGTGGTGGTGGCGTTAATGTTCGCAAAGGCAAGAAGGATAAGGAGAAGTGTCGTCTCATTCAACATGAGTCGACTAGGTTTAAAACTGTACTTTAACATACAAATGGCCTGGAATAATCTAGTGGTTGTGATGTATCTCATTATCGTTGTTTGTTTCGGTTGGCGAAATAATATGCTTTACCACCGTTGGTTTTGCATCTCCTGTAGATGTTTTCGTTCTAATGGATTCCAACAAAAGTCACCCGATCATGAAGAGGCTCGCTGACACCACTAGTACTCATATTCCTTGAATGTAGCATTGCGACCCTAGCCACCTAAAGCTTCAAAAAAGCTGAAGGACGGCTTAATACGAATTTCTTTTTCATGTGTTCCATTCTTGTGTTATACTGAGAATGGAAATGAACAGCGAAATGAGTACGATTCTGATACTTTAGGGATACCATTATGCTATCACTGTACGTGGGGTGGGGTCAGCGATTATGTGACAAGTTGCTTGCATCATCACTTGCGTGCAGTAGTGTGTGGATTGTTCATCACAGCGAATCTCAGGCTTAGCCGAAGATACTCTGCGATGCTATGAGGGTGGACTAATCTCTAACCAGCCAAATGGGGTTGCTCATTCTCGGAACTTGTGAAATTGAGAATCAGCGGCTATGAGGACAGTGTTTGCTCCGGATGTAGCCAGAGAAGATCCGATAGGCTAATCTACATGAAATCATCTCTAAAAACTACACATCGTATATCAATGTCTTATACAACCTCACGATCGCTTATACTTATGCAGAGACAATGTGACAATAGTACACAACGTACACAATATCATTCCAAGAAATCTCCAAGGGAGGAAGATGCATACGGAGACCTTGTCAGAAAATGACGCGCGGGGTTTGCCGCTTGAAATGAAGAACCCTGATTCTTCGTACCTCAAAAAGGCTATCCACGCCTGCAAGTCCGTATCTTAATCTGCCTGCCGGTAAATAATAAATAGCTGTAGATATGAAATTTATTGGTCAAAGACCTGCGGGTTTGTTACCATTACGGAATGAACATGTCACCTCGCTAGTAGGGCCTTGTGAAATAAACACGGACAGCCATGCTTTTCAGCCAAGTATCTTGGCTGAGGAGATGCTTGCCCTAACCAATAATAAAACTTGCAGTATGCAAGGAGTTCGCCACAACGCCTAGACTTGTGTCAGATTCACTAGATGTCTATCACATATGTTCATTCACATCCTCACGTAGTGCCGGGCTTAATAACCGTGAACGACCTGCCGAAGAGGGTTACATGCTTATGTGAAAGTACGAAGTGAGCAGCTACGAGATGCTACAAGTGGAAACAAGGATCCTAGGAAAGAAAAAAAGATCTGATTCAAATTGATTGCTAATAATTCTGCCAAAGGAAAGAAAACCACATCTCACGAGTTCCAGCTCATCGAAGAGGAAGAAAAAGCAACCCTAAAACACTGTTTATGACCAGCACCGGCTCAAGCCTTTCCTGAATCTCCCTTGCCATAGTGATTCTCTCCACACTGCATCTCTTTACTCTGATCTGCTCGTTTCGGGTCAGACTCTTTGCTCATCGGTGAGTTGACGGAGCTGGACATGGGCAACTTTTCATGATTACTTTCTCCCCTACATCCTTGGGTTCGGGTCTGCATTTACCGTTTCTTTCTCCTGTTTCAAAGCCGGGCTTCCTGCCGGATTGCAGTATTCCTCGTATATTCTCTGATAAAAGGGGAGTAAACCAGGGTCATCCATAGTTAACAGTAACTGTAGTAGGTAAAGCGTGAGAAAGTAATGTTGAAAATGAAGTAGGGACAATAACTCCTGTTCGATTTTACAAAAAAGCACTGAAGAAGATGGCGCGTAAGAAGGCAGGAACTTAAAGACCACTCCTCGTCAATGTTCTGACAGGGAGCTTACCTCTATAATAACCATGACTGTATCGGAGAATTACCAAGTTTCTTCATTCGTTGGCATGCATAAAGTTGACAACTCGGTGCCGAACGATCCATGCGGCATCTAGATGAAAAGCAACGAGGATATGGAGTAAAACGGCCAATACTGCACGGTAGCAACATGATTGGAGACCTCACAATCGGGGCTTGCATCGCGATGCCCCTCACCGACTGTTGTGGCATTGTGTCAGACAATGGCTGTGAGTACTTTGCACGAGACTGTAGAGTGTCATCAGCGATATTGGCTTTTGTTGGGGGCTACTGCATAAACGAGGACAGCATTGATGGCACCAGTCCTAAGGTGCTCGTTGGTTCAAGCTAGGCAAAGGGCGTGTGTCCTAGACCAATCGCATGCTGATTCTATGCATCCGGAGATTGCCTGACAAAGCTTCTGGTGATGTCGATGCAATGCGTGAGGAAGCTGCGCTTCTTGGTGTGTAATGACCAGACGATCTAGTAAAGTAATGCAAAGATGCGGGTCATGAATATCAGAGCGAATGAATGCATCAATAAACATATTGACTCTTGTTATCAGATCACTTTCCTCTCTGACATTGAATTGAAAGAAAGTACTAAACCATATTTCGTGTGCTTTGAGTGACCATTGCTAAATGTGAGGAATCTACGTGGCTGTGTAGTTCTGAAAATTAACGAAGCTTCCCTGTTCCACTTTCTGGCGGAATTGCGAGAAATCAAAACCAGGTTGTACATCAATTTTCGCTTGCTGCACGTCACGAAGAAACTCTGGTACCCCAAGAAGATCGTAAACAGTCGGAGCTCCATGCTTACCCTCTGGCACGATCACCAACTTGAACGGCCGATTTTGACTAGCAAGAGCGTTCGCATATCGAAATGTATGCTCAACCAGGACTTGATCATCTTCCCAAGTATGGTACATATACGTAATCGACGTCTGCGCTGTGACATGATTTTCAGCTGACATTGAGGATCTTTCATCATCTGTAGCTTGTAGCCCAAGCAGATTATGTAGCGACCTTTCATGCGCAATGTCATGTTTCATCGATATGACAGGATACGCCAGAATGGTGAATTCCACTGGTACGTCAATAGTAGTAGCCAGATGGCCACCAGATGACCATCCCCAGACTCCTAGCCTGATTTCTGGGTGTCCGCTTTTGATCGTATTGATCGCATTCCGAACACACTCCTGAGGAGCAGAGCCCAAAGGAGTCTTGCTGTTTTGCGCACAAGGATAACTGTGTAGCACCCACGCGTTGTAACCGCATGCTGTAAGAAATGCTGCAGGATCGTCACCATCCTTCTGCCGGCCATCTGGCGTTATCTTTTCGTATGCACCTCCAATTATCAACAGCACTCCCCAATTGCTGCTAGTTGGCGCCCTGTGGAACTGAAGATGTGGAGAGTAGCTTATTTTGGTTGGAGTCGGAAAGTCTTCGAGGGAGTGAAACCCGAGACAGAGCTCGTAGACACTTGAGCCTTGCTCTCTCATCAAGACAAGATTTTCGGCTTTGGCAGTCCATTTCTCTAATTTTAGAAATGATGCCATCGCCTCTGCCTTCTGGACAGGCTTCGAGGTCAATCCAGGTGATGGCTCAGAGTAGAAAAGGGACTCCCCATCACCACCCGCAGACACAAAGACGCGACAAAGGAAGTCAAGCTGCAACAGGCCCAATTCTTGACTTGGGGGCGACTCAGAATCTACCAAATGCACCACATAATTTTTCAAACGGTTCTTGACCCATTTAATATCGACGCCTTCAAGTTTGTCTGCTTGAGAGTTCATGTACAACGCGACTTGAACCAGATGATCAATGAAACTCTGTTGGACACTGAGTTCTGAAGCCTTTTTTCAAGTTAGTCTATAGGCTTTCCTAAAGCTATCAGTCGCTACTTGCCTCAAGATCAGCGACGAGAATCATCGCCTTATTGTTTGTGCCATCTTTGTTGATTTTATCTTCCTGTCACAGATTAATTACTTTATGCATTAAATAGCACGAGATTAGTAGAGATTACCATTGTAGTAGGATTTCAAGTGCTCGTTAGTAGAGTGGGTTGTTAAGACTGGTGGTCTTGAGAAGGTACTTTGACTAAATACACAATAAAGTTCAAAATGTTCACTCCCGAGTAAGAGAGCAACTTGTTAAATACGTTTTCAAATTCTAGCGTAAGGCATAGACTAGGTCTTTCATGAGAATGGTGGGCTCGCTTGGGACTTCCTTGCTTTTATCCCTCGAACGAATGGGCATATAAGCTATGTTATGTACGAGATGCATCAAGGACGCTGGATCATACATGTGGGGCCCGTCAATTGCTTCTTTTAATCATCCATTCCCAGGTAGACAGTGAGTAGGGCCGACAATCACCTGAACAATGGTGAGTAGCTCCTTCAGAAACACTACATTGTACTCACTGCATAATTCGTCTGACCTGAAGAAAGAATTAGTATAATTTGTATGAACCTAAGTAGATATATTTGCATACCGATATTCAGCTGCTGTGATATTGGGAGGGCAGACCTTGTGCGTCCTTCCATAACTGGGACACCAACGCTGCACGCGAAACCGGAAATGGTCGCAGCAGTATTGAACCTGGTTGCTGTCAGACGGTAGATCGCGACAGAGATGGAGGGCTTTACCTGGGTATAATCGCACATCTCAGTTTGATTTTATAAGTGGAAGAGAGATGAATCTACTCGATTTCAGGAGGGGCAATTATTTTAGGGGGTGGCATTCAAGTATTAATTCAACTTGACATGATACTGAAAAGGTGCATCGTCCGTTGCGGGACTTGTGTCAAGTGTCGCCATTTCCTTGGTGTGAAACTGAATAGTGAAGGCATATTTGATTTCCTTTTGGCCTCTTTCTATGAGTGACAGGTTGATTCCAAACCTGCAGTTACTCATAGGTCCAGCGTAGATAGCTGAGATACTCAGTTTTTCCCGCCACAGATGGGTCAGCCTGTGCTACTTTTTGGATCGCGTCGAATGACGTTCTTGACTTCAGCATCCACAACTCATATTCTACACTAGGGTCTATGCTTTTCATCGCCTATCCTATTTGTTATTCCCAGCACGTATATCCATTGCCTCTAAATGTCGTTGACAGCTGGCGTGACGCTTGTCGCGCTGACGCCAATCAATGACTGCTCGGCCAACCGCACTCGCTCTCCTACATATCATGCCGTGGTGACTTGTTGTAGCTTACTCAGTGAAAGATATTTTCTCCAGTAATCATCGAGTTCTCTGTCGCATTGTGTTGTTTGTAAATCAGTTAAGTCGCAAATAGCATGGATAATCTTTGTGACACAATCAGGCAATTTGGAGACTCTTGCCAGGGATATGAGCATCCGGCCGAAAGGCGGAAAGCGTCCTTTTTCACCATGTCAGCACCGGCCCGTTCGAAACACATGTTTTTTGTGGCTCCATTCTCTCACCTGTGCGGTCTATATGTGTATAGTAAGAATACCAAGTCACGGGTAACAGATTCAATGCAATGTCCACTGCAGAAGATCCCTTCGTAATCCGTTTTCGGGGCCGCTCAAAGAACAACTCTTTTCCTAGCTCTGTTGACAGGAATCTAAGCAAGGCCGATGATGGCGAAAAATTTGTTTTCCAGGACAGATACAGTTCCACGTCAGGGATATCCCACCGCTTACATTCCACAATGATGAAAAACTTGAATTTGACGTAGCTTGACCACGGCTGGTCTAAAAGTACGATGACTGGTAGGTCCTATCGAAGTCAGCACGTATATCGATAGCTAGTCAAGACCTTACAATTTCGGTACTTGTTAGAAGTTTTCGTAGATTTTTATCCTGGCGTTTAACATCATCTACTGATGTCGTCCGTGTGTTCTCGAATGCACTAAAAGACTGTAAAAACCATAAGCGCTGAACTGTATCGAGCTCAACGCCTTGAAATTCGCCATGCCACCCCAAAAGTGACCGGAGGCATGCCAAGCGCATCGCTGTGGTGATTTGGTCGTCGTGAAACCATGTCCCATGCCACGCATCACTTCTCCCCCCTGCCTGGACCAACACATCGCGTAACACACTGATGAAACAATGGTCTTCAGCCGTTCCATCAGCTAGTTGCCACGCGTGGTGATGAAGCCGCCATTCGGCGATCGTTGCGCTAAACGCGATATTATGATCGAAAATGGGGTCAACTAGGGATGCAGCTTGAACTACGCATCTCGCAAACTCCCTTCGTACAGTCGTTGGTGATGTCTCCGTCATCATTAGTAACTGCGAGACCTATGGACCACATGCCTGCTCACCTTAAGATCGTCCAATAAAATCATGATCTCAATCTGAGCACTCGCATAACTGTAGTTACAGTGTTGGCGATAGAGTTCTCCTAGGCACCGGCCGTGCGCAACGATTCCTGATAACGCAGAGCTTCGATATGCTGGCAGAGATAATGCTTGCACAGGCCAACTTGGGTCGCCGATGCACTCTGAATAGCCAAGGAGGTCGCAGGATCTCACGGCGAACTGGTATAATTGATCGTGGATCTCGCCAACAAAGTGGAATTGTTCAGGGCCAAGATGTTGGGTGAGACGGTTGCTTAGTGGGTGACCAATATGGACATAACAGAACTTCCATGCGGGGGCAGTTGTTGCTGTAACCAGTGGGTTTAATAGTCCCTGTCCAATGTGAATCCATGGCTCCATCGCTAGATCCCAAAAATGCAATGAGCAAGGTTGGGAAAGTTATTGGTTCGAAAAAGACGAAGGAGTGTAGTGGCTACTCGTTATTGATATACATAATCAGCATGCGCGGTCAGTAGTCTGGGCGCCTACTAGCTTCGGATATCCTGAGTCACATCCGAGTGGCACTCCCGATGTGGAAGCAATCCAGACACTGGCTTCAGCTATGACATAAACGAAACAGCCACTGGTCATCTCCCAGGGCTTAACAATTGTTACCATGGGAAAAGAAGCAACAGGGGCTGCCCGTCAGAACTCTACACGATTGTAACAGAATTGCATTGTTCTGATGGCGACTGGAGGTGGATTTAGGGAGCGAGCAAATCTTGCCCATGTAAATGAAAACAATGGCGCTTCTCATGCTCTAACCCATGAATTTAACTATGTTTCTCTGTGCTGCAGTCTCTTTGACCGAACACTATGGGCAATTCTCGTGAGTAGTGCCTTGCTATCTGGGTGATACTCTTTCATGAAATGCCAACCATTAGACCTTGCGATCACCTCTGCATTGTGCCGGGCAGAGGGACCTTTTGGTGTTTTGGTCTCAACTAAGAATATCTGCGCTGTTCCAAAGACTCCTTTTCTGTGCAAAACTTGAAAGTTGTAGAGAGGTTGCTCCTGTGTAAAAAGCAACAAGACACCATCCAGCCTTGTCCACCAACGACCTTTCACTACTTCACTCTGCCCGTGATTATCTCCAATATCCCAGAAATCCAAAACTTGGATTTCATCATGGACAGGTATGTCCATGTAGTAGTATCGCTTCATATCTGGCGGCTGTCTGCCCACCTTGACTTTCAGGTAAGACCATAGCCAGTTTTCACGGTCAACTGGTTTACCTAACGCTTCCTCAGCCCAGGTCGCTTCGTTGCCGAGGTTGTTATGGAGTATAGATATATGCGCATGAGCCGATCGCGATACTTGTCCGAAAGTTGGAGTCGAAAAGTGTGTAGAGTGAAGCGACAAAGTCTCGTCAATATGTCGACGAGAAACGGTCCAATGGTGTAGCGTGCTCAAGATCAATAAGCATTGGAGAGTCTAAAGGAATCAGTGCTAGTCTTCGTGAATTCACATTCGACTTACGCTGGTACAAGCTTCTTGGTGACCTAACACAAGGGGGATGATAGACAGTGCTTGCAGCAAGGGGAATACACCATGCAGACCTCGGTACCAAGCAGAGTCGCTGTCAAATCTCCATATTGCAATCCACAAGGCATGAAATACAATCGTGGCGACCTGGGGCCATAAGTCGAATTGGAATACAAGCAGCATACCGACGCACTCCAAGAAGAGAGCAAAGGTACCAATCAGCGCCCATGCTGTCGTTGTCGAAAAAATACATAGCTTGGGCGGCTCATATATGATATAAAGAGACTTGACTCATCAGAACTGCTCGGTTGATTATCAGTCCTAACTTACCTCCAGCGGAGTTATAAAAGCAGCCCATGCCAACAGGCGTGTTGAGACAAATGCGAATAGTATGCCAGCAATCACCATGTAGGCGATGGTGAATAAAATACTTACGCCTAGCAGGCTTGAGCACGATCTCGCATTGGCGGGCTTCGGGTACGGCCGGAGAAACAGAAAGCAAATAACTAGGAGATATAATAGACAAAAGACTTCTAAACAAACGAGCGAAACGAGAGGGGTAGCCATGATGGAGAGATTGAAGCTGAGATTTGGGCAAACGACGAAGCACGAGGCAGCGAGTGTAAAGAAGGCAACAAGCAGGCATTTGCAGCATGCTATGAGCTGGGCGACGTACCATGCAGATATATCTGTATTAGCCAGGCTTTGACGTACTCTAGACGAATCGATATTGACGTCTAGAGCAAGTTTCTTTTTCGATAGCATAAAGGTTCCGGCCAAGAACGTCTCATCCAGAGCCAGGATGTATCAGACCAATGGCGTGAGGTGATAGTGCAGAAATTATAAGACATGATGAACTACGGAGAGTATGGGGCATAGATCAGCACGGGTAGCATGATACTCGTGTACACAACTCTCCGTTTTGATATTCACAATTGTGAGAGGCCAGTGCATTGCTTTACGCATGCGCTCCGTTTCCTAAGAGACGCCACCCGTTGCTACGAGATTCCAAACAGTGCATTCACAATTACCATACTTTCTTTTATTAGTCAGAATGTCGCACCATTGAATCTAACTCGGGATTGCTTCCGGTACGTGTCTCGTCGCAAATACACAGACATTTTGCTAAAGGGAGAACACGGAAATAACAAATAGAAGCGCCCATCTGGCACCATGACTAAACTGTATCGTACAGCGTATCACCACATCTCATCTTCCTATATGCACTATTCCTCCATCTGCACCTGAATCATCTGGACTGATGCCATCGTCGCATGCAAAGCATCCTGATGATATGACTCCCACTCCAATCTACATGTCCAGTATTCGTCCGATTGTCCATCACAAATATGAAGCGGAACTTCCGTGACCGCACGGAAAAGATCACGGATACCATCAGAGTTTTCCTTGTCCATCCGTCGTTTAAGGGAAAGAGCCATTCTCTCCATGACGGTTTGGGTGTTATTAAGCGTCTCGCCGTCCAAAAGCTTGCAGAAATCATATAGGTAAGAACTATGAGTTGGTTCTGACGTCGTGTGTATCCGGCAAGAAAGCATCTTCTGGAAGCTGAGTAAGGCGAGTATCCTTAAACACATTTGTCCAAATGCCTCCTTATTCTGACAGCCACCTATTGTCCGATGGTAAAATTTAGTGCCTTCTGATGAGTTGACCCATTCGCTAATCGCAGGGTCGACCGTATCAGATAACGAGCAGAAGCATAACACCACGAGCATGTCATTCTCAGGCTTCTGTAATGATGGCGCGAGACGATAGATATAAGAACTGCCGTGTATCAGTAAATGGGCATGAAGCGGTTCGGGAATCCTGCTCTTACATGTTGGCTCGTGTGGCATTGACTGTATCGTGCGAGATCGTTTGAACTAGATGAGCCGGAAGGCCATCCACGTCGGGATATCCAATTGGCACATACATGCACATCTGCTCCTTGAATCCCATGACGTCGATCTTGTCAAGGCCTGCGAAGATTGTACATCTTAGTAGAGTCTGCGTCAGTATTTCTTCTTCGATGTTTCCAATTGAAGCAAGTCCTGACTCCATATCGCAATCCAACAAAGTACAGATCATTTCAATATTCTGCTTGGCCGAGTACCTCGTGTCGAATGTCGGTGCAGGGTGACTGATCTCGTCAGAAGCTGCTTCCAAAATTCCTTGGAGAAGCGACACAGTCTGCATCTCGGCCAACGGGTCCAACGCTAGCTGTTCGGACCTTCTCATACACAAACGTTCGAAAAACCGAGACCAGCTTTCCTGGTCTCTTCCAACCATCTCATGGTCGTTAGCATGTTTTAAGTCTTCAAGAGAATGAAGGGCAACAAAAACACAGTACTGCAAAAATCTTCTTCTGACCCCAGCACGGGAGTTCTAGAGGCCATCAGCGGCTGAAACCAGAGATGGTGTATAGGGACAAACCTGGAAGTCGCGTCTGAAGAAGGGCCACCTGACTGCTGCTCGCAAAGAATCGTTGTAGATATTATTCTCATAATATTGGTAGAGACTCTTCACGTGTGTTGCCGAGTAGACCACCCCTGTGACGTGTTGGAGAAATCGTTGTTGAGCTCTCTTGGCTGCGTCGGAAGCACCGTACACATCGATCTCACGCTGGCTTGGATTCCAGTGATGATCGGATACTCGCAATAACGGGAAGTTGATTCTATCGAGCCAGGCCAAGCATCCATTACATATGGCAACAACATATTTCTCAGAATGGTGTCTCCGCCCAGTTATTCCGACAATATGAAGTTGAGGGGTTTCATCAAAGATCGCTCGGAAGGCTTCGAAATCATGAATTAGGATAAGGCAGTTTGTCCACGTTTCGTTACGTGCTGGCTCCTCGAACAACTCGCTAGGTACATGCTCGATTGCAGTTACCTATCAAGTGTCAGTGACTGGCGAACTATCGACAACAAGCTTACTCACCTCTGATGTTTGAACATAGGAAATCCCGTCGTCTAAGACTGCGTCCAGCTGCGTGGTTCGAGGCGAGAGGAAAGTAGATTCCAAGCTCTTGAACTTGGCACTCAAACCGCTGCCCCGCCATAGCCTCACTTTGAGGGAAGTCTCCAGGGCGCATGAATAGGTCTTAGACAACTCCGTTGCGATCTTAGTTAGGATTACATGGGAGTGGATTGGTCGCACGTACCAAATCATCGTGGGCTTTGAGCCAGTCTCGCTTCCCCCTAGTGGACAGTACCCAGCTCAACCCTATTTGCAGAGCGCTAGCACAAATGCTGGTGTAAGCCACTATGGCAAGTAAGGTGGGTGGGATATCAGCAAGCACTGTTAAGTTTAGAAAAAAGAGGAAGAATAGAAGGCTGTGACTCAAACAGGCGAAGACCCAGAAAAAATGGTCAAATGGGGTGCGTAGGGCAAGGTAGAGCTTCAATCCACAGCATATAGCTTGAAAGGCTACGATAGCCCCATATGCGACGGACGCGCCGACGACGTGGCTGTTGTAGACAGGCGAATTCATCTCAGTGAGCTGAATGGAAGACCAAGGGAGACAAACTGTGCAAGAAAGACAGACTGGCAAGGCAACAAATCCACCGGGCAAATTGAAGGTGCATGAGTGTCTGCATTTGTAATTTGTCCTTCCAAGGCATTGACTCTAGAGGTACTCTCCAAAGTCACGTCAGAACTGCGACTCGATACCCTTAGCGCAAGGACTTGCGAATGCAGACATGTGCGCTTTATCAAACAAGGAAAGAAAATCTCCAACATGGCCGTAACTTGGGGTGCATAATATAAGATCGTTGTGTAGTGTTCCAGGCTTTGCTCGATATGAGTTCACAATGGTCGTATAGCATCCTCTTGATTGACAACTTTGCTACTGGTGTCCATATCTACCGAGGTGGAGGGCGAAACGATTACGAGAAGTGGCTGGTTGGTTGTCAAGATCTATCTCAACGACATGAACAAGTGGGCCGTAGAAAGCAATAAACAGACCAAGCCGCAGACGAAGCCTGCATTAAACTGTTGAATTATGGAGCATTTGCTGAAACTCCTGTTAGCTTGACTAGGAATTTAGGTTGATCCCTGCAGACATTTTTCGCAAAATGTCTGCAGGGGTTATCGGCGACTGCCCCCGATTTTTGTTTGTTCTCCAGTGTCATTGTCCACAACCCAAAGCGAACGATGACAGTGACCGGACATAATGGATTCATTTCAATCATGCTGCCACTATCACGAAGTGGTAATCTTCAACGTTATCGTCTGGCTCACAAGAAACATGCCGAGATTTTAACCATTCAGAAAGAGCCTTTTTACAGAGACAATAACTCGAAGCCATTCTATGAGTGCCGTATCTTCTCCATTTCGTGTTGTCACGAGACAGCAATTACCGATGGACAGATTTTTGAGTTTGTGAAGCAATTATACAACGGGGAGGTGGGGGAAGGCTACTGGATTTATAATAAGTAGGCAAAATGCAGCTTAGGGTATTCACTGGACACTGATTCAACATTAGACAGCCGCGTCAAGTACGAAGCGAGTTGCACGATATTCCTTGCGAGAGTTGGGAAGGGACCCAGGAGCATAGTCACCTCAACGACACGGAGACATTACCATCAGAGCACATTTCTATGACAGACAATAACGCACCTAGCACTGAAGCTGAAGGCGCTGAAAAGGATAATGGAGGAGGCAAGCGACAAAGGATCCACGGCGCACATCGGGTCAAATTAACGACCAAGGGTTGCATTCAAAAGGCTGTCAGCAATCCCGATGAAGCGAAAACCGTGTTCGTAAAAAGATGCGCCGCAATGGTCGAGAAAGGCTTGGTGGAGCTAGGACAGACTCACGATACAGTGGGTAAAACGCCAAAATCGAGGAATAAGTCAAAAAGGAGCTTTGGATCGATCGCTGAAGCAAACATCGGGGCAAACCTATCCCAATACCAACAACAAATCCTCACAAAAAGATCACGCACAGATCTGGCGGATTTACTCGAGGCTCATGGTGCAATATTGGAATCGGATTCATGGCGTGCAAACATCTTTAGTCGCTATATAAGGCTCTATTTTCGGGGCCTTGATGAAAAGCATCCGGATAGGGGCAACTGCGACGAAGAACAGTATGCCCAGAAGAAAGCGAGGTTTTGTGAGGTTATGGCTGCGCTTGTGAACAGTCTGGAACCAGTATGGGGTGTTTGTGCACTATTTGTATTCGATGGCTTTGGAGGTACGAAGATGTAAGATGGGAGCATTACGGTTCATGAGTCGCTGACCTTTACAGAATTGAAGTTCAAGGGATCAGAGTGTACAAAGTTTACCCGGCATCACTTCCCTGAAGTGCTGACATCAATCAATGCTTTACTAGACGGTAAGGAAATACAGATCACAATTCCGGAAGATACGCTCGTAACGAATCCAGCCTGGTTCATTAGTTGTGTGACAAACCAAAGGTAAATTGAATCCTCTCGCATATGTTTAAGCTAAAGGTGCCATAGCTGTTCCGATACCTGCACTATGATCGGTCTTGACAAATTCGCATACCTTGACGTCCAGTCTGCTATCGATGACCACGCCACCAGAATCGCGGACCTTGGGTTGCTTTGTGGACGATTCCCTTTGTCGAAGCTCCTCGCTTTGGAAAAAGGAGAGAGAGCAGGCCGGGCAATCAAGCGAGAGGGGGGTTTGCTACACATCACTCTTACGTACCCGGGAGCACAGGTCACAGGTGGAAAGTCTCACGTGCCAGGAGCTATTCCGGAAAATAGTGCGGACAAAAGAGATGACGGCATGACAGGAAATACTCAAGACCACGGATCCGAAGCTGTTGGTGATGCGCCTCGGCGAACATGTCCCTCAGAGACAAATAACGGCGAGCACCCGTCGACGGGTACGAGAAGCTGGTGTTCGACAGGAATGGGCACTATAGACCTCCTAGTGGCAGCGACTGCACATGTCAGCCCACCAACTACGCACCACCCCGGTCAGCAGAATCTTATGGAGCCAACTTCAGCGAGAACCAGCCACATGGTATTCCACGAACAAGAATTCCAGGTATCTGGCTCTATTGAAAGTCGGTCGGGCATCACCTCCGCAATTAATGATCCATGGGTTCCAGGGGATGAAGAATCCTCACAGAGCTTCCAGCAGGCTAGCCAATTGGGAATGTTAATGGATTGGGATTGGGTAACGGCACGGCAAGATCCTATCCTAATAAGTTTGGACGGCATCGGCAGCGGCGGCGTCATCTCGGGCTACGATCTTAATGATCTCGTGTTAGAAAATCATGGTGACTATGAGACAAGACATGGGACTACATAGTCTACCTTTTGCATTAAGCTAACCAAAATATCTGTACGTCCGACTCGTTTGACTCTATGCATCCTGAACCTCACCAACCTGTCTCTGTTCTTTTGGTGTCTCCGATTCCTGTGCCTGTCCGCTCAAATCGCGACTTGCTACACTGGGTACGTTCTTTTTCCAAGCACGAAACATGTAGAACTCCATGACATCATTCTGCCGATTTCCGACTATATCATCTTCGCTCTCCAATATAATGTAAGACTTACTACACCATGAAATTTTCCTCCACACAACTTGCCCATTGTTGGCCGTCGTGTACAGCTCAACCTCGTCAACGTTGTTTACTGGCAAAAAGACAAGGAACACGCTGCTCCAACCTTTCGTCCAACCATAAAGCCTGGTACCACGGGCTCTATATTCATATGAACCTCCGGCCCATTTTGTGATCCGTTCGCGCTATGAAAGGTAAGATCGGGTAGATGAGTATAGCCAAGGGGGACAAACGAGTTCTTCTTCAATCAGATTTTCAATGTCCGTATCTAAAGGAGACCGTACTAGTTGGTACATCGTGGTCTTGTCGTCCGTAACATTTGGGTCTTCAAATTTGATTTTGCTCCAAGCGTCATTTCCGTAGCTACTAGCTTCGAAATCAATAGTTGGGAGCTCCGATTCGACTGGCACGACAAGATTATGCATTTTGAACACTCGTAAACCATAATAGAGTTGTGAAAAATTATCGAAAGATTTTGGACTTTAAATCATAAACCATTTTCAAGAGCTAGATCATGCTGAAACATTGGGCACCGATCCTATCGTCAAGGTGATTGTATGCTGAAGACCCCAACATCGACAATCTTCGCTTCTTCAGGCATTAACGGAAAAAATAAACACCGATACGCACTCATCTGCCAGCAGCTGGCAGCAATCCCTAAGTAAATGACAACGGATATTATTGTCATACCAAACCAAATTGTTGCTTGATTGTAGTGTGATTTTTTGCCATTGAAAAAGAAAGAAGAAAATAAATCCACGCGTCTCTCGAGCTCTTGTTCATTTCGGCGGAGCTCTTAACATAGATATGGTAACGATCAAGAATGCAAATTCAACTAAAAATAAGAAAAAGCCGATAAGTGCATGTCTATTGTCAGACGACAAACTATGAGAATGTTAGTCGAAACCACGAGGCTATTCTTCCAAGCTTACTACAGAATTAAATTTTATTTCTTAACCCCTGGATCGCCACCTGAGCCGATTTCTGGCGTCGGTGGTGGTGGTGGTGGTGGCGGCGGCGGATTGCTGCTATTTTGGTTTGCAGTAAACATAGTAGTAAATATACGTGAAATTCAAGGTAACTTTTCATAAATTAACAGCTGCACTGGTCTAGATATTTAACGAAATGATGAAGGGAAGGTTGGAGAAAAGAAACAAGGCAGCAATCATGTTCATTTACCTAGTGACTTAATCAATGGTTGGCTTAGACAATTGCGTTAAACTAAAGTCTTTGAAAATATGGCAGATCCAGGGATCAGATTGACCAAGAGAATCACAATGAAGATTTGACTGAGATGTTGTAGGATTAGCTACTGAAGGGTTCACCCAGTCTACCAATATGAAGGGATATATTTATACATATGTCTTCTTCTATTATAGAACTGCCAAGCGCAGCTACGTAGATAATGCCAATTTCAGACTAGAGGACGTTCAGTGACAACACGTTCGAGGTCTAGCTGGCTGATCGACAGGACGCATGTATACACGGTCATAGAAAAGGCTAGTACGCTTAATCCTAGATCTACAGAGCGCAATAATGACATTTATCCCTACTGTGATTACTCCCGCTTCATGCGGAGCAGTACTAGTTCAGTGCATGATGTGTATTACTACAAGAGCTATAGCTCGACAACTCACAATTTTAGATATGCATAAAACCGGAAGTTTCCACAACACAAGGGCTATCCCAGCCCATGTAAGTTTTTAAAATGCAGCTAACATTCATACATTTTGCATGATAGACTCGGTTAAGATACATGGTAGGTGACCGCAGATGAATATTCTGACTATCCAAAATGAAATCATCTAAATACTACGTACTAGAAATTGTACAGTACTCTGACTGTAGCTTGCTAAAAGCACGCACGTCACAAATGTATAGGAACCGTTATCAACAAACCTCAGCCGCTATACACGCAGAGCTACACTTTCATCGTTGCCAGCAAATAGCGAATCATGTAAGATTGATATAGGTAATTTGGGTTGAACCAGATACTTGGTTTCAATTTCACGTATCATTCCACCGGGGGTTGAATTCTGTCACCCTGTTCGGAATTCTACGTACCTCTTTGATCTGTTGAGTGAGAGATGGTTCTATTAGCACTGTGTCGAAAAACTCCCGGGGTGGGGGCGGAGGGTTGAATTTTGTCACCCCCCTTGAATCCCCCGGCTCCAGCTCGCGCTCAATAGAGTTTGAATAGACAACCGTAGATTATGCGGAAACTCCGTTAAGAACGGATACGCGACGTTCCGTCTCACTACTAGCTCATTCGCGGGTCATAAATCATCCGAAATACATTTCTTATGTCGGAGCAGTCTGGTTCCCCTCCTCGCCCCAAGCATTTCGCGAGAGGGGCCTGGCTCCCCTACTCGCCACAAGCATTTGCGTTAACACCACTTGTCACGATCAATCCTCTTCCCGTGGATGGCGGAAGTCGAAACCCCCACGGGAGATGCGAGCGACGCGCTATGCAACTACGGATTTTTCGGGATACAGGATGCAAGTGTAGGTGATCGGGTACAAGAGAAACAAAGCAAAGGTTTTCCTTGTTTATCTGAAGAGGGGTTGGAATTTCTCTATCTCAACTTTCTAAGTGACCAGGTACGTACAATGTCTAAGTCGCAACAACGTCGAATTTCATTGAAATAATTCCTAGCGCATAATTGGCCCGATCAAGACTTTTCTACCCAAGTGCGCCGTAGGACGGTACCGAGAATTCCGGAGCGACCGAGATCATATCTTTCAATTCAGGAAAGGAGGCGAGTCGAAAGCGAAAGTCTTCGTGAGTCTACTTTGGAAGCCTGGATCCGAGGTGGTGTTTTACGGCCGTTCACACCTACATACACTTGCCTCGGTCATCGCATCAAATGGTTTATTTGAGGTACCGCTCGCTGCGCTCGAAGCGGCGGGTTGTAGTGAGGGAACACTGCTTCGTTTCGAAAACGGCGGCATGTGAGTTAGGCTATTCGTATACCAGAGCTATCTGACCAGGAATATAGAACAGTTCACGATTCACGAACGTGTGTCGAATTCAGAAACTCCTCACCTATCGCTGCCGTCTTTGGCGCACAGGAAATACTTGCCAAATGGGGCAGAATGAGTCTTGCTCCGGATTTGGCGCAGAAAGTGTCGAGCATATCAGACAAAGACGTTTGGCTACATGTAATCTTTGCATAGATAGCGGACTGCCGTCAATAGCAGCCCGTGCGGCCTAGAGCTATGAAGCCCATTCTATCTCTGAATTGTCAAGACCCTCGGGCATATGAATCGAATTTACTACACGAACATGTGTCCCAGGCTGTATGTGTATTGGGTCAAAAATGGGAGGATCGAGAACGTCGGCTTGTTGTAAGGTATTGTGGAACAAGGGAGGAGCAAACAAGTCTACGGTGTCGCCAGTGAATGCGAAAGAGCGCGGACACTGGTCGAGGCCGTATGTAGACTGCACTATTTCAATAAGCATTAGATGTAGCTTCAATAGCTAGGCTCGAAGTACATACTGAGGGGATCTTGACTGAGACGCAAAGTCGGGAACGCATCTACCTCATTTGAGCCTATGTTGTGTCTCTTGCTAGAGGAGAGGGCCTCTTCAGTGTCGATCAAAGCTCTCTTTCCCAGGCTGGCAATGCTACAGCTGGTTGAATTGGATTCCCGCAACAGTCGGTCCAACTCCTGCTCTGCCTGGGCACGTAAATCATTACGCGTTTCTAGCATATATCGGTATTTTCGTTCGTTGTTTCGGGCGTCGTTCTCGTGTGATTTGAAATGTCTGATGAAGGTGCTCGCACGCGTGAAATCTTTCGGGCAAACTACGCATAGAACACAGCGCTCCAAGCAGGACATGTCTGCTTGCAAAGTTGTCAGGTATGTCATGCAGCAACACGTCACGACTCACGCGTCTCATAGTGGATTCGAAGATCTCTTCTCCTGCGGAAGACTTTGCCGCAGCCTGCAACAGGACATGACCGTGCAATCAGAGGCTGCCTAGTCTCATCATCATCTGTAGCAATGTTGTTTGATAACCTGTTGATTCGAAGTGAATGCGATCGGCATTGTTCCAGTTGCAGGCCTATGCGCTGTTGGTCGAATTTTAGTCGTCCTTCCTCAGCCTTCAATCTATCTTCCTCAGACTAAGACTAGCTATTAGCAATTGAAATAGTGAATGGCTCCGAACTAACATGGTATTCATCAAGATGTGCTATGAGGTGCTTGTTCAACAAAAATGTTTTCCAACATGTCTGGCATTGTAGGTGTGTACTGAAATGGCCTTTTACCATAACCTCCATGCTTAATGCAATTGGAGAAGGGAATGGAAAGAGCGAGATGATGTTGAATTGATAGGGAACCAATGATGGAAAGCTTTGGGCGTTACCTATTAAAGTTGGGCCACAAAGAATAGTGGCCAGGTCATCTGATCAGCACCCACCATAAATATCCGACTTGCCCCGAATATTGGGCTGCGATACAATCAACATACTACTTCAAAACGTACGGATTTACCAGCAAACTCTCATTCTTGACCATTGCACAGAAACAAGATATGTCAAATGGGGGATGTCAGGAATGCGGCGGCTCAGGAATGAAGGATAACGCTATCTGCGGTACTTGTGGTGGAAAGGGAAAGTAGCAGGTGAAACTTCTTCGTCGCAACTCATCAGTTCGGTAAGTCTGTACCCTAAGGAAATAACTGGTTGACAAGAGCTTACCGACTCCAAGATCATGTTACCACCACATTCGCCGCTGTGCTACAGTTTCAAATTTTAAATAAAAACATCGAGTATCCCAGCATTTCTTAGCAATAGAGGACAGTGATATCGGATTCAAGCTCAGGAGCAATATGAAATTATCTAGACAATGGGTCACATGTTGTACAACGCGGGACGGTTTCGCTAGCATGATCCGTTTTAACATTTGTCATACATCTTTATCGCTATCATGTATGCAGCTAGCATACTTGTGGATCTAACCCAATTATGCCATATTAACAATGAGATTAAGCTTAATGCGGCTGGGAGGTTGGAGTATATTCGGAACCGTTCTTAGTCCCGTGCAACACACTATCAGATGTTCATGTAGTGAATCTATCCAGTTCGCATGAATAATTCGACAGGAAAAGTCCTGTAAAAAGTGACTACTCGGTCTAAGATGCCTTAGTGTTATGCTGATTTGATGTGAGGGTGGAGGTTTCATTAGCCCAATCGGATCGATCATCCTGTGAAAAGCGCGCTTCACAGTGCACTACAGTTCTCAAAATGCACCCTACAGCTGCCTACAGCCTTCCAAGCCAGGGGTTGCGCTTTGTCACCCCCTTCAAGCCAGGGGGGTTGCGCTTTGTCACCCCTTCAAGCCAGGGGGGTTGCGCTTTGTCACCCCTTCAAGCCAAGGGGGGTTGCGTTTTGTCACCCCTTCAAGCCAAGGGGGGTTGCGTTTTGTCACCCACCACGTTATGGAAATATATCAGGTACATATCCCAAAGTGAGAGGCATCCTTGGTAGCATCCGTGAATAGGACGTTTTAAAGCACACAGATGTATAAATGATTGCACGAAGAGGCCTTGCGTATTGCAAACGTTGTGTCCTTCGATTGAATTCCTACAAACAGTCATCTCATTCCTTTCATCAGTCGATTTTGTCGCTTGCGAATCTCCCTAAATAAAAAATGTGTGTCGATATCTCTGCAACCACAGGCGTTAGTCAAACTTGACTGACATATTTTCAGGTGCATAATCATTACCGACTACTACAGCTGTGGTCACGTCCAGGGGACTAGAATCGATAAAACCGGCTGTCCTCAGCCAGGTTCGTGTCTTCCTACTTACCGAAACGGTAGGACGTGGACCTACAATTGCGGCGCGCAGGCTTGTAACACCCCACCCTCATCCTGAGCCCGAGTGGCGCAAGAAGACTAGAACTGTGGTCGCAATCAGGTTTCCAGAATACCAAATGATGGAATTTTGAAATTGGGCCAATGTTTAAATGGATATTTCATGATAAGGATAACATGAGCTTGTGAATAGTCTATATGTCCAGGGGTTGCGGATATCCTAAGCTCAGCAAGCGACACAATTTATGCTTAATAATAATTATTCACAACGTTATGGAAAACTTAGCCTGTATACCGTTCAGTCAATATAAACGTCTCAGCCTTGAGACGAGTCCGCTTCACCTTGAGTACTGCTCAAGGCCAGCCAGGTAAAGCTTTGACTCCTCGTAGTTTCTCTTCCAATAATCTTGATCTAACATGTGGCACCAAAGTTGTCTCCTGAACTCACCTGATCAGCATCCATATATTCAAGCCACTGCTCAATCACACATCTTCCCAGAAGACACGAGATGCATGAAAGATCCCACAGTCCCTGTCTAGGCCGCATCATCAGTGGAATGCAACGCGCGTCATGCACCCTCATTAAGCACCCAACACCCACGAGCCCAGGCCACATGAGGACTCCAAGCCACAGCAGCCCTGCTTTGGATCCAGAGAGAAGCTACGCTAATAACTCAAATTAGTTCGTTCGGGAATTTTGCTTACAGGAGGCAGGCCCTGAAAAAACTGTAAGGAATCTGGTACCTAAAAGGCTGTTTCCAAAATCGACTTGATGGTCAAAAAGAAAGGCCGGCGATCAGGATGAAGAAAGTGGATGTTACCTGATTAGGCGGACGAGCGTATGGCCCGTAGACCAGTACCACAACACTATACAACTGAACCATTCATAATTAAGTCATTGCGAGATCAGCCATAGCTCTCCTCTCTGATACAAGAGTATTCACCCGCTCGCGATCTTGGGTGCCCCTCCTTTTCTGACAACATCTTGGCACAGCTAAAACTTTCTGACCTTCGAATTCTTTCACATTAACTACGAATGGTAACCATGTATTCGCATATAAACCACCGTCATTCTCGGTTTCGATGATGTTAATCTGTAATACTTCCGGATCGCATTCGTTCGCGGGTACGAGGTGGTCGAATGTAACACCATAGTAATCAATGCGACTTATGATGGTTAGAAACAGAATGCCTATTGATGACAACGTTTGCGTACCTTAATGGTTTTTCCACTATCCAGCCAAGATATTCATCTTGCAAAACCACATCATCAGCCTTTGGTCGTCGCCCATATATGGCTTGAAAGGCGAGGCTCGCAAGTGCTGGGCCGGCCGGTTGTGGAAACTCCAAATTGGTAACATCATTAGTATGCCATGATATCGCTGGCAATAGTCTCTCAATGGCTATCGTCGGACCTTCGATTTGGATTCTCAGTGGTATCTCAAACACTGGAGGATGGAGGGGATGGGCTGGAGATCTTCTACATTCCGGGATGCAAAGTCTGAGAGCCATGAAGATCGTTCTAGTTCAAGAAGTAGCAAGAATTTCGAACGACTGTGTGTTGGAAGGTGGTATGGGGCTTTGACACAATCCACCCATGAAGTGAGGAAGATTTCAGGGACGAGGTGGCCAAGCTCCAAAGATTAAATGGAGTGGCTAACTTGCTCCAGCCACAACTCCAACTAATTTAAACCATTGCCGGGAGCGACAACCACATTAAGTTATGTGGCTGCGAATTTAGTTCCATGCCTCGTGCCACAGCTAGTGCCATATTTAGTCTCCGCAGATCGATCCATTGATCCCAAGTAGCTGTGGCGGTATGTACTTAAGTACCTCACTCCAACTCAACCTCGCTAATGTACCCATAGATAAGCTTGATTACGAATTTGACTATGGGGCATTTGAAAGCTGCCCTGCTAAACTCGACGATGCATCTAAGTACCACGCCCTGCACGCTTTATTTCGATCCCGACTTATGGACCTGGCCACAAGGCCAATTCGCGATACCCGCTAATCCATAAACGTTCTCGCTAATTCGAATAACGCACGGATGCATAGCCCGTTTCTACATAGGCCCACTGTTTTTAAATGTCATATCTTGCCTTTGCGAAGTCTTCCATTACATTTCTTAGCAAGGAGTCTCGGAAGAAGAAACGTAATGCAAAGGTGGATGACAATATTCTCAAAGACTGATACATAAAATATTGCCATGTATATAACGTCCCGGTATGTTAGAACAAGACCTTGAAAGGGAGAACAGCCGCTACAAACTTTAGGAGGACAACAGCTTGCCAGGCTGGTTTTGGTGCCCTGTGTGCATTGTGCTACGAATCGTTTCCAAAAAGGATACACGCTTCGTGACGGCAAGTTACCTCCAACTTTAGGGCTCGCGAGAGTCGGGCTTAGCCGAATTATTGCAAGGGGATTATTGTCCAAACTGGTTCTCGCCTTCGCCGGCTGGTTGAGTATTTGTCTTGAGGTCAGTATATGCTTATTGCGAACAGGGTGTTTACTGGATTTTGATTAACCAAATCCAATTACAGCGTCTAGAAACGAGGATAGAGCTTACCGCATGCCGGGAGACGTACGCCACCTGCAACTAGATCCTTGCCAGAGTGTCACGAATCATTTTCATAACATAGGCCAACTCATTCTCGGTGTTAGCTAGGTGAGTATATGACCATTAGCGGACTTTTTCAAGGATAGGTCATGCAAGGCGTCCAACAAGGATGGAAGATTTGCATGGGCCACTTCGGATTCTTGCCTAGAGTTCAGCAGACCTATTGACCGAGGTGTCGCTAATGAGCGATCATCATCATCCATGTAATGAACCATGTTTCTCGTTGTAACAGCTGGAAGCACTGCCGCGATCCGTGCAGTTTACGCTTGTGGGACTTCGGCTAGGAATGGATGCAGAGAAGCTCACCAATAGAGTCTATTCTTGCAAACCCAATTGGCTCGTCTTCAATTGCCCATGTTGGCATGCTTCAAGTTACATTGCATACGAGGCGCAGCAGGCATAAATGCCCAAAATCAATCACAGCCAGTCTGACGAATGGTACTTTAAAAGGCTGGCCGGAAGCTTGTTCCGACAATGTCAACGTCAAGGTGCATGTCCAATAGGGCATATTCGGCCAGTGCCAACCTAATTAACGAGACCTGGAACATTCTGCTGGTTGAAACCCCTGATGTATCTTGAGGATGCAACCTCACTAATGCTCAATGCATGGCCCGGTTCATCTCTGCGCCGAGAATATTGTCCTAGGCTGTAGTTGAGTAGTTTTGTATGTCCTCCTATAGTATTGAGTGAACGAATCTGTTGGTTGAATTCACAGCCGGCATGTTGACGCGGCGCAAGTCTCAACTCTGTATCAAGCAGAGACCTTTTGTGGAAGATGGTGGAATAAGCCGGCTGCATGTTCAGACTAACAGAAGTACATTGCTAGTGAAAAATCTTTTCTTATTGCTGGTTTTTTTCATCTTGGTCAATCTTTATATAAACTAGGCAGAATCCCTTAAGAACACTACCTCTCTCAACAACGCCAACAGTGTACAAAGAGTCTTTTTAATCATTGTTCCATATCTTATGCACTTCAGTACCAGTCACAAAAATGACTGATAATGGAAACAGTAAGAACACCTAGCCCATATGAGGATTTATACTTACCAAATGAAGACAGAGGATACTTGAGGGTAGCTGACATGGCTGCTTCTCCTGATACTCAAGCGGGACAAACGATGACCCATACGACTATACCACCGCCTTCGCAAGGGTCGAGCTGTACAAACCGGGCGAAAGACTGTGTTTCAGGGGGGTGTCAATGGCAATCCAGCACTTGCACTGGAAAGACTGCATGTGGTTGTGGGTGTACTGCACTTGTTGCCGCCAGTGTCCTTGGATGCGCACATTATATTTGCCATGTTTGAATGACGCTATGCTAGGTTTAGTGGCCCACTCATTATATGTAAAGCCTCCTTTCGAGGAACATGGGCCTAGCTGAGATTCTGCATTTTTACCTTGGGTAAGGGAATGTCTCAAATTTTCCGTTTCTTGGGCACTGTAAATCAAGAAAAAAATAGTTTGATTCAAAAACATATGGCGTCGCGGGGGACATTGACTTTATTGTATCAGTGGACGGCCATTCTGGTGTAACCGAGATTTTGGTCACTTGAGTGAAAGGTGATAATCACAAATCCTTATTAGAGCCTTATAAGGACTGGATTATTTACGAGCAGCGATTTGAGATATATCCTTCACAAATGATTGCTCACTTGAAGTTACACCGGGTCGATTCCTCACTCAAACAGTCCGTTGTACGGCAAGCAGCCTCACGCGGCCGTCGTTGTTGCCTTACTGCCTGTAGGATCTCGAAGTTCATTAACTGGTCCTCGTCCTTTCTTTGAATCATCATATCTATATAGGCAGGACAACCATGAAGGAACTCCTCCATGTGATAATTTCGATCGTTATGCGCGATGCTACAGAAGTGCCTATGTAGCAGCTGATAGGATTGAGCAAATGTTGGGTGTATTGATAGCAACCCGCAGATCTGGTGACTTTCGTAGACTCTAGTCATTAGGTCTGTAATCTTTTGAACAGATGACCATGATATGGCGAAGAGTGACGCCATGTTAAACAAAGAACAATTGCAAATTCTTTTTGGAGGAAGCGAAGTAATATGATTACTACTTGCATAAAAAGACTATCGTACATAATTCGCCTGAGAGTCCTGTCTTCTATCAATAAATGATTCTCCCATAAACTTTTCAGACATCATTCGAACCGGATAGAAGTAAGATTTGGCGAGGTATCTTGACGTGGCTTGTTTGAACATTTCCTCTGATCGTTTCCAAGTAAGCCGAAAGCATAGCCGATAGGCTGTAACATATTTGTGTCTCGTCCAGCGGAACAAGTGCGAGCCAAATACTTGTGAAAGAGCGCTCTGGGCCTAGCAAGATTTCACTTAGTTCTGCCACATATCTAAGGAATGACCGAGCTAGAGAATCTCTAATTCCCCATAAACATTGTATCACAAGCAACGTTGCGATAGGTAGGAAAGGAGGTTGGTATTTAACCAAGACCCTATACCGGTCGAAACTTTCTCCGAGTATCGGAAGATCAATATCGTAATTTCGGTTCTGTCGAAGGTAGCCAGCTGTTCTCTCAGCCCTAACCCACCATATGAAAGAGGCGTCTTGAACCCAATTGTAGTCGGTGGCTAGCAAGTCCCAATCGTCTTTCTCCAAACAGCTTTGGGTGTAAGTCTTTATTGCTTGAATACAGATCTCGACTGCTTCATTGTAGATTGGTAGGATAGATAATGATGGGTTGTGAGAGCATAAATGTGTAGAGGCGTGTTTGCGATTCAATGTAGAATTGGTGTTATCGATTCTTCTTTTCAATCTTTTGGAACCTATGCGTCGCCCATTAATAATGGGAAGATGTATAGGAATGCTCTGATCAGATTGATGCATCAATTCTTTTTCTTGACCGCTGGTCAAATTCTTTGTTAAGCCCCAAGATTTCAAACGTGATTTATACATTTTTGGACTGGTGCTCGTTAGCAGACTGAGAGGCCATGACTTGAGGCAATGCTAGGATAACGTACGTAGCGATTAATTCATGTTTTCGTTGCATGAAACTTATCACCTCCTTCAATGTCATGCCTTGCTCCCAGTAAAGCTTTGTGATGATTCCTCGGTGAGATTCCCAATCATGCTTTTGAGCCCATAATTTAGAAGTATCGATTGGAAGTGCCATTACGCAGTACCTTTTGTTTTGTTCCGCTTTCCATCGATCATGCCAGTTGTGGCGAGGCTACGGGTACCAGAAAAGGGAAATAAGTGAAGAAGAACGAGCCAGCCGAAAGGCACTAATATATATACAGTTGGCCACCCCGGCTTGCCATGTATGCTTTCGTGCGGTGATTGGCTGTAGGCAATTGCGAGCCACACATATGTTATTTAACGTGAGAGCAAGGGAAATATGGTTCAACGGAAAATAAGGCATGGTAGCTGCTATGTACACACTTTGACTTGTAAAACAAAGACCAAAATGGGCCAAGATCTGGGAAGAGTGGCGCTATACAACTTTCTCCGATACATATACATATTTGGTTTAGCTATTCCAGCTGTAGATGCCAACTATTAAAGCCATCTCTGCTCATATCCAAAGTACTTTTCACCAAGTAGTGGGACCTTAGCTTCATCGTTAAAGCTTTTCCAAATGGAAACGGCCATGCTTTGACTGAGACGACTCTTTAACCAGTAACGTAACCACACTGATATAGATGTTTACCTGCCGACGATAATGACGGGCACTGTCATCTGTTCAAATCCCAAGACCCATATGGGTCTTCGGCATCAACGGGGTAATAGAGTACGACTGTCTTTGTGATTATTCTTGTAGACATGATTATCAAAACATGTATGAACATTGGCGATTGTGTCAAAAAATTATTGATGGATTTTCGACCGATAACAGCTGACTAAATGGGTAACGAAGCTCAACTTCAAGTTGACCTAGTATACTTCCTAATCTTGTCATAAGATCAAGTAGCCGATTCACCTTGATAATACCAGAAAGGCCGCTAAGGCAAGGATATTCTAATTTGGCCTCTGTATGACCACAGCGGTTGCTTGCTGTGATCGCAGCTAGGCTGTCGAGGATTCCTCCAAAACAGCTCTTCTAGAGACTGGTCCCATAGCGAGGCCGGCCGAATATATGGATGAACCCGCGATAATCTCAGGGGAAGCAGCGAATTGCGTAGGATCAAGGCTGATTTTGAAGTTCCGGGCCTAGGACTCAAAGGTGAAAATAAGCGCCGATATTTGTAATGTTATATGTTAATAGGCATAGACCTTGCTGTATGGTGCCGTTATTTTTAACATTTGGCATTTTAAATGAAAACTGCCATCCACTAAACTACCATCTGCCACTAATCCACTTTATTGCCATTCACTAAACTGCAGCCATGCACTAATCCCCCCATCCACTAAACTGCTATTCACTAAATTGCATCCATGCACTAATCCCCCATCCACCTCACTGCCATCTGCCACTAATCCACCTCACTGCCATGCACTAATCCCCATTCTCCAGCTTCGATCATCTCAATATCCCCCTCTTCATCGAGTTGGTGTTTCTCTGCACCCAAGCATTTCGTACTGCGGCGTGCATCGATAAAAGTAGCTAACAAAAGGTCTAGTCGTATTGAATTGCACTTGTTTTGAGCACATGCTGTGGCTAAATCGATGAGTTCTGTCGCCTCGTCAATGATTTTAGCTGGATACGAGCGTTTGACACTTTGACCGAGAGCCCGCAAAACGTCGAGTTTGTACGAAAAGTCTCGACTAATCCGGTCAGTGAAATGAATATAGGCAACATCAGCAACTCACATGATATTTTCAGGTTGGTCATGGATTGTAAGCACTAGTGGAATCAAGGAACCTTCTGCGAATGCACTCCAACGGTTTGCAAGTCGCCAGCGCATCCTCAGTTGCCGAGTCGATGTCATTGGCGAAACAACCTGCTTTTGGATGCCCAAAGCGATACTTCTGACACTCTTACCTCTTTCGCTGAACTTGCGATCATATCGGCTTTGTTGAACAATCGCCAACAAGTCGTGTATCATTGCTGCCAGTCGCCAAAAGCTTATTCTAAGCATCCAGGGTTGAGCGGCAGGGTCTATCAAGAATCTGTCTAGAGCCCTGAAAGCTTCACCAACTTGTTGAGCGTCACTAGACATTGGGAATCTTGTCTCTTGGAGTAAAGCAACGAGATAATGGAATAACGCTTGACTTTCAGCCATTGATACCAAGGGTGGTTTGGTAATATGCTCGACAACTTCACGGATCTGGTCATGAGTCACGTGGCACTGTCGATTTCTGGGACGCTGCCGATTATGACGAGCCTCGTCCATTATAATGGCTGTGTATCGATCGTTTCTACCGATTAATCTCAAGCCGGTGAGGTTTACAGTAATAAGTTGGTAAACCGAGGGGCGTTTTAACTGCGTTGATATAAGTATTGATCAGCTAAGCTATATTTAACCTGAACCCGATTCGACTTTTAAAAATCGGCATCGGTACCTCACCAATTCAAAAGCATAGGGACTCCTGCTTCTTGGAAACTGGGATATTTAATTGTAAGCCAAGGTAATTTATAACGTCATGTAGCTTCATCTGGCATACGTGATCATAGCATAGAACATGATTACATTAGATCAAGTAAGTTTTATTCCCTTAAATCTACGTTAAATTGTTGTCCCTTCCAGTTCGTCCCTGTTCTGTATCCTTAAGATTAAGTCCCCCCATAATACATGCAACTTGGTCGATAGTCAGATGTGATCGCTCGCTGGGTTCTTGCACTGTTTGGTGTTTAGCCGTTATGCTGCGAGGTAATGTTTTGCCGATAAACAGTGGTAGTTTTAACCGTCTTCTCTGTCTGGTCTGTTTCTGTACTGTATGCCATATAGTCCTGACATGTCCGCGTGGTATTTCGCGACACATCAAAGTCTTAGCTTGAGATAAGGTATCCATAGGAAAAGGCGTAGGCGGGCGGTTAAAGGGTTTAAAGCCATCCTGAGGTTGCTCCATATCGACGTCTTGAGCTTCGGCCCTGCACTCAAACTTAGGAGACCATTTTACTTGGTGATTGTAATCAGGCATGGGGATATCAGAATTAACATCCATAGTATGACCGATTTTCTAATGAACAATCTTTAAGGTGAAGTGTCACTATGAGGATTCTTATATGATAGTCGTTGCTATTTCCGATACTTTAAGCGCCAAAAAAGAAAAGTGGGTGGTTACAAGGATTATATTTAAATCACAAATTGTCGTTTCTAGAGGCAATTAATGATAACAGATGTACTCTCAAATCAAGTAGCGACGTTCCACACACCATAAGAACTCGTTCTGTAAATTATGAACAAGATGATGCGGAATTTACAGAGTGAAGTGGCAAGGCTTGTAAGCTTAAGTGCTGCATGGTGTAAGTGGAACTCCTTAGTGGATTGTTTCTCTAATCAAAGATAGATCAGGTGGCAGCGGCCATACAGGGTTTCTTTTGGCCAAAGATTTTTTGGGACTTTCAGACGAGGATTATGGATATCCTAGTGACGCCTTTACCGATTCTGCAAGTCATTAACTTGGTTTGTGGTGTTGTTGTCATTTTATGGGAATGGCCGTGGAGACCTGCGACCGCAATCTCATTTCACAGGCTAATTTATAGCCATATTCTCGTTCTCATGATTGCTGCCCTACCAGCATGGCTCCTTTATCAAGGTACTAATGCGGCGATATATTATCATATCGGAATGGCATTATACTTGATAGCATTAAGGAAGGACTGAGGACTGAGGATTGAGGATTGAGGATTGAGGACTGAGGACTGAGGATTGAGGATTGAGGATTGAGGATTGAGGATTGAGGATTGAGGACTGAGGACTGAGGACTGGGGATAATATTGTTTTTGACTTTCATAGTAAGCTAGTTCTATCTACTACTAAGGTATCAAACTATCATTTCTCAATACCAGTTGTTGGGAAACAGCTCTTATGATGCTAGCCCTGGGTTGTGTGGAGACTGCGGGGCATCCTCAGTGTACAAACACACGCACTGCCATATACTACTGCCATACTGCCATACACTACTGCCATAGCACTGCCACATCACAACATGTATTGCTGCCATATCAATGCCATGCTACTAGCATACATTACTGCCATATCGATGCCATGCTACTAGCATACATTACTGCCATATCACCCACTTACCACTGTTTTAAGCTTCTGTCCTGCTGCCATGTCGCTTCCATTCTATTGCCATATCGTTGCCATGTTTCTACCAAACAACGCTACCATACGCAGCCATAGTAATGATAGTGTCTGCCACCCTAAGAGCCAGCTCTATGGGGGGCAGTTTAGTGCCATATTTCTCTGCTCAATGGCGTACTCGTTTGCAGCAGTATCGTGTGCAAACTGCATGATTTGTTCCATTTCCAAGATGTGTGCCTCCGAAAACAAGTGTTTCAAGTTTCTTCCGACGGCTCCTAAAATCTCCATGGTATGAGATAAATCGCGGCTGCATAGATCAGCGAAATTTCTGATGTTCACGGGTGTTAACTCACATGATTATCTCAGTCCTGCCCGGCGCCGCAAATAGAAGAGGAATGAGCGAGTTTTGGGAGAAATTGGTCCATCGCCTGGCAGATCTCTGATGAGCTAACAATTGTCGTGTCGATAGCATTGATGCTTCACCTTGAATGCCGGTGGCGATTGTTCTATTGCTTTGACTCTCCCTATTGCCCAGGGTGCCATTATCCCTTTCAAGTTGGATACGCGTCATTAAATCTTTGTCCATCTGTGCCAATCGCCAAAAAGCGATTCTGATCCTCCAAAATCTGGCCGTGCGGTCGTTTACAATGTTATTAATAACCTGAAATGATTTGATGATTCGTTGGTCATTACTGGCGGCGTAGTATGGGAATTGTGTCATTCGCAATAATGTAGTTAAGAACTGAACCAGCTTTCCTTTATCACTTTCGGATACTAAGGCGTTTTGTTTCAAACGTGAGGCTACTTCATAAACATTCTCGTGAGTAACACGGTATTGTCTGTTCCGCCTAGTGATTTTACGGCGCTTTAGTTGGGTAGTAGATTTACCCATCGTGTATAATGTTGAATCTAATGGTAAAGCCCATCTCCCGAGAGTTATAAGCTGATCGTTGTTTATATGTAATAACTCATTCCCAACTAGCAAAGATTCCTTGAGATAGAAATGGATACTGCATCGAGGTTTATTTGTTAAAAATGCTGAATTAGTGCTAGAAATAACAAGCGCCAGAAAATGGCCTCTATCCCCATTTCAACCTACTTGGTTTTAAAAGACAAACTACTATAACGAACGTTTAGCGCCACCAGAGCTCAGGGCGATATACAGTGTTTAAATGGCAAATGGTTGCAAGCGCAGCTCTATTCCGTCTCCGATGCATTCCGCCGGTCCTCCGCCCACGGGCACCGGGGGCTTGTGACCGGGTCAGACGATAAACCGAGCGAGCTGAGCAATTACGGAGGGGATTGACAAAAAGGTGGTGGAGGTGTGGGGCGGTCAGCATTGTGCCTCTGGGCTTGCGGCGCTATATCCGGGTTCATTTCGTACCAAGCCATGATCCATCAGTTTTCGCATCGCCAATGGCTACCAAATCAGATAGCAATAACCCAACAACTCAAGCTCCATATCATTGTCTTCCAATCTTTTCCTAGCGGCGACGTGGTAATCGAAACATGTACTCCTCCTTGGACCAGGACACTTTGCCGAGATCACACAAGGCGGCTGTTGGCACTTCAGACCTCACAAGGCTCAATAGTCTGTTCGAATTGGCGGGCCTGCATATAAGCGCAAGCAATCAATTGAAGACCGGCGGCTACGCGTCTGTAAATCACTCTTGACCTCAATATGATTAGCCATGATTCTGATCGAGGAAAATGTTCGAGGCGACCGGGGAGCCCGGCACATGATGATTCACAACTAGATTGGTACTTTTGTTGAGATACCGTTAAAATTGAATCGGGGGGGAGGGGGTGTTTGTCGCTATAGGTCAGCCTCTGTGCTTGGGGCCGAGAGCCGTCTTGAACTCAATCCCCCCGAAGAGGTCTCGTGTTATTTTTTTGTAACCCAGCGGCGATCTAACGTTAGGAAAGCGTAGGCGCTATCCGTCCTAGAATGGTTCGGTGCGTGTAAAGCGGAGTAGCATCATCACCAAGCCACCGCTTATTGCACTAGCTTAGCTTACCGAACGGCCGGAACCAATTGGATCTCGTCCTCCGTATTCCTTGCAGCGTGCTGCTCAATCACACGTTGAGGTACCTAATGCTGCCTTCGGATCGCGCGAATAATTGTGTCACTCCACGCTGCCCATCCCCTCGGATAGTCTGGCATTTCATGGACCAGGGCATTTCAGGGGATCAGCGATAGCAAACAGGATCGGTATGCCTGTTTTATATCAAAGGATAATCTTATGTGCAAGTTGAAATAGGATAGGACAGGGCCCAAGGCTTCTAGACAGCCAAAGAATCGTGATTTATGCAAATTTAAGCAATTGTATTTGTGAGGGCGAGGTGGATTTTGTGTTGAAAAGGAAGTATCTGCATTTTGGCCTGCCAAACAGGGTGGCTTAATACGTAGGGATGGACGTTAAGTAGTTATATTCGCCTTCGAGGTTACGTTATCCTTTCCACTAGCATCAAAGCGCTCGTCCAACCCACTAGATAGATAAGACAATGCAGCACGATATACAATAGCCTTGGCGACAACAAGCAACTCTCGCTGGTCTAAGCCCTGCTCTAAGGCTTCATCATCCTCATCCAGCAACTCATCGTTCCATACTTTGTTTCGGACTAAACCATGCACATCATAATCCTTCTTAATGGCCATAATTGTCTCCCACGAGTCTATTATGGTAAGCAAAGCAATCCGGATTGAAATGAATTCTTCATCCGGGGTCTCCAAAAAACGACAGAGCTCTTTGTATACAGTTTCGTCAGGCATGTCCTGTATCTCTTTCAACTTCATTTCGTCTTCTGCTAGGAGAAGAGCGTATGAGGGCTGCCAGAGTGTGTTGGCTAGAAATTTGATGTTTGGAACCATTCGTAATATACGAAGAAGGGTGTCCGTTCGCTTTCGAATAGATTTTAATTGGTCCATTGTAAAGACGTTATTTATTCAGATTGGTAGATTGGTCGTTGAAAAGCATAGGAATTCTTGCGAAACAGCAGTCCATTTAAGTAATCAAACTCGAAATGGTCGTTCAAGCGATCGGTTCAATACAAAATTCTACATTTTGAAAAGTTGTTAATATATAGCGCATCGCTTAGGTCGAAAATAACCACCACCATTCACGCTAACCGCGCGCAATTGATGGCCACTCGACTCCACCTTACCCGTGTTATGGCGGAAAGCGACAAATGTAACTTTTCAGATAGCGGTAGAGTACTTACAACCGCGGATATTTAAAGGGCTTCGATAACATAACAAGATTTGAAGCTCAGTTGATCTATATGTATTTTTTGTTTGCAATGTTAGGGTACCACGAGCATAACCCTTTCCATATGCAACAAACCAAGCATGCTCGTCCAGGGCAGGTGCAAGGCTCTATTTCCTCTACTACTCACCTCGTGGCTGACAAAGGTGTGGCGGTAGAGATACAGCACGTGATTCCGGTAATCTCTACCTGAACGAATCGCCGACTGATATCAAGGCGTCTAAAACCCTGCGTAGCGAGCCGAAATGCAGGTATTTCGTCTTTAAGATGGTCCAAGTCCTCCATCCTTAGTTTTATACTAAAAAGTCATCTTCAAGCCTATGGCTGCTTTAGGAGGGTGATTTACGCCATGTCAGCACGCCGATCAGTACTGTACCTTCAATTGCATTGCATCTAGTTTTATCACGTCGCGCCAAACCGCATCATTAATAAAAGGCACATTCTAATAAACATAAGAACATTACCACTTGCATCTTATAAGTTCTTTGCTTATATAGGGGGAACTGCAGGGAAAGGCTATAGCAACCTTCTATTGCCTGTGAATATTGCTACTTGGAGGAAATACGTAGGGCTCTTTTTAAGACATCTCGGCGTCTGCTTTTCTGGGCTGGTTGTGGAGCTATCGTATCTGCACTTATTATTAGACGATTATGTAATGACCTAGCTTCTGGATACTAACTTACTATGAATGTTGTGGTTTAGGTCCGCTAAAACTTCGTGCAGTGATTGGACGTCGTGATGTTGGGATCCAAGGAGTGCCTTAAGATTGTCGTAAGCGCGTTGATAATATGTTCTCGCCTCGACTGGTCTGCCCTGTCTCCATAATAAGGCCCCAAAGCCCCATAATGTATTGATTGCTGGCCGATATCTAGCGATATGTTGGGGCCCTATAGCCTTCTCGTACCCTCGAAGCGCCCGCAAGTACATCTCCTCGGCCTCTTGCATCTTGCCTTGGTCGGAGTAAAGGACACCTAAGTTGTTGACCGTAGAGAGTGTCGACGTGTGATCCGGTCCCCACGCCTTCTCGTGCCCTCGAAGCGCCCGCAAGTACATCTCCTCGGCCTCTTGCATCTTGCCTTGGTCGGAGTAAAGGTTCCCTAGGTTGTTAACCGTGTCGAGTGTCGACGTGTGATCCGGTCCCCACGCCTTCTCCTTCTCTCGAAGCGCCCGCAAGTACATCTCCTCGGCCTCTTGCATCTTGCCTTGGGCTTTATAAAGGTTCCCTAGGTTGTTAACCGTGTCGAGTGTCGACGTGTGATCCGGTCCCCACGCCTTCTCCTTCTCTCGAAGTGCCCGCAAGTACATCTCCTCGGCCTCTTGCATCTTGCCTTGGTCGGAGTAAAGGTTCCCTAGGTTGTTAACCGTGACGAGTGTCGACGTGTGATCCGGTCCCCACGCCTTCTCGTGCCCTCGAAGCGCCCGCAAGTACATCTCCTCGGCCTCTTGCATCTTGCCTTGGTCGGAGTAAAGGACACCTAAGTTGTTGACCGTGACGAGTGTCGACGTGTGATCCGGTCCCCACGCCTTCTCGTGCCCTCGAAGCGCCCGCAAGTACATCTCCTCGGCCTCTTGCATCTTGCCTTGGTCGCAGTAAAGGAGACCTAGGTTATATAATGCCCATTCTATACCTTCATCGCTGTCCCAGACCCCAGCGCCACATTTTGTGGCATGTGAAAGAAGTCGCCTTCGAAGAGTCCAGAATTGAGGCTCATCCTGTGATGGAACACGCGCAGCTACGCATTCCAGCGCAAGCTTAGCCAGATCAACGTCCCAATCTTCATTCAACACATTAATAGTCCAGCTATGTACGCAAGCATGAATGCTGTATCCTGTTGATCCGAGAGATTTATCTGTCGATATATGCGTTTCGGCAAGCCCGTAGTCACATAGTGTGCCCAGAGCATTATTGAACTTGAGTTCATCAGCCAAATCGTATATCCACGCCGGCCCATCCTCATCATTAGGTTGGAGGAGTTTGAACCATATATCTTCGTTGTCGAAATAGGCCCACCATTGGAGTAAATGAGCTGCGAGTCGGTTTTGTCCTTGGATCTGGTCGTACGAAAGTTGCCACGTGGAGCAGAGCGTCCGGTCTTGGTAAGAGCCTAAGCTTGGCGTGCTTGCATGGAGTCTGACCCATGAGTCTTTATAGAGACGAAGGTAATCCTCAAAGCTTATTGAAACACGCCTTAGGTAAGCTCCAGCCGTGGCAAGTGCAAGAGGAAGTCCGTCAAGTTCTTTAGCAAGATTTCGAGCATAAACGTCTACAGTAATAGTTAGTAAAGTCTGTATGAGTTGCAAGAGCCTTACCATCCTGCAAGTCATATCGGCCTGAGGTTGTTGACAGAATCTGGAGACTCTTGTTAATTGAATCAAGCTTTTTGATTCGAATTTGATTGCCTATGCTGACTTGTGACGATCGCGTCGTAATAATTACCGAGCCCTGGTACGCTTGAGGAAGAAACCAGGTTATATCAATTGTCGTATCATCCTGACGACCAGCCAACCTCGGGTTATCGTAGTTGTCATACACAAGAAGCCACCTCGTATTGCCTGGCAAGCTGAACCAGGCCGTCACAGCTTCGACCACCTCCTTGTGATTTTGCTGCAGGTCTAGTGCACTTAATCGGTCGGCGTCAGGATGTTGTTGTAGAATCTGCCTCGCGACTTTCGTAAAGCTCTGCTGAATAGCGGCTTCATCCTTGATATTGAACCAGAATATGGCGGAATATTCATCTCGGTATTGCTTCGTATATGCTACGGCGAGCTGTGTTTTACCAATGCCGCCGAGGCCGTGGAGAACGACGGAGCGACGGCTTCCATCTGAGCGTAGACTTGTCCGCATCTCTGCTATTTCCTCCTCTCTTGCCACAAACTGTTGTATCTCGGGGACTTCGAACAGACTGAAGGCAGCGGAGAAATCGTTCATACCGGTTCCTATGACAACATCAGCCTCTAAGCTGACTTTGTTGGTTATTAGGGTTATTTTACCTATTACAACTTTCTGGACCTCTTCTCGCAAACGCCTCTGTGCGTTTTCTCTCCCTTCGCCATAGTTTGGCAACAAGTATACGTTGAAGATCCCTAGAAGCGAATACACCATATCCTCATCGTATTTCGTTTGACGGTCGCGGACCCATGCCTCTCGTTCCAAGACGGTAAAATCGGCCAAAGGTGTACCACGGAGAGCAGTCGGAGGAATTTCTGTAATTTCGCGTATCAAAGGCTCTAAGGACCGCTTGTCGCCTAGCCAAGCCCCCTCTTTCGAATAGAAGTCAACTGTCTTCGGGGCGATAAGCTCTTGGAGCGTCCATCCACGTGTAAACCATCTGCTCTTTCGAAATGCCTCATCCCATGGCACCGTCCTCTGGTGTTGGCCAGAAGCCGCGGGTTTAGACACATCAGGAAGGTAGACGTAGCATCGTTTCGCATCGCGGTACCACCGGAACATACTGTTAATCGCTGTCTGCAGCTCAATGCTATTCGATTTGTCAATGCAGCAGGTGTCGACCCAGAAATGTCGCAGCCCATGTTTTTGGGCCTGTTCGGCGCAGAACTTGATCTTGTCGAAGCCGGGTTTATGTTGCCAATCACCAGGCGTCTTCGCAAGGTCGGCAAAGACTACCTCGTCGAGTCCCCAGGTGTGGGAAAGGATCGCGTACGGGTGAACATCATCAGCAGCGAGGTCGGGAGTGAGGCTGTAGTTGCCTGCATCATCGCGCTGCAGTAACCTCATCGCAATGATAGAGGGTCAACAACTGCTCTACCGCCGGAGTAGGCAGAGCACTGTTGTTGCCACGGTTCGTGGGATGAGGCAGGCATCGTACGGTCGTCGCGAGAAACACGGATCGGCGAGGATTGCATCAGGCTGCAGCTGCGGGGTAAGGACGAAGACTCAGCCGCAACGCTGCAAATCGTAAAGGACAAGCCATCCTATTGATGCAGTACATGCATTCTCTACGACTCGCGATCCATGAGGCCGTTCTGATTCTGGCAACTGAACTGGCAACTGAACTGACAACTGAACAGTCTCGAGTGATGTGCAGTAGTGCAGCAGTTGGGGAAGGAAACAGCGTTATATTCGAGCGCCAAGTTTTACGTGATCTGAGATCTAATGTCCACATTTTAAATAGACACCTTAAATAGGAAATCTACTGCTGTCCACCTTAGTAAATTGACGGAAATGAGTATCCTGCTGGGCAAGGACCATCCAGACACACTCACGAGCATCTACTGACTCGCTCATCTTTACCAGCAACAAAATCGATTCCAAGAAACAGATAACCTTCATCTTACCGCTTTAGATGGGTATAGGAAGGTGTTAGAGCCAGCTCATCCCACCACTTTAGCTTGCGAGGGTCATCGTGCGTCACTGTAATAAGTGTATACTGTATAATATAAGATATAATAATAATTAATTTTAATTTGGAAATCAAATAATATAGTAAGTTATCAGATTTCTTCTAAACAATATTTTTAGACGCGTTGACATTGGTCGGCGGTTTCGTTTAGGTAGGGATTGACGGGATCACGTGTTAATATCTGTACCGCCACACGTTTGCCACCCACAGACAGGGGAGCCCTGGCTTAACGCTAGCCGGAATCGAGGCCCTTTCCATCGAAAGGTACCGATCGGCATGCCGATGTTGTATAAATTACGCTTCCACGGCAGACACAGATCTTATTATAACTTTCCAATACGAAAGTGAGGACGGAGGAGTCAGAAACTGTCCTGCAATGAGTATTGTGAGTGGCGAGAGCCAATGGTGGGGTTGTTTTGGAGGAGTCTTGTGCTGCGACGGAAAGATGATGGTCTCAACCTATGAGATTACGCGACGGCGACGGCGTAATTTTTGCTTAGGACAGATCCTAAGGCTTCCAGATAGCCAAGGAATCGAATTCACGCAAATTTGCACAATTGCATTCATGAGGGCGATGTGTAGGTCGTGTTGAAAACGAAGTATCTGCATTTTAGCTCGCCACACAGGGTGGCTCGCTACGCAGGGATGGACATTACTCTTCCCACCTGGGCCGCGGTAGTGGATATATATATTCAAACCCAGAAGAATGACTCTAGGTCGTGCATGAGTGCTGCTCTCCCAAAAGCGTTCCGACTGCCATGAAAGCCCTGGTGCCGGTCGTTCCCTTTGCCCCGGAAGATAGTTCTTGTTGCTCTTTGATTGGAAGTCAAGGTCAATCAAAAATGACGACCATGATGGATTACTGTCATCCTCGTTTATCATGAGATTTTTATTGATGTCTCTGCGCAGGAAGCTGGCTTCCCGCAAGGATCTGTGCCCTTCAATGCAGCCTCCCAGTGCTGTGAGTAGAGCTGACCGGGAGCTTGCCTCGCAGATAGGCTTTCCGTCGTCCCGAACAATGACAAGTCGATATAAACGATTCGGTAATGCATTGCTGCTCGACTTTGTCGGAGACCGCGAGCAGGATCTAGGTTCCAGTGGGAAGGTGCCGATACGGTAAAGCCGTAGTAGCACCGCTGGCGTGAAACGGTCGTGTGGTCAAACTGGTGCCTCGCTGCCGCCCAGCTAGTGATGGCCCCGAACGTTCTGGCCCATAGGGCCCTCGTGATATCTAGATCTCGTCGAACGTTGAGACGAACGTTGTCTACCATGTTGCCTACAGTGACAATCTCGTGATGATAATCCATATCCTTGTTAGTGGCCTCGCGAAATAGCACGCCCTCGTCGTCACGCTCTGGGTATTGCAACGAGTCCTTGAGGACGAGCGGCGTTTGTGGCTCTCCTTCGTGATGGGTTTTCCAGCAGGTTGTCGCTCGATCTGTAATATAACGTGCGCGGTTCATGCACTTGTCGTTGATGATGCGTTCCGTCGATCTGTTCCGTTCGATTTTGACAAATCGTTGCCCATCCACAGCCATGATAGTCGAATCGAACCCATTTTCTTCCTCATTCATCCACAGAGAGCCAAGGATAGTAGAAACGAATTGAAGTCCATCCTGGTTAATGTCGAACTGTTCGGATGCGACCCCTCTAAGCCGGTCGAATTCCCATATTCTTATGAGAGATTCACAAATGGTACATCCCAGGACGTAACGACGAGTGTCTCGAGCAGCAAGCACCTCCTTCGCGTATGTCCCAAGGCCAAGCGACGCTTTTGATGCTACATCCGCAGATGGATTACTTTTGAGCTCACCCGGAACGAGAATCTGAGACCAATGGCATCGAGAATCCTTCCCCGCTTCGGGATCGGCCACGAATCCAACGTCCAACTTGCGCTCTGCCATTAAGCCTTGTAAAGACTTGTTAGGATGTGCTAGCGGCCTTCGTTGGTGCGATAGGGTCGTGCTGAATTCTTCTGCCAATGCTGCCAGTGTCTTGGTCAAGTCTGAAAGCTAGCGTAGTACAGCATCCTAATTTGCGTCTTGAGGCCATCCACTCTAGCCTTCGTCAAAGAGCGGACTATCACCCTCTATATACGCGTCGTGAGATTCCCCCTGTGGATAGGGATTTTGTTCTAAGGATCATGAAGCTGGACCCTCGAGATCGCACAACGGCTGAGCAGTTACTAAATGGCCCATGCTTCACTGAGGAGTCAGAAGATACCCGTGACGCATTGTAGATATCATTGTAAAACTCTGGGAAATGTACTGGCTAAGACATATTTTGCGAAGGATGCCCTCTCAGCCGGGACAGTTGATATCCACAACGAAGTGGGGAGCCGCGACTGAATGCCAAGGAGTATACCACGGGGCTACACCTTTCGACGCTGGTAGATGGATCCACTGAATACAGTTCTCATTGTCAAAATGTCCTCCACAAATGACCTACCTCTGTCTCTCCCACCTTCTGGAGTCTGAGCGACCTTTCCAGGATTCGTCCTGCCTGGCCCTCGTTTCCGCTTGTTCGGCACCAACTGCGCCAAAGGGCGACGAGCTCGAGTGAGCAATGAAGCCCGCTCAAAGTCAATCAGCATGACCCCGTTCGTCTCAGGATTGAACAACATGTTCGCCATTCGTACATCCTGGTGAATCACCCCCTCCTGGTGTATGGCCTGCAGTGCTCGAATGGCCTCATCTTGGAGGGATTTCAGCCGGTCGCCTCCATTCACCGATTGCGAAACACCAAATCCACCCCAAGATAAAAATGTCATATGCACAACGTACACTCGGCAGTCATAGTAATAAATCTTGCTCATTGATCGGAGGTCAATGGCGCCCAAGAACACGGGCACGTACACACCTTGGACCGGCCTGAGACGCTGGTAGACAGCAGCTTCGTTCTCGAGGTCCTTGACAAAGGCTTGCACCGTGCCCTTACTGACGAAGGTATAACCATATGTAAGCAGGGTCACTCGGAAAAGTACGCTCCGCGCACCACCGTTGCCTAGGGGCGTAATTCCGTCGTCAAGAGACTGCTCCAGCTGTTTCCAAAGAAGGCGAATCCACTCGGCATGATCGACAGGATGATGCTCACGGCCGCCTGTGTCACCCTTGCGGTGAAGCGCTACGTTTGGGCAATTCAAATCCAGGAACCCCCCTTGAACCAGCCCCGAGAGGCATCTCTGTGAACAGTACGGCTGCTCCTGCGTGCCACTTCCTCCTGGACGAGGTCGACGCGCCAGACGTTGGCTGCGCCGAACTACTTCTGCAGTTCGTCCCGCGGGAGTGGGAGTACTCGGTGGTTGTGGCGCTGCTTCTTCGTCATCTGATGATTCTGACAGATCCTTTCTCGACGTTTCCCTAGACACTTCGTTAATTGATGGTCGTCTCCTTCGACGGAGAAAGTGCGGCGAGCGGTACGGCGAACGATCGACCTTTCCATAGGTGGTAGGTATATAGCAAGATGAGTTGTCTGAGGATGCCGATCGTTCATTTTCTGGAACAGAACGTAGTGTTGTTTCGAAATCCTCAGCCCACTTCTTCAGGCCATTTGTAGCTCTCCGGCGCTCCTCTTGTCCGTGCTGCTGACGGTCCCCAGGCGCGCCGAGAGCCGTTAATGTGAATGCTAAATATTGACCGACAGCCGAACAGATGTTCGCATTGTTCGGATGAGCCAATACCTCAGGACCAGGTTCCGCCAAATGATAGTACAAAGTTTGGGGTTCGGCCCAATCGACTTTGAGAAACACAATCGTCTCGCCCGTGGTAAGCAGGCCATACTCAAGACCACTTTCCATCATGTAGTGATATGTCTGCGTAATGGCAGATGCCACCAGCCTCTCTGCGTGGTATTGAAAGCGCGCGTCAGGGTCTGCAGAGGTCGGTATCAGCTTCCGGTTTACCACTTCCTTGTAGATATTCATGGCCCGGAGCCCGACACGGAAGTGTGGAGCGGTCAGCTTGTGAGGGGGCTTGTACTCGCAAACATAGACCATGGTACGCGGTGCTAACATGGAGCTGTCGGCTCGGTAAACGCAGATCTGATCTGGTCGTAGCTGGTTGAGATCGCGTCGGTGATTTGGCGTCCGAGGCGGTGACGCTGGAGTCGCCCTTGCAACAACCTCCTCGGCGACATCACTGATGGCGTGAGGATGGTTCTCAAAGATGATACCATCTCCAATTTGATAGGCGCTACCGATCTCTTCCACCCTTTTCAGCTGCTCTAGGATGGCCCTGACCGGATCCTCCACGCTATTATGTAGAAAATATTCGAGGGTCTTCTCGTCCGCAATTGGTCGCTGGGATATTCTATTTCCCAAGCCGGCCAGAAAGTTTCGGTTCTCGAAAACACGGCTCTCGGTAGGGAATGTATTGTAGAGTGTGCCGAAGATGATTCTTTGCTGCTCCAGGAAGTCGGGCCATGGCCTCAGATTTTCCGGACACCATTTATCACGTGGATTGGTTATGAGACCCCTCGATGTTAACTGCGGGTCTGTTTCAATGGCGAGTCTAGAGAATACTGAGAGATGACAAGCAGCGATGTATTCGTCTAATGTTGTTAATCGTGTCTGTTCCTCGGAAGCTTCGGCTCGTTGCCGCTCTCTATCGGCGCGTCGCCGCTCCTCCTGTCGTCCTCTCTCTGCTTGTTCGGCATGTCGTCGCTCCTCCTGTCGTCCTCTCTCTGCTTCTTCGGCGCGTCGTCGCTCCTCCTGTCGTCCTCTCTCTGCTTCTTCGGCGCGTCGTCGCTCCTCCTGTTGTTCTTTCTCTGCTTCTCTGGCGCGTTCCAGAGCCTCTTTTAGTAACCTTTCCAGCTCGATTACATTTCTTTGTTCGGTCATGATGCTTGAATTAATGTCATGGTAAACAAGGAGGCATTGACTTCCACTTGTGCTGATGTTTTGAGATGCAGCTAATTAAAATGGGTCCACTGAGCGTTGCGAGGGGTTACGGTTGTTACAGTGAAAGGCGGAATGGGTGTCGCGGGCTTAGTTGGATAACAATTATAACAAGGTCCATTTTCGTTTTTTTCTGGCTGTAAGTAGTTGCTGACATGCACCTTTAACTACCGCGACAAAAAATTGTTCAAAAGGTCATCATCTGCTTACTAAATCTAACCTAACGGCCTCATTCATTCCCGGTTTTTACTTGCTTTATCTCTCTTCCAATGACGATCGTTATGTGCTATAATTCAATGCAACTTCAAGTTGACGATGCTAATTAAGATGCGATAACCTTATTTCCGAGCCTTAGTTTCAGCATCGACTTGATCAAACCACGCTGTACAGGATCTAGTAGGAGCGCCATGATTGCGTTCGTAGACAGGAATCGTTGGTAGGTTGTTACGCAGGGACAAGAAAAGATGGGAGGAAATCAGAGACGATGCACACATTGTGGTAGTGGACTGCCTATCGCGGCTGCGCGGTTCTTTTTGTACTTATTATCATTCGCAACCTCACAACATGATAACAAGGGGCAGCCTAACTGCGCATCGTTCTATGACATCAAGCAACAAATCAGCATGCGTAAATGAGCCTCGATCCTGATCTTGTATAATCCACGGGCTTGCGGCTGAGCCTGCTGTTCCATACCCCGCATTGAAGCATGCTTCGTGCGACGACGGAAATGATGCCAGTTTCATCCTGTAAAAATAGGGTCTGATTTAGCCCTATCTCCGCTTTCATGCAATCTTTGTTCTTAGGAGTCGATACAACGTTTTCTTTCAACTGTCTATTGCCTGCTGTACACTCAATTCTTAGCAAACTTCTTTAGTTAAGTCATTTGTAAACAGGCGAAAACGTTTCCATACGGAATCACAGCATTTCATAATGCATCTTTGAACGGGCACATGGACGTGGTCAAGCTGCTTCTCGAGAAGGGTGCTGACCATACCGTTGCGAACAAAGCCGGATGCATTCCACTTTTGTCGGCTGCGAAAACGGGACACAAAAGCCGTGGTGGAACTTCTTCTCAACAGAGAACCTACACTACTCAATACGAACGATATCAGGGGTCTTACTACATTATCATGGGCTGCTAAGAAAGGCCACGCAGAGATTATCGACCTTCTTCTGCAGAAGGACGCGGATCCCACAATCCTCGACTGTTGGGGCAGTCCATGTATCCACCTGGCTGCCAGAGAGGGTCATGTTGAGCCTGTAAGAACACTCCTCAATTATCGTGCAATACCGAGACTTTGTTACGCCTGGGGAATTCCTAGGCATTGAATTAGTTGGTACATGAGCTGGTTCCCGGATGGTTAAACGCTCACTTCTGAGACTGTAATCCAAGACACTTTTGAGTTCAAGCGCTCCTTCAACAGACTGTCTTATTTCTTTGACCACTCGTCGGCGTTTGGTATAATGCATCTCTCAAGCACTCGCATTGATTGCCGGAGAGTACGTCTCGCAGGTTCCGTTAGACCATTTCGACGCGTATTCAACGAATTGGAGCCGCAAGAGGAAGCTTGACCGATACCGTTGAGATGAATTAGCAGGTTATGATTTTGATGAGGAGAGGTGAGTTTCAATGGCCAAAGAAACATGTTAGAGACGTATGAATATCCATGCCTAGAAGACTGCCAACAGTGCGCACAACTGCATGTTAAATATGCTTGCAATTCATATAAGCTTATCTGTGTATATACCCAGGAGCTTTGTTGCATGGAACAAAGTTCTTGCTTCATATCACAACAGTTGAAGTCACCCAGTGGTCAGAGCGTCCCATGAACTCAGAGATTTCAAATTTGAATCCTAGCCACAGACAATATCCATTCATATCAGCGTGCTGATTGATCTCTCACTCCTACCCATGAACGTAAGCGTCGAGACCATCCCCCATAGTCTTCCTTTGATCCTGGGCGCCTTTTTGGTCGCAGTCGCCTTGTCGGTTTGTTTGTCCATAATCTCTTGCTTCCCCTCCGAGAAATTGACATTAGTGGTGGGAGCTGCTGTTCAATTCTCCATATTGGTAGCTTTTGATTTTTATATATAAAGCCTAGGTTGCTCCTCAAAGTGGAAAAGAGGTCCAGATGTTGAGAAAGTAGCTCAACTGTGAGTTTGTCGGCACCTTTTATCCAAATCAATTTCTCCTTGGTGAGAAAGATGGCATCTCTTTGTTGAAATTCTGGGGTGGAGAATATGATCTCTGCAACGACATTACATTCGCCATCCTTTGCCATGGTGCTCGGTTGGTCACTGATGTCAGTGATGATAGCCTTGATAGCATCGAGATCGCTTATTCGCTGTGTTCCACGGGTATATTTGTTCGCAAAAATAGTAATGACATTTGAAAGCCCATCCAATGTTAATAGAACATCACCAACTTTAAAAGCGATGCTGTTCAGGACGAAGCTAGTGATATCTGAAATTTGGGTTCCACAGTGTTTCAAGACTGTGCCGTCAGACAAGTGCCAATGACATATACCAGCCACGATGTAGAGGCCATTTGATGGGGATTCTTCCGATGTCGTATAAACATTACCGTCGTTGATAGATATTTTCGGGTTTATGTACGGAGCTTTGCCTCCAACGGATATCCGGGGTTGCTTGCGGACCATGATGGGTGATTGAAAATAGTAAATAAAGAGAGACAACAATGGAGCTCGAGTTTGAGAGGGAGAGGCCCCTTATATTGAGAAACTCATGACTGCTTACTCTTTGCATGTGACAGCCTTCAGGTTCTGCGACCTGCTTCCGTTCCTCCAGAAACCCACATCGCTGCGCCACCCTGTCATAGTATGCGCTCGGTTACTGCAGATACTGGATGATTGATTGGCCGGCTGGTTACTTGGAAGGGATGGACAAAGTACTAAAGAATGAAACCGTGCAAGAAGTAATGTTGGCTAGCGCTAGGCGCAGCTGCTTGGGATGAAATAAAGCTCTTTACAAATGTGTTTCGCAACGCAATTTGGAGTTAGTCTGAATCGATGCCAATCCAACGTACTCTATGTTCCGAAGGTAATGCTGCCAGTGATTACGGTGCGATGAACTTCTGCAACAGGCACAAAGGCCATCGACTCTGGTAGTCTAATGGTCCGACTATCCACGCTTGACATCTGAAGAAGCAGTTGAGAAGAGTACCAGCAAGTAACTCCAATCAATGCTCAAAGCATCGCCAGAATCGTCGATTGCATGAGGTTTCATGATCTCTCCAGGCTCTCTTGCTTGCAAATAACCTATTCGGTTCGAAGCATTCGTGCATATGTAAGCGAGCTACCCACTCAATGACCCGAAATGCTCACAACAGTCAAACGCCGAGAAGAAGGACATAGTGCAGTGAAAGAAGAAAGCATACAGGCGGCCGTCAGGGTAGAAGACAACATGCTTGGTATGAGCGAAGAGGTAGGTGATGCCTTGTTGCTGCTGCTATAAAGCCTCACAAGTATCACCTACGAATCAAAGTATTCATTGTATGGCAGGATAATTTGCGGATTAGATGAACTTCTCCCATGACCAGTGGCTAATTCAGGGGGTACTGCTTACTATTTGAAAATCCGAATAACACCTTTATCAGCACAGGATTCTGTGCATCCAAAACTACATCAACAGGTTTCGAGTATTTGGGGCGATGGTATCATTTTAGTGAACTCCATTTATTTCTTGGCGGGTCAATACATCTCGAGAAACTCTTTGGAGTTGACCCTTTAGTAGACCCGCTTCCATTGGCGATGAGCCTAATCTGGTTCGCACCTTGTGCCATATCAAATCTGTCACTCCCTGTTGACTGGATTTCCTTAGTTGAATATTGTTTCATCCTTCGTTTTCGATTAGAGGCACACCATTCTTTTGACTTTATCAGGGCTAATCGTTCTGACCGGGAATCCAGCGGCGATAACAGCATTTAGCCCTGGACATTTTCAAAGTCCTGCGTTTCTACCTATAAGCCGGCGGTGAAAGCTCAAGATCGTTATGCATGGTGGGCTCAACTATCCTCCAAAACCGACCAATATTCTGCACCCGCCTCTTCACCTCTAAGATTCCTATTGCGAGATCTTGAGTGGTATAGATAGCTGAAATGATCTGAAAAGATTAGTGAAGTACTATCGAGAATAGAGTAATACCTACCAGCAAAATTATAGGTCTTGTTATCGAATCAAGACTTGGATTTCCATAGCTTGTCAAGAAGATTGTGCAAAACAAAGTGGTGTTGATGAGGAAATAGACCATCAGTTGTAGCCAGACTTGAAGTCGCAATCGAGCCGTCATGCGATCATTTGTTGTTCTGTTATGACCGCACACATAATTATAGAACGTTATGCATTCGCAAACGATCCATGCTCGGTAAGAAGTGGCAGAGATGATAATGAAGAGATTACCAAGACACTGGATCTTCAAAATTGCGCCTAGAACAAGCACGCCAGCACTGGCAAATAGACCCACGACCAGCCTGAGAGGGTAGAAGGCAGGCAGATCAGTATACCAACTACTCAACGCCCATAAACACTAGGTATATTAGCAACCAAAATGACTCAGGCTTTCGGGTCCCCTTACTTGTGCTGTCATACTCCAAATGGTGATTGAGATCGAGAGGTGGATCGCCCATAAGCCCGACCTCTGTATGAGCAGGCAGAACGCGATATTGATACTTGTTGAAGCGATCATCTCGATTACAAACAGTGCCCCGAATATACGAGAGAATTTCACACGTAACAATTGATGAAATCCTGGTTCGTTAGTCATATTATAATGATAAATAATACGCGATACACGTAGAATAGAAGCAAGTGTAGAGATTCCGAACAGCCCATATTGTAAGTTATTGATGAGAGTCATGGTAAAGATGTAGATAGAGGAGAGATGGCTTCCACTGATTACGGCGACTGGCCATAGTATTTATAGGCTTTTTCAGGCATTGCGTGAGTTCTAAACTTGGTTTGCCAATTACTAGGTATAGATCACAATAAGGTCCACTCATACTCTCATGACCTTTTTGGCGAGGCAGTGTCGAGCCCACGAATCTTTTGCGTGCGTTTCCCTTCACATTCTTCATTCGAGGCAGCAATACGTCTGTGCAAAGCGATGCCTAATAAACACAATGCATGACCTAGCACAGTAGCCGCCTGCAACAAAAAGCCTGGGAAGTTTGATTAGCAGATAAGAGCTAAGGGAGGAAGTGCTGGGCTCCACGGCGATGTCATACCTCAAAAACGGGGGCAATAGCCTATGCCATCATATTGTTGGTCCACATAGCAAACTAGGATATGTAGTACTTATAAGGACCACATTACGATAAGGCCATATCATAAAATCTATATTTCGACATTTCAACCAAGTTGCTTCAATTTAGGTCTATCTACAATCCAGTTACATAGTTCGTCATAGCCGAGTGGTTTTTAGGCCCTGTACTAACGGAAATTCCTTGCTCTGTGGATTTATCTGAGCTCAATTGTTATATGGAACTATTCTTCAAATATAAGGTGTAATGACGACGGTATGTTACTGAGTTTTGCGGGTCAATCTAGAGGTTTTTCTACAAAGTCAGGCTACTTACTAAGCAGTATTAACTATGTATCGCTCAGGAGCTCTTGTCAATGAACGCGTCTTCGCTTTTTTGCTGGCTTCAAGGGCAAATCTCCCCTGAGGTCGGCTGCAAATTCGGGATCTAAATCCTTCTCTTGCACCCATGAATCTTCAATGCTTGGGCGACCTTCCCATCGTACACGGTATTCGAGTTTACCATTTCGTCTTCTATTGCGTAATACCGTGACTCCCTGTCTGAATCCTTTGTAATTGATTTCAAAATCTTGAAGAAGCTTGTCGTTTATGTCAGCACGTGCAACCCAGGAGCACGTGCCGTCAATAAACCATTTCAGCAAGAATTGGCCCTTCTTCCACCTCTCGAGGATGCAATCAACGGTGAACTCTTGACTCCTAAGATCTTCTGCGATTGAGTAGTCGATTTCAGCATTATCGAAGTTGTTATTCGCTTCAGAGTCGTTACAGCTGTGATCGAGTGTAAGCATATTGCCTAGGTCGATTTGTGTTGTACAGAGTTGTAGAGCCGGATCGATGAAATCAAGAATTTGATTTGAGCTCATTTCTCCGATCAAGGGAGCGGAGCTGTTTGAGCGCACATCACAGCGATCCCGTTCGTGATCTGGGTAGTGGTTGCTAGCCTGTAAAGTGATATAGCTAGGCTCATCATCTCCTGGCGCAATATGCTCCGCCCTCGTGACTACATTGTTCTGTTCTGGTATAAACCCTACTTGAAGAGCAGTGTTAACCCCATTCATGGTTGTGTAAAACTTGGTCTCATCAAAGTTTTCGTTATCACTGAATTCGTTGGAGTAATCTTCGAGATCTTCACGTTGGCGTTTGTGCGGAGCCAGAGATTTAGTTGTGGATAGGGAACCATCCTTGTACATCTCAAAAGATTCGACAACTTTAGGACTGGTGGAGTATAAGTTCCAGCTCGAGTGATCACATGACACATGTGATTGCCAGGCAGCAAAACCATCAATCTCCATTGGCTTCTCTCCCGCATCGTTGCATGCAGGACATGAGAGGGGTGTCTCGAAATCTTTCTTATGCTTCAAGGTGAAATGTCTGGTCAAGCCGCTCGAAGTAGAGCAAATATGCCCGCATAAGCCACAAAACTTAGCGGAAGGTATGTGGATAACTTGTAAATGTTCAAGTAGCGACCATAAACTTCCGAGCTTGACCTCTGGTTTACCCATCCGGACGCATTCGGCACAGCTCATTGGCCAGGTTTGCTGACTAGATCCGTTGTGTCGATTGATGTGGCCGATGAGTGCTGTAAATGATGTATGAGTCGAGGAACAGATCAAGCAACCGAAACTCTCTGAATTCTTTGACTGAGACCAATTGGGTGCGTTACGTCGGCCGTGAGTTCGCTCAACATGGTTACTCCATTCTGCTCTACCGAGCGAATCGATCGCTGTAGTTGAGTAAGAATCGCATTCCGGACATGGGAATGGTTGATCGAACAGGGCGATGTGTCCATTGTAATGCCTTGTAAGCGCACTCCGGTCGCAGAATGTCTTCTTGCATAATAGACAACGAGACTTCTCATTAATCTTACCATCAATTACTTTTGGACTCGGCACAGTACTGATGAGAAGTTTCTCGTTATTGGTAGTTGAGTCGGTTAGGAATCCCAGCACGGCTTTCATATACCGCCTCGTCATCAAGTCCCGATCAGCAACAGATTCATTAGCTGATGGTTTGAGAAGGGATGTGACCATCACGGCGATTGGTGTTTTGAGGACCCCGCTGTTTCGGCTGGACAGACCGTACATGGCAGTTGACAGTCCCTTCGCTCGCATGAAGTCTACGTGCTTGAAGTACTCGGCCCTGATCTCCTCCAGTCGTAGTCTCCGTAGCGTTGTAAGATTCGATTGGAGACTAGCACGGAGCTTGTTTTTCTCACCTCGATCATGAGTCGTTGCTATGGCGCTGCGAAGTTGGCGGATGTCATTACGACTCTCGAATCGCTGTTCGTCTTCCGGAGAAATCCGAATTGGCGCATTTGGGTCCCTACTTAAGGACGTATCACGCAGCCTTTCAAACAATAGTTCCTCTTTACCCGCACGAGTACCGAATGCCAATTCCATTAAGCTTTTCCGGACGTCGTGGCCTTGGTAGCTTGATTCGAAAACGCCAGTACTATGCGACATTACGTAGTTGCGTAGTGCATCGGAAATTACCCCTGAATAATATTAGTTTGAATCACCAGTGGATTGTGATGGGGAATGAACACATACCATCCATTCGCGCTCCAGCACCTACTCGAAGACTGTAAAGCCGTGCAGCCTCTCGAAGGCCTGCCACTAGGAGCACAAGATACCATAGTGTATCGGCCGTACTAGAGGAAATAGAAAATGCTGTTTTGGGTGCAAAGTCAGGCTTCCACTTGAGGGGGACGAAGTCTGACTCTTCCAAATCAGGTTGATCGAAGATCTCGTCGATGGTTTTGAACTCTGCCTCAAAGGCATTTCGCTGGATTGCTCTTGTAATGATCAGGCTAGCAAGGCAGAATACACGGTATGGGACAAGGGTGATAGAAAATCCAATGCTAAGCCTAGTCAGAAAAACCCACATAGAAATGATCCATTCAACTTACTAGCCACCGTTGCGTAAGCGTGTCGTCTTAGCTGTCTCTTTGATCTTGTTTCGCTTAATGGTAATCGTCACGACAATCTTACGCCGAGACCGATCCTCGGGATCACGGACAACTGCTACCCGAAATTGATTGTACTTGACTTTCAAAATCGTACCACGTCTAAACCCGCCAATGGCTGCGAAGAGGATAAATGCATGGAAATCAACTCTTGTATCGGGATCGCACGGTATATTGTGGCTTTCAGACCATAGAGTGGTAAGAATGACATCGACGTCGGTGCTTGTCATCTCAATCTTTCGATAAGAGGGATCTGTGCAGAGACCAATTTCTGGAGCAAGCTCTTGAAATATCCACTATACAAGGTCAGACACAACTAAAAAGAAATACCAGTGCTTGGTAAGGCATCAGAAGTACGAAAATGCTTCTGTTTACGAACCTGTACAATTCGGAAGGCCGGCCCTTCCTTTTTGCCTTCTTCTTTGCTCATCCACCTGAGGCGCCAGGTACTAGCTTCAGATGGATATTGTTGCCTCAATGCACTCATAACATGATTTTCTGCAGCGGCAACAAGACGGCGCCACACCTCCTGCACGGTGAATGCCATGTCAACCGTTCTTACGTAGACGAACTCTTCTGGTCCAAGGACCAAAGTTTTTTTGACGGAGGATTCGACGTAAGTGCGCAAAAAGGCTCTGAAAGGTGCCTGGCCTTCAGATGACTGGGAATTTCTGAGAAACATCGTCCACGCCGACACGCTTTCGGTGCTAGCATCCTCGCAATGTCTGTTTATAATCCGCATCAACATCACTATTCACACTTGTATAAAATGAGACTTGCACTGAGACACTTACTGAAGCCATTCGCCCCATATCTTGTTACGCGCTTTTGCGGTTGAAGGTGCAACGAACGGACTAACGTCTATTTCTTGCGTTTGGTAGACAGTCGTGTATTCTCGGCTTTTAGCCTTTTTCTCCGTTGCAGTTATTGGGCCCGCATGCACTTTCTTCCCTCGCACCCTGTCGGCATTACATGTAGATGGCATTATAGTAAAGCAAGAATTTGGGACAAGTCTGACTGACAATTGTTTCTAAGAAAGTGCGATACAACTTGGCTTTAAATACAGCACGGGTAACAGGGTTGTTTTCGAAGAGTGCCTAGTGGAGACGTTTTTCGCGGCCGGGTCAAGCGTCGGTCGTTAGTGCAATTTTCCGGCGGCAAACAGGACTCGACGACATTTATCACAACCATGTTGGAGGTCATGGAGGGAGTGTGGAGCGAGGGAAAGAGGGTGTCGACAGATCGAAGTTGGTTAAATCTGGCTCCGAACACGTCTTAATCTAATTGGTTAAATCCGTGTCTACAAAACGGCCTTCCGGCAGGGAGCCCCGAAACGGAGAACGATACGGAGCTTTTGGTCGGCGCTAAAAAGCCGTAAAAATGGAGACCGCGCGCGAGCGTCGGAATGAGTCAGCAGACCCCTGTCGTGCGGCAGTGGGCAGTTTGCATACTCAGTAGTGTATACAATTGTTACGGCTTTATAAATTAGAACTAACGAAAAAAAAGTCGACAAGGCGATCTGTAAGGAGGAACTGCTTTACTAGACTACGGTACGATAGGGGAAGATGTACTTATAGTGACATGTAAACACCGGGTTCGCCCACTCTACAAAGACTCTGCACTAGTTTCCATCTTACAGTACACAGAGAATCAAAATCGGCTTCCTATCCTTCTCTCTCTTCTCTTCTATTTGAGTATGGACAATCTAGTTCTGGCTCCCAAGCAAAAGTACACTTTTCAACCTCACTGGTACCATGAAACTTGAAAGCATGTCCTTTCTGGGCATGAACGCATATATTTTTAATCCGCGTGAAAATGCCCGAATCATGGGTATCTCATGTAGCAGGTTGAAGAGCCTCCCATGCGCAGCAGGAGTGATGGCAACTAACGTTGAGGAGCAAATCGAACTGCTGGCGTAGCTGGCCTCGTTGCCCCATCTCTGCGTATGGTCGAGTTGAGCCCCTTGACTTTATGCCACGCGAGGGGTGCTACCGAGACACGCTCGAGCAGATCCGGGAAATGATTGACTGCAAATATCGAGAATATCAGCCAGTGTTCAAATAGGCGTTGAGCCCAATTTTTGGGACCCGGGGCGAGCCATCTAGATGGGAAAAGATGCGGATGATTTCTTGTACTATAATGGTAGCAACCCTTTCGAAGACGAATCAAATAGAACAAAAAGAGAGGTGGCCGGCTGCAGAACGCTTTTGAGCCCAAGCATAGCCGGCCCTATATTCGATAACTTGACGTTGGTTAACATAGGTTACGTTAGCAGGGAATACCTTGACTTCCCCACAGAGTGAGGCGTAGTCTTCTGCGTGCGTGGCACGAAATGAAAATGGGTGTGATATGATACCAATAACATTCTACACGTCTTCACCATCTTGTATCCAAGAGCGACAAGCCAATGAGGCAAATGGAGATACTAGAACACCATCCTCATCTTCAGCTTATCCTTCTCAATAATCTCATCTTTTTGCGCCACAAACTCTTCCATATCCCATGGACAGTTTACATATCTCCCACCCAGCCACTCCCTGCGCTCGGAAGCCAACCACGCAATTGTATCACCAGCAATAGCCGGACGGTGGGGCAATCTATCCCGTATCTCTTCGGGAATTAGGTTTTCAGTAATCTTGGTCTTGATCGCCCCGGGGTTCACACAAAACGTCAGAAGCCCTTGATCGCCATGATCTAGCTGCAGGTGCTCGGTCAACCTTAGGATAGCGAGCTTCGAGCTTCGGTAGCTCCCGCTCCCAAGGCGCGCGCTCAGTGCGCCTGACGAAGAGACATTGATCATTGTGCACATACCGCCGCTGCTCTTATGGAACGAGAGCAAGCAGGGGAGGAATGCCCGAGCCATGTTCAAAAGTCCGTGTACATTGACCTCCCACGTCCGCCAGTACACGTTTGGATCTGACTCGAGGATAGACTTGTACGGTTCCTGGTGGGCCGCGTTGTTGAGGAGAATGTCGAGGCGATGGCCAAAAGCCTGTGAAACGGTATCGTGCATTGCCTGGACGCTGTCCTTATTTGCAATGTCTACGGTGCAGCTAACCACCAAAGGTTCTGGGCGTCCAACTTCCGTGGCGGCCATCCTGAGCTTCGCGACTAGGTCATCCGATACGCCGTGAACATCGACTACAGCAATCGCGGAAGCTCCGGCTCGCGCAAAGGCTGTGGCTGTGGCATATCCGACTCCATCCTCCCAGGCAGCACCAGTGACCAGAACGTGTTTACCAGTTAGGTCTAGCTTTAGTGGAGATATGTAGTCATAGGTTGTGGCGTGCATTGTCTTTGTGAAGACGCTGCCGGAAAGCTCTGCGTTGGTTGCCATTGTGAGTGTGAGATCGTTATCATGCGGGGAAATGGTGTGGTAGATGAATTGGGGACTCGAATGGAAAGAGGAACTTTTTACGACATAGGAAATTGACTTGCGCTGCTAAGCATATAGATACTACTGATATTTGTCTCATCAGGGTCATCTCCATATTTATTCATAGGTGATTGGACGCCTCGACTACAAACATGCAACTACATAGGTTTTGGCCTAGGTAGTACGGAGGTCGCTACCAAAAGTCATTGCTAGCGCCATTTCTCTAGAGATTTCCTCACAGCCGGCAGCAGCTGGTTAGCAAATAAGTCAAAACAGCGTGCAAGTCAAATGCCGTGTATCAGTTATCTACGGATATTGGCAATACAAGCTCCTCGTCTATCTAATCCAACGTTACTTTCCTATAAAATACTTCCGACCTTTCACTTTAGGGACACTATTCTCGTTATCTCTAGCACCCCGTTGGGCCTAAATCTGCTAGAGCATAGGATAGTGAATACGGTGCTCGCCCAAGCATGGGATCGCAAGTGTAACGCTCTAAGCGTGAAATGATAGTATAGGTACTGTCAAGTAGTATATAGAAGTCTCAGAGTACAAAAGAGAATATCGGTGTACAGAAAGTGGGCATATACCCACTGGCTTAGTCACGTGATCACCACTTCCCAAGTTCGGTGATCCGCGAGCTCGTCGCCTTAGTGTACGGAGTGCTCTCCGTACACTGTGGACATCTATAGTCATCCATATTGCCACACGGTTCGCAATGCAGCCGTGAACAGACCTCTCAGGGCTTTTTGTCCTCAGACATTCCAATATGATTCTAGACTTCACCGTCCGGCACAGTGCTCGTGTCAAATTCAGTACGTGTGGGTACAAATAGGATGCTCACCGAGACACGATCAACTAGGTCCAATCAGACCGTCTTTAGATGCAAAAAGGGCCCGTGGCAGTGTTAGAGACAAAAGCCACCCGCACCTAAATCCATGCCAGAACGACACACCGCTCCCCTAACGTGGACAAACTCATTCCAAGTGCCCACTAGCTGTACACCTGGTCTTGCGCACAATTTCAAAGGTCCATCATGCAAGGCATCAGACATGGGTGAAATTCTTTACATGGTGCTCGAGTTGTATGTCCTTCACAGTGTGCTATTAGTGGAGAAGTACGTTTGTAGAGGCGACTTCGGATCCTTGCGAAGAGCTTTTCACCCTTTCAGCTCTCAAAAGTTGCGTGTTTCAGGGTGTGAGCCGAAGTTCAAAGCACTATGTAATAAGGTGCATGTCAGAATGTACCTTGGATCAATCTATAAGTACATGAATCACCAATACCAGTATATTCAATACCTGGACCTTTAGCTTATCGTGACCCTCGAAGGTATATCGAAGAATAAAGCTAATGCATGGATCGTTATTGAATATGCAGCTCAATTTCGGCGCTAGCGTATGCCGGTTAACGGGCTGTGATAGTGGCGGTCTCATTATTACGTTCCTGCTTCGAAGCCGATCGAAATCAGTTCATGCAGAGGTGTAGTAGTACAAGAAAACCGATACGAAGATCTGGTCCGCGTCCGCCAACATCAATTTGGTTTCTGTAAGATACTGTACAAAGTAGATAACATTTCATCTGCTGGGCCATGGCGGCTTGCCAGCACAGCGCGAAACAGGCCTGTATCCTATTGTCGGAATTGAATCCTAGTAACTAATGATAGGGTTTGGTTCTTGCGCTATACTGAGGCCATCGTGTATTTGATTGTTTTCATACACCACAGCCAAATTTGTACCTCGAAGCGCAAGGAACCATCGACATACTACTAAAATACATAATTTCCGTGAGATTTCTGTCTCAGAACTGGTATTGGTAATTTATCAAAATGAAGTGCCCAAACTCAGCTTACAAATTCAACAATAGGACGGAAACATCAGAAGCGTTTTTGTACTACAGCATTAGTTGCCCTCTAGGAGAACGACCCTGGCGTAATAAACTTGTGTGTGTGTGTGTGTGTGTGTGTGTGTAACGGCCAGGGTCTAACTTACTTATCTTCGTCAGATCAGATAGGAATCGAGTCTAGATGCTGAGTGCTTTATCTCGCTCCATGGATGTTGTACTGTGATTCTTCATGTTTTGTTAAGTGTAGACGTATCACTCTGATGGCCTCTGGACTTGGTGTTGTTGGCCAGTCGGTTTTGAATGCTTATGGATTGCTGCGTGGAAACGATTTTCCTACCTTACAACAATCCTCCGCGGACCAATTTTCAGAACCACAAGATATACGCGAAGCCATTTGCAGAGGAGATTACTGAGGCGCCATCTACACCAACCAAGGAGCGTCAGCCAACTTATCATCTGCCCCTGCGGAAGGCACCAGCAATCCGGATGCCATCACGTATATTTGGAACGGCGCACGATACCCGGCCTTTTCACAGGGTTCAGTCTACTCTAATATCCTCACACTAATACAATTAACACGGTCGGCTTACTATTCCTTTAATGCATCAAATATCGCGCAGTCGGGTGCACTCTCAAGCCAGGTTGGCCTGCAAACCTTCCTCAATCCAATTCAGGCCCTAGAGATCAATATACAACCAACGACTCAAGGTACCCGGGTTCTATATAACACAATCACTTTGGTCATGCCAATCATACAACAGTTCCTCTTCATGCTAGCATTGAACGGAATATCAGGAGAGTTTGAGTTATTCTCTAAATTGCGACCTAGTACGAACGGCCTGTTACGCCTCGGCCTCTCAATATCATACACTCTTATCGGTTCGCTGTGCATCGCAGGATATATATGGGCTTTCAAAGAATCTTGGGATGTCAACGGCAATCAGTTCGCGTTAACATGGATTGTTATGTGGCTATACATGCACATCAACTTTCTTTTGGTGGACATTCTGACCACGTGGGTTCCGATGCAGTTCATGCCATTCTGCATCTTGACCTGGGTTGTCATGAATGCGGCAAGCGCTATCAGTCCGTTCAAGTTGAATCCTGGGTTTTATCGATGGGGATATGCATTGCCGGGCCATGAAGTGTATCAGGTCTTGGTCAAGATTTGGAGCCATGGGTGTGGCAATCAACTGCATATCGCGCTTCCTGTCCTGTTTAGTTGGTGGTTTGCTGCTATCGCATTAGTTATCGTGGCCGTTCACACACGATGTCGAAAGGCTAGCGCCGCTGAAAAAGCTGAGACTGCAACAGAGCCATCCGAAGAGGATCAGAGACAAACCGACTCAGCCGAAGCAGACTCGGCACGACGTTCAAGTGCAGTCGAGCTTGTTCCACAGAGGACGAGAACGATCGAGTCGATTAGACTAGAGCGCGAAGCATATGGTCCAAGCTATCCACCACCAATTGTTCGTGGTCAACCGGCGCGGTGAGTCGCGTGATAATGACGATGAAGCGCTTCGGTCGTGTTATTTGGTATTGACTCGTGGTCGAGCTAAGGCGGCATCTTTCAGGTCGCCATCGTCGTCGATACTGGGTCAAAATCAGCGATACAATTATCGCAACAACGAGTCTTTCAGACCTGTCTGTCGTGTCACCAAGAAAGCGTCTGATCACACTAAAGTATTTTCGTCATGGCCAAGCTCCACCAGCTACCACGGTGGGAGTCAATTTGAACACCCAAATCAGCTATGGACACGTCGGAAGAGATCGGTATTGCCATGCCTCGCGTTGACTAGGTCCTCCAACCACGCACCGCTCCAGCAGACGTTCCAATCGCCGGATTTTTTTTCTTTTTCTTTTTCAGGAAGAAACTAGCGCAAGCCAATACATAATGTTGGTATTGTAATGGCCCAGCAGCGTCAGCAGATCCGAGTCTGATTTCACGTCGTCGTTTTTGGGGCGAAACTATTATTTTCTTTTCAATCTGTCTCAAAATCGCAAACCATATCAATTCTATTCTAAAATGACTCTGAAGGGTGTAAATTAATCTTGGTCCACTTAGTCTCAAAGCCTTCCTAGGATGGCTCCGGAGGGGTTAGATGAGCGGTCTTGTACCGCTCTTCTGTGCTCTGAACTCTGGACAAGGAGATTAATTGAGGTCACTACAGCTGAGCTCAGAGGTGAGGCGCTTGGAGTAGAGGAGTACGGACGGTTGCCCCATCCATGACCATGCCACCAGGAGTGTACGTCATCTCCGTAAAAGTAGTTCATTTTAGATTTATACTATAGAAGTTAGAATAACGAGTGTTATCAGTACTGCGCTCAAAATCATGTTGAAGTAACTCGTATGACTTCTGCTAGATAAGTGAAGATTTGTTCTGTAGAGACGAAGAACTAAGGTCGCCATATGTACAGCTCCAAGTTGCCGCTATATATAAGTTTGTACCATGAGAACGTAGCCGATCAAAACCATACAAGCATACGATGGTTGTCTAAGACAAAGTACATTGTAGCTTAGCCTGTAGTAAAGCGTTGAGGTCAGTTATGACGTAACTAGTACAATGGCAACGCCCTGTAAGTGTTCAAATGTACGCGCGTGAGGCTTTGGCTTTTTCTCTTTTGGACATGAGCACCTTTTTGGGACCTATCTACGAGCTGTAGGACGAAGGAACTGATGGGTATTACATCGCATACCCAACTAATTTATTTGGGCACTTGGCACAATAGAATAATCTCGCTCTTCCCACTCCTCGGAGCCATTGACATGACAAGGGCTGATCAATTCATCCATACCGATTATGTAACGGTCCAGCATTCGGACATTCAGCTCCAATTCTGCGAATCTATCAATGGGCGCGCCGTACTGGGCCGAATGCTACTCGAATAGCCAGAAAAGCTCTGGTGCCTTCGGTGTCCCAGGTGAGGACACTGCAACGGGAGCCAGCAAGGAAATATAACATAAATGCCGACATGGGAGACGACTCAGAAAATCATTGTATATAGTCAGGCAGATCATCCGCATAATACTCCTCGCGGATTTTACTGAATCCCACCTCCGGCGCATCAAAGGGCCATGGGAAACCGTTCCCACTGGCAAATAGTCCGAACATGGCGCCGTCGAAGCCTGGTGGTAGATTGGTGGACGGAAAGCTTTTAAGCCATAATACGGCCCCATTGCCGTTGCTGTATCCAAGGCTGTATGTCAAGAGGTTCGGGGAAATGACCAGGTCAAGTCCAGTAGGAATTGATGACACATTCAAAGCACTTTCAATAGTCTGAGAATAAGGTAATCAGCTTACATCTGCCCCAGATATGAGAGAAGTGCTACCCACCACAGGCCTTGTACCTGGACCAGCAGAGCCGACCGTCGAGTCTACGAAGACGCACAGGCCAGTACTATTCGCACAACCTCTCACCCCAATATCGTGGTGGTTCAATTCGCTCACATACGCTGTGACTCCCACAGATTGATACGGTCCCAAACCCTCGACAATTGGCAGCAGCGTCGCCGTGAATGTCATGTTCAGGGACTTTTGCTTTCGTAGAACAGCTGCGGGGGTATCGCGATCGCTTAGAGTATATGCATTTGGTAGTAGGACTAGACCTGAAGTACTGTTCGCTACGAAGGAGAATGACTCCTCGGCCGAGGCGGATCTCATCCGATAATTCTGCGTATAAGGTGACCGGAGCTGATACCAACTGATATCCAACACATCCTCCTCGAAATGGTCTTCGTGCGGCGGTGGTGGCCGTTCTTGATCTGGGCCATAATCAAACCTTTGACTCAGCAGTAGCTTTTCTCCCTCGTTCATGGTTGGCCAGCCGTCCTCCCAAGTTACAGGGGAGAAGAAGGTCTCGCGACCTATAGCCCATCTGTTTGTTCCAATATATCGGTAGGCTAACAAGGTCGCGAACCATCTGCCATCGGGCGTGTCGGCCATTGTTGCATGTCCAGTCGCCCCAATGGTCAGATTTGTGTTGGCTCCATTGAAGATGAGAGGGTTTGAGGGCGACGCTGTCCATGGCCCAATGGGCTTGTCCGACCGCGCGATCGATGCACGATGCGTGATGCCCGTCCCGCCCTCTGCGATGAGAAGATAGTAGTGGGGCTCCTTGTAGAAAATTTTGGGACCCTCCGGACGCGTGGATGTCGTGACATCCAGGGTACCATTCCAGATGTTGCGAAACGGACCCAAGCATTTGCCCGTCTGCAGGTCGACCTCGCATTGACCGATACCCCATAACCGATCATAGTCATTGTTGAGAGACATGAGAGTCAAATAGTCCTTTCCAGACACTGGATCCGAGAAAAGATGCGGATCGATCCCAAATGGTTCGCCCCTACCAACTTGTTATCACTTGTTTGTGAGTGAAGCACAGCACTAGCATACCAGGTAGGCGCAGACCATGCCATGATATCAGGTGAAGAGACCCAGAACACGCGCGGGTACGTCAGGGGGCTGGAGTTGCCTTCCATTGCCATCGATGTGATGTAGAAAGTGCTGTTTACATACGAAAGCGATGGCGCCCAGATCCCTGCGAACGTCAACAAAACTGGATACAGTCGCTGAGATTCGACATCACTTGCCCATGGATGTGGCTACGCCCCGAATTGGCACGTAAGACGGGTCAATGATAGCGTGAGATACCAATGTCCAGTTCGCCAAGTCTCTGGACGAATAAATCGGGATTTGGGGGTAACTCAGAAAGGAAGATACCGCCACGTAGTATGTGTCGCCAACGCGCAAAACTGAGGGATCGGGGTTCCATCTGTCCTACATAAGCTGCCAATGAACTGAAATGTGTAGTTGGTTCGCTCTCACCCAGGAATGATTGGGTTTCTCAGCGACCACGCGCCAAGCTGCGAGCCAAAGCAGATCAAAGCAGCTAATAAGTGAATGACTACCATCTTGCGGGGAGTGGCGTCTAGACCAACACAATATACCAACAGTGGCGCTTGGGATCAGTATGAATATTGGAGTGTGTCGAACATGAATGCCTCAATTTTAGACCCTTTAAACTCAGCCCGACAACTCAATCGACGCTTTCCGCGGGGCGAACTACCCACTATTTTCCACGTTCCCCTTTGTCGAATTGTTCCTGACTTGGCAGTATATGTTTTTCAATCCCACCAATAACTTTCAATCGAACAGCACCCGTCTCGCACTGCATGCTAGAAGTGGAAATGCGGGTCAAGCTCAACCAAAGTGGACTATGCATGTAGCCTTCTGGCACTTCTTAGTGCCAAAGACAAATTGCCAGCAAGCCTCGCGCAAAAGGATGCATCACACCAGTCCACTGCGATTTGCTTTTCTGGCATGGGATCCCTATCGCATAAGTTGGTGATTTCGTCGTTTGGATACCGAGGCATGCACTGCACCCCTTCGGAGAACAGCTCTGTACTTTGGATTGCGAGATGAATTGGACCTAGATTTCTTCCTGGAGAGTGCTGACGCTGTTCAGTTATTGCACTGGTATCTTCCCCCGTCCCTCCCCATTTTAAAAGATACATATATACATCAACCCCCCCCCCCCCCCCCCCCTAAATTTTGTTTTAATTATAAAAGCAGTCAGAAGTCTCATGTTGTTTTGAGTTCCGATAGAAATAATAACGCGCTGGCCTGGCATGGATAAGACTGGGGCAATGAGGCGCTTGGCGCACTGAAGCAGTAGCGGAGTGCAATCATATCAGCAGCGAGCTCCTGCACTGACTTTGAGCACCAACCGTGTGTGAGAGCCGCGCTCAGCGCTCAACGAAGACGTACTTTAGAGCTCAATATAGTATAAAAGTCATGAATTATGTGCATTGTAACACCGGGAGCATTATATCAGTTAAATGGAGTAAACTATCGCGTTCCAGGTTCATCAAGTCACAACGGTGACCAAGAACTACCGGACAATAAATGGGCCCGCTGTAGATATGGGGTATCGTGGCCATTTTGAACTTCCAACCCACAGGAGGCGGCAGCAGTACATATTCCAATCAGGCTCACAGGTTGCCACATGACGATGAAAACGATTGCCGTATGGGCGTACTGAAATGCTGGAGCCGAATCCACAATGGGGAAAAGCCAAGGCCCGACGTGCAATCGGCGCAGACCGGCCGTATGCCGTCTTATCTCTGCATCCGGCTTCGGCAGTGGTCAGCTCAGCAGACCAACAAACCGAACACCGACTCTCGTTCACTGGATTTCTTTATAGACGTAGTAGGAGAGGAATGGCGAGTGAAGCTGTGTCCAACCAACATCCAACTGTTACTGCTTGACCGGATCATTCCTCGCTTAAGTGACCATCTATGCGCATCTACATCTAGATGTCTTTCTAGGCGGCGCAGTTTCTAAATTCAAAACAGGCTTCGATCAACTTCGGTTTCACCGGATAGACTTTCAGACTCTCGGTTAAGGATGGGCGCGATACCAAAGAAGAGCCATGTGAGCGGTGGATGGCTCATCGCCCTAATCACACTAGTTGATGCCAGTATGTCTCTTCGAACAACGTGTGCACCGGTGGAGCTCATAGATCTGTGATAGTGTCTGCAATGTGGTTTGGCTATTGCCAGGTACGCATTTCCCCTTTCCATGTATCCGGGGGGAGATGCCGACTTCATACAGGGCGTTTTCGCCGGCGTTCTTGTGTCGGAAGATTTCTTGCGGCTGTTCCCGCAGACAAGCGATGCAAACATTTCTGGCATAGTGACAAGCTGCTTTCTTGTAAGTCATACATAGTCCGAGCCGATGCGAGAAATCACATATCCCCTGGAAGACTGACAGCAAGCACAGCTTGGCGCTTTCTTCGGCGCCATGCTTGCGTTCCTTCTCGGCGACCAGCTCGGCCGCAAGAAGACGATAATCATCGGCCATATCCTCAACTTCACCGGCGCCCTGCTTCAATGTCTAGCATGGTCACTACCACAGATGATAACTGGCCGCATCGTGAATGGCTTTGGTATGGGCATGACCAGTACCATGTCACCAGTGTATCTGGCCGAGTGCGCACGATCACATGTACGCGGGAGGCTTCTCGTCATCGGTGCTAGTTCCAACGTGACAAGCTTCTGTATCGCGAACTGGATCAGTTACGGCATGTACTACCAACCCGGTCCCTTGCAGTGGCGATTTCCCTTGGGCTTCCAACTCATCTTCGCGTTGTTCCTGACTCCGATCCTCTTCTTCACCCCGGAAAGCCCGCGGTGGTTGCTCCTTGTCAGCAAAGACGAAGATGCGCTGAGGGTGATCGCGAGGCTAGCAGGCACGGGCACAGAGGATGGCACTGCCAACCGGGAGTTCAGAAGCATCAAAGAGGCCATCAGGATGGAGCGAGAAAGCAAAGTGCCTGTCATGGACGTGCTTTGCCATCGGGACAAGACGCGGAATTTCAGACGGCTCATCCTGAGCTGTGGCACCCAGTTCATGCAGCAGTTTAGTGGGATCAATGCTTTAGGTGAGACTTTTGCGTTCGCCCGCTTTGTCGCGTGTCTAAAACTGTCGCTCTTCAGGATTCTATCTTCCTACCCTGCTTCAGCAAAGTGTGGGGTTCGACAACAGGATGAGCCGTCTGCTTACCGCGGTCATCGGTACTATATACTTCCTGTCCGCTTTCGGGAGCATCGCGGTAATCGACCACGTTGGTCGACGTCGGTACGCCCCTGAGACTCAAACGCTTTCCACGACTACGCTGACTAGATCCCTAGGCTCATGCTGATTGGTTCGGTCCTGACGGCCGCTTGTCATCTCATCGCTTCGGTATGCTTGAAAGTGGGAGATGAAGACCAGTCCAGGGCAAAGATGGTAAGGGACACTCGCCGATCTTCGACGTGCGATCATACTAACTTTGTCACAGATGAGAAGCGTTGCTGTTGCTATGTTCACTCTTTACCATGTGTTTTTTGGATGCACTTGGGCTGGTGTCCCGTGGGTATACTCGGCCGAGCTTAACTCGCTAGGCTGGCGGACAAGAGGAGCAGCCGCTGCCACGGCGACCAATTGGCTCATGGCGTTCGTGGTAGTACAGTATACGAAAGTCGGGCTTGACAACCTGGGCTGGGCATTTTATCTGAGTGAGTTGTGGCTCGCTCGAGTCACCTAATTCATCGCGTCCGCTAATGGTGGGACAGTTTTTGCCGGTCTGACTTTCAGCTATATCCCTGTGGTATACTGCTTCTACCCCGAGACTTCCGGCAGGACACTGGAAGATATGGACGAAGTATTTATAAGGCATCCGGATGTATTTGTGTGTCGCAATCCCGAGACGACCCAGCTTACCAGACCACAAGTCCTAGTTGACGCTGAACGGGACCGGATTGCAAGGGCGGAGGCCCCCGATATGCAACACGTTCTTTGAGAGCATATCAATGCCTGTAGGGGCCCAGCCAGTGTGGGTCGTTCGTTGCAAATAATTATCACCCGAGAGTAATTGTTCAATTGACAGACGATATCAGAGATGGATATAGGACCATCATGGCCGGCATTTGACGACTACAGTGAGTCGGGAGATACCTATTGTACGCTTGCTCGACCCTGTTGAGCCTAACTGCCCGGACTAATCACGTCTTCTACCACACCAAATGACCACACCTGCTGATCTTTCCCCCGCCATGACAACAAGTTTTGTTCCGATGCCAACTCAACCACATCGGCAAACAAAGAGGTTCATGATGGGATAGAAACCGTTCGCATGAGGGAAGTCTTCATTGTGGAAGGTATTGGACGAGCGAATGACAATAAAAACTGCATTCATGCCATCCTTGTGTCATTCCTGATACAATCTTAAGCAATCTGAACTCAACACGCTGCTCTCAATCGGCTGAACTTTGTGCTTCGTGATTCAAACATGTGCAATCGGACCATCAATAATAATGCATGGATTGAAGACCTTGTTTGTGTCAACGCAAAGTGCAGTATTGTCGTGAAGTCTCATACGAAAGCCAGACCCAGTAGCAATGGTGCCAAATCAAGTCCGATCAAGCCCATGACAGACTTATCCTTACATCAATTTCCTTACCAAATTGTGCTACGCCACGGAATCTTGTGGCCGGGCGTAGCCGTTCGTACTTACTTCCGGAGACAAGTGGACATGCGAAACTTTGAGGAGTTTCTTTTCGGCCCCCCTCCCTGCCAAGTGTTCGAAACGTGACTTTTTGAATGCTTCATAGCGATCTGGAACTTAGGTTTGAGAGGTATGATGTCGAGACTTGCATGCACAACAGGGCTATGCAACAGAAGCCATCACGAGCATTCATGTCAAATCAGCCTCCCCCTGTCCACACCACCATATGCGACTAGCCAAGCTTGACCCATAGTCAATAGTCCCATGTACTGGTAGCGTCCTTCAACACCGTCATTTGGTCTCGTGCCAGCAATCATCCATGAGAGATAAGGTCATCCCCTTTGTGCTGGGCTGCTCCCGGTCGATGAATAGCCACAAGGGCTGTCCGCGCCTTATGCTTCAAGCCGCGTCGGTGTCGTTGACCATTGACATGCTTGGTCCACTGGTCCTCTGTCTGGAGCGTCATGTTGCAGATATCGCAGAGCCTTGGCTCGTATCTCGGCTTCGGTGCTCCGGCCTCGTTGTTTAATGTTGAAAGAACATTGCTTGCTTGCAGAGAGATACTGACGGGTTCCGGTAGTGGATGGCCGTGAAGATATGTTTCGGTGATCCTCGCGGCTGGAGTCAAGACGTTATCTGCGAGGCTTGCTGCGTCTGAGCTATCCAGAAGATACAGGAAGTTCATGGCGCCGTTCTCCTTGAGTTCGGGGATTGTTTTGCCACGGAGCCACCTGAGTTGATACCGGGCATACTGTCGTGTAGCAATCTTGGTCAACTCCATACTTTCAGCTTTCAGCTTGTCTAGGTCTTCCAAACTGGCACCGTCCTTTTCGGCGACAAGGAATGGTTCGAACTGCTTGAAGCCGATGGACTGCCAGATCCCTCGCGTACGATCGACCTCTTCCCCGGCAGCGGATTTGGCGAGAAGATGTTGATGTAGCACTCTCACTTCGCCCATCAACCCGTTCTGCTCCATTTTGTCAACGCGCTTGTTGAGGCGTTCTCTAAGGACATCTGGTTCAGAATACACCCAAAACATCAGGGCATCCCATGACTGATCTGTTGATCCGGAAGCTTCCTTGGCTCTCTGCTGCTCCTCGTAGATTTCCGAGGCTCTTCGGCCAGTGGTGAGGAAGATTTCGAGACTGCGCTTGATCTTGCGCCTGTCATCGGGGTGCCAACGAGCACCCATAACAGGGTCGACCTCTCGGAGGCGTTTCAGCATCAAGTCAGTCGGCCCACTAAGAATCGGATGCTGCTGCTCAATCTGTGTCTGCGAAGTGTAGCTTGACGCTGCGTCGTCGTCCGCTGACTCGACCAAGCTGTTGGCGAACAAAAGGGAGCTGATGTAGTAGTGAGTGCCGCCGACGAGGATGGGCAGTTTGCCTCTGCTACGGATCTCGCGGATGAGTTTGGCTGCTTCTCTAGCAAAAACGCCGACGGTCCAGGTGGGCTGATGGATATCCACAGTTGCGAGGAGATGGTGCGGAATGCCGCGCTGCTCATCAGCTGCAATCTGGTTGGTGATGATAGGCAGACCCTTGTACATCTGCATAGCATCGGCATTGATGATTTCTCCATCAAACCTGACTGCAAGGTCAATTGCCAGCTTGAGATGACGTCAGCAGGTGATGATGTTTGCGGCTCGAAAACTGTTTAGACGTACGTCTGACTTGCCAGTGCCTGTTGTGCCCATTATGGCCACGAGGGGCTCTCTTGGGCGTTGGTGGATTGACATGTTGGCAACATGGCGGAGAAGGGGTTTCCATGCAAATTGGCCAGACCTCAAATGACACGGTAACATTCATGAAAACATGAGAGATGACGACGATGAATACGTTCGGAAATCTAGCTCGAGGTGTCCAACGACTTCTGTCTTTCTCCGGAGACACGTCGCTCCTGGTAGGGACTTGTGTATGGTTTCCGGGCGTCCACGTGCAGCAGGGACGGGGTAAAAGATCAAAACAAACGTGTTGGATGAGAGTAAGAATTAATGAAAATAAAAATAAAAAAAGACTTTGCGTGTGGTTTTACTGCTATCTGTCCGTCTGTTGTGGTGCACTGGATGGACACTTTTGCACAGCACAGCAAATGGCTAAGCGTACCGAAATGCTGGCGATAGAAATTGAATGTAACCAATAAGTTAGCAAGGAAACCGTTGGGCACTCACTGGCCATACTTAATTTGAGGCTGAAAATGGGATTTGAGGGGCGGGGGTTTTACAGGGACGCAAGAATTGTGGAGCGCGCCGAGCTGAGCTGAGCCGAGCAGAGCAGAGCCGAGCTAGACTAGGTTAGGTTAATAATCTCGTCCACAATCTCAATTGCAAGCTTGCTGAAGCTCTGAGCTTTTTTGAGTGCTGTTCGTGCTGTAGCTACCTTGCCTTGGTAACTTGCTTACCTAGTTAACCTAGTTGATACGCTGTGGCAGAGTCGGGGTACCAAGGTCACGTGGCACGCTCCACTCAATCCAAAGTCGGAATCGAATGGGAAAAGGGGACACATCGTCAATTGACCAGAAACCGGGGCACTAATTTTTTGAGCCAGATCGTCTCCATCTGCTCCGTCTTCGTCCCTCGTCCTCGTCTCCAACAAAGTGAGCAGGTAATAGTCGCGACGTAGCCTCTCTCCTTTCCACCTCTTTCCCATCCCTTCCCTTCCCTTCCTTTCAACCCATTGAGTCACGGCCTCCTCCCACTTAGACTTTGGGACGCAGCGTCGCTGTTCTTGATTCCTTTTCTTCTCTTCCTCTCGTCATAGTATTTTGACAGAGACATTGCGACAATGTCAAGCTGTAAGTGTGCCCGTCATCCTCAACACACCAACAAAACATGAAATCTCCGCATCGCGGTCGTGGCCGTTCACCAACCTTCCGAGCTTGCCATTCACTCCCCCAAGCTTGCCGACGTCCCTCTCTCCATCTCTGCCACCCCCATTGAGACGGAACAGAAAAGCTAACCTCGCCCTTTTTTTTCCCGCCACGCAGTACGATTTCTCGACCTGGTCAAGCCCTTCGTGGCCTTCCTGCCAGAGGTGCAGCAGCCAGAGACCAAGGTCCCATTCAACCAAAAGTTGATGTGGACAGGTCTCACGCTGCTCATCTTCTTGGTCATGAGCCAGATGCCCCTCTACGGCATCGTGTCCTCCGACACCTCCGATCCCCTCTACTGGCTGCGCATGATGATGGCCAGCAACCGCGGTACCCTGATGGAGCTGGGTATCACCCCCATCATCACCTCCGGTATGGTCTTCCAGCTCCTCGCTGGCACCCACATGATCGACGTCAACCTCGACCTCAAGTCCGATCGTGAGCTCTACCAGACTGCCCAGAAGCTCTTCGCCTTCATCCTCTCCGCCGGCACTGCCACCGTCTACGTCTTCAGCGGCCTCTACGGCCCTCCCAGCGACCTCGGTGCTGGTATCGTCTTCCTCCTGGTTCTCCAGCTGGTCGTCGCCGGCATGATCGTCATCCTCCTCGACGAGCTCCTCCAGAAGGGCTACGGCCTGGGCAGCGGCATCTCCCTGTTCATTGCCACCAACATCTGCGAGTCCATCATGTGGAAGGCCTTCTCCCCCACCTCCATCAACACCGGACGTGGCCCCGAGTTCGAGGGTGCCGTCATCGCCCTCTTCCACCTCCTCATGACCTGGCCCAACAAGCAGCGTGCTCTCCAGGAGGCCTTCTACCGCCAGAACCTCCCCAACATCATGAACCTGATCGCCACCATCGCCATCTTCGCCGCCGTCATCTACATGCAGGGCTTCCGCGTCGAGATCCCCGTCAAGTCCAACCGCCAGCGTGGCGCTCGTGGTTCTTACCCCGTCCGCCTCTTCTACACCTCCAACATGCCCATCATGCTGCAGTCCGCCCTCTCCTCCAACATCTTCCTGATCAGCCAGATGCTCTACTCCCGCTTCTCGGAGAACCTCCTCGTCCGTCTCTTCGGCGTCTGGGAGGCCAAGGAGGGAACCGCCCAGCTCTCGGCCATCTCCGGACTGGTCTATTACATGTCCCCCCCTCTCAACTTCAAGGACGCTCTTCTCGACCCCATCCACACCGTCGTCTACATCGTCTATATGCTCACTGCCTGCGCCATCTTCTCCAAGACCTGGATTGAGGTGTCTGGCTCCAGCCCCCGCGACGTTGCCAAGCAGCTCAAGGATCAGGGGCTCGTCATGGCTGGTCACCGCGACCAGAGCATGTACCGTGAGCTGAAGCGCATCATCCCCACTGCCGCTGCCTTCGGTGGCGCTGTGATTGGTGCCCTCTCCGTCGCCAGTGACCTCATGGGAGCCTTGGGCTCTGGTACCGGTACTCTTCTCGCTGTCACGTAAGTTTCCCTGCTAGGATGCATCTCCACCCTCGTTTTACTGACATTCCCTCTGCAGCATCATCTATGGCTACTTCGAAATCGCAGCGAAAGAAGGCGACCTCGCCGGTATGAAGGGTATGATCATGGGTTAAGCACCGTGATCTCTTTCCTTTCCCATACCATTATCTATACGCCATTCCGGCCGGTTCGACGCGTCACAAAAGTTCGATGGAAGGCCATCGAGTGTAATATGTTGAGTAAAATCTAAAAGTGCATTTACAGGTGGGAGGCGAGCGAGCATCGGGTGGCTTTACTTGAAAATACTGCCTCGAGTTGGCTTGACGCGAGCGATTCGTGTGACTGCGCACGGACGGCATGATGTATATTTTATCCTCTCCATGTCACTAGACAGGAATCAAAAGACTTGTATAATACAATGCAACCCTGCCAGTCTGTTCTTCGTGCTTCAAAATAATTGCCTATTTGATGTGGTATACCTACCCTCTACGCGCCCGGCTCACCTCGCTATCTGCAACTTCCGCCGTCGAGCCCTCGGCGCGCCTCAGTAATCTCATCCTGATGTTCAAGTCGTCCTCGGCATCGTTTAGTTTGGCTCTATACATGTACACGGCCTGTCTAGCATGCCTCGCCGCAAACTCTTCCTTCTCTGCATCGAGCAGTGCCGCTAATTTCCTTGCCTCGCAGACGGGGACAGCCCAGCGCTCCACCTGCCTGCGCCGCCCACCGATCATGTTCCAGATTCGCGCTGGTGCCGCGCGGGATTTGGACGCATCCAGCCCCGGAACGCCGGAGGACAGGCTGGCGCCATATGGGCGAGGTGACATCGAGAGGCTGCCTGTGCTAGGTGGGATCAGCATTAGCTTGCACAACTGCTCTGTCATTATTTCTTCCGTGCGCGTGTCGCGCTTTGTGTTCGACTCGACTCGCTTCTGGAACCGGTAGCAGTTGCGGTGGAGACGGTGCTTCCACGTTTCTTTTTCTGTTCGTTTGACTTGGCTTGACATTTCTTGCGTGGGTGGGTCGGCGCGTGCTGTGTGTCAGGGGGGACGGGAAGGCAGGTTGAGGTTTGTGCCGGGGAGATAGGGGAGGGCTTTATAGTGTTCGTATAACTGATGGGATTCAGTCGCGTGTGAGCACAGCTGGCGCAAGCTTGCGGCCATGTAGTGATCTATCGTATGCGCAGACAAACGCTGTCTGTCAGTGCCGATGGGCGCCGACTGGCAGGAGAGCATGCATGCGGCTCCCGAGAGGCAACAGCCGTCTGCGTATCGTCATGTTAGACTTCGGTATGGCCTTGGAAGGTCTTGCCCCCAGCCCGGTCTGTCAGGTATAGACCTTGACTACGAGCTTGTGGGCTGGTAAATGCGGAACTGCTCCAGGAACACTGGTGAGTCGACGCCGCTGTGCCGAGTGAATGACTCGAGCCCATTTCTTTCCACCTTCAGGGGCTTCTCGGCTGATTACATGCGAAACATTTCTTTCATCGAACCGGTCGTTGTCTATAGTCTGAGCGTTCGTCGGATCTAGTCTGTGATATAGATTGCCCGCACAACTTGTCATCTCAGCGACCACAGAAAATGGATTGTGTGACTTGCTACTGAATCATTGATGACGCTGACAGTTTATTTCCATCTAGTCTCTGCCCCACCGGCATGGACATGAGTACAACCTGCTCATCTGTCATGCTTTGGCGAAGACACTTGGGTTTCGTCCGGTAGTGGGCCTCCATGGATTGGTCGGTACTCAGAACTCCTAGTTGCTGTCTTTTTGATGTTGAGAGAATATCCAACAGCCACATGATTTCAGGCATGCCTCTGTCATCTATTCAGATCATATGACTCTACCACTACTCGCCGTCATTGCCTGACTTTGCGAATATCCTCTGACTATGGCATTGTCATGGATGTGTAAGTGTCCTATGTGTTATGCAAGCAAGGTGGACAAGCTTGAGTTAGTGGAAGATATCCTGAAGTTGGTTAACAACACGAGATACGTTTCTAAACTTCATCCACCTGTACCAACCTAAATATGCGCGGGCATTGATCGTCAATGCAATGTGTCTAGCGACCGCTCGAAGGCATCTTGTTCTTTCAGCCGAGTCTATGTGTTGAAGCTCCGCAGCCGGCAATGGCTCAGAATAGTTTTTCCGCCCATATGAACATAGCATCCTGCCGCCCATGTAAAAAATATCAAACTTTCAGATGAAGACCCTACATTGAGCGACGAGCACATTCGGAGGTCAGATTCGAAGAGCATTTCTTTTTCAAAGGCAACCTGAGTAAGGTACACGGAGCAGGGAGCAGGGCATTCCAGCGTTTCACGGTCGAGCGCGGGATCCTTCGCGAAGATGATCAACGGCGAATGCACCTCTTGTTCTCAAGGACGGATATGTCAATGACGTCGTGAGAAAGCGAACTTCCAAGACCCTGCACATTCTCGGGTTCGGTAGCCATCGTAGTGTGACTGTGGTGCGGCGATTGTAAACGTCAAGGACAACGCCGCAAAAGGAAAGGAAGAAAAAAAGCCCGTCGCTTGACCTAGAATACCGGCGGTCGTAGAATAGAGTTATTATACCCACCGTAACAAAAACGCTCCTCTTACTCTATAGCAACGCCAGTCAAGGTGCTTATCTTTGCGCGCCGAACAGCCGATTACATCTTCCCAAGGGGCGGTAGTTGATCACATGTGAACCAACGGGTCTTGAGATGGCCTCTGTGCTAGACTAGGTTAGTGTATTTGTCTCGGGTTGAACTTTAGGCCGCGTTCGTGGACGTGTATACTTTTCTGCTACTTGGCCAAAGGTCTAATGAACCTTATCGGAGACATTGAGCCCCGGACAGCACATAATGGATATAGCTTATTAAAGGTTAGGACCGATTGTGGGGGCCGTGAATCACATGCGCAGCCAACTGAAGACTGACGAGCCCATCACTTCCTATAAGCCACTTCCTCATGTCCTGATAGCCTGCGTCGTGCTGGCAGTGTCCCTAAAGTCGTCCTCTTAGAGTTAATGGCATTCAATCCGGGAATCGACGCAATGATAGATGATTTATTGAAGCTTGAGGACTAGCTAGCCAGCGACTAGGAGCTTGATACTACGGATAAATTAGTATCACGGGCTTTACTAAGCGACCGATAACATACTAAAATCAGTGCAGGGTGGTGGGAAACCATAGCATGGGGTTTAGAGACTCGAAGAACTTGCAGAATCGAAACAATGAAGATATATCTAGCAGTGAAAGACCATTACAAGGTACGTGGAACCAAAGTACATTTAATGTTCTTCAAAGACAACATGAAGAGTGAGTGAATTATGATGAACATAACATTGTTAGCTAATTGGGCAGGGGTTTTAGTAGAATTAGATGACCGGGGAAGACAATACATAACAGCCGGGGAAAGTCAAGAAAAATACATGACTTTCTATATCGACTGGCTATAATTTCCAGATGAAAGTCTTTCTGAGGCTGTCAAAGCTAGGATATCTCTTTTTGGTATGTTACCTATTCAGAATATCTTAGAAATTGAAACAACTGAAAGATACAGAACTACATTATACCAAATCCTGGAATTCGAGTCAGCAACAATTTAGCCGTCACTTCGCAACCGTTGTTAACCATTTAGAAGAAGACCCTGCGTGCATGAATACCACTCAGTTAGGCTCTTTGCGGAATATGTGTTCAATCTCACGTCAGGACACCATGAACCGGGTTCAAACTCTTTTTAGGGCACCACCCTGGATAATTAGCGTACAGTCCCTCAAGTTTTGTCCGGACGCGGCCCAACCTCGCAGACTTTATTTGACGGTCGCCGGAAATATATAGTATGCTAATGGTTAGTTCGTGATTGGATGATTTGAAAGCACAATCATTTAGATTCTGAGAGCAGCAAACAACATCTTTTATGGCAATATAAATAGAATTGACTCTAGTTCGTTCTTCTAGTTTGCCAATCCGACCACTACCACTCTACTTTCCTCGACAGACGTAGTCCTGAGCACAAAGTCGCCATGTCTATACCTCCTTCGCCAGATACAGCCTGGTCTCTAGCTGGTAAGACCGCTATCGTGACTGGCGCCTCACGCGGAATCGGACGAGCCACCGCTATCCACCTGGCACGTAAAGGTCTTTCCAAGTTGGCCATCACCTATGCCACCAACCACCAAGCGGCTCAGGAGACTCTTGACGAGTGCAAGGCCCTTGGCGTAAAAGACGCAATTTCAATCCAAGCGGATGCGCTTGATCCTGCTTTTGGGTCCAAGATCATTTCCGCTGTTCTCAGAGACCTCGGGGTGACCGTCATCGACATTCTCGTCAACAACGCCGTCTTAGCCGACCCATCGAAAGTGCAACCTGTCAGGGAGCTGACCTTGGACGTCTTCCTCGAAACGATGCAGGCGAATGTTTACGCGCCGATCACGCTTGCCACAGCGCTTCTGCCGCATTTGCCAGCATACGGAGGCCGTGTCATAAACGTTTCCAGCGTTGTCGCTCTACAATCCAGTGACGATCCTATCATGACATACGCGGCCAGCAAGGCCGCACTCCAAAGCTTTACGCGCTCGTTGGCCGGTAGTCTAGGGAAATCCACACAGGCTACTTTCAATAGCGTTGTTGTAGGTATTACTGCGACGGACTCGGTCAAGTCTGCCGAGGACTTCTTTCCAGCGGGATTCATGGACGCGCAGATCCGAGATGTCACTGCCGCGGAGAGGATTGGCGTTCCCGAAGATATCGCTTACATCATTGGATTTCTATCTAGCGATGAGGCCCGGTGGGTCAATGGCGCTGCAGTCAGTGCTAATGGTGGCAGTAAACTTGCTATGTCAGCGCTCGGGTAGACTCAGCGTGCACTATAGGCCAGATGACATGCCAGGAAGGGGTCTGGCTGCAGAACCAGCGGGTGGAAATGGTGATTGTTAGACCCTATTGACTCGGTTAGGATCAATAAGGACGATGGTATTTAGATAATTACTGGAACTGTACTCAACGCCTGGCTCTAAGCCACTTAGAAGCGTGCAAAATCTCCAACGCGAATCGCATTTACGTGCTGATTCATCCGTGCCGACCACAGTTTCTGCTACTCTTAACCGCCTCCGTTCCGCCTCGGCTGCACCGCGTGCCGTTTTGCAACCGGGCTTCCGTTACCCCACATAGCAATCGTTTCAACACGTTCCGGGACGATCGCTCATCATTTCATCGACCCTCCCCGTCCGGCATTTTATAGCACTCCGCCCCAACCCCGCCGCATCCTTGAGGCGCCAAAAGCTATAAATAGCTCGTCCATAATGGACACCGTCGTCGGTTCCAGGCAGGCGATGCTGACCTCCATTTTTATAAATGCTACCGTGCGCTCCTTGGCCAAAATGTCTGATTGTCCATTCCGATTTCACTCCCACCCCAGATGGCTGGTAGCGCTAACCTACAGCCGCCCTTGGTGGAAAAAGCCTCCGATCCTCTTTCCGATGAGGGGAGGATATCGTTGGCCGAAAAGCATTACGAGACCTACGTATCCCAGCCGGACAATGTCAAACCCTTCGTGGTTACAGAGACCATGGCGGAGCGAGACCGGATCTGGCAACGCTGGAATGAGTAGGATATCCTATTCTAACACTTCCTAACTGCACCATGGGCGCATAATAATAGTCTACTTCCTCAGGTACTGCAAAGACGTCGGTACCGACAGCTGCACGACGTGGCTTGATTTCGTCCGACGTCCTGACCGCCGTCAAACCCAAGCACATTTCGTATACTTTCTCAAGGTCTATATCCACTACTCATCACAGAAGCGTCTCGTTCTCGGCCCGCGTCGCTATAATACCAATGACTCAAACGTAAACGTGTATTCTTAGTTAATTATTCGTATTTTATTTAGAATTATTATATATAGTTTCGCTTTTCCTAACAAATTTAAAGAACTTTCGGGATATTTATAGTTTCCTGCCCATCTTTCTGTTCCTCCACCGCTTTAACCAGCAAAACAAGCACATGTTGGATATAAAGTTTTGTCTGGATGGCCTGGAGGTGTCTAGAACTCGAGGATTTGGGAGTCGAAAATGCAGACCTCGATACCATCGAACTATCTAAAAATAGAGTAGAGTTATATGATTATAACAACTATCATGCACGTATTAATAAATAACTTAGCAAGTATCAGCACTCATCTCCCGATCGTGCCTCCCCCACTCCAAGTCCTGCTCCCCGTACCCACGACGGCTCCTTGGGCTGTTGGCCGACACTGCATATCGCGTCTTGGACAAAATACTGGTGGCCGTCTTCATTTTTACCAGATCTAGCTCGGTCGATTGAAGGATCCCCATTTCCATGGCTTCCGACCTCATCGTGTTGTTGGTCCCGATCTTGGAAAGAGGGCTGGACTGATGATGGTGGAAGACCGAATGGAGTGGACTCGACATGGGAGGCTTCAGTAGTCTTGTTCGCGTGCCTGATGGCTCCGCCATCACCGCCTCCTCTTCATAATCATCGTCATCATCGCCGTTCTTTTCGTGCCCGGCGTCGTTTCGGGCGAACAGTCTCTTCATCAGGGCGGCGAACCCGGCAAAGGCCCTCGTTATGTCGACGACGGTGAAGGCCATGAAGATAAAGACGGCCGAGATAGCTAGCCCGCCGCCAAAGGTCCACCTCGCCACGTACTCGGTGTGGAGGTCGCTGAAGGCATCCATGCCGATGCCGAAATAGGCAGCGATGAATGACATGGGTAAGAAGATAATGGTAACGATGGTGAAAACCATGACGGTCTGGCCCTCCCTCGCAGCGGACAAGGCTTGCTCACTGGCAAACCGGGCCTCCAGCGCGTTGCTGTGCTTCTGCTTCAGGTCCAGCAGGTCCGTCAGCGACTGATACAAGCGCTCGGCCTGCTCCTCCATGGTCTGGATGTCGCGCTTGTGGACCTTGAGGTGGCGCTCCTGCTCGAGGGTGCGCTTGCGGATGTCGGCAACATGCGAGTTGTTGGCGTGGTTGCGCATCAGCCGGCTCGAGGCGGCGCTCAGGCTTAGCTCCTCGATCAGGCAGTTCTTCAGGTCGCCCAGCGTCCACAGCTGCGAATTCAAGATCATGGTCAGGATGTTGAGCTCGTCGCGGATGTCGCGCACCTCGGTCAGCAGCGACGTCTCGGTTCCGATGTCGAGCAGCTGGTCGAACGAGTTGGACTCCTCCGTCGGCGTCTTCTTCTTGTTGTTCTTGCTGCTGCGCAGCTTGGACCGGCGAGACGGGCGGGCCCACTGTCGGCTGTGCGACGACGCCCGCTCGAAGTGGTGGAACAGGTGCGTCAGATCTTCGGTAACCCGGCCGACAGAACTCTCAAACATGTCGAGAAACTGGTAGTCCTGGTCATCGGCTCGGTGTCGCGAGAACATGCCGGAGCAGCGGCCAGAGACTAGGATGGCCATGTGGTATACACTTCGAACGGGCGGTCGAGTTTTGGCGTTCATTTCGGCCACAATGCCGTCCAGTACGCCTAGCGGGTCTTTTTGATTTCGCAAGTCCCAGCGCTCGGGGAAACAGGTGATGATGAGGTCCTTATTCAGAACGAGAACCCACAGCTGGTCCACCATGAAAACTTTGCGCTGATGGCCATGGGCCTCGCAGTAGCGGTACACGACCTGGTCGCGGTCGCGGGCCGACGTGTCGATACCGCGGTAGAAGAACTGGTCAAGCGTCCTCCTCGGGTGGAGCGACGGCTTGTGGTTCAAGTACGCCTCCAAAAGCAGCATGTCGGGTGTCTTGTCGCGGGAGCTCGCGTGCCTGGCGGACGACACGATCTTGATGGCGTCCATCATCTTCCGGCGGCTCTCGTCCGTCTCGTAGTGGAGGTACGGCATGAACATGACGATCTTGCCGTCACCGCCCGGTATGCCCTGGCTGAGGGTCAACTGCGACAAGTTGCTAGTACTACGGCGGATGTCCTTTAGTTTAGTAGGGAGTGGGCTGGCGCAGCCAGGGCCGATAGTGTCGTCCCCTCCGAGGAGGCCTCCTCCGTCTTCATCGCCGGGGTGCTGAGACGAGATGCGCTGGCAGAAGGGTCTCATATAATTGGCGTGCGGGAATGGGCCGCAGTGCTCCTGCTCCAGACATTTCATGAGGGCCTTGAAACCCTCGAGGTCGCGGCATCCTGATTCAATGAACCAGTTTATCATGAGCGTTTCTACCCAGGCCAGCTAAACAGGAAGTCAGAGGGGGATTCCCAGAACTGAGCGGACATGAAATTGAGCTTACATTATTGGCAGGAAGATGTATCCATTTGAACTCGCTCTTGGCGTATCCCGGGGGCCCATCCGTCCATAGCGGAATCGTGGGCCGACCATTTTTCTCGTCCCACCTATACAGCAAGTCGAACACCGGGGGTTTAGAGATGCGCTGCTTCTCACCGTACTCCTTGAACTCGACGACAGTAGCGTTGAAGGCCCGGGTGGCCTCATGCATCGACTTTGGCAGGCGGTGGCTGTTGTGGCCGGGAGACAAAAGAACGACCAGGTCGTCGTGGCCGCGCTCTGCAGCACAAAGCCACGCAGCGCGGCCGAAGGTGTCCCTGATGCCCAGGTCGGCCTCGGGGTAGGACCATATTAGCTGCGACACTTCCTCAAAACCGTTGAAGGCAGCCCAATGCAGGGCAGTCATGCCGTTGGAAAGGGTGGCGTTGACATCGGCACCGGCGTGGAGCAGAACCCGCACGATAGACGTCAGACCCTTATGGGCAGCGTTGTGCAGGGGTCTCCAGCCTCCATCACTGGCTGCATTTGCGTCGGCGCCGTGCTGCAGCAAAAGCTTTAGCATCTCCTCGCGCGGCTTCTTGGGCACCGACGTCTGGTCGCCGCTTCTGCCACCGTCACTGCTATCGACAGTCAGGTGCAAAGCCGTACGGCCGCGATTGTTGACAGCCGATACGTTGGCGCCCTTCTCAAGGAGTGTCTGGGCGAGGTCGTAGTTTCGGTTGGTGGCAGCCCAAAGAAGTGGCGTCCGACCGATCCGGTCTTTCGCCTCGAGGTTTGCGCCGTGGTCCGCGAGTAGCGACGCCGTCTCCATCGACTTAAAATTCGGGTTGATGGCCATGGCCAACAGGGGAGTGCGCCCGTCTCGATCCTGGGCATCGACACGCGCGCCCTTGGCCAGGAGCAACGAAACGATGGCGTGTAAGCCATTCATGCTGGCGGCAAACAGAGGCGTCTGCCAGGTGCGCATCTCGCGCGCCTCCAGGTCCGGGCGATGCGCGAGAAGCTCCTCAACGACGGCGCGCTGGCCCGCCTGGGCGGCCCGGTAGAGTGGTGGGAACTCGTCATTAGCACCGGCATCGACCTCGGCGCCGTGATGGAGTAGTAGCCGAATGATGTCGATGTGGTGTCGCGCCGACGCCTTCTGCAACGCTTTGCGCAATGCTGTCTTGTCCTTCGCAGTGGTCCATGGCCCGTGTTCCGTCAGTAAGCGGCGCACGCGTTCCTCGTTTCCTCGCGCACAGGCGGCGGTTAGCTCGCGCTGGTACTGGTCGCGCTGCGTCACCGTGGCGCTCGAGCCCTGCGTTGTCGTCGTGGCCTGGCTGTCTTTGCTCCCGAGTCGCCCATGTTCGTTGCCTTTGTTGCGTCTAGCCATTGGCGACGCTGTGTGTAACTGGAATGCTGGAGGAAGTCCATCCTGTCTTGAGAGCTCTTGATGCTCTGTTTTTCTTGCTTTTCCCTTCCCTTCTGCTGGTTAATAACTTGGGGCATTTAGTCAATGCGCATTGTTGATTGTTAATTGAGGACCGCTTGTGGGGTGGTATCCTGTTTACTGAAGTAGCAAGACTCCATTTACATGGTTACCCAGACCGCTGATCAGAGGTCCCTAAGAGAGTGCAAGGGCTCCGACATATCTTTTTACCCCTTTCCATACTGCGCTAACCGGGGAAAGAAACACGCGAGGTTATGTAGGTAACGAGGATACTTGTCTGAATGCAGGGACTGTTGATTGGTCAACTTAGGGCGTTCCAAGGATGTTAAAGCCTAGACTAGTTAGTTTCAAGTCCGGTTTGCACATCGACAGATTCAGTCCCGCTTCACGTAAAGCTGCCAATTTTGATTCGATATATGGCTTGCAGATTGTCTCCATCAAAGTTACATAATCCTGAGGCCTTTGAGCATACCCAGTCATGCCTAGTTATACTCCAGAAATGTCCCATAATCTTTCAGATGTCACAGGGATCTTGGCGGAAATTCGACGCTAAACGAGCGCTAGGCTTTAATATCCCGGAGACCTAGTGATTATATGCAGAGTTATAAGGTACCCGCCCCCCCTTTTTTTCGGGCTGGTTTTTTTTTCCGCCAACCGGCTAGGACGAAAGAGGTGTAGGCGACATTGCCAAGTTTGAGGTAAGTTTGACATCTTGGATTGCGCAAACGTACCTATAAATGCGTTCTCATACGGGTAATTAGATATTTCTAAGTGTCCACCGTTTCTCACAGACAGTGTGGGGCAAATATCATGCACTAAGGCTGATTTGAGGTGACTCAGAGGCACCACTCAGATGCCCATTTCTTGACGGATATATAATCATAGTACCGACGCTGCGTCGCAAGCTGCCCACTGCCGCACAATGGGGGTCTGCTGACTCATCCCGACGCTCGGGTAGCCTTCATTTTTACGGCATCTTATACTCAATCAAAAGCTCCGTGTCGTGGTTCCGCTTCGGTACTCCTCACCGGACGGCCCTGCAACCGAGTGTGACTCCTGAAAATTCCACCGTGCTGGGCTTGAGCGTTTCATCATGGCAGGTTGCTGGTACCAAGCTTAAAAGAATCGGGCAAGGGTTGGAGCTGTCAAGCCCGGTAGCTACTATAGCACCTTTGGCTCCGTAGATATTAGTCTAGCTAGATGCAAACTCGCGCGGATTGCCTATACGCCGATACGCCAATACGCCAATACGCTGATACGTCGGCGTGCACTATGAAGTCCATTCTTAATATGATTTTATCAGCTTTCCCCGTGCCTTGTACTAATGGCATTATCTATTCGCAATCTTTTCTCCCTCTTTCTCTCTCTCTACCCCGACCATCAATCTAGGTGTTGTTTACCCTCCATAGTAGCATGGATAGTCTACATTCACGTAAACTGCAAGAGGACATGGACGCTCCGCCACCATACGAAGCTGAGGTGTCCACTGCGCAGTTAGCGCACAACTCAATCATAACAGGCATGCCTCCCAGAGACGAAGATCTCTTTCTTAGAAGGCATGTTGCATCCTTTCTAATATATATGGTTTAGACAATGGTCGGTTCACTCTTGACATTGACTCGAGCCTCTGTAAGACCTTGGCGAAATGCGTCCCTCCACCGCCAGGTGACGGTTCCATTTTGGATTCCGAGTCAAAAGCCTACTCGCGTCTATCCCCATCCCCGGCTTCAGTTATCAATGCACTCCAGCAAAGACATGCGTCCAGCACCGAAGTTCCGGTTTTGAATATTGTCATCCAGGTCGTTGGGAGCCGAGGCGATGTCCAGCCGTTCGTAGCTCTCGGACAAGAGTTGCGGCAACATGGCCATCGCGTACGCATCGCAACGCACAACACATTTGACAAGTTCGTGCGCGACTCTGGGCTGGAATTCTACCCGATCGGCGGCGATCCGGCCGAGCTGATGGCGTACATGGTAAAGAATCCAGGCCTCATACCGAGCATGAAGTCGCTCAAGGCCGGCGACATTCAGCGGAAGCGCAGCATGGTGGCCGAGATGCTCGACGGCTGCTGGAGATCCTGTATCGATGCCGACCCGACGACAGCGGCGCCCTTTGTTGCCGATGCCATAATTGCAAACCCTCCCAGCTTTGCCCACATCCACTGTGCGCAAGCACTAGGCGTCCCTGTACAGCTGATGTTCACCATGCCATGGAGCAACACTCGAGCCTTTCCTCACCCGCTGGCAAGTATTGTCACCAAGAACACTGCAGTTAATCCTGAGATCGTCAACTACATATCATATAGTGTCGTAGAATGGATGACATGGCAAGGGTAAGATGGTACTCGCTATTGCAGCTTGAAAATGAAGGAAAATATTGTTAACGTCAACTTGATAGGCTTGGAGATGTGATTAATGAATGGCGCGCCAGCATTGACCTGGAGCCCGTCCCGCTGTCTGAGGGTCCAGGTCTAGCCAGGACGCTTGAGATACCATTTACCTACTGCTGGTCTCCAGCATTAGTTCCTAAGCCGGCAGATTGGCCTTCCTATATTGGTTTGGACATTCTCCCTCCTACATGGCGGACATCAGCTCATAACTTGTTAGATGTCTGCGGCTTCTTCTTTCGCAGCCCGCCCGAGTATAGTCCCGACCCGGAACTAGCAGACTTTCTGGCTAACGGCCCACCGCCCATCTACATCGGTTTCGGTAGCATCGTAATCGACGAACCCGACAGGCTTACCGCTATGATACTAAAAGCTGTAAGGGCCACTGGCGTTCGAGCTATCATCTCCAAGGGCTGGAGTGATCTAGGCGGTCGTGGACAACTGCAGTTTCAGGACGAGAATGTCAATTACCTCGGCGATTGTCCCCATGAATGGTTGTTCCAAAACGTTGCAGCTGTGGTGCACCACGGCGGCGCCGGGACTACTGCTTGTGGCCTTGTCAATGGACGACCCACGTTCATAGTCCCTTTCTTTGGAGAGTGAGTACAAGCAAATAAAAACACTACTTCGGTCACAATGAGCGTTTCCTGACCGCCAAGGCATAGTCAACCATTCTGGGGCGACATGGTCGGAGCTGCGGGTGCAGGGCCTAGCCCAGTATTCCATAAATTGCTGACGGCTGAAAAGCTTGCGGAGGCAATCAAGTTTTGTATGACGCCTGATGCCGTGAATGCTGCACAGGATCTAGCATCGAGAATGAAGATGGATTCGGGCGTAGCCAGTGCCGTGCAGTCCTTCCACAACAATTTACCAAACGAGAAACTTCGATGCGATCTCCTCCCCACTGAATCTGCTTCGTGGACTTATGAGACTCCCAAGGGACGCCTCAAGATCTCAAGACTAGCAGCTGAGGTCCTTTCCGACCGGCTTAAGATTTCTCCAAGGAATCTACAACCGTAAGTGTTGCCGCGGCATCTGTCATGTCCTAGATCTGCCAGACGCTTAAGCTAATGAACGGATTCTGGTTCTGTCTTGGCTAGGCACCACACCAACTCCATAATAATCGAAACGCGTCGCTGGGACCCGGTGTCAGCATCGACGTCCGCGGCTATGACCATGTCAGCAGACCTAGTACGCGACACTGTGAACATTGTCAAGATGCCAGTGCAGGCTTACCAGAAGTCACGTACCAAACTTGATGCTGCCAGTACGGCTGCCGACAGCTCTCTTCCTGCGGAGATCCATCCACCGCACTCCACGAACAGAAGCTCGGTCGGGTCTTCAGGCGTACCCATTCCCTACACAACAAATTCAAGGAATTGTATGAGTGCCATTGGTTTGGCAACATCGGCGTCGATCGGGGGAGTAAGCAAGCTGGTTGGGCATTGCACTAGAGCAACATATGTTGATGTACCCCTTGCCATAACGGAAGGATTACGTGCTGTTCCGAAGTTCTACGGAGGTGCTGTCCGGGATTATGGCCACGTGACAGACTGGAAGTCGGGGTTCTCTAAAGCAGGCAAGCATATGGTATTTGGTATTGCAGATGGCTTAGTCGATCTCTGCATGGAACCAGTGGTAGGTGGTAGGAAGGAAGGCGGACTGGGTGTGATGAAGGGAGTTGGGAAGGGCCTCGTCAGCATTACGACCAAAGTTTCGTCAGGTCAGTCTGCTCCCGGCTACCCAGCCTATACTCGCATCGATTCACGGGATGCAAATTATCGGCTAACAGACCACGGTGCAGCGGCTTTAGGTATAGTTGCTTATCCAGGCCAAGGGATCTACCAGAGCATTAGGACCACGGTCCACTCACATACTCGGCAAGTCATAGCGCAGGCTCGAAGGGAAGAGGGTGTGTATCGGTCAAAGAATTTGGTGGATAGAAAAGCTAAGACCTCAGCTATATTGGCGGCATTTGAGTCCTTTAGATCTAAACCATCCTAAGAGACTTTGTCCGTTTTATTTAGGTCGTGGTCGACAAGTGCATAATGGCATATATAATGGGAAAGCTCAATCTTTACCAATCGGAGCCGTGTGGTGTCTTTCATATGAATTCAATATGGCTTTGCTCCGAGACCGCGTAAGTCGTCTGCTATAAGCGAGCTATAAAAGTGGGTGATGTCCCGGCGGTAGCTCATATCCTTAGACATATGTACCGCACCAGGGACGCGACCACGATCTCCAGACATTATGAGTTAATTTGCACATTCCAGAAAAAGGATCGACGGGCCAGAGGGTGTGTATCGTGGTGAAGCAAGACGGAGACTTCCGAATCCAATGAGATGTGAAAACCGTTGAGGAGCAAGTTTCCCCCTCCTTACCTTGTCAGTTATAAGAGATAGAGTACCTATTATCTCTCAGAGAACCTGCACAAAGGCACGCTAGTGGACAGTCAATGGACTCGCTACGATCCGGGATATGATGTGCTGTATTGGACGACATGCACCTACAAGGCTGTGCTCAGATACATACTGTATTTATCAACATTGTTGTAGTACTCAATGCTAGAAGATATGCTTGTGGCCCTAGCAAACCGAACCCACCTACATTTGGATCGGTCCGGCGTGATCTAGCGTCGGTTTGGCGGTCTCAGGGGTTGCCGCGCCCGTACTATTAGCGTTTGATGGTAGGCCCACTCCCTCTCCCCCAATACGGCAGGGTGAATACGGCGCAATACGGCGGGACCATCACATATGCACGTGCACGCATACTCCATACTGCCTCATAATCTTATGTAGGTTGTTTGAGCAGCATGTTGTTCCCATAACGTTAGCCATCTCCAGCCGCATTTGTGATTGGAGCCGCTTGGCTAGTCGTATTATTTCGCGTAAAAGATAAGATAGACAACCAGTTGCGTGCGGTTTCTGGCTTCGTTTGAGAAATAAAAATGTTGAAATTGCCCAGAATCTGTTCATACAACCCATCATACATTTATTATTATTTTCATTTTAGTTTGCCCACGCTTATCTTTCTCTCTTGTGGCGCCAATACCATATCTGTCTCTTGATCATTTACCCGAGATGGCAGTTTTAGAAACGACCAAAGGAGGCTACTACCTCTGGAACTACTTGCCTTCGGTTCCCGCGGCCGTCATATTTCTTTTGTTATTCCTTGTCATGACCTCCTTGATCTCGTGGCGCATGTTCAAAACGAAGACATGGTTTTGCATTCCGCTTGTCATTGGGGGTTTTTGTAAGTCGTTCCGTTCCAGTCAATCACTTGTGCTATTCTTGATCCTGTTCGACTGACAAGGGAAAAATCTTAGTCGAGTTTGCTGGCTACTGCGCGCGAGCTTCCGCTCACAACAAGACCGGTAAAATTATGCCTTACGCCGTCCAAAATTTCTACATCCTTCTGGGCCCGACGCTGTTCGCAGCATCCATCTACATGTGCCTAGGACGCATCATCCGAGGAGTCCGGGCCGACCATCACTCCCTGATTCAGCCACGAAAACTGACGAGAACATTTGTTACGGGGGACGTCCTCTCACTTGTTGTGCAAGGCGGCGCTGCCGGACTCATGGTCACCGGCAAGAACGCGTCGCTTGGGGAGGGCATTGTGATCGCGGGACTCCTCATTCAGATCATCATGTTCGGAGTTTTTGCCGCAACGGCAACCGTGTTCCAGAAGCGCATCAACCGCAATCCCACACCTGAGTCTGGCATGGCTGGCGCGCCGTGGAAGAAGAGTATGCGCATGCTTTTCATTGTGAGCTCTCTGATCATGATACGATCACTCTTCCGTGTCGTTGAATTCGCCATGGGCAACAGCGGATACCCCCTCAAGCACGAGTGGACACTATACGTGTTCGACTCGGTACTCATGGTAACGGTCATGGTCGTGTACCACCTCTGGTATCCGACATGGATTGTGGAGGGAAAGCCCGACGTCGAAGCCTACGGCATCTAAATGCCAATACGTTCTTGGCACGTGGACGCGTTTCAATTTTTCTTTTGCCTTCTTATAGGAAATATTGTAATTTGTCTTGAACCCTCGTGGAAGGATGGGAATATTACAGGTAGACACGGAGAAGGGTTATAAGCACTACAGACAGGCAGTGCCAAACTGGTATCCGTGCCCCTGGAATTGTGGGCTCTTCCCCAGGGCTATCTAGTGCCCTGTGGAATACCCCTGCGCAGGTGCTTCAAGTACTAACCAAGGCCCTATCGCAAGGACCGAGCCTCCTTTTACTGGCCCACCTTTCGTCTGAAACACTATGGTGCAGGTGTATTAAAATGCTTTCTCCCCCCTGGATTATTTCCTGACTCCGCAGCGACATGAACATTTGCCGACCCTGGACTCCAAACCATCACAGGGCGATAGCAACACAACTCCCACTCTTGAGAGGCTCTTCATTTTGTTAGGTTGTTAGTCTCAATCAATTTCGTGCTTTTATATTGTTTTATATCGTTCCGTCTATTTGCATTGTGGCCTTCCGAAACCAAGGAGCCCTTGAGACGTGCAGCAATTCACCTTGCTCGCTCTTGCTGCTGCAACGCATCCCCGGAAGACTGATTCTCAAATGTCTACCGAGCCAAACATGCGAGTCCGACGGTCGCATAGAAAATCGCGGAATGGATGCGTAGGTATGTGTAGCGCCCTCTCGAATCTCGTGCCCGTCGGAAAAGCTCACGTAAACGGGTAAAGCATGCAAACAACGCCATGTCAAGTGCGACGAGAGGCGTCCATCTTGTATTAACTGCACCACTGCCGATCGGGTGTGTTCCTTTCTACACTCGCGACCCCGCCGCCATGTCGTCGATGTGCATCCTTCATCCTCATTGCCAACGCCGCCCACAGCCTTGACACCATCAGCTTCGACGCCGTCAGCCTTGACACCATCAGCCTTGACACCATCAGCCTTGACACCATCCGTGTCTTCCGTTGCCGCTTCTCCTCCGGCCCTCCCCCAGCGCTCTGAGACTACCTCGGACAACGATGGGAGCAGTGCTTCCTTCCACTCAACTCTTCCTGCCCCAGAACAGATTAACCTACAACACCTCATGCTGCTTCATCACCTTGAAAACGAAGTACTTAGGTCGCCTGACCCCATTCTAATCACAGGTGCCCAGAACGCTCAGCTCTGCTACGACGCTATCTTCCAATCTGCCATCTCGGCACCCTACCTGATGTATGAGTTGCTGGCCTTTTCTGCGCTTCATTGCAGCACGGTCTCCCACGATGATGCCGGCAAAACCAAGTACACCCATCAGGCAGCCGAGCTCCAAACCCGCGCTCTAGCGCTCTTCAACGCGACAAAGCCGGAAGTGCGCAGCGAGAACTGCATGGCTTTGCTTGTGTTCTCGTCGGTGCTTGGCATGCACACGCTCTTCGACGCGGTGGCATCGTACGAGGATGTTCCCGACTTTCTAGACAAGATCATTCATTATCTTAAGCTGCATCACGGTGTACGGGCCATCACTAACCAGAGCTGGCATGTGCTACGCAATAGTGAAATACAGCATTGCATCAATTCAATCGAGTCCAGTGACCAGGTATACCAAATGGAGAATCCAGCGAGTCAGTGCGATAGGCTGTCGAGCCTTCTCGATGCCTGGCGCGACAAGCTTGGCCCGGGCCCGTACAATGCCTGCCACGAGGCTGTCCGGTCACTATGCTGGGCGTTCAGCTTACATTCCTCTCTCCTTAAACCATATCCTTTGCATATAACCATGGCCTGGCCAGTCATGATCTCCGTTGAATTCATCGAGCTTGTGGAGCAACGGCAGCCGGTGCCATTGATAATCCTTGCCCATTGGGCCATGCTACTCCACTACGAGCGCGAATTTTGGGTATTTGGCGGCGCAGGTCGAGTCATAATAGAGTCCCTTTCTAGGTATGTGGGCCCCTATTGGGATGATTGGCTAGTTGCACCAAAAGAGGCATTGGGCGATAGACGATAAGGAACACATCACAACTATTTGTTGTCGGGGGTTGAACAAGCATTTACTGACCCCCTCGGGCTGAATTAATAACAATACCGCGATTTATAATATCTTTTGTGATGTCGGCATGTTTACAAGCCGTCCATGATGAGCGGACTACTTGACGAAGGTAGTAAGGATCGCCAATGTCTCTTTCAGTTGTGACTATAGTCGGTGCTCTTTTCTTCCTAGGGAAGGAAACATACAACCTTTGAGACTCTACGTCGTTTCAAAGACGGACATTCTAACAAAACACATCTCGTCAGCATGGACCTGCGGAGTAAGGAGATTAAATCTTTTTCAGGGAAAACTAAAATATTTGCTTGATATACTATACCAATCTATCGTCGCAAGAATCGGTCCACCCAACAGCGTTTACAATTATGTTAGGCCATGACAGCCACTCCCTCCAATATGGTTGGAGATAACCAGAAATCGACTGCACCAGACATTTTCCTCTGTCGCCAAAGACCCACAGGTCGTTGCAACTATACAGCAGGGCCGCATAGTGCGCCACAATTGCAAGCGCCTCCGGCCTACGCTGATCCAGCAGATCTACAAAATGTTCTGGGATTAAGAGTGGCCAGGCCATAACGACGTGTGCTTTGCCGCCAAACTCTGCGGGAAATGTCTCTTGCACACCGAACACCCAGCGCAGGTGTTTTATCGCAACTCGACACGATTCCATGGCAGCTGGATCGAGGCCAGCCGTCTCTATCCGAGCCGATAACTCATCACACGCACGTCCGCCTCTCGATATGGCGGCATCTGGGTCGACATCGGCTATGGATTGAATCAACGGCTGTAGGGACGTCGTTCGAAGAACCTGCAGCGCTCGGTCTTTATGAGCTCGCATTTTCTGGTGGAAGTGGAGGAAATCGACAAGCCGGTGCAAACATCTTGATGAATCGTGTTCACATTCGGAGATCTCCAAGAGGTTTTGTAAACTCCGAAGTGAGTAGAATAGAAATTTGCCCATACTGTCGCCGCCTGCATCTGCCGTAGACCCCATATCGTAAAGCGAGATGGCGCGATTGTGCAGTAGGCTTGCTTGACGTTGGTATCCTAGTTTTTCCACCAAGTCCGATGACAGAGAGCTTAAATGCAGCGCAGCCATTGCAAGCAATTCGTCCATGAGATATGGCAATGCAAGTGCATTGCTAATGAGCAGTTGGACCATGTTCCGAGCCTTCGCTTCTTCCATCATCAGGAATTTGTTGGCCTGACTGCTGATGTGTTGGAAAAGCCCAAGTTGGTCGACAGTGTAAGTCTGGTCAGCCGGGGGATGTGGGCAGCGATCGGTGTTGCAGCCTCGTTGTGAGCAGGTGGATGAACATGACGAGCACGAACACCCATTGTGGGCGGCGCCCGAGGAGAGCATGGATGCTTCGGCACATTGATCAAGGTTACGAGCGATCGTGCCCGTGTGATGCAGGCGCACAATATCGCAACATAGTCTTTGATGCATGGCGTTGTGACGATTAATGCGTAATCTTCTCATGAATTGAAGCTTCGGCTTGTGAAGGCTGTAGTGTTCAAGGTCCTCCACGGTAGTATAATCAAATTCGACGCGCGGAGCGTAGTCGGGCTCTCAAAATCAATCGATGAACACAAGCGTCTTGTGCTGTTCTACGAGAGCCGCACGCCGATGGCAGCTTCAACTATACTTTATATATCACGATTGCGTGGCGTGACGCTATGTGCGACTCCGAGGCCTCAAACTGCGGTTTGTATACGCGCAACGACAATTGGGAGCCAGTGTAGTGCGCAGCTTCTTGGCATCTGCTGAAAAGACCCCTCACTTTGTCACGACAGACTCCAGAGATGACGGGTTATATTTAGTCTACCGTACAGTCTGTGTCTTGTCCAAAATCCCCTCCCACTTCGTAAACGATGTACACTGTCCCCACTATCGATGGGGATTGGGAGAACTAGTACTTGACTAACCTTAGTTACTTTAGTATATGTGCCTGGCGTATCTGCGTATGGCGTACTGTGCGTATTTGCGTATTGGATACGCAGCCCGAGATCCACACCGTATTAATACCCGCATTTACGCCTTGGACCTAGCCTAGCCTAGACCACATTAACTACGGATCTGTATGATGACACGCGAAAGTATGACCCGGCATTTACGGTCTAATTGGCGAGGACTGCTAAGTCCGTTTGTCTGACAAGCGCCGCGCGCATGGGGAATTATCTTTTCGACTCTCGCATGGTAATTTGTTTGAGGGCCACGCATATGGTGCTATTAGAATGTCATCTTTCTCAGTATTATTGTTAGTATGTCTGAAGAAAGTGCCCGCCTGAAAGGAAATAGAGCACATGGAGCTTCATAATATTGATTTTAGCGGCTAGTCTAGCTCAAACCCGCCACGAAGCAGAGCCCCGGCGATTTCTCGAGAATACACAGATCTTGACAACTCAAACCCAGAGCATCAAGTGTGGTTTCGGCTTACTCTTTTATCGAAGGTATACCTGGGTCACCTAAAGTAGGAAACCGACGCAGGCAAGCAAAATCGAAGACCAGTCACCGAACAACATAGGTGTATCGATCACATTCCGCAAATTGAGAGTAAATGGCTTTGTTACAAGCGTGTTGTAAACTCTGTCCCTTCAACATAATAAACCATAACGACGTTCGCATGAAATGCAGAATTTGGCAGGCCTGCACATAAATGGACTTATATTGACGGAAAATTCTATCAATTCTACATATATTACATAAAGAAAGGAAATGTCCACATTTCTATTTTACAAAAGAAGAAGAAAACACCTTTCATTAAGGAAATGAACTTTATGACTCCATAAAAAAATACCTGCTTTCAGTTTGTAGTGAAGAAGGGGTACTCGTCCACAAAAGAAGGATATGTTGTAGGGGTGCAGTTGTATGAGGTAGAATCGGAAACATTGCCACCGACATAGACTTGTTGCAGTGGCCAGGCGCAGAGTTCCCGAGGGTGGCCGCTTGCGTCCACTGCAGCAAGAGTTTCTGGAGCCACGCCATCCTCCACCCAGGAGATGAGCTGATCGAAAGCGGTGTTGGGAATAGCACCCAGACCACCGTAGCAGTGGCCAACACCGGGAGCCAGGAAGACTCGCATAAAGGACTGCGCGTCTGAGAACATACCAAGCACCTGTTGGTAATATGCGACTGTTCCGTTTGGCGGGATGGCCTCATCGGCAAGACCTTGCCAGCTGATCATTTTACCACCCGCGGCACGGAAGGCAGACAGATCTGGGTTGGCGGCGGCCATGATAGAGTCATAATCATCTTGTGATTGCTTCAGAAAGGAGAAGAACTCGGCGTCTGTCATGTTTGTAAGGTCATAATCGGGATCCTTCGCCGAGAAGTACGTAAGATAGGAGCTGAAGAGCCCCGCGGCGCCCGGTGAGCAAGTCAAGTTAGCCGTGCAGGTTGTGGCAGCGTAGTAGCTAGTCAGCGAAGCGTCCTTGTTGAGCCCCCACCAGCCAAGCTTGCCATCCTCACTCTGTGCTCCGGTCCACGCTGCCTCGACAACGGTGGCGCCTGCCTCGGTCAATTGTAGCAGGGTTCCACTGCAATTGATGCTCTGGCCGACGACCGTGTGAGGATCGAAGCTGCACAATTCCGGGATCGAAATAATGCTGTCCTGGACGCCGTCCAGTTCATCGCATGCATCGATAGCAGCTTGGGTGAAAGCTTCGACTTCGCAAGCCGGCGGATAGTAACCCAGATTATCCATAACGTGCGCGGCCCAGTAGCCGGCGGGGATGAAGTTTTCAAGGTTGATGGCCGGAGCAACGGCTAGTATACCGTCAAAATCGTCAGCATATTTCTCCGCGATCATGAGAGCCTGTCGACCACCACCTGAACAGCCGCTGAAGTATGAGTAACTCGGCTGTGTGCCGTAGAAAAATTGGGTGATGGCTTTTCCAATAACAGCCATCTCATGTAAAGAACGCGAGCCCCAATCCTCAAGCAGATATAGGTTAACGTTGCCAGGGCTGGAAAGGGCCCATGTTTCCGGGGTCAGTGAAACACTAGACCCCTTCACATGCCCAGCATCCGTGTCAACAGATACGTAGCCTTGGGCGACAGCTTGCGTGGTGTACAGCTCACCAAAGCTACCGCTATAACCTCCGCCGCCCAGCGCTTCCAGTCTGCCGTTCCATAATTCCTTTGCGGGTAACCAGACTGTAGCATGAATCGTATCGTTCCATCCCGGGTGCGTGTAGGTAACCGTCACGTTGCAGAAACTGACGGTGTAAGAGCCACCGTCACTAGTTCCGGGAGCGAGAGAAACGGCTGTGTAATTAAATACGGGAACCGCGGTGATATCGAGAACAGATGTGCCGAGCAACTGGTTCTGGGGGAACGAGAAAGTTTTGCCCGAGCATGAGTTTGTAGTCGTGTTACTAATGATAGTGGTGTTGGCAAGGGCAGAAGCTGTGCCACTCGCCGCCTGTAAGGCGGCTAGCGCCAACCGGGTCGTTCTGTTACTGACCATTGCGGGCAGGAAATGATCGTATGAAAGTTGGATAATAGTTGAAAGTGAATGAAACATTAAAACATTTTTAATCGAGGAATAATCGCGAAGATCACATATGTGTCTGGGAAGGTCAAGCACATGATCCGGAGCAATTCCAAAGTACGTCCAGACCCACGTCTGCGTATTGCCGTATTTCGTACTCATGATTCAAGACATCAGCAAACAGAACCACCAAATGGAACAGCCCCGTATTTCATCAATCTTTACCAAGTTGCGGGGCATTGTTGGAACAGGTAGCCGGCTTTGGCTATGTCGCTGCCCTGGTTGACTTAGTTGGGCCCGTGATAGTATAACTGGATTTGCAACATGCCGTAATATGGGACGAATCCCGTAGTACTACCATGGCCTACAGCCGCTACGCGCTACGCTCCGATCATGTCCAGATGCACCTTACAGGTACCTGCGCTAGGCTGTGCGGCCCAAAATACGGTTATACGAAGTAGTCTGAAAACAACGTGGGGAGCAAAGCGCTAACCTAAAACGGCAAAAGGAGACAAGGTGTCGTTGCAGCTAGGTCGTAGTGTACGTGCCTGAATGTCGTACTTACATTGTTGTGCTCCTCTTCTACTGAGGCACTTGATAAGTTGACCCTAGACTCGTCTAGTCTTGTTGACAGATGTGGCTTGACTCAATGATGTGACTAGTTCTTGCTTTGTATATATTTACCCACTAGGTCACCGCCACCTTCAACACAGCCCCCAGAGTCCGCTATCGGATGTGAACCCTGTCATAGCATGAGTTCTATTGATCCGTTCATTTTGGTTGCTTGATAGACTACTGTTCTGCTCATAACTGCCCAGTTATACACAAGGAGGCTGTAGTGGCCCGTTCGTCGATTTGAACCATATTATGCAGTCGCCCAGGCATGATTGAAGCCTGCAGAAGGCAGAAACGCCAAGTATATGTAAACGACTATCAGCTTCGAGGCTGTAGACGCAATATGAAGCAGCCATACTGTGTGGACACATGCACACGGCCGATGTAAACGTGTAGGAATGGAATCTGAGCAGTTGTATCGTGATAGATTCGTGGAAGCAGCTGTTGAGATGACTCACCTACAGAAAGCAGAAGACCCGATACAGGAAATGTAGTCTTACGAATACTCTTGATGACATTCTTCTTCCGCGTCTCAGTTTCTCAGATAAAGATACCAAGCCACATACCTGAGCCACTACCTGTGTATGGTAAGGACCAGCAGTTTCTCACTTCATAGCACGTAATCTATAGTCTGCAATCACGCAGCTGCTGGTTCTAGCGTTAGACCACTTGTCTCTGGCCGCCCACCCCACGAGTGCAATTGGATGTCTAACAAACGGCCTCGAACTCAGCTATTTCTCTCTCCAACATGGAGCAGTAGGTGCGGGGCGAAATTACAAGTCAATCTGTAGGCCGGAACGACTTGTCGATGAATGGTGAAACCACTGGCTCATTCCTGCCTGTGTGTAGTCCTTGCGGAGCAACAAGCGCTATGTGGTCGTTGGTTTTGACGTCGAATATACCATGATGGTGGTGCTTCTACATCAACGCCCCGCCGGTATGATAATCATCGTTGTTATGGTCATTTTTCTGACAGTGCCCCACGGGGACAAAGCAAAGTTGACGTGGACGGAAAAGCTGTCGAGTTTGTATACTCTCAGTGCTATATCTCCAGAGCCCTGTGTGGTCTGCCTGCTGTTAGCGCTTCAGTGGAGGCGGCCAGATGATGCTTGTGAGTCGTTTTAGAACAACCCTATCATCTTCGTGGCGGACTCAAGGATCAGTAGTGGAGGGATGAACGCATCATTGCATAATTGACTCTCGCAGGAGCAATGGTGATTGCCTTAGTCGCTATTCAGGTTTGCAGCCCTCCAGATAGCAACAATTCCGTTCAGGATATTCAGGCAGTGAAGCGTCATTGCAAGCTGTGGGTCATCAATATGCTATGGTGGTGTGCAACCCGTTCCCTACAAGAAGGTCACTTTGCAACTGTACTACCAACAGCAAAGTACCTCTCTACCTAGTTTAGTCAATAGATGGCATCTCTCCCACAGGATCGGGAATTAAATTACTGCCTGTGAGTGTGTGTCGTTGATTATCTTTGTCATTCGAACCCAGAAGATTGGATCTACACGCTCTTCGCGATTGTCGACCATTGTGTCATGTCCATAGGAGTCGGACTGCTCACAACTCTCCAGGTCGGCACAGATGAAGGTCTTTGCTCAATTTCTAGAATCTACAGTTTTCAGCTTTGTCAGAGAAAGCGTATTAGTTAATCGGCTTGTGCATCGACCTTTTTGGCATGCCTGTATTTGGTCCAAGCATGATCACTTCGAGCGGTGTTTCGTCGCTGCTCGACTTGCTGCCGGCGGGTCAAAGAGGCCAGGTTCTTGTGACTTATAATGACGTTTTGCCGAAGGTGTTCCAGATTGGGTTGATTCTGGCATGCCTTACCCTTCTCCGTATGACGACCCTGGAGTGGAAGAGCATCCATATGAAATTGGCTGTCGCAGACACAGCTGGCGAAGAAGTTGAAGCAGTTGTAGATGTGAATGAAAAGATGGCCCGCGCCACCTTTTCGAAGAATTGACCGATGAAAGAAAGAATAGATCTATCCCGGTCAAACAGATAATGCGCTGGTACTCTACGTTAGGCCGACTCCAACGGGTTGCGATATAATGTGATCTTTGTTTCGAGGTTTCTTCGAGGATACTTCCACTAGCCACCGCCTTGCCTGTGTTTTAGTATTTCTACCTCATTTATCAAGTGTTAAACTGACTATGACGCCGAAGTGCTTGATCTTGGAAGATACATAAGTGCATAACCTCCACTGCGCTATTCTTTTTCAAACCAATGAATAAAATGAGTAGGTTGCCCCTGTTCATCCACTGGAGTCTACGATACGGTACGGGTCTCAACGCCATCACAAACTTCAGAGCACGAGAAGATCTGTTGTCCCGAATATAGGTATTTTTCTCAAAGTCATGGGTCGCCAGGAAGATGACACTCATCAGTTCAAAAGTGGTGTAGAGCTGCCGACCCGGACTTCCTGCTCAGAGACTTCTAATGCAGGGCTGCTCCAGGGTATGGTAGTGTTTCGCTACAAAATATCATTCTGGTCTTGTACAGTCATCCAGCCATTTTTTAGAGTTCAATGGATAATATAGAACATACTATACATTATTTTGTAACTCCCTACGACTGAAACTTTATATTTTGAAACTTGGGTGGAGCTCCACATATACAGCTAGGCTTTGTCAATGTTTAGTTCTGATTTGGAGGTCTCTTAGGTTGCAGAACTTGCATATATTATTAGCAGACCTGATTCGGACCCGATTGGATGCACGCGGTGTCGCTGACATCCACCGACTTGATCTTAACCGCCGGCCGTCGTTAGCTGTCACTCAGCGAGGTTAGTCAAGCTCGGCACAAATCCTTTTCATATGTGGTTTTGTACTCGTACGTGGTTCTCCTCTTGATAGTTACCCCACAATCCTATGATACCAAGATATCTAAAACAAGATTTACTCAAGCTCTTTTATAATAAAAGAGGACACAAATAAACGTCAGACCCTAGCAGAGGTGTCGGAGATCACTCCTCTAGTCAATGGGCAGTCGACTCAACATGTAGCTCCCCGACCAGAGACTCCTAGCGACATCACGAGCGGCGGTAAAAACATACGCTCCCCATGGCGAGTAGTAATAACGTCGTCGTGAATTTCCTCTGCATTGGAAAGTTCTTCAGTCCATATTCTCACGTGAACCTCCTCATTCCTGCTACTCGAGTCGTCGAAGTTAATATCTACCGCCAGTGCTTTTATCAGTCGGCCGGTATTAGGGTCGACGCTATCGACGAGAGGTTACGCATGACAGACTCAACCTGATCTTACCATATGTGCGTGCTGTGCTGACTTGCTCCAGGCCGGAGTTGGGGTGATTGCCTCCGTACCATTAGTAATTGCTGCTGGTCAGTAGGTTCAAGATCGCAATTGATGATGTGTGTTACCAAAACAGAGACTAGACAGTGAACGAGACTACCTAGGCTGGGACGTAGGCGATATAACCTTACAGGTTGCTGCTGACAACTATGCACTTGTTTCCGAAGCGTCATTCTTTCGTCGATGGACCAAATGATCGTCACGTACGTCTGCTCGTACCACTACTAATGACCACGGACGTACATGCATACAGTTCTCAGTTTTCTAATATGCTGTTTTGGCTAAGCGAGAGGAGTAACTTGTCAGCAGATGAGCTAGTTCTGTTGTTGAGGGGCAGTCCATATGCTGCACCTGTCAATAGGTACTCGGGCGGGGACCATGGGTTACATATAGCAGAATATGTCTGAAATGAGGAGAATGGGACACTGACTAAATCACCGTACGCGATGAAATAGGTATTGTTGACTTTGGAGAAGCATTGGAGGCATCACAGCCTCTCATCCATCTCAACATCACGCGGTAGTATCGGGTACCGGAGATTGCTTTATGTGGCCTAGACTGTTGAGAATTTGGAAGCGATGTATGGGCGCTCGCCTGCACTATCCTGAACTCGCGTGGGACCTTGCCCTTTGGAGACAGCCCTGTCTCGAGTTTTCCGAGCCTCCAGACACAATACTAGCCCCTTGCCAGTCATACATAGGCAAACGTTCGAGAGGTTGTGCTACGGAGATCAAGTGTGCACGTGGAAGCCCAGGCCCCGACTCCACAATGCTGGAGAGCCCCAAAGGCTTGGAAAGCTTTCCGATGATGGCCTGTAGGTTGGACGATCTGGCGGAAAGCACAATAGAATTCACACGAGGCGATACAATGACCCATCCCATCGAAGTGCAGCTAGCCACGGAGCGAACGTTCTACTCTGATGCTGAAGACACCCGGTAATCATAGCGCAGATGTTGTTTGTTACGACCGCGGAAAAGTGTGTTCAACTACGAAGTGATATCGCCAGGCGTATTTTCGGGTGTGACCCATCGAAACAGTCAACCGCAGCTCAACTGATTCAGCGTTCCAGGTTTACCGGGAACCTTTCCGAGGAACGAAAAAGTAGTGCGCTGGACACTCTGGCATTTTTTCTTCTGCGACCTTTTTGAAAACGGTATTACCATCTTTTGTAGATAATATAACTTGAAGACAATAAATAGTTCTGTTAAAAGCATATTATGTCTCATATTGATCAATTTGCGACGACTTTAATGTGGGAGCAGAAGTTGTTTGCCAGTGCAGAATAGTAAAGTAAGCGAGGCTCCCGCTCAGGCTGCGCCAGTTTGCCGTGTATATAATCATGCTCATGGTGGTTTTCACCCATCAAGATGCAATAACATTAGTCCTATTTGAAAAGAAATGCAAATTAGCAATCTCAAGTCAAAGACACCCAGCGAGGGCGAATATGTTTCAAGAGTTTCTAAGCTTCTGCTAGGGGCATGCCCGGTCTTATCGTGGATTCCGTCAATCACCGCAAAAGCCACAGGCACTATTGACCCACTTGGTAAGTTATAACTACCTCAAGGCCGCTGAGAAATCCTCCATAAGCCTCGGCAGTGGACTGTGATGGGACTGAGGCTGGCACAGAGCACACACGCATGCTGTCATTTCCACGACCGGCCAGGCATTGGTACTGCCGTCACCTGCCGACTCGTGTGATGCCCAAATGGCTGGAACCATTGAATCTGTCCATTTGGGACAGTCACCGAAAATGCAACGAGCATGCCAAAGCAATGCGCTCGGACCGCCTGTCACCGCACTTAGCTTATCTGGTGTCTGAGCGCTACCGGGATGCTGAGACGAATCGGCTACTATGTAGGCAGGCCTAGGGGCCGGGACCACGCAGCGTTGCCCTCTAACGGTTTGGCTCGCTCGGCTAGCAGGAAAATCACAAAATCACCAAGCATCAGCCCGCCCGCACTCTTCGAGATCGTCGCAAGGTCGGCCTGCTCTTCCTCGGTTGGCGTTCCAGGACCAACTTGTGCGTGGCTGGCCGTCAGCGTTTTTCTGGCAAGATTCTTCACACTCGATCGACGACCGTAGCGGCGTTCTGACATTCACTTTTCCGATGGATGCAGGCTCAGAAGTATCGGTAACTACTATGCATGTACTCGCAAAAGCGCAACAGCGCGGCCGCCACAAGCCCCGGAGCGTCCCGCCGTTCACTGACTTACCCGTGACCCCGTTTCACAATTATTTTAACGCAGACCGGCGCTCCCACGTGGGAAAAACTCGGTTTAAGTTTAGACGATCGAAACCTTGATTAAATTCTGGGGTGGTTCAGCACACATCGGCGCACCATCCAAACCGGGCAAGCACTTTGAAGCCTAAGGCGCTCCATGATACGATGTAACCCATCCGAGCCCGCCGGGACAGGGGACGGCTAATTCTTTCGAGGGCTCAATGTCCGTATCGTGGCTGCCGCGTTGGGAGATCAAATGGTGATGTGGGGTTGCGAGACACCTGGAGGTCAGAGCTGAAGATGATCAGACCTGGGCAGTCTGACTCGCTGGGGACATATGAATATCCCTCCAGCCCCTCTTCGGTACCCTGTCGACGAGATGTGGACTTCTGCGACTTCATATTACCAGGGCAGTCAACAAGATGCGGTGGACTATAGGCTTCGCTTTTGTCTCCGCCGCCTTGATGGCGGTCAGCGCAGGCGCTCAATCTGTCAATGAGATGATTTCCGATGTCCCCTCATGTGCTGTAAGTGAATTGCGACAGAAATGATTTAGCCGTTGCGACCCAAGGAAAGCTGGCTAACAATACGTCTCAGCTTCCATGCGTCTTGGAGGGCGTGTTCGGCGGAGGCTGTCCCACAACGGATGTCAAACTGGTCGAAGACTGTATCTGCACGAACAACACGTTGATGTCCGGCTTATCGACCTGTGTGCAATCGTCGTGCCGGTTCAGCGATCAAGTTACCGCCGGCACTCTGCTCATGTCGATGTGCGCCGCTTATCCAAAAGAATCACGGGTCAATGACGTACGGACGGTGGCCATCGTTGCGCTGGTGCTGTCATCAGTCGTCGTTGTGGCACGATGCATTGCGCGCTTCCAAATGACGGGAAGGCTGTGGAGCGACGACTGGACAGCCATCTTCGCCACGATCATCCTACTGGGCGGTGCGGGCATGGAATTGGCGAGCGCCGAGCTGGGATTCGGACGACACTTTTGGGACGTCCCGGTCACGAGGGCATCACGACTACTGCAGATCTTCTACACAGTTGAGATCTTCTACACCTGGATCAAGCTGATCGCCAAGGCCTCGATCCTCCTCTTGTACATGCGGGTGTTCACGGCCAGGTGGTTCAAGTTCGCGTGCTATAGCTGTCTGGCTTATTGCTGCGTGTCGCTCACGGTGTTTACCTTTGTCATTGCCTTCCAGTGCACCCCCGTGGAGGCCATCTGGAACCGGTTCGTCACGGGAAGTTGCCTGAACGTCAATGCCATCGGCTACAGCGGGGCCATTCTCTCCGTCGTGGAGGATGTGGTGCTGATTGTGCTGCCGATCCCCGAACTCCGAAAATTGCAGATCAGCGGTCGGAAGCGGATTGGTGTTGGACTGATGTTTGCGTTGGCTTCATTGTAGGTTGCTGGCGATCGGATTGGGGAGCAGAAATGCTAACGGTATCAGTGCGACGGTCACGAGTCTCGTTCGACTCAAATACTTGGTGCAATTTGCCCAATCATTCGACAGTACCTGTGAGTCCTCATCAAATGGCAAAGAATGAGCGGCGCAACTGACAATCACAGTCGATAATGTCGACACTATCGTATGGTCCATGATCGAGCTCACCTGCATCATCGTTTGTGGCTCCCTGCCTCCGCTGCGCCCTTGGTTCGGCAAGCTTATACCGTCAATTGAGACTTTCAAATCTATGAGCTGGGCCGGAAGTCGATCTCGGAGCCGGAGTAAAAGCCAGTCGAAGGCTGTTGACCTGTCAGGAAATGGCCGGTCAAATACATATCAAGAAAACAGGGAGTTGGCCTCTCCAACCAGCGACGAGTATCCCCTAAAACCGATAAGTCACAAGACGATGTGGAACGAGCCCTGACCTCAACGCCCTTGACTGCTGAGGTTGGAAAAGTATATAGAGGCTATGGTGTGTATAGAAGAGCGGGGCTGTACGTGATGCGTCAAGCAGGCACTTTCAGCGACTGACTGGTAGAACGTCCTCGAAACAACGGGCCGCCAGCCATGACATGACGATATTGAAACGAAAGTAGATACCCATCTCGATTACTTCGAGGCATTAGATATTTAATTAATGATCAGCCAACTGAAGCTTGCACGTGCGCTGTCAAATTGGTCGCCACCCTAGGCAAATCCTGACCTGCCCTTCACGACACCATGAGCTCCACCATCCCTGCCGAACATCTCCCTGATGTCGCTGGCAAGCTCCTTAGGGCGCTCAAAAGCTGCAAAGTGACCACCACTGTCGTATTCCTTGTTCAAGACTAGATCGCCCAGAGTCTTGTTCCACAAGGCAGGCAGGACGATCAGCTCTTTCGGAAACTTGGTGCAGCCAATCTTGACGTCCTTCAAGTACATGGATCCGATCTCCTGTCTAGTCTTATCTGAAGTGTGCACGCTGTCGTAGTATACCCAGAGCGACGGCAAGGGCCCAGGCGTGCTGAACCAGTAGATGCTTATCCACTTGCAGACCTCGTACTCGGTCCAGGGATAGTCGTCGGTCCAGTCGTGCAGCTTCTCATAGATCCAAGCTAGGAGTCCAACAGGCGAGTCGGTCAGGCTGTAACCAAGCGTCTGCGGCTTGGTCGAATGCTCGCCGTAGTACCCTCTACCTTCCTCCCGGAACCATCTGGAACGTTCGAAGCCCTCCTTCTCCGCTTCCGTCCTCTCCGTCTCGCGGTAGATCTTGGCCAGCTCCGGAAAGTGGTCGTCGGCGGGCTCCTTTGGAAAGGGAAAGTTGTAGTGGCTGGCCTTGCAGTTCTGGGGGTACAGAAAGCCCAGGTATCTCGTCACGGCGTACCCGACATCGCCTCCCTGTGTCACATACTCGTGGTAGCCTAGCACGTTGACCATGAGCTTCTGGAAGACTTCCGCCGTTGCGCGGGTGCCAAAGCCAGGCTGTCTGACCCGGGACGAGAAGCCATAGTTGGGCATGGACGGGGCTACCACATCAAAGGATGGATGGTCCTTGCCGCCGTCCAGCAGCAGCGGGAGCATCTTCTCAATCTCGTCGTAGCTTCCGGGCCATCCGTGGCAGAACAGCAGCGGGATGGCGCCCGGGTTTGGGCTCTTGGCGTGGACGAAGTGCAGGTCAATCGGGTCAAAACCTTGGAGCTCGATCCTGGTGGTGAACTGAGGCATCTTGTTCAATTCGGCCTCGGCCTTGCGCCAGTCGAACTCGTTCTGCCAGTACGTCGCCAAGCGCTTCACGTCAGCAAGAGGGGCGCCATACTCCCAGCCGGACCCCTCTATATCGGTGGGGAAGTCCGTGGTAGCGAGCTTCTGCTTGAGGCGATCGAGGCGCTCCTGGGGAATATCAACCCTGAAAGGCTTGACTGGCGACATTGTAAGTTGTATTGAAAGACAAGAGGAGATTGAGAGAGGATCGTGATATTGCAGAGCTATCGTTGTAGACTTGGTGATGGAGGTACGATAGCGAGGGACTGACAGGCGGTAGGAACACGCCAGAGCGTTCGTGCCTCTAAAATACTGCGCCTCGCAGGCGGCAGTGCCGGGAACGTTCCAGTGGAACGCCCTATACTTGACATTTGTCAAATGATCTGACGTCTCAGTTCATGTTCATTTTTCCGAAATGGGGGTGGCATGCACGTGATAAGGAAATATGACGACATACGCTGCACAAACCCAGTCGTATGGGCTTGCGCATATTAGTTGCACATCATTTTTGCAGTTGAGCCCGGTCTCATTGTAAGCGATGCATTCTCTTGCATACTCGAGACTGGAACAGTGGAACAGGACATTGTAGATAAGCTTTTTATCACTGTGTTATGGAGTACGAGAGGAAGAGGCAATTTCCTCCCTGGATCTGGCTTAGGTACGGGGTTTCCCTTCTACATAAACATGTATCCCACCGGGGCTTCAATAGTTATAGCGCGTGTAACCAAAATGAATAAATAAATATCAACTGCGGTATGACGAGCTGCAGCGCAGTGTGTGGCACTTCAAAATACTAAACGGACGCATATATATAACACAGACTGCAAGCAAGACAGCAACACCGACAGTTGCATTTGTCCTACGCTGCTTTCTTTCGTAAATAGTAGAGCGCTGTTGTTATGCAGTTTGTTCCGTAACTAGTCTGTTTAGCGCGCACTTATAGCACCTGCGTCCGCTATAACGCTCTCTTGCTGTTGGCGGGTGAGCAGCCGCCGCCCCCACGTCGCAATCGTCTCTCTGAGGGGGGTGAAGCCTACTGGACGCGAATAATCCGTAACTGCATTGGAGTCGTGGTAGCCGCGAAAATTCCTCAAGACTTGGCGATGACAAAGTCCAGAATTGTAAGATTAGGTCCTTCCCAGTGCTCTTTTGCTCTGACAAACCACAGCCCGACAGCGACGGTGAATACGAACACCCTGATGGGTCCAGAATGATTCGTGTTTGCAGCGATAAAAGGAAGGGTTGATGGGAACGGGAGGAAAACAATAACATGAAGCGTGTAAATCAAGGCCAAAGAATGGATACAAGCTCCCCAGCGACCCAAGTTCCATTCCCCGAGTTGCAGGCCTGCCGATGACCACCGCGCATATAGCACGCTTGATACGGCAATGGCGTAACTGATGGATAGTGCCATGGAACCTAGAGCTGTAATAGCTCCGAAGGCGATGTAACTTTCGCTGCTGATTAAGCAGGCACAACGAGCAAATCAGGAATACTGTTAGGATGACAGCAAGAAGCGGGACACGGCACTTAGGGCGGACCTGAAAAGGTGAGCAATCGCTCAGCATCATTTCCAAGCTCTTACGTATGCAAAGTATCGACCGAGCCCACCATCTCGTGCCCAAGCCCATGTCAGACGCGAGAGCGAAGCGATTGAGGCCAGGTCACAGTTGAGCCAAGTAATGAACAAAACAGTGGCCATCGATGTAGTGGCGGCCGTAGAACCGGTCATGCCCAACAGGATAGTGACAATAGGGGTCGACGAGGCCAGCGAATCTTCGATGGACCCCATAGTGAGGTGAATAAGATGACGAGCACCATGGCGAATGCAAAGACACCATTCACGACGATAGACAAGAACATGGCTTTAGGCACGGCAGATTTGGCAGAGCGCGCCTCCTCAGCCATGTGAATAGCACTGTCAAAGCTCGTGAAGCTCCCAACGCATGTCAACATGCCTGGGTTCCAGGTAACAAAAACGGTATCCCAACCTGAAGAGGTGACATTAGTAAGGAACACGAACTCTGCTGTGCCTGCTGCCGAGTGTAATCACGACGACGACGAAGATAACGAACAGACAAACATGCAGCACGCCCGTGATCAACTCAACCCAAGGGATAATCCAAAAGGCACACATGTTGATAACTCCCATTAAAAGCTACATGGCAATCACCAAGACCGACGTGTGCCAATCCCTAGGGACATAATTCTCAAAGTTAAGTTGGATCATAGCTTCAAGCAGCAGAATTGTGACGTTTGCGATTCCGGCAAGAAGGGACACATTGATGGTTGCCTAGGGCCACCAGTTAGGTAGATGCCTGAGGTGCACAGTCAACCCTTGATAAATAGCCTTCAGGAATCCCTCAGAATAGCTGAGAAACTTCACAACTCAACAACACTCTATTGAGGATCAATACACACACTTAATCGGTATCATGACCTTACAAAGTAATGACGCCCATCACACATGGCCAAACCATGTTGACCATCCTTGGATCCACGTTACAGAGCGCCTGATGCTGGGAGTAAGGTGGTATGTCCAATGGTACTGAGCCCCGGCAACAGGCTGTATACTGGCCATCTCTGCTAACGATGCAGCTTGGGTGCATGCGCCAAAGAACACGATGATTTAGACTGAACATAAAGTGTTCAGACCGCCATTGTATAGCACAAACCCTGTATTTATTTCCTGAATTAGCGAATGCCGTATCGTCGCATCGTTTCAGACTTACATGCACATACCTCCCAAACAGCCAAATGTGTTAATGAGAAGTAGAACAACTGCGCGAAAGAGAAAACCTCCATGTTCGTGTTTGATTCTCAGGGGAAGGCCCGTTAGGCCCCGATGTCGAGTTGCGATCGACTTCGGCGGTTGTCTCATTTTGGTGCATATTTCTCAGCCCGGAAGCTTTTTTGAACGGATTTTGCCATCACGAAGATTCGAATTCCAGGACTGGATTCGGCAACAATGCCTCGATTGACATGCGAGAAAATTTTGAATACCACTGCTACAAACAAAATGCGAGAATTGAAGCACAAGCGAATCCATTCCCCAGGGGATGCAAGACTTCAACATCAGCACCTACCTGTGCAACGTGAGATGCGAGCAGGGGCAACAGTGCAGGGTGCAGCGCTACCTGCAGCATCGACCGGGAAATTCGGACCATTTGGACTAAGAATAGTGGAGATAAGGTAGCAAACACTACAGCGAACATGGATCCCATCTCGCCTACGAATCAAATCATGCATCATATATTTCGAGTGGGTCGTGAGAATTGTTCTGGGCCGGGTATAACGTCGAGGGCTGATGATTTAAAAATGAAATAAAATGGCGAGAGCGGTGGTATTGTCGCTCCCAAAATGTCGGGGGTCGAGCGGGATTCTTATAGGTCAATGTCCATGGCCAACGAAATCGGTTTGTATAACTGCTTGATTCGTCCGGGATGAAAGGCGCTCTCCGATAGGACTGATTTTGTTAAGCGAACTCTGATCTGTCACAGTCGGGGCCAATATCAGAAAAAGGTGGTTCAGGTTCAGGTTTCGTTTATTCTGGGCTCATATCCGGTAGACTTTTTACCGAGCACAAAACTGGTTTCTCTATGTTCCTCAGCCTTTCCCAACAGACTCGTCACCAATCCGGTGGGCTGGATCGCACTGTAGCTGAATGCAAACACAAGTTAATTGCGGCCACTGCAGTTTTACCAGACCGATTTGACATAAACTATGGCAGCGACATAGGCGTTGAAAGTTTCTATGCAATGCCCATTCGTTACATTCTAGATTGTCGATATAGGCACTGATCGAAAACCATTCTCCTTTTGATCGCCCACGACTGTTTTCAGTACATTTTCATGATTAACGTAATGCGCCCTGACGAACTACCACCGTTCTATTCTGTGATTGAGACTGATCACTCTGCATAGGTGGTTATTGCGTCCCTCGCCTTTCTCATTTACGCTATTCTGGTCGCAGAAATGATTCTGCGATCCGAAGGCCAAAATGGTTTCCAGGGCTGAAAACAGCGTACGAATGTCTTGCAACAAGGCCAAGTATATCAGCTGATGTCTTACCAGCAAGTTTAATTTAGCGACAATGTAACGAAATTTGGTTTGCACAAAAGCTTGCGCACGGGGCCTCGGCGATAAATTAATAGCATAATTCGAAACCGCAAGGATGTTAGCAAGAATTCTAATCTCATCGTATCTGGAGGGCGTCTGTGTATGGACAAGGTAGAACCGGATACCAACAGTTATAGACTTGGTACATCGTGAGTAGTTGGTCTACATGTGAACTCCACAAAATACATTGATCTCGCAAAGCTTCCCGCCAGGTCCGAGCCCGGTGACGTCCAGGTCCAACATGGCCCTTTGTATTTGCACGCCACGCTTCTTGTTGAACATTTTACGGCTTTGACATCACCATCATGATTCACAATTTACAGCTCTCTTTACTTGTCTTCTATATATGTATTTCACTGCTCTTCCGCGACACTACTTCGTAAAACAGTGGTCGTGCCGTTATGGTTGGAGTAATAAGATGCGGTGGTGCATGGAGAATACACGTCTGATGCCAACAATGAAACAATCCGCTCCCTGGTTGAGAAGCATGTTGGTTTGATCTTGTTGCACGAAGGTTGGTAGATAATCCTTGTCGCCAAACAAGAGCTTCTGGCCAAGATGTTCAAGATCAGGGACCTTACTCTGAGGGAGAAGGGCTTGAGCTAACGAATAACCTAGAATACCGGTGTCAAACTATTTGGCATCAAGAATATCAGCTTCAGACGACGAGCTGTACGTATACTTCTGTAAGCTCTTGATCCCACCCTTCATACTGCCGATACGTTTAGACTCTTTGATGGCCAAGGCCGACTGGCTCGCAGACCGACTCTCTGAAGCGTAGGACTCCGTTGACTGTGTCACCGGAATTCTCATCGGCCTGTCGATATGGCGCTGGGAGCTCTTCGTGTGGGATGACTACTTTATGGCTACACAATTTGGCCTTGGAATGTTCGCTATCTCATTTCTCTTTGGGAGCAGCTGAACGTTCGGAACTTTTCGTGATACCTTCAAACAGCCTGGGCCATCCGCCGCCGAGAGTGCGAATGTCGATTGGCCGGCTCATCCGGACGTCCACGTAGGTCACCGAGTCTTCAAATTCGGAGACAGTGGCTTACTGTTCAAGGAAAAAGGGGACATTGCACCATGATTGCGTGTCAGCTCTGTGATACGCCACAATGAGCTAATACTGAGCTTAGTTGGGGATCAATGGACCCCAGAGCGATATTGAGCCGGTACCCACTGAATTGAGATATTTGGCCTGCTTATGAATATCCAAGTCACGTTTTTGAACCGCAGGGATCACAGTCTTAGCGTTAATCATGTCCTTATACTTTAATCCGCTAAAGAAATCATCGTAGCTCTCCATAACGCAATGGAAGCATGTCCCCAAGAATTGCGTATATCGGGACTGCGTGATATGGCCAAATGGGTCCTAGTCTCAGCCCACAGAACTCCACGCTCAACCATGGTCTGTGGGTCGTAGCCCAAGGCCTTAAGAGTAGACAGCGTTTGACCTCATAAAGCTGCGGAGGAACAAGTGTTGGATTCAGGACCTGGGCTGCCGGCATGACGAACACGATGCATTACTTGCTCTGTCTTGTGGCGAGGGAAAGAAGTAAGGAAGTGAGTGACGTTGAATCGTTTTAGGTGCGAAAAGCCTGTGCTGACGACCAAACCAAAGTAAGCGCAACTATTGATCGGCCCGGACTTCCACGCTGATGGTCTGATCCACAAAAAAACTAACCATATCTAATATGTACAATAGAGTGTATCTCAACCAACAATCCTTAGCCTTTTGCGGTAGAGCACTCGTCTGCTTAAATTCTGCTTAATCGTGCTTAGGAAATTTGCATTAAAACTTTCTGCCCACTTTATATAACCAATATTAAGCTTATCGATTTAGTGGAAAGGAGGCCGTTAAATAAGGTGGTTTCTTCGCATTAAGGCTACCCCAGCAAAACGTCCCAGTATTACTCAGCGTATAAGCACACTGCATTAGCGTCTCAGCCAGCATAGCTTAACTCTCAGGCATGCCAGAAGTTTGATTGATGACGCTATCTAATAAGAAAATGATGAGATCAGCCAACGTCTTACACAACCGGCTTGGCTGTATTTGTCTTCTAATTCACGAATATTCTGAAAGGTCTTCCTCAGAGGATAAAAGCGTGCTGATCATATCATGAGAGTCTTGCTATCGAATATTGCCTCACAAAGTTCGATACCAAAGTTAAATAACACTCACATGAATTAGAAGCTGGGAAGTTGTCAAAAATAAATAACTCGCCAACTAGTGTACCAAAATGTCCACAACTTCGACATTACCTAGCGGTGCAAAGCTATGGGTGAGTACCAGTCGTTTGATTCGATTTTGAAGCTCTGTCGCGTTAACAATCGCTTCCTAAGCTCTTGAATCTAGGGTTCCTGGACATAGATGCGGCAAGTGTGCTTGCAGGTGCTAACCAGTTCCCTGCCAGCCTCCCACCACAGCAGCATGAACGACGGGAGTTGATCATGATTGCTGCACTATTGTACCATCCAGATATAGGGTTGATGCTCTTTGACACGGGTTCTTGCGAGGACGTAATAGATAGCTGGGGTGCTAAATCACTGGAGTGTTGCCCAAGAATCTGGAGCAAGTCTCTTCATGGTCTGCCCGAAGCGATCAAGGCCACCGGCGCTGGAGATATTTCCGACATCAAGGCCATCGTGTTGAGTCATTTGCATCAGGACCATGCGGGAGGTTTAGAGCACTTTTTCGACACTGGTTCGTACAGCTTTTACTTGAAGTCAAAGAATTTGAACCTCGCATTAATGTGTATATTCTCAACATATAGATGTCGAGATCTGGTGCCACGAGGAGGAGTTGAAGAATGCATTTTGGACTTGCGCGACAGGGATAGAACAAGGCACATATGTGCGTGACTATCTTGTTCTTGGTCGATTGAACTGGAAGACGTTCTCCGGGCAATCCGTCGAGATCTACCAAGGCATTACTTTACATCACTGCCCAGGCCATACTGCTGGATCAGTCGCGATGGAGCTTGACCTGGAGAATACGGGTCCCATTGTATTCACCGGCGATGCGTTTCACGTGAAGGAAAATTATGAACAGGGTGTACACCCCGGAACACTAACAAGAGACTTCAAAGAATGGCATAGAAGCCGGGATTACATCCGACGCTTGGTGCAAAAAAGGAAGGCAAAAGTGGTGTTGGGACATGAACCTTTATATTTTGATGCCATGAAAACCAGCCTGGAGTATCTCGAATAGTAATCCAATCTGAAGAAGCTGACTCTCAGTATATTTCAGTGAAAGCTTCTCATCCATCACGCCTTGGACGTGACAAGGCCCAACTACCATGTGAAAAGTGCCCCTTTACAACGAATCATGGGGATAGATGATTCGATGAATACCACTATGTGGTCGTTTCGACGCACACTCGGATGTCCTAGACTAAGATACCCATTCCTGGCCCCGAAAATTGCGGCTTTACCCGCACGCAGGAGTAAGTTGGTTAGTGCAGTGTTTATATTGTGTACGGGAGAAATTTGGTTGCCAGCCAACATTTCTCCGATCTGCCAATGTGTGACGCTCTCGGACCGTTCTAAGATCATAGAAGGAGCTTAATGCAACATGATAAGATGGACCCGAAGTTGGGGCCGTATCTACATAGCTTGGAGACGATTGTCAATACTGGTCTTTTCCCGCCAAAAGATGGCAGGTTCATGAAGAGGGTAGTGGGGCAATGTGCAACCCCCTAGATTGTGGATCCAGGATGAAGTGGTCCACTAGGAAGGAGTATGAAAGGCAGCGCCTCATCCAGCTTGTCTTGTTCTCTTTCTTTACTTCTTCTTCACGCTTGTCGTCAACCTGGTAAGAAGCTTAGAGCCTACAAGTGTCTGATTCCTGATAGACCGATGTCCAGCCCGGCAGGTGACCTACCTCTTGGGAAACGGCGGAAGGTGTACAATTACTCATTTCAAGCGCATATCAATAAGGCAAGAACGAAGACGACAACCTTACTCCCGCCGAGCATTCCAACAGCAAGTGACGAATACACCATGAAGTAAACCTCTACTGACCAGGCGATAAGGAGGTCAAGGATCGTCTTCAGTACCGGTATGATCGCCGGATGCGCTATCCCCGTCCTCTATAATGGCGCTTGATTTTCTCACTGTACCCAGCATGTCAGCAGAGTGCAAATATTATTTTCGGCAGCTAAAAGGATGGCTTTATCAGAGCGGAGTGGGCTTGATGCTGATATCATAGGCATATGTCAGTCCCTCCGTTATTGGTACAGGGCCAGTCTTGTCTCAGAGGAAGGATCACACGATAGTGTCATGGTTTGAAGAGCAAGAATCGCTTATCTTTTCGTGACTAGCCCCGAATGAGGCCCAAAAGGTGGCAACTGCCAGGATAAAACAACTGCTCTCCCAGGGTCGCGACCTCAAACACGATTCCTCGTGGGTATTGGCACATATCAATAAGAGTCTTCAGGCCACGTGCGGGCAATCAACACGAATCAATCAATGTCGAGTGCCGATTGATCAAGATCAATGAATCAATCAGCCGTAGAAACCAATCAATCAACGACAAAGGTCAATTCATTCGATTGGCTTAATCGGAACCCTGGTTGACATGTCTGCCACCCTGGACGTTCCTACTCAAATGCTACTATTGGGTCGATCGAAAGACCGTTGAGTTTCTCATACATTCGTAATTCTCACTATGTAGATGAAATATACAATTTACGCTCTTGGGCGTGACAGGATAACTTTTGTGCAATAACTAACCGACTGGGCCTCTCGGCCTTGGCCTCTGCTCCACGCTAGCTTGGAGTCATGTCCCTGATAGGATATCTGCCAATCTTGGAGCCGCTAAATTCATAGAAGGCCACAAGGTCCGTCTTGTCCGAATCTTGGATCGTGGGAGGGAATACGTAGGACATGACTGAATCTGGATTGCTCTTGCCCCATTTCACAGCGCCGCCCTCCTGGTTCGCGAACTCATGCCTCAATCCTAATACATGCCCCATTTCACAGCGCCGCCCTCCTGGTTCGCGAACTCATGCCTCAATCCTAATACATGCCCCAGTTCGTGAAGGAAGATGTTCCTCAACATTGGCAACATGGTTGGCTGAAACGAGCCCTTATACACGTATAAAATGTTGAGTGGCTTCTCATCTGGGAAAAATGCTTCGGCAAGCACCGTGCCTTTATCCCCACCATACTGCAGCACAAAAGCTGCTTCATCGAGGTCACCCACCCACTCGAATTTAACGGGCACTCCCGTCACATCGTTCCATTCCTCGGCTGCGAGGCGTAGCTGGGTTGCCGCGTACGCCGCGTATCCTAGACTGGGGTAGCCGTGGCTCGAGGTCGCGTACTTAATCACTGAGTTCTTTTTCCAGCGGGGAATATAGTCAAAGAAACCAATCCATAGGGCCTTGGGATCAGAATTTGCAAGCGGCTTCACTAGCTTCTCGCTGGAGCAGGTGTATTTTTCATTTGGTCGAATGAACGCACGAGCTTCTTCTTCAAGTTTTTGCTCGTCTTCAAAGAGTTCGTATGTCCCAAAGAAGTTCCGGTAGAGATCTAGGAGTTCATTCTTGTCGACTTTATTGCTGGTAGTACTGGATTGAGACATACTGTACGGTCGGGTGATTGTCCCACACCAATTTCCAAGGTTATAAGGATCCAGAATTGAGCTTTGAATCTTAGGGAGCAGTGGTAAGAAAGAACTGGAGGGTCGAATTGGAGATGTTCACGGAGAAGGAATCCGACCATCTCGGGTATTCAGGCCATATTTATACCCATCGTCGATAACTTTTAGAATTACGCAGTACAAAAGAGCGAATAGGAGGAGGTCTTGCAACGCATGTTAACTTTCACGACTATTCGTGTTAAAATACACAAGCTGTCATATAACATCACCATGAAAGTTACAGTTGGCACCATATATGCAGACGTTTGTCAGCCCCGATTCGAAGGCACCTTCTTTATGCTACGTCGGAAACATTGATTCTGTGCTTTGAGGATGCATGGAAACAATAAGTAAACTTTGCGCCATTTCAGAATATTGCCACCTTGATAACAGGAAGCTCTCGCTCTCGTAATTATGATTCATATTAGCTTAGAAATTCCCGGTTCTCAGGCTGAGCAATTCTTGGAAAGCTTCTGGGCGTAGATTGTATAACATTTGTGCATTGTAGTAGTGGTGGAGGGTGAGGAAGTGTAAGAAATTGTCTCTGACACGGATACTGAGCTAGCCTATAATGGGTACTGCAGGTTGTAGGCTTGCTGATCATAAAATCATCACGCAGGGTCCATCATAACTGCACAAATAATTCCTAGGGCAATTAATTTGGGAATGCCATGAAGAACATCACTCGTCGACCTATGGTTTCTCTAATCAGTAAAGCAGACCTTTAGGCCTGACTGGTACCACACGACCTGTTCAAATAGACTGCCATGCTTATCACACCCACTCCCCAGCATTGCTCAAGCAATCTCAGCGAAGTTCGTAGGTGCTGACATGTCGCCCTGTTCCGATCCAAGCGATGTACTGTGTGCACAGATAATTATTCGCTTGTAGCCCAATTTAGTGGCTTATTGCGTCACGGCGTAAGCGAAGTGAGATTTTTGAGGCATTTCGTGTGGAAGTATTGCAAAAAACTTTTTTGGAAACTGGTGGTAATTATACGCGGCGTCTCTTCTCTCAACGGCGCGGGAAAGTTTGTGGCACCATGGATACTTAGTAATCGTCAATTATCGCATACCTATAACGGTGGAGGAAGCACGTACCCTGAGTTTTTGCTCGGACCAGGAATCCGCCATGCTGTGAGTTAAGGCTCTAGGCACTGCTTCAGGAGCTCAAGATGAACTTCCCTAAGTTAGTGTATGCAATCAAACTAGCCAAAGTTGAGCGCCAGATATGACAGCTACCGTCATGTCTAGCCTGAATCGATAGGACATTGGTCAGCTCACACGTGCGCCATGCCAAGCGCTCCAAGATCTCAGACAAGAGTCTGGAGGTTACTAAGCCTAACGACAAAGACAAGGATCAGAAATTATGAAATTTACATTTGCATTTAGTAGTTCAGTGTATGATGTGTAAATTCAAGTTGTGTTGACCGGTATATTAAAGTTTTTTGGCGCTGGCCTAAAAAGGGTAAGAAAGTTGTTTAGCAATGGCAAATAGTTTAGCGAATTCAAATGTCATGTCAGTTGCTCCAGACTCTCCCCGAAAACACTAGGCGACCTTCCGAGAATCACAGAAACCTCCTTCACATCTCGATGTAGCTCGATAATTAGGCTCGGTTTGATCATTTGATTTCCTAGGGAAATAATCGACCACTAGTGCAGAGGTCTGGTCTTTTGGGGATGGTAGCATTGAGTAGGAGTGCACAAGTACTTTATGATAGACTTTGTAATAAAACTTAGGCCCTGATCACATGATTGAATTATATGTAAGAAACATTATATTCTTTCAACTAGCCCTTTGAAAGGAGCTATATTTAAAAGATTAATACTATGAAGTATCAAAGTACACCTAACCTGTAGTCTTCAGGATCCCTGACCTCTAGTCTGGAAAGTCGGGCTATCACATTCGACGGGGGCGCCAGTGGCATTGCAAGGTGTACCAAGTCCCCATCAGACTGGGACCCAGCGACGCAGCCAATTCCAATCCCGCTATGGAAAACTTCAAGGTTTTCAGTTATAGTCTTGTATTACCATTTAGTGTACAACTATATTAGCATTTGTATAGGCATCTACTACTTAATCAGTAGCGATGTCCGCTTGACGATCCAATTAGTATCCGACTTTTTTAGGAAGACGAATATCCAACCATTCATTTACTTGCCCGACCATCGTGTCATAATTTATACTCATTACCAGCATGCGTGCCTTGGCAACGAAATTGGAAGGCAATTTTTGGCAATGCGCATCACCATATACTTCACCGTGTACGAAATGAGATGAGCGAAGTGGATGAGTTGTGATGAGGCTAAGAGATCACTCAGAACAGGTGTGCGGGGCAGCACTAGGCTTTTGTTAGAGTTCAAAACTTGATCTATTGATTTGAAGTATCTGTAGCCTGCCAGTATACCTTAGACATGGAGCGTGATGCAATGTCTATCGAAAATGTCAGTGATATCGCAATTTCACATGCAATGGGTGTTCACCCAATCATTTCTGCACTTCCCCATTGGATGACTGGCAAGGTTTCCCAGTCGCAAAGACCATCCAGGTGACATAATTTAAATTCAGCATGGGGTGAAACATTGTTGCCAACAGCGGGTTGGCCGCTGCGGTTACGTCGGACATGTGATCAATTAGGGAACATCTGTTTTACCTGGTTAAAAAAACTGTAAGTCGACGAGTGATGTCCACTCACGGCACTCTCTGCAGTCTACTCAAGACGATAATCTGAGGAATTAGGAATGTTTGGAATAAGTTTAGCGATGTGGGTTATAGCAATCTGCGATAAGTTCTTCGTCTGTCGCATGTTACAGAAAGTTACGAAAGGTAACCATACAGCTACACCAGTGACAGGAACTAAAATATTGCGGCGTTTGCTAAAGACGATGGATGAAACGGAGGCTCCCTCATACTACGGATGCTTGCTGGTCTGAACCTATAGTGATTGTCGCGTCGGTATCTCTGTGCATTATGATTCGCTAGATACGTAACAATTGTCTGATCGGCAAAGCCAGGTGGGAGTATCGGCTGGCCCAGTTTCTGCCTCAGGCAGCATCTCACCAGCCCACACTAATGCACATGTTAAGTAACCTAACTTTCAGAAGCACAAGCGGCATTCTTAGGATCATTCAATGACCGAACATCTCTAACCTAATATGAACTACAATTTCTATAATCAGAGCTTCACTGTTATCAAGGCCATTGTGTTCTTTAATAGCGCAGAAGCCGTTTAGCTGTTCCATCGAATTCTCAAAGCAAGAAATCAATGTTTTCACTCCGCACAAGTTAGCGTAAAAGATTGGACTTGCTCAGCCTCACGGAAAGGTCTACCGTAGATATCTTCATACAAGGAATATTTTTCCCATGCCGCGGTAGCTGAAGAAACACAAAATAGACATGTTAGTATTTCCTCGATGTTGTAGAAATTACCATTCCAGCTGTCTGGCCGATAGCGCGACCTTCCTATACTCTAGGGGTGCAGGACATCGGAAACACCATACCTACCTCTCACGTGCATGGAATGCACAGTAGTGTTCGCCATGTCCTGATGCTGCTCCTCGTGCATTAGCGAGTAGGTTCAAAGCCGCAGGGTATTATAAACAGGCCACCCGTGCTCGCAGCCTGGTGAGCTATTATGTATGTCTAACAGTGTGTCAATTCCATCGAACGCGTCGGTCCTCAGAGCGTTCGAAACGCAATTGGAACGCTAAGAATGTTTATAAATAGACCTTTTTACATGGGAAAATAAAATTGGTGGTTTGTGCTACTGTTATCTTGGGGTTCGATTGCAATTGACACACTTATGTCTAAGCATTGCTGTACGAGATATTATACGTGAGTTCTATTTGGCTCCGATATGGTAGTCAACAGCTATGACCAAGTTAGCGGCGTTCTTCATTAGTCACTCCATCTCAGCAGGCGCTCACTTGAGTTATCCCCGTTACCCTGTGGTCGGTTCAGAGGATATTGGCAATATGTGATTGGTACAAAACAATTAATCCAAGATTAGATCCGTCCGTGCTCAGAGACAATATAGAAATGTTGATAATAGGAAGCGGATAGTGAAGCTTTCTGTACATGATTTTGGGTGGTGGCAGCGCGGCTACTTTTATCCTTAATTCAGGCCGCTGAAAATAGGTGGGCAATTGGCCATACTGGTATTATTATAAAAACATTTCCGTAGACCAAAAAAAAAAAAAAAGCCGCTGAAAAACGTTGTAGGTAACACTTAGCTTTTACAAAACTAGTACGTAAATACAGTCACCAAGGACCATCTAGATCGGACATGTACAATGTTACGGACTTAGTTACAAACTGAAAGTACTATGTTAAACTTACAGATGCAGAACCAAAGGCTATGGCAGTATACCAAAGAAGACGTGGCTCGGAACACACGTGATTTTCATCTAACAATCCATCTGCAAAAAATTCCAATCTCCGCTACCCCGTTCCCCCACAATTTTAAACTCTGAGTCTCCTAAACTTGCCATTCGTCATCCATGCCAGTAATGGTTCTCAATCGAACCTGAAGATCCCGAGAACCAAACCTCCATTGAATCGGCGGTGCGGGATATGCATGAAACTTCGGAACCCACAGCGGCGCTCCCTGGACCAGCCAGCTCAAAACGTTTCCACCAGTCGTACCCATACGCATCTTGTACACTCCCATTTGGGGCGGTCCACCATATTTCCATGGTTCCTGGTCTGCGGGAGACAGCTGCGATCCCCCCCTCGCTAGCACTTCCAGAAGGGGCGAGCTCCGATCGTCCCCACCCAGCATCGTCATAAAAGTAGGCGTCTTGTACAGAGCCATTTGGGGCTATCCACCATAACTCCATTGTGTCCCTTTTGCGGCTTACGGCTTCGATGCTGCTTCTTGTTGCCGCGCTTTGGGGACCCGCAAGCTCGAATCGTTGCCACCCTGCGTCTTCGAAAAAGTAGGCATCTTGCACGGATCCGTTGGGACCAATCCACCATACTTCCATATTTCTTGGAACTCTACTAACTGCTTCAATCCCGCCTCCCAGCGCAGCACTTCCTGGTGGGGCCAGTGGGAAACGATTCCATTCCTTTTCTTCGTACCAGTAAGCATTCTGTACTGAGCCATCTGGAGACATCCACCACACTTCCATCGACGTATCAATTCGACTCAGGGCCGCAATTTTTGTGCCTAGATTGTGGTGTGTATAATCGCTGTATTGAAATGGTACCTGATTGGACCAAAAGAAGAGGAGACTTTACCATGATTGCCTTGAGAACGGTTATTACAGTGTCTTTGTTGAACTTCTTTGTTGTTGTTGAAACACGTGGGTGTTGTCTTAGCCGACGCGCAGTGCGGGAGCTAAAATGGCTAACCGCGTGGCTGCGGAGAATGAGGCGGCGCGACGACGGCCAAACGAGCCCACAGACGTCCTATGCGGATGTGGCACGAACACCACCGACAAAGTCAAACCACGAATGTGCACACCCTTAGCACCGCAAAAACGACCCCATCGAATTTTACCGATACACTGTTCTGCACTATTGACACCACTAGAGTAAGCGGGGATGAGGCTAACGTATGGAACGCCGGAACGATTCGAACGGTCGTAGCTCGCAGCCAACACCACGTGGTTTTGCCATATGTATTTTCGGGAAGGGCCGCTATTCTGGCACATAGAAGTTGGAACAGGACACTTTGACCTGCCAGAACCAATTCAACATAGGCAGACAGTTGTTCTGAGGGGGAATGAATCATAACGTATCACCTCCTGAACTGAGCCACCCTTACAACCAAGCACAGACCTACGTTCGGATGAGACGACAGGATACCGATGCTGGGACTCCTCCAACACTTGAGCGACAAAAATTTCCATCAACTCCGCAGAAGCACAATTTCACACCTCTCTTAGGACAATCTCTTGACACTGATTTCTTGTGCACGTCTAGTAGACATGGATCTACGCCAGCTCAGGATGTTCGAACCCTGGCGTCAGAGTATGACGATCTTAGAGTACTTGATTATAGTGGTGAAGCAGAGGATTTCAATGCCTACAGAAGACAAATCGATCGAGTAAATATCCCCTCACGAGAAGTGTTCGAAATGGGACAAGACGCTCAGTCCCGCCAAACTTTGTGTACGCTCTCCGATCAAACCCAAGACACCCGGTCGAGTGATAGAATTCGTAAGTAGCGTCCTCAGCCCGAAAGCCCAATCGCAGGTTCGCTTCTTGCCGGGCTCAAGGTTGCGATGTAGGATGCGAAGATGGTGCTCGATACTGGCATTTGGAGGTCATCAAGGCCTTCAGAAGCAAGCTTATAGTGCCAAGACCTCTAAGCGACTAGGGCCGACCAGAAAATGTGTGGGGCGCCAGGAGTCTTAACAAGCGACTCTTTACGCTCCTGGTCGGCGAAGAAAGGCAGAGAAATAGTGAATACTTTAGTACACAGACTAGAGGGAGAAATCTTGCAAAAGGTAAAGAGAAGGAGTCACTGATGTCTATGAGGCATGGATATAGGAAACTGTCATAAAAATAATAGTATACGAGGACATTCGAATTATGCCGTCCTATGTGGACGGAGGAGAATATATAGAAAGGGGATGGCATGAATAAGCGTTGGCGATATATAAGTCCTAGGCTATCATGACGCTGGGAGTATCAATCTTGGGGGTTCAGCTCATTAGGTTTTGATTATAGGTCTCACTGGCTGTGGTTTACCATACGTCATGCACGAGAAGACCCTGGCAAGAATGGGAGATGCTACACACCAAGGCTATTGTATTTTAATGGTAATGTAGGTACTTGCTGCTGAGATGGTGATGTATCCGTCTCTATCCAGGTTAAAATGATCATCTATTTTCTAGTGCCTTCTATGGCCCTGCACGGACTAGGTTTGGTCGAACTGGACAATGGCAGACCGCACAACGAACATACATGCGACGACTAGGTGGTATTGAAGCTAAAGGCTGGTCGGATTGCTTGGCACCTTTTTCTACTCATGCTGCACAGTCATCAAAGAGAAGTCAGAAGCATTCTCTGTTTGTTTGTTTGTATTTAACGTGGGGACCGTGCCTTACTAAGGCAAACCACGCCTCCCAGAGCCAGGGTTTTGGAGGTTTTAGTGTAACTAAGTAATAAAGGTTAAATGAATTAGTAAATACTAGCGTCTCTTAGGCGCCTTAGCGGAAAGATCTGTCTCGCTTATCTGTGCTAACCAACTGCCCAAAATCGTGGGTTTCCGACCTAAACATACCCGATGCACCAAGTACACGCACAAGTCTATTTCCGAGTCTTTCAATGGAATTGATTTATATTCACCAAGCGATGTTTCAGGTTTATGTAATGGCTTACTCATACTCAATTACATTTGCTGGATCAGATGCTGTAGTGGTTTCGAGCCATGGAGCAACATACTGATACAAGTATGGTTGGCCAATATTTGACTTCGCGGGATGACGTACGGCCCGAGGAACAAATCGGATAATTATTCTGGATAAACCAGAGGTGAAAGAGTGCATTTTTATTGAAGCAAACAAATATACTATGTCCATAAGTGCCACACATGACTACAAGGATCATGCTACGGGGTTGCAGCAGTTCTAGAAGTGCTATACAGACAGGGATGGCCGCTTCAATGCTGTGGAGGAACAGATAAGATGGACTATAATTTGGTCTTCGTCAGAGCTGCTATGCCACCCTAAGCACTAAGAAATCAACATATGTTCTATAAACATATTTTTAACAGCGATCCTACACCGATTCATTCAACTATTTCAAACTTGACGCGGAAAAACCCCCGTGGTGCTCCTCTCCCGAAATCGTAAGTTTTCCATTCATTATTATCGTCGTATCCCGCGCGAGAGATCCAATTTTCTGGGAACCAAATACCACCAGACCCATCTGCATCGCTTCGCAGGCTCCAGATTTCGTAACATGGATGTCCGTATTTATCATTCCCAGATGCAACAAACCCCCATGCTGACGAGACTTGGGTTTTCCCAAGAATGATGTCGTTAGTGCCCTCTAGCATACCAAGAAGCCAGTGGCCTTGGCCTTGGTCCTGCCCAGGATGTCTCATACCAAATACTCCAACCGCATTTCCCCAGAACTTGTCATTGAGCACCAGATGTAAGCCATCGCTTCTTGAAAGGTTAAAAGCGACCTGGCGTTTATTTCCCTTCCGATCCAGTGCACGGATGTCTGTGGTGTCAGCTTCACAGAGGAGAAATCTTTTCTCCTGCATCATGGGTAGATTTCGTGTGTCTCTTAGTTCTTGCAGATTGCAGAACATTCTGTCAGCTGGGTGGATGGGCTTCTCGTCTCCAATTTTGTCACCGCTAGACTGTATGGCCTTTCCCCGCTTGAAGTTAAGGGTGCCTTCCTGCAGGGCCTTCAACATCTGAGTATCACACTCAGGAGAGATGTCTGGCCATGGTGATTCTCCATTCGCATGAATATCAGCTATGTTGTTGGTACCTTCCGTTGAACAATATCTCATGATTAGTATGAGAAAGATGTAGTGGACGTATTAGAAACAGGATAAGGTTGGGTGAGCGGAGTGAAGATGGTAGACAGGAAAGGAAAGTGGTAAAAGAGTGCAATGAGTCTTTTATAACCACGGGACTTATCTCGAGCATCGTTTATACAGGAAGTTTATGCTCGGTTAGAGCGAGATAACGTTAAAAATAATCGCCTCCATCAAATTCTAAGACGTCGCATTCCCTTTGCACTATCATTAGACTTAAGCAAAGATGACCAAGTGTACTTACTAAAAGTACACACGCAACAGGCTTAAACTTCAGGAAATAACAAACATACTTACCTACTATTAAGCAGAGATAACCACATATTCAGTAATCATATTACACTTTATGCGAAAGCACAACGGGTAGCTAATGACTATCTAAACCTATGCGTAATCCAAGTCCGGAGAGTTTAAGCAGAGTTAAGCAAACAACAGACACCTTAAGACAAGGCGGAGAAGGTTAAGTGTGGAACCATTAAAGCCTACATGGCCGTTCAAGGCTCAAAAGCCGGCGACTTCCGATGTCCTAAATCTGTTGAGGACATTCAAGCGCTTATTATAAAATACTTAACCCAGGCACTTGTATCATCCGTTTCATCTGCTATGTTACACAATATGGGTAGCGCTAACAGTGGAAGATAATGTACACATTTTCTCGATGAAAGTGAACGTTTTTGACGTCAGCCTTTCGCCGCCTATTGATACGACTTCTAGAGAACTCATATCACATGTGAGTAGACTTACAAACGCCGTAAAGTTACTTCCACAGTTTGAAGTATTCACCAAACGAACCGGTTAGGATTCAATAAGTAAACACATCAAGCTTGAGATTTTGAGAGCGTGCTAAAATGTGCTCAGCATTAAGGTGCGAAGAGCTTGAAAATAAATCTTAATTATATAGATGCCAATCAATCGGACGATAACACGACGTAAGGCTGGAAGCGGGGCCAATCTTCAGTTACTAAAGAGGACGTAATTCAAGCGAGTGAGACTGGTAGAAGCGACTGTATTAAAAGAGTATTATAAGCTCAAGTTTTATTATTTGATAAGCCCTGCCACACACGTCCAAGGAGGCCACGCGTTCTTAAAGAACAACGGCATGCCTGATGGTCTACGTCAAAACCATATACAGAGGAGTAGCAGCACTTAGAACGCAAACGAAAGTGTGAGCCCTCTCTAGAAGCCGTATCCCATCTATTCAGATCAAAGATTTCTTGCCCGGTCCATCGACAACCATAGTTCACAGTCACGAGAATATATTAGGAATCAGAAATCTGGACCAGGGTGTGAAATTGATACACAAGTTACCAGTATAATATGGACTTTACAGGCAATTTCTGTATAGATTAAATAATAATGATGTCTGTGCAAGTAATTATTGTATTTCGATCGATTTGACACGCTGATCTGAATGTAGTTGAATAAATCGGTTCGCACTGCTCTTGGGCGAACGATGAACACGTCGAGGTCTAGTTCAGGATGGGTCGGTCTTTAAATCTAGAAGAAGGTTCTGATCTTAACTCATCGCATGAAGGCCAGAAATGTCAAATATTAATGAATAAGTAGGCTTTGCGACGAGCCCATTTATTTCTCCACCAAGATCAGTATAATTGATTGATGTGAATCCACGCTCGATGCATTCATGGTGGATGAATGTGAGCTCAAACTGATTGACTTATGATAATTTGATCCGGATCTACTTGAAAAAGTAAGCAACCGTATTGTGAGAGGCCTGGTGGCATATCAGTCGTTCACATCGGTTAAAGCCACTGCTTTTGTTGTTCACACCAAGAGTTGATTACTGGACTAAGGTCCTCGAATCCAGACCCGGATAATACCAGTACGAAGCCATGATCAAAGAACTACGAAAATTGCAATGACTTCAGAATGAAGGTGTTTACACTGATATATGACATTCTTTTTGGTGATTGAATACAACTTCTCACATTTTGCTAATGTACTAGGGGTTGTAAGTAGTTAAGCGTCATACTGGACAACTGTAGTAACTTGAGCTGGCTTCATGCGAGTACGTACTGGGTCTTCGACCTTTTTGTCGCTCCGTTCGCTGGTGGCTCGCCATTTAACACATCGTCAACAAATCGAGCTGGTGATGAGGCTTGTGATATCTAGTTCGAGCGATCACGTGGTCTTCGAAGGGATCATAGAGATCTTCAAGTGCTTGGCAGTATATCTATAATGGAATGGGATGTTGAGGTCCCAATACTGATCATCCCAGACCTGCTGGACCATATGTTTGCTTTGGTGATCTATTCCGGATTGCTGTGGCTTGCGGTATGTGTTCAACACCTTAATTCTGGCCCTTCTCACCTGCATATCTCTGCTACTGCTGCTCCCTAGCCTCTATAATCCCTGACGTTTCATAATCCCAGAAGGATACCCGCATTATCACCCCATCACCCGTCTTTTTTGCCAACGCTTTGTTGGGTACCTGGCTCGCGCTTCCAGCTACGTCTTTCACTCTCCATTCTCTATAGCATATCACTCAATAATCGCCAGACGTCTTGTTGCCATCCGCGGCAGTGCCAGCGCTTCTTTCCAGCCCCTCAATCTCCACTGTCGGCCGGAGCGGTAGCGGTGGTGGCGGACTTGGCGGAGACCCGTCTGGATACTTACTTCTCATAGATAATGCCATCCCAGCTGCTGCCATACATCATTCTCAGAGTTGTAGACAGGGCAGGTATCCGCGGAGGCTCGGTAGACTCTCTATGTTCAGATCCTCATATCTGAAGTTACCCACGTGCGTCTGCGTGGTACCTTCCAAGACCATTCGGAGCCGAGAGGATTCGGAAGAATTTCCAATGTTCATATAGGACCCAGGACCCTTAGCGCCATTGGGCACAACGGAGCGCTTGCGGAATCTGACGGCTAGATACAGAAAACTAGCGATGCGCCCCGCGTGAATGGGAACAGGCTGGTTAGTTCAGGGGTTGGGGCACGTAGTTTGTGCCCGCACGGAATCCAGCGCCAAGGGTCATGAGGGTAGACGTAAAGAGCAGAATAAGCATCTTCGCTTTCCAGGAGCCGGCACCGAATGTTTGCGCGGGAAAGGTGGTGGACAGGATCAAAATCGGAATCGGCAGAAGGCAAGCACGGTCAGGAACGTACCACCAAACAATTGAACTTTGCGGTCATGCTCCCGTGTGTCCGCGTCGAGCGTGAAAAGAGGTTGCACCGTGGCCGCAATGGTCATCAAGAGCGAGACAACCACACTGGTGAACTGGAACTTAGAGAAAATCCCCACCGGCTTATTCCAGCGAAAGTTGGGATAATTCCCCAACGAATAACAAATTAATGGTGAATACCAGCATAGTTCTGGACTCTTTGAGGATATCGCTTGCAATGGCCAACCGCACATTTGTCGTGTGGCTGGCCCAGGCCATGCGTAAGACCAGTACTATGGCTCGTATTAAGCTGAAGGCAAACATTATGGCTCTTAAAACAAAGAAATCGTCATGTCGCTTACAAACCTGGAGGACTGCCATATGTGTTGCAGTCGCGATCAGGAAGAACAACGCCATGACCGCACTGATCAAATTATCGATAGACGGTGTTGGCACACTGTCCACCAGGGCCATGTTCGATAGGTATGGACGGCCGTTATCCGGGTCAAAATGCTGCAGTTGTTGTTGCGTTGATATGTGCTGTATTGAAGAGTCGTCACTCATCCTCCCTGGATAAGATATCACGTTGTAGTATTGTGGAAGAACGTGGTCAAATTGTGTGCATAGTGATTGATGATGGGTCCCGCCAACTCTAGGTATGGGACATGTCTAAGACATATAGCAGAGGATGGAATTTACCAGTTCTGGGTCCCCTTGCCTTGCAGCGTCTACCACCACACTCGGAGGTAGTATTAAAGTCCACTTGACCATGCTGTTGCCGATTTCCAAACAAGAATATTGTGTTCCACTTGGGCCAACATATCCGAGTATCGCGCAGATGTGGTCTGAAGTTCCTCAAGTAGGGGTTTATAAAGAATGTGCACCACTTGCAGAACTTTGCATACTATAACTTTCTAGTGTGGATCGTTGATGCAGATCCCAGAGTGATTAAATATAATAATAGAAGGTTTGTGCACGGAAGAATATGGATGAATCAGGTGGGGAATGATAGTTGCGGTGTAGATACTCAAATCGAAATAGTCGATGAACCTTCCGGGCGGTGTTCAGTATCAATATATCATAAACATCATCAATAGCGCCATTGCATGTCAACTACGCAGATTAGCACTGGTCACCTGAGCACCCCTCGGGATGAGCCTGAATACCTTGACGTTGAGATGAATGTGCAAAAACAAGCTGTGTAGCGCCAGCCACTTGTCAAGCCTCAAGCCGGTCAATACCGAATTCTGCAGTATCGCCATGCAGATTAGTGCACATCTGTATGGGCGCCGATCCGAAGGTTAGTGACCTGCATGAGAAATACCCACCTATGGAGGCCGCGATTACGCAACCAACCATCGCATGCCAAGCCTATGGCGTGGGTGGATTTTTATGACTAAGGTTCGTAGTTTTCATAGTCGAAGCGGACCTCGAATATCAACTGAACGTCAACCTTGCTCAATTTCAGCCCCGAGATTGATCAACTCAAAGTGAATATTTCGCTAAGCGAACTCAACTCAATATAACCCTGACAATGATTGAGATGGGCTTTTTGACGCCCAACTCGAGTGGCGATGCCGAAGCTGCGTCGAAAGCCCAAGATGCAATTCGATGCACTTCACCGGCTAAGAAGCCAAAAGGCACATGGTACTTAAAGTACCTTACACTTAGGAACCAGATGAGATTGAATTGAAAAAGATGAGGGATCAGAAGACGCAAAGCAGCATGTACACGAGTATATTCGATATAGATACCTAGGTCCTCAATGCAATTAATACATTCCAGCAGTGGGTCGCATAGTGGAAGATCCGAATTTGAGTTGCCTCAGAACTTTCTAGACCAACTTGAACACGAGATGGTCTCACAATTCAGGCATTTTTGCAAGATTGAGTCTACAGCCCGAACACGACATCCGTCGACTTATGTTGTCCGAAAATGTCCACTGTGTGGCAATTCACCAGACGCGCACCGAGGTCGGCCCCTACGCATCGAACGGTATCAATAACATGACGAACCATCTCTTCGACGAGAATAAAATAAGAGCCCCGACTGGTGAGAGCAAGGGTCCACAGGAAAAGAGGGCTGACGAGAATGAGGCCCGGAGGGTAGGCCAGCCACTGCCTACGATGCCACCCAAACAAAAGTCCATTCAACAAGCTCTAGGATTGGAAGTGACTAAGGATCAGGAGGAAGATATCGCAAACTGGTTTATCGAACGTTTCGACAAGCAAGTCTTCCAGGCCCTTTTGGTTTAATGGATTACCGATCGCAATAAACCCTTCATAGTAGCAGAGGACATGGAGTTGCGCCGGATATTCGAATATCTCAAGCCACCGATCAGATTCCAGAGATTATTCCAGGGATTTCAGCGTTGATGAGGCCGCGGAGGCTGAAGACGGTTTGGGTGAAGGTACTAATTAGAACGACAGATATTAACAATACCTCTGACTGAACTAATGTGGTTAACTATTGGCTAACATGTTAAGTTAAAATTTAATTGACTGACTAATGTCAACCTAATGTCGATATGACCTTGAAGTTGGGTTGGGTTGGGTTAGAGCTTTGGCCTAGTTCTACGCTCATCCGATGTAAACGGGTAACTGACTGCCATAAAATCTCGAAGGAAGTGAAGGCTCATTTGGAATTCCGACGTGAGCGCGTTGCCAAAGAAACGCTCGAAACATGAGCATGATCCAAGCCTCCTCTACTGTGCATTTGTCTGTCCACCCCTTCTGGTGCATGTATCGTACGTAGTCGGGCATGAAATCCCAATAGAAAAGCATTGATTCTGCTCTCCACGGCCAATCTCCCATAAAATTGTTCCAACGTAGACTGTTGTTGTTTACCCTTTTCTACGCATCACCGTACGAGCGAGGGGCCTCGCAGAGATGCGCTGTTACCAGGTCCATGTAATCGATCCCGTTGTGCCTTTGGTGGGCTTCTGATGTCATTTGCTTTTTGTTTAAAAAGTATCGTGTTGTTTGCTCGTAGAGACGTTGGATCTTGTCAAAAAACTCCCCCTTTCTGAAATTGACGTTGGGGCTGATTCTATCCCACTCATCTCCACACATGTTCTGTAGTGCCAGGTACTCGGTTTCTACACAGCGTGTTGACAGCGTTCCAAAGCCATGTTTATGGTACTCACAGAGCCGGTGGTAGAACGCATGGTAAGCTACGTGATACCATGTCAGCCCATATGTGTAACTCCAGGGGCGTGGGTATTGATTGAGGGTACCGGGCCGCTGACGCAGCCAGGGTGCCACCATCGGGACGATGTCGCAGAAACCATGTAGCCGCCGAGCATCTTCTGCCTGCAGCGCTCTCAGGTTCCTAGCCGCCTTCCCCGAAGGATCCAACGCCGATAGTGTTGCATAGATCTTGTCGGAGGTTCCTATTTCCAAGTTGGGTAGCCCCAGCTCGACATTACCTGGAAGGAGGCCGAACCACATCATGTCAGTGTGCGTTGTGCAGACAAGTGCCTTGGGAATTGAATAGTCAGATGAATACACTAGTCGATCTCTTCTAGCCAAGTTGGAAATAGCCTTATGATTGGATAGTCCGGATTCACTTAAAAGACGATAGGTGAGCATGAGCCCAACGCCTCGCACTGTTGTGGACGACAGGGCGTGGCCACTGCCCTGGGCTTCCAGCACACCTTCGGCGGGCTTAAATTCGGTCCACGTCATGCCCATACGCCGTGCCAAGATGGCAATATCCGACAGCGTGGTGGAGGCAAACGGGCGGACGACATCCGGCGGCATAAAGTCCCAAGATCGCTGCCGGGGAAACAAGACGGGCCAAGACTTAGGCATTTGTAGAAACCTTTTGTGCGTCTCGTGGATGGATCACAGAAATGGAATCCAGCAAACAAGCTCGTTTACGGGCGCATCGCTAGTTTCTCGAGCCGCCTCGGGGCTGGAAATTGAGTGTGCAATCGTGAGGAAAGAAGAAGGAGAAACGGCCGGCGGAGACGATACCAAAGCAATTTCGGGCGTTGTGAAAAATATCTCGATTCGAAACTGGCTCCAACGCCAGGGCGCCTTTGTTTTGCGGGCCCAAAAAGGACCCAAGACAGAAGGCTGGCATCGTCTGTAGCCCTCTACCGTTCCAAATATCTGTGCCAAGAGCTGACCCAGGGCGATGATGATTGCGACGAGAGACGCAATGAGTGCTACGAGGATCATTGATTCTTCGTCGGCCATGGTAAGTTTGGGTGAGGTGCCTAGTGCAGAATAGAGATGCCCCAAATTACGACAAGCCCAGAACAAATTGTGTCCCAATCAGTAGTGGATTTTTAGGAGGGACTGATTAGCCTTAAAAGCTGTGGACTGCACGGCATTACCTAAGGTGGTAATAGTACGTGGGAAAAGAGATTAAGTAACAGATGGCATGATTTAATAAAGTTCAAAACGGGACGATTCTACAATCATGTGATGATCTCGCGATTATGACCAAACCAAAACCTTACTTATAGACGGCGATTACACATTTTGGCTTCCTTGGCTAAATCCTATCAAGAAGCTAGTGCTGTCTTATTTCTTTTATATCATGTGGCCACAAATTTTTGAATTGCTTCAGAGCGTTATTAACGTGATCTAGTTCCAAGGGACCTTTCTTACCATTAAACCAAAATCTAACAAGTTATACTCTCGAGTTCTACGAGATAAACGACACCATTACGCAAGGAAACCTCAGCCAAGAAACAAAATGAATAATCGTCAATACATCACCATCGAGGATCCAGTGGACAAAACAATAGCAGCCAATTCCCTAGGCTACTTAATCAGGGACCCCTCGAACATATACAAGGACTATCAGGCTCCTAAGGGTCTTAAATGTCCAATTCGTGTCACGATTGAACCCGAGACTCTGCCAAACAATCATTTGAAATAGACTATCCTACGACAACTAGAGAACTACTCAAAAGTTTTGCAGGATATGCCGAGAAACAGCAAAAAGAGAATACACCTCATGATGGGTGAGGAGGGATCCGCTTACATAGTACTTTGTACGATATCGAGTGTAGTGTTGCCTTTGAACCAAGGTTTGGTTAATCTTAACATCATTCCCATTACGGAGAATCCTCCCGACCATATCCCACTACAATAGACCTTTACGCGGCCTCAAACAAGCTCCAGGAACTTGTCAGCAGCAATGAGAAGTTTCATCAGATCGAAGTGTGTAGAGTTTCAGAGAGGAAGTATCCGGGTTTACATTTTTGGAAATTACCCAGTTCCGCTGGAATGCTTTCACTGGGTAACTCGGCTAGTAGTTTATCCTGGTTCTGAATTAATGGAAAGTACAAGTGGGAATTCAATGTATATTTAACGGTGTATATCTTTATGGCTATATCTCTACGGTTCCTACTATCTAGACACAGTACGAATACCAAGTCTTTAAATCTAGAGTTACAGGCTAAGGCGCTATCTGCTCATCCATTCCTTATCATTCTCTCTAGAAGTGTTATCGGTCTCTAGATTAAGGAGACGATGAATTAAGCATTAGCATTTAGCGACTAGGAGGGTTGTTAAGCTAAAATGAATTAATTGATTAATTAGTTAGTTAATTAGTTATTTAGTTAATTAATTATATTTAATGTGAGGAGTGTCCCTTATTAAGGCAAACCACGCCTCCTAGAGCCATATATCGCATAGCTATAGAGGTGTTAGTATATATATGTATACATGTTAAAGCCGCTTACGTGCCGATCCATGCTATTATGGTATCATACTAGCGCTGTCAGATGATTTTAGTCAGTATCCAACCTCGATTCCGTCGAAAAACATCCCCGTCCATTACTATCTGACCCATGAGTCCGCAGTCCTCCGATTTGGACATCGTCCTAGTAGCCGTTCAATGTCCGTCGAATTGGTCAAGGTGGAAACAGGTGATGTTGCTTCCGCCGGCGGGGAAAACCCACCGGGGTGAGAAAACCTGCCAGTATTGGATTTGTGAGGGAGACTCTTTGGTCATCGGGCTTTGCGATAGAGCCGATCTCACTGTCGTGTGCATGTTGACGACTAGCACGAGCCGGGTTAAGTGGACCGTAACGGGATTCGAACCCACTTGCTCTCGTCGCCCACCGCAACAACGAGAGCACTGCTAGGCGCACTTAATCACTGCGCTATACGGGCTCGCCTCAGCGGATATTTTGATCACGTTCGTGTGGGGATTACGACAAGATCTATTAAACAGCAAAAGCGAAATGTGGAACTGGGTATAAAAAGCTTCCCGTATAATCTGAGGACTTGATAGTCCGTGGTAATATTCTGCGTATCAAGAAGCTCTATTCTTTTAGATGTTGTCACTTTGCTCGCCATAAGCTAGATCCTAAGGCCTGGGATTTTCATTCCTACATCTCCCGCAGTCGACGGAGCATCCATGTGGGTTTAACCTTTCACCTGGTCAGCGTGCTTAACAAAACTTTCTTTAAGAGATAAAACAGCGAGAGCCTAGCATGTGATGTTGCATTGAAGCACCTCCGGATAAGCCGTACTAGTGCAAGTATAAATTCCTTCCGAAAACATGCGACGTACACTATAACGCGGAAACCATGCATAGCCTCGACCTCTTTAGAATAAGTCTCAGTGGAGTAATTACGGACCTGTATTATCTACAGCTCTTAACTCTGGTATTCCAATTCTATAGTATAGTAGAAGACAATTAATATTCAATTCTGCCACATAACATGCGGCTCAACTGTTCCACGATACTTGAGTTTAGCAATGTAGAACAAATACTGTGTCGAGACAGATGTCGGGAAAAGGCATGTGTCGGAAATGTAATAGGGTCAAGCGTTGCTGGGAAGTCGCGAGAATATGTATAAAATACACAATCGATTAGAGTGGATCGAACCGGATAGACCTTGGGGAAGTGAGTGGACGTGGTTGTTTCAGAGGGTGTTGCCATTTGGTATCATCATTGCATCTACTAACAAGCACGTGCTCATCATCGCTGAAGGCTGAATGCTCGGATCGGAGATTTGCTTCGACAGAGACTAGTTGAGTTTGATAGCTTTATGTTACTCTGCAGTTTGACTTACAAACTGGTACCTATAAGACGGTCATAAATCCCTCAGGCGTACTAAAATTCTAATGTACTGGGCTTATTTGCTTGACCAGAATCGTCGAGTCGGCTTTGGCATGTGACCGTTTGCTTTTTCGTGATATTGAGTTATAAGTGCTGTGTTAGTATATCAGCCACGATTGTTATAGAGTTTCATGACACAACTCAAATTCACGGGTTGTCGTGGCCTATTTGATATGTAGCTATTTTTGATGGGATTCTAGACATGTCTGTCGAACAGCAGACCAAATTGTCACACATCCTTACCTCAGCCTGATGGGAGTTTCGCATATATCAAGGTAGCACATTTCTCACTCTCGACCTCTCGAACCCCAGACATCCCAATCAACTTTCATTCAAACCAGAACTTGAAGCTCGTATTCAACACTGTTCGATTAGAATGCCGATCCACAACTACGGTGTCTGGGTTGCACACCCCGTCTCTTTCACTGCGCAACGATATCATCAAGATCCGGTGTCGCCTCATCTGACGCTCAAGTTCGACGAAGATCCAAACGCCAGTCAAGGAAGACTTACCGCTGCGATCAATGTCAAGTCTTTTGGCAGAGAGAATCGATTAGTCTACTGGCTCTACCCCAATTTTAGACATCCCATCCTCTCTAACCTTAATAGTAAGGAGCCACAGTTTTATCCTCTGCCCTCGTCGGACAAACAAGGTTTGGATTACATTCGCGGCAATGTACTGGAAACAGGACGCGGAACAATTCTACAACATGACTTGCCTGGAGTCGAGAACGGCATTATCGATTACCTCTCAAATATCTTCAGGCAGGCTATTGCCTCAAAAGCCAAGATATTTTTATTCGGAGAGCGTTTTGAGAGTGATGACGGAATCCATAATGTCCACATGAACCAGGGAAGCAAGGGAGACTTTAAGGGGTCCAATGGAGTATTTCAAGATGGAGGCATAATCTTGGGGTTTCCGGATGGCCATTTTGAAGCAGTGTTCCTAGCTTTTGCTAACCAGTCAATCCACACCGATGACCAGACTGGACATTCAATTGGCACAGTTGACTTTCGGGAGCATCTAGGTGTACCACCTATCTTCGTGGAGACGGTGGTCATCAGGGCTGCGCTCATTAACCCTTTGGGGCCGGATACCAACTCTCGAGGCGAGCCAGAAACCGTCTTCTCGGAAAATCGCACATCGAATTTGATTAACCTCGATGGATGGTCTATTGGGAACCATCGTGGCGACAGGCAAAGACTAGACGGCACCATAGTGGCGCAGGGCAAAAAGTTGTTTCTTGTGCCGGACTGTCCTCTTTACAACAACGAGGGTCTGATAACCCTGCTCGATAGCTCTGGCCTCAAAGTGGACGGTGTCTCTTACGGTGGTGGGCAGGGGCGAAAACAGGGGGACTTTGTCTACTTTGACATCTAAGTAGGGTACGTGTCCTGATTGCCAGGCTTGCAAGCAAATAAATCAAATCAAATCGAGGGTTTAATCTGTTTTGATTTGGATAGATGAACCATCTCATTTGATTTGATTTGGATTGATTTGGATCTATTTGGATAGGCAATTGATAGGGATGCATCACGAATTACTACTGACGCATCACCTTATAGACGCATCGCTTTTTTAAAATTTGAATAACTTATGAAAGAAAAGTCGCGAAAGTCTTGATAATTTTGTAAGGTAATTTAATCATTCACTTTGAATGGTCTTAAATATATTTTTGGTTTAACGTGAAATTAATATAGTTTTTGATTTTAAAAAAGGGGCTGCTTTTGTTAAACTTTCAGTATCTATAAATGAAGAATTTTGGCTATGCCTCCCTCTAAAACACTAATCTACCCGATCTTAATGACTATCTAGCTAAAGCCTTGCCCGTATCGGATCCTTCGTCTCTTCCGCGAGATTACGGCGAGTATCTAGCGGAGCCGGTGTTATAGCGCTTCGTTACCGTCCCTAAGCTTCCTCTAATAACCCATAATATAAGAATACGTGCTCCAAGGATTCCGGGGCGGCGCCGTAGCAATATGACGGCGCATATACCCCGAGGGCTCCGATTTCAAACAAGAACTTTGCGAGCCTTACCCTCCCGGACCGGATTTGGAATAAAATCGTGGCCTCCTTCCTCGTAAATTGCGTATACTATATATACCCTTTCCTTGGCGCTTCCTTAGCGAGAGCTTTACGCCGGCGTAGCATCCTCGTCCTGTCGGCGAACCTAGTGTCTCGCTGTGGCTATTCTTAGGTCTAGGCCTTTAGCCTAGTTTAACGCGCGTTCGCTCCTTTCTATCGGGTATACAGCGGTGCGTACGCTAGGCGGAGCCGTTATTGCTCTTCTTCTTGGCGGCTTCGCTATCCATATTATATGCACAGCCTTCGCGCTGGCAGCTCGAAGCAGTGTATTCGTCTTTTGCTTGCGTATCCGCCTCTCAAAGCTGGCTATTCTAACGCTTAAGTAGATATCTCGCGGCGCTATCGCTGCTTCGCTTTCGAGCAGCGGTATCGGGGTAGCTTTATACGCCCCGCAAACTGCCCGTAAGAAATCATTCTGGGTGCCCGCCATAGCTTTAGCCAGTCCCGTGGGGGCTTCGCTTATAGTATGCCGCGCCGCCGCTCCGTAAGCGTACGCCGACCTAATTACCACCGTATATAGCAGTCTTGCCCGGACAAAATCGACTCCCCACGCCACATTTACGAGCTTCGTAAGGGCTAGTTTCTGGGTGGCCATTTTTGACTTAACCCTTTCCAGGTGGGCCTTCCAGTTAATCTTCCTATCAAATCATACTCCTAAAAGAGTACGTTAATATCTAAATATACACCTTTAAGGTATGAAACAAAATGAACAAAATGAACAAAATGGAATAACGGATGTGCTTTAGAGATTCGTTTATGAACGGGTAAAGGGTTATTTCCAACACGTGCCGTTTAGACAGGCAGATGTAGGGCTATTATCATACGCTTAGACTATTTTGGCGCCTAATTCAACAAAAGGTCTGTCATTTTCTTATCCCAAAACCTCCAGGTTTGGACATCGCTATGCTGAAAACCATCATCTATATGTAATATGACATTCTATGAAATTCTAGACAACATGTATCGTGTCAGAATGCACGCAATCATCTGGGGTTGGCTTTGGCAGCGCCTGAAAGTTGTATGTAGTGATACTTATCAGCGCATATAAACCATAGTGGTAGACAAACGGCCGAGCCTTGAGCCTTGATAGCTATTTGGAAGGGAATCGTGAAGAAATTCCCTAACTGATTGTACCCACCTACCTTGGCAAGCAGTAGTGTAGAATCCTCCTTGTAACGGCATGCTTTGACGTTATAGCCTCCAAGAAATTGGACTTGTGACCTGTTAGATTTGTATCTGCAAGTCGCCTACAGGCTTGTTCCCAAGTTTCGACACGTTTTGTACTCAACCTAATGTAACGTGCACGTGCTCTTGAGCTACTCGCAACCAAGCCTGCTTCTCCACTCTCCCCAAAGCCTTGCGATATGCAACTCCATCTTCACACTCTACCCAGAAGACAAAATAAAATTCATAGAGTTTTGTGGCTTTAGGCCGGTCCTCGCAGTCCCATTCCGGAATGTGGTAAGAGTAGCCGTGCGACTGTAGAATTTTAGGCCAGGCATCTTCCTGGACCTGGCCAGCTGCTACCTCGATAAGGTCAATCCTTTGCCGAGGGTGAGTCTGCTTTGATCCTTTCATGTGAGAAGGTGGTAGACGGATAGCTCCAGCCCAGGTATCATCCATGTTCAGAAGTGTGGCATGAGTGGCATTTACGTCACCTGACTGGCCGTCTCCTTTAACGATAACATCCCCGATGCTAAAAGAGCCCATTCTGGTCTCGAAACGGAGATTTCTGGAGTGACCATGTTTAATTGGTATATCGGAGTTGATTGTTTGCAGGCAAGGAACAGGATATCGAAACTGGGTCCCTTCACCCAGGGAAGGATGCGAGTAAGATGTCCCCCAGTCACTCTCGTGCGTCCTCCATTCAGAGCATATGTATTCTGAAGGCTGCGACCTCGCAGTGTGGAAGTGATTGTCGATTGGTATAAAGTTCTCCGTGGCCTGATCTTCGAGGAACCATTTCTTAACCGTTGGGGTCACGATCACGTCGTGACCAAAGCCACGCACCAAATCTTCAATGAAGGTGTGATCCATGCTAAAGCGCCACCAGAGAGTGTCGAGCTCGCCGCCTTTCCATCCGAGAAATGACCAGGTCGGGATTCCAGCAGTTGGGTCTCGTCGTTGAGACAGATTGTCTTCCTCTCCACAGGTTACGTCCCATAGCAGGAATATGTCAAAGAAATAAGCTGGCAGGCCCCAAATAAATCCCCCAGGCGACGTCTTATTCACCACCGATAAGGTCCCCGCTAGCGCGTTGAGCGCATCATAGTCATATGTCAGCTCCCGGACGTAGTATTCCTCGGCCATTTCGCACCACCGTCTCATATCAGGCCAATTGAAGTTGAGGCTCGCCAGTCCAAAGTATCGCCAGTCCGGAGCGCCGTCCTTCGGATCATCATACACCCAATCCAGTGACTCCGATGCCATGGCATATGTCTCGTCCCAGAACTCCCTCCCGCACTTCCAGCTAACCGTTCCCCCGTATTCAAATATCAGTGCTCGTCCGCAAAACAGTCCTTCTTGGAAAGTCCAACCTCTCTTCTCCCAGATTCGCGGCTTGTTTGGAGGAATCATGTTGTCGTTCAGGAGAACGGTCATGCCAGGAAGCTCGAGCGGACGGCATGCTCGTTTTCTTGAGCGTGCGCCAAGGCCGATGCCAGGCAATCCGAAATTGGCATCGGTGCCTTCGGATATTACAGTCAAAAATGCCGAGGCGTAAATGGTCGCCATGCCGTTAAGGTGGTCAATCATGTCCGGAGCGTCTTGTACTATGCATAGGGCATCAACCCAGACATAACGAACACTTAATACGCGAGCGAGACGCATAAGATCCCTGAGCGTTTCAGGGAGAGGCATTTCTGAGTCTGAGGTGGGAGCGTCGTAATTGATGCTGCCAGGTGTCATCATGCGGTCGAGATTGGCAAAAGTTGTTCGTATGGTTGTAACATTGCCCCAGACATAGCTTAGAGCGATATACCTGTTTTCGAGTGACCCATAGACAATGCACCGCTGTTCAATGTCGACAAGTAGCATTCGATCCAGCGCTGACGTGTACTCGGTGTGATGCATAAGATTAGACGTGCATCGTTCCCCGTGTGTGGTCTCACAACACTGAATCCAGCCCTTGATCATTTCCATGTCGATCTTGTCAGTGTCGAAGAACCTACCCCGGAGATCCATAGGGGCGGCCTGCTCAGTAAAGAACAAATTCATGATAATATGCTCACGATCCTCCTGGGATTGTTGCTGCAGAGCTTGGCGATTTGCCATCACATACAAGGGCTGCGAATGAAGAGACGCGCCTCCGCCCAAATCTGGAGGATCTGTCGCGATCACATGAAGAATGATATCACCTGAGCGCGACCATTCGTAGTCTCTTTCCCACCTCTGCATCTCTCGTTGAAGTGCCTGACACGATGTACAGTAATTTCTAGAGAATATCTCTTCGACTGTACCAAATCTGGCGATTTCATTGTCTGGCCTGCCGGTCTTGATGGCTTCTTGCCGCCGTCGGGATTCCATGGCTAGCTTTAGCCGGCCTCCTACCTCCGCACACACGTCGCAACAGCTGGCCACATCTTTCGTTGCCATTCTTGAACGATCAAACCAGAGCGTTGCAAGTTCAGGGCGCCAGAGAGCAAATGCAGCCTTTTGTAGCCGAATTGCGCGAAATCAGGTACTGGCGTGGTACCATCGGTTGAAACTGTAAAGTGCGTTATTCCAAAGAAAGCTTAGCGGCCAGCTTGAGTTAAATTCAATGGACGGAGTAACAGCCCCAAGAAAAATGCTGTAAATGTTTCGGGCCTGGCGTGATAAGTCATACTGGCTACGAAATTGTCTGAGCCATATTTTTGAGGTCGAGCTGTGTGTAGCTGCTAATGCATGAATTTGTCTGCCAGAAGTATACTGCCGTCTGGGATTATGAAACAGCCCATCCACCTTTGTAAACGAATGACTGTCCAAGAAGGGAGCTTGAAAGTGGGCGGCAGCTAACTTAGTACTAATCTTTAAAAGTTCATCACATGGTCAAAGGCATGATTTTGAAAGTAGACTTTATTTTGTGAACCTATTCAGAATTATGCTTTGGCGATTCGAGAGTGGTAGAACCGTAGATGCAGAAACCCGATATGTGAAAACCACAACTACAGATCCTAATTCTGTGTTCATATTATGACGAGATTCTAAATCCTTGGGTAATCTCATTGTAATCAATGTTATTCAATGTGAGTTTTCTTTTTCCTTTCCTTTCTCTTATTCGTTCTTTTTTTCTTGTGGTTTACAGGGACGGTGTGGGGTGTCTCCATAGTGTCATTACTATCATCGCTTTCCTACAACACAGATTTTGAACATCCTGAGGGACTTGAGATTTTAGCCCGCAGCCGTCAGTCAAAGTCCAATGGCAAAAGTGTCTGCCCCCTCGAATGTACATCTAGAACAAGCCTAAACTAGTATACAAGATTCAGGATGCCGCCTGCTTACGTGATTCCAAGTTTGTCTCAACCATAGGGCAGACATGGGCGAATTCGATGTGATACAAAAATGTCCTACAATCTTCTCGCGAACCAACACCGACCAACATTCTTTTGCCGACACGAAAGTTTATGCTTGTACCACTGCGTGTATAGCCTGCGCCACATAACCGATATTTCTTGTGTTCAACCCACAATTGGAGGCTCTTCCGCATCGTAACATATAAACACCATGATGGATTTGCAACATCCTAATCTGGTGTTCGGATAATCCAGTACAGGAAAACTGCCAGTCTGCTGCTTGAGATGTTTCCAATCTCCGGTCGTCCCCAGTTTCACCAATGACTCATACAGAGCTCCTTGCATGGACTTGATCTGGTTACTCATTGTCTTTCGATTATTTATCCAAAGCTTGCGAGGCTCTGGCTGCGACAAGACTTGGGTAGCGACACGCGAACTAAGACGAGGAGGCATGGACACATCTCCGCGCTGGAGGTCCAACAGTTGACCTATTAGGAATGTGCGCACAGGCGTGAAGGAGAATGACGTCTTCCGGTTCGGCATTTTGTTGTAGGATATCTATCAGCGCATCAAAGTTCAACGACCGGGTCGCGGAATTGTAGTGAGGGTACTGTCGTATGCTAACATGGGGCGCATTTTGTTGCCATATACGGAAGTAATTCTCCCACGTAGGATCTGGGAGTCATACATTCGCAGGCCTTAGATGATTTCCCAAGAACCGAGCAATCAGGCTGTTGGCGCCAGTTCCTGCCACCATTTATACCGAGCGTACAATAGCGGACAAATCCCTGCTGAGTTCATCTCCGAGGACAAGCAACCACACTGCGTCAAGAAATCCATGAGATTCTTGTAAAGGTAGATATTCGTGGTTTGTAAGTTCTTGATCCAGTTGTTTCTTGGCCTGGAACGTAATGCAAAAGGTCAGCCTCGGTATGGTCCACGGCTCGTTGTTCAAGAGCTTTTCTCAACCCTTAGTAGTGGCGACTAAAACCGACGGTTAAACGAACCTCTTTTTGATCCTTAGTATTATCAATCGTTTGGAGACTTGTATCAACAGAAGAAATGTCTCAATTACCTCTTTCACAGATTGTAGGACCCATGGCTGTTCGAAGTCATCCCTGGACAATCCCATGTCCATGTTTACTTTCAGGTCTCGGGGGGTATCTGCCTTGAACGCCCTTTCGAGCGCGAAAGGGCCGTCGGGCGGTATTAAAGGGACGCGTGAGAACCGCCCAGCCGGGGCTGACTCCAATATGTCCACATGTACTGAACTCGACAACACCGTCATATCTAGGCCCTTGAGTAATTCAATATGGTCGAAAGTTTTGTTGAAGGCCTCTTGCTTCAATTTTTTATCCAATTTTCTGATAGAACATACTAATCAAGTAATGATTATCATCACAGGCCAGATAGTTACATACAGTCTTCTTATACAGTATTAAAAATGTTCAGCTTAGCTCTTAGAGGTTTTACAAGCCACGTCTCAGGTCCTTAACCTGCTTATTAATAAACACCAGCCTTTCCTAGCATTCTTCGACCGTTTAAGTTGCACGATAAGGTGTAAGATTTGTTCTTTTCTACGGCATGTTCTTCGATACAGAGTGGAGAGTATCACCCTTTAATATGCTATAAAGGAGATTATTGTATACTTTATATTATACCACCTTTCGTCTTTGTACGAAAACAGTCCATCGCCCAATGATTGTAAGATTGCCGTAAGCTTAAACGGCCGGACCGCAAATAAATTGACTGCTGACTGGGTAAAACGCTTCGAGGAGCATACCAAGGACCGGAAACGGGTGTACACCGTCTCCTATCTTGGACGGCCACGAAAGCCACCATTCGGATGCGTTCGAGCAACACTGTAAAGAAAACAACAATATTACATTTTTCATGCCTGCCCACTCCTCTCACATTCTCCAGCTTTTGGATGTCGCATATTTTGCGTCGCTTAAGAAGGTGTATGTTGCGCAAATCGGGCGTCTTGTTCGGGCCCAGATCTTGCATATACCAAAAAGAGGACTTCCTCCTACTGTTTTGCGAGGCATTTAAGAAAAGTATGACCGAAATCAATATTTGACAATAGTAAGGCATTTGGCTGGGGCTTTCTTGAGTTTGAAGAGTGCTTTATAGTACTCGCGTTCGTTGGTAGCACACTGCCTTTGCACATATTTAATTGCCCGCACGTTTGACCTATGGATGATAGGAAGATGGAATCAGTTGTCCGGATACTCATCGTAGATTTTACTCTCAAATTGTGAAAGCTGAGTATGGGGGGCACCTGAATCAACTACTGTACGTTGTCCCTCGAGACCTACGCAAACACAGTGGTGCTGAGCACTAGAATTGGAGTATAGATACGCTGAATTGAGTCTGATTCTAAGTAAGGAAATTGGTTGAATGAGTGAATGCGAGAGCACGCTTTTGTGTTGCTGCTGGCCACGTGATACCCCTCCCATGTTCAGGTGGTGATCGTTGATTTGCTAGTTCCAAGCTCCTATACAGCCACACAAATTTATGCATGGAACTGTCCCAGCGCTCGAAATACCGCCCTGCCATGTCCATCAAGGTGCCTGAAGGTTTTGAATAAAGTACCTCTATGTTTTTCTCAGCAACGCAGCGTGTGCTCTTGTCAACGGCGCTAAGAGATTTCTCTTAGTTCTTGCCCCAGGGGAAAGGGCTTTCGAAGGAGGACTTTTGCTTGGCAAAGTCCTTCTGCTTGCGATCATCTTCATCATCATCGTCGTCGTAGGCGTCATCATCATTCGGCTTCTTGGCATCCTCGAAGTCGTAAAGGAGCCAGTTGCCATCCACCTTCTTGAAGTTTCTCTTGTTCGGGTCCATGCTGGAGGTGATGTCAGTATTCCTCGTCCTGTGGCGTGCTGAGAGTCCAGCTATCGGGGAAGAACTTACTGCAGCCAGCCAGCGTCGTGAAGCTTCTGGAGCACGCTCTTACAGGCCTCCAAATCTTCCTTCTTCGCATCCTGGCCTTGGACAGCATGCTGGACAAAGCCAATAGCCTTGTCATCGTCATCATCGTCGACGATGACAGCCAACACATCAAGGGCGACTCCCTTTCCCTTGATATCCTTGTACACGTCCAGCTCATGCGCGGGCTCTCCCCGAGTCTTCACGAAGACCGAGTCGGCCTTGAGAACTTCCTTTCCTTTGTCATTCTTGACGGAGACAACATCCGCCATGCCTGTATGGATGTCGTCCGCGATATCCTTCATCTTGAGCGTCGGCCAGTCGAACCCCCTAGCAGTGATGTCTCTAGTCTCTGACGCGGTGGGGTTCCAGTCTCCCACGGCTCGGGCCTTATGATGGGTATAGTCGTTAGTCACAATCCGGGCTGGAGGATAGCAGCTTCAGGTAGGTACTCACCGTCACCAGGCTCTGGAGTGGGCTGCTGGCAAGACCAAGGAGTCCTGCAAAATATACGTTCAGACGCATGTTGAAGGTGTCGTGGTGATGCTGTGGGCGTTTGATGATGTGGTAAGTGGAAGATATTGTTTTGAGTTGGTAAGTGGAAGATATTGTTTTGAGTTGGTAATTGGAGCTGTAAAATGTTGTTGATGATCTGGAATTAAACAGTTTCTGCTTCGAAGGTGCATTGCGGCGAGTTATATAGACGTCTTGTTGCACTCGAATTCGATGTCTCCGTGGGGCCGTTGGCTCATAAAATATTGATGCCCGGGATACTCTTCCTACATGGCGATCTGTAGTCTTGGCTGACGATGGAGACATTCAGCGATGCAGCGCCTCGCGGTCGTCTGAATCCATATCTTCCTGCCTGGCGATCTGCCATCATCGATCGTGACATCGTCAAGAACCTTAAACTGCCGTACGCACACCATGTAGGACCTCCACATGGGAAAATGTGACATCGACGTTCTTGCCTACTAAAACTCGACGTTTTCAAGAACCTCTAACTTTTCAACGAAAGTTAACATCGTAATAGAAAAAAAGTACCATCTATTGATAACTGCTTAACTAGTAGACGGCTCTATTCTTAGATACCTACGAATAAATATTAATTGTTTATTTATCATTAAAGTCGTAGATGTATTCACGTTAGTGCTGGGTTAGTGCGTTGTCGCATTTCATGGTGGTGCTCACCACGTCATACTATAAGATTGGTACCTTGCGCCTTATAAGCCCTATAAGCTAGTGGCTCAATTCCCAAGTCGTGTGCGGCCCCCAATTGCTGGCGACACGGAATGTCTTGTCACTCAGATCCTTCGGGCTCGCGCGAGTGTTGACAAGATTCGTCGCACGAGCTTGTTCCACAGGATCACCGTAAGAGGTGGTAGGCATGTGACGTGATTGGCTGTGCAAGCAGAGTTCGGGACCTAAGCCCCAGCTGACGTGAGCTCAGCCAAAATTGTATGGCGGCCCACAAAATTCCATTCCAAAGCTGGGGCCTCGCGCCGTCATACTATCCCAAAATTAAACGGGCTCAACTAAACGACCACGCTATCCTAAAAATAGGTGAGCTAAACTATAGTGGGGTTGCAGTGTGGTTGAGCTCGTTTGATTTTGAGATAGTGTGACCAGGTCCCCCACCGTATTTGGCTCATTTACGTTTGGGATAGCGTGGCCGTCTACGAAATTGTGTTATAATGGTGTAAATCCTTGCGGTCTGAATAGGTGGCTGAGAGCAGTCCGAATAGGGCCAGTTCCTGATGTTACCGATTACTAAAATTACCTTAGCTGTAGGATCCCGGAGCCTGGGAACGACGTCATAGTAACCTCACCTTCGCCTCCACTGAGATGCGGACTCGCTGCGTACATTGCCAGTAACCAGGTTCAAACTCGTTCGAGCTTTATTACCTAGAGGTACCTACCTACCTTACGTATTCCACTCTTACCAACCAAACATGTCGTACTCCGACGTCCATAGCATCTGCGACCTTCCTCCTGAGCTGCTTCTCCAAGTGGCTCAACACCTATCATTCAAAGACCACGCTCGATGGCTCCTGGCAGATCGACGACATAGGGCCTGTCTCTCCCCTATCCTGTATCTCAGGCTGCTGCCATTAAGAACAGACGCCTCAGGCTCGGGTGGGGATGCTAGTCAAATTACCCGAAAAGACGTGGTGCAGTGGGCAGTAGAGCATGGGCGAGTCTGTACCCTGAAGAATGTCGACGAGTTTGAGGACATGGCATCATTCTTCGGCACTGCTCTGACATCAAGTGTGGCCGGCCTCGAGTTGACACCCATCCACCAAGCTGCCCTTTGCGGGCAGGCCTCTGTCATCGACTATTTGCTGCAGAAGGGGGCGGACGTCAACGCCAGCACCACAAATGGCCTCCTTCCCATGCACTTGGCCAAGACAGGTGAGGTGGTGCACCTTCTTGCTGACCACGGCGGCCGGCTCTATTCTGATGCCACTCCATCCGGTGTGTCGGCTCTGACAAGCAGCATCTCCCACCAGTGCGAGCCCAGCGCTGTCACCGCGTTTGTCCAGCTCGGGGCGGATCCAAACCATGTCGCCCAGGACGGCACAACGGCTGCCGAAGTCGCCATTGTACAAGGCAGCGTCGATGCTCTTGGCATCCTTCTCGATTCCGGCGTCGATGCGAACAAAGCTCTTCCAAGTGGAGGTTCCCTGCTATACAAAGCCATATGGCTTGGGGCGAGAGATCACGGTGCCGAAATGGCCAAAACCATGGCCACCATGCTCCTTGATCGAGGAGCATCTCCCAACAGCGGCCTCGATTCGGCCTTGGACGCCTTTTACAACAGCGAACCATGCCATACACCAAGTTTGTTCCTGGCCGTGATGATACCATTTTCAGCTGACTTAGTTCAGCTGCTTCTAGAGAGAGGCGCAGATCAGTACATGCCATATACTCGGTACAGAGACCCCTTCTACACGGCCGAGAGGCCAATCCGTGGATTCGAACAGGCCTATGCCAAATCGCTTGTCGCCAACCTGGTCGCTGCAATGATCGATTCCGCGCCTCACCCTCCAGACCCCGATGGTATCCGGAAACTAAAGCTGTTGATACAATACGGCGGTAACATCGACACGAAAATCCAGGACCATACGCTGCTGCAGTACAGTCTGCGTCAGGATGGCCCACGGGCCCAGAGGGCCTTGGACATAATCCAACCCCTCATCACACTCGGCGCTGATGTCACCCTTGTCGACTCGGAGGGCAACAGCACTCTCCACCTCCTGTGCGGGTCCTTCTTCCACCAAGTCCAACGGAATTGGGAGTATTCTCGTAGTATATGGTATACTAAGCTGCTCCGGCCGTCACCCCTCTCCTCGCTTATAGACGTGCTCATGGAGCGGGGCGCCGACCCTAACGCAAAGGATGCCCAGGGAAGGACTCCCTTGATGATTCTATGCAGGCATGCGCATACCGTCCCGACTGCGTTGCTGATCAACGTTCTCATACGACATCGGAGCGTCGATGTCAAGTCCGTCGACAAGCGAGGCTGGAACGCGCTGCACTACGCTACAGGCGAACCGGCGGACCCGTTCCACCACGAACCCTGCTTCCGCCTGCAGGTGCTGTTGAGCCGCGGCAACGAGGGGGCGGCCCTCGGTGTGAATGATGTGAATGCTTACAGCGATGCTGGGCGCACACCACTTCACCTGCTGCTCGAAGCGCGAGATAGCTCATCGGGTGGCCGTAACGATGAGATGCAACGGCGGATGATGACCAAGACAAGGGCTCTGGCAATGCTCATACGGGCCGGCGCCGATGTGCGAGCGCGAACCCGCCGGTCATCAGGAGCTACCACTTCGTCGGTCGCCGGGACTGGAGGAGGAGATACGCCTCTGCACCTGGCATTGCAGGGCCACGAACTTGAAACACTGCTTACTACCCGACTCCTGCTCCGCCACGGCGCAACTGCCGATATCAATCACGTGTCGCCGGGCCTAGGGCTGACGCCGCTGATGATGGTGGTGGCGGCAGCAGGTCGGGGTGAGTTGTCCCGAAATATAACCGAGGACATGAGTCGCTTGCTGTTGACGGCCGGAGCGGATGCTCAGATGCGCGACACCAGAGGCCGTACTGCTTGGGACATATATGTGGAGCTTAAAGGCTTGCCCCCGTCCATCTCGCCGTGGACTTTGTGTTTAGAAGGAGTGGTGCCTGGGGATCTGGGCACTGACAATAGCCCTGGTCCAGAGGATAGACGGACTCTGAGTTCGTTGGTCATATAGGTACCTGTTAGCTACCTTAGCAAGGCTGCCCATATTCAGGGTGCGATTTAAAATCGTTGGAGGGGATGAATCTCGTTTGTACAGTTAGATCTATCATGTATCTTGTCGGAAACGTACAGGTACCTATCCACTATCTAATACATGTGGTCCAGAACCTCACTTACCGATCTGGCCCTCTTTGAAGTCACTTTGGCATACGTTAAGCTTTCAATTTCGCGAAAATTCCTCCACAGTCTTAAGTTACCAGTTTCTTTCATGTTGAAACTTCCTGGGATTTTCTGTAAATCCTTAATTCTTGCCTAAACATGTAACCCGTATTGAGACATTTTTTCCTCTCAGCCATATCATTTCGTGCCCTTCTTGCCAAATTTACACTGCTTGCTGCAGACAACACCAGAGTGATGCCCGGGAAAATCGACAATAAGGTGCTGACAGACTAATCCCAATGACTGCTCTTACTGGTTGGCGGCTGGCTGAGGCTAGCCTCGGACTCAGCTCCCCATCGTCGGAAGTGGCAGCTCAGCCTCAAATTTTGTCCCACAAACACTTGGCTTGAATTTCCAGAACAAATGCATCATGACATCACAGTCTCGGACTCTTGTCCCACCAGTTCGCCAGTGAGGTGACAATCATAGACTGCCCCTTTACGGCTGGTCTTTGCGGCCGCCATACGATCATGGCCTCGGATTGAAGCAGATCGCCAGTCATCTGCTGCTCCACTTCCTCCCAGTTCCTGGGCCGATGTTTATACGATTGATGCAGGTCCCTACAGGTGTGAAGACCCGGATACAACGAATAGCAGTCCTTTCAGAGCTTACATATTGATGTCATGAACAAGTTGGACCCAAGAATCTGGAGGAGTCTTACTTCGGACGTCACGGGCGTCCAAGCATGGAGCAGGTTGTGAGAGGGTCTTTGGAAGGACAAGACATAATGCATCCAGTACCAAAATTATCAGGTGCACCGTCATAATTAACTCCACTGTTGACGTCCCCAAAGCCCTTTCGACAACGCCTTGGCGATGATTACTCAAGATCCCAGTACGTCACTTCTTGCTTCCTTTGAGGCTTTGATGCTTTTGTTCTGGTATCGTTGACGTCGATTGATGTCCAGACTCTTTGAAGTTTGTCTACAATCGAGATGAAGATAAAATTTCCAATCCTGAAAACCTATGACCGACGTATATATAGTGCATGGAAGAACCCCTTATTGTGAGGAGCATGAACCCTAGCACATACACAGCCAATTCAACCATCTCATATCCTCTTGCACTCACAAATACACCATTTAGAAACAAAATCATCATCTCAGCCATCTCTCGCCCCAGCTTTAGTCTTCAATCATAAGGCCTATCTTCATGATGGCGTTCAGAGCAGCTATTACCACCCTCCTTTTTGGCTCAGCCATGTTGCATAGCGTCTCGGCAATGGCACCTGAGGGCTTCACTGAGATTGTTCGCAGAAAGGGAGGAGACCCCGAGTGCTCATTCTCTGATAAAGAGTCCGTCGATTGCTGGAAGCTTACTGACTCCGACAACGGAAAGACAGCATGCATAGGTTGGGTCACCGGAGGTTTCACTTGTAAGCCATGGAAGGAGGAGGTATTCGATGATCTGAAAGAAGCCGTGAAGAAGCAGGCCACTACAGACGGACAGTGGAAGACCAGCACACAAGGACACTGGTTGGCCGGCTGGCAGCTTGGGAGCTCGGCCACTGCCGACCAAAAGAACTTTGGTGACAAGTTTGCCTTCCTGCTCGACGACGTGAGGAAGGAGCCCGAGGGCAAGTGGAACCAGGGTTTCAAGAGATGGTACTACAGCTACGACTCGGACTTCATCGTCATCGACTGGAACAACGGCTGGTCAAACCAATGCGACCAGGAGGCGTAGAATGACTTTCCAGTCACCTGAACACTCGGATATTTTGATATACGGTACGGAATTGTACGCAGTTTATGCGTTGATATATGACACGCAATTATGAGCGATTTTTGCGCGGATACACGATACAGGTTTATGAGCAAGTCTTGAAATTTTAGTACACATTTGCAGCGCATGTCCCAGTATTTCTTTTATTTAGACGACGGCTTTACTGTCCTTAACATGAATGGTATCTTCTAACTTCTCGCTGATTTCTCATCTTTTCTTTGCCGCCCCCGCTGTAAAGCTGCCGTCCTGGTCTTCAGGTGAGTTCACAGTGAAGTCCGGACTTGTCAAGTCGAATGATAATCGGTAACCACTGCAAACCTTGGCAGATACAAATCTGGTCCAGCCAATGGATCCTATCAACAGCCCACCGCATATAAAAGCGCCCTAAAGCGGCCAGCAAATGGTAGAAACATTGCTCGGCAGTGACGCATTCGTGTCTGCTAGATTGCCATATTATTTGGACCGCTGGGGAATCCCCGGTGTTGTATGTTTACTTTTTCTCATCATTATTGTCCAAAGATCAAATAAGGAGGATTACAACCCTTATATACCTTATAGCAGTCCGGTACCGGTTAAGCTCGGACACAGGTTCAGTTGCGTTTGCTGCTCAGCAACTAACGTCTCTCAACGGTGCCAATAATTACACGCCAGAGTTGGTTTCTCGTCTCCAATTACATTGATTCTCCTCGCGGTGCAAATATTTTGATAACATGACGTTCATGGCCGGCACGTATCTCGTTATTTGATCCTCGCTTTACTCGGCACATAATAAATGTACTACATACTCCTCCGTGCTGGGTGCAGCGAAACAATGATCTGGAGAGATTACAAAGTGGTGATAAATGGCGCAGACAAAAACGCCATTAGTCGAAGTGCCAGGGTCAACCCACGTCCCGTGCCACGGTGAGATGTCGCCATCACTTCCGCGGTATAGCTGGGTCAGCATGTCAGGCGATAGAACTTCTCAAATTTGGAGAGGGGATCACACGCGGCGCTTCACGACCATTCTTATTTGGTCTATAATTTGGCCTGCTCAAGTTTGGATAACACTCGTAATGGGGGTCCACCACGACTTCCGTCCCCTTTCTTAGCAGCTACACTCTGACCATTTGGGAGACGTAATCTCCATTTCTGACGCAATTCTTCTGACGCTTTATTCTCAAAACAATCCGAGATATATCTTCCCAATACAGGGAGGAATTTGAACGCGCTACGTTGCGAGGTGTTAGCAATGAATTAAAATCAAATACATGACAAGCAAATTTCAAAATTGGCACTCACTGTCCGGCTCCACCGGTGGCCAAGAAAAGCCCAGCGATCTCAGGGTGATGATCGACTACGAAATGGCCCTCGGGGGTGTCAGAATACCAGCAAAGACGACGACGTAGCCAAGGGCGATTGGCGAACTGTGGTAATAGTTGACCCAAACCCTCTCTCAGCGCGTCATCTGCATCATCCGGAAGATAGGAGCTCTCGGCGTTGCTCTTATCACTTCTCGGTGTGGAGACGAGATTGTTTCCGTATGCGACAGGCGCTTTCGTAGCAAATCCATATCCATGACGGGCGATTTTGAGTAAGTTAGTCTCGGGTGTTGGTGGGAAGCAAAATACGCCAGTGCTTAAGTTGATGATTACCGGCATCTTCTCAATAGATTTGGCTTCTTCGGGTGTGAGCTGAATGAAACCGACCGGCTGACCAGATGCAGTGCTTGCTGACTCTATGGGTACAAGTGTGTTCGTCCAAGCCCCAGTGGATAGAATGACTCGAGATGCCAATAGTCGACCTCCATCAGCTACGTTGACACCAACCACAGACTTTCCTTCGTATCTCAAAGAAATGACCCTGCCCCTGCTTCCAGTGATGAAAGAGACTCCCACTGCACTGCAATTTGTGGCTAGTTTTCGTATGGCTGTTTCCGCATTTGCCCAGCCGCCACGTGGATTGTTGTAAGCTTTGAGTCCGTCAAGATTTGCCTGAATGCTGGGGTACACCTTGCGGACAGCTTCTGCATCCGGATACTCGATAGTCGACTGGCCTAGGCCTTGACTGGTCTTCTGACTCTCCTCTATGTAGGCATTGCCAGAACGTTTGGCAAGCTGCACGAAACCAGATCCAAAATAGTGGTCGGCGAACGTGGTGCACCACTCTGCGTAGGCTTCACGGGCCATCTGGGCATATAATGAGTCGGCATAATCAATACGGATGATCCTTGATACATCGACGCTGCTACCATCAGGCACAGGAGGTAGATATCGATCTACCACTGTGATGTTATGGTAGCCGCGTTGAGCGAGTTCCCATGCAGTAGACAAGCCAAAAACGCCTGCTCCGATGATGAGTATAGACTCAGTCTTCTGGGGAGGTTCTTGTGATGTCATAATGGGAGCGTTTCGGTAGTGATTCTATGGCTTTAGGAGGTGCACATAGAAATGAATGATACAAGTTAATGTAAGATCCAGAAGAGCCAACCGGGCATGCCTAAAGTTTTTATTATGCATAGAGTTCCGCTCTCCATTTTCCGTGCCCATTATTATTGTCCCACTTAAGTCTGATACTACTTTGACACGGGCCGTATGGGGCGCAGTCACGACAGGCTGGTAGCCCATGTTTTTACGTAAAACCATGTTGCGGAAGGTAATTTCTTAGTCTACTATATTCGTTGCAGCGCATCACGTTGCGAGACCGAATCGTGTCAAATACGCAATCTATTGGGGCATTTCATATCCAAGATCAGGCTAGCTTCGATGCAAGGCATCAGGACCGTCCTTTAGAAAGTCATGCATTATGTACATCAACTGGAAACACAGTGATAGTTCTCTTGAACTCAAATATGGAGGAAATACAGTGTCTCAATGAAAACTGTCAGAAGCTTAAAATATCAGAATCCTCGTGAACAGGCATCCACGAGAAATCCATCGCGGCGATTTCAGAGAAGAATTCGTCCAAAGATGCTTGTTCGCAGGGGCCCGCCTGAAATAATCCTATGTCATCCTCAGTACTTCGTTGCATTGTAGAATTGGTTGCATAACGATGCGGGTGTTCCGCTAGTGGATGTGCATAGTTGGTTGGAATGTCAGGCACTGTATTACTAGCCGCGTCATTATGTAAGGGGGTTTGATCAGATGTGCCGACTGAAAATGCTGCCAAAATGTTAATGTCGAGAAGTGCCCACACGTCAGCTGGTCTGAAAAACAGATCGGAATCATGGTTATCACGCTGGTGTGGCCTCTGGCCGCAAGGTGCTGGAAGACAACGAAGAATGTTTAGCTGTGACCAGATTAGTTGCCTGTCAGAGATTGTACCGATGTTCAGCTATACCTTTTTCTCCAGATGATGCCATCTCGGGTTTAAAGAGGACAAGACTTCCTCACACTTGCAGAATCCCCTCCTTGCGTTCTCGGAGATCCCGGCGTCGCGAGAGAACCGAAGTAGCCATAGTATGCTAGCAGCTGTGACGATCATTTGCCCGATTAAGGGATTGCGTATTTCCATCTCCACGGCCTCACAGGCTTCGAGGAGTTGAGCAATCCAGCCCGAGTGATAAATAGCTTGATCAAGCATCTGCTGTAAGAACAGCCGTGGCGGCGAAGCTCGTCTATTGTCCCTGAGCACGAACACATGTATGAAGGGATGGCTCAGAAGGGCACACGCAGAATGCAAAGAGAACTGTAGTAGGACCCAAGATATCCAATATTCCCAATCACTCTTTACCTCTTGAACAGATCTGTCTTGAAATTTGACGTGTCGCAAAAGATATTTCGAGGGGAGTCGGGTTTCGAAATCATGAATCTTACTGAACAGCCGAGTATGATCTGAGCACGGCTGCCACGGTTGCTCCAACTTGCCCAATCTGAGACTTTGTATATGTCCAGCGATTTCCGTCCAAATTGATATCACTTCGACACAAAAAGAATTGATGTCACATTCTTCCGTGGGAGTATTTCCACCGATGTCGGGAGAGTTCCCATGAGCCGAACTTGGTACCTTTACTGACGGCAGCCTGTGCATCTCCGGGCAAGGAAGCGGGCTGAGAAAGTCCGTGGGCGGATTCGTTGGTGGGCCGAAGGCATTCTCAAGAATTAAGACGCTCCAATAGGCGTGGCATCGTTCTTCTGTCTCAGGCAAATGCCTCCACTGCGCCGTGCCTTTTTGGCCGACATGTCGTCGAAGAGTTCCAAGCCTTGCGGCCATTCCAATGGTCATCCAGCACTGTGTGAGATTTGATCCTAGTACCAAGTCAAATAAGTCAGCATCCATATTTTATACTTTGTAATCAAAGATCAGATTACCTAGCATATCAGATAGCGCCAGCAGGCAGAGAGCTCTGGACACATTACAATTATCAACGCCCTGTGAAGCTAATGCTAACGTCGTGTCTTGAGCTCTAGCCCGGTAAAAATCGATGGCATCTTCTTCTCTTCCTTGGAAGTATGAGGTTTTTGTGTACCTGAGAACCAAGGATAAGAAGCTAAATAAGAGAAATTGTGGGAATGCCTTGATATGAAAATTCAATGTCCGAATATTGAATAGTGGTAATGGCTGGAAGTGTATCTTGCGCTGATATGTTTCCGTTAATGACTCTAATACCTCGTCTGGGAGATCATGCCTGATGCCACCATTAATATTTCCATAAGGCAAACCGCAAGTACGATCTTACCAGTTGCTGTTGTAGTTGTGTATGTCACTGTTGTACTCCTTCGATGTTGAGTTTCCGCCACCTTGAGCCATTTGAAACGATTCATGACCCTCACGAAAAATGATAGGCGACAAAGCAGGAGACTCGTCGTTGCCCGCGGGTCTCGTGATATTCCTTGAACCACGGTTAAAACGTTTAAATGCTTGAACATTTATGTGACAGCTCACCGAAGAGCGCCCCGAGTCTTTTCGCCGTGAGATTTTATAGCGTCTTTTTGGTTTGGTATCGGCCACCTGTGGCAAAGTCAGCCGCGGCCTGCGCGATGTTATAAAATAAGCTCATACGACCGCGGTCCTCTGTTAGAGTTTCCCGTCGCCGCCGGCCGTGATCGAGAGAGGTAAGTACATGGTTGACCAAGTCGTTGACAGAATGAGCACATGGGCTTCTCCCCAGGCACCTCGTCTTCTTCCGGCTGGATGTGGATCAGATTTCCCGTATGATGATGAGGGCTCCTGAGCTCGGAGCCTTGGACGATGCACTCACCGGCACGACTCGCAAGCACGCCGTGCACGTGATCTGGGTACTGCATGATCTCCCATTATCGTCACTGACGCCAGGACTTGTATTAGCCCTGGAAATTTCGAGGAATGTGGGAACGGTTATGAAAAGAAAAGCGCTCGATTGAGAGAAACCCTCACAGCAATAGAATCCGACAAGTGGGTCTTTCAGTGACGCGGAGAAGAAACACTTCCATTCTGCCGTGCCCACTTCCATAACCATGTCAATCGCACGATGTGCATTAGACTTCAAGCCAATTTAATGCATTACCCACCAACCACAAATTCAACCGGATCCATTGTGCAAGTCCCATGGTTACCATCAAAAAGTCGGCCGAGCGAGGAAAGACTGCGCCTATCCACTAAACATAAAATGATAGTACTTGTCGGGGATTAAGCACTTTTCAACACCGTGCCCACTCTTACCGCTAGACCAGAGCTCAATCCGTCCCCACTTCGAGAATTCAGTATCGTCGAATTTGTTACGTCTTTGCCACGGATCATACCATTGGGACCATTGACAAGTATCACTCGGTTTACACATCAATGATATAAACACCAGTTGTGCTCCAGCATCTGTATCCAAGGAAAATTTGACTCTATTTATACACTGTTATGTAATGTCGCGATTTCAATTACTTACTTTTATGTACATTCATGTCCTAGCCCAGTCCAACGACCAGCTGTCAAGATTATACACCAGCGCCGCGACTGAGAATGAAACCTGGACCAGTCTATTTAGTTAGTCGCAAAGCTCTGTTGAAGAAACACCTGACACCCTTTCGCGCAAATTATCTTTCTACCTTGCCTGCATCAAGCCCGCCGTTCTGCAATGCCAGTATTAGATGACCGACTTTCAATATGTTACGACATTTTTGTGCCATTGATACACATTTGAACTCTGCAGGTTCATTTATGCGGGTCGCTCTGGGGCAAAATAAGTCACAGCCAATAGCCAGTTGAACTACGAGGATATTGGCTTCAGACGGACTGCTGAGAACCCTCCGGCCACCCATTCTGACGCTTACAAACCAAACCAAACCCAAAAACCCTCCGGGGCGGCCTCGGTTCAATCGGACAGCAGCACGGCAATTGTTGCGTGCTCCCCGTTTTGTCTTGGCAGGCTTTCTCTCATCTTAATTGATTTATGATTATTGAGCCTTTGACCTGGTTCGTTTTCGCATTCTCAGTTCCACGGACTTTGCGCATTCAGAAGAGACGGTTGAATGGACGCTATTATTCACCCTACACAAAAGCGTGTCTCATGTGAGAACTGCCGAAAGCGCAAGGCAAAATGTCTACGCCAGCACCCCAATGATTACATATGCTCGAGATGCACTCTCCTCGGTGAAGTATGCATCGCTGGACGGCAGAAGAAAGTAGGTCGGCCGCGCGGGGCGTTAGGTTATAGCGAAAGGGCTGTAAGAAACTCAAGTGCTTTGTCTACACGCTTTGGAAAAACCATGTCGCATGGAGCTGCTGGTGGTACTCATGAAGATGCCATGTTCCCTCAAGATAGTAACCCTCCGCCATGGAGCAGACCGGCGTCACCGGCTCTCGCGCCATCATCATTTTTCCCAGCGACACGGGAGGAGGGTTCATCCGAGAACACCGATCCCAACATCGAAGCAGATCTGCTCAACCTTGTTCTGCCGATAACAGGCAAAAACACAGTATTCTGGGATGGCGCCTACGAACCTTCCAGGACTCTGTGCTCACTGCCAACAAACGAGTCAAATTCGGGTCTTCTTACACCAACCAGTCGATTGCTTCCCACATCTCTTGCGAGCGTGCGCACGATAGCCGGGTCAAACCAACTCCATTCAAGTACAATCACGGACTTAGAAGCCATGGCCAAACTTTCTAAAATCAACACAGACCTACACAGCCGCGTGGCGGCGGCTGAGACCAATGAAGTCGATCTTGACTTGAATAGCCTCTGTTATAGAAGCGGTCCATTATACATTGATAAATCCACGCTTGTCGAGTATGTGCTTGCGGCATCTCAAAATTTTATCTTAGTCCTGCACCGGCTGCGCGCGAGCCGACCCACTCGTGGAGTACCATGTGTTTCACTGTCTCTTGACTCGCAGACAGATATCCCTACCGAGGCTCGTGACATGTTAGAATCACTTGAGCCTTCGTGGATTAGAGCACTCCGATCTCCTTCGGACGGCTCAAGCCTTCCACAGTCTGGCCTTTTCCCGTCAACTCCCGGCGCTTCGGGATCGTTGTCGGCCCCTCTCGCGCTGATGATCACAAGTATATTCGTCCAGCTCATCACACTTTACGAGCTCAACCTGAGACACTTGATGCCCCGTATTGAGAGACTCTCCGTCGAGCCTATTCTCATGCCTATTCCAGGCCTCACGTTCGATGGTTTATTGGTAGCAGAGCCGTGTACCCAAGGGATGCAGTTCTCCGAAGTCATTGTGAGTTTGCTGGAGAGAATTGAGAGGTCTTTGGGGATTGGCATGATGCCTGACGGAGGCGAAGCCGGTCTGCTGTCCGTACGACAGATACAGACACTCTGGAGCGCGCTGCAGGACAACGTCGACAGTACTAGCGGCTATGGTTTGACGAGGGTGGAGCATGTGAAAGACAGATTCAGGGCTGTTTATACAACCTTGAAGCAAATTGTACTAAAATAATACGTCAGGCTGAACAAATTACATTTTCACGTGTTGTGTGCGAAAAGAGACCATGACAGTCAGTGTCTATTTAATTCACTATTAATAGAGGTTTGGAATTACCCCGAGAGCTGGAAACTCGATAGCTTATACTGAGCGTTTGAGCTCATTTACTTTATTACCGAGACAAACTAAGATTAAGCTATTTTCGTAGAGCATACAGAATATCAGTTGAAATGTGTATCTTTGGACTAATTTTGTATACCATATTATACCAACCATAGATACAAATCATCCTCTGCAACCCATAGACTGCCAACCTGAGGCGGTTCTTGGAAAGCTACCGCTCGAGAGGTGATTACTATTCCGCCAGCATAACCGGACAGCCTACCCAGCGTAAGCGAGGATACGTGATACCCGTCCGTGCGTATTGCCATCATCGATGAACATAGCGTAGAAAAACCTTCCGGTCCTCTGAACGAGATCGGCGAGCCAGAAGCCAAGGACAAAACCATCCGTTCATTCAGTAATGGCGGACAATCTAATCAAAACAATAGAATATCTATAGAAATGAGCCAAGCAGTTTGGCACTTAGATATCTAATACAAAGCTTAGTCATGTTCGCTGAAACCTTCCGGATACTCAACGGCTTGCAATTCCACGAGTATAAATAGCTGCAGTCTTCTTTCCACGTCAGTTTTCTTTTCACATAAAACTTCCAATCATAAAACGCAGGGCTCAATTATATCATCTAAAACACCCACTAAGAATTACATCTATCACCATTATGGCCGACTTGAAGGAGATTGCAGTTATTGGTGGCACTGGCGCCCAGGGCATACCTGTGGTAGAAGGTAAGTGACAGGTGCAATGCAATGACCATACATGGATTGTACTTATTTCGAAAGCGCTGGCTGCGAGCGGAAGATACCGCCTCAGGGTCTTGACGCGCGACCCCGAGTCCGCCCGTGCAAAGCGGCTCGCTGGTCTTCCAAACGTCACGATGCTCCGAGGCGCCCAAACCAACCAGGAGGATTTGCACAAGGTGTTTCACGGTGTATATGGCGCCTGGGTCAACCTTGACGGATTTACCTTGGGAGAGAAGGACGAGCTGTTCTACGGCTTTAGAGCCTACGAGATCGCGAGGTCGGAACATGTACAGCACTACGTTTGGGCAAACATTGAATACGCCATGGATGCCGCTGACTTCGACGAGAAATATCATTGCGGCCATATGGAGTCGAAGGGCCGGGTTGGCAAGTTCATGCTTGCACAGGGTCAAATGAGCATGAAAACCACCCTCTTCAGCACTGGGCCCTACATGGACATGCTTTTGGACGGAATGTTCGTGCCTATTGGACAAGCAGATGGTTCCCTCCTATGGTCCAATCCAGCCCGTGAGTATTTCCACATGCCTCTGCACGCTCTATCAGCATCCAATCGCCGCTTGTACGATTTCCCTTGGCGGTTCATTTCGCACTGGCTGACTCTTGCTGAAGCGAGCGATGTGAAGTTCCCGCTGATCGCCCTCGATGATATCGGCATATACAACCTCTGGATTTTCGATAACCCATCCGAGTCAGCGGGTATTGACCTCCAAGTTGTGACGGACAATGTTAGCTTCGGTGAAATTGCTAAGATCTTCACTAGAGTCGTAGGCAAACCGGCTTTCCACAAGACTATACCTTGGGATCAATATGCGAATTCCGCAGAGCCTTATCCGGGCGCATCTGTCAACTGGGCTCTTGGTCCTCATGCTCTTCGAGATGAATCTGTCATGAGCTGGCGTGATAACTTCGGGGCTTGGTGGCGTTATTGGGGAGACGGGATCACCCATGCTCGAGACACGACGATCCTGGATCGGATCCATCCTAAGCGCATGAAGAGCGTGGCAGAATGGATGAAGCATGTTGGATATGACGGAAAGCAGAGGAGTGTGTTGAAAATGGTTGATGATTGGAGTAGCAAGCACGGGGCACCGCGCTCTTACTCGAACTAGATTCGCAGCCCACTGTAAGCTGGAACTAGCGTCACTTCAGGACATCAGACTCATCAGCCCAGGCTCTAAGGTATTCATCCGATAGATTTAAGTCGGCAAATTGCGTCGTATGAGAAACTGTGTTAGGACCCTTGCACGCTGGGACTATTCATACGGAATCAAGCAGTGTGTCATAAAATCGTTCATAAGCAAGTCCCTGCTTGGATAGCTTAAAAAGCATGTAGAGACCATACCCTAAGTCATGTAGGTCTTGACCGAGAGACATGTTATGACAGACCACACCCACATCTTAATCAGTCCTTGCCGTAAAGAGTCAAACGTTGAGAAATTGGACGTATATGTTTGAATCGTCACCTACAGCACCGTTGAACAAGTTCCATCAACGCATTGTAATTGACTGCTTGCTCTCAAGGTCACATTTACTTCATTGTTGAAGAACGTCCATCTGCGAGACTCTACGGCACGCAGGGTGGCTATCATAAGGATTGCGACGAAAGGATGCGTCAATGTTTCCTATATGTAAGCGGCTTGTTTCACGGTCGTAATCATCATCTTATGCTGATTCGCCCGAGAGAAGACTGGGCTCAATCAAATAACCGGTTATTCTTAGGCAAGTGCGAAAAAAGGGCGGCACTGAATGCTTTACTTGTGAATCCAACACGAGGATCCGTCACGCCAAAATCACCACCAAACGCCCCAGCAGTCAAGTACTGTACAATTAGCAGGGATGAAGATGATAGAATTTCACCTTGATTCTGCCTTGGCCAATGGCGTGATACATATGGTACCGACCAGGCAGTACTTTCATCGCAGAAGCAAACCGTCGAGTAAGCAAGCAAGGCCATATATTCTTAGTTTTACCTCAGCTGGTCATGAAGGTCAACAACATCAAGTTTCACATACTCGTGCAATACAAAGCAAAACAAACGACTGACTCGACATATGGGTATCATTACTTGAATGTTTGGTTAAGATATACAGCCTCATTCTTGTCCGTAGCCTCTCGTCTCCCACATCATGATTCATTAACTTGGAAATTATTGCCCCCACTCTCCTCCGTGCAAGGCCTCTGCCCTTCGATTTAACGCTCACTGCTCACTGAACGTGAACGACGTTCTTGGAGCCACGCGGACATTCGACCTTTGTTACGCTTCTGCACTGTGTCTGTCGCACATACTAGAGCATAGCGACAGCCACACCAGCAGCCAGAGCGGCAGCTGCGAAGGGCATGCCGGTCTCGCGTGGACCGGCGTTCTTGGAGCTGCTCGCAGAGGTGATCTGAGCCAGGATAGAGCTGCAGGCGCTTCCAGTGGCGCCGGCAAAGTACGAGTTCAGCTCGCTGGTAACCTCAGGAACGTCGCTGCAGGCCTGGTAGACGGAACGGACCTCTGGGAGGTGTTGGCTCTGCCACGAGCTATAAGAGCTGGCGTAGTTGCTGAGGCTGCTGCCCAACGTGCCGGTGACGGTGGGGAAGGCACACTCGTCGGTTAGGGTGGCGGTGGCGAGGTAGGTGAGAACCTCGCCGCTTGGCGTTGGGACGCTGTCGGTTATGGAAGGAAGATATTTGCTGGCAGCACTTGTGCAAGCAGCTGTATCGCGGGCCTCAATGCCACGGGCGACAGGTGTGGGTACATCATTGCCGGGGAGGGCCGAGGCGCCGAGCAGCGATGAGGCAGTGACGAAGACCGTAGTGAAGCGCATCTTGACGGCGTGATATTGAGGAGGTTTGGAATAGCAGATAAGTGCGCAAGAAAGCCGGCGTTTGCGTAAGAGCAGCAAGGGAATTGCAACACTGAGAATGATATGGATATACGTTTTCTGGGGTTCATCAAACAACAGAGTTGCGCCGGCCCTACCTCTTATGCTTAATTTACATGCTTACTGAGGAGCTTAGCGCAATCTGGGCTGCGCTGGCTCGTCCCACCGAGACATTGGTTATCTCGGCTACATATCATTTCCAAGGCGTCCAAGGCAGATTGGAAGAGCGCAGATCCCAGACCGAGTGAGAAATAAACAACGACTGCCGCAGCTGAAGGATTCGAGCGCCCTCTAGGAGCAGGATACGAGGTTGAGCTGCAAGTGAGCGGCGTCAACGCGAAACCGCCAAAGATCCACTCTTTTAGCTGGGACAGTCTGGAATAAGGATTGGTGGGAAGCGAACGGTCATTTAGCGTCGGCCGCGCTGATTAGTGTCTGAGTCCATGGGGTTGGAGTGTTTGACTCTGAGCTTTGGAGCAGAACGAGCACTACCTGAGACATGCTGAGCTGGGCAAGAATATTTCTCGCAGTGTACCGTTTACGCGCATTGATTGAGGAGTATGTAAGCATCTCCAGCTCGGTGATTCCCTCAGGATCAGGACTGTCGGAGATTTGGTCCAGCCACTGAAGTTTGAGTGGTTCAAGGAAAACAACATGGAAAACGACATGTAAGCACCCCGACCCTTCGAAGGTGCATCGAACAACAGGGGTTCCACTGAAAGAGCAACAACCAATTGTAGGTCGCGGGAGATGATCGGATGCAACCTTACATAGCTGATGCTCACATTCTGACAGCTCAGCTGTGCCTTTTCTTGGCATCTAGCTAAAAACCCACTTGATCCCTCTAATTGCCTTTCGACCGCAGCACAAATTTCCCCTTAGCTCTCAGGCCAAGCCAAGCTGAATACTTGCCAGCTCAGCTTATGAGTTTTGTGAACGTGCGTTTGAGGTCGGAGGAACAGAGACAAAGGATTGGGAAGCTGCACTGATAGACGAAGATGCTGCTGGGTGACTGCCGTGAACTTTTAGTTGTGAAATTTTCGCTGCCACGGTCATGTGACCACGAATCTTGTGTGTCCGTGCATTAAAAGTATATACTGTATGTACGAAAAGGTCTTCCCTCCACAGTGCAATAACGTGTAACTAATGTTACTACCCTCACATTAGCGCTGTTGCTCTGGGTCTCCTTAGAACTTGGCACGCTTCATACGGCAATCCATTTGCCGCCCCGTCACGAATTCTGTCCAAAGTGACTAATTCTGGCAGTGTACCACAGTAGACTGCCACGACGGGCTAATAGGGCTGAGCTATGCAGGCCGCCCAAAGTGTAAGCTGTCAACCAATTTTTCTGGGGACCATTGACAGTATGGGTAATGCACCCACGAATAGTACTGGACACCATGGAATTGAGCGCACAATCGACTAGCGCTCAGACGATGCGCTGAAAACGGTGGTTCAATACAATGAGTTTATGTAACTGCTAGGTTTTGGGCTGAGACAGAAGTGTGAGTTTGCTGGTGCCACGAATATTGATCACTAAATGGCTGGGTCACATCACACCCACGTGCTGCTCAGCTCACCACACTCGAATGTCATCACAGATTTGATGCCTGTCTCTTCGCTGCCGACGTCTCAAATTACAACTCAACAGAACATTTCAGGTTAATGAATGCTGAACAAGTCATTGTAAATAATAGGAGCTTGGTCCCGTAAATGAAACAAATTAAGTTATATTACCATTTAGAGGTATCACGGGTATCGAACGGTACCCAAAATGCAATAGTTAAACAAAGTCCTGGCCAACGCTGATGCAAGACTATATACTTAAACGCCGAAGAATACAGTGACATTCTACCATATCTCATGAAAATTAACACTAATCAGAACTGATCATATCGTCTAGCTCTTGTCTTAAACCATATCAGCACCATGAGTAGGGCTGGTGCCAACTGGTTTGCGGTTCACATAGCCGGCACCGTTGGAGCCGCTAACACCGTAGTCACTGTTGCCGTGCTTCTCGCCGTGGTGTCCGTTGTGGAATCCGTGTCCGCCGTTGCCCCAACCGACCTTGCGTGTCCAAAGAGCATCGCCAAGCTCCACGCCGCTGCCACCATAGCTGAAGGGGGCGCTGCGGTTGAGAGGGATGTGGTTGTAGCGCCAGTCCCAGATGGCAGCATATGTCATGCGGTATGCTGAGAAGGCCATCATGGTTCCAATGATGGCTCCGGCAACGATGTCGTACCAGTTGTGGAACTCATCAATGGTCAGGGCACCACCAATCAAAACGGCGCCAAGAATGGGCGCATAGATAGCAATCAGCTTCCACATGGCCGGGTGGTAGTTGGCGAAGACCTTGAGCTTGGCGTTCAGGTAAAGGTATAGGTACACAAAACCGGCAAATGCTGCAGTGGTGTGTCCAGATGGGAACGACTCGAGAGAGTCGTCAATCTCGTCGATGTCACCAGTGCAGATCTCGCGGGTGTAGTAAACGCTTTGGAACCCAGCAGCATTGTACCCGGCACCGACATCGCCAGGGTTATTGCTGGCGAGGCTGAGGTCTGGCTTACAAACAGCCAGGAAGTGAGGGCGAAGACCACCAATCAACCACTTCAAGAACACCTGGAAGACGGCAGCGCTGATCAGTGAGTACAGCAGGCCAATAGTAGCGTTGTTGACATCCCAAAATGAGCGAATGCGGATCTGCATGAAGAGGAAGACGGCGATAGGAACGAGAGCGGCCAGCAGAGCAGCCGCCCAGATGGGAATAATCTCCTTTCGCAGAGGGTAACCAAACTCAGGGTACACGATCTCGCCATCGGAGAACGTAACGGGGAACGAACGAGTTGGGGCAGGGTGAGCCATGTATACCTGGAGTGTTCATGTCAGCTTGTAGTCCATATGTCGCATCACGGGATTGTTCAGGAATTTCCAACTTACACCCAACCCGATGGCGCCCATGATAGCCATTGTCAAGATATCGAGCCAGGTCAACTTCAACCATTGACCGAAGCTTGGTCGCTTGCCCATAGAATACGCCTCAGAAACATGATCACGGCGTTTGTGTCGAGTACCGTTCGTCGTAGAGGTCGCCGCCGCTCCGTTGTTGTTCACAGCGGGCTCGTTGCGAGCTTTGTGCTTGAAAAGACCCATGATAGCTTTGATGCGCTCCTGCGACTGGTGACTAGCGTCCGGGGATGAGGTCGACTGGGATGATACCCTTCAAGACGGATCAGCACAACTACTGGTGGTACCGTAATGGTGGATAGTTGATTGTTGGAACTAGGACTGGGAAGCAAAACTCTAATTGTCGGTTGGATATGAGGGTATATATCCAAGTCTTGGACCCTTGCCGTGTCAATCTCCCCTTTACCTGATTAATGACGGGTAGCACTGAACACAAAGACATCACACAAAGCCCATGCGTGATTCGTGCCATACTACGCGATTTACTGGACGGGAAGCTTGTTTAAGCCATGGACAGACTTGACGTCATTCTTGTGAATCTTCAGATTGATATGTGCGGTCTCGACTGCCAGAGCCATTCCGGCAGAGTTAAGCTTACCGTACGAAACACCTTGAAATGGTTTGGACCAACAAGCAGGAACCAATCAAAAATCCAAGGGAGATTTGAGTGGAAGGACCGTACTCCCAATTGGGTTTCGATCGTGATTCACGACGCGTGGTGTTGCATGGGCTGTTCTCCACACGATCACCGCTCTGTTGCTTTCCGAACGTCATTGGGACGGTAAACTTGGCAAAACTTGGCACATGCTTGTTTCAACTCGAGTGACGAGCCAGGGAGTCTTTGATTTGCTAATCAAACTGCAAGTAAACTTCCGGAGTAGAATGTCCTTTGCATTTTGCCTTGAATGGAAGCCTTGTTGTAGATTTAATTCACGGTCATCAACCACCTGTGTTGGAATAGCTTGTGCAGGTGGCCATGTTCACGAAAACTGGAAAGGAAAAAAAAAAAGTCCAACAGTGCACCAATGCTACTTTGCTTAGTGGCCGTAGCACTAATTAGCTGGCTCCCAGATGCGCTCAACTCCACTACTCTCCGGCAATGCTAACCGGTTTTTGTGGATAATAACTTTTTGTGGTTGGACGAAGTTCCTGGTTGCCGATTACTTGGCTGATGTTATTATACTCATCATGCTCATCAAATTGATGGACCGCCGGCTATTGATGGACCGCCGGCGCTTGGCGGTGCTTGTCGTGCATCGTCAAGGTTCCTGGATTGACTTTATCCCTGCTTTCGTGCCGCACCTCGTCATGATACGTGACGGTCCAAGTCATGGACAATCTGAGCAGCGAAGTCAATCGCAGACTCACAAACAATGTTCGCAACATGAAACCAGCTCCTATCAACTTGCGAAAATTACGCAGTACGTTATCGTGAACGAAAATGTATCGCGTTCGAGCGTAAAGAGGATGTTCACCGCCGATCGTTGAATCCTGGTCAACTCACCAAGCTGGCTCTGTATCGCTTCATCCTGTGACTACAACTTTGACTAGACTAAATTGAACCATGGACAAATTAGTCGACTCGCAGCAGTGAAAAGTATTGCTGCGAAATCAGGAAACTCGACGAAGCTTTGATGCAAGTCTCGTCTACAAGGAACCCTTGCGGTGCGGCATGCTGGCGAATTCTTGGCATATAAGAAGAAAGGTTGAAGGCGGGATTGACGCTGAACCATCAGTTAACTCTTTTCCAGCGGCACTTGCTGGATCCTTGGTATTGCACAAAGGTCGGAGATGTATGCGCGAGTGCTAGAAGGAAGAGCGGCTTGTCTGGAAACTCAAGGAAGAAGCCAACATTAGCAGAACGTAAGTTTTCTAAATGAAGACATTAAAAGTACGTCGGTGAGAATCATCAGCCTGCGGTAGCACGCGGTGTAGATGGGCGGGGGATATCTTGGCAACGAACTTCAGCCTATGAAGTTTCTTCTTTGCTTTTCGCTAATGGAATTGCGAGGAAGTTATAGGCAGGAAGCACTGACAACTTCCCATTTCTGTGTCAGTGATGGGTCTTTCAAACCCAGTTGAACCCCGGCTGAAACGTATACGTGAAGTCTGGACTGACTTGACGAACGCTGTTTAGATGGATCAGCCTTTTGGAAAAGAAATTCCCGCAAGCCGACACCACCCTAAAAAGTAGCAAAGTGACAACCGAGCAGTTCATGGAGCTTATGATGAAGATTGTGATACTGTTTCATACAAGATTTAGACTGTTGGCGAAAATTATGGTGGAAAGTGGATGTTCTTTCCCGCTGGCGCGACGTTGGATCAGGATACAATGATCTTTTCCGGCATACACCGGACTGGTGTTGGACTCGGCTCCTGGACATTACGATCACAGGTGACATGACCGAACCCGCTGACAATTCAGTGATTGCTGTGCTCAATTTCAATGATCCCATTCGCCAGGAGAAACAACAACATTCTTCGACTTGACAATAACCGCTTAGACTCTACAACGAACCAGATACCAGAATAGTCGATCAGTATGACATTCATACAGACGAAGTTCTGAAACCCCGAACATTGCAGCTAACATATGCTAATGATACGTGTGTCGCAGCAAACTGTAACAATCCGTATTTTGCCATCTGGCGCACCACAGATACTGTCCCATTCATCTGGCATAAATTATGTCATGGTACCTCGGAGCTTGTCCAACCAATTACGTACTCTAACGGTTCAGATGTTCAAGCTGCCCAGCATGTTCCACCTACCGACCTTTCCTCCTGGCACACTGTTTTGGGAACTGCTATACAACCACTGGCTCTCTATTTCATCTGTCTGGCCCCTGGCCTATGTCTTAAAACATACCAATATTGTCATGACAGCCAATGAGATCTGGAAAATTGGAGCAACGGCTGAGGTTGCTCGGGTTTGCATTTAGAACACGACTTGGCAGGGGCAACATGGTTACCAAACCGTAAAATGCTATACCCTTCCATTAAGGTATACAAAAGAAAAAGCCAATGCAGACCACGTTGTGGCTTCCCACGACCAATACTGATGAACGCGGTCCGCTAGGCAAAGTGGGCGGCATGGAGAAGAGGATGGACCAGAGTCGAAATATTCACGGTTGGCCGTAGTGAGTCATAACCATCTTTCGAGTGGCATTGAACTAACTTATTCTGCCATGATCCCTCAGCATCGATTTGGCGATTTTTACCACGTCATTGAACTTCTTATTGGAAAAGATTTTAGCCTTGATGGCGCCGGGGAGTTTGCGTCTTATTAATTATCGACCACATATTTCACACAGTACGGTGACCGCTGTGTGCAGAAGAATGCGTCGTTCGTAGTTCTGCTTGGTTAAATCAATATAGTCTAGCTATTTCCCGGTAGAGACTCAACCATTAGTTTCGTTCAAACTTCGAAAGACAGACATTGAGCATGGAATAGCGTCTTAGTCCATGAGATTCTCCACCTCTGACTCCGTCCACCCAGCTTCAGTCAGTCTCAGCCGTTCCACGAAGCTTTTCATTTCTTCTCGTAGTCTCTCATTCTCGATGGAGAGCACCTCTGCTCTCTGATCTTCTTCCCTGTAAGTTTCTGCCAACGGCTCGTAGCACGCCACACACAGCGCCATGCCCTTCGCATGCGCTTTGTAAGGTCTCGCAGGCAAACAATACTTGCTGCACTTGAGGCAGATGACATGTTTCACACCTTGGACACTGATGATGTCGCTCCGCGTATACTTGGGCCGGCCATACCGGTTGTCTAGTCCGCAGTCGATGCAGAACCTGGTCTCGGGCGCGCTGCCATTCTTCCCACGTCTCCCCCTTTGCATGCTATCGGCGAAGTGCATGCGGCGCCTGAGTCTGAGGCAAGTGAAACATGCGTGAAGATCCTTGAATCTTGCCTCCGCCGAGTTCTCTGCCTCCAGTAACAGGCGGTAGGTGATGGGGATAATCCCCCGGAAATGTTTGCACACTGCGCGCAGCATCAATTGGCCGAGGCCATCTAAACTAGCAACAATCTGATTTTGGGTTTCTCCCGGTAAGATCGTCAGACTTGCTCTATTCATGGCGGCAGGCTCGATCGACAAATGGAAACATGAGGTCAAGTAGATAATTACCATGTTGTGCATGTTTGTCACGGATCGGCGCGCAGGACGGATCCGTTTTTGTGGTGGGGTAATGCTATTTGGAGCCTGAACTGACCAGGTACAAAACCTAGTAGCTGGGCGTGGTTTGGCAATAGTTCCGCAGGTACCAAAACAGCACTAGCGGCATATGTTTAACATATGTTCAACATATACATATCGGGCGGGTTTCGCACACTGGAAAGATAGCGATAGGTATATTGAAAACATAGCCTTATATATACTACAAGTATAGCGCTATGTGCATTGGAAATTTAGTGCTACGTGCAATGGATATATAGCGTTATTTGTACTAGAAATATAGCGCTACGTGCACTAAAGATATAATGTATGTCGAACATATGTGTAACATAAGCGCGATATATGCTAAACAGATATTCGATATAAAACCCGTTATATAATATAACAATTTCTACAACTAGTATAGAACACTGTCTTGGTAAAGGATAGGTCTGATGCACTGAAAGGAAGAGCCTGAATCTACTCAAGCATAGGATAGCAAATATGGTGCTCGCATGTGCGTGGGATCGCAAGTGTAACGCTCTAAGCGTGAAATAATAGTATAGGTACTGTCAAGTAGTATATAGAAGTCTAAGTCTACAAAAGAGAATATCGGTGTACGGAAAGTGGGCATATGCCCACTGGCTAAGTCACGTGATCATCACTTCCCAAGTTAGGTGATCCGAGAGCTCGTCGCCTTAGTGTACGGAGTGCTCTCCGTTCACTGTGGCCATCTATAGTCATCCATATTGCCACATAGAACTTAGCTTAAAAGCCATTAAATATATGTAGAGCTTATGTTAAACATATGTTAGACATATGCCTTTAGCGCCGTTTTTTGGTACTTGTTAGGACTATTACCAAGCCACGCCAAGTCCTTAGGTTTCTACCTGGTCAGTGTGTTTTTGTACCTGGTCGAGCAAATCCTCTGTTATGTGAGGGGTCGTTCCATACCGTCGAAACTGGTATCGAGTATGGACAACCGCGGACAACTCCAAGCTCACAGAGAGCATTGCTCCTTGCGACACGAAGCATTTGCCTATTCTTTCCTACCAGTTTGAATTTGTGAGTCTGAGCATAAAGCCTATGTCTGACAAACAGGGACGTGATCTGCCGAGGCGAAATACAATGTATGCCTAAGTTAGGTACTAACATAGGGACTAGTGTCCTGAAGATCGGCTCATTTGACTGTGCATTGTTCAAAGGCCAACTGGCGTTAGAATGAACCTCATCCCGCAATTCAAATACGACTTCTATACGGAGTAGTGACTGAACACAAATCTAGACATGTTTGTAAAGAATGTTTGAGGTTGCAAATCCGACCCGTCTTTGGCTGAATTTAATTATTCGATCATATAGGTAGGCTCTAGTCGCTCGCTGCCTATGTTGTTACTAGGATAATTTCGGAAGTCGTTCTGTTGATCTTGGTCTAGGTTAGGGTTCTCACGGGAATAGCCGGACCAAGGCTTAGCACCACTTATATAACAATCGGACCTTCATATTCCCATCAGTGGGTTTCCGTGTTAAGTAGTATGTTGGCAATATGGATTATTGCCATTTGAATCTTGCGTGCGATGTGAACTGGTAAATGGTGTAACTCATGCAACTAGAGTTATGAGGGTGCAGGCCCAAGTGAAAACGATCACTACGTAATTATTTAGCTGAAGTAGGTACCAATGGAAACCGGTGATACTCATGATGAAGGACATCCCGAAGCTATGTTATAGGCCAGGCGCTCCAGCATTTGGCCACATCCCGTGCATTGGAAAGAATCAGACGAGCCATCCAGACTAAACATTGATTTCTGCATCTGCGACGTTTTCTATCATGCGTAGTTGTGCTATTTTTACCTGTTGATCCCCTGTTCGCTTCTCGGTGCCGAGGTGCCCATGGTCTTTTAGCATGTAGTGGTAGCTGTTTCACTGATTCTAGCGTGATCCTCCAGAGATCTTAAACCCCGCAGCGCCCACCTCTGGGCCCCGATTAATGTGACCTACAGTGAGGATTGTGATTAAAGTGGCGACCGGTCAAATACAAAGGCAACAGTGACCATGATGGATGTAACGCTAACCTGAAAATGTAGTTCCTAGACCATGTTTAGCGGCAGGAAGAGTCTCGAGGGACACATCTCGTGTTGCTCGTGGTGGTCATGGACGTGCAAGATGCATTCTTATGGAGCCTTCACGGAAGGATGAGAAGCCCCCAAATATAAGACTAATCCTCGGCCGACCATCAGGATGCAATTGCTATCGCCAGTTCACAACTACATCCTAACAATGCATTACCGCATCGTCCTACCGGTTATAGTGGCTTCGCTGCCGCTTGTAGCAGCCCGAGATGTGTTCTGTCATTACATGGTAATGCACTCTCTAGCCGGTGTTCATCCATGGTCTAATAGCAAGCATAGATCCAAGGACTGGACTCCAGCACCACACATGCGACCGATGATGTCAAAGCTGCCATAGCACTGGGCATTGACGCATTTGCTCTGAATGTTGGCAATGCCACAGCTTGGTGGGCGCTGGACACCATCGACCAGCTCTTCACCGCTGCCAAGGGTACCGAATTGAAGTTCTTCTTCAGTATGGATCTAGCGCAGGACTCGAACGCATACGACTTCACCGACCTGATCAACAAGTACATCGGTAACGACAACTACTACAACTACAATGAGAAACCCTTCTTGAGCACCTTTAGTGCTGCTGGCACTGGCCCAGAGTACTGGCCAGGCTTTCTGGCCACACTGAGCGAGACGGTATACTTCTTACCCGACTTCGACGATGGCCTAGACTATTACACCAGCTTCGATAGCTGGATGGGCGCTTGGAAAAACGTGGTCGACGGCGTTTTTAGCTGGGAGACTGCGTGGCCGTCCACTAGCAATACAGCGTCGAACGTAACCACGAGCCGGGACGAAGTGATTATTGCTTCTGCGCACAACAACGACAAGGCATACATGATCCCTCTCTCGAGCTTGCAGTATAAGCATTGGTCTGGTAACAACTGGTACCGACCTGGCGAGGTCAACCTGCCGCAGCGCATGACCGAGATCCTTGCTCTCGGTGATGCACCCGAGTTCGTCGAGATCCTGACCTGGAACGATGCTGGAGAGTCTCACTACATCAGCGAACTGCACACCGAGGGTCTTGACGATACTATCAGGGCATATGCCAATGATGCAACAACCCCACACACGGGCTGGCAATCGCTCTTCAAATCCTTTATCACGGCTTACAAGGCTGGAGTCGCCGCCACTGGCATGCGCCCACCCTCGGGGACTGATGTCGTCGGTTCTATGTGGTACCGCACCATCTTGACAACTGCATCATGTTCGGGTGATAGTATGGGCAAGCCATCTGGATCTGGCGCTGCGAGGGATGCTGTGAACTGGGCGGTTGTGGTCAATGATGGCGTCTCGGATGTGACTGCCCAGGTCTGGAGCAATGGTCAGCTAATCTGGAAGAGCGCGCTTTCAACGGGGCTGAACTACTTTAGCACACCAGGAATGAGTACTGGTATCCAGTATATTGAAGTTGTTGATTCGGGCTTTAATGTACTGTACTCGGCTCAGGGAACTGTTGAGGTTGTGGCGCAGATCGAGTCTGGCGGCGTCTGTAACTACAATTACCAGGTTGCTGAACTTGTTGTTCGCAGCTAAGTTAGAGTATGAGTAGCATCTGCGGCGAGAGGATTGATCTTTGAACCTTTTTTGTACGCATTTACCATACTTTACACAATTTGCACTGCTCAGTTATCTATACCGTATTGACTTATAATCAATAGATTTTGAGGAAAAACAATCACTGAATTAAAGCGAAAAAAAAATAACAATCAAGAAATGAGAATAGCTGCGCATCTGACGGCTGGGACATCTACAGTGCTAATCTTTTTCCACTAAGCCCCGCTGATACTTAACAAAGCTAAATCTTAGTGCCAGCCCCACTTTATTCTATGCTGGTCAAAAATCGCGTTCGACCTTCAAAACCACATCACATGTGAACAACGCGTTTAGCCTTGCTTTCGACATAGCTACGGCTCCAACTGTGCCCAACATTCATCTAAACTCTATCACTAGTTGCCCGTGCAATATCGCTTTGCTGACCGGTCATGGGCTCCTACTCTACCTGTCCTTTTTGCCGACTTCCCAAGTCTTCCCCGCACGCCGGCAGTAACGGGAATATGAAGATTGGCTGGGCTGAGATCTTGGTAATTTGGCTGAGTGCGGAGAAGTTTTCCATCCCTCGTCATTGTCGACTGACCTGGGATTGGAGTTGATGAGGGCAACCCCAAGTTCATTGGCACTCGCATTAGCTGCCGTATAACTCGTGTAGCACTTCTCCCCGAAGCGACTCCTTGCATTGTTGGTGGTGATGGTCTCTGATATCGTATTGGCGGCTTTTCTGCCGAAAAATAGGATATTTCATGACCGATACCCGCCTCCAGTTATACTTCACTTCGCGTGGAGCTCTATGTTACACTGCCGTATTCCAGTCAGCCTGTCTTGATCTAGGCTCATGCTTCGAAGCGGCGTGAAAGGCTGCCTTGCTCCAGCCAGTTTTAGCTCCAATTGGACTCTTGCAGAGGCCACGAATTCAGTTGGAAATGACAGCTTGAAGTGGAGTGCTGCCAAGAGCATCAGATCCTGGTAACTATGGAGACTTAGCAGCTATATCTCAAGGAGCGGTATCTTGCTGGGCGTAATCCGGCCATTACTCCGTACATAAAGAGTCAATCTAATCATTCAAAGTGCTCGGCCCAGCATCTTGTCGTGACTGTATGGTTAGTAAAACCCAACGGGGTCCTCAAGGTCTGCCGCGGTGTCAATGATACCTATGTAACGGTTCGTTGCTAATGCATGAGAGCATGCACCATGAGCACTGCCTTCTCCACCCCCGCAATCTACTTGCATTAGAGCTCATATGTATCTGCAGGTTCGATAGTATGCATTGGCCAATCGTCTTACACGGCTGCATCTGCAGCCATTCGTTGAAATCTAAATCTGACTTTGGAAGCGTCTGTGACTTGGCAACATGCCGAGTTTGACCGAAAGATAACCGTTGACTTTTGGTACGACTGTGGCCTTCTGGAACTCGAGCTTGGAAGACTGTGCTGCCATTGTCCTTGTTGTGTCCAAGCAGATCGTCCAAGATATGCAAGATGTCTAGGCACAACATTGCAATCTGGTAGTGGGCGTCGGCCTTGACGACTCAAAGGCGCCGGAAGATGGCCAACAAGAGCTTGTATCTTTACAATTACAGGTCCTTAACCTCGTGCTTGAATGCTTTGGTTCCCCTCCGATGGAACCGGTGGAAGATGCGGAGAATATGCATTCTCATGGTCATCTGATAAGTTGGCATGGTTGATTTAGGAAGCGATCTCAAGTGAGGGGTCCGCATCAACCCCACGACCTTGCGACATGCCTGCTCTGAGATGCCGTTGCAGCAGCACTATTGGATGGATAGTACGCGTCCGAAGAGCTCGGGTTTGGAGGGGAAGTTGAGCCAAATACTTTGGGTATCCCTCGTGCTTTCCCCTCACTTTCAATTTGTTCTTAAGGAGCTCCAAAGCCTTGTCTCGTAGCTGTCTTTCTGTACATCGCTCAGACAGCGCTAGTTGTCTATCCAGCGTATGAAGACATCGATTCCTTGAAATAGGAACGAATAGCAAAATGAGTCCTCTCCCCGATGAATTCGATATAATCGTGTGTGGCGGTGGCAGTTGTGGCTGCGTTGTCGCAGGGAGGTAAGTTGGCCGAATGTGCTCCTACGGACGTAGATGCTTACCAGGGACAGATTGGCCAACCTTGACCACAATCTCAAGGTACTTTTGATTGAAGCAGGAGAAACTAACCTAAACGACCCATGGGTGTTTCGACCGGGTGTCTACCCTAAGAATATGAAGCTTGACTCCAAAAGGGCTTCCTTCTATGAGTCACGCCCCAGCAAATGGTTGGCCGGTCGGAAGGCGGTGGTTCCTTGCGCGCACGTCTTGGGCGGAGGCTCGTCCATCAACTTCCTTGTGCGTACTTCGTTGCAGGTCATCGGAGTTGGGCTGATGTTATACAGATGTACACGAGAGCCTCGGCGTCTGATTATGATGATTTCCAAGCAAAGGGCTGGACCACTCAGGAGCTGTTGCCATTGATGAAAAAGCATGAGACATACCAACGTGCGTCTCAGAACAGGTCAGTTAGAGTTCAAGTTGACGGAGCTCAAACTAACGGTACCAGAGATATTCATGGTTTCGAAGGTCCCATTAAGGTCTCTTTCGGTAACTAGTGAGTGAAATGCTACATTTATTAGCGCCTCACTAATATTCGATAGCACGTACCCAATCAAGGAGGACTTCCTCCGTGCCGCCGAGTCGCAGGACATTCCAATTGTGGACGATCTCCAGGACCTGTCCACCGGCCATGGAGCAGAGCACTGGTTGAAGTGGATTAATCGTGATGTGAGTGCATAGATTTCTCAACCAGGTAGTCCTCCGCTGATCGTGTGCTAGACTGGGCGACGTAGCGACAGCGCTCATGCCTATATCCATTCGACGCGAGCTGTGCACTCCAATCTCTACCTTGCTTGTAACACGAAAGTAGAGAAGGTCATCATTGAAGATGGCCGGGCAGTCGGGGTCCAGACTGTGCCCACCAAGCCGCTCCATCCGAATCAGAACAAGGCTCGAATCTTCAAGGCTCGCAAACAAATCATTGTCTCAGGTGGCACACTATCCTCTCCCTTAATTCTCCAACGATCAGGAATTGGTACATGCCACATGGCCCCGAAGTCGTGCTTAGCTAATACCTGGCAGGTGACCCTGAGAAACTGAAGCAGGCTGGCGTCGAGCCAATCATTGACCTACCAGGAGTCGGACTGAACTTCCAGGACCATTATCTAACATTCTCTGCATTCAGAGCCAAGCCTGAGACCGAGAGCTTTGACGATTTTGTCAGAGGTGTGCCAGAGGTTCAGAAACGTAAGTCAGCAGTACTATAGCGGGCGGTTGGTGATGACTAATACGAGAAAAGGCGTATTTGATGAGTGGGCTCTAAAGGGTACCGGACCCTTGGCCACCAATGGCATCGACGCTGGCGTCAAGATCCGGCCGACCCCGGCAGAGCTCGAGGAGATCGCTTCCTGGCCGACGCCACATTTCAAGGACGGTTGGGAGTCTTACTTCAAGGACAAGCCTGATAAACCAGTCATGCACTATTCGGTCATTGCTGGCTGGTTCGGTGACCACATGCTAATGTATGTCAGCGACTCGCGTCGTATTTTAAGCATTCAACTGACTTTGATCTAGGCCACCCGGAAAGTTCTTCTCCATGTTTCACTTCCTTGAGTACCCATTCTCTCGTGGCTCAACTCACATCAGGTCGGCCGACCCATATGAGGCCCCGGACTTCGATGCTGGTTTCATGAATGACGACCGTGACATGGCGCCGATGGTGTGGGGTTACATCAAGTCTCGTGAAACGGCTCGTCGCATGGACGCCTACGCCGGTGAGGTGCAAGCCAACCACCCCTTCTTCTCACACGACTCTCCCGCTCGTGCCAATGATATGGATCTCGCAACTACACAGGCATATGCCCTGCCTGGCAACCTCAGTGCTGGTCTGCAGCATGGCAGTTGGAGCACCTACAACCCGGAACCCAGCAGAAGACCAGAGGCAAACATCTTGAACAGCAATAAGGCTGACATTAGGGAAGATCTCAAATACAGCAGCGAGGACATCAAGGCTATAGAGGAGTGGGTCAAGCGACATGTTGAGACTACATGGCACTGCCTCGGAGTGAGTTCTAGCATCCATTGAAAGAAAGTGTACCGTGATTGACGACCTACAGACTTGCTCCATGGCGCCGAAGGAGGGCAACAGCATTGTAAAGCATGGTGTGCTCGACGAGCGCCTCAACGTTCATGGTGTGCAGGGCCTCAAGGTTGCCGATCTCAGTATCTGCCCCGACAATGTTGGCTGCAACACGTATGTCAATCTCCCATCTATCCATGCATTATATGTATTGACGTATTGCAGTTACTCCACCGCTCTTTTGATAGGTGAAAAATGTGCTGTTCTCACGGCCGAAGATCTTGGGTACTCGGGAGAGGCTCTGGAGATGAAGGTACCGACGTACCACGCCCCGGGAGAGGTCACTTTGCCGTATCGCCTCTAAACTTGGAGCGTCGAGCTGCGAGAGACGAGGGGCTGAAGACTGCAGGTGGCTTGGGCGGGGGTGATAAGCAACCAGGATTTTGGATCCCTCATTCGTTATTTGACACACCAGATTGCCGACGATCTTGATTGAAATCCCCTTTATTTGTGCAGGACTGAAATAATCCTTAGTCTTAATGCACTTTTGCTTTGTTCTTTCCGAGTTTCTCTCTCAAGTTGCGTAGCACAAACGCAGTTCCCAGATTGACTCGATCGGGGAAGATCTTTGTGTGACCAGACCTGCGACCACTCATTCTGCGGAAATGGTCGCATAGATCGTGTGCGACGCATTCAGAGTGCATGTTGGGTCGATATCCGACGCCGCACGTTTAGCCACTGCTCCGATTGGTGGGAGGGGTGCCTCGTCAGTCATACGCATCCCCAATAGTTGCCTTTCTCCATCTGTCGTGTGTCTTAGGTCTGCAAAGCCTATCGCAAAGATGCCTCTGGTTGTCAGAGGGTTCGCCTTGACTATTGATTGACAGGTGAACATTTGGTCGCCGACCATCTCCTTGGTTGCCGAGTGATCAGTAATACAGATTTTTCAGGACCCAGGCTGGTGACCGAGAAGGTCATAATAAATATGCTTGAGTGACACGACGGATACGTGCCTGGGTGTAGCTCGCGGCCGCTTCCTCGGGTTGTGCTTTCCAGTAGACACCGCACGCTATTGGTAATCTTGGCATTTGCTCATCCTTGCAATCTACCCACATGGCCGATAACGAAATCACGAGGAACTATCACAAGCGTCGACGATCACGTCAGAAATCCCTCGAGTGTCCTGTCCTGTTTGTGAACCTGACAAGACATAGCGGGCGAGCTTGTCGGGCACGGCGCCGGCATCAGCAGCTCCCTAACAGCTTGCGACCAACTTTCTTGGCATGTGTCTTTGATCAATGATCCTTGCGCCAATAAAACCATGGCAGTATAATAAGCTGTGGACCCTGTCTTAGAATTTCAGTTCAGCAGACGGGGTGAGAATTGGTTATTTTAAGCCTCAGGAACCCAGGAATCCGGTACAGCCTGTGACAAACACGACATCTACAGGGTCAGACTATTGCTTCTTGGAAAGCCATGCTCCGCCGTTGCAGGGCAAGGGTAGTAATGCAAACACGGCAATGTTTGGTGGCTTACGACAAGACACGCACACGGTGGGCGCCGCCGTCGCCGCCGCCGCTGGAAGGTGCTTTGGATTCAAGTGAGCTATGTTGGACCAGCCTAGACTGACAGGACAGTAGATTGATACAAATGTGAATGCAAAAAGATGACATTTCAAAAATGCACAAAGTCCTTCGTCATTCACCGACGCCGACATTCTTCTAAATACTCAATCTTTTGATTCACACGAAAAGAGATTGCTTCTTTGAATTTTGACTGAAATGTCCTCCACACGCACATTGCCTGAACTTGCCCAGGTTATCTCTACGCAAGCAAATTTGATATCAAACACATACAATGATGCAGGTATACAGCAACCCTCGCTCGGATATGGCACAACGCACTATGGCGGCCCGTATGCACCAGCTCTGGAGGACAGCCGCGCACAGCTCCTAGAAGCTGTTGACGAGTTGAGAGCTCTCATTGTCGGCCCTGCTGGTCACATCTTCTTCATGTCGTTTATGGGGGTGAGTGAAATCCTTAGGTCAAAGCTTACTTTGACTATCGCTCACACGATGAAACAGCCTGCCTGGACTGCCACACTTCATGTCTTGTACAAATTCGAAATTGCCAAGCATGTTCCTCTCAACAGTTCGATTTCCTATGCGGACCTGGCAGACCGCTGCGGCCTTTCAGAGCCACGGGCACGACGATATGTTCGCTCCGCCATATCTTTTCGTGTCTTCCAGGAGTCAAGGCCTGGTCGAGTTCAGCACAATGCAGCTTCCGCGATACTGGCCACGTCAACGCTCCACGATTGGATCGGCATGGCTACAGAAGAGCTAGCGCCCGCCGCGCTGAAGGTAGCGGAGAGCATGCTAAGATTTCCAAAAGAGGACAGGCCCGCCGAAAGTGCCTTTGCTATTGCAAACGGAAGCAATGGCGACAAAGATCTGTTCGACATTGTCAATGATCAGCCGGAGCGCATGGCTCGGTTGGCTAACGCCATGGAATGGTCAATGAGGGTGCCCGGAATGGAGCCGCCGTACACCGTCGATCATCTGGGATGGGGAACGGGTAAAGGGCTCGACCCGACATGGTGTCCGCGTGTGGTCGTTGATGTCGGCGGTGGGACAGGAGTACTCAGCAAAGCGATGCTTCATGCATATCCCAACATCGAGAAACTCATCGTCGAGGATCTTCCAGAGGTTGTTACCCAAGCTGTAGCGCATGACCCGGATGATTTCGGAGGTCGTCTGGAGTACCATGGGTACAACTTCTTCACGGAACAAACCATCAAGAACGCCGACGTTTACATCTGGCGCTGTGTCTTTCATGACTGGCCTGACAGTTATGCAACTAGGATCCTCCGCAGCCAGATTCCTGCTCTCAAACCTGGAGCTCGGATGATCTTCCTGGAGAGATGTTTGGAGCCTCCGAAACCACTCGGACATGTGAGCGATCAATTCGCCATGTAAGTCTTTCTCAGAGATCTGTACACAGTCTTCGGAGCTGATATTTCTTCTCAATTGAGGTCCTGTGACATCATGATGCAGATGTGCGCAAACGCCAAGGAGAGAAGTCGCGATGACTGGGTTGCGCTTCTTGCCGCTGCTGACGAGAGGTTCGAGATCGAGTCCATCTCCATACCACCGCATTCTGCCCTGTCAATCATTAATGTCTTATGGCGAGGAGATGAAACCAGTGATGACGCCAAGCCCCCAGAGGCTAGCAGTCCATTCTATAGTGGCTCAGATGTTGCTCGAAGCGATAGCGTTTCTACCTTTGAACCTGACTCCAGCTCTGAATCTGAAAGTAACTGCAGTCACAAACGAGCGAAAATGTTGCAACCTGAGGATACCAGCAACGGAACCCTCAATGGTACTCAGACTCGTCTTGCGACTGAATATGACCATTTAACCAAAGAAACGGGCGGATACACGGGAGGAAATAATGCCAGCTTCTACAACCGGGGAAGTACTTCCCTACGCAATCACAAGATTGCGGGAAATAGTTCGAACTCGTTTCTTTACTAAACAACGTCTACAACACAGAACAAGAGTTCCCATCTATTGTGGTAGTCTTATGTAGTCTTTTGTAGTATTAGTGCAGGAGGCGCAAAGATCAAAGTCTGCTAGTGATGGCATCTGTTATTTAGCTCAAATAGCATAATACTGTATTCCATGGAAAGATGTATATGGATCGTGTTCGTACAATAAACATGGACAGGCACCCAAGACCCTTCCATCAAGAAGGCCATCCAAACATTCTTGGCATATTTCATTTAGATTCATCATGGAGCGTTGTCCCGTTATCACGAAACAGAACCGGGGTATAGCCAAGCCGCTTAACACGTCCCACCAATCAAGTATCTCCAAACTCACCGTTGGACACGAGACACCCCAGCTAGTTTCCATCGCTAGGAACTTGGCGTTTGTAATATAACCTTATCGCAATCAAACGTTCATCCAGAGGGTCGGGCCCAGCATGTTGGTCGAGCCGCCGCCCACTTTGGATTTCTGTATATAGAGCCGCATCACCATCTTCAGCTGTCACGAATCCCACCGAATTCTGCATCAATCTGTCATTGAGCTAGTCTCACATCTCGTTCTTTTTTACTTTACAATTTTTCCATTCGTTCCCTTCAACATGAAGACATTCGTTGCATGCGGCCTGGCTGCCGCCTTTTCAAGCCTCGCGCTCGCTCACCCCCTCCAAGCCCGACAAAACGCAACCGCTCCTACGTTCGGAACCTGCAAGTTTGACAAGGCCACTGCATTCAAGACCTTGACTGCCTCCAACCCTCCAATCTCCCAGAGGAACCACCGGAAGAAGCGCTCATGTAGCTCCAAAAGCCAGCCGGGAGTTTCTTCTAGCGCTGTTCCTAGTGCTGCTGCGACGTCCCGTCGTGGTGGCAGACGTACCAGCAGCTCCACCAGCGCTGCCACAACTTCCACCGGCGCAGTCTTCTCTACGCCAGCTTCTGCTGAGACAGCTTCGGCCATCTTGCCCACCACCGCAACGCCCAGCACTAACTCAGTGGTCGTGGTTACGGCCTCCTCCACCGCGGCCAGCTCTGCGGCCAGCGTTACGTCCAGCGCCTGGGATCCTCCTTCGTCGCTTACGACCGGCCTCGATGAGGTCTGGGCACACGAGATGTCCACTTACGGTGGCGATCCCCTGACCTTCAAGAACTATGGTTATGACCACCTGATCGACACCAAGGCCAACATACAATACTGCGTCCGCTGGGACAGCACGAAGTCCGTCACCGCCGCCCAGCGCGCCAGCATCGAGACTGCCCTGCAGAAACAGTACAACAAGTGGGTCGAAGGCGCTCTTGCCGGCTTCGATGGCTTCCCCTACACCACTGCCAACGTCAAGGTCGTCGGCTGGGCAACTAACAACACCGCTCTTTTCGAAGGCACCGTTGCCGATGGCGTCACCGTTTACAGCAGCTCCCCTGACGTAAATGGTATTCCTGAGTGTGACCCGGCTTGTGGACGTGCCATCCACTACACAGACGGCGACTACTCGGGCTGTACTGGAGGCGATGCCGCCCGCTATGATGTGAGCTTGTGGTTGACTGATGGCCTGGATGGTGGCTTCGGCGGCGACTGGGGTCAGCAGGTCGGTACTGACTACATGTTGGAGAACGTGGAGTCCGAGAACATCCACATCCTGCTTCACGAGATGGGACATACCCTGGCACTCGACGACTTCTACGACTGGACCCCCACTGGTGTCACCAACTTCATCATGCTTGCTGGTTCCGCCATGGAGATTACCGAGTTCGACGCTTGGATGGCCAAGGATTGGTGGAGACACCTTAAGAGCCGCTACAACCTGTAGGCGATTCGACGCTCGATGCTTCTTTGTAAATATTTCTTTTTCATTTCGTGATCGAACTGTTTGTGTATATACTTTTTTATGATCATAACTGCGTGTCCTGCGTTGGATGCCTTCAAAGTTCGTCTCAATCGCCATCGTGCCTAGCGAGACTCGTTGCCTGAGATCATTCACATCGCATCACCTTTTGAACCAGGACGACCGCGAAATATCATTCTCCGGTAAGCAGCGAGCTCATGCTAAACAATTTGTTCTAGGTATGTGTGACATTCAAAAACAGTGGACCCACCGTCAATAGAACGATGGCAGTCTCAGGGTGTATATTCGTTGCCACAGTGTGACTCTACCAACGCCCAGCACGTCTGTCGAGGAAGTTGAGGGCGAAACTAGTGATCCCAGATTACCTAGTAAGGCCAATGTAATGCACACTGGCATTCACGTTAGCGGGTCAATAGTGTCAAGACATGCATGTTGAATTACTTGACAAAACTGCTTGCTTACCTCGAAGAGCGTGCGACACGACTTATAAAATCGTCATCAGGGCCATACTTAGTCGAAAACCAGCTACAACGTAACGTAAAGCAATTATATACACGCCACACCTGGGCAACCATAATACACCACTTCAATGGTCAGGTATCTCTGTTATAACTAGGCAGACTAGGTAGTTATATAGAATAGAGTAACCCTATGAGCTCTTGCAGTGATTTTATTCCTTCGAAAAATGGACAGTCCACTGTACAAACATCAAATTAAAGGGACGTGTATTAAGGCATCACGAACCGGTGGCGAAATGTGCACATGCATTAAGAGTACTTGCAGGTTTCTAGGTTGTATATGAAAATAACCTAAGCCGTGGTACATTTTTGTAAATTTGCAACTCACTCACCACCTTGGGCCCCTGTCGCCAATTCAGTCGGACTCATCTATCTCACCCTTTACCTTCTTTTCCTTCAAATACTTTTACGATTTTTCCTCTTTCTTCAGGGACTTTTTCTTCTTACCACTACTGAATTTCTGGTTCCTTGCTCTTATTCGTCTTAGGTTTGTTTCTGCTCATCGGAATACCATCGTCAGAGTCTGAGCCTTCCGAATCCATATCAGCCTCATCGCCTTTACCGATTCTGTCCTGTGAGCTAGATTAGGAAACATTTTGGTTCAGTCCTGGGAACTTGAGCTCATCAGAAGGGGAGAAGCGCATTCCCCGGATGAACCCTCGTCCTGCTACTGTCTCTTCCACCGCAGTATGTTCAGCGGCCAAGTACCCATTGAAAAAGATTGAGGCATTGGCGACAATTGCGAAATACTTCTTCATCACGACCGGGTTCTGTGCTTCTGTACCCTTCTTCTTGGCATGTACCGGCCATATCCAGGCATGTCGAAACGTCCATCACGTGGAGAAATCGATCCCATCGAGAATAGTGCGGGCGGACTGAAAGTGAACAACCATCTAGAATAGAAGTTGAAGATCATTGCCGCAATGTCAGAGTTACAAACATATATACCAAGCTTCCAGAAAGAGGTAGATATGTGTTGTTAGGAGACCCTCAGAAGAACTGAACGAGGTATCACGGTCTCAGACGAGATATCATTAATTTGACCAACCAAAATCTATGACGGTGTCTCTTCCCGCCGCTGCAGCGTCTCGCATAATTAGTAGAATTTCTCCGTTTATAGCTAACCCAAGATATGATGCAGGGGCTCACTATGGCCTTGCAATACGTTTCATAAGGAACCTATCAAACATGTTGTATAGCTGTCAAATAGGCTTTGTATCAGTTCGTGTCGGTTCGTCTCAAGTGATCCTAGATTTGACAGCAGAACTGGTAAGGGGATTGAGCCCCAACCTGTGTTATGTATTGTTGTTTGACTTCTAATGACTATTATCATAGTGTATCGCAATGGGTTACAACTACTCCTGGCAGAATGCGAGAAAATAGTCATGTGCAATCGCCACAATGATAATCACAACATGGTAACAAAATGGATGAGATGACTCAAAAGCTCTGTATACGACGCTTTACCGGATAGCAAGTGATGCCTTGAGCGGATAGAACGGATTCAGCCCGATGATAAAAACATATCTTCTTTTGTCATACGTTTGGATGAGGTCAAAAACTAGGTCACGGGCTAAACATCCTCAATTTTTGACGTTGAGCCCTAAACGTGACCAATGTCTTTAAGCAACTCAGTTCTTTTCACCTGCGTTTAATCTCTGTAAGCCTTAGAGTCACAGCTTAATTCTAGTGCTAGCCTTCTTCTGCCTGAACCGTAGCAACGACGCCGCATTCAAGGAATAGTCGGGTCCGATTGCCCTGCTCAAAAGCTTGAATGGCCAGCTTTTGAAATTTATTCCTGAGCGTCGGCCGCAGGTGAACCTCAAAGTATTTGAGGCCTGAGCCTTTTTTTTTAAGTCTTCGAGAAATCTAAGCAACGCGATTTAGTTGTTTGGGGCGTCGGTCTCGTCGTTACCAACGGACGATACGGTCTTCATTATGATTGACTTTTTTACGCACTGGCCCGGGAGTGAGGACACGGTGACTAATGGTCTGAGCCGAATCATGAAGAAGAATGAAGATAAGACTATCAATATAGCAGTAACCAGTACACTTTCTTGAATCAGGAAAATTGCAAATATTGCTCTCTACGTACAAGACTCCTTTGGTAGATTTAGCAACAAAGATATTAATGAAACTAGCAATCAACTCACCAGTATGGTAGCTAATGAGTGAGGTCTTGTGCATCTATCCGAAAAAGTTTCATTGAGTACTGACGGTGAAGATTCTGACGACGAAGATTTTGAGAGAGACGATGGCGATGAAGATTCTGTAAACCGAGATTCCGAGAGTAGTCCCAAGGAGGGCGACAGCAATTGAGTTCATTCGATACTGAAGAAAGTATCATAAAAGCGTCATGATTGTTGTCATTGTCAACTTGTTCATCTTATACGGGACAGGACTCTGATAAATTCGCGTGACCCTTACCATTTCAGTTGTCAAGATCTACTACTTGGGGTACCAACTAAGCCCATAACTTGAGAACCTTGCCGTCTTTGGCATCAAGAGTCCTCTGAAATCGCTGGGTTACAACAGTAAGGTTGGACATACCACGGGGAAGACCTTTATATTCACATGGGAACTTCCAACGCTAAGACATCAAGCCGCTCTTCTGCGTTTGGTTCTTGCAAGTTTCTACATATGAGATGAAGCACCAAATACCTGTGACCTAGATGGAAAATTGGAAAATGTATAGGATTGTTGATTGTATGGATAAATATGAACGTGGATGAATATGGATCTTGTGGATAAAGGAGAGAGAAGGCAGCCCCTGGCCTCTGTGTTTGGCTCGTCGAACAGTTTCAAAAACTATTTAGTACTCTAATAACAATCTCCTGTTTTTGTTATTTTCGGTCATGTCCTTTGCCTTATCGCACAACCACTGTCGATGAGCTGAGCTAGTCGTCGATCTCATATTCACCCTCCCCCTTCCACTTCACGTCACTAAAGGCCGACTTCAAATTTCGCAGGTCCTCATTCTTTTCCCTACCATCGTCGTTCTTGCTGGACTTGGAAAAGTCGCTGAGATAGACCTTGTCGTCGTCGTCCTTGTCGACCAGGTAGTTTCCCAAAGCGGCGGTGTCGCCGTGGATCCAGCCCAAGTCATGGAACTTCTTGAGAGCTTCCACGGCACCCTTGGCGTGTTCCTTGCTTCCCTTTTTTGTTTCTTGGATTTCGACGTACTGTAGCAGTAGACCGGTATCAAGATTTTCAGTATCAATGTCGTCGACTCTTCCCTCGAGTGCCGGTCCAATATTCTTGCCATCGATGGCCTGGTATACAGCGTATTCGGTTTGCAACGCCTTTGGATCATTGTAGTCTTTCTTCAACGCATATTTCGACCCTAATACGTGCTTTCTGGCTTCGTATACTGAGGCGTCGGTACCCTTCATAATCAGGTCCCCGACACGAAGCTCATGTAGATAGAACTCGTCGTCTTTACCTCGTGCCACGATGGGATTCTCCGGCTTGAATGCTTCTGCAGCTCGTTCATCAATAGCACTAGGCCGCTATAAGGTGCAAAACACCGTCGGTTAGTCTTCACCACATCAGTAAGATGCGCACATCTGCTGCTTACGATGTTTCCAGGCGCATTACGTCCAATAAGAGCCTGAACACCCAGAAGGCCAAACAGTTGGATCGCAAGGAGACGCATGTTGTTCAAATGTTGTGAGAATATGAGAATTGTGGTGTATCCGATGTAAGCGTATGGGTTTACTCGTCCGTAGTCTTGAAAGTGTAGAATCTATAAGGTCAAAATGTTTAAATTTGTGTGAGTTCGAATCGTTGAGTGTTTGATATCTCTCCCAATCTTCGAGTTGTGGTAGAACGTATTTATACATGATTTGTACCGTAACTCACAACTGAGCATGATCGTGCAGTATTCCCTTTGTCAACTCCCTGCTAACTATTTTTAGTGTGACCTAATTCATATCCACTGCTTGGCAACTTCGTATATTCCCCAGATCTTCCCGTTACTTGGCAACTTCGTTACTTGGTAACTTCGCGCATTCCTACAGCGATCTCATCCCATACAGTGTTTGTTAAGATAGACTTGAAAAAGATTTGTGTACTGCCGGTGACGACAACAGCTGCCGGTATTGCCCATGCCCCCATACTGCTTGTCAACTTCGTATATTCCTTCATCTCACTAGTCTAGTTAGCACTTTGCATATTTCTCCATTTCGCCACCAGGGAACTTCGTAACTTTCACGATGTCATCTCGCTGCTTGGCAGCTTTCATTTCATTTCGTCGCCTGCGGATTGCGTGTATCATTCAGATAATCTTATTGGTATGATTCTCCAATATGTATAAAAACAGGGAGCTTGACCTCTAGAGGCCATGGATAGCCCATGGCTGGTACCGCTGGAGAGTGTTCGCCGGTCGATTGCAAGTATCAACTTTGGGCAAGCATTGATTGCTTTTCTGCCTTGCGCGGTGCGATTCCAACGAAGGTTTTTTTTTTTCTTCCCCGGTTTTTTCTTTGGTGAGGAAATTGCTCAATCCTACGATCGGCGACTTTTAAAATAGCTGGGGGCCATTCGTGAATTCCCAGACCAGATCGAGAAACTAGCCTTAGCTGCGCCCGCCAAGCCCGCCCCTTGGCCACCGCCAATCCTAGGCCCAGTTCGCTACCTTTCTCAGCTATGGCTAGTCTAACCTTACATAGCTGGCAGCTGCGGGGTAGTTACTAACTACTGGTTATTTTTGGGAGCGCTAGCTCCGTCGCTTTCCTGCACACTTCGTCAAGCGCCCCATCAATTAACATGCAGCATCTCATGTTCTTAAGCAGGCATCAACATAGCCAGTATTGCGATAACGTCATTAATCCACGGCATTAAGGTGTCTTATCAATGTTGCAATGCTAAGTATTCTGAAGGGATTGCACAGTATAGCGGGCTGATGCACCAGAGCGCTAGCCATACTGGTGGAGGCGCAATCGTTCTGTATCAGCCTATAGCTGGAGCCTGCCGCGAACAATGCCTACATACAGTAGTAAGTGATGTCATGTATAACAATTGCCGTTCATCGACCACTAGACCCAACCTTCTGGTTGTGGACCACAACATAAACGCAGGCGCATTTTTGGACCGTCTTACTGTGTTTAGCAGCAGCGTCACTTCCACGCTCTGCAAATCTCATTAAGTTTTGTTGCCATGTAGTGCCTGTACGCTTCTGTGTAGAACAAGCAATGACCTAACGGTTTGGATTCCATCATCAGCAGATTCACGTATCCTTTCGATTGGCTCTTTGAAGAGAGGCTGCGATAATAATTCAAATACGCGACGACAGCCTAGTGCGTCGGGAAGGGGAAGATGGAGGATTCAGACAAGTGATTTCTATGAAAACACTGGAACCAATTCGGGAGTGAGTCGATGAGCATCACGGTATAAAACAAAAAGAAGATGGACTAGTTCATCCACCGCGCTTCCGCCTTTTCATAATGCGCTACTGTTAAAAGTGAATAAAAAAGCAATAAACGGCACTGGCGGTGCCCGAGCACCTGGCAGCCGTTCACATCGATGGCCGCATGGAAGGATTCGAAATGAATGGTTTGGAGATGGCAGGATCAGAACAAAGAAGAGAAACGGCTGGGCTACAAATGACAAGCATATTATCCTGGCTCATCTAATCAGGCCTGCTTTTTCTTTGTGGCCGACACAAGGTAGGATACCGGTGATATGGACTCGGTGATTGCACAGTGGGGGCGGTCCCGTTGACAGTAACTGCGATCCTGCTGCGTTCTTGATGCATGACTTCAACCTTGCAAGGTGTACTATGTATGTGCAGTATATTCAATGAGCAAAAGGGGTGGGTATATCATGCATATGGTACAAGGGTCGGCATCGGTTTAGGTAACCCGATGCCGACGGCGATTTACCCGGCCCAGGTGGCACAGGAGGTTAGCTAGGTTTCGGGTGTGATAGTCTCCCCCGAATGCAACCCCACGCCTTGCGCCACTCTGAGAGCAAAACGAACGATGTTCTAGACTAGTAACGATCGGCATGGTTCGTGTAAAGTAGATATACATTCCTCAAAGAACTCATCGAACTATCTCTAACAAGGAGAACCAAACTAGCCCAAAATAAATGAGCTGATGAGCTCACCGGTCAGATGAAACATCAAATTGGCATCCAAGAGCCTGGTCCATGTTGAAGGTAGTATCGAAAGCAAGCCTTCGTGCCTTCGTCAGGGGGGAAAGTGTGTACCGATATTGCTGGTTGCCATACGCGGCTGCCAGGTTTTAAATATGGCCGGTTTAATGTGAAAAGATTGAGCGTGTACAAAGCAACAACTGAGACTAGAACTATATCTAAGATAAGGCTGTACGACCAATTCTTCATGAAATTGAAGGTAATCTAAGGGGGACTTTGTAAGCATTGCTAGCTAAGGGGCACAATGCGCAATGTAACCTCTGTGGTTGCAGTGGCTAATTTGGGTCATGAACCCCGACGAGGCTGCCTGTAGGATTTGGAGTCGAGACTAATTTGGTATCGGCCCCGATTTGTCCTTCAACCTGGCCAAACAGGCTGAGCAGGCCCAACCAACAACCACATCCTCCCTGCATCGACCAACGTGTCAGTTTAGAGAACTGTTTCAAACCTGAAATAAGGCTGCGGACAACAAGGAGCATGCCAGGTAAGACATATATGCGACACCAACTGTTGGAATCGACGCGGGAATTCGTGGAGATATCTGACCGTTCGAAGATATATGGTACATCGTGGCTGTGCCAAGCTTTCACAAGGACACCAATTTTCAGCCACATGGGCATCTAGTCTTTTCTTTTCACTATGATCGAACCGTTCCGTTTCCATTCTCAATCGAGCTAAAGATATCTATCCAAGTGGGCAATTATTGATGCCTGAACCGACTTGGGAGATGGATCGCAGTATTGATCAAGAACTGGGTTTGACCCCGGAAACAGAACGATCTCATCAAACCACACCGTCCATAATGGCAAACGAGACTCCTTCGTTAATATCCCCTTCGACTTCGCTGGGACCTGAGAGCAGTAGAGATTCTCTCGGCATCGGTTGGCGCTTACCTGCTTGTGACGCTGACACCGACCGCAAGACCTTTTTACCGCCGAGTAGCTCGCGGCTTCCACCGTCTGTAGATCCTGTAACTCTAACAGGCCTCGGGATATTCAGGAACTACGCGTCCAAGTCTACTATATCACTCATGGACGAACCAATGGAACTAAAGGATGATGGATCGATATTCTCGCTCGACGAGGAGGAGAATATAGGATCTCTCACATCAATGGAAAGCAATACATCCTTACGATCTTCGATGAAATCAAGAAAGCTCGTGCAGCGTATGCGTTTGTCGAAGCCATCGGGAGACTTGATCAGACATCGAATTCGGGTTGTGGGCGACGCGGTTGGACAAATTAAGGGAGACATTCTCGACGTCACGAAGTCGGCAAAGGAAGCAATCAGACCGAACTCTGGTGGACTATGCGAAGCCTGTGAGAAAATCCCTTTCAGCAACCAACGCAAGGAAGATACCACGATGCATCACGGAAACGTGGAACAAGAGGTGGTGGTCACCGAAGTCATCGCTTCTTTGGATCGTGTCCTACAGAACCGTGACTGGTGCAAGTTCTGCCGAGTCTTGTTCGATGCATTGTCTCTTGAGGAGAACGACCCTCTTCGGCACCCAGCTGTGCAAAACCACATCCAAGAGGAGTTGAAAGGAAAGCCATTCGCCGAATGGGCAGAGGGAGCCAATTTTCTGAACCGACACACCTCGAGCCAGACTATATGGCCATTTGGACATAGGAGTGTCATAGATGACCCCGATGGTCGGTCAGCGTCGCAGCTAGGACTGATCTCGGAGGATGACTGGATCAATGATTCCAGTCTGGAGGAAACGATCACTTTTGCAGACTCAGAGGAGGCGTCATCTAATACTGGCCCCCGCAGCTCGACCAGAACCGAGGCAGCCAAAGAAAGGGTTGCGAAAGCCTTGAACAAGACTGTGGAAACCATTTCTTCAAGAGTGGCGCGTATTATGAGGCCAGTTCCGGTATGGATAACCATCAAGACGTACACCAATACCCACTTAGAAGCGGGGACCATTGCTATCAACGTCCAAGGACAAGGACGGGCCCCAGATGCATCGATGGTGCCCCTCTGCTCTTTCAACCTCCGGGTGGTCTGTTCTGAGTATATGGAGAAGCGGAGTGGAGATCTTCGGTACGGTCGTATCCTCGACCCTCAGGCAATTGATCTGTCCCTGTGCAGCAGATGGGTTGAACACTGCGAGTTTCACCACGGCCCAGGCTGCGGCAACCCTATTTGGTCAAAGTCACTCGAGCAACCGTCGGGGGTTGGATTCAGAGTGGTCGATGTTGAAGATGAGAAGGTCGTCGAATATCCTAATCCGGAAGCCTGTGATTATGTTACCCTCTCATATGTGTGGGGTGGGTATACTACCGTGCAGCTGCTGAAGAGCAACTTATCGCAGCTAAGCCGCCGGGGAGGATTGGGTGAGGCCAAGGCCGGCTTGCCACAAACCGTTCGATCAGCCATGATGGTCACCAAGAAACTCAACAAGCGATACTTGTGGGTTGACAGTCTTTGCATCGTGCAAGACAGTGACGACAAGGCCCTGCAGCTTGGCCAGATGGATCGCATTTACGGCAACTCTGCTGTGACTATTGTCGCAGCCGATGGAGGAAATGCGAACTCGGGGCTCGACGGTGTTTCGTTTCCAAGGAGCACCAGAGAAGAATGCAGACAAGTAGTCCAGGAAGTAGTACCCGGGGTCAGGATCCTGATTCCGATCAGATACAGACCGAATCTCTACCCATGGGAAACGAGAGCCTGGACATTTCAAGAAAAGCTTCTCTCCAAGAGACTCCTCGTATTTAGTCACGGCCATGTGTACTTCCACTGCAGACATGGAGTTTATATGGAGGACATGAGCGCGAAGGAAGCTGGTAATGGGCCGCGCCAGATAAATTGGCTCTCTGTTGGAGAGGATGACAAAGTCTCGTTAAAATCCGTTATCGACATGGACACGAATTCTGCTTTGCACATTCGAAGATCGCCAGTCTTTGCACAGTATGCTGATCTGGTGGGTCAATACACAAGTCGCCATCTGAGCTTCTCAAACGACATTTTAAACGCTATCGCCGGTGTGATGACTATCCTCGATGGGAGCAGACAACAAGGTACTACTCGCGATTCAGCAAGCGGCACACTGTATGGTCTTCCTACTGAGTTCTTGGACCTCGCACTTCTCTGGCAACCAGCGGCAGAGAAGGGTGCACGGCTCCGCAGACGAATATTCATAGACCAAGACTCACGGCCGCTAAACAACAAATTGCAACTACCCAGCTGGTCTTGGGCCGCCTGGGAAGCCGTAACTGAGGGGGAGAGAACATATTCAAGTGGAGTGCGTTACGAAGATTCTTTCAGCCTGGTCTCGGATCACCTAGAGGGGTACAAAGTAAAAAAGATTTTAGAATCGCTTGATAACGCCGAGGAACGAGTCAGGCCACTGGTGCGCTGGCATAGATTCGTACCGTCAGACGCGGTCCCTGTACCTCCTCAACCTGTTGCTTTGGCCAAACAGTCATCAGCGTGGTCTATTTCCCATGTCCTACGCCGACCCACCACAAAGCCAGTGCCGGCAGACAGCCTGCTGAACAGACTTGGCTCAGAAACGCCGGCGAAGCTCATTCTGGTGAACGGGACAGGGCTGGGACTAGCTAGCGACGCGGCAAAACTGTTAGAAGAGTGGCGTGAGACTCGCAAAAAGCCTTTCCATGATATCCATCTCAAAATAGACGACCTGCCCCCTTGCGCTATCGCGGATCTCGACGAGCGCCATCTAATCTTTTGGACATCGACAGCCAAGTTTCGTCTTGGAAATAAGACATTACGCTCAGAGACCACCTTCAAATATTCGGCGACTGCGAATCTGTTGCCGGAGCAACAGCACTGGATTCATGAGATAGAGATACTTGATTCACGTTCCTTCACTATCGGTCGGGTTATCCTGCACGATGCCACAGAGGTGATACAACCCTTCGAATATTACGACTTCGTTGTCATATCCGAGGCCCAATATTTTGGCAACGAAGAAAGGCTTTATGCAGAGCAAGAATACCCGTTGTTTAATGTAATGATGGTCACGTGGGATAAGAGCAAGCCGCAGTTTGCCACTAGGGCCGCCATGGGCAAGGTGTTCAAGGAGGCCTGGGTAGAAGCAACCACAACCGACCAGCTGATCATCCTTGAATAAATAGGTAGTTTTTTGGGTCACACAGTTTCAGGGAGGATGGAGAATCCATACACTCGTTGCATCCGCCTTTGGCCAAGGTATACTAAAGTCCACAAGCAGACATAGACTAGACATAGTAGAGACAGCTATGAGAAGCCACTGTGCGTATCTATCGGACCTTGGAAACATTTTGGAATCTGCGAAGTGATCGTACTGCTGAGGTTTTAGCTTCTCTTACCTCATAAGCAGGCTTGCTATCGTCATTTCGTGGATTGAACTTGATGATGCCAGTGGTCGCAGCTTACATAGCTTGTGCCATGTCACTACAACACCCTTCTTCCCTAATCTACGCGCTACTTCAGTTAACGCTTTTCTGTAAATCAGTGCTGTACCCCAACATGACGTGGCTAAGTGTTTGCTAGTTGGAAGCAATCAGCTTTCTATATTGAATAATGTCACCCCAGGTGACTGTGCTATCTGAGCTTCTCGTCGATTCACGTCGAATTAGACTTGAGCATGTCTAACGCAAGTTCTTCTAGCTCTTTATAGGCGCCTCATCGTCAAGTTAGCTAACTATATACCAAGTAAATATCTCAATAGACCGCAAGTGCGGGGCTCGGACCGCGCGGGCTATATCTCAGTGGATTCCACCCCACTTCCTCAATTATTCACGGTCCACCCGTAAGCAATAAAAATACTTGAGGTCTCATAAAAATACGTAGGAGCTACACTCTTCGTCTCTCTTCAGAGCATATGTCTTCACAAATTTTTTTTTTTTTACTCATACGTACGGACTAGCTGTGATGTCGAGCCTCCTTTATGTATCGAACGAAGGTTCGCTTTTAAACCGAATCTTGGATAAGAATACGCTCTTGGTGGAAGCATTGGAGACCATCGTGTCTAATTACCCTCCGCACAGCAAGTATGATATAGAACTCAAAGGACTCTGGAGTGGACCGACTGGAATTGCTTACTTGTTCTTTCGCGTTTCCGTAATGCGTCCGGATCTTCAAGTCGCAGGGAACTCTGCATTGTTTTGGGCGGAGGCCTATCTTGTTGCTGACGGTCGCACAGAGACCACCATCCAGCAAGCAAATGAGAGGTGCGGGGTCTCGGCTCAACTGTTATGCCACCAAGCAATTCTGATTGCAGTGACAAAGGACAAACATCACACAGATGATTTTGTACAGATGCTCTCTCGGATCCCAGACGCCGCTTATAAAGAGGAGTGGCTTTGGGGAATGGCTGGAACGCTCTATTTTGTGCGACTGGTCCGACGCTGGATGCCTTCGTGCGCAAGTGCACTGGAGGCACCAACGAACTTGATACAGGAGGCAATACTGGCTAATGGTACCGAGTGGGTATGTAATGGTACTCGATGGCTCGGCGCAGCGCATGGCGACATCGGGATAGTCACGCAACTTGTGCTGACGACGCCTAGCGTCGCGCCTCGATTGAGTCCGAAGCTGGAACAACTACTCGACTTACAAATGCCCAATGGGAACTGGCCCGTCACTGCTATACCTCCCAAGTCTCCACCCAAGCCATACGTCCAGTTCTGCCACGGCGCCCCGGGATTTGTGCTTAGTCTACGATCTCTACGTCCATACTTTCCGGAACTCCGGGACAAGATAGACACTGCTATCAGGCTCGGCAGTGAGTTGATATGGAAGGAAGGCATACTGAAGAAGGAGCCAAGTCTATGCCATGGCACATTTGGCAACGCACTGTGAGTTTCAAGTGACTGGGATAGTTTACCCGTGGCAATGGTTGATCCGAGTGTAGATGTCTGCAGCCCGACCAAAGAGAGCATCTCCTCACCCATGCGACACCAGAATACATTGCTAAAGCACGAGCGGCAGATTCGACCATGTTTGAAAAGTCAGACTACGGGTTTCACTTCGCTCTATTTACGGGGTATTGGCCAGGCGCTGCATGGGCTTGGTTAGTCTGCGAAAGTGAAGAAGCATCTCTGATTGGGTATAATGACGTTTGAACAAATTTCTTTGTTTCTAAGCGCGGTAGAAAATACCACTTTATATAGATCGTTGGCAAGGCTGATATCTCCTGAGAACAGCTCTACACATATTAGAACAGCAAACAGAAACACAAAGGTCGCATAAGAGGCCTGATATATACTGGTACGATGTCCTTACGACTGGTACTGTCAGTGCCATTATCAGTCGGTTGTTCTTTTGTCCACTATATCTTTCTAAATGGCTGAGTAACTTCTTGCTAGGCTGTTCAGATCTTTCGTGCCGGTTCAATGGCATGGTTCAATTCAACGGGCAGGGCTAGCGGAAAATCTGGAACACCAAAGCGACATTCATTTTTATCTGCCCTTGTGGCTGAGTCTCATCGCAGGCAACCTGATCATCCTTTCAACCACCATTTGATTCCCTTATATTTCAGTATTCGGGCCTGTCGTTCCATTCCAATCATCATCTCTAATTAAAAGCCCCCACTGAAGCAGTCAAAGGGACGTTATACTTGATTAAAAACTATAATAATAGGCGTCACTACTCTGTAGGGTCATTATACTGATCAAATGTGTGTATATTGATCCTCAGTAAAGTGTTGTTAAATGGCGTGGTTCCTCAGCTATTCTGAGGGATCCCTGAAGGCTATCTATCAAGGGTGGACGTTGCACCTCAGGCATCTACCTAACTGGTGGCACCCGGCAACCATTATATGGCGTTCGCTACCAAAAGTCACGAGTCATATATGATTGTACTTCGCGATATTCTCAGTGTCGCTCAACCTTTCGATATGATGACGGCCCATGATTTTGCCCAGGATCAAGAATTTTCTGTTTTGCAACAGGTTCCTAAGGATATGGAGAGAAAGTCGTAATTTTTGATCTATGCAGTCTATCAAGCGGCCAATCACTATTATTAGGTATTATAGACAGTCTCGACGCATATAGAGAAGTACTGCTGACCAGGGCTCTGAAACATGGGTAAGATGACCAGTTTGGACTCGCCTCAGATGTGGAGAGTATCCTCGTTAGGCAAGACCTTCTCTCGGTGAGGAAATCCTCCTCTTTCACTTGCCATTGCGCGTGCCGCATCGTGACAAGATTGTGTGAAGGTATTCGAAACATTCCGTACCGCTGGGGTAAATGCAAATGCTATTGATCATGAAAGGTGGATGCCACTACGTGTCACGGCATCGTGAAATGATGGCTAGGTCATCAAAGAGCTCGCGAGCTTTGCAAGATCTGAGCCTACGTGAAATGGCCGACAAGCGAGACTGAATCAGGCACAAGGCTTGACGATGGGGGCGGTGTTGATGATGAGTTGAACCCTGCTTGAATTACGCATGTGCTAGGAGGAGGGGATGACGAGGAGTATAGACAATGTCTCTTCCGCCGAGCGAGGGTCGTCAAATTATTCTCATTATAAGGCCGTAGTAGCGATAGATTGAATCTCGCAATGCCGTGGAAAATGTAAATCTTAGTGTGACATGTCTGGTGCGATAAAAAATGGATGAGCCAGAGAAAGAAAAGTCGTCTAAAGAACATCATTATGCCTTCGGTTGAACACAGCCTCGCTCTGCAAACGTACCAGGTCACGATGGTGCACGCAAATTGAAGGCGGGGCCTGTGGACTCCTTAGCTACAGCGGTTTTAGTGCATCGTCCTGTCATTCCGATCGCGATCCTACTGAGTTAGAAAGCAATATCAAATGCACTTCATCCCGCTCTAGTAAAATCCCGAGCTCTTCACACATCAATACATCGCCTGGGTGTGTCAGAGTCGCTTGCATTCCACAATGTCTTTTTTTCACACCACCAACAGCAGCTTGCCCGTGTGCCACGTACGGCGCTGGCTCTTGTTCTGTGTTTCCGGATCTTGACTGAGTACGAGGGTACCTAAGAAGACAAAAATAAAGCAATGGACGATTATGTACAGAAGGCGATAAAGGAAACGTGGTTTAGTATCGACAGACTATCAATAATGCATGTGGACTCTTATAGCATTTTGCACGCCGTAAGCTAGAAGGTCTGTTGATGGAAACCTTTCTTTCTGTTACTCCTTTCAATCATCTGAATCGCTAAGCATGATTTTATCAACACAGCCACCACTTGGGGGCAAAATTCCGGCCACTTGGAATTATAAACCACGACACTCCTTGGGGTGCACTTCTGGATGGGAGAGCGAGCAATTCTGTATCCCTTGGCAGCAAAGGCTTCCGCGACCCTCTGCCCAATATTCGGTCCAATACCAACGATGAGCAAGACAGGAGTTTGACTCAGCATTCGTTTCTCGATATTGCCATACAAACGCTTGTGTGACGATTTGTCATGGAAGATGTGATTGAAAAAGACGATTTGCCTTTCTCGCGATTGAGCTGGATGGTTATGTAGCGTTATGTACCCCACACTATTACTGGCAGCGGCTCCATACTTACAATGTGGCTTACTGAAGTTAGAACTTGAGACCACGGAGATTCTTCAATCTTTTAGTCTAATACATAACAAGATCCGGCAATGAATCCTGACTGATTACAAAATCGATCTGTACCATAATCCGTGTGACTGAACATTTGCAGTGGTCTGGTCTATAGCGACATGCTTGCCTAAAGGTTCTTGGTCATTACTAATCGTAGTTACTGATGCCAGCTTCTGGTCTATGTGAGCGCTAAGAGAACGTATTCTCGTGATGAGCAATGCTTCCTCCCGTATCAAGCAGTGATCTTCACGCGGTTACCTCGGGCAATGGCTGGGGGGATACTATAAGACCTTGCGATGCGCGAATGGTTAGTTTCATTGCTGATCAAATGTAACATACCATATTCATGAGCGCCAGTCCTCAAAGTTTTAAGCTCTCGCCTTTGAATAAGTCGTCAACCATTATCACCACTCATCCAACCATGGCACCCAATATCTTGATCACTGGCGCCGCCGGTTACATGTAGGTGAAAATTACTAGAAACGCATGGCGTGGCACTAATTTTTCCACAGAGGAGGCTCAATTCTCTCAGACTTCCTGACTATCTACAGCTCTGAGATTAATAAAGAACATGTCCATGCTGCAGTCAGAACCGAACAGCAGGCCAAAGATTTGTCGGAGCTGGGTATCAAGGTACACCAAATAGACTTAACAGATGAAAGCAATGTGGCAGATGTCGTTATCAAGAACCATGGTATATTAGCCAAGTCCCTTTGGTTTGTGCGTTGACTGCTTACGTCTTGCTTCAGTCAGTATTGTCATACAAACTGCAAGCTCTTTAAATCCAAGCCTGTCTGTCAATCTCCTGACAGCATTGGGAAAGCAAAAACAAATCAGTAGAGAGCAGACATACTTTGTTCATGTGAGCACTAGTCCACGAGGTATTTTCAGAGCATATGTACTCACCTCTAGAAGACTTCTGGCATCAGCGCCTTCTACGAAAAGTCCGGCTGGCCATCGTGGGAAATGAAGGATGACGACCAGATCTTTGCCGTGGAGAAGCAGTCAGCAGACTCTTATCCAATACGAAAGGTGATTCTCAATAATCATCATTCGTTGTCGTGCTAATTGATAAAAGACCGACATCGCTGTCATCGAGCACGCGAGAGCATTGGGCGTGACCTCTTTTATCGTCATTCCAACGACTGTCTGTAAGTACTAAGGATACACTCTCGACTGGAACTCTACTTACAAATTGTCATAGACGGTGAAGGCAGCGGTGTATGGAACCGATTGTCTATCATCATGCCCCCCTTGGTACAGGCTAGCCTCCAGCTCAAACGTGTCTACAAGTTCGCTGAGAACACTGTTAGTAACAGATTTTCTGACCAAGTGAAAGTAAACCCAAAACTAATTAAGGCAACAGAAAGTCTCTGGCGTGCATATTACAGACCTGACTGCGTTGTATTGGCGTATCACCCAGGCAATCCTCCAGAAAGAAGATATCCCCGACGGGGAAGAGGGCTATTACTTTGCCAAGGCTCACACCCTATATCAATGGGATGTTCTCGAGCATCTAGCTAAAGCGCTGAAGCAACGGGCCTTCATCGAAGATGACAAAACAGAGTTTTGGCCAAGCGATGGGTTCGCCGCGCAATCAATAGGTGTACCTGAGCAGTTTCTCGAGGCACTGTGGAAATCTGGGTACGTACCACCCTAACTCTTAACAGTAGGTCTAACGGAAGGCTAGAGACAAACTCACGACGACACGAGCTCAAAGCATCGGCTGGAAGCCGCAGTGGGATGAGACGAGATTCCTGGAAAATATCAACGACGAGATCAACGCTGTATTGAAGCACGAGAAGGCAAAGAGCAGTCTGGTTGATTCTCTTTTCGCTGCTGCCGGAGAAGGTTTAAAATACTAGTATTAGTGGATGCTATGTTCGCTGGTATTTCTATTACTTGGGGCTCCTAGAAAAGCATCGACCAAGATACATTTTTGGAGACAGAGTAATTAGGCTTTCCTTTGTACAGGGGTGATGTAGTCTTTGTCGTGTCGAGTGACAATACCTGGCGATAAAGAGTTAAGCACTTGGTCACACATCGGAGACGGCGAAGCTGGGGTAATACTTTTATTAGAAGCTTTTCGCTGTTGAAGATTAGTCTCTGTCAGGACTTGTCATACTAGGTATTATAATGGAACTTTATGATGGTGTCTCAGGCGGAGAGAAGATTCCTCCCCGTTTGTGTCCGACGTGTGGTTTCGGGATTTTGCGTGATTGTGAGTACATCAATCCTGGAGAACCTTGTAAAGAATGGAGAGTAAGTGGGGTTTGGAAGCCCGTCAGCTTTGCGTCGATTATGTGGTAGATATGGCTTGTCAACCAGCTTGTTTCATCATACCTAGCCAATTAATGATGAACAAGTAGGTCATGACGCCCCACTCTAACCGAGCAGTGCATAGAGACACGTCGGTAGAACCGAACCCATACCACAACATCGACCTTCTAACGCCTATGTTATGCTATCGATCCTTTTTGGATCCACTTCAGATGCCTTGGAGCTACGGGCTATTAAAGTTCTGGCGATGAGCGAACTGAACCAATCCAAGCGACTTTGAATTGTAATTCCGTTGTCCCAGAGACCAGACTCGGAAGCTGACAGGTTCTTCACGCTGTCATCCACCGATCGCTTTCAATGAGGACCACTCTGGGAAGGTGCCCATCGTATCTGTTGAATTTTCCATTCTCAATCACTACCTCTATCACGCCGTTTTTGCTAATATTACTACCAAGTGTGTAACATGTACTTGCCGACAGACGGAACGACGACAGGGATACTGTGCCGCATTTGTACTGTAGCAATGGATTCCGCCCTAGGACAACCAGAATGGCACGCAAATCAAACACTGGGAAACCTGAAAAAGTCGGCACAAGAAGGGTGTTTGACGTGTAATTGGTTGTGGAATGGAGTCCCTGAGTATTCTCGCCTACAAATACGGATTTCCTCTGTCGCAGAGGATAGAGTGAGCGGTATCTCTTTCCACAGGCGATGGAAAGTCAATCAACTAGAATCCCAAGGAGGGTGCTTCGAGTTGTATGATAGGAGTAGAATGGAACTGGTCAATTGGACTAAACTTGGAGTTCATGAGGGAGCTGAGCGTCCAAGCCCGCAATATCATGCTGTTCTCGCGCCGTCCGAGACCGGGATTCTTTCGAGTCCATACACGGCTTCCATCAATACAGGCGCAGGAGAAACGTTGTGCCTGGCAAAACAGTGGTTGGAAAAATGCATTTCATCCCATAGCTCTTGCGCCGCTTATAGCCGTCCAGGCTGGGTACCGAGTCGATTGCTGAAGCTCCATCTTCGAGACGATGACAAGATTGGTGCTAGGCTAGAGGAGCTAGCTATGGATGATTACAACAGCACAGCTGAGTACGTGGCTCTTAGCCATCGGTGGCAAGAAAATAACGAATATTTACTGCTGAGCCACAAAAATATCTCACAACTTCGCAATAATATTGAGGTGCCCAAACTTAAAGCGTCTATCCGGGATGCAATGAGTGTCGCAGTTCACCTGGGTGTCTATCATATTTGGGTCGATAGTCTCTGTATACAGCAAGACAACGACAAAGAGCGCGGCGAAGAAATCGCGAAGATGGACTTGGTCTACGGTAGCGCGAGGTGCACTATTGCCGCCGGTGTAGGCGAAACAGCCGACGTGGGTTGCTTCATCTCCAGAGATGTCAATGAAGTGAGAACTCATGGTGTGAATTTAAGATTGGGGGGACACGAAACCCGATACTGCCATATACGACCATCCTGGAACGACACAAACCGAGAGCTCGACAACACTAGCTTGGCTAAACGCGGATGGACTCTTCAAGAACGGTTGCTCTCACCACGTACCTTGCACTTTTGCGCTAAACAAGTGCATTGGGAATGTCGAGAGTTCGAGGCGAATGAGACCCACACTAACGGTGATCCTATACATGACAGTAGGACTTCTGTTGGGAGGTTTACGGATCTGGCGAAAACTTGGCCAGAGGTTGTGGAGGCCTATACAGCCCGTTTTTTGAGTAAACAGGAAGACCGTCTCAATGCTATCGCTGGTATCGTTGCTTCAATCCAACGCAATTCAACGGTCAAAGGCCAAAATGACGAATATCTTCACGGGTTATGGCGCAGTTCTTTGCCTCTATCATTGCTGTGGTATTCCAAGGACGAGCCGGAGAACAACAGGCTGATTAAAGTCGCACCAACGTGGTCATGGGGCTCAACTAGGAAAGAAATCTGTTACAGTCGTAATGTCAACGGAATTTCACTGGTCGAAATCTTGGGGATCCTAAAAGCCACTGACACTTTCAAAGGTAATATAATCAGAGTGACCAGAATGGCAGGCTTCGATGGTGGCGTCCTCCACATCCGAGGTCGATTTTTCCAGCCGTCTGAAGGAAACACGATCTCCGATTCCAGCCCTTTTGTGCGACATGACTGGAATGAGGTGAAACGCTCGATATCAACCAAGACGGACAAGTACCTGCCGCTTTTTAAGAATAACCCATCCAATATCCAGGGCGGTGCGACTTTTATAGGAATTGTTCTGAGGTCATTAGGTCCACGTTATTGGCAATGCTATGAGCGAGTGGGCCATTTTTCACAATACATTCGTGTTGAATATATGGATATGAGCTTCGGAGAAAAGAAAGAGTTTTATATTTATTGATCTTAGATTATAGTTACTCATTTTGTCCACCAACTGTTACTGTCAATAAAACCAACCTCCAAGATGTGTTAGAATCTCAAGGACTTGACGGTGTAAGTCAGATTGGTGGCGTCCATAAGTGTATCGTGCCATCTTGTGATGAGATAAGTAATCAGCCCTCCATTACATTTAGGACCAGTGGGCCTCGGTATAAGGCCATATGAGGTCTCATAGCATACAGCCCATTCAACTACTCGACATTCTCTATTACCCCGCTGCGGGATGGTGTGATGGCCAATGAGCCTCTAATTCGATCTTCAAGTGTGTTTCGGATGACGCGAAAAGCATGTTATTACCTAGAGCAGCGAAATCACCCGAATCTTTACTGAATTAGCGGTGAGGGTAGATTTTGGAACTGGAAATATTGCCATCTAAAACTCGCCCATCCATCTGAAAACTTCAGCGTAGTTTCTCGCAAATTTGATGGAATTATTTACAATTGGACAAGATTTACTCCCTTCTCCATATCAACATTGAAAAATTCAACTATATTACAGCACAGTGACTACATATCCCAAACCAGGCCGGCTAAGATAATTTGGTTCGTGCGCGATACAGCTCAAAGATAATTAAAAACTTACGCAGCACTGTCTGAGCACAAGGCATTGGTTTGGCAGACCTTTTTGTGTGAGTTGTGCTCAGTTGTTCAAAGAGATGGCTAGTTTGACTCAACACAAAGCGTCAAAACATCCTGGTTACATCCCAACACCCTCTATAACTGTTCAAAGGCCAGAACTACGGCCACCAAATGGTAACGACTGAATAGTTGCAGCACCTCAGGTATCGAGTCGCTCAAATACTGATGGGCTTGTGCGGAGGGGAAAGAGATTACGTGCTTCGTTGCAGTAACGTGGTTGATTATGATACATGGCCAAAACCGTCTCCTGACTGGTCCGATTAGACTGTGTCGTATCGATTCTAGACTAGCATAACTTATACATAAATTTCCGCAGACTGAGTTCCAACTTCTGACCTGCCATCGGCTGAGTGCCTGATACTCAATTCATATTATTGGCATGTTCTATCTCTAGAGGAACAGCTGGATTGTTGAATGCTTCTGCTCATGGAATAAATATTATATACGTCAAGGGGGGGAGTCGTCCCTTATGCAACGGCTCAATGACACCGTCAAGAACAACAGGCTGTCTGACACGATCGCGAAAGAATGCATAGCGTTGTGGCATCAGAAACAAATAACTTCGAAAATGACCGCCTTCCATATTACGAAATGCAGTATTCAACAAAGGATTGATAAAGAAGATTGAAGACCACATTGAAAAGCACCTAGAATCAAGACTCCCAACGGCTCTATTGCAGGTGCTCACTGTATGCTTCAGAAACTCATAATACAGCTTAAGCACCTTTATTCGTTAGCGGATTCCTCTCAGTTATTGGTCTGCGCTCAACAAACAATCGGTAACTACAGAGGGAGAGATTCAAAACCTTGGTTCAGATCTGTAATGTCACTTCAACTTTGATTGGACCAAAGTTGTTACTCGGGATACCCCTAAGCCGCTGGCGCGTTGTAGAAAGCATCGCGCATAACCCGCACTGGTGTTCAGCCGCTATCATTAACACTAACATGAGCGGGCTACGATTGTAGGGCTAGGTTAGTGGATCATACGTTCCAAACCCAACTTTTCTTTTCTACACATCTCTTCGTCTTCGGACGACCTTGTTCTGGGAGTGAGTAGCATACCTGGGAATCTGGTCGGTCGATCGGACTGAGCGCTAGCTATCCTGATATTCTACCGATCGAAGTCTGGCAATACATTCTGTTGTTTTTGTAGCAGAGGTCGAGGCCGGCACCGTGCTGCTGACGCTGAGTTCAATCACAGATAGGCATATCTCACGATCACCCATGCCCAGAGTGCTGTCTATTAGGGCTAGTCTAGGAGATATTCATGATTTCATACTGAGCTTCATAAATACAGAGCTGACTACAGGAATATAATCAATCACAACCGACGGAGTGCAACTCCACAAACATCTTCCGCTAACCTCCGTAGATGTGTGCAAACTAGATTTAGCCGGACTCCTCGTAAGGCTATTTCGTGAAGTGTCAATCTGCAGGATGATGCACAACTGATGCACAGGTGACCCCCAAGACAATATTGACCGCATGCGCAACGCGAGGGTGTCATTTCATTACCTGGTCGATGTTACACTTCCATCGCATGGTTTATTTCACTCCACTGTGCTTAACTACATCCAGCTCACTGATCATATCGTCTTTGTCCATTGTAATATGTATGATGGCGAAAAACATGGGCATATCCTATTTATAAGAACCACCTGAAGTCGTCCACTTTCGGACCAGCCCTTAATCTCGACGTCGGCACATCTTGCGCAGTAAGCGTGACCCCTTGTCGGCGGTTTCGTCGCTTGTTGTCGAACGTCATGTATGTACCAAGCGCACCAGAGACCAAGAAACCAGTCGCACCAAAGCACGCGGTAGCAATGAGCGCGGGCATGTACTTGGGCGCATCTTTGTCCTGAAACAAGTTACTGGAAACCAGGCCCATAAGATTCGCCAGCGGTACACCAACAGATGTAAGGACCAAACGCTCACCCTCGTGAGCGATATTGTTGTTGTACCATGTACTCAACAGCACCGAGGGCGCCGACGTACCCCAGCACATCATGAACGTCGCAAAGTAAGCCACCCGGATTTGCGCATGAACGTCCGTGATCGAAGCGTAAATGATCATGCCGATGAAAGTGAAAGCAAAACCAAGCATGATGAATGGGAAACGAATCCTTGTCAAGTCGGAGCTGAAGGCAAGGATCAACAACATCACAGCACCGGTCACATTCGGTGCTACGGTATATAGGTTCGTTTTGACCGAGTCATAACCTAGACGAGCAACGATCTGAGGCAAGAAGAGCTGCACTCCTTGCAAGGGTACACCCAAACAGATCTCGATAAGCAAGAAGCCATAAGTGCTAGGTAGCTTGAAGATCTTGAGAGCATCTCGCAGCTTGAACTCTTCGTTAACGATGGACGAGCTGTCGACGTGTATACGGTGGTAAGCCAGTGCTTTCTCCTCCTCATTTAAAAACTTTGCCTCTGCCGCGCTCTTCGGCAAGTACCAGAGAGCGAAGAATGAGAATAGGACCGTGCAGGATCCCTCGATGATGAACAGCCAGCGCCATGCGAAGTCGATAAGATGTGATTCGATTTGAAACACACCAAAGGCCAACAACCCACTGAAAGCGCTGGCAATGTTCGAGGCGGCGTAGAAGATGGCCAGGCGGCGAGCCAGTTCACCACGTCGGTAGAAGGTGGTCAAATAGTAGATGACCACTGGAAAAAAGGAGCTTTCGGCCATACCCAGGAACCAACGGAGTGTGAATACACCACCAAAGTTGCGGGCAGCAGCCATCAGGAGTGTGAGAGATCCAAAGGTGAACATCATGGTTGGAAGCGCCCTAGAAGGGCCGTACTTCTTCGCCAGCATTGCGAAGGGGGGCGCAAAAATGACATATGGGACAAAAAAGATGCCGACGATCAGATTGTATTGACCAGTAGCGAAGCCCAGATCTGTGGGAAGCCCATCCGTCTTTGCATTTCCTAGATTGCTCTTGTCGAGTGAATTGAATAGGTACTGGTACATGGTCAGCGCCAGGTCTGGTAGACTGCAAGCATTGGATTTTAATATGTACCATTATAGCAAGTACGGGTAGGATGCGGAAATCAAACTTTCTGCAGAGCCTCTTCTCAGCATCTTTGTCGATGACATGTGCTGTTTCTTCGGTGACGGCAAGGCCATTGCTGTCAATGCGAGTCGCCGCATGTTCAGGGTCCAATGACTTCCTCGTGAACTCGTCAGCCATCTTACACAAACTGGTTGATGCGCACCGGAACTCGGGCGACGGAAGACAAAAGAATTGACAGTCTATACAAAAGCTACGCACACTTCGTCATCACCAAGACAGAAGGGCAGCGGCACTCTCTTAATACCAAGCCGGCTCCGATAAGCATCGAACGAGTTGGTTCCCATCACTGGCCGACTTTTGTCATGTTTCTGGTGCCACGCGTGGCTTTGCTCTCCGTCCCGACATTGTCCGCCGGCAAAATGATTCGACGTCGGTTGGACCCAGAGATAAGGAATGCAACATGACAGGCACTTAAGTGTCACTAACGAAGCCAGAAACCGGCATTGATTGCCAAGCACCGCTATTTAGAGTTTTAACGGTTCCGTGGGGCAAATGAACTGCAGGAGCTGTGGGGAACGGGGGAATCTCCAGCAAGTCGCAGCGTCGAGATCTACTTGATAAGACACGAGTTTCTCTTGGCGGAGAAGAGATAGCGAATTTTTGGGGCCATGGTACGTAAATGCTTCAATAAGAATAACGGAGTTGCTATACTATGTATCTTCAACCTGAGAATCTGATTGGCTCAACAAATGACTTTATAATCGGTTCCGGTAATCTATGCCGCGGACAGTCGAATACAGCCTTATACGCAAACTGCTGACCTAGATTAAGCTGCGCTTTTGCCGAGAAATCGATCGTGAGAGACATACAGGGTGGTTTGCATACACGTTTGAGTTGATATGCTGACCAGTCAGCGGTTTGGCTTGAAACCAAAGAGTCTGCTCAGACATACTGACTTGGACCAATGTTGATCATGTGAGATCTGCTTTGGGGGGACAGTCTGCCCGAGGGTGGCCCTCAACTTCAATCATTTGCAGGCAACGTACAGTTTGGCTCAGCCGATGTGAGCAGCACCGGGCAGCGGTAGGCGATTCTGGTCGGATCGACATTTACCCGGCAGCCCGGCGCATTTAGTCATCAACACTGAAAGTTAGTGCACGCATGCCCCCCAAACGCCCCCTGAAAATTAATGGCCGACCGCTGAACCTCGGGAGTGTTCTTCTTGGAGGCGCTCTTCGCACAACTTCACTTAAACTAGACTAACCTAACCTAAGTTAATCAATGACAATCAACCTCCTTTCTAGCTTTATGACTTTGCCTCATGCTACTTTCTAGCAACCTTACAACCAAATCAATTGCAGCGCTTATAAACATATGTCATGCCGGGCGACGCAAAAATGTCTAGATATGGTAGCCTTGGTTTTAATGCATCTACATCTCCACAGCAGTCGAAGTCTTCTGGCTATATTCGACACTGAGCATGCGCCAAATTCAGAAGGTTATATAGCGTGCTCGAGAACCACAGCTTACTTCTATTAGATGCCATCGCGCATGTCAATATGGTCTCTTCGCGTAGTACCTGCACTCCCGAAAATGCCCAGGTGGAACTTAAAAAGGGAATAGCCGATCTATGAAACGACTTCGTCTTCTCTACTACATATTTGTTAAGGTGTTTTGTAATGTGTATGCTCGAAACTAGGAATGCGGCACACCAATCACCTCAATCACTAAGCTGAGCCCATATGGATCTGCCCGAGTATAGATACGCCCTGCTTGATGTTTCAAGAAAACATCAACGGACTCAGAAAGATTGTTGGTTGGATGGCAGTTCTATGACAACATTACTCTATCGGGCTGCGCTCAACGCAGCAACGCCTGAAATTAGGCTCCTTTATTAGACCTGGGGAAAACCGGATTAAACATGAAGTCCGAGGTAGGCTTGAATCTGCCTACTCTTGCGAATTCTGTAGGATCGTGCGGCATAATACTGCGGTATATGGCTATTTGGGATCGCTGGGCGAAACTGCCTGATCTTGTAGGCGAAGAATGTGAGGTTGTTGCTATATTCCAAGATCTCCCCCTGAAGCCTAGCGTTTGCGCTCATTCCCTCGCCATACAACATTGACATATTTAAGGAACGCGATATGCTCCTACGAATTCCTTCTTCCTCCCAACGCGCAAAATGTTCTTCTTGAAATTGGTATGTTACTCAGCAAAAGCTTAGCTTCTTGGGAGAACTCGACCTGAGAATGCTGTTCTCGACGCCAATGATTACGGTCAGTGTCGTGCGCCGACGCGTCCGGACTCCCAAGGGCAGACCAGCCTGATCATAGGACTCCACTTCAATAGGTGCGATTAGTCCTTGCAATGTCGACGAAGCGATTGTGGCGCATGGGGTCAGAGATCTGCTGTCGCGACATTAAAGACGCACAGATAGGCAAAGTAGATGGCTGCCTAGCCACGCCACTGAAACATTGACTTGATAATTTTCATAAGCTCCGCGATGCTTAACTCATCTTTGCGGTAAGTGCCCGCCCAGACGTAGTTGCAACTGACATCTAGTACTAACTCGTAAGCAAGGCAAATTGAGCTTGTGAGGCCTTACTTTCTTTGGATATGGCTAGACTCGCCACATTAGAATCTTCGGTCATCATCTTCCCATCTGTGGGAGCGGATCACGTACGGAGGGTTTATCCCATTCGCGAATCTCCTCAAATGAGTACATCTTTCACTTAGTGGGCTTCACATACGAACATCGGAATCTAAAACCGGGACAATTTGAGTACGACAAGATTAAGATATGAACGTTCACAATGACTTATTAGGATTTGCCAGGTGTTCATGGAGGGCGGCTTGGTCAGCCCAGAATCCACATATTTCCTTATCATGCAAGGAAACACCGCTGTACAAGCGTGGCAGTTTGACTGTTTAGTAAGTCGCTTTAATCTTACTATCAGTCGTATTATGCTCTATGGAAAGCAATTCGAGGTGTGAATTAACTGCTTAACGCCCATGGATTATCGTTCGCCATGTTACTTGACCTAATGCCGTTCTAGTTAGGAAAATCTTTGACATTCAGACGACCTCACATGATCTTTAAACTACTAGTAGCACATGATTCATCAACTAGAATGCCAAGACTAGCCTAACTAGAAGTCGGCTTAGAGTATATTTTGCGTAGTCACTGAAAGGTCACTTCAGTGTCGATGTGGAATTTTGGGTTACCGGTCCTGCGAATGGGTGGAAAACATCGGGCGCACAATATTGGCCAAACAACGTATTTTATTAAATGAATAAGTTGGAAAAAGCAACTCCTATGCCTTTTCATGTGAACTTATACTTCTGAAATGGAACCTTCCTGTCATGTCCGCTTCTAAATCTGCTCCGAGGCCATCGACATTCGAATTCGGGAACAGTCATTGCGGGTATGGCACACAGTCATGCCTCGATGTGCATATAAATCTCATACTTAACAACCAAACTTTGCAAGTATCTAGACGGAGCGATACCAATATCGATATCTGACTGTGCAGCTTTGTCAAAAGCATTTCCATTTATTACTTCAACTCAATTATTTCACGCGAAGGAACATTTAAGTAATAATCATATGGTCGCTGAGGCTTACTAACTAGAGTCACACATATCTATAGCAAACGTCGACTTCTTGACGACAGTCTCTTGTAAGTATATGTATGCTCAAGCATGTGACATAGAGTGGGAATTACCCGATGGTCGTGCCGCCGCACACTTTTCAATGGCTGCTACCATAATCTAAGCCTTCTCCATCACGATGGGCTAAGCGAAGAGGACGGTACGGCGGTGACTCAACCGACATCAGGTGCTCAAGAAAATTCGTCAAACTGCTTTCCATGTCGAAGGTGTGCGGGCTTTCATAAACGAATCTGTATACTTGAAATTCGCTGCCTCAGTACAAGGGGTTCAGAACGACGAAATATTCTGGAACAAATCCAGCGACAAGGATGTAGAGAGTATGTGTTGCTTATTTATTGGTGGTGGAGACTAATATATATGTGTACTGTGGTAAGGGAGCTGGAAACTCCCAAGACCCGGCGTTGCCACAATGAACTTGATTGGCTAGTGGACCGTATTAAAAAGGCAATATTTTAGACTTCTGTGGACTACTACTGGGATGCCGGGTTTGCAAAAGTAACTTTGAGGGTTGCTTCAAGACAAAATATTTAAGCACATGGTAGGGTGTTCAATGCGTAGTTTCCCTATGATCGGCTCATGTCTAATCCTATTAGTTAGACCTTTTGACTTGGCAACACCCATACAGACCATGCCATGTAAAGGCTCCTGGACTTGATCAAGTGGTGCTACTAAGTTAGAAAATATCGGACAAGACAGAAAGGTCAAGTCCAATGTTAATGTCCAATAAACTATTTTACATTCCTTGTGCCTCTCCGGATCTGACGGACTTGATGGCAATGATCCCTGAATCTAATCTCGGCCCAAATTGGCCAGTGGGGCTTTGAAAACCTCAACTGCACAGAATATTTACTCCCCGCAGGCATATCCTCATGCAACAAACAACTCATGCCACTTGCTTTTCTTTGCAGTCTGCTCACGAGCAGTAATAATAACAAGAGCCAATAGCTACTGCATCCGACCTGAGATAATGGTAAGGACATATGAAAATTGCCAAATAGCAGCGGGATGCATGATACGATTTACTTAATCTTTTCCGTAGAGAAGTCCGCGCTGCGACAGTAATTGATTTTAGAACCTAATTTCGCACAGGGCTCAAGGCTGTTCACAGCATCATCAGGTCTGCATCGTGGCTTGAGATTAATCCAGAGTCATTGGGTAACAAAATCGCATGCGCCCATGATTTCCAGTGGAGTTGGCCGGGAAAGGTGGGTTAACGCGTTAGATTAGCGGTCCAGGCCGTTCGACAAAATGTAAAACGGCAGTTTACTCGAGAGTGGCGCGAGGCTTTGATTGAATTTAGCTCACAGCTCATCTTTATTTGCTTTGGATGCGACATACTACCTATTAAGCTTTACCAGGGTTACTATGGCTGGCACAATCCTTCCGTCGCTAATATTGGACTGCATGGGGTGCGCGTGTCAGCCAAGCACCGACGTCGAATTAGATGTGAATGCGCCGTATATTGTTTGGCCAGGCTTCTAGATTGTGTGAAGGCTCCGAAACCTGGTACCCGGCTCCAGATCCATTCCCATGCTCCAAGGCCAGGGTTCGGCCGAAGGATATTTGCGGGGAATGATAATCAAATTCATGCAAGACCAAGGGAAGTTCTTGCATCAAATATATTAAAAACATCAGAAATCCACCACTCCCTTCCCATCAGATTATGTCATTGGAACATGAAGTGGACTCTTCAAGAGATGGACGGCATTTGGGCAGATGCGGAGGTAGCAACCCTCCCCTATCAAGAGGTCCACCCGGCAAAAGAACAGGAAGATATATCAGACGAAATGCCCGGCGTTGGACTCGGTGATTAATCTGATTTTCACACAATAAGACGTCTATCACTCTTTTACAGCCTGGGGCTTTACCTTCGACGCTCTTCGCAGTTACTTGTGCACGTTAAGCTTTACGTAGACCATTTCACTCATTATCACCACGTCCCGGAGACACTTTCAGACACTTTCATAGGGATACCGATAGGATGCGTTTCTCAACCGGTTTAACTTTTGCGGCAGCCCTGCTGGGCGTTGACGCATGTGCCGAGCACAGCAAGCAGCCATCCCGTCACCACACCCACAGCGTTGGCGCTTCATCTTCCGCCGCGGCCAGCCCCGTTACGACACTGACTCTTGCGCCGTCGTCAAAGGCTGTCACATCCCTGGCTGTCACTACGTCTCTTGCTGCCGCTACCACATTCTCAACGCAAACCAAGTCTGTCAAGACCATTTCTTCTTCCACCAGTAGTGCAGCAGCAGCAACCAGCACCACGGCCTCATCGTCCGGGCTCACCGATGACCAGCAGAACGCGCTGGACGCGCAGAACAGCGCCCGTAGCGACGTTGGCTCAGCTGCGCTAGTCTGGGATGCAGATCTCGCTGCTGAGGCGCAGACGTGGGCTGAACATCTTGTCTCTGTGGGCGACCTCGTCCACTCGGACGTCTCGAATGAGGGCGAGAACCTCTACATGGGTTACGACAGCAATCCTTTCGTCAACGCCGCCAACTTGTGGATCGATGAGAAGTCGAGCTACAGCGGGGAGGTCATCTCAGAGACCAACTACATGACCTTCGGTCATTATACCCAGATCGTCTGGAGCTCGACAACCAATGTTGGTATGGGCTCAGCTACGGACTCCAACGGTGCTGTCTACGTCGTCGCCCGCTACTCGCCCCCCGGCAACATGTAAGTCATCTCCTGTTGGATATATGAGATTAAGTGATATGTAACTAATAGAGAACTAGGATCGGCGAGGCCGCATACTAAGTCTCTCGCCCTGGAATGTAAGCGAAGGAACATATGGTACTAAGTATATGATGCATGAAGTTTACATGACATATCTTCAATTCTATGGCATCCTGGTTGCCTGCGCTCCATAGCGAGCCTTTTGGGACGGCTTTAGTTCAAAATACAGCTATATATTGAAACTCCGATACACAGAATTCTGTGAGAGTGCCATTCTGTGACTCCCCGCAAGTTATCGCAAAGCCCTGATAGAGTCGAGCACCATTGCGCCCAGATATTTAGTATGGCTTGCTGAGCGCGCCGCACAATAAATGGCTGGCTGGATGTGATTATCTTGGCGTCAAGTTCACTACTACATCAGATCTCATCCCCTTGGCCGCCAAATATCTCCCCATCTCTTGGCTGACGTTTACGTGAGTCTCTCCGTCGGGCACACTTAAATTTGATATAGACTAGATTCCTCCGTGTTCGGTCACTTGACTCACTCACGTCCCTTGGAAACAACGAAGAAATATCATTGTCTCTATTAAGGACCACTTCTTTAAAATCCACTGGAATCTTATAGATCACGAGTGCTGCAGAATCGTCAGCTTTGGGAGCAATCAAAGCTACATCACTTGTTGAACAGATCATATAGTGGTATAAGTCCTTTTAACTAGTATGGCTTGTTATTGTCGCTTCAACGCGGAAACTGCCCCGGATAGGAGTTGGGAGAACCACCAGGCTAGCCCGACATTGGTTGATTGACCATAATAGATGAGCTTAGTATATGTAGAGAAGTTTGCCTTGCGCAAAGCGGTAGTTTCACTCTTCGAAAAACATAGAGCTGTGACATCGAATGCGATCTGCGCTATGGTAACAGGCGTTCCTCAGATTAACCATGTCCAATATTAATCATGTTTTTTGAGCCGCATATTATTAATTAGCCTTTTTATTGGTAGAGCTGCAAGTGTTGAACCGAACGAAATCTTGGTCGGCCAACAAGCTCAGCATTGCGATATCTTCCTGTTGACAAACTTTGACTCGAATTGCCACGCTGTCGGAGTTCAACAAGTCATGAAGAATAGGACCGTCAACATAACGTAATCCGCAGCATCATAGTAATGAATTTAACTTGGCACGTCTTTAAGTTCAAGGTCTTCTCATTATATTCCACGTTTTCGTAAAATCGTTGTTTGCAAGAAAGAACCGCGCATTTTGAAAGCCCGGCCATTCCATCATTCTGCTGCTTGATTCCTGAGAATGAGTCAAATTTCATTTAGGAGATGCAATTATAGTCATGCAACTTCGCACTCACTTACGAGATCTGCAAGCCCACGTTCGCAGACCTCGATGCTCAAACCCCTTGGCAAGAAATTTGTCAAAATTTACTGCATGGGACCAAAATAAGAGCAAGTACAATTGATTTAAACAATTTGCGAAGCCTGGGCCAAAAGTATGCCCGGATCATATGATCATTCACATAATTGCTAAGCAGCGCATCCTTCCTACGGGGCTGTTGATGGCGGCACAGCCTAATTTCTCCAACTTGATCCTGGCGAACCCACATCGTAACACTGGGCTCCTCCAAACGCTTATAAATTGTGCCTCATTTGTCAGCCTAGACGACGACAAATCTGAGTAGCTAAGCAAGCTACCATTCTAGAATATCTGAGCAAAATATCGGTATTTCGCTTGCAGGTCAATTTGTTTACATGGGCATATACAAAAGTTATATATACCGATGGTCTGATAGCATTCATAAACAACAAGTCCCAGACGAAACTACAAGTCCCAAACGAAACACCAACCGTATCCTGACTAAAACCATCTTTATTCGCAAAGCCAAATTTTAACACCCACACTTGCTAATTCAAAATGTCCACACTTTACAACATTTCTGCGCCGAGGAGAATCACTGCCTCTAACTTGCCCTTACCAGCTTCAGCTGCATCTGATGCTCAAGCTGAACCAGGAGTTGAAGTGAGAGTTGACACGCTTGAAACAGAAGTATTCCCGGGAGGGATTTACCACAGAAGTCTTGTTGCGACCACCAAGCAAGTCCCAACAAGTAACGAGGGCTTGTGAGTCGTAAAAACCATATCAATATTCAAGTGGCTATCGCTCACATTACTACCAGCGGCGATATTCCTCTCGATGAGATCCCTGGTGCAGGCATTGTTCTCCCGGGAGGCATCAATATGTACTATCTTGATATTGCCCCGAACTCGGAAGGCCCAGTGGTTCGTTAGATTCAGCGATATGTAGACTGAAACTAACGCGAGCGACCAGCACCGTACGACATCTACCGATTATTTAGTAGTTTTGCAGGGCCATCTTAGTCTGATCACACCCGGCTCTGCACCATACTCTCGCGAGGATGGGAAAACTACCCCTGGTGAGCCTGTTGAGACTATCTGCGGCCCAGGCGAAACTGTATTGCAACGAGGAATGATGCATGCGTAAGTACTCCTTTGGAATGTCCAGCCAGATGATAAAAGAAGGATCATGTGGAAAGAACTTCCGTGCTGACTTGATAACCTTGAAAGTCTGTCAAATCGAACTGATAGCTGGGTCAGAGTTTTCTGCGTGATTGTATCGTCAGAAGCGAATCGTGTCCCTATCGAAGGAGACAAGACGGAGTATAAGTCGCTGGAGGATGCATGGCTCCAGTAGATGCGTAACTCAACTCCGCGCTTAACACGCGTTCATACATGCCACTAGCCGACATGCAACTTCTGACTTAACAGACAAGCGTGAAGATTTGTCCTTTGGTCCGATTGCTTCTTGTGTTGCAGTAAGGGCGACAAAGACAAGGGCCAAAGCTAAAAGATATCGCAAGGTTCCTGATTTGTTATGGCAGTCAATCGATTCGACGAAGCCGGATTGCGGCCATGAATGCACTAGAATAATAAATATTATCCTTCATGTCGTAGTCATGGCAGACCCGTTCTAGTCTGTACGTGGCTGTATGGCTTGACTGCGTGATCTTCGTTGTGTATCAGGCGCACGCTGCTGTCGTCGCTGCAGTCGCTGTATCGTGGTGAATACGATAGTGGCTAATATTGTATCGGTATAGCTATAATAAGAACCGGGCTACAGAGTCATCGGACTACCTTCTTTTGAGAAGGCGGCTTAAGTATCTGTGTTATTACAAAGCGTGAACGCATCCAGTCTTGGTTTTTTAAGTTTTAGCTGGGTGATGATGCGGTGTATTCTAGGTTGACTTACCAATGCCTTCTTCATTTGCATAGCTCGAGTCCTTGTGTTTGGAGTTGGTATAGCCGGCCATATACTTGAGTAGTTAGATAGCTACCGCATATTAAATCAGAAACACTAAAGCAGGCATTATCTGCTAAACAATTAACTTTCTTTCCCGTAGTAGGTCTGGTGGCCAAATGCATCGTTACCGCAAGGAATGAAGCTGCTGTCCAATTCCTCTCCCGCGGCCGAGCCGAATAACACGTGCCATTGTTGACATAGACGTTGGCATCATTAAGATCTGGTACAGCAAAAATGTCTGCTAGCGATCCAAAGATGATTGAGATGGCATGCAACCGTCGCAACACATCAACAAACAGTACCGTAAGTTGCACAACTGCATTACGGTTGAGGCGTTAGGATTCTTTCTGTGTTCCCTATTCTTCCTGTTGGTTCTCTAAACCTGTAAATGTGTGCCTGGGGTATACGGCGGATTTAGTATAGAGTATCATGCAGTTCAGCGGCCGATAGCTCATTGGCCGAACCATACCATGAGGAGGACATGTTCTGGGGACCCTGCCGTTGACAGTGTGACAGCCAGGAATAATCCGTAACTTACAATTTGTCGATGCCAACAACCGGCCTCGGCTGCATCTCCACCTCGATTTCCCATTGCAAGACTGTCGGCACATTCTGTGGCGGGCTGAAAGTCGTCTTAACTATGATTATCAAGCCCGATACTTGCGAAACGAGTCAAGCGACGAATCTAGTCTGGGCACGTTCCAGAGGCTAGCCGTTTTTCAACTCAATCTTTAAGGTAAACATGGTGGATTCATCCAGCTGCACATAAGTTAGTACTGAACTGAACTGCACTGAAATGAAATGAATTGCGCTACTCCGTACTGCCTGATCCCTGTTTATGCCTATTGCTTAAGCTTACATACTTACTTTGTAGTCTAGGGCTCGCGAATCAATCCCCCACATCCCATGGTCAATAGAATCCCTCTCGCGTTTTCTACCAATTCCTTCCAGGCATGGTTTCGCGACATATATTTCCATTTGCTCTTCGTCATTTCCCGGAATTCTGTAGATCGACTGCCCCACCCCTTCGTGGCCACAATATTTACCGGTGCTTTTGCATCGAAGAGCCTTTTGGCAGTTGTGGGAGAAGTGTCGGAAGGTTTTCTTTTCGGGCCCTGCTCCAGGCAGTGCCAGGCTTAGCGAGTCTTGCTGCAAAGAAATACCCTAGCCTATCCTGGCTTGGCGTGGGATGCGCGAAGCGCTATGAGCAGCGCTTGAGTCTAAACTAATGCAGGGGAAAGCAGTCACTTTCGACTATCTTGCACGTGGAGATTAAAGCTGAAATACATCGACGCCGTAGTGAATGCCTTCGACTCATTGTTCGTTGGACCTGGCTTTCATCTCTTAATTGTCTCCCTTCATTGGCAGACTTTACGAGCATTGAGCATCCGGCGTTTCCGAACATTTCTATCATGAGCTTTGGTCTCCGCTCCCGACGCGGCAGTTTGAGGCTGACTGAGAGTTGGCCTAGTTTGGCTCTTGACGGCCATGACCAACATCTCTATAGAGATGCAAACAATCACAGACTTGAGCAACTGCAACTGAAAAATACATGTACATGAGCAGACACTAGACTTTCGTGCCGGCGGGAAAGGCGAGACCACAGTGTCTCAGCAATTTTCAAGTTCATTGTGCATTTGCAGCCTCTTCAACAGTTCTAATGTTCAGCCATGGGCAATATATTCAATAGTTTACCTGGATAGCTACAATCTCCTCCAAGAAAAACGCCGCGATCATCTGATCGCTCCGGTGGGTATGTCCCGGTAGTTCGGACTCGGTAATCGACCCGACGTTTCTAGACATTTCACTATAGGCGCTATAGATGCTTATGTTGCGCACGGGTATCCTGGGTTACCACATGGGGAAAGCAGTCAGCCACAAAGGGTCCAGCACCGCCTTACAGCTTCTGGGCCGTTGAGAAGCCCTCTAGCTGCAAGAAAAGAGCCCAAAGGGTCCCCAAATCAATGCAAGTGGCCAGCTGAACACTAGCTGGGTTGTTCACTAGTTGACATCACCTCTTGGCACCACTTGCGGAGGTGGCTCTATTCGCATCTCGTGGGCTTATCGTATACTGCGTAGACAGGCAATGGCGCTTCGATAGCTTCTTCAGAGGGAGGTCTATAAAGGACGATAAACTCCCCCTTGGATCATCGTTTTCCTGGCATGACTTCTCATCACTGAGTTCATCCTTCTTCGACTCGTGGCAACATCACTCTTTTGTTGCTTCAAGCATCGTGGTCTTCTGCCGGCTTCCGGCTGTTACATTCATTTATTGGCAGTCCAACCCTCCACTCGTTATCAACGACTTACCATATATAATCTAATTCATAATACTCTTCGCGATGCGTATCAATTCGACGGGAGCTCTGCTTATGGCAGGCTCTGCAGTAGCATCCACTGTCCCACGAAACTACAAGAACGGCACGGCTGATGTTGTTCCTGTTATCAGCAGTACAGTTGTCACGACGTTGACTGTGCATGCAACTGTAACCGACCACGTTACCGATCATGTCACGGATCATGTCACTGTTCTGGACACTGTCACAGCTGCTGTGTGCATGACCGCAGCACCCGGCTTGGCTTCCTCCGGCGCTCTGCTCGGTAGTGGCTCTCATTATGAGCAGGGTAGCAATGGCGGTCAAGCACCAAACGGTGCATTGTCTGCTTACAAGTCCGGCTCTTCTGGCGGGTCGTCCATAGTCAATGCTGCTGGCTATACAATCAGCACGGCAACAACATGGACTGGATTCACGCAGACTCAGGCAGCACCTACTCTGAGCCCTGCTGTTCCTTACGGCCATGATTCCGACAACATCAAGCATCTGACCCCTTCGGACAACTGTGCCATTCACTACACCGACTCCGGTGTCAACGACCCAGCAAAGCAGCAACTTTTTGCTTCGATGAACGCCACCTTTGTGCACCCAGCCGTTGTCCTTGAGCACTCCTCTTTGATCAGCAATGTCACTTGTACTGAAAGTGGCATGTCTCTCAAGATGGCCAACCAGGAAGCATTAGCTCATTGTCAACAGAACTGGGACTCGAACAAACTCATCCTTGCCACCACTGCTTGTGGTGCCGATAATGATGGCCAGAATGCCTACTTCATCGTTTCTGGTATTGACTACGACTCTTCGAGCTTGACTGCGCATTGCCAAGCAGCCGAGGTGGACATTCCCGATTGCATGACGAACGTCGAGCTTACATGGGGATCCATCACCCCCAACTCTACCGCCTACGGTAACACCACTACTAGTGGTCCCTATGGTAACAGCACATCTTCCTCGGGACCTTTCGGGAATAGTACAGCCTCTACAAACACAACCTCAACGGCAGCCGCCTGTGGTGCCCCACCTGCTGCAACCATCTCTGGATTCCCGGCTGCTCCTTGCGGTGAGAACTTTGACCGAGCTCTCGATGACATGTTGGGATACCGTAAGTGACCGATCGAGCACCATCGTATTGAATACATTGCTAACCTGCACAGTCAACTTCGATGATGCCGACTTCAGTTCGTCGCTCGAGGACCTGGCTCCTGGTCTAGGCGACTTCAGTGAATCAGATTTTGAGGATGATGATGTTACCGGCGGTGTTGCCTCAACAAGCTCTACTGCCACAAAGAGGCACATGAAGCGCAAGAGCTTCGTCGAACGTCGTGCTGCTATTCAGAAACGATTTAGCTTCAAAGCTTTCATCCAAAAGACTGTCAAGGCAGCCGTCACCTTCGTCAAGGAGGCTCCTAAAGCTCTCACTACGGTCGTTGTGAACACGGCCAAGGCTGGGTACAACTTTGTCAAGGACACAATTTCCAACCTCCTCAACCCTTCCGTCGACGCTTCCACCAACTTTAACATTGCACCCAAGACCCTTAGTGACTCTGTGTTCGGACAGGCTTATCCGCTTTACCACTTGGATAAGACCAGCGGAGCTGCTTCTGGCACCATCGACTTCTACTGTGTCGACTGCCAGGTCAAGGGCTACATCCATGTCGCCGGTAAAGTCAACTTCAACATCTTGTCAGCTTCCATTACAGAAGGTTATGTGCAGTGCAATGGCAATTTGTTGGCCCAAGCCTACTTGGGCATTGCTGCCCAGGCTTCTTATAAGCCCGATCCTTTCAAGAAGAACATTGCCGCTCAGGGTATTCCCATTCTGACCATTCCCAAGGTCATTGTTGTTGGGCCTGAGTTTGCGCTTGACGCCAGCCTTGGAATTAACATCGAGGCCAACGGTCAGGTCCTTGTCGGCGCCAGTGCCAGCCTGCCGAACTTTAATGCCAGACTCGATCTTGTTGACTCTGCCAAGACCACTGCAACTGGGTTTACTCCCACTTTCTCCACCCGTTTCGAAGCCAAGGGCGAGATCACTGTCACCACCACGCTTGGTTTCCCAATCACCATGGGTGTCGGTATCGATCTCGTACCTCTCGGAACCAAGGGTCGTCGCCTCATCTCAGTCATCAACGAGCCTTCTGTTAGTCTTCAAGCCAAGTATGCCACTGACGGTGACTGCGCCAACGGTGTAGCCTACTCCATGGCTCTTGCCGACGATACTAGTCTCGATTTCTTCCAGCTCAAATCCATTTCCCTTGCTAACTTCAAGTCCCCTGACTTGGTTTCGGGATGCAAGCAACTCGGATCGGGATCCGCCACTGGTACCACGGCTACTACTGCTGCTGCCGGCTCAACCGCCACTGATGCACCTAGCACTGACTCTCCCACTCCTACTGGCACCGATGCGGCTGATCCCACCGGTACAGACTCTCCTGCACCAACCGGTACAGATGCGTCTGAGCCCACCGGTACCGATGGATCTCAACCAAGTGCCACCGATGGTTCCGAGCCTACCGCCACTGACGCATCCGAGCCAACTGCCACTGATGCCTCCGAGCCCACAGCTACCGACAACACCGAGCCCACTGACACCGGTGCCTCTGAACCAACTGGTACTGATGAATCTGAGCCGGCCTCCACCGACTCCGCCCCGGAGAAGAGAGTGATTCGCCGCCAAGATGACTCCTCTTCTTCCAACGACACAATTATTGACTCTGAGGATGACTCTAACGGTTCCGCCACTCAGTTCGGATTCGTCTACACCGCCATCGTCGACCAGTCCGGCTCATACGTCCTGACTAACGATGACGACGGCAACCTCGGCCTGACCGCTGGCGATGGTTCTACCGACGCCAAGACAGCCGCCGCCGCAGCCCTTTCCACGCCCGGCGCCGCCTACTCATCCTACGACCAGGTCATTACATCCGATGACTCGGACCGCATTTTCCACTACTACCCCGACGTGATGAATGCCTTCGGCGTTTCACGTCTCCGTCTGAGCAGCATTGACGAGATTCCTAAGGGCGCCGATATCATCACCTTGTTGCCCGTGAACTATGATGAATCGGACTCTACCCCTGGAATATACATGGCAGTCGATACCAAGGGCAACTACTTCTACATCATGGCCTGTGACATCGAGGGTGACGCTGCCAAGATCTTCATTGCGTCTGATCCGGATGCTGGTGCTGCCAAACTTGCCGAGGCGGATCTGCGCTACATCGTTACTGGTGGTGTTGTTCAGGATTGTTCCTTCATGCCATTTGTCTCGACTGGTGCCGGTTTGTCTTAAATGAATTTGGTGGCGTAGTGCTGTGAGTCGTACATTTGGCAAAAGGCACCTTGGTTTCTTATTACCTTAATTTGGGGCTTTCTTTGAGTACTACCGTACAACCCAATTTTTCATTGTCACAGCCATGTACCAACCATCATATGAGTAATACTTAACTGGCCCACAGAAAGTATGCACTGGAAAGAGGCCTTCTATTTCCAGTGCAACAACAATATAAGCAGTTACCTCAAATTAATGTTCACATGAGTGCCGTTTTATTTATGTTTGTTCTCAATTGTAAGACTCTATAGTTTTGATCCCGGGTTAAAATCAACGCTGCTAATCAAGCCCCTAAGCTTTTGTTTATTATAAAATTGATTCTACGCAGATATGCGGCTTTGACTTAGTCCATGTCCGGGAGTGTCTGCCATGTGGCTGACTTACTTGCTGAAGATGGGGAACGCGAATGGATTGCCTGGTTCTCTTCGCGTCAATTTTATCCAAAAAAAAAATTTGGTTCTTGGCTAATAGCTGACTTTGTATTTTAGGTTACCGCAGTAGTCACTCAGCAGTCACTCAGCACGAAAAAGATCCTTCTGTCTTCAATTTGGCCGTGGGATTGTTACTGACGAGGCTAATGGATATTTCACATTACTTTAGCTAGAAGAAACTTCTGCGTTGACCGACGATGCCTTTCCTCTAGGAGACCTAAGACACGGTTTTGTGCAGCATCGTGGCGCAGAAGAGCCCGAGAAGATACGTATCAAGGTGTTTGTCGAAATAATGCGCTTAAAGCTCTTCAGAAAGCTGGACAACCACTTCATGAATTCCTTACATTCACCGCTTTGCTTGCCGAGAACAGGAATACACAAGAGAAACTGCCTGCGATTGATCGATAAAAGATGCCAGCAGTTCATCCATGGAGCGATCTGGAATGACAATCCCGCGCGTATGTCTTTCGACGATCGGCCGCGCAACAATCGCCATTTTGCCCCTGGGATATTCAAAAATGTTACTATAAACAATGTTGTCTACTGTTAATAATTTGGCAACCTACAGTTACTTTATGCCATGGCAGTCACCAATGATGAAGCTCCGAATGCTACACAAAACAAGATCATACGCTGGCTCAAAGTCATGTATAAGCTGGCTGTCGGTAGTGGCGCTGTGACACTATGAGACGTGAGACGCACTCGGTAAGTAAGTAGTTTACTGACGGTACTAAATTAAATCTGGCGACAAGAAGACTTTGGGAGATCTCTTTTACCCAGATCCAATTGCCCGTAACATCGTCAGAGGTGCGAGGAGCCATCAAACCACCATTCAGCGAAAAGCTAATGGTATAGGCACTGTCATTCACACTCTTTTTTGGTGCGGATTCTTTACTAGATCCAAACGATCCTATACGATTTGGAGCCATTTTGATTTTGAATTTTCATTGATACGTTGGACAGGATGAATACAAACATGGCGAATACGATCAAGCACCTCACAGGACCAAGTTGGGTGTAGAAGATGCTTCGACATCCAAGGACACTATTGGTGCACTTCAGGCGATTGAAAGATGTACAAAAGTGAGTATGAAGCCTAGTAGTCCTGTCCGCTCACCTCGGTCGTAATTCGCCGAATCATTGCGGCGTTAGTTCCTATAATATTTGCAGTTCGCGAGCTTCTGGGCTGCCGGCACCATGTGGGCCCGAGACTGGGAACACTGGGTATGAAGACTACTGCGAGCAAATTCTAGCAGCAGTTCTACCGCTTTTGATAGCAACCAGGAAGGTCGGCCTTATGCATACGAACTACGGGCTCTCATCACCAAGCAGGGGTCTCTCGAGGGGCCTGGACTGGAGTGGCGTTTTGATGGACGACATATAATTATGTTAGCATATGTTTTTGCGATCCTTCACCAAAGCATTCTGACACACCTCTAGCCACATGTTGGCTCATGGGCGAACAAGCGCCATCCGCTGTGGCTCCACCGCCTGGTACGCAGTCTGGCATTTGTCCTCATCCGATGAAACACGTCAAGGGCCATTATCGATAACTTGGGTTCTCAAAACCTTGGGGGCAGCTTTTGTTCCACTCAAGGTAACTCCATTCACATGTCAGTGTTGATTTCATGGCCCTCCCAACCCTAGGATTCCTCCCTGGGGTCCTAGACATGATATCTGTATATTATAGAGTACCGCAAACGAATTGTATACTAGGACTACCTCACATTGGATCCGGCACCAATTGTCGTAGGGGGGTTAGGGCCAGGCTTACATCATATCAAGTTTCCCAGTTCAGTACAATGAAGAGTTGAAGAAGTATATGTGATACAGGTCTCTGGACCAATACGTACAGGAAGAATGGGGATATCATGCCATAACTCATTAGCGCTCTTGCCCACACCGCAAACCAAATATTATACCGAGAATCACGACGTGGTGTACCAACGGCTGTACAGTCCACATCCAGCCTAGAACTCGCCTTCGCCACCACCGCCCACGACGCCAGCAGTCCATAACCCAACCAGTCCCCACCAACTGACTTTCCATCCCCTCCATAGTCCCCCTACGCCTTGGCCTCTTTTGTATACTGTCTCGCCAATCTTGGCCGGTTTGCCCTTCTTGTTCTTGGCGGCAGAGACTGCCTTGGCTGGCAAGGGAAGAACACGTGACCCCTCCTCGGCGATGATGGTGTACATGGTGCCGACCACGCCGTTGTACGAACCAGCGTGTACGATGGTGTCGGGACCGCCTGACTTGTCCAACGCTCGCACATATGCCGGCTGCGTGAACACGGAAGCCTGACCACGTCGTAGGACTGTCTCGAGCGGTAGCTTTACGAAGAGCGACACGCACGAGGTGCAGAACTTGGCGACGGAGAAGGTAGTGGGCGAGAGCTGCTTGTCGATCAGAAACTGCGAGCGCAGAACGAGCGGTGTCGAAAGGGTGATCAATGGGTGAACCAGAGAATGCAGGATCGTCGGAGCGACAAGCGAAGAGGGACACAGCCAGGAAGGAAGAGATCGAAGAGCCGACATGGTCCGTCTCTTGCTGTTGTTTGTTGAGGTCAGTAACAACCTTGTGCGCACGACATCCAGAGGCGCAAGCACGAGGCCGGTTGCGACAGCTGCGGTGGCGGCGACACATAACGATGCCCACGGATAGGGTGATGCGATGTCGACAAGCCTGTCGACGTCATCCTTGACTCCCAGATCGGGAACATTGAGAAGTGCACTGAGCAGACTTCGTGACCAGTTTTCCAGAAGAGACTGTAGGACCGTGTAGAGAAATGTTGCGTTGGACCCCTTCCATACACCCCACGCGCTTTCTTTGGACCAGAGCTGCGATATCACTTCGAGTACTGAGTCGGGCCTCTTGAGGTTGAGCTGATGTGGCAACAGGTCGGGCGCCCTCGCGGGTTTCGGCGAATCGGTTGGACTTGATCTCCGTCGGTGCGATCGCGTGGAAGGTGTGGGGGTTTGGTAAGGTGCGTTTGATGTGAAGTAGGAGGGCTCGTCATCCGAGTCAGATTCAGGATACTGGGGATATAATATAGCGTGAGTACTTGGAAAATGGGCACGATGAGCGTTGGCTTGTCCTACCTGTTCATACATGGACTCTCTTGGACTGGGGATCTTCGGTCTGCTCGCCGGTTGTGACGAAGAAGAAGAGGAAGTACCCGTTTCCAACAGCTCGATGTCATCTTGGGTCCTGACCTGCAAAACCGTCTTGGCGACCTCGAAAGGCTGTGCCATCAAGACGCTGGTGTACTTCCATAGCAGCTCATCGATCAGCTCCTTGACGCTCTGTATGGTGGAGGGCGAAGGATCGTTGACATAGTCCCTGTAGTCCAGATCCGGGAAGATGTCACGGGCCCTGGACGCGTACTTTGTGCTGTTGGAAGCGCCTGCGGTGGCACTTGCATGTGAGAATGGATTCGGCTGTCGAGGGATGGACTCGGTCTGCTCTCCTATCGTGGGTGGGATGTAATACGGGCGCAGGGGATTGACGCCGTCCCTGGTTGGTGTGGTCATATCTATGTTAGGGCTGTGACTGCAAAAGATAGCTATGTGAGGTGAGGTGTGTGTGTGTGTGTGTGTGTAGGTGGATGTGTATGTGTGTGTGGGCGTGGGCGTGGGTGTGCAGTGTATGGCGGCACACGCTGGATTCAAGCTGATACCAAAGCTCAACTGTAAATAACCAAGAGCAAGCTCAAGCAAGCAGGCGAGCAAGCAAACAAAAGCTCTACTGTACGGTCAGTCAGCTAAAACCAAAATCAAAGCACTATTAGATCATTGTCTGCATGACGAAAATCCATGGCGCCCCTAGCCTAATTTCCAGGCCGTCAATCCTTGTCGCTAAAAACTTACGACGAGCTCCCTGGCACTGACGAATTTCTTGTTGGTTGCAGCCGGCAGTCCAAGCCACTGTGGCAGTTGAGCAAACCCCCACTGACCACTAAAAGAACACACAATTTGGTGACAATCTTTCACCAGCCACTTCATCCAGCAGTCAGCATTCGCATTCTCCATTCCCCGTTTATCGGACGTCGGGGGGTTCACTCGGGAGGCGGGCATGGGCGACGGCGGTCTTTTTCCATTTTCCAGGGTACCATTCGCTAATTGTTAACTGGCTGACTGTTGCTATTGCTGTTGCTGTCTGTTACCATTGGAAGGGGTAGTTAGAAGCTAGACAAGTGAGACTAGACTACCTACGTTAAAGTAGAGGCAGCTGTCGTTGGAACTTTTTTTTTGTTGCCTTTTTAATTTTTAATTTTATCTTTTTACCTGCATTATCACGGCGCAATCTCCATCACTATACTATTTAGAGCTTTGTCGTTGGTTGCCCCTTCTCTGTTCGACCAACCAATTGCCCGGCGAGCAATTAATTGTTGGTGACTAGGTTATTGTTCAAATCTGTTACTCCTCACTGCAGCGTCTGGAAATATACGTCTGCGCATCTCCATACGGCATCGAGTACAAAAAGTGCTCCAACTGCACTGCCGTCACTCTCTAATCCCGACTTTTCTACCTTGTCGCACCAAATTGCCTTGCAGTCCAAGAACGAAGCTCTCAAGATGGTCGCCGCTAGATGTATGGCAACAAGCCTGAGGCACCTCAACACCATATCACAGCCCACCAGAGCCGCACAAACAATGTCACGGGCCACCCGGATATTCTCTCCCGCGACCGCAATGCGCACATTCAGCACCTCGCCCAGACGGTTACACGGGCATATACACACTCCCAAGCCCGGTGAAGAGTAAGTCGATCACACACTCTCTCTGTCTCTATCTCTCTTGCCCTCTCTTTCTCCCCCGGGCGAATGGATCAACCTACTAACTCTGGTATTTTCTCTTGTCTCCAGACTCTACGTTACCTTCATCGACAAGGAAGCCCGCGAACACAAGGTCGCCGTGAGCAAGGGCGACAACCTTCTCGACGTGGCCCAGGCACACGACCTGGAGATGGAGGGGGCCTGTGGCGGGTCCTGCGCCTGCAGCACCTGCCATGTCATCGTCCTGGACCAGGACCTCTACGACAAGATGCCCGAGCCTGAGGACGACGAGAACGATATGCTGGACCTGGCCTTCGGCCTGACCGAGACGAGCCGCTTGGGCTGTCAGGTCACCATGACCAAGGAGCTGGATGGGTTGAAGGTCAGGCTGCCGAGCATGACGAGGAATCTGCAGGCCAGTGATTTCAAGTCATAGCATTGGTGATGGAAACGGGTAGAAAGTTGTCATGACTATGTACATAATATCCACTGGACGGCGGACGGGCGCATGGAAAGCGAACAGGGATTTGACCAGGGGTTATGTGGCGCCAAATTCGGCATGCCAAGTTCAATTGCCTTGTAAATGTAGCATAAATCACATCCAGCACCGACGACTGGATAATAGAAAGACCATTCTCATGGTCTCATCCTCACTCAAACCAAATCTTCAACCGTCCTTCTCCAGCCGTCTTACCACATGTGAGTCTACGCCTCGTCAATGGCGCCCTTCTTCATTTTTCCGCCACCGGTCGCAATCAGATCCAAGAACCCCTTCCTGCTCATCTCGGAAACCTTCTCCTTCCTGCCCTCGACTCCGGTAAAGCCGTCCTTTCTAGCCTGCGACTCAGCCTCCATGCCAGCTTGTTGCGCTCTGAGGAAGGCGTTGAAGACCTCCTTGACACCCCTTGTGGCCGCTCTCCTCAGCTGCCGTTCCTTCTCTCTGATATCGCCCGTGCTCGTCACGAGCTCGCCCGTCTGATCGTTCTGCGTTCCCGTGATGACATCCTTGACTCGTCCCTTTTCCAGCGCAGCCAGCTTAGCAGCGCGCATCTGCCTCTTCGCCTTGGCCTCGAGGGCGGCATCGATGATCTCCTTGGACGCCTTATGCGCATCTACGGAGCGAGACAGGACGGGATCGGAACGTTTGGAGGTGGACAGCTTGGTGCCCAAGATCTTCTGCAGTGAAGTCGCGAACGCCGTGGGGTCATTGCGCTTGGACTTGCCCTTGCCGCCGGCCTCTGTCTCGTCGTCTGATGCGTCAAGGTCGAACTCGTCGCCGTCCATTTCCGAGTCTTCGTCGTCCTCGTCGTCGCTGGATGGTGGGGCATCCTGTGCCAGTTTCCGCTTGGTGGTTTTGGGCTTCTGGAGCTTTTGTCTGGCCGATGACCCGTCTTCTGAGCCGGAATCTGAGTGTGAGCCGGCCTCGGAGTCAGATGCTGCGCCGTCGTCTACTACTGCGTCCAGGCCGCCCTCATCATCCGAGTCGAGCAGGTTCACAGGCTGGAACCCCGACTCGGCGTCATCCTCCGATTCGCTCTCGTAGGCGGTTTGCTTCTTTTGCTTCTTTACCGGTCTTGATTGTTTTGGTTTGACTGTCGAGTCATTACGCGAACGCTTCTTTGACGCCGCGAGAGGTGCCTTGGGAGCCATATTTGCGAGTGATGTTATGTGGCGGTTGTTTGCTGCTTTTGCTTTGGAGAAAGCAACTGCGCGTAGTCTAGCGATCGTTCCTTTACTTTCACTCTGGCGGTATCCGTATTCTCCAAAAATTTCGAGGTCGAGGGGCCGATAAGACACTGATAAGCCATTGATAAGGCGTCTTATCCAAGAGCGAGCTCATATTGGTCAATGTTGAATACCCATTCTGCACTCTTAGTGGCTACCAAGTGCGGGTTCATATGTACTCCGTACCTACAGATCTCAGGTATGAGTTAATCCGTACTAGTACATATGTAGTAAATGATTACCGTGAGGTCTGTGCTCTGCAAGTGGCTTCCCTGGGCTTCTCCTTCCCCAGATTTCATGCCCATCTGGCCTCGGATCTGCCCACTTCGAGACTGGAGTCAAAGTCCATTCAACCGAGCTTCGACTTGTGAGCATACTCCACCATCGCGCCAATTAACGAGGCCGGCGGGAGGGGTTGTTAATTAATCGCCTTGGTGATATCGATCAATCGCACACTTTGGACAAAATGGTGTTGGATTCCTCCAAGTTGGTGTTTTCTTCTCGGCCCATCTTCTAACACTATATACACAAACTCAAAATAAAGCTGACTCAAACATGCCTCCAAGACTAGCGGCCAAGCTTATCCCCAAGATAAAGCTTGTGACCAGGCCTAAACCACATTGCCTGTCTTCAGTTCGCGCTTTTTGTCGTGTGAGACCATACACGACACCTCACCATCACGGTGAGCGCAAAAGTCGGACCTTCAAGAGACACCTAGTCGGGGTGCCCCAAAAGGACGAGTTGCAACGTCAACGTGACTACAGCCTTGTCGCCGACCCGAACGCATGGTTCATAGATTACCAGGATAACCAGCTTCAGAGCAATCGTGTCACTACGGAGTCAGACAATCTGATTTTGTTTCATCCGGAAAACACACAGAGCCTCGTTCTCAACTACCATGCTCTGCGCGACGCTTGCGAGTGCGACAAATGCGTGGATCCACATTCCGGCCAGAAGAACTTTGGCACAACTGAGATCCCCGACCAAATATCGACCAAGAGCATTCAGCGCTTGGGCGATGCTTCTCTTCAGGTCGTATGGGAAAACGACTTTCACTCGGCCGGTGAGCCTCACACATCTGTTTATTCTGCCAAGGCCATCCGGAGCTGGTTCAACAGGTCCCGCGAAGGATTTCCTTCATTACCGAACATCACTCTGTGGGACAAACAACTCTTTGCTGCCAGTCAGCATATGGTAAAATACGATGACTGGATTTCAGAGGGCCCTAATTTCCACGCTGCCATGGCGCAATTACATAATTATGGGCTTGTCTTTATCGACGGAGTTCCCAAGTCCGAGGAGTCAGTAGTCACCATCGCCAATCAGATCGGCCACGTCATGGAAACCTTTTATGGACGCACATGGGATGTTCGCTCAAAACCGGAGGCCGAAAACGTAGCTTATACGAGCACCTTCCTCGGCCTGCATCAAGATCTCCTCTATACACGAGATCCTCCCCGGATACAACTCTTACATTGCCTCGAAAATACATGCGAAGGCGGCGAGTCCATCTTTAGCGACTCACATCGTGTTGCAAACTTGATGGAACTTGGACCTTCTCGCTACTTCGAAGCATTACGGAGGAGAGCAGTTCGTTACCATTACAAGAAAGACGGCCACTTCTACGAAAGTTTGCGAACCATCCTTGGCAATATGGCCAACCCGGTTTTCTGGAGCCCCCCGTTCCAATCTCCAGACCAACCTTTGCTGCGAAGCCAGATCGGAAGTGAATACTACACAGCATGGCTGGTAGCAGCCAAGAAGTTCCGCGAGCTGCTCGAGGACGAGAAGTATCTTTACGAGTACAAGCTCAAGCCGGGACAGTGCGTCATATTCGACAATCTAAGAGTCCTTCACGGTAGACGGACATTCGATACCACCTCGGGATCCAGATGGCTCAAGGGTACATATGTTTCAAGGGATGAGTGGAATAGCAAGACTTTGACTCTGGCAAAGGAGATCACCGCGGCGAGTGCCAAGGATGTACCGACTCCTTTGACACAGGGGTTGAAGCTGATGCTGCTGCATTCCGTTTGGAAGGAGGACGATTTCAATCCATCTGAACTGGTCGATCGGTTGAAATCTCCTGGCTGGAAGGATTTCAATGTCACCACAGTTTGATGGATTATACTAAGTACAGCGAAGGGCATGCTTGACGATCGTACCCATCGATTGGACCTCTTAATCGCAGTAAAGACGAGTCATACGAGGCCTACTTGTACGAAGGCGTTTAGAAGAGGCCACTATAACACATAAATCATATTCGTCGGGTAGATGTTCGCTACACGCTAAGTAGTAACAGCAAGGAATATGTGGGCAGGCCCTTCTAAACAAAACGAAATATGAGTTATCCGAAGCGCCGAGATCAAGCACACGTATAAACAAGTGGCAATTGAGTTACGAAAGCACTCTGATTTTGTTCATTTTCCATTCATGTGTCTTTCCTATAAATTCTCTCACCACCACTCTTCTTACCCAATACGCTCCCCGCAACCTCACAATGTCTTTTGACGCGCGCTGTATCCTCTCCACGCAACGGTTCTTGGAGCTCTGCTCGACAGTCTGACGCTGATGCTTGAAGGTAAGAAGATTGATATTTCTGCGCTCTTTGCGTTGGGGAGGATCTCCTGAGTGAGTTTGCCAAGCGTCCAATTTAGGCTCACACACTTACCGATCGAGTATTATCTGGTACTGTTTTGATATCACACGGCCTCCGAAATATTGTAGATCTGTGGCTCTCTACCCGACGAACGGCTGGCTCTTGTGCGTTCCCGTATTGTTCGTGCATAAGCTGCGGGAAGATACATCGCGGGAGTTGCTGCCGATGTTCGCTTTCATGACACTACAGCTGAGCGGCCGTTTGTGAGTGAAGGTAATGTTGTGGGTGCTTCGTAGGTACATATTGAAATATCGCACATACAAGGAGGCAAGAACAAGAAGCTAAGTTGCTCAAATCAGTATCCCGTCTCCTAAAATCATATTTCTGATGAACTAACATATAGGCCTACATTCAGTATGCTTGCTCATATCGGTCGGTTCTCGCTCCTGGCCTCCTGCCTCTGGGTCCAGTCCACGTATCGATCTATTCTTTTGCTACAAGAGATGACACTCCGAACGTTGGTTGTCGGGTTATCAAGCCAAGGCCACCTGTGAGGCAGTCCGAAAAGCAGCTTACCAGCTGTGAACCACAGTGTTTAACTACTGAGGTGGCAGAATGGCACGTATCGCTATTGTACAGGTACGGGGAACAGACAGCTCCCTCTCGCCATAGAGCCCGGCGTCGTTAGGCTAACGATTATACTATCGGATTGCACAACCACAGATAATACAAGGGTATGGTGTATGCAGGCATGTACGTTACGCGAGTGTAGAAGACTATAGAGATAGGCCTTCAGTAGGTACTGAGCAAAGATGATTCACAAGTGTAGCCATTAAAGCTTGAGCTTCACCTATGGGTAAGATAGATGCTTAGATTGATCACTGAAGTAATGACTGTCTATATAGCTAGGAAATCTAATCCTCATTATATCCATTCATTCCTTCACTGATGTTGGCTACACCTTCCCTTCTATTTACTGTCCGAGCGCAAGCAACTGTTAGCAACTCGGCGCATAGCACACCAACTCCATAACAGTGGGCCCATAGTGGGACCCGAAAATATCAACACCAAGACGAAAATCTCGCGATGGACGTCGACATCACCACCCCAATAAGGCCGCCGGCCGAGGAACAGGCCCATCACACCCGCGAAACAGGGCCAAACACGCCATCAAATGAAAACATCAAACAACGGAAGAAGCCCAAGACCCTGAGCTTCAGGGCCCCCGAGAAACTACCTAGGAAGGCCGCTGGATTGGAAGAGACGGTCCAGTCAATGATAACAGGCCAACTAGCTCAAGTAGAGAGAGACCTCAGAGTCAAGAAAGAAGTGATCACGAAGCTAGCAAGAACACTCGACGGCTTCGTTAAATCCTTTTAAGGAGATCACCTTAGCACCTAGCGCAGGACGGCAAGAGAGCTCGTTAACGTCCTAGCGAGGCATCTCAACACGGCAGTATTTACAGAGACCGATGGGCACCTATACGCTCCTATCAGGGTCGAGAGCAGCCCAGAGCAAACACAAGAGTCCGAGGAATCAGGTTTAGGAAGCCATAACCGACCAAAGGAAACCCCCGCAAATCAGACGTGGGCCACGGTGGTAAAAGGCCCGAAAAAGGGAGGACGAGCGAGGGTAACGCCTCCGACCACTAACACGAAGAGCCAACACTCGACTGCTAAGACCACGGAGACCAGGACATCAGCGCCTACGCCATAAGAGGACCTAAGAATCCTAATCAAGATGCCTGTTATACCGACTACGCGAGCTATATAGCCGTATGCCGTCCGGCAGGCAGTAATATCAGAGTTCTAGCTAACGCTTAAAGACGTTCCGGACGCGAAACCGACCGTAACCGGCTTTGCGATTAAGCTAGCCACGGTAGAGCTCCGGGACAAAGTTATAAGGCCAGAGAACAAGCCCCGCCTTAGTAGAGCCCTCTAAGCGGAGGCAGTAAAACTCCTAGAAACATGGGCTAGCTACATCGTCCTAGGAGTACCGGGGGCGATAATAGATTATTTACAAAGAACTTAGCAAATAGTCACACCCGAGATGGTCATCGAAGAGGTGATCGCGTAGACCGGAAGCACGCCGGCAGATGTTCGGATCTCCCGTTACGGAGTAGACCTTGTAAAAGGCACGGCCATATGGCATGTCAGCTTTAGACAACCAACCCAGAGATTTCGGCTCTTCTCCGCTAGCGAGCTCTCACGAGTATATGAAAAGAAGATAACAATAATCAGGTATAAGAACTGCCAAGGACACCACCGCGGAAGATTCTGCACAAGAATCGCTAGGTGCGGCCGCTATAGCGGACGGAAGGACGAGCACGGCCCAGGAATCCCCTACGAGAAGCCGCCTAAATACGCGAACTACTATGGACCACATAGAGCGGACAATCCGCAATGCCTGGCTAGACCACAGAAAGTACACGGCAAAATCCTGCACAAGACGAAGAGCCAGGTTAAGGCTATTCGGAAGATTAAAAGCCGGAGATTCGTCGATCTCCACGCAATAATCGAGATAGCAGAGTCGGCAGAGCCGGTAAAGGCGTAAGAGGCGCAAGAGGCGTAAGAGGCTTTAACAAGGTCGGAACGCACTATGGCCGGGCGCCCGACCACCAACGCCCGAGCACTACGAGGCAGGAAGAGGGCGATGGAAAGGGATACCCTAGTAGACTTAACGCCCCTTAATCAAACAGACACCGAGATACGGGAGGCGGAGAACACAAAAGGCCCCTCGTCGCGAAGGCTTTAGAGGCTGTTAAGCCAGACGGCGGAAACTAAAATGCGCGAAAGCCTAGGCTATTATTAAAATCTAACACTTAATAAATAGGAAACAAAAACAGAAATACCAGGGATAGCGAAGACATCGGACACTAAAAGCTTTACGAGTTATATCTCTTAACACGCGGAGGTCTAGTGGCTTATATAACGCATTTCTTTAGAAATGCTTTGAGAATAACATAGACCTCGCGGTCGTATAGGAGCCGTGGACGCAAGACGGTAGCCGGACGAAAAGCCACCCGGTATAGGATATGTACGCACCGGTAGACCACTAGAGCACGACACAAGACAGATTAAGGGTTCTAACTTATATCCGCCGGGGGAAAAAGCTCAAAGCTACCTAGAGGAGACCGGTACAAGGCCGAGATATGTTATGGCTAGACGTCAACGGTATTACAATCCTAAACGCATATAAACAACCGGAAATAGAGGCGGTTATAAAATACGTTACCAACTTGTAACCACCGCCTAACACGCTGGTTGTAAGGGACTTTAACGCTAAACATATAACATTCGAACCAGGGGTAACAAGCGCAAGAGGGGGTGTCCGCCTGGCCGACTGGTTTATAACGGCGGGAATACCGTTTATAAGTAGGCCTGGGGAAGCTACGCATAGGGAAGGGCACACCCTCGATCTGGCATTCTCCAACGTGCCGTTTGCGGAGTCGAGAGTCGATAAAGAACTGGATGTTAGGTCAGACTACTACCCCATATTGATCATAATCCCAGGGCGTGGACAGGAGGCACTCGAACAAGTAAGATGGAAAGTCCTAGAAAACAAGCTTAAAAGCTTTGCCGAGCTAGTCGGGATAGGAACGGCAAGACTCCCAAAACTAGACAAGATTAAAAACACGGAATAATTAGAGGCGGCGGTAAACGCCCTTACGGAGATAATAGAGATGGCGATCGGCGCGGTAAGAGAACAGGACAAGACGACTAGGAAATCGGCGCCGTGGTGGTCGGAAGAGTGCCACCAAGCGTGGACAGCATACCGAGCGGCGGAAGACGACCCGGAGAAGGACTAGGTCCTAGAGTTTGGAGAATACTCTCCATAGCATAGGGAGTTTCTCAAGACAGTCCGACAGGCGAAGAGGCAGTACTAGCGGGACAGGATAGACGCCGCGACGGACGGAGCTAAGCTATAAAACGTGGTTAACTAGTATAAGAGCACCCCAAAACTCAAATCACCTCCCCTAAAGGACGGGGAGGCGCTAATTAAAGATACGGAAGGGAAGGCAACCGCGCTACTCCGCCTAGTTTTATAGAGATTCTCGAGTGGAGATAACCTAGAGTATAACCTTATAGAAACAAAGCAGGCGCCCGAGACCTTACCCTAGCACGCCACGACCACCGAGGAAGAGGTAGAAAAACACACGATCGGGGTCGCTAACACGTCCCTAAGAGTAGACGGCATTACAACACGGCTACTTAAAGCCTATTAAGAGCATATACGAGGACCCGTCAAAATTATATTCGAAAAATGCCTACACTTGTCCCACTTTCCTCGCTAATGGAAGAAAGCCGAGGTGGTAATGCTACCAAAGGCAAGCAAAACGGACTTCTCAAGCTATAAGTCGTGGAGGCCGATAGCCCTGTTATCCTGCCTCGGTAAGGGCCTCGAAAGGCTGATCGCAGGACGGATGGCCTGGGTAGCGCTATAACACGGATTGCTCAGCCCGTAACACTGCGGCGCGCTGCCTACAAGGTCTACGACGGATCTAGTAACAGCGTTTAACCACGACGCAGAACTCGCCTTGGTTAGCGGGGAGAAAGTGACGATAATAACCCTCGACGTATAAGGAGCCTTCGATGCCCTGTTTAAGAGACGACTCCTATAAAGACTTATACGGTAGGGCTGGCCAATAGGCCTAGTCAGACTAATACGGGGCTTCCTATCCGATAAGGAGGTTCGGGTAAGGCTAGAAGATATAACGACTAGCTACGTGGTACAGGCCTATAGAACCCCCTAAGGGTCGCCGTTATCGCCAGTGCTATATATGCTTTACTTAGCAGAGCTACTTAAACAAAACCTAAAACGCTAGTTTAGATATACGGACGATATCTATATCTATAAAGCGTCCAGGTCCTTAAACGACAATATCGCTACGCTCGAAACGGAAGTGGACGAGATCTAGGAGTACGGACTAGCAAACAAGATTCACTTCGCACCGGACAAGGTAGAAATGCTTTATATTACTAAGGAGAGGGGCGGATATAACCCAAGACTAACGACCAAACACGTCACGATTGCGCCGGTCGGAGAGCAAGAAGGAGAAGGCGTAACACCTCTTCTCAAGTGGCTCGGCGTATGGTTCGACAAGAAGCTCAACTTTAAAGGCTATGTAGAGAAGAGGGCCGCGGCAGCCATAAAGGTAGTATAGCATCTACGAAGCCTAACAAATATAATATACGGGCCGCTAACGGCCTCGATCGCTAAGGCCACGTTGGCATGTGTCCTCCCGGCGGCCCTTTACGGGGCGGAAGTATAGTACGGAGGCAGAACGTTACTAGCAAAGAACGTAGCACAACAGAAGGCGGACGGGAAAATGAATGAAGTACGTACTAGAATAAGGACCCACGTTAAGGCGATAGAAAGGGTCTTTAAACTAGCAGCGAAGGCAACTCTCCCGGTCTAGGCGACCACGCCGATCGACACTTTATTCCGAGATAGCGGGCTACCTACGGCCTAGATGGCCCTAAACCAGGGACGATATTAATTTGCCTACAGACTACGGACGGTAAACGAAACACACCCGCTCGCGCTAAGGATTGAACCGAGGCTTAACCATAGAGGCAAGGGCAGCGGGGAATACTAGAGACTTAGGACGAAATTATAACGGATAGCCCGGCTCCTGCCTCACATTAGGCGGCCAGTGTTATACGCACCTAGGTACGGCCTGGGATCGAGACGGGAGCCCACCATAGGGATCCCTAAGGAAGATACGGCCAAGGACTTCGAGGCTTGGGCGAAAGAGAGAAGCGCCTACGAGCTCCTCGTCTACTCAGACGGGTCTAGGACGAAAGATGGCATAGGCTACGGCTACGCAATATACCAAGCAGGAGAGGCGGTAGTAACAGCCCAAGCCTCGATAGCAGACGGCAATTAAGTATTCGACGTAAAGGCGTATAAAGCCCTAAGGGGGCTAGAGCGCGCACTAGACATCGACCGGACGGCGACAATCTGGCTCTGTATCGACAACACGGCGGTGTTATGGTATATTCAGAAAGATGCATTAATATCGTCGCAGCACGTGTTCCGAAGGATACACGCACTAGCAGAGCGACACGAAGTTAAGACAAGATAGTGCCCAGGGCATACTAATATCGAGGGTAACGAGGCCGCCGACAAGCTAGCCAAAAGCGGAACAAAATTAGGACCATACGACGATAAGTCGGAAACGTCCTCGTCGGGAATCAAAGCGATTGTAAGAAAGGCGATCCGGGACCAAGTAGATGATTAATAGGAGAAGGAAGCGTACCAGCCAAAGCGTTATAAGTCGATCGGCTTCGGGTACACGCCCGGGAAGCCACCAAAAGAGCTGAAGAGCCTGACAAGAAGAGGGCTACACAGGTATCTAGCAATGAGGTCGGGCCACGGAGACTTTGCCTAGTACCACAAAAAGTTCGACCACAAGGATGCCGAACTACGATGTTCCTGCCGACATCTAAAAACGGTAGAGTATATCGTCTTTTGCGTAAAAGCGAAGAAGACGATAGAGGACTGGCCGAGGCCACCGGTACGGGTAGAAGACGGGGAACCCCTAAGGACACCGCCGGTCCCGGAGCTTATAACCCAGAGAGACCATATAAGGTACTAGGGATGGATTATAAAGACCCCGGAAGCCTTTAAAACACTACTCGACGTAACACAGTTTTACAGCGAGATATGCCCTCGGTAAAACCGGGGCAATAGGCACTTATATAGGCTAGGAAATAACAATGCCTAGCCGATAGCCTATAGCCATTGTCTACAAGTCCTGCCTACGCAGAACAACCGGGCCACGCTGCCCTAACCGGCGAGGACAGAAGGAACGGAGAACACAAGTCATAAGGCGGAGAAGCTGCTAGATAGACGAGGTCGGTGAAAAGGGGGCTAAGGAAGTCGACTATAGATAGAGGCTCCTAAGTAGCATACCATAGACTCTAGCCTAGCACGTCAAGTGCCCCAAGGGAGGCCCGCGGGCCTCGTTATACGAGCCTACCACGACGTTAAATACAGCTACTACTACTACTACTACTACTAATGTTGGCTGGGGCTATGTGGATCAAGGTTAGATCACCAGTGATCCTAATAGCTCCAGGGTGATCCAGTGCTGGATCTCGGTAGACTCACGTCAAGACTGGGTGATCCCGTGATCCCTCTTTCTGTCTTGTCGGTCTAACACAGTTGTTACGGTTCAGGACAGCTGTGGCCCCTAGATGGGTCCTTTCTTTCTTTACCTGACCTGTTGGTCGGTAACAGTTAGGGACAAAATGTCCTGAAAAGAATTGAGAGTCCATTCCCTAATGGAAGTGTGGCACGGATACATCTAACTTCCTTATCCATAATTAATTTATTTCCACTACCTAGAACTAACCAACCCGCTACAATTTGAGCACAGATCGCGATGGGATTCACATGCCGGCCGTTCATTATAAGGTTGCTATTATCGCCAAGTTTAGCCACTGCGGCAACGAGCATGCCTTCCTTGGATTCCACGGCAGCATCTGCACTGGTGATAGGATGTTCCATAGCATTGTCTTGGAGGCAGTCCGGTAAGTCCTTTTTGAATAGGCACTATGTCTAGAAATGGGCCTACACAGTGGAATACCTGATGCATCAAGAATAGGCATGAGTTTGATTTGACAGTATCCTAATAACCAAACCGCACGTTTACGAAATCTTTATATGACCTTTAGGGTGGTCCGTGACAATGATCTGTGACATTGAGTTGTGGGAGATTTGGTTGAGTCGATTTGTACATTGCATTGCGAATGGTAAGTACCTAAAAGGTCAAGTGCGTATGGACGTCGACGAATAACTACCTTTTAGGACCTTGTCTGGACTTTTGGTAAGACCACTACGGATTTATAGCATTTTGGCTGCCTCCTGTTCAGAAATGGTTACTTATTTAAAGTAGAAGCAACCTATACGCTTTAACATGTTACTTCTCGATTGATTAGTTTCAGCCTACGCGTTTTTACAAATGCTAACGGCCATGGAGGGTTTGATAATTAAGACGAGCTTGTGATATTTTAATGAGTGAACAGCCTACTTATGAAGCCAATATTTAAGGAAATCCCCGTAGATGCTCCCTAGCGCCAGGGAGAAAGAAAACGAGAGACAGCAGTAGGCTACAGGATAATGTAAGGGGAAAAACAATTTCCTTAGTTTGCTTCAGGACACTCAAGGTCTAAGAATCACTTTCGCATCGCACCTGAATTGACCTCCAGAGCTAGTGAATGCTAGCGTCAGGACTGGAAGAGCCGCGACTAGTGGGGCATGAAAACAGCCACTGTTAAATCGTACACCACATTCTATGTAAGTGAGCATCGCTCGTTGCTCCACCTCCACTTACGAAGACACTTTTGGTAATGACAGAAGTCCGCTAACCTCTACCCGATCTGATTTGCTCGCTTAACGCGGATAGCCAACATCTTCGTCTCGGTCTTTGCGATCCTTCTAAATTCCGCACTAATGAGCTTTTGTTTTAGGTTCCGTCACTCCTATACCGTGAGCCAGGAGTCATGTGATTTCACGATCATGTGATCAGATCGCATGACCTAGGAAAAGAAATTTGTCGAGGGCATTTATTAAGCATTAGTACTAAAGTTCTTACTAACCAAAACGATATCATCCTTGAATGAAACTTTCTTCGTTACATTTTGATTACACATATTAATTGTAATGGTTTCAAGTCAGATATCTAGCCATGGCATAGACCAAATGAAAAGCATTCATAATCACATTAAAACCCTCTACGACCAAGGCACCCCGCTATTTACTAGATGTGAACTCCAGAGCCTTATCGCACAACTGGACAATCTCCAAGACAAGGGATTTAAGGAGCGAAAAATTCACCTGACAGGTATGAATAAAGTGGTGGTTGATATCCCTATCGAGACCGGGAAAGTCGCGTTAGAGAATGAAACATCTACAACTGGCTGCGAGATTATTAGGTATGTAGAATGATATACTTTCATTCTTGTTTACCTCTAATCTTTGATTCTTTACTTGAGAGGTTAATTGTATTTCGATAAAAAGGTCAGACCCACTGCTTCAGTACTGTTCAATACAAGCACTTACGGAGTGGCAAGATATTCCATGTTTCGATCCTAAAACAGCGTATCTTCCAATCAAAGTCTACTACGACCTTTGCAATCGACAAATCGTAAGCAGGGAACTAATCCACCCACGAGGACCTTCTATTACCGCTTTAACCCAGCTACTAAACGACACAAGACAAGAATGGGAAGCTAGTGAGCAAAACCGCTATCTTCAAGATACACTACTTTCGGTGCCATCATTCGTTATTATCAATAAGGTCATCGGCTTCGCTTGTGGTTCGTTAACGTTTGGTACTGAAATTCACCGTCGCTCCGCAATCCAACATGCCCTTCTCTCTAGTCTCCGGAATTACTTATTCAAAATAAAAGAGTCCGTTCAGATACAATGCTACACCCAAGATCCGGAGTACTCGTTCAACGAAAAGCAGGCTTTGAAGGCGATTGGGATTATAGCTTTAGATGATCCGAAAGCGTTCTTAGAAGTGGACGATGCCAGCATAGTGATTTCAATTGGTCCCGATATTCCGGTAAAGCAGATTATTACCGATATCGCTCGTCCCGCTGCTATTATATGGTGTAAACAAAGAGAAGAGATTTATTATATGTAAGTCCTAAGTTTTACTTTAATGTTACTTTATCTAATAAAGATGTAAATCTTGTTTACATGATTATTAATAATTTATCAGGGCTGATCCAATGTCCCCAAGAGTGCAGGGGATGCTTAGTACCGAGTATATCGAGTTGGACTTTCCTTACCACGAATCTATCGGAGATGTCGCTTTATATTTCAGAAAAGGCTGAGCTTGTAAGAATAGTCCAACGAGAATACCTCGAGGCCTGCTACTTGCTGACCCTGGCTCTTACATCATGAGATTTCCTTCTACGCAAGGCGACTTGATCAACCCGACCATATTTCCCCGATGGATCATTTCAAGGCACAGTTTTGCAGTTAGTCGAGTAACAGATATCCCCTAATCCCGTTCTCTTCTCGGCCCAATACTTCACACAGGCGTTACAACTGGAACTTCACCACTATCACCGTCTGCGCTCCTCCGTGATGTGTCAGTTTCCTAACGGAATGTACCGGATTGTCATAAGCACAATAGCAAGGAGCCTAATGCCCTGGACTCTTTGGAGGATTATCACTATATTCTTCGTATATGTCCTTGAGGGCTTCAGTTGTTAAATAAGAGAAACTCAAGTTCAGTCTTGTAATAAAACTCCCCCTGTTATCACTATTATATCGGACCTAGCCCGGATCCACCAGTTCACCCTCCTCAACCCCCTCCGCTCGGGACGAGATCTGCCACAATCTCCGTTACTATAAACAAGGATGAAAGTCGCGTTATCATTTAGTTCAAGTTTCGCAGATGTCTTAGGTAATGAGAACAAACAACGTTCAGACACCACATGACTTGTACTGCATTGGGAAGCCCTATCACGAAACTAGCTGGAAAATGCAAGGCCGCGTACAAAATGTCGGTTCGAAGCGCCGTGCTCAACCGCACATCCCTGCGGCGGCTAATCCCTTGGCTAGCGGTCGTCATCAAACGAATCCAAACACACAATTATTGTATTGCAATTCGTGAGGTCGTATAAATGGGCAATCTAGCTGTCCGGCATAATGTTCGAGTTGATATACTCCACAACCCTTAACAAGGTTCCATTGGATCTCGCAGCAGTATCGGCGGTGGTGCAAACCCCGTCCCGGTTTCGCTGCCATCGCCCCAGCCAATTTCGTTGTTGTCGACACGATCATTCCACATCTACCCTTGCTCCTATCCCTGCCTCTGTCATACCGCGACCGCCCAATAGTGCTTAATATCATGATAGTTATGGTCGGACTGTATCGTCAGGTCCTACGGAATCTGCGCTTGTGCCGCCCACGCCTGCAGGACCGTCGCCCCGCCGCATGTATGCGGGGCGCCCACCATCTGGTCATTGTTACCCGCCCACGACAATGTTGATGTCGATGCCGACGGTGTCTGAACCCTTCCGTAGTAGTATTTCTGTTCAGGATTTGTTACAGTATTGCTACGGATGTCGCGTATTGTCCAATGTGATAACGGTAATGCTGCCAGAGATGTAACGTATATCATGTTGATGCAAGGACTCGTGGTGATCGCCATCGGAAAAGACTACGGTCAGGCTGCTGATAAGGTAGGCATGTTGATGGCGTTACTGTGACGTCGGGTCCATCTTGGTCAGGAAACGCCAGTTACTGCCCGCATGACCAAGGTCTTGCCCTTGTCGTTAGTTCTCTCACACACGGGCACGAATGTCCAGAGGAGCACAGCCTGGCGTGTTCGTTAGCGCTTGTTGTGTCTAGTGGTATGATTACCGTCATTACTGCTGTCTCGTTGATTCCTGGGCGCAGACCAGATCTCCTGGATATGTTTACCTGCGAAAGCAGACCCTTCAACGAGGCCATCTTGGGAGATTTGTTGTTGGTTGGTGTCCCTAGTATTGATAATGATAAATAACGTCTCGCGGCCCTTTACCTTAGCAATACACTCGCTGCAACCCCGCGAAGCACCCTTTCCCCGACGACTTGTGCTGTTCAAGTTCCACCTCTCGTACTGAGCGCTAATGTATAGCGCCAGCTTAATGGAAGTAGTGGCCCAGTCGGGGCTAGAAAGGATATAGAGATGATGCCGCAAGGACGATAGGAGGGAAGCGTGGTGGGCGAGAGCGACGTCGCTGGTGGTGGTGCGGTTTCGGATGTCTGACTCCGCGTTATTAGCAGCGTCTGACTGGGAGCAGAGCGCGTCGGGTTGTGCGACTCCTGAATGGACACATCAAAACTGCTGAGTTGTTGGACCATACAATGGGGAGGTGATGCTTAGGCCTGATCATTGAACGTGACCCTTATTCTGATCTACCTAACGGCCAAGCCCACAAAACTTCACGCAGCACCAGCACCTGGAACAAGCTACGAAAGCCGCGTTACCTGATCTCCAGCCCTGACTATTTTCTGACCAGTTAAATCACCCTGCAGAAATCCCTTCTCCGACGGCTCATTCTTCCAAGCCTCGACCTCGCAGCCTCCCCTCAACACGCCAACCCTCATAGTCGACAGCAGATTATGTGCCGCGTTCGAGTGATCATAGACTCCACCGTTGAAAATAGCCGTCGCATCCTTGCCGACCGCGCTCCCAATCAGCGTCTTACCACCGGGGTGATCCCTGATGAAATCAGCCACGTCGTGTATCACGCCCGCAATGGCGACGAGGGCGCGGCCCTCGGTTCTGGCGTCGCGCACAAAGTCGTCCCAGGATAACACCGGCAACTGGTCCAGCGGGATGCCCCAGTCCAGCGTGGCGCGCTTCTGGTCGAGTTTCTTTTGCAGTTGTTGCACGCGGCCCTTCTCGATCTCGTTGCTGCGAAATTCTTTCAGGTCGTAGGCGAGGCCGACTTGCTTCCAAATCCAGATCATCCTGTTGTAGTGAGGTTAGTGAGCTGAAACATTGCTGTATGTGTTTTTTATGCTTGGTCAAGGCTCAGGAATGGAAGAGAGGGAGTTGGCTTACCATTTCGTGGGATCGTATTGATACCACTGGATGGCATTGCGATAGTCGGACGGGAACTCGTGGTGGAAGTTGTGGTCTAAAGTTGGGGGCTAGAGTCAGCACGGTAATCTTTCCCGAGTTTTCCAAAGGTGTGTCAACTTACATCCTTCACCGAGTGTGACTAGGGCTGTTATTACGTTGTCCCTGGGCGAGTTCCTATCATCGAACGGCTGGTCACCGAGCCAGTGCGCCAGCGAGTTGATGCAGAATGTGGCCTGCTGGACGAAGCAAGAGCGGAGTATGCCAGCATAGATGAGCCCTCCCCAAAAATCACCCCAGAACGCGCACATCAGGGCAGGGAACACAAGCGCCATGGACATTACGGAAAAAAGGTAGTGGCGGTGCTGCCAGACGACGAAGCGGTCCTCGTTTAGGTCGGTCACGTCGGCCCGCCCGATGCGCTTGGGATCTTGTTGCATCACCATCCAGCCCATGTGCGAGTACAGGAGGCCTTTCTTCACCGAGTAGGGGTCCTTGTCCGTGTCCGTGTACCGGTGGTGCGCCCGGTGACCCCGGGACCACCACCGGATCGAGCCCTGCGCCGCTCCCGCACCGCACGCCGCCAGGTAGAACTTGAGGAGTGGTGTCGCCTTGTAGGATGTGTGAGCCCAGAGTCGGTGATAGCCTGTGATCAGGGGAAAACAAAGGTATTAGTCACATGAATCATTTTGAATTTCCAGCGGAGCGGTTATGCCATACCTGCTGTGATGCCGAGGCCGGTGTTGAAGTAGTATATGACTGCGAAGATAGCAGTATAGGGGTGTAAGGGAACGAAATAGGCGCCCACGACGCCCATGAGTGGGACGCCGATGACGAAGAGGACATTGAGCCAGTTGACATGTTGATGCCAATTGGCCAATGTGATGGGCTGCTCACTGATGTGAGGTTTCTTTGCAGGAACTTGCATCTTCGTCGCCATGATGGGCGAGTATGCCAATTGATGGCTCTGCAACAACAAAACAAGACTCGATGTAGTCACTCAAGGGGGAAGAGCAAAGTACAGTGCACGATTATGAGTGTCCAGAGATACCAGAACTAAGACCATGTCGGGCACAGTCTTCAAATATCAAATGCTGGAATTCTATGATTCAACAGATACTCTTCATTGCGTGGCGAACGAAAATGTTGGTACAATTTGGGGATCATATTCCTAGGTTAATTGCAAGGCAGTGAACCCAACGCATTCGGTAGGTGCACAGGGCGCAAACATCGTACTACAAGGCGATCACTGCGCTCGGCACATGTGAAAATGATCATGCGACGCTAGCCTTGTCGTCCATGCGGCTCTTCTTTTGAGAGTTTGGATTTCGAACGACGTATGACTCGAAAAGTCAGGCGTTTATTTACTGTGTTGGGGGCTCGCATTCGTCTATGTTTTGTTGGGAGAAACACAACCCTAGCGGGACTTGTGGAGTCACCGTTCGACAACTGGTCGAACGATGAATCAGCAGTTTTCAATCAAATGACGGGAATCGCATCAACCTCCAATCTCAACGAAAGGGCACCGCAATGTGTGTGTGGCTATACTTACGGCAGGCCATAAGTGAATGGTAAGCTAGTCAACTGAGTTGCAGATATTACCAAGTTTGGAGTCAGCGCACCCTACGCCCATTTATGTATTTATAGGTAATAGGTCCACTTACCAACCATGTCGGAGGTTTTCGTAGCGTGCTAGTCTAACGCGTCTTCATCCCATAACTCTACCACCTGTCCGATCAGATTTTTGGGTTATGTCGTCTGTGATAGTAGCGAAATCGCCCGCTCAAAGACTGTCGATCTCAAGAAGCAATGGTCTCCGGCTTCCCCTTAATTAAGCCACAATACCTAGAAACAAGGTTTGACCGACCAGACGTTCGGGGCTGATGAGAGCAAAATACCTGGTACGGCAATGATATTGAGCCAGATGAGCACAAACTTGACTATAAGCCCACGGCCCGTCTTTGCAATGGCTTCGGCTTCGTTAACGCGAGGGAACGGCTCGTTCGGCACTGTCTTCCCCAAGAATTTGCACAGAGGATCCCAGCCGTCCTTGATATCTATGACCACCAATCTCTCCTTGGGGACCAACTTGATCACCTCGCAATTGTATACCTCCAACAATTCTGGCATCACATTAGGTAAGGCCGAGAAGATGAGGTCAGTGACAGACCTGGCCCATATTCTCCAGGCGTCTTGCCGCCCTTTCCCAGAGCATTGCGGTCTCCTTGAAGTACGCGTTCATGAACTGAGGCAGATACCTCAAGCCTGGAATCGGGTACGTGAGTACTGCTACGTACCAAGGCGTGGCTTGCCCTATGAATGCCTTCGGCCATTAGCACCCGATTTTGTGGATACAGAATGGTGGCGCGATACCTATATCTTAAGGTTAGTCCACCAGCGTCCGGGGTTTCGAGTGACCAAGACCACTTTTGCGTCCGGGTAAAGTTCAACCAACTCTGGAATCATCATGACATGTGGCATATCAGTACAGCCTGAATATCCATTTGTGACCTCGCGCAGAAGTTTAAAAGCCAATTCTTGGTCTCCCGCCTGCTTGGCTTCAATCAGTCGCATCCAGTTTTGGAAGTAGGCTGGATGAGATGTCAAAAAAGTTTACGCCGTCTGGAAGGGGCCAATCTTGGCGTACATCCTCCACCACCAAAAGTACGAGACCCGCCATATTACACTGGTTTGCCTAGGAGCTTCTCGAGAGCAATTACCACGGATAACGTGCCAGTTCTCGAGTAGCCGGCTCCTATTACGTCCATCCTGGCAAAGGGACCCGGCCTGGAGGGAACTACGCCCCTGAGTGCTTCGCTGGTCGTGATATGAGGGTTGTGGATATGTTTAGTATCCCACGATATTCTTCTCTCTATGTAGTTGAGCGCGAAGAACTGAAGAACGCCATTTACGCAATTGGCAAAAAATGTCTCCGAGGAATGTTTCAGGCCGGCCAAACCATCAATGGTGGTGTCAATCAAGCCAGAGAACTTTTCACAAGGTCGCCGCCAATGTGACTCGAGGGTGTCGCTCAGAATGAAACTAGGCACGCGATCAGCGCGGTTCATGCTGCCTTGACGGGCCAACATACCACGTCTGCCACGAGTTAGACAGTTGTATTGCTGCGGAAAGTCCTACAGCACCCGCTCAACTAAGATTTCTAGATGACCATAAAAATCTGCAGTCAAGTTGCGGTGGTGAGCAGCTTTATTATTCTATCACGTAGTCCGTAATTTCTGCACGTCTGACGTGTGAAACATTGGCGTAGTCGATCCACGCTTTTAGGATTAGAAATGCACATACGTCGCAGTCCTCACCATACAATCCCCGCTAATATTGTATTGAATCTGCGCTTGACTGCAACGTCTACATCAAGAAGAATTGCGGCTTAATTTGAGTGTTGCACTCCTTGACTATTACAGGCTCTCTTTTATTATGAATCTTCTTGATACTGACCACTTCTATTATTATTTTCTGAAAATAATTGACACGAGAAGAATCCCGTTTCAGCTGTGGCTTATACGCGCCCCCACTAGCCGAAAGTTTGTCAGATCTTGAGAGGGCAATGAAGATGTCTACCGAAGCTGATATGGTTAGGAAGCAGGCATCGACGAGCTTGTTGCTTGGCGCTGCGCAATTGCATCGAGTAGCATCCGTGTCTTTTGCAATTCGTACCTGGCTGGCATCGTGGAAACGGTCATTGTATAAACGGACGACAATGATTACGTTGCGTTGCAGTAGGTACGCGTAATTGATTATATGTCTGAACCTGGAGGTAGAGAGAAATATACTGCTGCCTGATAATCCATGTTCTGCTTCGAGCCTGTGCTTAACTCAATGCAGCGCTGCGCAAGTGCATTGACGTAACCGAAGACTCATTGCATGATTGGTGGATGATTCTCTAAAACTTCTGTAACGAAAGTCAGTTGCGAACTACATAAACTCCAACAATATGGCATATTCGCTACGAAGGCATTTGATCATTTGAAATACAACCCGAGACAAGCGCAAAATGACTGGCAATCTTCTACGACATGAAGGCGACACTGTCCCCAGAAAAGATGGTCCTGCTGGAGAAATCATATCTGGGGTTGCTGTGGGACATCCCGTAGAACAACTCGAAGTTGACGGCGGCGCACACAATGACGAAGTAGAATATCCCACAGGCATCAAGCTCTGGTCCGCCATGATATCGATCTTCACGGTTTCCATGCTACATGGTTTAGACCTCACCATTGTCGCGGCTACGGTACCCAGCGTGACAAACCAGTTCAAGGCTATCGAGGACATTGGGTGGTACTCCTCAGCGTACTCGGTCATGGCCGCCAGCTTTGGGTTCTTTTTCGGCAAAATATACGGCATCGCCTCGGTGAAGTGGCTGTACCTGGTCTCTGTCATCATATTCGAGCTCGGGTCGCTTTTCTGTACCGTGGCTCCCACGTCTTGGTTCTTCATCCTCGGCAGGGCCATCGCCGGGATTGGAGCAGCAGGGATGCAGCAGGGGTCTCTCATGATCCTAAATCAGTGCTTCCCGAAGCATAAGAGACCGATGTGGACTACGGCTGTGGGCGCATCGCAGATGGTCGGCATCGTCAGCTCACCCATCGTCGGAGGTGCATTGATTGACTGGATCAGCTGGCGAGGCTGCTTCGGTATCAACCTCCCGTTCGGTGTCGCTGCAATATTGCTCATTTTCTTCGGCTTCGAAGAGATCAACAAACAGTCCGGCGCGGAGCTTACCTGGAAGGAGAAGGTCAAGGGGTTCGATGCGCTGGGAACTGTACTGATGGTGCCGTCTTTGACGTGCTTGTTTATTGCGTTGCAATGGGGAGGTATTAGGTTTGGCTGGAATGATCCGCGCATCGTGATCTTAATTATTCTCTTCGTAGGTCTCCTCGTTGGGTTTGGATGGCGCCAACATCGGCTACAGGAGGCAGGGACGCTCCCACCACGAATCTTAAAAATGCGGTCAGTCCTCGCTGGGACTTGGTATACTTCATGCGTAAACAGTACTCTGGCTGTTACGGAGTATTACATTACCATTTACTTCCAGGGTGTAAAAGGATACACTGCAACACAATCTGGATTGCTCATGTTGCCCATGTTAGTAGGCATGACCATTGGTACTCTGATTGGTGGTTTTGGGATCACCAAAATTGGCTATTATAATCGTAAGTTTCGGCTATTCAAAGTATTGGTGCTGGTTTAACACATCAAGCTTTTATGATTGCGACGACTATATTGGCTCCCATCGCTTCTGGTCTACTCACGACCATCGGCCTGGATGACGAGCCAGTCAAGGCCGCCTGCCTTCTTGGTTTTCTTGGCGTTGCCATGGGGTTTGGTCTGCAGACGCCAATCATCTCCCTGCAGACAACTATGAGTTCCAAGGACCTCTCTACAGGTCTTGCAACACTGTACTTTGGGGCTACTATGGGCAATGCTGTTTGGATCGTCGTTTCAGCCGCTTTGTTTCAAAATCGACTTATTGAAGAGGTTGCATACTTCAGCCCGTCGACTAATGCCACTTTACTGAAAGGTGCTGGCCTTTCTGAGATACGTAAGATCGTAGGAAATGATCGCCTACGGGACGTTCTTCTAGGATACGACGAGGCCGTCACACAGACACTGTATCTGCCATTAGGCCTTTGCGCTGCCACCATTGTGGGATCTATTTTTACTGAGTGGCACTCGGTTAAGAAGAAGCAGGAATAAATAACATAGTCTTTTCAAGATTCGAGAAATAATGCGTGTTCTTTCCTTTTTTCTTTTTTCAATCTCTTTTTCTTTACTTTTATTCAGTTTGAGTCTTTGTTACTTCTCCAGATTCGTAGCGTAGGACGGTATAAATGACAAATTTAACTTGGTAAACAGTAAAGTCTCCAAATCATTTCAAATATTAGGTCTTGACGTTTTCAAATCCATCAAGCTTCTCAGAATTAAATTGATACTGGCGACACCAGATTTAAAGGTTGGAATCAGCTGGCATAGCAAGCAATGGAGATATGGGGCGCGATACTTGCATCCATCAAAAGAAGAAATCAGAACCGAGTAGGTATGACCGTCAACCCAACACCGCAACCACTACCATCATCTCTACCATGCTAGTCGTCTCCAAGAAGCTGCTTCGGTTCTTTATATTGTGGTCGATTGTAGGCAAGCTGGATAGCAAGCGCTTCAGCAAGCCAACAAATCATATTCGACAATGCCGCAGCGACGGAATTCCTTCCTAACGCATAGCCTATCTCGACGCAAATACTCATCGTGGGTGCATATTTGATACTAAGCCGTTTCAGCAGCTCCCACGGGTCACCACTTACAGGAAAAATCGAGGGCATGGGGCCTTCGAAACTGTGTTTGAGAGACAGATAAGCAACCTCGCGCTCATCCACATGGACGTAAGTATATACAATCAAACCCACGTTTTTTGTGTCTTGCCATGGCAGCTTCTTCGTCGATCATTGTCCGGTATTCATAGCCCTTGGTCTCGTAAAGATCTCGGTGTGTGGGAACCGAGCAAATTGCCCATCGATTGCGGTCCAAATAAACGCATCACCAGGTCATTATAACTAACCAACTTTCCACAAGGCGAAGGCGGCTGATTGCGAGGCATGAAATGAGATTGCGCTAGTTCTGGCTTGATGGGCGTGCCATCGCTGTCCTTGCTAGGTTCACTACGTCCTGAAATCACCTTGAGCGCTGGAAATGATGCCCATTTAGCACTGTTTGACTCCGGATTCAAGTGAGAGTGGCCAAGATATTTTTATTTGAATATTTGTCAATGTGACGACGGCACGAGCTATATTTGGGCCATAGAAATATCTGGGCGCTGGTTGTATCCCAAGAATATCGGAAGTGAGATCGGTACGCCCGCTGGTGCATTTCTGCGAAGATAGAAAATGGATCTTTTTGCAATGGCTCTTTCCACGGTGCAACGCGCGTCGATGTGCAAAAGCCTGGTTTATATGGCAAGATGTATGTTGCCAACGGACACACGCCAGTTGGATTTCAATTTGGTGCCTGCAAGTTCATTCCTAGCTGGTGCAAAGCGGCCTACCTCCGAGTGGACTATTGTTCGCTGGAGGAGTTGGGCCAATGATACCCAGCCCCAAACAGGACTGGTTGGTGAAGAACAAAGCCAACCTCTGCTCTACTGAAGGCTACACAGTGTGGTTGTCCAGGTTGGTGCCTAAGTCATCGATTATGAGAATCTCTGTGCTTACTTATTTTTATTTAGCAGAAGATCTCCCAACGACAGCACACAGGACCACCTTTGCGGGTACATAGTCTAATTAGAGTATTGCCAGCTCTCCTTGAAAGGCTCAGGTAGCTGGTTCGAACCCAGTCTGTGCATGGAGTTTTTTAAGGTATCTACGAAACGCTTGACCTGTCAACACTTCAGACCGTGAACGATAACGCTGGGATGTACATTGAGGGCTTTTTGGGCTACCGGGGGCACGTTATTTTTTGTTCTATTTCCTTCTCTTCAGTTTTCAATCTTATAGAGACTTTTTGCAACGTTATTGACGTAGAGTCCATTAATGTGAATAATCAAGTCATGTTACATCTAGTTTGAAACACGAATCCTAATTTATACCGTAATACTTTACTATCCAATGATATTTGCAAAGTGGGACAAAGATCGGCGTGACGAATAGTTGTATATCAACGACTCTTAATTCAAACTATTTAGTTTTATTTCAAAAACGACAGTGTGAGTAACGGGACAGTTGATGTCACCGCGGCTGTCTTGATGACCAGCTACGCTATCTAATTCCTACTTTGACGGTTGTATCAAAGTTACGCCGGTTTATCTGCGGAGGAATGCTCTAACAGCTTCGTCGATGCCCGCATCACCGTCTGCCCAAGCGAACCCAAGCGCCTTCGTAGCCCTTGTTCCAGTTATTCTCATATTCACACCAAGCACATCGGCGCGGTAGCTGTTAGACCTTTCAGCATTAACATCACCCGCAAGTCCAAGCCTCTCCATGATCACCCTCAATATTGTCTTGGTGGTGGCTTCCTTGACCTCCTCGGAGCTCGGATATGGCGCACCATATTTCTTCAGAGCCGGTATAAGGTGAACGATCATAAACTCCCGTGCTGATACCTCCAGATTTTTCCCGAAGTAATACGACTTTGGACCCCAGACCGCAATCTCCTCAGTGCCGTACTGCCCTCCCTGGAGTCGTTTCAATGCGTCACCCACAAGAGCCGTGTAAAGCCGTCCCAGCTCCTTCACGTCCACAAAGCTGATCCTGTTCACACCTTTCGATATGGTCACCCCACTGTCGAGGGCCTTCACGACATATAACCAGTCAGGAAATGTAAGCGGTGTAGGGTGCGTGGAGCTGGGGCTCACGCCTGTAACGAAGCCAGGCGAGACAATGGCGCTATGGAGAAGAGCCGTGTTGGCCTCAAGCACAATACGATCCGTGGGGATGTGCGACTTGTTTGGTAGCGCGAAAATCTCGTCTACATTGGCAACATCGTCCCAAATGCGCCCTTCGGTCTCCCCCGTTGGTGCGTCCCATATTATGTCTGCTCCAGAGGTGCCAATGTAAAACGTCTCTCTAACTTTTGCCGCTTGACCACGAAGCAGCGCCTCGATTCCAGGACGGTTGGGGACATCCGGACCGCAATCTAGTGATTATCAGATAAATGCCTCTAAATAGTAAATCTATAGGAACACACTGAGGACGATGGTTGCATCTCTTGACAGACTTTCCATGAGTCCTATGTCCTTAAGACTACCAATAACGACTTTCACGTTCGCATGATGGTACTGCTTCTCTAAAATAGCCAAATCCTTCTCCGATCGGACGACCGCATTGATCTGGAGTTCGGGATACGTCCTAACAAGCTCGTCCAGAGCGGCACCGCCAATGTGGCCCATAGAGCCGACCCTAAATATCAATAGGTAAAAAGGTCAAGATGAATATCAAGGGCGCGCTTACAGAAGCAGATTGTCGTTCGCCATAGCCGCTAGTCCGACCCTCCTTAAGCAAGAGGATGCAATACGGGCGCGTTGATAAATCCCCCTTTTCAATTATTGCCTCGGAATCGTTCTTAAATATAATTGACTAGATTCCCCAGCCAAATTTCATTTTCTTTGGCCTCGAGACGAACTAATGAGCATGACGGTTTAATGTTTGTGTTGCAAGCAAAGAACGTTATTACACACAGTTTAATCGCATTGGCATTACAAATACTATGCAAGATAAGCTCAATCTTAGACTATTTGATGATTATTTGCCCTCCTTAGGTCACAATGTCACAATAAATACGTGGGCCCATGCCTGTGCCATATATGGTCCAGAGAAGTTACCGCCCAATAGCTGGTGCTGAAATACGAGCCTACATGCTTAGGTTACAATGCCATCAAGCAGGTAGATGCATGTTTATGCCATGTATGATTCGTATGGAGTTCGTCCAGTCGCGAGTCTTAGGATCCCCGTCTTATATGCATTAGATTGCTCTATATGCAGGCTAATGGAAATACGGGCCGCCTGCCTAATGACGCCATTATTGTGCTATAATTATAGACAGTTTCACTATTGCTCACAGGCCATAACGTGCTAACCGTTACATAGGCGGAGTCGAAAATGGATCATTGATAACTTTAGCGTCTCTGAAACCGGCATTTGGGATGAGCCATGAAATTATTTATAGCCTATGGACCACCCCGAGCTCCACGTATCAAATATGACTAACGTCTCGACCGTCACAATGGAAAATACTCCCATAACGAGCGTGTTTACTTAGCTAGGTTACACAGGGGCCATAAATACAATCTGCATGTACAAAATTCGTTCACTCATCACTAACCTAACCTTCGTATCATGTCGTGAGGCATTTAGACATGGGTGAGGCACATAGTGTGCAGCGCAAAGGTAAATATTTTCACTGCTAGATTGATATTCTCATATATATGTTGAGTTCAATGCGATGATGCGTTCGATATCCATATTATCGTATTAGTAGGTAGGCGTCTTAGAACCTTCCTGCATGGTTGCAGCCGGACAGATGATTCGGTCAGTTCTGGCAAAACTGCGCAGAGCTCAAGAGCCCTCAAAAGACACCGGAGGAAATTTACCGGATTGCCAGATATATATTGAACTACGTCAAAAAGATAAAACTCTTGTCTGCCACATTTGTACTCTTGCGTTCCTAGCTTTCACCAATTTTAGATAACTCTAAGCAGGTCGATGTTGTCAGACGCCGGTCTCATCATGACTCTTAGATTTCCACATGCGCTGAGGTTTGTACTTTCAACGGCAATGTATCTTGATAGAAAAACTTTCGTCAAGTGTTTAAAGATTGATAACCATACCCCGTACCAGACATTAGTTACCTCAAGAAGAGCGAAGCTTACCTTTAAATATGCCCTGCCCATCTGCCCGTGTCAATTCTCACAAGAGTTGTTACAAGCAAACTTTGGAGCATGTAATAGTAACTAATACAGAAACGGAATAAGGTATCATCCGATAGATTCACTGATTGGTCATTCAAGCTCAAGGCAGACACGAAACAATTAGGTGTAGATGAAGATGGTGATCGAAGCGGCTTAGTTACCAGCCCACGAAATTCAAACCATACATCAATCTCAAATCAAACACTCAATTTTCTCACGTTAAAACACATCCCATGATTACCTCGTATAACTCAAGAGAAACAACCACCACACAACGAAGTACACTGTAACTTCAAAAGTCTTCTTCGACATGCTATTTACACTCGTATTGGCAAATTTGCTCGTACCTCAAACCGTTGCCGTGCCTAGACACCACAGGAATCATATTCGAGCACGCAATATGTCCCACGACAAGATGATCTGGTACGACGAGGAGGGCGGACTCGGCATCAATGCTGGCGCATGTGGCGAAGTCAACCACAGAAACCAACTCATTGTCGCCATGAATCCTCATAAATATGGGTACTGCGCCAATCCCAACACCGCACCCATCTGAAACAAGATAATTCGCATTCATAACATGGACAAAAAGGTCGAAGCAGTCGTTACAGATCTATGCGAGGGATATGACTATGGCGACATCGATGAGACCCAGGCTGTATTCCTGAGTCGTGTGGGCGACTTGGCTCTGGGTCATGAGCTGGTTATTTGATGGTTCGAGTGAACAGGCATCGGCGCTGGATAGAGAATGAGACAGATACCCCCAGCAAAGAGACTACAAACAGTGTTGAAACATGCGCAACATGAGAGTTACAAATAGTAGACAGCCTTAGACGAGAACTCCATGGTAATTTTACATACTTATATCCTCTCTATTATGTTTCTTGTCAATCGTCATACATTCATCAAGTCCTCACGGTTCATAGCCCTTGTTATCGCCTAGTGAGGCGATCGGGTTAATTTATGTGCCTCCTTCGACGGCGATTCTGTTTTTCTTGTCTGACAAGATTTGGCAGGAAGGTGGAGCTTATTTGAAAACTCTATACCTGCTAGAAAAATCTATAATGGCGGGGCAACTGCTAGAAGCAGTCGAGTGTTCAAGCTTTTATATAAGACAGTGGACTACGGTTAGTTCAATTGAATCATTCGTTGCTTTCGCCTCTACATTTTCCGCAGTCTTCGTTCTTTTCAACTGCTCTCTTTGAACACTAACAAAACTTGGCCCATAGCGCCGCTCGGAGCACCAATTTTAAGACTGGTACCGAGTGTGAGGAATCCGTGGGGAAGCGCCAGAGTTACGCCATTTACAAGGCTGGCACCGAGGGTGAGAAGTCTACAGCCATCCGTTGTTGGTATGCTATCTACGGAATAATAAGTGAGGGTACTGCAACAGATACATGGTAGATTGTATACACTCTCACCTTGAAAGCCTGCTATAGTAAAGACAGCCAGCTACGGTTAAATAGTATCAGCAATATAGCCTACTCTCAAGTCTAGCAATTTTTTAATTTTTTATTTAACCTATCTGAACCGTCAAGACTGTTTTCACAGTTAATATGGGATTCCTGAATGATAGTATACTAAGCTTGCCGCCAATACTGGTACTATATAAAACGTTATGAGATTTAATTGACAGACGTGTTTATTACTGTAAGGGATAGAATCTGCCCACCCAGATCTGAAGTTGCGATATGCAGTCTGTGTCAAGAGAAGCAATTACTTGCTGGAATTGCCATCGGAATTGCGTTTCAGTGGATAAATTACAGCCCGGGCGAGATCGCTTTCTTCGGACCATTCGCACCGGTCGCCCTTTATCGATAGCACTCATTTGAATAGGCCCCTATAAATAGACCGACCTGGTGTTATTCATCTTTCATACACAGGCATAACTAGTATAGAGCGTAATCCGTAGCTTAAATTGACAGGGCTTTTGCAGATACTCATTTCAACCGTGTCGGCTTTCCCAAAGCGTCCGGAAAAGTGAGTTAGGCTTGCTCTTCAGTTCACGAGGGTCACCCAACTCTACGATCCGTCCCTTTTCCATGAGCACAACGAGATCCAGGTCCCCGATCGTCTCCAGCCTGTGCGCTACTACCAACATGGTTTTCTCTTTGAATGCCTCCCGCAGTACCTTTTGCGCTTGTTCATCCGAATGGTGGTCAACGCTACTAGTGGCTTCGTCAAGAAGCACAACAGGGCTTTTGCTTAGTAGGGCCCGAGCTAGGCAAAAGAGCTGCTGCTGCCCGTGAGATAGTCCGAGGCTCTCGAAGTTTACATTGAGACCACCGCGGCTACTGATGGTTTCCCACACGCCAGTTCGAGACAGTGCATCGATAAGAATCTCGTCACCAACAACCGTCTCCAAAGGATCGAGGTTCGTACGGACGGAGCCAGGCAGCGTGACGGAATCCTGGGGTAGGGCTGCGATGTGGGTTCGAGGCACTGCACTCGGTACCGACGCGAGATCGAGTCCGTCGATTGTAATGGACCCGGACTGGGTTTCCAGAAGTTTAAGGAGGCTTAGTAGCAGCGAACTCTTACCGCTTATCGTATGACATGTAAGCCGCTGTCTAGAGTGGGATCTAAGAATACGTGTCCTAGAGAGTACATACCTTCCTGTACGTCCGCAGATTCCTACCTTTTGGCCTGGCTGAATCTCGAGCGATATGTCATGAAGTATCGTCTCATCTCTTGAGCTACAACCTTGTCAGAACCTAGGTATACTTAAATGGCTTGCCTCTTAATAACTTACTGGTAAGTAGAATTGAGGCCATTAATCTTAATGGCACCAGTCGAGGGCCACGATTTCGGCGGCTCTAAAGATTGTGCTATTGAGTCCTCCTGGGGAGTATCTCGTACAAAGTCACGCAATCGAGCGATGGCGCCAAGGGATGTTTCCATATTCGTCCATGAATTTATCATCCTTGAGAGACTATTGTTAAACCCAATAAGGGTCACCATAGAAAGGCCGATCGCGCCGCGGGATGTTATACTCGTAAACTCAACAGCAAAGCTCACCAGAACTATAGCGATGCCTGTAACGAACAAGTCCATTACCACGTTCAACCATCGTTGGATGCAGAACAGGAGATAATAAGGCTTTTGGGACTGGTCGAGGAACCGAAAATTCTCTTCCTGAAAGCCTTGCTGCCAGCCGAATGCTCGAATAGTTGCCACGCCACTAAGTGTCTCAGTGAAGTGTGTATATAGCGGCGACTTGGACTCGAGATCGAGATGTCGGAGCTGACGCGATGTGCGAAGGTAAAACTTCTGTAAGAAGTACATCGGTGCGATACACAATGGAATTACCGTAGCAACGTATTGTGCGCCCGACGCAATTATGGCAGCATTGGCGATAAGAGCGAGCGAGTCTGTAGCCGTGGTAAAGAAAGCCATCGGGAGTGCCTGGTCGATTAGCGTCATGTCTTGGCTAAAGCGGTTCAGGATGACACCACTGTCCGTAGTAGTAAAGTACCACAGCGGCGCTTTAACAACTGCGTCTAATAGGAGCCAGTGAAGATATTTAGCTGATTTTGGAATAACCAAAAACATGGTGAACCAGATTATAACACCAGAGAGAATAATGGTTGATATAGAGAAGGAAATGTAGCCGCCGAAGTAGGCGCCACGATCCTGGTCCGTGCCATGCTCGGTCCATATGCGTACCCTGTGCGACTTTCCTGGTTAGTTATTGTAGCGTTTACATTATAATTGTTGTCAAACTGGTCCTGGAGGCAAGGAGCTTGCCAGGCAATTTAGAGAGACAGTACGTACCAAATAGTTGGCATTCTTCCCACGGTGACATAGCCAATTGCAAGAAGTAGAAACCCAATTGATCGGGGTAAACCGACGGACTTCAGATAGAATTTGTATAACGAGCGATCACCCGTCTGTCGTGCCAAGTCACTCTCATCCTCCTCAGCAGCTGTTACAAGGGGCGGATCAGCGGATGTGTTGGTATCCCCCTCTCTCGCATCGTCATCCTCATGGCTGAAACAGGCTTCTAGCGCGAGGCTTTTCACGTAGCCGTCTTGGGCCTGCAGGTCGGCAAAGCTCCCGGTCTGCGCGATGCGACCGGGTGTGCTTAGCACGATAATATTGTCTGCGGAAGGGAGTTGGTGAACTGAAAATCTGTCAGTGGCAGCTAAAATATCACACGGCATCCGGCTGCAGTTCGCCGTAGCTCACGTACCTGCGTTTGTCGCTAGGAGCACTGTTGCGCCCTGCTTTCGCAGGAGTCCATCCGCTCCGAGGATGCGGTTGAAGACAACTCGAGACGTAACAGTATCGAGGGCACTGAAGACGTCATCGAGCAACACAATCGTCCTCCGCGAATATAATGCGCGAGCGATGGCCTATACAAAGAAAGTGAAATTGTATCAGCATATTTAGATATCAGGGTCGCTCACTCGATGCCGCACCTACTACTCGCTGTTTCTGTCCACCACTAAGAGTGATACCCTTACTCCCAACCAAACTTTTATCGCCTAGAGGAAACTGAGAGATGTCGGCGTTGAGTGCGCAGGCGTGACACACGGAGGCATACCACCTCTCATCAAACTGTCCCTGGCCAATAATATTATCACGGACGGAGATGTTCCGGAGCCAAGCAGTTTGGTCACAGTACGCTATCGATGCGCCGACGTCCTCGACCCTAACCGTCCCGCTAGAGAGGGGTATCTCACCCAGGATACCTCTAAGAAGGGAAGACTTGCCGCAGCCCACAGGGCCAGCGAGCATTGTACAGCTAGACCTTTGGAGCGATACAGTGATATCCTGAAGCACAGGCTCTGTCTGGCCCTTCAACGTGAAACTGGCATGTTCCAGGACGAGCTGAGTGGAGGATGGATTTCGAACCGAGGTGAGCTCAATATCTAATTGTTCTTGCCTTTGTGGTGAGATAACATTTTGATCGATCTCGCTTGAGGACGAGAATGGGTTTCTACCAATAGTGTAGATCCTTGTATCTTCGTAGCCCTCCGACACCAAGAAGGCCTGGATCCGACTAAAGCAAGCAACAGATGCCTTGAAGTTCGGAATTGATCCCATAAGGTTGGCCATGGGGGATGCGACAAGCGCTACGATGGATAGAGCGGTGAACGCCTCGGAAACCGTGAATGCATCGGGCCCAGATCTTGTCCAAAATACAGCTGACGTTATTACAACTGCTGGGGTCATTTGGTCCGAGAAATTGGCTTAACTATATCAGTCTACGTTCCGTGCATGTGTGATACAACGTACCTATCATGACGATCCGTATGATAAAAGCTCTAAACTTTTTCGACAGCTCGAGCTCGCTGGCCCGAAGGCTTTGGATCAATTTAGCAATGTAGTCGGTTAGCCCCATCATCTTCAGCCCCTTGATCTGCGACAGCATTGATGAGGTGATAGAGACTCGCTCCTGTACGGCTTGGTTCCACATTCCTCGAGCTGGGCCAATGCCATCGGTAGCGTAGTTCGTGGCAACGCTAGACGCTAAGGTTAGGTACACACACTTAGCCGAGAGCTTTCTGATTAAGCTTTAAGATTCACTTACCAACAGCTGGAACTACAACAAGGAAGCAGGCAGGCCCAATCTGTCTTTCCAGCAGGTAGACGGCAACTGCGAGCTCGACAACGCTTGCCCAAATCTCATGCATCTCCTGAATACCAGTCGCAATGCCGTCAACATCGGTACTCATCAAAGTAACTGCGGCGCCCTCTTTTGCGGATATAGTATCAAGATCGATAGTCTTCTTGAAGATCAAGGAGACGAGGCTTCCTCGAAGTATCGTTATTAGTTGAAATATGAGATGGTTGTAGATACCTCGTGATATCTTATTGGTAGAAGTCAGTTTGACGGCATCTCTTCGTTAGGGGTTGACCCAACTCACGGCAAGCCCTAGGTAGACCAGACATGTAGCACCAATCAATCCAACGGCAATTCCACCAGCATTCCGTTGATCGCTATCGCTATCGCCGACAGAGCTCACAACTCGGTTAATTAAAAAAGGCTGGGCAAAGCCGAAGCCAGCGAGACAAAGACGAGGGATAACTGGAGCGAGGAAGGCGACCTTGAAGGCAGAAAGAGTCGCAATGATGAGGACATGTTTCCCGCTTCTGTCGCTTGCCTGCCAGACACCGTCAAGTTTTGATAAGAGCTTAGCTGATTCAAACTTTTGGTCAATACTGCCCAAGTCTCCGACCTGGAGCAAACCTTTGAAGCCTTTCAAAAACAGCTGATTCAGCCACCAGAAGACCGACCGATTGATGGGGCCACTAATTACCTCCAATGCGAGGTTCTTGGTCTTGTCGGTCACCAAGGGGCGCTTCTGCAGCTCTTCAAGACACAGAAGGGCCAGCTTCGTTGCCAATGAGGCGGTAAATAAGGCCCGTATTGGGCCACTGTCTGGGGATCGCAGGAACAGTGTCCTGGTCTGGGCGAGGTCGAGCAAGATGGAGAGGGCGAGATAGCTGACTAAGAGAGTCGACGGACTGATAGATCGACGATGTTCTGTGTACAGCAGCACGGCAATGGCCAACGATCCGATGAGATCCAGGACAGAGCCAGCGAGTGACACCTGCGTTCCAACTGTTCCCGGAAGCGCCCAGAGCGCAACGAGGGCACTGTGGAAACAAATCAACGTTGTGGCTGCTGCCTGTGTGCAGAAGGGCATTAAACATATTGACCACACTGGATGTCCCCGTTCCCGCCGGACGACTTACGAACTTAGCCCACAGAAGCCATCCGGCACGCACACAGGTCTCCCTCTGCCACAGCCATGTCGCCCGGGCTATGGAAACCAAGATGAACAAGGCAGAGGGGAGGATGCCGAGAATGCTCTGCTCGAACAGCAGCGTGAAGTCGAACACATCACCCCTCAGCGGGCCGAACGCGATGTCGGAAGTGTCGCGTTTGTAGGATACGTTCAAACCATGTAAGTCCATCATGGCCGGGTCGGTAGGTCGATTGGAAGATCGCTTTCGCTCATAACCGACTCAAAGGTTTCGCCGCTTTTCCAAAAGGCCCAGACAATACAATCCGCCTTCGAAAGTTTAGTCAAGACACGTTGGTGATTCTAGGCTAAGGTCTGCGACAGGACTCGTTAGGGATGGTTATAGGGTGATGCGAGCAGTCGGGCCCGCCATGAAAACTCCACTTTTAATGCCACTTTAATGCCACTTTAATGCCCCGCTCATCATCCGCGGTACATGACTCACCCGGCGTCTTAGCGATTAAGGCTAACCAGCCCTAAAGGGAAGGTACTAAATAATAGTAATCGATAATAAATACTAAACCGAAACAAGTATAAGAAAGTACCTTTTAATACGTAGACGAGTTTTACTCTTATAAATTAATTATCTTCGTGTTTATTACACGTACAACGTCCCTGACTATTACCGATGTATAGAGGGATAAGATCGTACCCGCATCTTCCCGCTATGAAACCATTGCCTCCACTTCAGACACAAGAAGCAAGATGCTTGCCGGTTCATCTGTATAGCGAAGCGGTATTCCGGGAGAAGGCTTCTTCGATAAAACTACACACGAAGCTCGTAGTAGGTAGTCTCCATGATGAGCGCCATGGCGGTCGGGACGAGTTAGTAGGCACTTATCGTACCGTGGTGATATATCACACGTTCAGAAGAGCTTGCTTATGTTCGTAACAATAGAAGTTAGTGATGAAGAAGAGGTGGATGTTTAGCAAGGATCAATAACATGCGGGTCCGGCCAAAAAAGTATCGACTGAAGTATTTCTGGCTATGGCTTGACTATGCATATCTAATGCTCTGTACGAAAGAGCCTATGCGCATTGTGAGTAGTAATCATTTAGTTTAGTACACGTTCCTTGCTAGAGGCAGAGTCAGCAGACGTTTGCAAAAAGTGAGCGTCAAACAACTTACGTAGCAATTCGTGCAGCCGGTATAACTGTTACCACCACACTGCGCATAAAGGGCGACAGTACAACCACTTGATCCGCCAGACGCAGTCGGGAGAACCACACTTGTTGCTGTGCCAGATGCCCCTGCGCCGGCCGTGCAAGTAGTTTCGCATCCCTGACATGCGGCTCCGGCACTCTTCGTCGACCCGCCGGAGTAGACTGTTGGACCCGGGGCGATGTATGTAGTCATGGCGGCATGAATGTCCACCAGAATACCTGGATCACTCGCAGCATAAGCACCGGGTAAGTTGACGGTGGACGGCTTAGCGGATCCCGACCCAGAGACCGTTAGCTGGATACAAGACATGTAGAACTGAGCACTTCCACTGCTGGCAGCCGTGTGGAGGGCCAAAGCTTCGGCTCGCAGGAGGTAATCGCCCGCGGCGATATCGGCCGGGATCTTGACGTCGAGTCTGCCGCAGCATGTGTTGATGTCCTTGGTCCCCCAGTAATCATCGTCACCGGATGAGCCCGCCGAGTTTTTCGCCCAGGTATCAGCGTAGATCTTGAACCAGCCGGCCGATCCATCTGCGGTCGAGGAGTCGTCTACGGCACTGAGGTAGGCCTGTACAGGTCCATAGTGGGCACCACCAATGGCTTCAGTGGTGCAGGTGCGGTCGCCGGGTTGCTGCTACATATTAGTGTACGTAAAATCATGCGTTATCGAGGGGGACGGACTTGATGAATTTCAATGGTAACTGTATCTCCAGCAGCCACGTTACACTTGTATGCTACAGGTGAAGTGCCTGCGTTGCATCGAATGTCGTTAGATGAGACATTGGTAACCGGACTATTGGACAGTGGAAGTCTGATGCATTGAGCGCCGTAGTCCACGCCTTTGATCCACAGATCTTGGAAGGTCGCATGGCTTGTGACTCTCTGCACTGTCAGAGCAGACAATGTAGCAAAGAACGTCGATTTCATTTTGAGGTGTTAACGCAAGAATCCAGGAGACTGAATGGTAGATGAGCAGGAACACTATGTGACGATCTTGTCGATCGCCGCATGGGATTATTGAAATCCTTTATTGCTTATTATACATTCCGTGCACGGCTGATTCGGAATACTGCCTCCTTTGAATAGTACATTACAGTTGTATATCCTGACTTGTCTTGGCAAACGGTTGCACTGCATCCGTAATGAGAGATGACGATGGCCTGTTCTCTAGCACAGGAGTACGATAGCCGCCAAAGTCAACCAGGTTTTGATCCTGTGGAATCAGCTTGCTTCATGAACGCCGTACCCGTGAGACTGGTCAGTGTAACGGTATAGTCGGGTGATTGGTGGGACCGCTTTCCAGTCTCATGCGGGGGTAATATATCGCGGCGTAACCCCAATATGGAACCGTCTTGGCAGCTCCGAGTTGGGACAAATACAAATGTGTCTATAAGCGTGACCACACGATGTAAGGGAGTGTAGTTGGAAGGGAGAGCCTGTATTATTACTAAAGCAAGCACGCTACGCTCTCTGAATCCGACAACCGATGCACCGAGGCCGCATAAACAAAAGCACCACAGATTCCGCTTGCTACCGGTCGACCTCATGTGATCAACTCCCAGCGCTAAGACCCCCATACTCGCTACGCAGCACCGACGATCGCTCCGGCCACGCCAACAGCAATGCCCGCAAACAACATACCTGTGCATCTCGGAGCTGCTGCAGCCGTGCTGCTCGGCTGTGCGCCTGTGGCAGTAGCAAGTGCCTGTACACTCGAGGCTGCGCTGTGCCAAGCATTGTTATAATCCAATACCTCAGTCTGCAATGGCTCGGGTACGCGTGTCTGATACCATGCATTGGTGGTAACCACACCCCAACCCCATGCCGATGCTTCCACCGAAGCAGAGACCTCGCTTCCAGCGTTGTCCGCGGCACTTTCGATGGCGGATATGATGGTCTGGTAGTCTGATCGTAGAGCAAATGACCTGTCAACACTATATAATACGCTGGCTAGCATCGTATAGTATTGTCCAGTAGCCCATGTTGGCTGTGGTGCTGCTGCAGGAAATGCGAAAGAAAGATACTGCGCTGCATCTGTGGAAGTAGGGAGTGTGATTGGTGTGGCACTGCTGGCTGTTGATCGTGTAGAGCTGCTGTTACCGGTAGTGGTACCAATTGTCGCATTTGCTATGGAGGTAGTATTCGTAATCACAACGTTGGAAGTGGTCGATGGTATTGTTGTTGTTATTAACACAGTGTCAGTGCTATCGGTCGAGGTAATCGTAGTTAGAATCTCCGATACTAAGACTATAGTGTTCGTCACATCTACGACGGTAGTATCCAGTGAAGCATCTGTTGCTGTAACGCCTGCAACATCGGTCGCAGATGCATCGCTTGCAGCAGATGTTTCTGATAGCGCTGGTGTGTCCGTTGTTAGGGTGGCTGTATCCGGCGTTATGGTCGAGTCCGTTATCACCGAAGCTTCTGCTGTCCCCGATGTCTCCGTTGTCTCCGATACACCTGACGTTTGTGCTTGAGCGATGGAGAATGCGGATAAAGTCGCCGCATAGATGTAGCCAACCTTCATCGTTTCCTATTTTCTTCTCTTTCGCACTTTTATTTTTCTGGCTGTGGATGGGTAACAACTAAGGTACACAAGTGGTTGGGACGAGAACTAGACAGCACTCATTCATTTGAGGACGAATTCATGCTGGTTTTCAATGGGCTGCTATCATCTTGCATATCCTTCGGCCTTCACTTGGGGGTCCGATGCGAGATCCTTCGGTGCCAATGCACGTAGCGCGATAGTGTCAACGTGGTGGCATGACCGAAGCCCGATGCGACCAATCAGGATCAGCCACTGTTCCATAATCAGTAACTGCCAGTCCATGATATGTGGTGCGCGCGGAGCTCAAAGACTTGACCTTAGCTGAGATGAGGCGTAGTTTCTATGGTGACGCAAATGCACAGATGTAAATTTGTGTAGAAACGTGCTTGAGCCCAAAATATGGCACTAAAATGGTGGATAGACATTGGTTTCAGTTGGAGGTCAGATGTTGGTGACACATTATTCACTTCTTGAGCCCTTCCCGCAAGGTGCGACAAAGGAAGCACACGCTGGTAGACAAATGTGACATGAGCATCAATTGAGTTCCTTCATCACCGAGTCCACCCAGCAACACCAGATACTGTCTCGCAAAAGACGTCAAAGTGTTGCAGTCAGTGATGCATGGGAATGAAGCAGGAGTAGGAAGAACAAGCCACCATGGCAACTGCCAACTACGACGATTAAATATTTTGGTATCAAGCCCGTTGATCGCAAGACTAAACCTACCTGTAATATGGGCATGGGCAAGGTCAAGTATAGAACAACTAACCGACCTAGCAGGCTTTCTTGATGATTTAAGGTGCGGCTGGAACAGTTCAAACCTTATGACAGAACTACAGAGTAGTGGTGTCAGCACCCGCGCCGCCATCAACATCGTTAAACTGAACTACTGAGATAGACTCAACGCACAGCAAGGTACAGTGGCTTGAGCCCAATCTCTGCATATCAAGCAGGCTGATTCGTCTAAGCGCGCTGTCGTGCTGTGATGTACAGAGTAGGCTTGCTAGCTCTATAAACACCAGCTCTGCATAACACCTGCATTCGTTGGGATTTCAGCACCATTCTCGAAACCTTCACGTGTATGGCAGGACCTTGATTGCGATATTGCGGTGTTTCCAATACCTAGGCACCATGGCCTCTACAAAGACAAATAACTCCAAATGCGGTTGTCTAGCCAGCATGAAGAAATTGCCCGGGAACGTGTGATATCATTCACGACGGACTGAATTATGATCGTTGGGATTCTCCAACAAGCAGTAGGCTTCGCGGATAACGATCTGAGCACCATCCCCTCGCTGTGCGAGAGCAAATCTGGTATTCGTATTGACGACAGAGAGGCGACACGTAGCAATCATGCTTTTGGAGATGGCGATGATTCAAGAGCTCTTGTGTGTTGGTCTCCGCGAAACCCGTAGGTGTGGAAAGATGCGAGACGCGCAGTTTAAGCACGGTGTGCAGCTCTCCTCTGAGGCAATTAAAACCGACCTCGACTACTGGCGGCTTGAAAAGTACACGACCAGATGCATTAACGGATCAGGATTACACGGAAGTCGCAAGATGGTTTCGGGGCATATCACGCGCATCTTCTCGTTGCAAGCACATAAACGATCGCAGCTGGATTGCGGAACCTCGTCTGCCGTGGTGGTGTACTTGAGTTGAGGGGGGTACCGTGCGGCAACCATGACACAGGCCCGAGCGTCCAGATGGGCTGCAGGTATCGTTTAAGTTGACAGTTTCAGCCCATCCAAAACCCACAACATGCGACAGACCTTCGACAGAGCATGTTTCTACCCCTTCCTACTACCCATAATGGTAAAGGCGGCTGGCGGGCGCCCCGCGAAGCTCATGTTGCCCGCTGAAGATGTTTATGATCGTCTTTGTATCCTCTATCATGTTTCTGGAGTTCCTCCTTGAAACGGCACACGTTAGTGGGGCAGAGGCTAAGCATCTGATTGAGCTTATCATTTTCAGGTACGCGTTTGGCCATCTCGGTTGAAAAGCTGGCTTTGGATGCTAATTCGATCGCGAAAGCAACATATATTACCGGATGCGCAGAGACCGCTCTCTAGGAGGAATAGAAGGATCAAGATTATATGCCTCATCCTTTCTAGTCCTTAGTATTGCCACTGTGGACACTTTATGATGAATAGTTGAATACTTGACGCATAAGCCAACGGACATGTTCTAAGCTGCCCACAAAGTATTTTACCTTTTTGCTGTATATGACTACACAGAGTACTACTTGAAGATCGTGATCATCAACAGGCTTGCAAATGTTCTGGTGGGTCTTGGCTTCTTTTGTCAAGTTGAAAGAAAAAAAAAAAAGACAAAGTGTCAACGCAGATCACCCATTCATCCCGTCGTCAAACTACTGCAGAGTGCAATCATCGTCCCGCCATACCCCTGCTGCATGACACAGCCTGTAAAGTCCGGGGAGAGATGATCTTGATGGACAAGCGTCATCTCAAACATTGGCGCAACGGCTGCTACCACCTCAGCCTCACGGAGTACTTCCTATAGGATCCAAGGGGCCCAGAGCTTCTAGAAAAGCGATGGGTAGAACCACTCAGCAAATATAAAGACGCGGCGATTGACGGCGGTTATGAGTTATCCAGTAACAGATGATCACGGCATCTGTCCATTCAAGAACATCATTTGCACACCCTGGTGGTAATTAATATCATATACATTATTTAATTCCCCTCCCCCCCCCCTTATTCATCATGGTTCGCGTAGCATTTTCAATGGCAATTCTGTGTAAGCTCGAACGACCCAAGCAATGGAACCACCCACTAACACCATAGAATAGTCGCCGTCGGTGTCTTGGCTGTGCCAAGTCCTGCTGTCCCTGATCCCGCGGGCGTTAAGAACATCGGAAACGGAGCTGGTGTACAGTTCATCGGAGGAGAGTGTCTGAGCTCGGCAGACTGTGCATCAGCGTGTTGTGCCTTTAACAACAATGGCGGCGGCATCTGCTCAGGGGTTGGAGCTCAATTTCAAAACGGAAAGACAGGATGTGGCTTTGGAGACAATGGCGCTGCAGCTCCGGCTACAGGTAACGTCGCATCCGGTAGTGTTGACACGTCCGCTCCTGGGAGCCAAAACGTTGGCACAGGAAATGGGCAGCAATTCATTACGGGGCAGTGCTTGAGTGATGCTGATTGTGCTTCGAGCTGCTGTGCAGGGCCCAAGGGTGCCTGCTCTGCCGCCGCAGTGGCTTTTGACTCTGGGAAAACAGGCTGTGGTTTCGTCGGCACAGCTTAGACCTGAAATTGCAGACTTTCTTGGATATGTCTCCGTGGGCATTTTTGAACACCCCATGGTATATCCAAGAGCATGACGAGGAACACGATTTGGGAACACGGAATGGGGTTAATGAGCATGCAAGACAGGTTTCTTGCCGGGACATAACATATGTATGATTATCGCAGGCGGGTTGTGCAAGTAAATATTTAACATGATCTTGGAAATGGTGCCTTGCCTTGGGCCTTTGTTAGGATCTTGATTCTAATGTACGTCGCTATCGATTCTCAAACACCAATTTATGATGCTCGGTCAACCTCTCACATAGTCGTGCTCTTTGCTTCCACTCATGAAGGCTGCTAGCGAGCTCGCACCCAGTCTGGACTAACAAGTCCCATAGGGTATCTTCCACGTCATATCCAAACAATCTCTCGGCCTCGTCCTTAGGTCCAAGAAGCCTCAAGCGAGACTTTCCATCGACGGAAACCAAGTCTCCCTCGTCAACCAGATGACCTGCATTCATCTTTGGCGTATTTGCATGTAGGAAGGCCGGCCGAATCTTGTCAGAGCCTCCTTGCCTACTCGCATAGTCATCGAGCGGCAAGTGCTGCACGATTGCCGTGCCTTTCTGCTTTCCGCCGTCATGTCTTCCAAGGGCTACTGCAGGGGCCTTGACACGGTAGTATGGGGTGCCCAGCGCCACGGCAGCTGCCATGAATGTCTCTTTGTCGCCTTGACCTAACGCGCCTTGACTAAGCAGGGGATAATAGAAATCCAACCCAAAAAGATTGTAGTATGTCGCCAGAAGCAGCGTCGAAAGATGCTGCTTCTTGTTAATCACAAGCTGGCCCGACTCGCTCGATGTAGGGGGCAAGTCCTCGGGGAATCCGGATAAGCCCGCAATGTCCCAGAACTTTGGAGATTCTGTGGCAGCCCAGAAGTCGGGCCACGTTATGAGACCATTCGATCGATACGGCTCCGCCTCGAATATTGTGGTGTCAGGGTCGACTAAGGGTATGCTGTCGCTGTCCAGCAGGAGTACCTCGGCAAAAGAAGATAGCAACAGCGTCGGTGCCTTCAGCTGGTAATGCTTGATCACTACATCCCCAGCTCGTTGAGAATTGTCCGGTTGGAAATGCGAGAGCACCACACATTTTGCGTTTAGCTTTGGCAGGTACTCCTCGCATATCTCCTTCTCGTATTCGCTGTCATTCGGGACGAACACTTCGACGGGCAGGGTGCTTCCCGTTCGTCTGAGCATTTGGATCCCGATAATCGCAGGGCCGAAGTATTCTCCTCCGCCAACCATGACGACACCACGGCCTTTGAAGATTCCATGATCAATGGCATCCAGAGAAGCATCGAGCTCTTTCAGAAAACGCTGATGCGATCGCCGCATCTCCTCTATTTCGGTGGCCGTGTTCTTGACAAGGTCGTTGTAAGGTTGGCGAAAACCGTTCGCGTCTTTCGGCGGTACCGTTCCTGCATTGCCGGATATCTTGATCTTGTTGCCCTCCGGTCGGTTCTCGTACATCAGTTGACTCCAGCGCTGCCAGAAGAGGGAAATGGTCTTGTGCGAAATGGAACCCTCCTCATCTTGAATGGCGACCACCGGCGTTGATGCCGCACTGAGACTTGAAGGCAATCGGTCGGTACGGCGAAGATAGACGAGCAGCACAATCGCCGGTATCAAAAAGGCCAGCCATCGCAATGCCAGACGCATGATGGGTGCTTCAAGACATTGCCTCTGCTTCGATTCGTTGGGAATGTCTTGTAATGCACGCGATGCGACGTGGCTTGCGCTGGACTGGAATCAAATACTCCGTAGGGTGCTTCGTTGCGATGGAAAGAAAGTCCTCGGATGCTGAGCCTGCCCCTTCCGCGCGTCCAGTGCTCCATCGAGTTAGCTGCCGCATGCCAGATCTGCCGCCTATCCAGGGGATACTCCACTACCACGCAATGCACACTCCCCTGTAGTAGCCCCTATGCAATGTTCATTACGGGGGTGTTTGTGGAGACTTGCAACTATCCCAAGATACGTCCGAATGCGTACTGTACTTCTTAAATCGTTGAGTATGTACGTGTCGGCTCGTTTAACATATATATATAATGTTTATATTTATTCAAAAACAACGATTAAAAATAAACAATCTTCCTTTTCAGAACATGGAAACTCGACTATTCTCTACATGTTGTGTTATGTCCATGGCTGCCCATCAACCATGTTTGATCTGAACGTTGTACCGTGTTCATATGCCATATTAGTGCAGGCAGTGACTGTTTACTCAGCCCCTCCCCGGGCGAATTCGGACGAATTCGTGCGAGAGCCTCTTGAGAAGTACTCACTACTTTCCCCTTCCCAATAATCGATGCAGTGGCTGCAATTTGGAGGCGACGATGACCATTTTATTGTGAGCTTCAAATCTAACACCTGGTGTGGGTTTGATCAACTTTTGTCGGCCATGCACAATGCCGACGAGGACAGATGCTGGTCATGTTTCCAAGCGCATGCGATTGGGGACGAAAAGTTGCTCTGAATGCAGAAGAAGAAAGGTCCGCTGCATTTTTCGAGGAGAGGCCAAACAATGCGCATCATGCCAATTGCATGATACAGCTTGCCAGCCACAGGTCCCAACGGCGATGACAGAGCACCCGCCACATTCCGACCTTGAGGCACGACTGAGCACGCTTGAATCACTGTTCTTCCGCCTGTGCAAAGCAGCCGGCTTGGAATCCGGCCCAGGCGCTGGAACGAACGACATCGACATATTGGGTCTCATACTGATAGATCGGCTACAGATCAGCCGCAACTCGTGTTCTGCAGACCAAAAGGTGCCCAGCGATGCTGAATTGGATGACGGTCTTGGCCGTAGCCTAGAAGTGCACACCTTTCCGGAGGGCTTGGGATGTGACAGGGCGCCTTTGATGGAATTCATGCGTGACTCAAACATGAGCCTGCGCCAAAAGAGTATTTCCACAGCAGATACTGATCTGAAGACCCAGCATGTGCTGGAATTCCACAAGAGCAACATCCGAAAATGGTTACCGAGTGCTGCTGACATGTCATGGATTCTTGAGTCAACACATCAATACTGGGCATTATGGCCACTCCACCCAAGTCAGCTAAGCCCGTCCAAGACCCTTTCCGTATCTGTCGTCTCGATAGCATCCTCGTTTATGGATGAGTCGTTAAAGTCTGCGGAGCCTACCATTGTGGCCAGGGCTCTAGCATGGTTTGCTTTATGTGTTCAACAAGTTCCAAAAGTTACCACTCATCGCTTGTCGGCAGCGTTGCCATCGCCTGCTGAGCTCATTTCAACATACGTAGACACCGCCAAGTCACTCTTGGATCTCAGTTGCACTAGTGGTCATTTACTTGTGCGCCTACTTTGTCACGTATTACAAGCCAGATGCTATGTGAATATGGGTCGTCCTCGCATGGCATGGCAGAGTATCCGGAATGCCGTCGATCAAGGCACACTCTCAGGTCTCCATGACGAACGTAACCATACAGATATAGAACGGGTGAAAATATGGGCCACTATCTTAGGTTATGACCGACAACTATCATTGATAATAGGTGTTCCATATGCCATCTCCGAAGCGCATTTGCCGAACCCGAGCCTCGGTACCCCAGTTGAAGCGGTCATCATGCACAACATCAGTCTATTAAGTGGTCGGATCATCGATCGAAACCAGTGTCACAATACACTGTCGTACGCTGCGACGTTGAAGCTGGACGAAGAAGCTGAAAACTTACGGGACATGATCCCGTCCGAATGGTGGATAATGAACGCCGGCGATCGGCTGGCCTTGGAGACCTTTCACACACGCCAAGTCTCAAAGATGTACTATTTCCAGCTGAAGATGCAGATTCATCTGCCATACATGCTAAGAGCTGCCACCGACAAAAAGTACGAATATAGCCGAGTCTCGGTGCTGGAAGCAGTCAAAGGCACCATCTATTGCTACAAGGAAAGGCAAAGACACCCGGAAGGAGCAAATGTCATGTGTTTCCTAGTTGACTTTCTTGCTTTCAGTGCTGGTATAATATTGATCACGGATCTGCTATCTGACCGACAGTTGTCGACGCCGGAAGCTAAACCCGAAGATTGGACTTTAATCTCTGGGCTTATCTGTGAGCTCAAACACGTCTCTCACACCTTGAACCACCCGGTAGCGAGGCAATCAGTGCAAATACTTAGTTACCTCTTCTCGGCCTTTAACGGTACCTACCAGGGGCCAGACATCTACGAAGCGATCGTGCCCTATTTCGGGAGAGTGTGTATTCGTCGTCCACAGCCGCAGACTCAAGTTACAGACCACCTAATCCCAAAGTGTGATTGTTCTATGGAGAACAATTCACCGAATACAGTGTCGCTTGAATCAAACGTCTTCAACTTCTGCTCAATTCCGGATATCACAGAAGCCGAGTTGGACATAGACTGGACGTCACTTCTAGACGATACCATCACTTTTGATTGGAACGGCACGTTTGAGTTCTAGGACCCAAAATTGTTCGTTTGCTCGAGATCAGGAAATGCGACCTGCTTGGGTCATAGAACATCATAGTTTGAGTTCTTGGCGGCCGTGTTGGGCAAATACCTCTTACGTGATTTAGCCTCTTTACTTTCTCATAGAGCCGCGATTGGTGCCTGCTCCATTATGAGCCACACTTCAACTCAGCTACCTCCTATCATGATGTCAACCGTTCGTACCGCTCAGGATAATCCTAGCTTCCACAGGCGACTCTCAATGCTACTTACTCCAAGCTCAGTCAACTGATCGTACTTTACCGCTGAATGATTGTGAATTGCCACTGAGATTGGTGCATGTTCTCGCCATGAACAATGGATGGTATGGAGATGTACACGACCTAAACCCACATTTCCATACGATAGAGGGCTTCGCATTCAAGAATTGAATATCGATACAGGTCGTATATAGAGCCAAATCGACACTGTAACTTTCGGTTAGACTAATAGGTTCGAGCTTCATAGGCGTTGGGGGTTGGTGCACAATTTCATTGTTTTGTATTGCCCCAGCTGGTTCGACGCTGACATTCTGAATCCGAATTCCACTAACCTTAGGTTAGACTAGTCTAGCTCATAATGTGCTTTGCCATCAAAGACAAAACTGGCAATATTCGCGGGAGTCGATGTGTAGTCGAATCAGATCAATTCGAAATAATGCCATGGTGACAAAACAGAGTGTTCTACGCAAAGAAAAGTGCAGACTGATTAATGGATATCATTCGTGTCCCATAGTTTCTATAGAACTTGACCACGTGCATTGTTGCATCCACGAAGCGTCCATTAGAATTCCGCCAGCGTTTGGTGTTACTAGACTGACAAGTGTACTGCTCTAAACAAACAACCGCAGGAAGACACATTTAGAGCACGGTTTTCTTGCTCTGTGACATATCAGAAAGAGTTACTAGAAAACAAAAATTATTTGAGATACGGGTTGTACATACATTCGTAAGAGACCAATGTTCCCATAGTTGTACCTGAGCAGTGTAGCTGTGTGCATAGTGGCCAACCAACGATTTGATTTTCAGACATTATGCCAAAGTCGCCCGCGGATTCCCAATTATAGAGGTAGTCACCCTTTTGAATAAATTGCGGAATGATCCATGGTTGTCCTAATGCCTTGTGATAGTCTGGGTCATTAGAAATTCTCTTACCATCCTGTATGACCAAGGAGAGTATCGATAGATTGTTGGCAAGGAATTCAGCGATTTCGATGAGACAGTATTTAATAATTAGTTAACGTTGGCATTATTTGGGAGTAGCATGGAGTATGAAAACCACACCGGAGGGCTAGATGGTGCTATAGAAAATCTCCTCGAGAGCAATGGAAATATGATACTTGAGTCTTGTACCTGTCAGCCGCTGTCTTTTTAGCGATTGCTGGTTGTGGAGAAGTGCAGGGCAAAGCCAGAAGGTCGTGTAGTGTGACCAAGAGCAGGGTAAGGTTTTCTACATGGCCAATAGCTTCACAGTATACACAGTTCATTGATTAGGGCTTATTTCATAGTGATAAATGTTCCCCTCGCCTATGTTCTCGGGCCATGGTGTTGGGTGCCAAAAAGCTGATCATATCACATCACCAAACCGTTTCAGAAACAGTGATTTCGCTTACATGTGCCTAGTACACATAATTGCAGCCGCGGCGCATTATATTCAGGTGTGAAAGATGAAAATGTGTCTGTTCATATCGTGGTCACCTTGCCTGTCTTGATATCATACACAGCTCCCACGATGTTCTTGGCCAGCTCTTTGTTAATGAACGGACTTGTTTTGAGGAAAGCTACAAATTTTCGAGCACGCCCTGAAGTGCTACCCAGGTCGCTTTTTTGTAAGACGTTAGTTACTAGTAAAGAACTGAGTTTGAAGTCTTACTTCTTGAAAGTACCAAATTCGAACGCGTCAATATCCTTAGAGTGGCTTGGCACTAGCTTCTTCAAACTCTCGCGGATTTCTTCGTCGGTCGCGTATGTTACCCCACAGTCTGTATACGATCAGTGAGATGAAAAAAGACCTTCAGGCCGCAACACTAACCGGTATGTTCAAGAACAAGTACTTCTTCAACACCACCACGAACATGATCAAGCAGGAGAAGATCTTCAAGGTTTTGAGGCACATTGCAGCCAGCATTTCTAAGCACGATAGCTTCTGAATCGAACGACAGTGAGTCTTTAGATGTTGGAAAACATGCAATGACAATGGTGTACATACCGCCTGGCTTCAATCCTAGAACGGCTTCGGGGTCTACGCGTCCATCACAGCATGAGACTGGAGCGTTGTCAGTTGAGAATTTGATGATTGATACTGCGGAAAACGTGCATATTACTGTTTTCGGCCCTCGTGTTCCAGGCGGAAATTCAGTGATGAGAGGTAGCGGTGTGTGCGATTTAGCATATTCCCTGTGTAAGTTAGTGACATGTTTATCGGCGACGCAACAGAAACTTTCCGCACTGGTTTCTCTCTAATAATTGCGGTATGAGTCGTAAGGAAGACATTGTGTTCGCTTGCTGTAATATATTGAGACAACGATTAACTAGAGACGTGGAAGTTTGCTTCGAAGCTAAATGCACTTTGGATTGATGAGGAACGGAAATCGAAACCTTTTATATCCATTAGGACAATGCATGACCCTCTGCAATGTCAATCACAACTTGTAAGACGGCATATCTACGTCGCAGACTTAGTACCTTGACTATCTGGGATGGAGGGAGAGTATCAATGACAGTGCACATGTCTCAATGGTGGCCTTGCTGGCATACGCTTGTTTGCGTCTCCTGCTAGTGGGCACAATCAACTGCGAAGCAGAACTTGTTGCTAGTCCCATGACGCGTATCTAGCAAGTCAGCTTGATCGATCTGACGTGACTATTCGCGCCGTTATGCTTGGTCAGACTAGAGCTGCCAGAGATGTACAAAAAGTCCGTCGGTGATAACAGCTATCAATAGTAGTCGTATGTCAGCATCAGCGTAATACGGACTCATTGAGGCGCCCGGCGTCCGAGACTATGGTTGGGCGAGACCGTCGGTAGCCACTCAAGAAGCGGTAGGGATACCCGTAACACCCGAAGGGCCGCATTGGCAAATCGCTGAATTATTGATTTGGGCCATAGGCAGTTTGTACACAACTAAAAACTTTCGGCCTGTGACTACGAATCTGCTCCCCACCCCAGCTGACGATTGACTTCGTTCATCGCACTCATGCCCGCTCGAAAAAGGCCAAGAGCGCCATCCACGCTCGCGTTGCCCGTCTCGAAGCTTGGCTCAGGTTCTTGCGACCTCCTCAAATCATCTTGATCCAGAACCTTCTGACGTTTCTCGAGGACAGCTTTGATGATGGCCCGACCCCATATGTTGTACCATTGATCCTCGCTAATGCTCACATATTCGCGATTGCTTCCGTCTGCCATTCGTGAAAATGGCCACTCTGCTACCGCGACTTCCCATCGCTTCGTCCTGAAGAAGAGGTACGGCCAAGAGAATAGGATCAACAGTGTGATACCAAACAGAAAGCGCAGCCAGGGCAACAGGCGCCATCTGTTTATTCGTGCCTCGTTGTAGATCTCGACGTTCGCATCTTTGGTCTCAAGGTAAATCTGGACATGACCGCGATAATTGGTGCTTCGCACCAGGCTATGCAATTCCTCTTGAACCTTGCCGAAGTCAAAGCCAGTCATTTGGCGGTTGAGCGTAAAGCACTTCAAGCCGGCGTGGCTCGCACAGAAGCGGTGACACCACTCCTCGAGCGTGGGTTTTGGACCTCCGCCGACTTCGATGTCCTGCTTAGAACCTGCTGCCCGCTTCTTCAATGAAGTGCCGCGGCGCACTTTCTCCCCATCGTCGACTGTGCGGAGCTGCGTCCATGACTTCCCATACTGCGCATTCGAGTAGAGGTAGGGTGTTAACTCGACAGATACGTCGAAGTCGGTCACCTTTTCCGTTTCGGTCTTCCCATCGCTCTTCTTCGTCCTGGTTTGATGTGTCCCAACGATCTTCACATAGGGCCGCGGAGGCTTCATGGCCAGGAAGCGAATAAACTTCTCCAGTTCGGCCGGTGACTCGAGATGTTTGTCGATGTAGGATTCGGCGCCCGTATTTGTATCTCTGAGATGTGCGGAATACGGCGAAGCCGGTGGAGCAGGCGCTGCCAGCAAGGGGGCACTGGACGAAGATTCCGCAATCACATCGCTATATATAGGAGGCAGCTCATCGAGGGCATCGATGTTCAGTTCGGGGGCATCGTCGTCATGATATGGCACCAGACCCTCGTTGTCGCCCGGGTTGGTGTGCAGCGAGACGGCGTCGGCAGCTAGGCCAGACGATTTAGCGGCTGGCTTGCCCATATTGATGTCCGTACGCAGTTGTGCAGTGGGCAACAGCAGAGGCCAAGAGCCTGAATGAGATATGCAGCACAGGTACAACTTCTCTAGGTTTCGATGGTTACGCAATTTCCTTCCAAATGAAAGTCGTCAGACATAGTTGCCGACGCTGCACTGCAAGGAAACAATCTTACAGGCAGCAGTTTCCATTGTGGCGCAGCAGCGCAGCAGCGCCGCCCCCCCCCCCCCCCCGGGGGCCAAAACCACCCCATCTGGCAGCTAACTCAGTAAGTCCGATCAATCAATTACGCTTAACAGCCAAGCGTAGTGACACTCTACTAACCTTAGGTTAGTATGCAACTTAACCCTCAGGATTGTGACAACGACAGTCTCACGATTTGTTGAGGCCTTTCATTTTGTCACATGACGATCTTGCAAGATTGTTACACGTGACTTTGTCACCATCGCCTCACTCTGAGTAATCTGTAATGTGCATATTCACTCCCCCTAACAGCGTCGGACAAGAATCGGGTTAGTTCTCGTCTTCTCCTCAAACGACCTCGCAGGTGTCCAACGAGAGGTGACAGGTTTGTCCAAAGCTTGCGCCCAGCTCAATCGTTCGAGTCTCTCTTTGGCTCGATCACATCCGGGGTCTGGACCTTGAAGGAGATATCAGCCCGTCATTTGCATCAACTCATGGTTTGCTCCCCTCGAGCTGGTCTCCTCTCCGTGAACTTCCACTAAAACAATAGTGCCCCTACACGGTCATCTGATGGTCAAAAGACATGAACGTATTGGAAGGTCACTCTGAAATGCAAGTTTCAGACATTTGGGCAGTTGTTTCCAGGTCCCGGCTCCAAAATGGCCTAGTTGATGCGACGTTTCCAAGATTCCGCGAATAGCATCAGCCAACACCGCACAGGGGCCAACAGAGCCTCAAGAGCCCACCGAGAACCGAGATTCGACCATTGGTGGTAAATCATTTCGAAACATTCCTTGCTCAAGGATTTGCATCTACGATAATTAACTGCCCAAGATAAGATGAACTTAGACTCCTTCTATCGACTGCAAAGACCAATGTGAATGTCTTGCTCGACACCATCTTGATCAGGACACGCGAAAGTGTAGTATCGTCCTCCTGGCGGGTCCATCCTGCCGAGTAGCCGAAAGCTTGGTTTGGCTTCATTGCCCGTCATATCCAATACTGTGTGATTGGCGTTCCCCAAGATGTTGATTAAATCTCATGCAGTTGCAGTCTTGGCACGGATGAGAAACCGATCATAGACGACTATTATCCAGCGCAAGCAAGATCCTGATGATCATCAGTGTTATGGTAGGCTTTTGGGGGAAAGGCGGTATTGTTACTGGTGGAAAATCGTCCATCTTGAGAAATGACACTTCAGGCGTATTGGGATATCACGATGTCTTCAACACTATCCGGTGGTCTGATGTATAAAGACACTAGACCATCATCACAGTCTCCGTAATCTTCTGGCTTTCTTTCAAGCTGAATCATATACTGGACCCAGCTACCCTGGATCTCAATTTTCCGCCAGGATCATTTAGTTTATGCCAGTTCTAGCTCTGGCCATGCATCGATACAGTCTCCTCGCCCTCGTGCCTGCCGTCTTGGCTTGCACAAACCCCAGCTCAGATCCATGCGCTTCGTACATATCGGCCAATGCTGCTACGGCCTCGGCTTTCTGTGCTACCTTTACCCAGTCAGCTGTTACCGCCACTACTGGTCTACCAGCTTGGGCTACGTACTGCTCAAGTAAGCCAAGTGCTATCTCCAAGGAGTGCACTTGTGCCTTCTCCGGTGAGTAAATATGACTGGCGAGGTGGCTGCTTTTGAGGCTTACATTGGCCAGGAACTGCTACCGCTACCGCTACCGCTACGACCACCACGACAAAAGCAACAACTACTGCCACAACTCTCAAGACGACTACCTCAACTTCCACTGGGCCCGCATCTACCTCTACCGGAACTTGCTCATCGCCAAACTACGCTTTGGTAGGATATGCTGCCGGGACTACCGGTGGGGGCAGCGGGAGTGGTATCACGGTCACTTCTTGCTCCGCTCTTTCGAGTGCAATCGAAGCTGCTGGGGTCATTCAGATCTCTGGTACTCTTGATGGCTGCGGTATCCTTGATGTTCTGAGCGACACCACCATCATTGGAGTTGGAGCTAACTCTGGTAAGTCTCGACTCATGCCTAACTCGTCAAACATCTCTGACTGCTGAATAGGTCTCACCAACGGTGGCTTTCGCGTCAAGAGAGCTAGCAATGTTATCCTCCGCAACCTCAAGCTGCACGTTGCACCTGAAAGCAAGGACTTGATTGAACTTCAGTACTCCACCAACATCTGGATTGATCATTGCGATGTATGGAATGAAACTCCTCGATTCGTCCTGTGCAATCCATAATCGTATTGCTGACTTCTTTCTAGCTCTCTACTATTGGTATCAGCGGCGACAAGGACACATATGACGGTCTTTTGGATATCACACATGCGAGTGACGATGTGACCATCTCATGGACCAAGTTCCATGACCACGTAAGTGTATCGGCCAAATATATGATCCTAGACTGATGGCTTGGCAGTGGAAGGGCTCTTTGGTTGGACACTCCGATAGCAATGGCGACGAAGATACTGGCTACCTGCACGTGACGTACCACCATAACTACTTTACCAACGTGAACTCTCGACTACCATCCATCCGCTTCGGTACCGGCCATGTCTACAGCTCTTGCTATGAGGATAACCCTACATCTGGCATCCACTCTCGCATGGGTGCTCAAGTTCTCGCAGAGCAGAATTACTTCCTCAACACCAAGCTGGCTCTTGTCACCAACCTGGACAGTGACGAAGATGGTTATATTGTTGACCGTAACAACATCTTCGTCAACAGCACTGAGAGCATCACCCAGGTTGGCAGTCTTACCCCTCCATACAGCTACACGTAAGTTCAATGCACTGTCATGGTTGAAAGCCTTTCAACTGATTTTCTGTCCAGTCTTGACTCCGCATCATGTGTTTGCGACTTGGTCAAGGCCTATGCTGGAACCGGTATCGTTGCTTAGATTCTTCAGTGAGTGTGCAGAAAATAATCCTCAAGCAACCTCCGATCTCTATTACAATGCCGGACACTCGACGGTTCGTTTGGAAAGTTAGACGTGTAGGGTAATGCTAGTTAATAATGAACTGTTGCGCGTGGATTGTTCAATGACAAGAGTATCAGCTGCGACACCTTGTGTTATCACCTATCATCACCCCAATATAAGCATGGCTCTTGTAATAGTAGCTGGTCCTGCTTTGTACAACAATTTCTACCAACGCTCATCTCTTTCGTCATCCTTTTTGCGCCCGTCCAATCTGATGAAATACAATGGTAGGGTAAGTGCCGGACTTTATGGAAGACGGGCACAGATGACGTGTACGTATGACTGCAGACATCACCAAGAGTATGCATGAAAATGTAACCTGTTCTAGATAGGAAACCATGTCAGCGACAATACCTCGACCCGACGCTAGACCTTGAAACCAGATTAAATATGACCAACCTTTTCGTATTCTTGCTAACTTAGTGCCTACTCTCACTGTGTGCAAATTCGACGATGTTAAGTAAGCAAACAAAACAACAGCATGGCAGCTGTCATACCAAAGGTGCTACCACCGTAAGCCAAGATTTTCGGCGACACTGGGCTCGGTCACATTGTTTTGATCTCTGGCGATGCAGATTATGACGCCCGTGTCTACTCATACTGGTCCAGCAGCGCAAAACTGAAACCTGCCTGCATCGTGCTTCCTAAGAATGCACAAGAGGTTTCCTCAACAATCAAGTCCTTGGTGCCTGCGAATGAGCGTTTTGCCATCCGTAGTGAAGGCCATACCAATTGGCCAGGATCCAACAACATTCAAAACGGCGTGACGGTCGATCTCAGCTTTCTCAACAGAACCCGTGTATCATCAGATCTCAAGACAGTGGAGATCGGCCCAAGTGCACGCTGGAGAGATGTCTCTGTAGAATTACATGAAAGCAAGCTCGCAGTAGCCGGCGGGCGTGAAGGTAATATTGGCGTTGCCGGATTACTGCTTGGCGGTGGGTACAACTTCCTCACGGGCAGGCAAGGTTTTGCATGCGACAATGTTATCGATTATGATTTTGCACTTGCTGATGGGCGTATTGTAACTGCAAATACACAATCCAATGCAGACCTCTTCCGCTCATTGAAAGGCAGGTCGAACAACTTCGGCGTCGTCACAAAGTTCACGATGACCACAATACCTTGCGACAAAGTATGGGGTGGTATGACCTTGTATCCAAACGAAAGTAGTCCTCAGGCTATATAGGCCCTGGCCGCGTTTGCCGATAATGTCAGGAAGGATTCTGACTGCAACCTAGTATCTATGGTCACTTACTTGCCGGATTTCAAAGATATTATCGTCGCTACCTTATTCAACCAGGTGGATGGCATCGAGTCAGCACCCGCCTATGATGATTGGCGCTCAATACCATAGATCTTGAACACCGTCAAGATGACCACAGTTGCCGATATGGCATTCGAGTACAACGTTCCTGCAGGCTATCAGTAAGCTTTGAAGGTTTGAACCAGGTCGAACGTGTGACGACTAATTGTTTCCATAGTGATATTTGGTTCACTGCTTATTACAAAAACGACCGCCGCATCATTAAAAATGCCTCCGAATTACATGTCATGATTGTCCATCTAGTCAAGGATTTTGCCCCGGATGGCGATTTCATGACACAATGCATATTTCAACCTTTACCTAAACTGTTCAGCGAACAGTCTGCCAAGGCCGGCGGTAACATCATGGGCACAGAACGTCATGCTTATGATGGTATTCTCTGGCTAGCAACAGTGATGGTCAAACCCCCCGAACAAGAGGCATTAGCTTATCCCAAGGTCAAGGCTTGGGTCGAGGACGTGAAGGATTATGCTTCTACTATAGACGGAGGCAACCTGGAATGGACTTGTAGGTGATTCGTCTGAGCATTCCGTGAGCATACGGTCAACTTTATTCTCATCATGCTGACTTATACTACTAGATCCCAACTATGCCGGTCCAAGTCAGAATCCTCTCCGAAGTTACGGTACGGACAACTTGAAGGCGATGCAAGATGTCGCTGCAAAGTACAACCCCAACGGATATTACAAGAATTATGCCCAGGAGGATTCAAGATTTCCAAAGTCGGTGCTTAGACTCGACGGGTCTTGGCACCGCGAAACGCTATTGGCCTTGTGCTCAACGATCGCATCGGGAGGAGCTCGTACTCATACTTCACATAACTCTCTTATACGAGGACTATTTGACGCATTTAGTACGAACATTCAGGCTACCATTGATATTTACACGATTGACTTCAATCATTATTGATGCCAAATCGAGGCTTGTGTAAATGATGCTTAGATCCGGGTATGTGCAGGATGTTTAACTATTATAATGAAGACTTCCTAACGATTTGACTATGCTGGACCTCCCACCCACATTGAATGCACTTCATGTCTGTTGTGACAGTTATCACAGTCTTTCCACCCTGATCTCCTGGTCTGAATACTCCTCATTCGGCCGCATGACCCGAAAGCTCCTTGTTGTTTTGCATGCCTACAAATGTGCTTTAGGTTGGTATAGATCTTAGGCCCGTGATACTGTTCACACTGTCCGCATTGAACCTGCTGGTGCTGATATTGCTCGCACATGGTTGGCGTAGCTTTTGTTAGGTGTGATGATTGTTCCGATTCAAGCTAATTTTATGTGTTGTATGTTGGTATGTTTTCACCTGTCTCGAAATTGGATTACACAAAGATTGAGCAATATTTGTACTTGCAGTGATATATTTCAACAACTGTTTTCGGTGAATTGAATTAGACATCATCACAAATACAGGACAACGGGCGTATGCAACAGGCAATTCATTGCGGTAACAAAGAAACACTGGTCCTTGATGCGTTTGCATTGTTTACTTGGTTTGCCTTTGAGTTACTCATAAGAAACCAACTGGGCAGGATCCACATCACAAATAAGTTCATAATACAAACGAACTCTTTCAAGAACCTAATAACTTATAGCTGATGATATCGCAATTTACTCTGATCACACTACGGCCGCAATAATTTTAGGTTTAGGACTGTTGGTTTAGGCATCTGTATCTGAATCAGCAATGCGACGCACATCTGATCTTGCATAGCTCTATATTTTGAGTTCCAATACTGCTAAATCAATCCAATGATTCTAGTGTCATATTAACATCGTTTAGGTGCTTACGCTCTTGTATTATCTTTGAATGTTGAATGATATATTTGGCCTCATGCTATAAGCGTGAATAAAAGGCCTGTTAACTCAAATCCGGCTCAACTGTATAATCTCTGGAGCTTAATCTTAAGTCCACCTTGTGGTCGTAATGTGACAGAGGGACTGCACGTTGGGACTGGACGATCACCTAGCTCTACTAAAGTCTTCCCTCTGCTCAACCGGTAGTTGCTGAGAAGCTCGATGAGCATGACCTTCACCTCCATGATGGAGTATTGTTTACCAAGACAGATTCGGGGCCCGTTGGCAAAAGTCTGGGTGCCATATGCACTTGCAGCAGCTCCAGAGAGAGTTTCCCACCGGTCTGGGTCAAATTTCAAAGCGTTCTCACCCCATATTTTTGTTGAGAGATTTGTTGCACATGGAGATAGAGTTAAAACAGTACCTTTTGGTATGTCTATACCACATATCGTGACGTCCTCAATGGCTTCACGGTATACCGCCACTGCTAATATAGCGTGTTGCTGTTAGTATACGGTCATGTAATGGGAATGATGTAATAGATAAATACGGAAACCTGACATACCTGGACTATAAACTCTCAGTAGTTCGCGCACGAAGTTGTCCAGGTATGGTAGTGAATCTACACTGGCGTACTCGAGGAACATGTGGTCCTGTCGAAGAGATATGGTCTCGCCTCTTATCTTCTTTTGAATCTCAGGCTCCGTGGCTAGTACGTAAGCCGCCCATGTCAGCAATCCAGATGTAGTTTCATGGCCTTTAGTTCAGGTCAGCCCCAATATACAGAGGATTTGAGAATGGGGGGGAGGGCAGGGTGATCTACCGGCAGAGATAAAATTCAATAGCTGCTCATGATTATTAGTAAATTCTGGTTAGTCTGTTATTGCGAGTAGGATTACTTACATGCCCCAAAATATCATCGTCACTCAGATCCAGCCCACTTTCGACCCGCTCTTCAATCATGTATGTCAGCAGGTCACGAGACATGAGACCTTTGTCGCGGGCTCCTTTTTCAGTTTCTATTTCTTGGCTACGCACTCGAATGCAGTGTGCTAACATTCTTTTGACTTCTTTGCTTGCTTCGAGGTAACCTCGACTCGCTTCCAAGGGGAGCCACCGACGAATTGGGACGTGGGCATCTACGAAGCTGATCAACGCACTCAAGGAAGGTTGGTTAAACATGCGGTCATAGCATTGAAGGAAGTCCATCTCTAACTCTGCAGACCTGAGGTTTTTGAGCTCCACTCCGAGGGTGCTCGCACCAATGACGTCCATGGTTGCCTTTGAGAATATGGACAACACTATGAACAAGTTAGAGATTATTGAATGAAGTAATCCAGACCAAGTACCTTCGACTTCGTTCTGTTCACCTTCCATTCTGAGGACCTCTTCAAGACATATGGTGAGGTCTTGAGCTTTGGCAACAAAGACTGGGAATAACTTGCGTAGGTTCGAGGCCGAGAATGCATCTGAATAATGGAACTTTGGTTAGTAAACACCAAAGAATCATCTTGTTCATCGGTGCTTACGTGCAATGAGCTTTCTTTGTCGCTTGTGCTCATGGCCCTCTGCAAATAGTAGCCCTCTCCCTGAAATATCTTCCACCAGGCGCGCGAATAGTCCAGGTTTCTTGAAATAGTAACAATACGTTTGTAAGACTTGTTTATGAGCCTCAACACCATTGATAAGTAATTGCTCCATGCCTAGGAGTCCCTTGTAGCGAATGAAAGGTGCATCTGGCCATTGCGATGCCCAATTCTGGTACATTTCAGTGGGTTCGGAAGCTCGATATTGGTTTACGAGTTGACCAAGGAGAAAGGTGTCATTCTTAGTGTTCTATCAGCACTGCTACAAACAGGAAGAGTTCATCACGCCGTATTTCATGGATGGCATACTTTTGGTCCAGGGAGCTGCCTAAACGAAGACAGAAAGCGCGGATAGATGGCCAGTCGATAGGTGACCACAACAACGAACATGGCGAGGAAGAGCACCAGTTTCAGCAACCATGACCAAGTTTCGTCGACAGATTCAGACATAGTAGGCGGTCGACTATTGTGTGTGTATAATACGGTGCAGATTGAAGTGATGCTTCGGCTGCGCAGAATATATTGATGACTCCGGGTGTGGTCATGGCGGTCATCTTTATAGTCAAGTTGGCGCCGAGGTACTAGACCTGATAGAATGGTTCGGCCATCGACAGGAGGTTCCAGATGATCCTGTAGGTGCTGACATGTATCCATGGCCTATCATATGATTCCAAGAATTTACCAACTACTATTTGGCACGATCGCGATGGAGACCGCTGACACGAAGAGCAGTCTGGGAGAGAATTACAACAGAGGGCAAAGACTGAGACACGACTTTGCTAGGTCAGTTCTTCATTGGCCCAATTTTGAGGCCTTAGTTCAAAGGAATCTGCCACCATGTTGGATATGTATCCATGTTTAATCTAGCCCAAACATATCAGATCCTTAGAATACGTCGAGGGTGGGAGCCCAATGGCCTCTGTTCTAAGCCAATTAAATATCTCATCTACCCTGAACACCAAAGTCTCTTGACACCTCGGAATTGAGCAGATCTGGTCCGGGTCCAAGGATTCCAAAACTGGACCGGTGTCTCGCCATCAGGGCCAAAGGCGCTCATCACCTTCCGCATTGTGTCTTCTGCTCACGTAATCAGGATGGTTTTCATCACAGGCTCAGTAGGTGCGAACCCTGTCATCGACCTAGCTGTTGTGGATTTCTGCGGGACGGCGGGCTGATCTGGACCCAGGCTGGCCAGCCGGGTGTAGGAGAGGCAGTCATGTCAAAAATGTCCCCGTGTAATAATGGCCGATAGGGAGGGATCTTGTACGTTTAGAACAGTCGCAAACTGCATGGGGGTGAAGACAACGCCTAATGGTACCATGCAGTCGAAAATCCGACTTGTAGCCGGGCCGTTGGGTGGGCTTCGAAACCTTGTCAAAGTCCTATGCGGCACAGTTTTACATCACGTTGGCGATTGTGCTGACAGCTTGATCATGTACCAGATCGATCAGGCGTCAGCCAACCAGGTTACGAGCCTAGATGTTCGTGACCCGAAACCTGGAAAGAAATCTACTCAGGTATGGTGCTGTTCGAATGAACGTGATAAAGGTAAAGATAGCATATGAAAAGACGGCCCGCTCGGAATATTCCCACGTGTGCTGATAGGCCCAGGCGATTTATTCCTTCAGGCTTGGCATGCACTATCGATGTGATTGAATACAGGGGTTGATGCGAATAATGCTGGGGGTTAGATATTGCAATTGGGGGTTGCTACAAGCGAGTCCCGGTCGCGTTTTGGAGAAGCGGCGCCATTTACTACGTCCTGGTGTCAACCCTCTCAGTCACCGCTGAGTACGTATTCGATACAGTATCCCAGAAATGCTGGCGTGAACTAGCTTATTACAGCTCTCTCCCGACTGCCCCTCGGATTGTGGCAGAGATCGAAATCACCAAACTTGGAGAAGCCCTGCTGCATGTCGACAGCCCTGAGAACATCCCGCCCATTGGAAATCCTAGGTTACTAAGGTTTGGTGAACTAGTTAATTTGCGTCGGTCGCGTCAATATCCCTGATATAATGGGCATGGTGCATGTGCTGGATTTGGGGTAGGTGGAAATCCGTAGCTCTCGTTTCGTTTCTCAGCGGCACTGCCCATTTGGGATGCCTGTTGGCCAGCTAGACGAGACTGCAGGTTGCTGCGTTGAAGTCGTTTCATTGCTAAATATGCATGTATTCATTATGAATCATACCTCATCAGTAGTGATGCAGTGGGGCGCCATTCCAGTAGTGACTCTTTCGTCCCTAACAGGCTTAGCCCAGTTGCTCTGACTCGCGGGCCCGAACCTGAATTGCCCAATGACAAGGCGGTAATTCGACAGCCATGCTCCCTTATAAAATATGTAGAAATCCAGTTCAAGCCACTTCATACCATCGTATCATATTCTATCCAGTTCGTGATAAAAATATCAACGCCTGAGCACAATCCAAAGACTTAAGCTTGACACAGTTCAGAGTCACGACCACTTCCAATTCAATCATCGATATGCTAGCGACGACGACAGCAGCGACTTCAACCACAACAGCACCATTATCGACGTTATCAACGAGCCTAACATTGGGTCCGGAAACAAGATCTTCACCCATGTTATCCATTGAGTCAATCGACTCTCCTGGCGCGGCCATGCAACCGTTCACACCTGGGGAGTGCCTATTCTGCCCCAATCACTCACCAAGCTTCCCTGAAAGTGTGGCACACATGCAAAAGTCACACGGCCTGTTTGTACCGCACCGGCAACATCTAGTAGTCGAGCTCGAGATTCTCTTCAAATACCTGCATCTCATTATTTTTGGATACCAAGAATGTATACAATGTGGAACAGAGAGAGCTACTGTACAAGCTGTCCAGCAGCATATGACCGCCAAGGGTCACTGTAAACTTGATATATCAGAACAAGACTCGGAGTTTGCTGAGTTTTACGACTTCTCCGAGCCGGAAGACGATGCAGAGAGTTATATTGAGGGCGATGGTGACGAGAGCAATCAGGAGGCGACGACGACAACCTCAAGCCGAAAGCCAGTGCTAGCTGACCAAGACTCCATTCGTTTACCATCCGGTAAAATTATATCGAGGCAGTCATCCTCACAAACAGGGCCGTCTTTCACTCAGTTGCGCCGTCGGACTCGGACCATGCCTTCACAACTAAAATCCTCCTTGGAAGAACCTGACGATGAGGAGGGATCTAGCAAAGAGGAGCTCGACTCGGATACACATGATAAAAGATTATTATCGAGGAGGGAGAAACGAGAGATGGCAACGGCGGCATATCAACTGGCAAATATGAGCGCGAAGGACCGGAACAGCTTGATGCACTTATCTGCGTCTCAGCAGCGATCAATACTAGTGACGCAACACAGGCACGCGGAAAAAGTGCAAAAAGAAGAGAGACGAAGGCAGAGCAAAGTTGATCGAAAGGGGAACAAGAATTTGTATGCTTATTGGGCAACTGAAACGCCCGTCTACCAATGTGGCTAGATACACTGAATGGCTGATGTCGATTTACTCAACGAGTGACCGTGGGTTCTCACGGTGCCAATAGAATTACACGACTGGACACAATTGCCATGGTGAGCGTCTTCGGTAGGAAGAGCAGCCGCGGTAATTTCGTATCATTTGGCGTGGGCCGGGAATCTCAATCCTGTGTGGCTATCCGTAAATCCTGCCTCCATGTAGGGTTTCGGGTCTGAATAAATTATCATCTGCCGATGGATTGCTTGACTTGATACAGATCGCAATTATAACCTAAACCTCTTGTATCAAGTCATCATGGTGAGTACCAGCATGATCTCGGGTAATCTTTTAGGGCACTGGAAACTCGATTTGACTGTTAGTTATGAGAGAATAGATATGCAACTTCTATTGGGAACTGTTTCTTAAGTCTTTAGGCCGGACGCCTAAGATTGGATGAAGATAATTTAGTGAATTACACAATTAACATGGCGTTTCTATGCACGTTGTGTTGCCTCAAACTCAGACATACCTCGCGCTTCGCTAACCGCGTCATATGATCTTTCATTTTAGAGCGTCAGCCATTGCGTTTTTGTCTGTCGTAGCCTGCGAAGATGATGACACAGTTCGAAACAATCTGGAGGAGCATGGTGATTCAAAACTGTCCTTTTACCCCAGCTCGCGCCACGGTCGATATTTTGTACAATGGAGTGGAGATGGCTATCGACTATTCTTCATAAGGCCAATCTGAATGGGTAGCATAGTGCAGTTGGACGAAGTCCCGCAATCGCAACGTCGCAACGTCGCATGCGTAAATTGGAAAAAAAAAAAAAAAAAAAAAAAAAAAAAAAAAAAAAAAAAAAAAAGCCTTTCGGAAAACGTGACTATATTGCATTAGAGAAGTTTATTTGCACGTATAGCAAGCTGACTACCTAGTGAAAGTAGATGTAGGCCATGCCTTTTCGCAGTCTAGCGAAACCTCCCCTGAACCATGACCGAATGCCGCGCTAGACTAGGTTAGCACAGATGGCCCCGAGCGTTTGGCTCTCTGCAACCCCCGATACGAATATTCCAGCCATCACATCCAGAATGATCATGATTTGTGTGCACTCACACGGCTCTGCTCCCTATTGGACAGAGAAAAAGCAGCCCATGCCATAAAAGCAAAGTGTGGCTAGCCACGGATCCCTCCGGGAGCCCGGCCATTCCTTAAGCGGCTTTCTGCGCAGCGCCGCGCGACGCGCAATGCCACGATCATCGTCCCACCTCATCGCAGGTTTATGACGATGCGCTTTTCCTCAAACCTTTGCGAAGTTGCTTATTGCGGGACCATCGGAGCATCCGGGTACCTGGTAAAGTTTTCCGAAAAGCAACGTCTTCAAGCCCTACATCTTGCCGGCCTACATAAACACCCTCGATGATGAGCATGCATGTCTCATCCGGATGCTCGATCCGTGAATACTCTGTCCACCGAGCTGAAAAGCAGCGGAGAAAGGCTCGCTTGTTTCGCCATTCGGCGACCTTCTCCGTACAATGTTGGTTACATTTACATTCCTGCGTGATATAGGCTCACCAGACCAACAAAAGTTCAGCTCCTGGTCCGATTCGTCACAGCTATTACTATATGTTGGGGCGGTAGAGCTATACCATTGGCCAAGAGGACAACACCCGTACACAATGCACCCCGGCCCGAAACGATAAAGGATCCCAGAAAGGGTGTGCCCGTGCCGTGTAGCGCGCTCGCCAGGATGACCAATAATATACGGGGGCCCTCCTGTCACAGGTAAGATCGGTGGTCTTGTGGTCAATCCTATGCAAGCCACTTTGCTCACCGGCCATGTGCCGTAAGGCTGATTACGGTTCTTGGCAGAGTTTGACGAGAAGTGTTGCTTATAGCTATGATTTTCGAGATCAGGTAGTACCTCCAGCTACTTGTTCAATTAGCAAGGGGGCCATGGGTCCTCAATGCAATGCAATTTTAAATAAATAGATAAACAGAAAAGAAAATCAATATCTCTGCAGCATGCGCCTGCAGCATGACACCGATAGATGGCATGACATGTTCTTTTTCCTGCTGCGGTACAGGCTATGTTCCATGTTATTGGGCGGTAAGACCACTGGAAGATCGGCCCCCATGCAATAGGCACATGGTCGGTCCAAGATGTCGGGATCTGACTAACCTTAGCTTAGACTGTTCCAGGGCACAACATTGGGCCGGCAAAAAGCAGATTGGGTTAAAGTGGTCCCTCGATTTGAATCTTGCATCCAACAAAGTAGATATGGCACACGTCCAATCGCATCACGCCAGGGATATAACACGAATTGCAACGCAAAAAAAGCATTGTATTGCATCTAACGATCGATATCACACCTATGGTTCTTTCTGTAAATACACGTGGAGATTAGTAACCCCCCTGTCCCATTCATAGTATCTCGCAGCTAAGCCTGCAGTGACTCAGCGGCTGGCGCCTAGAGTATCCAACATTTCTTTTCTATATCGGGCAGTAGTCTTACTCCAAGCCTCATTCCCGCTCATCTGGTATTCCAAGCCCTTCACGTAAGATCGAATCGAGGCACTGTCACACCTTCTGAACAGGGATGAAGTGAGTTCGACATGTGCCGATTCCCATTCCCGGCACATCACGTACAAGGTCCTTTTAGCAGCCGAGTACGATATCGATGCCTCATCAGCAACAATGCAGACGCTGGAGCATAGCACTGCGCCTTCCTCGTGCCCTGTTTTGGCTGCAGCTAGTTCCTTCTCTAAACTCCAGATATCGTTGATGACTGAGAGATGTTTCGAGCAATTCATGTCGATATTGCGCACAAGCTCTATCTCTTCTTTTGACAAGTCGATGCACATGCAGAAACGCATCAGGCCGCTCAATAAGCTGTTACATCTCGTAAGCTCAGACCCTCCGTGAGGTGACTTATGGACTTACGCTCTGCCAACATCGCGTTCCCGGTAGCGGAAGTATTCTCCCAAACCCATCTCCTTGCCCCTTGTCTTGTCTGTTTGGGATCTCATGAACTCAAACATTGGCTCGAGCATAGCGTTGGCCATCTTCTCATCCGTTTGCCTCATCGATTGCCAGAAGTCGTACATCATGTACTCGACTGGGATGGATCTGTCCGGAGTCTTGATCCCTCTTGCTAGTGGCATGAGCTTCTCGTTGTATGCGGCACCCTCGTCAAATGACATATCCTCAAGCACGTCTGCTAGCGATTAGCATGGAACATTCTGTACCGTTCGACTGCCCTACCATCAATCAGAAAAAGCAACGTCAAGATACGACAAGCATGTCCGATCCTGTCATGCTTGGACAGAGGGAAATAGAGGCAAGTGACTCTCGAGAATCCTGCCGCCACGAACTTCTTTCGACTCCGCTCGCTGGGAAACGGCCAATGCTCGAGAAAGTACTCATCCACTTCGCGTGATACTTGTTCAACTTTTGGGTGACAGTTGGCAACGAAGAGGCTCCGGGGTATGTGTGTCGTTCGTGCGTTTGATCGTCTGAAGCCATCGAGGACATGGCCAGTCCAAGTGGCTGTCCTTCCAAGGAACGGGGCGAAGCAGTCCATATTTGTACAAGATTTTCTGTATCTGTGAAGCTGTTGTCGGCCTGTTTTGATGCTTGAAGTTGAAGCTGAAGTTAAAGTTGAAGCAGATGAATGTCTCTTTTTATACGACGGCCTGTGTCGTTGACCAATGCTTTATAGCTGTTGACCGCAGACCTTGCGGGCCCGTTCCGGTTCTCCCTGGAACCGAACCGTTTGCTTCTTGTGACGAGATAATTACTAGTCTAGTGGCTAAAGATACATCGAGGTACAAGAGCGTCAGCCAAGCAGCAGCTCAGCCCCATGCTTCTTTTTCTATTTCTGCCGACCAATCGATCTCATGAGGTTGCAACTGTATCAGCTAGTGGGTTAGTCAAATAAAGATATCACTGCCTGTATTGATCAGCCATGGGAACACCACAGCCTCTGACCATGGTCCTGGACATGGGGCTTCATGCGGCGCGGTTGAGTGACAGGGTGGGAAGACCTTGTAGATAAGGTCATGTCACAAGAAGATGGGCATTCCCATTGAAGTTTGCATGACGCTTCCTTCACATCCATTGCTTTATCTATATGCAGTCCTCTGTTGTCCCGTCCCAGCAGCATTAGTGCAGTCCACCTTTTCATCATTCCACGATGCTTTTAATGAACCTAACACTACTACATCATCTTTTTCTGTTTATACCCAGTGCTGTAGGTACATATGATCGCACCCCTGGCTCAGGACTGACGTAACCATAGTTAGCCGTCTATGGCATTATCAAGGTTGTCTACAACCTCTACTTTCACCCATTGGCGCAGTTTCCGGGACCAATATTGGCTGCAATTAGCAATGTGAGCACCACATTTTGACTAATGCATGGGCTAGATGTTGAAAGTATTAGATTCCATACTCCCGCTGGTTCTTATCCGGCAGACAGCCGTACAAGCTTCATGAACTACATACAAAATATGGTGCGTCAGTACCCATGCCTTCGGGGTCTTCCGTCGGATGACAAGGGCCCCAGGGTGTAGGCACAACACCTTGAAACCCATAACTAACGTGTATGATAGGGCCTATAGTCCGCACAGCTCCGAATGAGCTGTCCTTCAACACGGCAGAATCGTGGCGCGACATCTATGGTTTCCGGTCGGACCACAAGATCTTTGTTAAGGGCAAATTCTACAGTGGCGGGAGCTATGCAGGCATCGGTACTAGATCGGTGGTCAGTGAGACGAACCCGCACACTCATCGACAGATGAGATCCTACCTGGCCGGGGCCTTCTCCGAAAGGTCGGTGCTGGAACATGAGTACTTGGTATCTGAGAGTGTCGACAAGTTTGTCCGCCTCGTCGGAACCAAAGGTCGATCCCCAGCCGGGTTCGACATTTCAGCTTTGCTCGAGATGCTGACGTTTGACATCACTGGGGATCTCGCATTCGGCAAAAGCTTCGGCTGCCTTGATAATGGTGAGTGACAACCCCCGCGGTACATATCGTCCACTTTCGTTAATGGCCAGATAGATATGTACCATCCGTGGATATCAGTCACCATCGGGGCATTAACACAGGGTGCTATTGTCGATGTACTGGATCGCTTTCCATGGATAGCTCGCATCGCTCTCGTATTGTTCCGTAAGCAGATCCACGATCTGACCGAGGATACTAGGAAGAACGAAGCTATGTCTCTCGATGCAGTTCGAAGGTATACCCTCTAATTACAACCACCCCAAGATGTATACCAGACATAGCTTTGCTGACCAGCTGTAGGCGTATACTAAGCAAAAGTACACGCAAAGATTTCTTATCCCGCATTTTGACCGAGAGGGATCCGACTCTTGTGTCTGACCAGCAAATTGCAGCCCATGCATCTGACCTTGTGATAGCCGGTAGTGACACTAGTGCAAGTGCCCTGGCGGCATGCATCTACTACCTACTCAAGGAACCAGTCCCAATGTACAACCTGGTGACAGAGGTACGATGTGGCTTTAACCAATACAGCGACATCACTGGGAGTTCAACCTCGTCAATGCAGTACCTGAACGCTGTGCTTCAGGAAGCATTAAGGTTGTTCCCGCCATTGCCTCTGGGACTTCCTCGTATCGTGCCCGCCGGCGGTGCTGTCGTCGATGAGCATGTTCTACCAGAAGGTGTAAGTAACAATATGCTGAGTGCGGCTGATGATGTGCTCACATTTACCAGATCACTGTGTCTACCAACCCACTTGCTGCGTGCCTCTCCTCGGACAACTTTGAAAATCCTCTCCAATTCAATCCAGAAAGATGGCTGGGAACCAACAGGGTGGATAATTGCACGGCAAGCCAGCCGTTCGGCCTTGGATCCCGCGCATGTATCGGTCGCAAGTAAGTTCTGTATCCACGGGTGCGTGTCGTCTAGATCACTGACATGGTGCTTTTAGTCTGGCATGGATGGAGATGCGGACAACGCTGGCGAAGCTTGTATGGATGTATGACTTTGAGTTTGTTGATCAAGCGGTAGATTGGCACAGAGACACTCAAATGCATACACTTTGGAGAAAGCCTGAGCTAAGGATCCGTGCTAGTAGGCGTAGTGCTCACGGCGACGAGAGTTGACGTATATGTCTTGACGATAATTGGGCTGTCACTGGTTGGCTATTTAATAGATTTCTTGTTCTCAAATAGGCTCGTTACTCCAACGTAAAGCTCCTTCGTCTATTATATTATTAAGGCATAGCAGCGTATAGCATTTTGATAGACGATGTGCGAGGAACACATATCTTTCCAAATGTACAATTGAACCAGAGTTAGCCACTCAGGTCGTCCCTCGTCAATCATTATCCTGCAATGGTGGTGCTACACTTGTTCACTGCGATCTCAACACTAGAATACCGTACCGTCCGAGTCTATCAAAATTGGAGGCTCTTTGGTATTTGGCCTACTGACCTCAGCAATTTCTCGACCACCCTGCGTCCCTGTTAGTACATGTGCGTGCGACATACCAAAAAGGAATACTTACCTTCCAGCTACCAGCTTCTAAAAGCTGTGGTAGTGACAATTCGGACCCATTCAGCTCCTTGTGAAGCGCCTTGTTGACATCGACTAAAAGCTTGTCAAGGAACCCAACAGTTACACCACGCCATTCCACGATGACATCATCGCTGGGCTCAAACATTGGCGCGACTTCGACACCCTTGGTGTTCTTGCGTCGGCAGTAGTCTGCGTAGTTTTGTAGTCCTCGCTCCGCGTCATCCTTCTTCAAACTCAAAACACCCAAGTCTACGAACAGACCTCCGTTACGGTACTCGGGCAGACCAGTCAGCATCTCAGCACCAGCAAAGTGTATCTTGAGAAGGGACTGCATCGGTTGCATGAGCGAGTATGTAAGCCACTGGGTCAGCTTGTGAAAGGGTAGTATGGACTCCCAGGCGGCCGTCGGCGGTTGTGAATTTGGGAAAGGAGAAAAGCTTGGCGAGGACGGCGTCGGCGCAGTCTGGGGCATTGACGAACATGACCAAGCATCTCCTAGAGAGACGCCATCGATGGCTGTGCGAGAGGCGGGCCAGATGGGAGCGAGGCCGTTCATCAGCACGTTCCATAGCACTGGAAGAATGACAATGGGCATTGACGATGCTTGTGTTGTCGGATGTGATAGCAAGTAATCTGTTGCTAGTCAGCAAAGCAGCATCCCATGGACTTCCGAGGCGCAACTTACCGATCATGTTTCCCGGTCGCCCATTGTCGCCCCAGAACTCCCTTTTCTGATCTAATGCGCCGCCAAGCTTGATGAGGAGTTCGGCTCGTCCTTCCAAACCGGCAAGCTCGTTTCCTGGACCGGACTGCATGCCCTTCGCTAATTGTTGGACGGTAAGCTTTCGAAGGCCGTTCTTGTCAACCTGGAACCTGTTGCTCGGATTGCTCGAGAAGAGACCCTTTAACAAGTTAGTTAGATGATCCCGTCGCTGTTCATTCGAAACGCGACTCCACTGCGACCGCCGCAGTGCTAGAACAGTGATCTGTAATAGGTTGGACGGCGCAGGATTTGCACATACCGACTTGAACATCTCCAGACTAGCAATCGCTAGTCCTTCTGATCTTTTGTATATCCTGCCATTCTCGGCGCTCTTGAAACTCCATGATGTGCCTGCACCAGCGTCCAGTAGTACACTGACCAGAAAGAGGTCTATCAAACGTCGGCATTTTTCGCTTGTATCAATATCGCTGAATGTTGACAGGAGATTCGCTATCCTGTCGCGTCCGCCTACACTGAAGTGCTGGTATCGTCCGTGAGAAGGGATCGAAGTGAATGGGGCGTCGTAGTCTCTCTGGGAACGCACAAGAGTCAGCACATTGTATTCCCATAGAAGCATGCCCCCCCTTCCCCCCTCCCAGCGCCCGAAGCTTGCGCAACATGATCTCAACCCTTGCATTGCGTTTCCACGAATCTGCAGGGGTATTCCGTAATACTTAGTTTGTTGAGAATGGCCTGGCACGGCGGCTAGGAGATACGACAAGAAGACAAGGCCAGAAAAAGAAAAGAAAGCTGGGCACGAGAAACTCACCTTGATGATTCCACATACGAACGAAACCACACCAGGAAACAATGACATGTCCACATCGAAATGGTGCAGAGAGTTGTGGAGTGCCTTGTCCGTCACAATCTTGGACCTTTCCCTGACGGCTCCCAGACTTCGCAGGTATGCGGCAGGGTCGAGGTTGGGGTCTGGAGGTTTGGGCATGTCAACCTTTGGGGAAAACGGTGTTAATGGCGTCGTCGGGATGCTATTGCCGGTACCCCCGGAGGTTCGATTGAGCCCACGACCATTGGCGCTGATAGGCGACTTGATGTCGTGGTCGGAGCTGAAGCTGGTGGTAGAATGTGAGTCGCCTTGAAGTGTTTTGCCTACAGCCTTTGGAGCCTTGGGCTTTTTCGAAAAGATACCCATTGCGTCTTGTGTCTTGTGTCCCGTGTCTCGTGTTTTGTATCTTGTGCGAATATGACCTGTTGCTTTTGTTTGATGATCCCTGCTACAACAATATAATAATACTCTTCTTATTATTGGTGTCGTCGATGATTTCCCTTCGTCGGTGCGCTTTGATTCGCTGCTGTACTCGGCTCAAACCGTTCGGGTGCAATTAAAGATCAGAATACAACAGAACGGATCAGGAGTAGGATGTGATTGGATTGGATCGGAGCGGACTGGACTGGATAGAAGGCGGAAATGTTTGTGCAAGTATCCCGTATCGTACGGGACTGGGTCGCTCCAAGTGATAAGCTCAAAAGAACCTTAAGATTGAGGGGTTGTGGGGTAACTGGATTGGTAGCTGGTTTCTGCGTAGCTACACTAAAAGAGTCCAGGTCACAATAGTTTGTCTTGAAATTTTCTGGGATCAGAACCAGACTCTTTCGGATTCCTGCCAAGTTGCCGGCCGTTGAGCTCGACTGTTGCCTTCCAGTGGTGGGTAGAATGACTCGAAAGTTCTCGAGACGTGATTGCGACTCGCGCTCGAATGAACAGAAACAGTGGTAGGCCCAACGTCTGTCCAAAATATGTGGTATGAATAAGCCCTTTCGCTGCGGCGCGTAGATCACCCAACCTTGAGCTCGCTCGCTCGCCTACTCACTCACTCGCCTACTGGCGGTCGCTCGTGGTGATCCGTAAGTATTGAAGGTTATGCGTCAAGAGATTAAGGTATACGCCCAGATAGTCGCCGCCAAACCTGTCAGTCGAATCTGTGCAGTGGCGAACCCGGAATATCATGTATACCTCAAATGCAAAGAAGGACGGGTATGTAACGTACGACGAAAAAGCAAAGAGCAAGCAAAGATCAACAAAGTTAGGTAGCTTCGCCAATATTTGAATAATGGACCAAGTTGGCGCTAGGAATCCGGGCAGCTGGTAAAAGAGTCCATGTGCTTTTCCCTTTTTTTTCTTCCTTTCCTTTATTAATTTCATCGCAAAGTACCCTGTCCTAGAAGACAATCACCCCTTTCGAACAAGCTCTGGTGTCTGGATGTGTCCGCCCCGTGGCCCCCCGACTCAGGCATCCTGGACGGTGGATACTCGTGTCCGTGCCACTAGAGCAGCCCACCAACAAGATGTCGAGAGGACCTGAGGGGATCTCCAGGAACCATGTCGCCGGGATGTCGTGCCTACATTTGAAGAGTCCAGGGTCGGGACCGGCTGGGTTTGGAGCCAGGTCAACGGTCAAATCTTGTGTAGACGTGGTCCAACGACCATGATGAGGCTTTTTACGTGCCGCCTTGTGCTGCCACGGCAGATCCTTCTTGTCAACCTGTTAATTTCTGATCCATCTCCTCCTCCTACATAGTGCTCCTTCTACTCCTGCTCCAGACGTGTTTGTGCGGACTCGGATAAATGGAGAAGTTGGTCGGCTGCGTAATCAAATCAATCACAAAAAAAAAAAACCCTTAAGTGACGTATCGGTCACCCCTACCAGTTTCTATCCGAGCAGGAGAAAAAAAAGGGAAAAAAAAGAAAAAGTTACCAGCCGGAAGTCTATCCGAAGCGCAAACTGCTTCACGCCGTAGACCCCACTGAATCGTATGATCCAGGGATTAAAAACTTCACTGCGACGCTGCTCAGGAACGAAAACTTTCTCTCAGACACGCGCAATTACCACCAGTTGCTTTCGGAATGGATACCTGGTAAAACTACATAAATCCCCAGATCTGCCCGAGTCTGGCACTGGAATCTCTGCTCTGCACAAGCCATCGATCAAACAAGATGCCTGCCGCACTTTCTTCCAAATTGTCCAACAGAGACCAGGACAAGAGGCATAACCCTGTCGAAATGAGGAGCCAAACTCTGAAGCCACGACAAGCACTCGAGTCACCCCGCGTAGATCTGTGGCCCAAGCTTCATCTGACAGCCCACGGGCCAATTGCAGTTTCGGGTGAGCTCTTGCAGTTGGGAAGAGATGGGACATGCCGCATATGTCTGATAGTACTACTTGTACATATTTGCGTACTGCTTGATTCTGCGCGGCCAGAATCTTGGCAAATTTCACCTTTCCAGGGAGCCCATGTAATCGTAGTTAGCACTACGCCAAGGAGAATGGGAGTTTTGCACTTGGCACTCCGCACGTGGTGGTCAAGACCACAGGCGGCAGGAAAGATGAGCGCAAATCCGTAAACCCGCAAGCTTTTATATGAGTGCCTTTTTCAGTCAAACAAGTCTGAGAAACTCTTTTCAAACGACAATCACAGAATACCTGCGAACATGGACTGTCAGTCGCCCATTTTTGATTGATGGGAGTCTGATCCACCACGCTTTTAGGCCCAAAACTTTATGGCTATTGAGTTGGCTATTTCCCGGCCGCCTCCAAGACTATGGTAACTTTCGGCATGGCTGAACAAGCATCAAGCTTCTAAAAACTCCAGATCGGCTTATCATGACTTGCAATTGTTGAGCATGACTAGCCATCACGTCTTATTCCCACTTGTACATGTCGTTTCGGCTGGTTAGCTGGGCTGGCACTGGGATGTAGGGGAACCAAGAGCAAGCTAGCCCAAGATGGTCATTATTAGAGCTACTAGTACCTTAGAATGCACAAGGTAGAGCTGCTGGGCCCCGTTAAGATGTTGCAGTATCCTGCAGCCAGGGAAAGGGGTCCAGTTGTACAGGTCTGTGGGGAAATTTCGACTGGCTGGCCAACTTGTCAATCAGGGGTCTGTTGTCGACCAGCTTCGGTAGATGTCATGCAATAATTTACTGATCCTATTGCAGATCGTCGGATATCAACCCACATGCCGCCGCTATCAGAGATGGATTCTGGGAACACAGGCGCCAAGAGCAAGCCGGGGCCAGCTCCGTAGCATGTCTCCATTTTGAAAAAGTACGCCCAGTAGTAAAAGTGCCACATGGTTCCAACGAAACATCAGAGTTGCCTTCTCGGCTGGGTGGCCGGAGGCGTACTTGGTGTCGCCTTTGTAGGGACCACAGTGCTTTGTTAGTTGCTTCCATACCCGGCTACGAAGGTGACCAAGGCTAGAGTAAATATCGAATGCTTGCAGGCCCTACGCTAACCATGAGGGTCCAGTCCAAGGTATCAAGAGCGACCGGAGGGTCCCATCTGGCGTGAATGGTGTACCTCTAGGGGCCGCGCTCCGTCTGTCTAGATGGGAGCGCATCAACGTACGACATGACTTGTGCTCATAACTCCATCTCGGCGCCATAGCATGGTTATTTCTCGCCATATATACTGGTCGCAGCGATATTCGTGCTATTAGAATAACAATGTCTTGTTGAAAAATTATACAGATGCGATAGTATGAGATCCAGGAAGTGGCTACCGTAGTACAAAGTAATGAGGCTCAATTACTAAAATACACGTATACATATAAGAGAAACCTCCTGGTTTGAATTCTTAGAATCGGTGTTCTACTTATGTTGTTCATCTTCCTAGAAGCGAACACGTACCGACTAATTCTCCCGTCGGTAATCTTTTCTAAGATTAAGATGTACACAGTCATCCGAACTTTGGTTATTCAATACGTGTTAGTTAAGTCTAGGTTGCAAGTCTAGATCCGTAGCAGGTGTCGGAATTCATCTAAATCATCTTTTAAAATCTTTCTACCAATGTTGCAACACTCGTGATTTTAAATTGTTCCAGCGACAAGAAGAGGACCGCCAGCTCAAGGCCTTGTTAAGCTCTCCAATCCAGCCTTGTGGTAAAGAATGTGCGAGTTGTAATCCTACGAGCACGGCTGTGCGTAGGGCAGAGCACCCCAACCAAATACGATCGGGTAATCCCGAAAACAATATCACACACGCGGGTAAGTAGTCTTCTTTTCGTTCCAAGGAAAGCTTAAAGAAGTGGAAGAGAGACGCAACTTGTGCATCTTGGGAAGAAATCCTGGATACGACGAGTCTTGGGACTCTGGAGGCGATGTCACTATCATAGCCAGACATGGTTTTCTTTTGCCATGAAATATAGGCTCAGAGTAGTCTGCCCTGAGATTTCGAATTGTACAAGCCACTGCGCTGATTAAATGAGTGTACTTGTTACCAGACAGGGCACGGTTATGCAGGCTCGCCGTTGTCTGTTGTTTGTCGATGAAGATGTTTCGTGCTGGTAGGCATGTGCCTCAAACCATGCGAGGTGACGATGGATATGCACATTCATACCCCAACAAAGGCGCAGAGAAAGTGTGACATGCTATATGTCGGCTAGACGCTTCTGAGTCGTTTGTTCCATATTGTCTGTGTAGTAGCGCAGAAAGGCGATCAACTGGGACGGATACGTTCACAAACACTCGACATCCAGCTATACAAGCCATAAATCTATCCGTTGGCAGAGTGCCTAGTGTGCATCATCTAAGTGCATATATATGTACAAGAGCTTCGTCAGCAAATGGGACCATCCCGAGCTCGAGCTAGCCGTTCCCTTGTGTTCTATATCCTATAGTACAGGTCTGATCGTACATGGCTACATTAAATTGAAAGTGGGGATCCAGTCTAATTTCGTCGAGATGCCCTCTTCCGCTGGGCTTCTAACATACGGCTCATAGCCTTTTGCTTCTCTTCCTCAGCGCGCTTCTTCTCATACTCCTGAGCCTTCTTCGCGGCGGCCTTGGCCGAACCTCCGGTATAGTCCTCGATGCCCTTGGTCACGTTGGCCATGTTGCTCTTAGCGCCGTCCAATATACCCCTGATACCACTGCGTGACGGGGCTTGGTATTGCAGGTTTGCAGCGACGGTCAAAGCTGGCGTTCCGGGCAAAGGAGGAAGGTCAACTATGCGGCGGATAGCAGGCATGTTGAGAAGACGACCCTGAACGACGGTGGTGACTGCAAACATGAGGAAAAACCATTGCACAGCAGCGGGGAACCACATGGTACAGACGAACATGAAGGGTGTCAAGCCATAAAGCATAAACTTGTTCATGGACTCGTTCTGCGGTGTGGGGTTCAGGTTGGCCTTCTGGGTTTGTCTGATGGTGATAGCACTAAGGGCAGCTGATACCAATGGCAGGATATAGGTAGGATCGTAGACTGTCAGGTCCGTTATCCAAGCAAAACCGCCCGTCTCCAGACTCGGGACAGGGAGTGCAGACATTCCTCTGATCAAGCGGAACATGCCGTAACTGAGAGGGACAATTCCGAGTGGAGGCAGTAGAGTCTTCAACATGGAGACACCGGCTCTCTTCTGCATGCCCTGGACCTTTGCCTGAACCTTCATTTTGACCATGGTGTCGGCATCCTTATCCCACATGACCTGCTTGGCCTCGGCAGATGCCTTCATGAACTCGGGGTCTTTGTGCAACAATGCCATTTTGGCAGCGTTCCTCTGGCCGATGATAGTGGGCCAGAGCCACACCAAGCGAATGCCAAGCGCAACGGCCGAGATGGAGGCCCACCAGGGAAGGCCAGTCATGATGTAGACGTGCTCCAGCATCCATTCGCAGAAGGCAGTAGGACCCCAGCCAAAGTCCAAGCCCAGGTGCTTCAGATAACCAATCTGCTCGGGGATATCAAGAATCGAAGGCTCGAGGTCGAAGTCGCTGAATGTCTCGGGAACGAAAGAAGACGAGACCGAGTCGGCAATGGCTGACGGTATATCAGATGCGCTCGAGACGGCCGAGTCTACCGGCTGAGACCCGGCAGGAGAAACGGGGGATGATCCGATAGCGGGCGCTTCAGTTGACGAAGCAGCTGGAGAGGGCGTTGTGGCCGACGTCGAGGCGGCCTTGCTGCCAACGGGCTGCTGTTGTGGTTGCGAACCGAAGCCCCACAGGGACAAAGACCGCGAGGGTCCCGAGGCCACTCCAACACGGATCGGGTTGCGACTGAGGTGTGCTAATCGTGGCAATGTGGTACTTTGACCCCTTAGAGCTGCTGAATTGGGGCTCCATTGTTGTGAGGAGCGCCCAAGACGCTGTATCTGTGAGTATTGCCGACTTGAGGTTGGCTGCGAGTCTGGTCAGTGGACAGTTCCTAGCGCACGCAATGCAGTAGATAGAAGAATGTGATGAGCAATGCGGCAGAAGGTCTTGATCATACCTGTCTTGTCACGGTCAAAGACAGGCGCAACCCTGAAGTTGGGCGCAGACCCGATACACCTCTACTTGGCAGCATGTTGACCTGTGGGTTGGGGGTTTCCGGGCTGTGTCTTGTCCAGCAATCGGATCCGAACAGACAGGCGAAAGTTACTCAGGAGCTTCCCAAATTTTCTGTCCTGGCGTCGCGGAAAGGAAGCGCACCAGGCCATTCATTGCTATATGCCGTGTCATGCAATTAAGCGGGGACACATTCTTGAGAGGGCAGTGGTCCAGCGACCGGCAGCCGAGAGCCCAGCGGATGGGTACATTCTTCAGCAGCCGAGACCGCTAGAATTGACTCCCCGAGACACTAGAAAGCAACATCAAATTGTGTTTTCACAGCAGCCCGCATATGTACCTTTTTACCCAAGATCCGTGGTTGAGGAACGTCAGCGTATATCTCGTGTCCCGCTTGCACTTCCTTGTAGTAGAGAGCATGATCTGAATTGGTGATACTCATTTCTTAGCTCCTCATTTTACTTCGTTCCGGACATGGTGCAGTCTATGAACGATGCGTGCGTGACTTGTCAAGCATATGGTCCATGTAGCTGCATACTGCTCTTGTAATGTCTTGTGGTATGTTCTGTATATCTGGCAGTGTTGCCCAGCTCAAACTTGTACTACCGATTTGCTTCAGATCTTTGCGCTCCTGTATAAACATTTTCTAGTCCCAGCGTAATCTGTCTTACCAAGACATTCCCAACCTCAGATAGCTGCATTATCTCCCCGCAGATCTGACTAGTGTTTGAGGACATGCAAACTGGTCGATCCAAAAACCCTCGGCCTCGCTGCTTCGTCAATCGATTAAGGGCCCAGCTTACTTCCCCCTGCCCCCCGCTCGCCTGAGTTTATTCTGATCCATCATTCCATGCTGGTGAGATCTTGCAGATCCGGTGTAGGTTGCGACCTCTTCTCTCGTATCTCGATACCGGGTCCGATGGGGTGTGCCGTCCGCCTCGAAAGGGGAAAGACCTTGTCATGTCTGTTAGTTTCGCCGTCGAGTCACGATCATTCGTATGCTAGACTAGCACATACCTTTGTGCCGCTCCAGCCCAGTCTGAAGGCAGCCTCGTGTGCGAAAAGCTCTCCGAAACCCAACATCATGCCGTTGACGAATGGTAGGAACAGATTGATGGCGGCTCCTCGGATCAACCCCCACATAGTCGGGGGCTTGTATAGGATCAAAGGGGTCGAAGATGAAGAGGACTCGGGAGATGGCGAGACCTCCTCGCCGGCCGAGTATTGCTCGCTGTCGGAATGCATCGTGATGCCGGACTCGGCAAGTTGTGAAGCTTCGTCGGCCATGGTTGGGGTATAGATTCGAATACAACCAAGTGCGCGTAGGAAGAGGGTATTGTGCTGGCCTTGTCTGACGAGCTTGATGCAGTCGGATTGCTAGATCCGGCTGTGAATGTTGGAATCGCTGTTGGGACGAAGTGATGCGATGGGGATGCGAAGCCAAGCCAAGCCAAGCGAAGCCGTACCTCGGAGGATTGCTAATCGCCGTTTGTAACTTGCTATAATACTGTATTGTACTTTACTGTACTGTACTGTATGAATCCTAGCTGGCACTTATGCATGCACCAATTGCTGAAAGCTCGGCAATCGTCAACTGTCATGAACATCAAATCGCGGCGCTCACGTAGCAGACAGCATGTGTGTAGTATTGTATGTACGTACATGGCAGTGTCCCCTACAGTAGGAATCGGGTTAGCGGAGGTCGGTATCTAAATAATCCGCCTGGAGGGGTCTTTCCAGGGTACAGGGCGCCGGACTGTAATCATAGCTGTTGTACCTCAGCAAACTGCGGGGGAGCTTCGACTTTGACGTAGTTGGAGCTGCCTGGAACGGGAGCGGGAGGCTCTCCATTACTCATGGAAGTACGGATTAATAGCAGCCAGCGACACGAACCCCAACTTTTGAAGCTGCACGAGACGAGAATCATTGGATCCTTCTTGTCTCATAACTGACCTTTGCCAATTTTCCTCTCCCCACACCCATCTTGATCCGATCCAGCTCAACGTGCGACATTCACCATTTTGATCTTGTCTTCACATTTCTAGCGAACGCGATCAAGATGGCAGGCGAAGCTGACCATGACACTCTGGTCTTGCAGCTCTTGGAGTTTGTACCCAATGCGACTCCGGAACAAGCCACCCAGTACCTTTCGGCCAACAACTGGGATCTCGACGCTGCTGCTGCTTCCTTGTTGGCCGACGCCGACGAAGCTGAGGACGATGCTACCACAGAGACCGGCCCCCCATCCTCATCCGCCGCACCCCCAAGCTACACCGGGCCACGAACACTCGACGGTCGGCCCGCCCCTACTTATTCGAGCCCCTCAGCGAGCTCAGCTCCAAGAGCTCAACCCAAGAAGAAAGGCCTCGCCACATTGAGCTCCTTGGGCGGCGGTGACCATGCCCACGACGATGATGACAGTGACGATGATGACGATGACGATCACAGAGACACCTATGCGGGTGGCGAGAAGAGCGGTCTGGCTCTGCAGGACCCCAATTCAAACAAATCAAACAAGTCAAACAAGTCAAATAAATCAAAGAGCGAGCAGATTCTTAATGATCTGCTAGCCAAGGCAAGATCGTAAGTGTCCCCTTAAAAGTCCTGTCCAGTCCTGTTCCCGTCCCGGGAGCACCTTGCATTCCTCCTAATTTAATCCAACGCCACTGACCTTCATGTTCCAAGACAAGCACCTCGACCGGAAGCTTCCTCCCCTGGCGCTGGTCCGTCCGCGCCAGCTACTTTCCGAGGCACTGGTCAGACATTGGGCGGCGAGGGCGTGGAGAGCCGAACGATTCCCGATCCTACTGGCGCCGTCCGGGGACCAACTCCCGCTACCAACGCCCCCGTTCAAGAGCGAACACTTCACCTCTGGCGCGATGGCTTCAGCATTGACGATGGCGAACTGAGACGATTCGACGACCCTGAGAATGCCGACGCTCTTCGCATGATCCAGCAAGGTCGAGCGCCTGTTCACCTCATGAATGTGAGATACGACGAGCCCCTTGACGTCAAGCTCCAACAGCACGACGAGAATTTTAGACAGCTCCCCAAAATTTACAAGCCTTTTGGTGGCGAGGGCAGAAGGTTGGGCAGCCCGGTCCCGGGTGATAGCAGTGTTGCTGCCGCCTCCATCGCATCTGCAACAACGCCTACACCAGCTGTTTCTGTTCCATCTTCAGCAGCTACTCCTGCATCTGGCGCATCTGCCAATGTGGACACTTCCCAGCCTACCATCATGATCAGAATTCAAATGCCAAATGGCACCCGATTACCGGCAAGGTTTAACACGACACAGACAGTAGACGACGTCTACCACTTCATCACACAATCGTCGCCTGATCTGCGCTCCGGTGGCTGGGTCCTCGCAACCACGTTTCCCAACAAGGACCATACGGACAAGTCGTTGGTCCTGGGAGATATGGCAGAGTTCAAGAAGGGCGGCACGGCAATGGTCAAGAGAACATAGAGTTTGGTCATCGGTGTTGGGGGAGTTTTCAGTGCTTATTCTCGTATTTACTTGCATAATGGTCGTTATGAAAACGGGTATGTACTGTAGACTTAGATCACAAGATGGCTCGCGGTCACGCCCTAAAGAGCTAATGCATTCTGCCAACTCCATTCTGGTGTGCTTGGCGTGGTGAGCCGTACCCTCATCAAAGCCAATTGGCTTCCGGTGCCTCTACTTTCATTTTCTGCATAGCCAATGTGGTGTGAGTCAGTAATTCTTCAGGTCAGGCCTCCTGTACCAACTCTTCTTACAGGCGCAACCAAAGTAAACAGAAACATGGTTATATACCTAGCAGATGTGCATTGCGGCCCACAGTACTATCGAATACCAAATGCTCAGAAACTAAATCTCCCAACGATACCAAATTTCAAGCTGCTGGATCACAGACCTCGCTAGCAGCACAGTTATCCTCTCAACCATGATCCAAGATCGGTAACCCCACACATCTTTCGCCCTTTTGGCCTAGCAAGTACCCAACATGCTCGTCAGCGCCGTCTTCTCGGCGCTGGTGATGGTGAGCTCCCAGTACGACTTGACCTGGACCCAAGCGCGCGCGTAGACGCAGTAGAAGCTCGACAAGGGCGGCTTCCATTGGTCCGGGCTCTTGTCGCTCTTGGATTCGTTGACGTTGTCGGTCACGGCCCACAGCTGCGGGCGCACCACGTCGTTTGCGTACTGTTGACGCTTGGCCGTCGTCCATGCGTTGGCTCCGGACTTTTCCGAGGAGGTGGAGTGTCAGTTAATTTTCTTAGCAAAATAAGAAAAGGGTAGGGGGAGAGGGTAGTATAAAGGAAAACAAAAAAAGAACACACACAGAGACACACACGCACACAGAGAGGGAGAGGGAGGAAGGGGAAGAAGACTTACGATCCATGCGTTTTTCAACGGAACCATATGGTCAATGTCGAGATCCGACGCCGCCGTCCAGCTTGCCCCGTCGTACGGAGATGTCCACTTGCCCGCAGTCGCCTTGCAGGCGCTATCCACCGTGATCGAGGTGGCGTCCCGCTTGAGCACATACTCGCGCGTATCGCATGTCCCCGAGATGGTGATCCACGTCGGGAACAAGTCCCGGTCGTAGTCGTCGCCACTCACCGACGCTGCCACTGTCAAGCCCGCTAGCTGCGTCTTGGCTGTGGCGGCGCTGGGGATGCCGGACTAGATGGTACATGTGTCAGAAGCAGTTTTATATGTATCTGTGTATATATATGTTGGAGAATAAGACCTACAGGACTGGGCATTGGCAAAGGCTCAGCCACGGGATCTGGTACAGGCGACGCGATGACGGCACATCCCGACAGAAGGCCGGCGGCAAAGATGATAAACCTCATCATGAAATCTTTTTAGAATTGGTAGTAGATGTGTTCTTTTCTATGCGAGCGTCGACGACGAGGGCTGTCTCTGGATGGTAAAAAATCCAGGTGGCGTTGTTGTTCATATATGTCCCGAGATTTTGGACTGCCTCTCCTGTACGTTCACTTAAGCTTTAACCAGGACCTTGGCCCGGCACGACTATAGGTACTGGAATGGAGACCGCCGGTGATCGAGTATGAAGGTCAAGAATAAGGTTGGACTATAGGTGGAAGGGTCCAGTATCCAGCTCCAGTGTGACCCTCCGTCACGCTCTAACGCCGCGGCGTCGCTGTGCTGGGAGGGACAGCTGACCAATTCCTAGCAGGGCAAATATAGAAATGATCGTCAGGTACTGTGAATTGGAATAGTTTTAGAATTGCTTGGCGGATCAAGCTTTCCAAAACAGTGCCGTCAACGGTAACCAATATACACCCGAAAGACCAGGCATCTGACTCGTTCATGTCTTATCTATGATGAGAAAAGAAATAGATATCACTATGATCACACTTGAGGACACCAGCGTTTCCAACATTGAGCGTCGGCATTCACGGCGACCTGTAATACCCATGTTAATATTCAAATAGCTCTATGCCGACGGAGTTGCGGTCCAGAGATTGCTAAGGGCCGGCGGTGGGTCTTTGCAAAAGAGATACCACAGTAGACATTTAAAGAGGTCGTTGTAGCCGTGGATCTGACGCCAAGACTTCTTTACAATTAGCACCAATGAAAACACCCGGCAGTGCTGGTCAACCTGCCTGATTAGGAGACCGATCCCCAGAAGCCCCTCATGCAAACCCAGCAAGCCCCCGATGGCACTTACCGCGCATCTAGCATTCTGCAGTCCAAGAATGCCAATGCGATTGACGAGTGCCAGACAGAAGCTTATCTTCCTGACTGAATGTCCGTCTTGGCATGGTCTTGGCGACATCGTCAAGCTCACATGTCGAAAATCAATTAGATTGTCATGATGAATTCGTGGCATTGGTTGCTTTCACCATTGGCTGCATGTGTCGGACCCCTGAACATGATCTAGTGCGCCTTAATCTACACGTGTTCGCGAGTCTGTCCGTCCTCGGTCGGCAGGCCCATAGCGACAAACATCGCAGTGCCACGAGCAGTGGCTGGCTTTGCTGATCCAACCTATTGTAGAGGCTAAGTGAGGCATGCGCGCAGACCATAATTGCCCTTGGTATTGCTAGCCGGTTTAGTAGCTTTTAAGCCGAACAGGTACTACCAAGCTCAACCATAATCGGCATCGTTCCGAGCAGTGGGGATTAGATGCATGAAGTTGTGCATGCCAACATATGACTCCGACAGACTCCTCAAGTGGCTACCTGTCCCTGGGCGGATACAGATATGGGACCGTCGAGGAACTTGAAGCTCTCACGAGCGATTTGACAATTCAACTTGGCCGCATTGAATCGCGCCTCGCCAGGGGGAAGTATCACCATCAAATACGTGTTTGTGGTGAACTTGTGCATGATGTGTTAGCCAAGCGCAGACAACAAGTGAATTCACGGATGGGCTTACCTTCAGACAGAAGATAGAGAACCGACCACCAGCCTTGTGTTCCATGAGCGTAAACTGCTCGGCATTCCTGGGCGTTCCTGTAAAGCGACTTATGCTCTGCTTGAAATGCTTCAGGATGTTGGAGATGCGCTCTTGGCGATCTGTGGTAGGATTGTTTTGACCTTCTTCCGATGTCCAGTTAGAGACGACCAAGAAACTGGTACGCTCGAACAAGAGTAACTCCTCAGCCTCAATCATTATGCCTAACGCTTCTAGTTGTGACTCGATGACTGACAGGTTGGGCACGAGGTCGTGTATTATGCTTGCCCACGCCTTGTACAGAGATTGATCCCATATTGATGTTGCAAAGGGAGTCACCTCCAGCTCTCCGGAGAATCCAGATCCCTGTCTGAACTCGGAAGTCTTCTGCCGCACTAGCCGTACCCTCTCCATGAAGACGGCCTCGCGAACGTGTGTCATGATGAGGTCCATCTTGTGAATGAGAACATAGACCTTGGCAGCAGGCGAATATTGTGTGAGTGCCGACATTATCGAGACGTACGTGGCCATATCCCTGTCCACATCGCGAGACTCTATATCGAAAACGTAGATAAGGACGCCGACATTGGAAAAGACGTGTACTCGTTGTTGTGAAAGGTAGTTCTCCATGAATGCCTCTTGACCGCCACAATCCCATAGGTTCAGAGTCAGGTTGCCAAGGAACTTAACATGGGAAAGGTCTATGTCAATTGTTGCACCGCTGTGTGTGTAAACGGTCAGCAATTGAGCGTGGAAATCCGACGACAACATCAAGAAGCCCGGGCTCCAAAATGGCACGGGAAGCGCGACACAAGGGTGACACAAGGGCGGCGTGTACTGGAGGCGCACCAGTCGGGTATACTCACAGTCTCCGCGTGTCCCTTGCTATGTAGTTGCTGAATATTATACTGCGCATACTCGACTTGCCCGAACCGCTCTTGCCCATGAGGAGGACCTTCTTCTTCTTAGGTTTCTTGACCTCGTTCTTGACATCGTTGCTCGCATTGCCTTGCCCCATCGGAAGGGATGCAGAAGGCTCGAAGTCAGCCATCTTGACTTGACTTTGTCCTGTTCAGAAACGGGAATCGATTGGTTGTTGTAGACGTTCTAAGAATGTGATGGCGGAAAGTTCCTTCTTCCTCTCCTCGTGCCCTCAGCGGAAGTGTTTATGCCTCGAATGTCCTCAGGAGCCAGCCTAGCTCAAGATCGAGCGGCGCATCACCAAGGGGTTTCGGCTGACCAGCTCTGCTGTGCTTTGCTTCGCTTTGAATTCGTGTCGCACTGGGTTAAGACCCCTCTGTTCAATCCTCTGGGGATGTTCTGAGCTACGTATGTATGTATTGTCGCTCGTGTTTGGCGTAACGATGGTGGGGCGGTGTTGGGGAGCTGTTGAAGCTGTCGCCAACGTGGATACCGTAGCACTCAGCGGACATTGAGTTGGGCGCTGCAGCTATCTGGAACTTAAACTTACTCGCTGTAGACTAGCTCTAAGCTTCGCTTGGCCGAAACTGACGTCACTTGCATAACTCATTAAATGCTTATCTGATCACCTCTACTCCGTATAGAGCAATCCTTGCCTTTCATCTCTCGAGCAAACTATCTGTCATTTACTGTACTTTGGGGTTTCTTATCTGCTAAACCCTTGCATAGGTGGGGTGAACTACCCTCTTGGCTAGCTTTTCATTGTACTAGGTTAGTGTACCAAAATGATATTTCCAATTGTACAATGTAGTGTAACAATATTGATATTTTTAATTGTACGAATCGTAGGCATGCTTGTCGCATTTCGTTAATGTTGTAGCCCACACTAGCTGTGGAGCGGTACAATGTGCACCGCAACCGATGCGCTGTAAGGGCTATGACCCGTGGTTTGGTCTTGGACATTAATCGCCGAATAAAAATACCCTCCTCGAAAAAGCACCTATATGCTAATTTACGTTTCCTCTCCCATTGATTAGACGGCAAAAGAAGAAGAGAAAGAAAAAACGATAGATATGCGAAAACATACTGGCAAATATCAAATGTACTTCTAACAAAATTGTCTTTGCTAGGATTCACTCAAAGAGCTCGATACTACGTGACAGAGATTTATGATGCCCAATACCCTGCCATCTTCCTTGAACTCGCCTTGTTCTCAAACTTTCGGTTAGAATGGTGCTGCCCCCTCCTTCTTGTATAGTTTAAACCATCAAAATTTTCTATGATAATGACAACCGTATAGGTGTTCTTGCCTTTGTTAACGTTAATAGCCAACACCTTACTCGACATTCTCACGTCTGAAGGGCTCTTACAAGGTCAAAGGACAAGATAACGCAACTTGGACAGTCTAAAGTGTGAGAAAGATTGCTTTTACCGTAGTCTAGTCCACCTCGGCAGACCTGACCAGCCAAAGACAAGAACATTGTGCATCAAGTATGATTTCAGAAACACCATTCATACTACTTCGGCCCATCTAATTTAAATTATTGCGTTCACTGCGTGGTAAACAAATTTTGCCAACACGCTACTATCAAGGACTATCCGCTTATCCAAGGGAATTGTATGACACGATTTCGAAGTAATTTACAAAAGTCCTTTTGATTTAATATGATGCCAAGATATTGGTGCAAAGTAGTCATGATCCCAAGTTCTTCACAACTTCCTAGCGGATCTTATCTGGGTGTAATTATTCAGAATATCCACCTGATAGGGGTAAAGAATGCAATCGATGCTGCGTTAGAGCTGAGTAGACTCGGCCATTATACTCACTTCACAATGATTTTTGGTTCCGAATTTGTGCCGAAGTCGTGCAAAAGCTGGCCCAGTTTCTGCATTGCCTCCATACAGCCCGGCTCTCAACACCTGCAATAAAATATTGTAGGTATGTAACCAATAGCTTCGCTAATAGTTGTCGGGAAGATGCTAAAAGATCGGATCCAGAGGTAACTGAAGTCGGGTGCACGGAATTGTTGTCTATATGATGCAACCGAGTCCTTAGGAATCTTGGAGTGCCATCGATGTCGCAACTACTTAAGCCGCCGGCATTAAAGAGTACATTGGAACAGTCGCAAGGTCATGACTGAACTCTGATTAAGGATGCGTCAGAGTTTCGATATCATACGTTCCAAGCAAAATCCAAAACGAGCCATCTGAGTTACTGTGACATTCAAAAACGGTGGGCCCACCGTCAATAGAACGATGGTAATCTCAGGGTATATATTCGTTGCCACAATTACTAATAATACCAATCAAAGCGTTGGGCCAACATCAGGTCGTTGAATCTTGTATATCGCGGATCCTCCGTTGATGTTTTCCGGGTCTTATGAGATCGCATCGTTTTGTCGCGCAGCAATATAGGTGTGAAAGAAATCTACATAGTCAAAGAAACTCCTCTTGTAGCGTCGGGTGAACAGCCCATCTGTACGATTGACAGTCTGCATACCATACTGGTTTCCATAATCCCCGAATTCGTTATTATCGATCCAACTCCAAGCAAGTGCACCAATAACGTTCACATTATCCGTGTGGATTGTGTGTAGAACTTCTGTAAGGAAATTATGGTAATACATAGATCGATCAAAGTCGAATTGTTGTACCGATAACTCATGGTGTGAGTCGTCGATTTGAGGGAAGCCGAATTCTGTCAGCATTATTTCGGACGGCTTGTACGTGTTCCACACATAGCTGAACTGTTCTCGTACATATTGCGGCGCTATCAGGGAATAAGAATTGGACGGAACTCCTTCAAGCCACCCGTTGACTTGTGTAGCGCCTGTCGCAACACAAGAGGGCCAAAGAGGATTGGAAGGGTCCGATGCGCAAGCCTCGTAACCCTCATCTGGTGGGTATGCAAACTGAGCGATGTATGGGTCGAGCGCTAAGAAGTCAACTGTTCCATTGAGGTATTCGAGTTCTTTCTGTGTAAGTGTAGTTATATTAATGCTTGGGGTATCAAGAACGACCTGGGGGATTTGGTGCCCAAGAAAAAGTGGGTTCGCCATGACTCCTAAACTAAACTCTTGATATCTTATAGCCGCTTCTACATGAGAAGAGTTATCAGGATCGAGTGGGACGGCAAGATTGTTTGCGAATTTGGTACTAATTCGACCTGTTCCTTTGAGCTCCTTTTTGTACCAATTATAAACACCGGCGTGCGCTTTCGCTTCAGCTGTGAGAACGTTGTAATCCGATGAAAGAAACAGTGGCGCTTGATTCGGTTCACAAATAGTGAACCAAATTGGAATTCGGTCGGCGAACCGGGTCATAACTTGCTTGGCATAGTAAAGAAAGTGTTCCGGGAATGCCTCAAGGTCGTCGAATATCCCGACTGGACTATCCGCGTGCATTAGGGTAATGATCGGCGTGACTCCATACTCGTAACATGTTTTGATGACATCTTCATAATGATCCAAAGCCTGGATATTAACTGGAGAGCCGGCAATACCGAAAGGTATGACACGAGTCCATGAAATTGTGAATGAATAGTGAGGCACTCCAAGTGCGGCAAGACGCGCGATATCTTGCTTATAAAGAAAATAATTCATGTTAGCGATATTCGAGTCGTTCAGGCTGGCAGCGAGGCCTGTGCCGATAGCTCCGATTTGGTCTATTGCTCCTGGGCCGCGTCCTTCAAATTGCAAACCGCCCTCAATCTGCCAAGCACTAGCAGCTGCTCCCCAAATAAAGTTGCACGGGAATTTTAATGACTTGTCCTCATGTTGAGGACGAGCTGGAAATTGCGGGGGGTATACGAGTTCGCTTGAAGCGACTGGAGTTGGTGAGACAGTGGTCGTGAACGGAAGATCATGGGTATATGTAAAATCCATCCATAGTGCTGCGTATGCACTCTGCCCGAACGGTCCATCGTCGAACGTGGCAGCTCGATCCAGGCTGTACGTAGTGTACGTGACACTCGCCGGCAGCAGTGTCGATACTTGGCTGAAATTCGGGGCGAAAGTCGACAGAGATAATGGTGTAACCAACGGTGTAGCATACCGATTAGTGCTCATCTGCTTATAGCTAAAGAAGCTGTAAGTAGGCGACGGCACTAAAGCCATAAAATCACTCGTCGTCACGAGATTCTCGGTAGGATCCACGGCGTGCGATTTTGTTGCCTGAGCCAGAATCCTGATAATAGCAGCGACTGTAGATCTTGTGAGCATGATGGCAGGTACTCCGCAACAAGTGGATGTATGATCTGAGCACAAATTCAAAGCGTCAGTTTAGAAGTTAGGTCTTTCATTTATAGCTCTGTGTTTCACCTGACACCACCGTTAATACTTGGATTTATAATAACACTATGCCTGTCTTCATGCTCCTCCTTTCCTCGTTCTCGCAAACAGGGATTTAAGCTGACGCTGTTTTTCACTAGTCCAACCAGCACGCCATTCCATCTACATCGTTAATGGGAAAGATATTCCTCTGAATGAGAGACAAATAATATTAGCCGGAGACGACGGATATCTTACAAGAGTTGCGGCCGCAGAGAGCAGGGATTTTGGAATACCACGCCCCTGCTGATATCTTCTGAACGAGGCACTAATCGAGTGAATGAGGCACAGAACCCTGGAAAGTTGCACCACGACAGGCTTCCCGTAATTGCAAACAGTGGGTAATGGGGCAGTGCTGTAATTCATCTAGAGTCCCTGCTTTGAGAAAACGACAGCTGACATGCAGCCCGTTGAATTACGTGACGTCACCCGCGACTTTGAACTGCATCACGTTTTTCAATGTAACATCTAATTGCCCAACACTGCGCCGCCAACCGCATGTTTCTATAGATTTGAATACATGTGTTAATTGTATTTGTTATACCAAGTTTTATTGAACGATCAAGAATCGAGAGGCGCTACTGTACGACGTCCTATCCTCCCATGGATTAGCCAGAGTTATCTCATACATTCTCACCCCGTCAAAAAGAAAGAAATCTCATTTCTCCACCAGTCTTCTGTAAATGGCAGCTGTTAGTTATGGATTCCAAGCCAGCTACGATGTAAAATCTTGGCAGTAACTCATATATTTCTAGTTCAAAAGCTCCTTTTCAAGGTCAGAACACTTAGGTAGTTCTACTGTGCCGCTCGAACTTGAAACCCACAGCTTCCTCAATCTTATCATCGTTCGAGCCTTATACCAGCTGGACGTTCTAATATTGCCTCAGTCTCTCTGTTTCATTATTCTGATACTTTAGAATTCGACCTGGGCTGCTTAACAATAGTTAGCAGAGTTGGTACCGATTGGCACTAAGTAGATCATAATTGCGTGGCTGGCGGGGTATAATACGGATCAAATTGGACATATATTCAACGCTCTTGGCTTCGGTTAATACGTACGGCACCGCTGACATCGACCGATGAGATTATGTCCACTAAATCACACTCTGGAGAAAGATCTGATTGTCATCAAAAATGAATTCTCATAGTACCCGCACACGAGGTCAGAAGCTCAAGGATCATGCGATCTCTTTGATGTGTACAAGCTGCGTTATGATAACCAGAGGCCCACGTACACCCGCTTCACAATTTCAGGGCCTGGATTTTGAAATGGGGAAAGGTGAGTGCACCACAACTGCAAATTCCATACTGGAGCAGATGACATTGTGAGAAGGGGGTTCGGTTATATACATACTAACTTATCGGTAAAGGGAGTTTGTTAGTAACTCTTGAATCTACCACATAGATGTCACTGATAAATTCGTCAAAGGTAGCGCTTCTCGTGGCATCTGGAAGAGCTTGCTAAGCTTGCCACCGCGCTTGTCTTGTAATTCCAGGTACGGATCCGTGAATGCAGCCAACAATACAAGATTGGAGCTGATTAAGCATACTCATTCTAATAATCGCCCGGATTGTAGCTTTCCTTTGATAGGAGTTTGCAATCTATCACTTATGAAGACGCAAGAATAGTCGTTTGAGATCTCACATTTGATATCGGATTCCCAGCATCTTTCTAGAAGTGGACCTTGGCTTAAGGATTGAGGATCATTGCAGGCGGTTTTATGCTGCAATTTCCATGACTAGATCTTGTTCTATTGTCTTCGCTACTGTTCCCTTTTTTTTTTTTCTTTTTCAAAAAAATTTAAAAAAAAAATTTAAAATTTTTTTGAAAGACCTTGGCTGCTTTCACAGGACTTGTTAACCTTAATGAAACCCCCTGTGCAATAAGTTTTTCTACCAGAATCCTAATCGTCGATTAACCAGTCTCTTCTCTCACTTCAGACTACAGCATAAAATCTAAACAGGAGACTTCCTTTGGCGGTACTAAGATAATTAAACTTGACTCTTTTTCCAGCGGTGTTTATGTTTTGTGTAGTAGGGAGGTGAAAACACAAATGGGAAATTTGCTCATATAGAGTTATATACTATAGCGGTGTACGAGATCTCCTCGTTTGCATCATTCCGCATATCTGAATGCCTCTCTTATTGTTGAACCCACATAATTAATCTCTGTATTATGGTATGGACGGTTAGAGAGGTACTAGATTGATTGCACGGGTGTTTTTCCGCGATGTTAAGCTCCGAGCTACTTGTACATTCTCTTCGAAAGAACTCGCCCACTGCCCCTTTAAAGGCTTGATACCATAGTAGGCTCATAATTAGAAGTAGTTAGATCTTGTAACGACGCCATGTCGTTTTGAGTTGCAGTCTGCTAAAACTCCTAGCAAGGCGTCGCGGCTGGCATCGTACGGGACCTCACCGACTAATTCTATTCTTGTTAGTCTGAATTTACCCGAAGTTTTAACAGCGAATATGAGTTGCGCAACACTGACATGACCAGAATCACGCAAAAATGCAAAACATACAACACCGGGGATTCCCCAGTGGTCACCCACCTGAGTACTAATCCAGCGCTTCTCAGTTTATCTAGGGCAGAGCGGACGGGATGCCGAGTTCTCTAAGAGCTATGGTCGTATGTATCTTGGAATGTCCAAATTCTTCTGAATTTTACAATTCAATCTTGATTTACCACCCCATCTATTGATTGGTTCACAGTACTCGCGCCACGAGAGCATTCCTCAATTAATTTCGAATAATTGATATGCGACACTGATAACCCTGGCAATTGTATTAAATGGCAAGGAGACTGGTTGCCACCAATTCAATCTGAAAGAACGCGGGATGGTATTGATTGTCGATGTATCCAAGGTACCTACACACTCCATGAGCACGTTGTAAAGTTAAGCCTATGCTATAATTTGTGAGTTGGAAGGGCTAAGCATAGGGCTTGTTATGGCATACTGATCTCCTCAGATTTGGCGTGATCTAAGTCTCTACCCCGGAAAGCACCCACCCGGGATAAGTAAAGCGATGGAGTGAAACTATGTCACCGATCCCTAACGTCTTGTAGAACCCGTCTCCCAGTACAGAATTATATAGCGTGAAAATTGATCAACTAAGAACTCCTTATTTTTCTCCTTTTCGTATTCGCTTACAGAAACGTTAAGCCTACGCCATCGCATCATGACCTGCTCAACATCTGTGCCAAAGGCGATTACATCTTTCGACTGGAACACATACGTAACAGAAGAGCTGCAACAGGAAAGTTAGTTGCTGGTATGGCGACAGTCGCCAACAGTGATGTGTTCAAAAGGTCCCGTGAGTAAAATCAGTCCCCTCTCGTTGTCATGACAAAATGAAAGGTATGAAGCAAGCAGGAAAGCCCTCTGCTGAGGACTGGGCTAGTAAGTTCAATCCTTCTTTTTTGTTCTTTTCTTTTTTGTTCTGGTGTGGGCAATTCACTCATTAGACGTTCAGCCCATTTCAATTGCAAAAGCCAATCCCTTTCCCCCTGGATTCTGAAGCAAGCTGCCGGTTTTCTCAAGATACCGGGTATAATCTCACGAGGCGGTGGCCTCCCGATTAGCGAGCATTTCCCCTACTCTGAAATTTTAATGCGAGTGGCAAAGCCGCCTCACTTTGCAGAAGAGGAATAGCTATCTGCAAACGAAGATCTGACGCAGAATGTCGCAATCGGGGATATGACGTTCTGAAAGGAGTTTCAGAGTATGACCTCTCTATTGCGCTCAACTACGGCCAGGCGACTAGTCTCCTCAAATGATGCGCTTCATCACTGAGCATGTTAAGCTCGTCTCAAACCCTACTTATGCTAAATGGCAGGCATGTCAGACTCTAGGCAGTGCGGGTGCCCTCGAGCAAGCCGTTCTTATGCGCTGTGATCGTAATCGCGGCAACTGCGTTCTTACAGAAGGGTATACGTTTGCCTCAGCGCTGGAAACTATGGCGCCCAAGGTCATCGAAGTTGTTAGTGTCAAAACGGACGACCAGGGTATTCTTCCAGACGATACGCACGACGTGCTTACTGACTGGGACGTCAGTGTCCAGGGTAGTCGAAAGCCGCACGGTCTTTACACGATTCCTTCTGCACAGATTCCAACTGGGGCAATACAGGGCATCGAGCGTCGTCGTGTCATTTACGCGGTTTGCCGAAAGCACAACATATTCATCCTGGAGGATGAACCGTATTACTTTCTCCAATATAGCCTTACCTCGGCAAGTAAACTCCAATGGGGAACAGCCCCGAGTCGCTTGGAAGCTATCTCGCAGGAGTTGTCGCTTCGTTTCTGAGCCTGGACATCGACGGACGTGTCCTTCGCGTAGATTCTTTTTCAAACGTTCTTGTGCCTAGATCGAGAATGGGATGGATAACCGCCAGCAACCAGGTGAGCCAGTGCTACCTCCCACACGTCGAGTTTGCAAATCCACGCTCCGGAGAATCAGCACAGATCATCCTTTGGAAATTGCTAGACGACACATGGGGCTACGGAGAGTACTTGAGATGAGTCTAAAGTTTGAAGATAAACTACACAAAGAGGCGGAACATGCTGTTCGCTACGTGCGAAGAATTATTACCGGAAGAGCTGGTCAGCTGGACTCCTCCTAGTGCATACACCTATCGCATTTCCCTACTACATCTCAGCTGTTCGTCTATCTCGCATCATTCCGACCCTACGGCCACCTCTTAATCACTAGTGCCAGCCACTGACTCAGTATAGCTCTGGCTCAAAGTTTATAACACACGGCACTCCAAGCACCTGCATCGCTCCTTGCTCGAGAGAGAAGAAGAGATATTTCAAAGTGCTCTTCAACGCGGAGCGCTTCGTACGAGCGGCTCATGGTTCTGCGCCGAGTCGCACACGCCTCCTAGAAAGCTTTTTCTCCACACAACATTTGTGAGCGCCACCGAGGATTCCATGAAGTCGGCATTTTAGTGTTTGAGCACCGTTATCCGCAAATCATTTGGGCATGAATAAGGACTAGCCAACGAGAAGACTTAGGAACCCTTTTCTGATCGGCATACTGTCGAAGTTCGCTATAAGGATGCGCATTGCTTTAATGGTAAATTCACACAAGCCGCTTGAATGAATCAGCACACTGACAAGTCGACTGCAAACTGGAAGAGGCCTTGGAAGAGTTATTCGGCTACTTTGAAGGTTCTGAGCTCCATCTTCGTAGACTTAAGGATCAATGCGAATATTGCTTTAGAGTTCTAGATATTATGCTTCCAACGCAGCATGGCAGTAACAGTTAAATAGTGTGCTTTATGCATCAATAAATATATGATTCAGTATGAACCGTGCCAAAACATTGCTCCGAAGTCTTCAAAATGTCTCTCACCGAGCCTAGCTTGGACGAGGTATTGCCAATGTAGTTTGTGATCGTGCAAATTTTTCATGAGCTATGTAGAAAACGAAACTGGTACGACACCTAACTCATTTAGTATATCGTGCAATTTGTAAGAGTTAGGGCATGTACGACGTATAGAAGACGCTGTGGCCGGCAAAAGACAAAGAACAAGGGGAAAGGAAAAGCCGAGAGAATTGAGAGTAGTTAGAGCTGGCCTACGAGTTCGCAGCATGATGGGACGCGTCTAATAGCAAACAGCTTGAGATTTTGCTCAACGTAGTGCTCGATAATATCTAGCCCAATATATAAAATGAAATGTTCTAGGTTACTCGAAAATGATAGTTCGAGGAAAGTTACAAGTATCAATTGAAGCAAAGGTACTGAATAGCCCACTTCCATGAGAAATATTTCAGACATGTGACATAAGTACCTCGCTCTGATTATTTGCTAGAGAAGGATGGTCGGCAAGTGCTGACCAGAGGTTTGCTTTAGAATTTTGAAGATCTGCAGTGCTCCAGGGGTCCCAGACTTCGTCACTTGATACATCAACGCCTCCTGATGTCCTCTGCGCCGAGAACCTGGCTCTGTCGGCATAATACATTCTTAGTCGGCGGGTATGGCATGTTTGAAATTCCGGCTTAAAGAAAACCTCTACACTTCGAGAATTTATGTAGCCCTGAAGACAGCAATGAGAAACAAGCAGACGCTCTCACATCGCCCATTTTCTAGACCAAAATTGGTTACAAAATTCTACTTGGGTAGTGTCGTCAGTAATGATAAAAAGACCAACACGAATGCCAAGAGATGCGTCGGGCGATACGTTTGGCATCGTTTGTATAGCCATTAGTCCTTGTAAGAAAAGCTCGAACAGTTCCGAGGCAAGTCTCTGTGAACCATGCCCTCACTAAGTGGGGTCATGTCGATATTTGGCCAAAGCAAAATAGCTCGTCGATCAGTTGAGCTCCATGAAAGGGTTTTCCAATATCAGTCAACTGAACGATCGAAGTTTCGTGATATATCAACCACGCTGTTGACCTCGCCACAGCAATATTTGCAAACCTCAATACTGAGCCCTTCTGGCTCCGATGGTACATCAGGGGGCGTCAGACGTGCGCCTGTTAGTCCTTACAACTCTGCAAACTTTAATAGCGCGACCCCACTCTGACTTAAGAAACTGTGAGGCTGTAAACCTCCAGGAAGGAACAGGATCGCGCATACAGTGTACGACGTCGCGGCTCTGGATCTGGGTTATAAGATCAAGTGGCAATAATTGGATTCAGTTTGTGTAGGCTCGTAATTACTGGTTTTGATGGCTGTATTAGCCTATAACCACTCTCTACTCGACGATCTTTGATATATGTAAGGTAGCACTCGTCTCTGATTTGAACAGAATCCTAAAGGCAACAACCTAGACATATATATCGCCCCACAAGCTAATATATTGGCAGCTCGCCTACTATATACGCTATTAGTGTACTCCTCTGGCGCGATATACGGTGGAGACCCACGAATTCCTGACAGTAACTTGATTCTGCGGCCTCCTGATTGGACCAAATACTGGCAAAGCCGAAGTCAGTGGTGTTGAGGTCTCCTGGCGGGGTGAACAGCAAGTTCTCGGGGTTCAGATCGCAATGTGCCACTTTGGCCTCGTGCAAGTACTTCACGCCACGCATGAGTTGTTTATAAAGCAGTTTGATTGTTGAATCTTTAAATACCTAGCTGTTTGCACCAGGGAGAATAGATCTCCTCCAGCATAATGCTCCATCATCTCATAGAGTTCATCTCGATCGAGGTAGAACATGTCGAAGACGCGTATCACGTTAGCGTACTGGTTGTTGCTTGTGAGAGAATATTTGGCCAAAATCCGATTACGTGGTGTGATGCTAACCAGGCCGCCGGTGAAACTCTTTGACGGCAAACAGTTCTTCGCTATCATTGTTCTTATCGATCCTATGCGAAATGCTGACTGTTCTCCATTTTCTTGCCATATCTCGTCTTTAACGTCACATTTGTGTCTTCTTTATCGGCACACGTCTCTGACGCTTCCCTTGCCTCACTCGGAGAGATACCTTAGGTATAGACGGGGAGAACCTGTCTCTCTTACCTTGCTTGCACGTTTTGGTCAATGAACTTCTCCAAAGGCTCCACTTCTCCACGCATAATACTCCCCCATGGGAGTATTGGTGTCCACCAAAAGTTATCATAAATATTGAATCACCATCTTCATCCATTAGGTTGACGCAGAATTAGTTGGTAGGCACACAATGGATCTAATAAAGAAGTACTCATATTTTGAAGTAAGTACCGGAGGAACCGTGACTAATTGACTTACTATATAGCCGCTCCAGTGTTTAGGTCCGCAGATCTGGCTGCGTGTCATTTGATTGGTGCGGTCCGCAAAAGCTGCTGGTGATGATGCGGCAGCAAGACTTCTCCATCCTGATCAAAATAGAATGGCGAACCCTACACCGCTTGACAGATGATATCCTCGCTTCGAGATTATGAGATACTGCTTCTTTTCCTTTTTTTTCTTTTTCTTTTTGGATATTATTTTTCCAGCTGGTTCGTTGGGACTCGACCTTTGAGACATGGATCTCAAAACTGAGAGTCGACGATTTCACCCTTTACTAGATACCTGTGTCTGAGGAGCTGTGTCCGAACCTGTGAATAGGCTATCATGTCGATGTACGAGGAAACCATTTCTTAGTCCAAAGCTTCTGGCAACTTTATTTTCTCTCCAACATGACTGCCTTGACATCTCTCACATAGACAGGAATACGTGATGACTGTGGCACCCAAAAACCCTCTATGAAGCAGCAACAGTCCTACGAGAGTTTGCACTGATCTTTGTATCACTCCCGCGGTCTTGATTAAAATTTGTCTCCTCAGCCACTTGGGCCTCTAGCCGTCGGTTGGGCCCGCCTTGATGACTACGACGGCCGTGGTCACCGTCGTGTTAGTGCCATTAGTGCCCATGGGAATGACAGAGACCATCAGTTTCTGGGTTTGAATCTGCGCAAGCGGAGGCTAAACGAAAGGCGAGGTGGAGTGGTAGCTCATGGAGGGCGGGCTGGCGGCCGTGGGCTGGGAGTGAGGGAGCTGTGCTTTGAGAGCCAGATATCAGTGAGGATACTGTCTTTACATTCTCAATTGTCCCTTTAGAAAGCATATCCGTCTTCATTGAGGCTATTGCTGCAGCATGTTATGAAATGCTCGGGTGTAGTGATCGGGAGAGATAGGAACGCTCGGGGAAGCCAACCGGGGAAGCCAACCGGGGAGGAGCGTAAGAAATGTAATGCTCCGGGATACTGGACGGCGGGGATCGGGAGGTGTTGTAGTTGACGTTGCTTTACTGCAAACCATAGTTGCCTCCCAACAGATCGGCCGAGACGCTGATGGTGAGTTCCTCGCATGCCATTTGAAAACGAGTCCAATCCGACATGGTGGTATTTTGGTCGGAGTGCTTCTTCGTCAGTGGAGGGTTGATTGTCGTCCTAGTTCGCTGTTGTTGCTTTTAGCTGCGGACTGGTGCTCGTACTGCCGCTGAGACCTCTCAATTCGATGGGCACAGCTCGTCTCTGCTGCCGTCGAGTGCAACTAGAGAATTCTTTTCGGCTTTCGGTCTCCCACCAGAGCGGCTTTGCTTGAGAGGCTGAAGAGCGCAACGAGAAGAACGCCTCAACGAGGCCAGCACAGTGGAACCTGCCGAAGGGGTGGGCAGAAAAGAGGCAGAGGGAGAACCTATGCAAAGCTAGGCGTGCGAAGTAATCTATACTTGGGCTAGGAAGAATATGAGAGGTGCAAGCAGTAAGGAGTTAAGATTGTAGCCGCACAGGGGTTCCGCTTCACTTGAGTCAGTCTGGAGGTTCGGAGTATAAGTTAGAGTAGTGGTGGTGGTGGTAGAACCAGGAAAAAGAAACTTTTTTCATTCTTGACCAGTTGCCCCCAATCCTTTCTATTGCCCCTCTTCCCTTTCGAAAATCCTCTTGGTCTTGATGTGGCTATAGTTTATTCAGTCTAGTAGAATATCATCAATATTGAAGGTAATAGGGCCCGATGACACTACTGGGCTGCATCCATCAGCCACTCATCGCCTCTGCCAAGTTGCATCCCGATTCCTCAAGACGGGTGACGCCAATATCTCAAGACGGCTGACGCCAACATCTCAAGATGGCTGACGCCAACATCTCAAGACGGCTGACGCCAACATTTCAACAAAGCTGACGCCAACGGTCTAGTATCCGACCTTGGCGCCTCACCGTAACGGCAGCCTATTTCCAATAGTGTCCGTGTGTCGGGGCCAAGGGAGCTAGTGGGCGGCTCCGTTGAGACAGGGGTGCATATGACAGCTTCTCAATGTAGCCAAGTACCTTAAATCTAGACCGTTGACTCACATACGTATATGGTCTTGAGGCAAGCTATAGCAGCATATGTTCTGGTTGCAGATCTTCTGTTTACAATATTGATCGTTATGATAGGCTTCCAATTTGTCTCGGTACGCGAGGTAGAAACATGAAGTTGAACGATATGTCTATAAGATTATCAGTGCAGCGAAAATTGTTAGTGTCGAGCGGCAGGTTGCAATGCTGTTGAGATTTCAAATCAGGAAATACCGTGAGAAGCGGCTTCGGGTTTATCACCAGCTAGGGTATACTTGTGTCCTGGCCGTCAAAACCCCGGGGATCAGTCGTGACGACGAGCATGAATCTCGTGGCGCGAGATTTTCACGCACCCAAAGTTTCCAGCGCAACTCTTTTCTCCCTATTCGTTATCGCGTGGCGTAGAAAGTGGTGCGCGTATGAACATCTAAGTTACCAAAAGAAACCAGACCTTACGAACTGTGGCTTTGGAAGCTACCCCCGGTGGAGGACTTCTTATCGAAGCCGCAAGGCAATTCATTCTAGTCCAATACCTTAGCCTGGTAGAAGAGCCATCTCGGCTCAGTAAAACATGCCAATACGGTATGATGTTTCAAATCAGTCTAGTATACCGATCCACTATACTATCTTGATCTAGTATTATGTTGCGACGTATGCTACCTGGCGGACGTGTCTTAAGAAATGCCTGACACATTATCTGCCGTAGCCTCTGTCGACCAGCTACTCAAGGACACCGTTATTCACAACATGGGTGGTGAAAAAAATGGATAGAGGGCTGTTGACTTACACATGGATGCCCCTAGTTATTCCTCTGTGTGACAACTCATTGGCTATAGGTAGTGTGGGACATGAATAAGCACCATGCTTCTTATAGCTCGATCTAGTATAGTATTATAAATTAGGCACTGGACCTCAGTCTAGTGTAGAGTCTCGATTTAGTATCACGTCCAGATTTGGTAGTTGATAGTATCTTTAGGAGGATCTTTTGTGCTCCAATCAAGACGGATCGCTATGTACCCCATAAGCTAGATTGCATTTCATCCTCTATATAATGAAGACATTTCTCTCAGCTCTAATAAAGAGAAACCACTTTTACATTCACAGTCCTCTTTGCTATCGGAGCTTAACTACATCGGACTTCATTAGCCACTACCTTGACGCATCTTGAACACACTCAACAACCAACAATCACTCACTATGAAGTCCTTCTCTCTTCTAGCCCTTAGCCTTTTGGCCGCGGCCGCTGTTGTCCATGCAGACCTGTGCATCCAGGGCTGGAACTCGCCAGACTGCACAGGCACTCAGACTGTCAGCATCTGCGCTTCGCAGCTCGTGATTGGCCAGTGCGGCCGTGTCGGGACTAACGGCCCATTTCGGTCTGTCAGGATAACAGGCGAATCAAACAAATATAACATCAACCTCTGGGACGGTGATTTCCAGTGCAACGGAGCTCTTGACGACCGTGCAGCGATTAAGACGCCTATTAGTGGTTGCAAGGACACCAGGGCGAACTACGACAGCTGGATGAGGGTTGCTTAAGAGGTTTTTTGTTTTGTTTTGGCCCAGGCTTGTTAGGCAGGGATAAACACCTTAGTGGACGTATATAAAGATGCATTGAATTGAAAAGGGAGAGATGATCTCGTTTTCAACTGAGCGCCTGACACTGGCTGCGTTATTTGAGGCGCTGGGCTCGACATTAAATAGCTTCTAGCGTGGCAATTATTATATTACATACCAACGTTCGTCACTGTAGGTCATTCGAGACTACGAGCCGTTGTGCCAATTCACTCGAAACCTCCAGCGGAGTTATGGAACGCATGCGTAGTCGATTGCAAGGTTCACTTTCGAAGGCTCCACAACATGTCAGATCTGGGACTCATAATAGATAAATACCGTCTTTCAACTGAGAAATGTAACCAGAGTCGAACAGATGCAGAAGTATCTGGAGCCTTCTGTTATTATTTCTAGAGCATAACGCAACCTGTATTTCTTAAACATCCCAAGGAATTGTATAATCCAGATGAAAATGATTTTCTGATATTGAACCTACTAGAGAAACGATACGATCCTTTTCTTCGATATAATGATGCTTATAAAATTTTATAAAAATTCAGGATGGGTTAATAATTTCGAAGGTCTTAGCCGGCATAAACTTGCCGCTATTTTAATAGCGTAGCTTGAAATTTCCATAGACTAAAATTTGATTATATTGTAAACGGTTATTTTCGTAGGGATCGAATATTTTCCGTAACATATAACACTTTAGCAGGATAGATAGGGTTGTTAGATAATCTAACGGCATGAGAAGTAAGATTGATCGGGAAACTTTACAGTGCATCAGACCTATCCTCCACCACACAGTGCTCTATACCAACCGTAGAAACTGTCTTATATTAATTTATATCTTTGTGTAGCCTATCTTTATCTTAGATATTATAAGTATTAAAGGTATAGTAACAAATAATAAAATATAACTGTGACTAGATCGCGGGTATAATGCGTTATATTATAATTAATACCACGACATATACATCGTGCTATATTCCCCGGGCAGGCGATTAAATACCACCGAACGTGAAGTCTTAGTTCGTGTCGCGTATTCGCTGTCATTATTACGCTGTTATGATTACCCTGAAAAACTCTTTAGCCTTGGCTGGACCAAACAGCTATTACTTTTGAAATCTATCTCAAGAATAGGGCACACTGAAAAAACGTACAGACGCGCTGGATCTTCAAGCACAAAAGAAATTGGCACGAGCACTACTATTCAATTGAAAGAGATTTTCACTTGAGGGTGTCATGAAGAAGAGGACGTATTAATTGCGTGATCAGAAAATGATCGTATGGGCTATACGAGCAGATTCACAATTCTATAGTGGTAATAGCCTGGCGCGTATCGGTACTGTGTGCCTAAGTACGATGACTACACCGGTAAACACTTGGAAGAACTCGATACATGGACGCCATACAAGAATCTCGGGATTCTAGCATGAGTATGGAGAATTGTGAAATTGGGTACCCTTGACTTAAGCTAACCTTATCTGAAACAACGGAACACTGGATCGAAAATCTTGATGGAGTCACAATTTGATTTATAGGAGAGTATCATATCGCCTGAACGAATTAGAAGCCTCAGAACCATACTTCTACCTGATAGATGTCGTGTTATTTGCTCCAATGCCACCCTTCACTAATCTCTCACCGGCATCTTCCGTCTTGCATGAACCAGTGAATATCCCAGTAGCCCGTCGCCTTTCGTCCTCATCCATCTCGTCGACCGGGTAGAAAGTGGGCGGCTGACTGAACATTGCGTCGAACTTCCGCCGAATGTCGAGAGGCAGATTACGTGGAGATAGCTCCGAGTTGCGTAGCCAGACGCGAAGCAGGTGGCGCGGTCGAGATATGTCCTCGGTGAAGCCCCGTCGGGCGTGTTGAAGGTGCAAATTGTTCACCCTGGCGCCGCCATGTTAGCATCATCGTCTCCCATCATGAAGGGGATTTCGGATCGTTCACCATTCAATGTCACCAGGTTGGAGCTCGGTCTCGAGCCTGTGCTGATCTGCGACCCACTGCCAACCACCGAACGCCTCCCGTTCCTCAAACGTCAGGGATGGGTATCGGGTATCCCTATCGGGGATCTAAGAACTTGTCAATCTCGGGTCTTGGGGCTCTGGCACAAAGCTTTACCTCTCCATATCCGATGAATGTTCGAGTAGAAAAGTTGAGAAATAGCTTCCCGTTGTCTTGATGAATGAGATTAACTCCCTCGTCGGGTATACCGTTACTAGCAAGCTTTTCAGCTTTCTACATCATCCAAAGCCCAGCCATCATGAGACTTACGCTTGCCAACGGAACTTCCTCTGACCCAAGATCCTGAGGATGTCCGGTCTGTGTTTAGCCAGATGATTATACACCTGCCAGGAGCTAGCGAGGGTCGATGCGCCGCCGGTGCCAGATAGGCTCACCGCCATGAGGCTGACAATGTCGCCTCCGGCATCGCTATGGTACATCTGAGCGTTGGTGTCCTGTGCGGAAACGTAGATCTTTCCGCGCTTCGAGGGATCGATGTGGGTTATGCTCTGCATTGTGTTAGCAAAATGTATATGGTTGTCGGTACAATCTGCCGATTGATAAAAACGAACCTTGATATGGCATAGACCTCTGTCGGCACCTTGGTTCAGCCTCTCGTCTCCAACCCACGAGTTGATACCGAGGAATGCTATAATCTGATCTTCTTTGCTGTATGATTGAATAGGGAATCCTCGAAGCACCTGAACTCCCACCCCGTGGTATATGTTATGTGCTAGCTCTTGCAGGACCCGGCCAAAATTTGGGAGGCTGAAGCGTTCCCGGTTGAGCTTTAACAACGGCAGAGCCAATTCTTTCCATAACTATTGTGTGATTAGGTCAACGATCGACGGCCTGGTCGTTTGTATACTTGACACACCTGAATCGCAGCATCGACCTCAGCGATCTCCACCGATGTGATCTCGCGGATGTATAGGTGAGCTGCATATAACTCAGCACAATCGAATCACACTTAACGTGGATACTATGCCTACGATTTTGGCTCAAGTACTCTCCCGTCCAGACTTGCGGGCCCTTTAGCTCAGTTCGCCATCCTTTCGGCACTGAGCCGAAGTCAAAGTCGTGGGGATGAGCCGCATGGGCAGCATCCCATTCGGCCTTGTTGAAAAGGATGCCTGGCGCGTCCGAATAGAGCTCATATGGTATTATCGTTTCAACTTCCATTTCTACCAAAGTTTGATATGCGTGATCATCAAGTTGAGGGTCATGAGATGAACCTGGAGCTGCCTACAACCTAGCGGATATATCTAATTCCTCGAGCAGGATCCAAAGTTTCACATCAGCGCATCCTGGTAGAGTCGGCGCAGCCCTACCAGTATCGGACTGGATTAGGTTTCTCCGGTTATCGCCCTGTAGATCATACTGATTTACATCTCGGATGATGCCATGGTGGGGTTGGATGGCGTTCAGGATATCCTAGATATTTAGTGTGGGGTCGCCGAACCTCACGGCTTGCACTCCCGGCACATACAGACCCGAAGCACTGCTTCTGCAACGACGGAAGTCAAGGCAATTGGCCTTGCAGGGTGGGACAAACTCTGATCCGCCCCATAGCTTGCGTATGTGATATTGATGAGTCTGTTTATAGAGCAACTGCGTCATCCGATAATAAGATGGCGTCATTAATTTTCAATGGGAAATTGCGTTGAATCATAATACTTGGGTTCTCGTGAGCCACCCTTTGGTGAAGGGCCGAAGTTCCAAGTCTGCAAATCGTCGAGATTCTGAAGTTGGTCCGACTAAGACTATCTAATGCAATGGCTGTCTTACAAGCAGTTGACGGCGGTAAGGACAAGACAGCGGTGGTAACAGCGTCCGACGTGGAAAATCATGACGTTTCTTCATCTCGCCTTGAAGATCCGGCTTGTAGAAGTTCGTGGTGGAAAAGGCGATATGGTTCAGACGAGAAAGAATTGCTTTTGAAGTTGGACTTCTTCATCCTGTAAGCAACATCGCGCCGTGTCTTGTCGGGCATTATTTTTTTGGTTACTCACAACTTCTTTCAGGAGCTGGGCTTGCTTTGGCTACTTCTTGAGGCTCCTCGATACCACGAACATGAGTACGAACCTACGCTTCGACATTTGAATCAAGGCATTGACCAAAAGTGTTCAGCCAATGCCTATGTGTCGGGCATGAAGGAGGTAAGTAAGATGTCATTCGTGTCTTCATGGTGCTCGGCCAAAGTCCGAGCTGAACAAGATATGCTAGGAGTTGAACCTTTACTCTGATGAGTACAATCTTTTCTCCACGTTTTGGACAATCGGATACACAATCGGCATGATTCCCAGTCAAGTGATCACCTCATACGTTCGCCCGTCCGTCTGGATACCCGCCTGCGAGGTGATTTGGGCTGTCTTGACATTCTGTTTCGCGGCCGTCCACAATGCCAAGGCCATCTACGCGATTCGGTTCTTGATTGGTCTCGCAGAGGCGCCGTTCTACATCGGAGTGATGACGCTCCTTGGAAATTGGTATACTCCCAAAGGTGCGTCACCTATCCATCGAGGTTACCGTACGGGACTCGCAATGAATTAAAATCTCCTTTACAGAACTCGCCACTAGGGCTGGAATCTTCTACTCGGCATCCTTTGCGGCCAACATGTTTTCCGGCTATCTTCAGGCTGGCATCTACACCGGGCTCGACGGGCGGCATGGACTTGCGGGCTGGAGATGGCTCTTCATCGTTTGTGGAGTGATCAATGTTCCAGGCGCGCTTTGGGGGTTTGTGGCCGTCCCTGATAGTCCGTACAACACTCGGGTGTTCTATTTGAGTGAAAAACAGATCGAACTCGCAAAGACGCGGATGGAAAAGCTCGAACGGAAAGCGTTCAACGGAATCACCCTCCAGACATTCCGCAAGATGCTTTCCAGACCGTTTGTTTGGGTTTTTGTTATCAATTACATGTAAGCCATGGCAGAATAGTGTAGTGACCCCTGTCTGAGTAACATAATTGGGTACAGTTTCTTCTGTCTCGACACTTACGCGTTGTCCTTCTTCGCTATATACCTGAAGTCTTTGGGGACATACACCGTGCAGCAGGTCAATATGTAATTTTCGCGCTCTTGGTATGGTCCCGTGGCTTGACTAAATTATGAATAGCATTCCAACCGGCGCTTACGCGGTCGGTCTGGTCGGCACGATCATCTGGGGGATTCTCTCGGACCGCCTACATACACGCATATGGATCGCGCTAGCCATCACGGCCGTCAACTTGGTCTCAAATGCAGTGCTAGCTGCATCGCCGTCAAAGGCTGCCATCTTCTTCGGATATATCATCAATGCTGCAACATACGCATATGGTCCCGTTATTATCGTGAGTTTCACCTGTCACACTTCAACGGAGAAATGGGATCAACAACTGACATTGTATAGTCATATTTGAACGAGGTCTTTTCCTCCTTGGCTGATGAGCGTGCTTTGATCTTGGGTACAGCTCAAGCGCTTGGTGCTGCCTTCAATGCGTGGATCCCTTTGTTCATCTTTAATACTGGTACCCAAGTGCCTCTGTTTAGAGTTGGGTTCGCGACAGCCTCCGCTTGTGCTGCATCACAGGGCTTGGGGATTCTGCTGCTCGAAAAATTCGGCAAGGCCTTGGAGAAGGAACGCCGAGATGCTGAGACGGAGACTTGAAGTGCCGTGAGGCTCATCGAAATCAAACGGGGAAGAGGGCTTGCTATAGACGTGAAGATCAAAAGAGACCTAAACGCTTTAATATACTTATAATAAGTGCTTTATAAGTCTTATAGTTTACTTATATCTTAAAGTATATTATTAACCCTTAGATAAACCAGTTAATAAATTATACTTTACGCGTTGTATTACTTAACTATATATTATTCATTATTATATATACCGTGAGACTCGAAGTCCCTCGATACCTCTACGAATAAAGCTGTATGGTAAACTTTACTCAAAAACTTAGACCAGACTTGTACGCTGCGTCTGCTATAAGCCCTTTTGCCGACTACGCTACGTTTACTATAATGTGACGTTAGTTCTTACCTAACTAACGAAACCCGTAACGTTTTATAATCTGAGTGTTAAATTACTAAGCTCTTTTATAAATCTCATTAATCGCGTCACTTAAACACGACTGATATCAATTCTATGGGCAGTGCTCAGCTTTGCTCGGCCAGCCCGCAATACATCCGATTTCATTGCAATACATACTATTTCCTATTACCTCTGTGGGTCATTCCAGTACAACGTTGTGAACGTATCCATCTCGCCATCCCTTATAGATATATGCTGAGGGTTGCTGAACAGACAATTCCAGCGACCCATAATTTGGGAGGGGAGTTGATGACATGCACTGTTGCTCCCTGCACTATGGTCCTCAAGCCCTGCCCCTGGTTCTGCGAAGCCAAGGTCGTCTGGAACTCGCGATACAAGGTGACGAAAAGGTTCTACGTCCTGCTCCGGTTGTTTCTCCATCTCTGCTCTGTCTTGAATAATCACGAGGGCATTCTTAGACGATGGCAAATCATTCACTGCCTCAGCGACTAACAAGTCATCAGCCAAAGATCGAATCGCTCGTATTGTACGGCAACTCCAGCACCAACCCCTACTCATATCCTCCAAGCTCTTGACGCATATGCGCAAGTTGCTTACTCCGTGTTCGCGGATGGATAGATCGTTTGAAGTAGCGTCCATGAGGTTAATGGCTGCTGCGGTGAAAGCGCTGTGGACGGTGACGATAGGCACGAAACGCCGTAGTTGCAGTGGTTAGAAAGTAGTAGTAGATCTGTGATTGTCCAGCTCCCCATAAGACTTACCAGAGAATAGATCTCCTAATACTTTCCTAATTATCTTGCAGCCATTGAGGCAGACTCCCGACATATCTGTAAATGGGGGCTAACAACCGGTGCTGTTAGAGAGCTCTTAGAAGTTGCACGTCGTTTCGCAATCAACGGGTAATGTAGCAGAATCTGAGTGAAACGGTACTGTATACTATTCAAAATGATTAGTTTGGATCTTAGTGAACATCAGGACAGCATACTGAAGTTGATTAAAATGAGGTAGATTTGTGTCGTCGATGGAAGTCGAAAGTTGAAGGAAGCTGAGAAGTCCGAGGTAGAACGCATTCAGAGCAACATCTGCGTGCGTTATGGTGCTCTCAATCCCTTGTCGTTGAAGTTGACTGTTAGGCGCATATCTGTACAAGGTCCAATTAGCATTTCAGAGACAGGATGTGAGTTGGTGGAATCCAAACATCTTGTCCAAAGCATCTGTACCAATGCTCACGCCTCGCAGTGATTGATCCTTCTCGGAACTTGATACCCAGGGCTCAAACTCAGCTGGTGAGCTTTGGGATAATCATTAACAACCTAGGCAGAAGCTTCAACTCTTTCACTTGCTGCCATGACTTCGGCAGTGGGATTTTATTCTAGCAAACAGCTTGTACTTCCAAACATTTTCACCCCTGCCACGGAAACCATTCCTTTAGTCGTGTACGGAGGTGCCTCTGCCGTGGGAGCGTTCGCTGTACAACTCGCACAGAAGTCCAACATCCATCCTATTATCGCTTTAGCCGGCAAAGGGTGTCAACTCGTCGAAGGTCTCATCGATCCATGCAAGGGAATGTCACCAGGATGAAGGATAACGATTGTATGGCCAGCGGACCGCACCCTTCTGCCGGAAAACGTTGCAACGCCAAGTACCTTTGTTGGTACCGTTCACCAGCATGAGAATTACCTGGGGTTTGCCTACTTCTGTCAGAGCTTATCCGGTATCGGATTGCAATAGGGTATATCAGGGCTGGAATCCTCCATATATGATAGAGAGTAGGGCTCAGCGTGTCAATACTAGCACCCTAGTACTCCCTTGCAACACCAGCGTCTGACAACTTCAGAGTAATTGCACGAGAAGAAGGATGATTCAAGCCGCACACTTCCCAAGTAATACCAGAGGGACTTAAAGTGTGCAGCAGGCATTGTTGAACTCAAAGGAAGGCAGTGCCAGTGCAATAAAGTATATATTCAGGATTGAAGAGACACCAGAGCTCTAAATGGACGACAGAAGATCACCTGCGGAATGACAAGAATTGGATTTCCTAGCTACTACATAGACTGTCACTACTTTGTTTGTTAATCGAAGCATCTATCTTACTCATAGGTGAGGCGCACGCTCTGAAGACTATTATAAATCTTCTTTGCTAGTTTACTCAAGGTCTATTTGTATGGTCTTGTCTTCTTGGGTAGCATACTCTGCTCGTTAACTCCAGCAAGCAGCAAAGCGGACACAGGCGACCTTCTACATGTTTTATGTCGATTACAACGCTTTGTATGGCCTTTGTTGCATTCCAGAACAGTCATAACAATAAGCAGCTCGATCGCCGATAGCAGAGTTCTGCCCCCCACCCCACCGACGATGTCTCTCATCCAACTCCAAAATGGCGAATTGAGCTTTGCCCACAACCTGTCGACGATATCTCACCTTGTGCAATTTTTTTCACGTAGCTGAGGGCGCAATGGCGAGGAATTCGCCTGTCAAAAATGTGGTGGAAAGGAGAGGTGAAGGGAAGATGGGTTACTAGAAAATCTTGTTCTGCAAGTAATAAGCTAAGCGCGATAGTCTGGAGTACTTCTGGGTAGACACCTCCTGCATCTATTACCCGTCAGGAAGAGAGCTAAATATGACAGCACCTATCATGAGTCAGCGGCTGGTGCACAGGAGCCAGGAGACCCCAGCACGAGAAACACGAGCCGACAAGTTAACGTTATCTATCAACCGTAAACGCACCCCAGTTGAGAACGACCAGTCAGAATATATCGGAGAGGGGGAAGGAAAATTGAAAGGTACGAAGGGCAGCCAGCTGCCGAGATTAAGGAGGTGAACGTTGTTCGTGGGGGCCACCAAGTTTCGCTACCATCGGCGACCCGGATTACATCATGAGGTACGTGGACCTTGCGCCAGCGAAAGGGGCGGTTCATCCGCTACCCCATAGACAAGAGTTCGTTGTCGGTTCATCTAGGGCTGAGCGGACAGGATGCCCAGTTTTCTAAGAGCTATGGTCGTATGTGCTTGTAATTGTTGAAATCTCTGAATATATAATTGAACATCAAATGTCTAAGGATTATTTCTTGCCTGACTTTAAAAAGCGTTTCGAACCAATATCAACCATTGCGTCTACGCTAAGGTTCAATGTCCAGAAAGAGAGGGGATGCCACGAGGAATGCGTGCAAGACTCGTCCTGTACGGCTTGGGATTCAACCTTAGAGCTGCTCGATCTTGGGGCGGTACCCTCCATTTTACTCATCTCCGTAGCGGATCGTGCTTAGCCCCATTTTGCCTTTCTGTGATGCTTTCTTAGATGACTCTTTTGGGCTAGGAGACTTCTGTGGGTTAGCGACGGCGATATGAACAAGTATGAATAGCCAACGAGCAGCGTGCCAACGACCATGGTTGCTTCTGCCACCGCCCTGCCTACGCCGAGGGCACTACGTCGAGATACCGATGGCCAGATCCCAACGGTTTCCTGTTGAGATATGGGAGGGAGTTGAACAAAGGTGCAGTTCCAGAAGCAGGCGTTGACTGTGTTTTCAATCCGAAATTCAAGTTCAGCTAGATGGCTGCGAAGAATGGCGGATTAATAGCACTTGCGCAGGGTGAGAGAGCAAAGAGGAATTCATTAACGGTGAACTCGGAGGTATTTTCATTCAGCTGCTGTCACACAGGAGTTTTCGAGCTGAAGCCTATCCTCCCGAAGATGTCGGTGGCCATCGCCCTTTACTAATACGGATTCAGATAGTGTTGTCTCGATCCGAACACCAAGCTGTGCCCAGCTGCTGAGGACCAATGCGTAGAAAGTTTCATAGTCCGTTGTGGCTGTATCTCCCCAACGATTTTATTGGAGACCACTCGACCCTTTACTCATATTCTCCCGGAAATGGCATGCCATGTTGCATGCATTTCAAATCCGACTTGCACGACGTAGTTTGGATTAGAGACCTAGTCCTTATCTGGATTCGAGAACAATTGGTGCACTTATGTGCAAGATCAAGAGGTGGCCAGACTTACCAAAAGCGCCACCAAATCAATCATAGTCTTCATATTCCTATATTACTTTTGAGAGTCGATGAATCCCAGCAACACAAGGTCGAGCCTAATGGATGACTCAGCTATCTACCTAAGGCAACCCATTTAAGTAGCTTTCACGGGGTGTAGATGATAGCTTTATTCCTCGTTTGTTTCACAAACATCGTCAATAGACCTATCATTGATCATATCCGTGTTACGTGTCTATCAGGGGCAGCCATTGTTCTCTATCGTCATTGAAAAGGCCCCCCTTTTTATCTTGTAGATTGAGATTCATGATACAGCCTGCTGCGGCGTCAGGTCCTACGGCAGCATCACTATCTAGTCTTGCGCTTTCGTATAACATGATCAACGCTGAACCTAGCTCGCTCTTGATGACATCTAAAGGCTGACAGCTCTTTTCAGCCATTCAAACCATAACAAACTCCATCACAATGGTTGATCTAGCTTGGCTTGCTCCCAGCCTTTCCTGGAAGCTACAAATCAGAGATGTTTGACGTAGATGTAATCTGTCCAAGCGTAAGGCCCTTCTTTTTCGTGGATCTCGCTTTTTTTCTCATATCCAAGCTTCTGATATAGCCTATGGGCCCTCACATTATGATCAGTGGCCCGCAGCCATACATACTTGATCCCCTCTTTCCGAGCCAACTGTTCTATAGAACCAACTAGTTTTGGGCCTATACCCTGACCATGAGCCGCAGTATCGACATATACCTTCTGCATAACTGCCATTTCATGTGCTTGAGACTGTACACACGGATGATTCTGCGCTCGGTGAAGTTGCGCGATTCCCACAACTTCACCAACGCGGTTCCTTGCCACCATGTAGGTCTTGCTAGGATCCGCAAACTCCGCCGTGATAGCGTCGGCCGAATATGTTGTCTTCAAGTAGCTCTCAAGGAGGTCTTTTTGTATTGAAGTAAAAGTCGCAGCAAAAGTCTCTCTGCCCACTTTTGCCATGGCAGCCGCATCAGACTCTCTTGCCATGTCGACCGAGAATGGCGCTGCATCATGCTTCGAAATGGTCCCCGCTGTTGGCGTTATGGGTGGGGATGGGACACTTGTTATGGTAGCCATAGTATCGATGTCTTCCGCTATCATTGCGGCAGCATTGAATGTATCTGAAGTTTGGGAAGATCTCTATCATTTAGTTTGTGGAGTGTTTTGTCTTAGAGCCTACGAGCTATCGAAGGTGCGACGGAGATACGAAAGGATCGTGGAAAAATCAAAAATTGTCCTAGGTCAAATTTTGCATCAAGTACCGAACATTTTCTATCAACTTCTAATAGAGTTATTGAGCTTCCAACGCAGTGAAAATGACCTATCCTGCTCTCCGTTGGGATGATAGGACGCGCTGTATTGCATCCAGCCCTAACAAGGGTTATAGCGTGTGAGTCATCCGGAGAACGCTGGATTTATCGGCTTCGCAACCCACCCGCGCAACAGCAAGCAGAATAATCTCACGTACGAATCGCGTGCTTTGCACTGACATGGAGTTTGTACCCATCTCGAGGAAACCTTGAGAATCACGTCGCAGTCTGAAGGACTTTTGAACGTTGACTTGAGCTGCAGACATGGATTTGAAATTGCAATACAAACTCTGTTCTTTGATAATTGCCATTAATCAATTAGCTGTGAAGCCACAAACGGCTCATTGATTGAGCATGTCTCTTTTAGGACAGTAGAAAGAACATCTGCTTGGCTACCAGCTGGTTGCGGCAGTTACGGGAACGGATGCCATGACAAGGTCCTTCCCGCGCCCTTGAATTGTATACCACCGAGGAAACATCACATGCCTAGGCGAAATTAAACATGTTGTCAAACCACTGGTATAGAGTTTTTCTTTATTGGTTTATGCAGTGGCTTCCTTAGAAGAACCTCTAACCTTGTGATACTCCATGACCAGCGTGATACTCCGTGACCAGCAGTTAAGCCCGGATGGTGGTTGTGTCACGATATCACGGGTGTAATGTCGGTCAGTCCCGCCATGGCTGAGAGAAATAGTTCTCGCAACTCTTGGTATTTTCTTTCCTGTGTGTTGTAGTTCAGATTCGCAATCTATGCAAGATCCCTAACCTCATCGCGGAGCGCTTTGATGGGTCGCTCAAAGTCCCTGTTAACCCACTCCCAGTATTGCTGCCACACAGGGTTGGATACCTGCTGCTGTGACTGTTGCTGAGCCTGAGTATTGTTACCTGCATTGATACCTGGCAATGCAGTCTTTGTCTTGTCGGCCAAGAGAATGGTGACACGAAGAATGGACTTGTTGGTTTCATCTTGTCGCTCAAGTTCCTGCTTGACGGACCCCTCCTTCAGCTTGGTGCTCAGAACCTTGCGGTAGCATTCAGCGATGGTGTCCAAACGGCGAGTCGTCTCATCAGGATCGATGACAATTAGCTTGCTTAGCATCAGGTTACAAAGTGCGCGAATGTCGTTTTCGTCCTTTAAACCAGCGATGACGCGGTCGTAAAACTCCAAGGAGCTAATTCTCGAAAAAGAAGTCTCCATGAGAGCATATAAAGTCTCGTAGGCGCTCTGGGAGGTAACATATTAACACAATACTTATTTAATTCGTCAAAACGACGTACCTTTCGAACTTCAAGACCGTCATCTACCTGATGCTTGAAAGGACCCATCTGCACCTCACGAATGAGGTCTGGTTTGATGACAGACTCGGCCATAACGAACGGCACGAGTTCGCCAAGGTGTGGAAGAATGAGATCGGGTTTGTTGTGTGCAGCTGAATTGAGAGTAGTCATGGCTAAACGACGAATTTCCATGTTCTTGTCTTGGAGAACAGTAAGGAGCATATTGACGAGGACAGTCTTCAGCATGGAATCAAAAGCCTCCTCACTCTCCGGAAGAGTATATCGAACGGCCTGAATGGCCACAGCTCGATACTGAGGTTCAGAGGACTGGAATAGTTGCTATATTACGTCAATATTGAGGTTACAAAGGTGCATGGAAGATTCACCTGAAGTTTGGGGATGTAGGTCTTTGGTGAAATGATCGCCATGCTGCCAATAGCTTCGGCACAAGTAGCCTTGTTGTCTTCGTGCTGGGATGCCGCGAAAAGAAGATCCCAAATTTCTGCTTCATAACGGCTAATGTCGATTGACGAGTCTACTACTTGGCTCAAGACTTGGCGGATGGACTGAAGGAGGAGGTACTGTCGGTTTCCGGATTGCTTAGCGTTACTGAGAATGATAGGCAGGAAAACCGATACATTACCAGCACCAGCACGGCCCAGGGAGATGGCTGCAGCCAACGAAACCTTGTCAGGTTCTTCGCGGAATTGCTGCAGAAATAGGTCAGGGGAGATGGGCGACATCGTACCAAGACGCAGTCCAATCTCGGCCAAGATGTATAAAGCCAGACATTGTCTGGGATCGTCTGGTGGGTTCCTCTTACTTGCAGCGTTCAGCTCCTGAACAAAGCTGTCAACGGTGATACCAGCCTTGCCACCACTCGCCACAAACAGCGTACCGGCGATCTTTCCAACGGCCCCGTTGTCGCCAGAAACGCCAACTCCAAGAACTCCCTTCATCAACTCTTGGCCCTGGCCACCCTTTCCGACACTGATAGCAAGAGCCAACAGTGCATTTAGTGCAGACTCTGTGACGACCGATCTGAGCAGGTTGCAGATGTTTGCGATAAGGCCAGACATTAGGATGAGCTCGGGCTTTATCTCTTCAAGATGGGCGAGAACGTGTAGGGCCGGGCTCAAGAGATGGCTGTCATTAGCAGCGATAACAGGTGAGATAGCTGATACGATGCCCTCAATCGTGCTGTCCTCAAGGTTACCCTTCACAACGGGCGACATGATAAGGTGCTGCAAAGCCTGGACACTGGCACCACGAAGAGCACGGTTGGTCTTTCTAAGCTGACCGCAGAGCTCCAAGGCAACAGGCTGAACCCAAGCTGCATCAAGACTTCCAGTTGCAGTGATGTGGGCGGCAACATTGTCGATAGCACGCACGGCGTAGAGACGAGTGGTCTCATTGCGAAGGCGATCCAGGAGAAGACTGAGACCGAATTGGCGCTTGTCAGCCGGCAGCAGCGCGGCTCCCTCACCCGCAGAGGTGCGTGAAAGCAAAGTGCCAAGCGCTTGGATCGATTTTTGGCGAACCTCTGCGTCTGCGTCATTAGATGCAGCTCGTTCAACAATGATTTCGTACAGCTTGAGCAGCTCAGGCCTGTACTTCTGTGAAGTACGCAGAGCTCGTGGTGGGGTGATCGCCTTGACCATTTCCTCGGCGGTTCTGATAGCCTCACTTGAAATCTTGTAGAATCGATCTTGGACCGCCGTAACTACGCCGTCTGTGATCTTGGACAAGTAGGGTTGGAAGAGGTTGGAGGAATGGGTTCTGGCAATGTCGCTAATGAAGGCCAAAACAGTGACACGAAGAGTAGTTGGTGTAGCCGATGAAGCTCCACCCGATAGAGTGGTTGATGCAGAGCCAACACCACCGGCAGAGCCTCTGGTGACATCGATGATAGGCTGCATGACCTGGTCGAAGTAGTCGGCAAGGCCACCGTTCTGCAGGGAGATGAGGTCGTCAAGGAGCTTAACGACAGCTTGTTTGGTTGGAATCTGCTTGCCATTCAACAGCTTTGTCGAGGCCTTGACAATGTTTGGCGTTAATTGAGAGAGGTCGGCTCTAGGACCAGTAGGCGGGACCTCTTCTCTCGTTGGTGAAGTCAAGCCAGTAGCACCAAGGCCCAAGTAAGGCGCCTTATTGGTAAGGGCAAGACCGCCGCTATCTTGTCGTCGGCGCTTGCGAGATTCTGGAAGAGATGGCAGCTCGAGCTGGTCATCTGACGATGATATGGATCGAATGACACCTTCGCCGGTCTTCCTTATCAACAAAGCCATGGTCTCCACCACCTCTAGACGGACGCTCTCCTCTCGTTCCTCGAAGCGTTTAATGAGCTGGGGAGCAACCTGTGAATAAAGAGTGCCCTCGTTAAGAAGATCGGAACTGCGAGTCGAAATGAGAGTTTTGAGGGTCTTGGCGGCGGATCTTCGCACTTTCCAGCTGGCGTCATCGTCGTCATCAAAGCCTTCATCGTCTCCGAATTCATCCTCTTCATCCTCTTCACTCTCGGCGTCTGGTTCATCACCATCATCATCATCCATATCTTCGTCGTCATCAATAGCATAGTTCGGGTCGTACTTGAGATAGCGAAGACATGCGGGAATAACCTGATCTGTGTAGGGCCGCATTTGTGTGCCGCAAGAGGCGAGCAGGGCCTCGAGAGTGATTAAAGCAGCCTCTCGAACCTCGTTGAACTCAATGGCAGCCTGGTCATCGCCCTCGCCAACTGCGTCAAGTTGTGCCTGGAGCTCATCCTGGCTCAGAGCATTGATGATGAAAGGAAACAGTGTTGGAAGATGTTCGCCGAGCTGAAATGGGATAGACCGCGACAGTGATCCTAAGATTGTGATGTAGAGCTTACGCATAACAGGGCCGAGGTCCTTCTGACCGAGGGCATTGGTGACCTTTGAAACGAAAGCGCCCAAAACATCGTCCGAAAGGTATGGAGCGAGGACTGCCAGAGCAACGACAGCCCTCTTCTTGACGGGGCCTGACGAGCTTCTTCTCTCCAGGACCTTCACCACGACATCTTGGAGCTTCTCGACCTCGAGTGATTGGAGTAAGGGACCGTAGTTTAGAACGACTTCGATTAGAACATCGACGGATTCCGAGGTGAGCTTGGTCTTCTCATCTAATAGACCTTGTGTTTCGCTCTGAGAATTCCTGGTGATTCCGGAAGCAGGGATACCAAGGATTCTGGGGATAAGAACGCGGGAGATGATGTTATAAGTCTCAACGACGTCTCTTCCGGGAGCGGTACCACGAACAGGCTTGGGCAAGGCGGCAATGGCATTTCGTAGAGCGAGGGAGGGGAGTGAGTTGTCAACTGAGTTCTTGATCTTGAGGGCAGTGAGCTTCTCGAGAGTGGATCCTATCACACTGACGGGAACGTGTGCAACCAAAGGACCAATGCACCGAAGTGCCATATTCTGAACCTCGCCATTCTGATCGTCGAGAGTCTTGATTACAGCATCGACGACTTGTGCAGCTGTGCTGAAGTTGCTGTGCAAGATGTCGATTCTGTTGCCGTTTAGGATCTTGAGGAGATCATCGAGGGACATGTATCGAAGGTCGGGGTCGGGATCAGTCAGCTTTGCGATTAGCTGGTGGAAGGTGTTGATGGTGGGATTCGGGCCCGACGACGCCATGATGGACGGTTACTGGTGTTGTGATTGCCACGACACAAACACGAACCGGTCGTTTTGGGGATTTATGGTTATGGGTGGTTCAGCGTGGGCATAAGTTTGTGGTGCTGCCCAGCTTTAAAATATGTGATCTGGCGGGTAGAGGACTGTCAGTGAATGGGAATGAAAACAGTAATGTGTAGTTGAGATTTGGATCTGGGAGGGCAATGATACGAATGGGTGCCCGCACCAGCTACGGGGGTGTATTCTGTACAGGCAGCAGAGCACAAGTGCACGGCATCAAAGCACCGAGACTTGTTTGTACCTACCTGAGTATGTATGCCCTGATAAGAAACCTTGAAGAATACCGGATTCTTGCTGCCAGAGGTTCAAAATATGCTCAAAGAAAACGGCAGGCGAACAACTACTAGAATTAAGAAAATCACCTTCTGATGTAGTTTCACGCCTTAAAGTGAGTGAATTGGAGATTCGCTGGTGCTGCATGGTGGGGTCAAGCTTCAATCGCAATCGTACATAGTTAACTTGCACCTGCACCTCACCGGGTAGTTGCACTATCGGACTTAAGCGCTGATGGCGGGGTTCGATGTTTATGTTGCAATTGACACACCTGGCTTCTAGAAAGCCATTGGGTCTGGCAGCAGAAAATGCTTATGTACTGCCGGTGCACCACATTTAGTGCATGCTTCAAGTGTACAGGTAATTATTAGCACCTGGTATTCATTGAATTACCTAAAATAGTTACTTATGTACATCATTTGCAGCTCCTTCAACACCTTGCCAGCCCAAACTTGTGTGGGTGAAACATCTCATCTGCCACGGTCAACAGGCTGCTTTATTACTTCCCTGTAGAGAAATATTACCGATTATGTACGCTTACACTCTGCACATGCCAGCGTCCAACATTAGGTCAAGTAACAGAGATATACATACTGTAGGTAACATTTCCCGTTCTCACTACCCGTTTGCCAACTCCTTGATTTGCTGTCTATTTCCAAGGAAGGAAAACAAGATCGAGGGATACTACCATTGTTATGCCTTGCCACGCGAAATGTTTTTTCTGACGCCCCATACATGCATATTTGCGTTCTCGAATGTTGGCAATGCTTCATATGATTTCATGTGATTTCATAGTTGTGCTCGGCCTTGGCTCATCCGCTACGGCTGAGATCGGACTACGCTTAGGTTAGAAGCTTCTGGAGCCATGGCAGGACCCCCTTGATACTATTATTATATACTTGTACTACGCAGCTCCATGAGCGATGCCTTTCACCGTTAGCTTCTGGTACCTGATCGCTGTAAAATCGGAGATGCAGGGCTGCAGACTGGCAATTGGTGACGTCGATTAGTGGTCATACTGAACTTTTGGAGCTCTCCCCAGCTTTGATCGCCCCACATCAGCTCATACATACGCTATGGGAGTGTATACATACGTAAGTATGCTGGTCCTGAGCAGGGTTTGTTACGTCTATCTTGACGCTGAATAACACGCCAGCCACCAACATCCGTGCATAGATCTTGACCAACCTCATTTCTCGACTAACTTTCTTCCCATTGACCATCTTATGGGGAGACACGAAGCACTCTTGTGTGTGGATTAGTACCAAATCGACTTCATTTGCCCACTTACAAAGTCGGCAGCACATACTACTTCTTCTTGAACACGCATTCCTATCCGTGACTAGACTCTACCACACACCACACACGACATCATGCCATCCAGACTCTTCATGCGCTCTGCTGTTCGAGCTGCGTCACGACAGGCTCAGTCCGCACGTCTTGGCGCGAGACGCGGTTACGCCAGCCAACATGGTGCCTCCAAGTCCAGCGACATGCCTTGGTAAGTCTTCATCTGATCCTGTATCGACTCCTTTTCATGTTCGCCGAAGAATCTTAGGCTTGGATTGCTCGGTCATCAAACCGTGGCATGCCGCCGTGCTGACTACCAATCCCCCTCGTGCCCTTTTTGTAATTTGATGCATGACTCACACGCTGCAAGGCTCATCGCTTCTGTCGGTATCACTATTCCCGGAGTTGCCTACCTTCTCTCCAGCGGCCCAGTGAAGGCCGAGACACACGGCGCATCCGCCCGCGAATCCAAGGGGGAGTCTCCGTCAACAAATGATGATCCCGGCCAGACCTCGCTCCAGACTTCAGGTGGCGACAACAGTGGCGCAACCCCCAACAAAGCTCCCATGAAGGGCGACAACAAAGAGACAGCTCAACCCGGTCAAGACGTTCCTCCACCTTCGTCTGACAACACATCCATGTCTGAGAATTTTGACGAGAAGAAAGAGAAGCACGAGGACTACAAGGAGACAGTATGCGACTCCAACACATGCGGCGCATTGCAACTCTTGATGGGAATGACTGAACTGACATGACAACAGGTGGAGAAGCGAGATACCAAGGTCGCAACAAGCTCTTCGGATATGCCCAGCAAGAAGACCAGCAGCGAGCACCCCAGAGAGGATCCACAAAAGGGTGAGGGAGAGGCCAAGCAAAAGGGTGGTTCCTCGAACGAGTAAGGAGTCAACTATCGGTCTTTTGGCAACACGAGCAACGTCGAACATGTTTGGAACAAATCAATACATCCAACTCGACAGATCTCCCGGCAAGCGACTGTAGCATAGACGTAGGGAAGGTAGTGGATATTTGCATGAAGCTGTTGCTGTTTCTGTTTCTGTGATGGGTGTCCGCAAGAGCTTTGTTGGCTTCGCCCTGTGTTGATCAAGATGTATATCTACTATCATGGAAAAATTGTCAGAAGGGACAGCAAGATATGTTGTACCTTACTCTCAACAAACCTGCTGTTCTGAATATATGTCCATAAATGGTACTTGTACAAGACTTTGCTCGAACCTGCGTCGAAGCGGTATTATGTTTGGACGGCATGAGTACTGCTACACTAATGACGATTTGATAATGTATGAGCACTAGCCCCATCCATTGTTCGGGCTGTGTGAACAGCCTATATTGAGATCAAGAGCATAGCCAATGTGCACTCGCATGGCGCATCGAGTAAGATTCCTCCCTATCCGAAGCTATTGATGGAATCCCTTACAATCCGCGACCTGCAGGAACGGACCAGCTCGACTGCGTTTCTGACATCTGCTATTCCAGAAAAATATCAGCGATCTGTTGTTGAAAGACATCGAGATATTATCTCGTCTATCCAGAACCAGAAGATCAATGTAGCTAACCTGAGCAGCAGGAACGCCGTCTGGCGCTCTGATCTCGAAAGCCTCCTGGTGATTTAAGGCAGGAAGGTCGACTTCCGTCTGGTTGGCCAAGATGCGAAAACTGTGACCTTCTCTCCGGCCCAAACCCGCCTGGCAATGGTCGCTTCTTGGGAAACTGGACGGAGTCGCACGGCTGCCCCAGGAGCTCATAGGCGCTCATCTTTTTGTCCATCTCCACACTCAGCGGTATGTGTATAAATCCCTCGGGAAGTGGGATCTGCACCTCGCCTAAGTCGGGTTTGGACAGGCCCAAGCCCGGCAATTGAAAAGCAGCGAGCGGAATTCAAGACGCAGACTGATAAGTATCTGGTGGCTTGGGGAGGAGCTGGCGAGCTTATTTTCGTGGAGGCAGCAGGCCCCTTAGTCGCCGGCCACGAAGGAGAGCTGCATTGACTTGCGTGCCAAGGCGGTCGATTGTTCAATGTGAACGCCCAATTTGCTTTAATTGGTTTCTGACCTTGACTCTACTCAGATCGACAACATACCGAGCCGTGGTCCGCAAAGAGTCCATGTAGGCGATCAGCCTTGTGATTGACAATGGATAATACGTCAGCCCACACTGACCCGAAATGGGCAGTAGTAGTTTAACTCGTTTCATTCTTCTGAATCTATCTCGAGCTGTGTCTAAAAACTTGGACTTCTGAAGGCAGTGCCGTGACTGAACCTGATCCTAAAATTATGCGAGCGGCCAGCAACACATAGTCGACACATTTAAGTAGTAATTTACAATCTCAGTCATGGCCTGACAATAATAATCAAGACCGTGGTTTTGGTTCCCAAAACACGTAAAACAGATTGGCTTCTGTATCCATTTTGACGCCCAAACGTCCATGTTTCCCTCTTGGATGCTATAACTCAAGGATCTAGTCCTTGACCGCATGCCTACCCATTACGCGAAATCCTCGCTCATGCAATTTGCAAACTCACATCCATATGTGGCTACGTCTTTTGTAGATTAGGAGACAAAGGAAAAGTAGATTGTGTAGTCGGTGCAGCTTGCTCGTCTCTTGCTGAGAAGCAGAGGTGACACGATTACGAGGGCCGATGACAGGTCCAGCTGGTTGATAACAGTGCGATCAATGAAGCACATGGATCTAGGGTCGGGTGGAGATGGTGTATAACGGCCGTCGGATCGTGGAATACGTCAAGCGTCCAGGGATCATCCTGCCCCAGATCGCCTTTTCCGTCAGGGTTGGAAATGAAAGATGTAGAATGCCGAGATGATGACGACACATGTTCGAAAGAATCGCGCCGCTTACAACACCAGTCTCCATCAACATTGCTGGTACAGCAAAAGAGGCTCGCCCACGTTCTCAATTTCGGGGATGGTGCACTTGAGATCAAATGCTTTGGATAAAACGATCTTAAAAATCTACGAGGCCAGATTAGAACGGAAGACGGCAAATTGAAGACACTGTAAGGTAGGACGAGCGAGAAACGTACCTTCTGGACGTTGATACTGTGGCTTGTGCTACTGAAGATGAGAGCAGCTCGCATTGCCTTTGCGAAGCGGCGGGCCTATGAGACATGGGAGATCAGTGGACATTTATCAGATCGGTTGAGTGAGGGTGGGAATGCACATACCTGATTCGAGATTTCTTCTTGGTCTTCCCTGGGGAAGTTGACGAAGTGATCGTACTTGGTTCCAACCAATATGGGAATGGCTGTCTTGTTGAATCCTCGTCCCTGCCTGTACCACTCCTTGATGCTGTTCAATGTGCTCTTCCGCGTAAGATCGAACATGAAGAGGATGGCAACGGCATCGTTGCAAACCAACGGTAGCATGTTGACAAATTCTCTCTGACCACCCAAATCCCAAATGCTGAAAGTGATCTCCGTATTCCGAATGCTGATGGTCTTCTCCATGAAGTTGACACCCAGGGTTTGAATATAATCCTCGTCCCAACTGCCCTCGACATATTTGACCATCAGAGACGTCTTGCCGATTTGCGCATCGCCGACCATGCCGACCTTGATGACGACGTGGTTTCTGCCGTTCTGTTGATCTGCGCTGCTACCGCCTCGAGATGCGTTGTCGCCGTAGTGCCTGTCTCCGCCTGCACCGGAAAGACCTGATGGAGGCCTCGAGATTGAGTGTGGTTGTTGTGATGCCATGGGAGGTGTGTCGTATCTTGCATGAGGATCTATTTCGGAATCACGACTCGGCGACATGGTCATGGCATCACGGGTCGGTGACATGGGCGGCAGGCTTGGTCCCGGGGATTGAAACTCCTGTGGCTGCTGGTGCGTGTCGTCGTGGTCATGGTCGTGGATGTGGTCGTGGATATGGCCGTACCCATTTTGATCTGTCCCTAAATGGGTTGTGCCTTCCAGTCCGCCAAGAGTCTCATCGTGGATATCTTGCGGGGCAGTCACAGCGTCAGCTTCAGCTTCGGGCATAGGTATGGGCTCAGGCTCAGATTGAGCTGCCGCGGCTGTTGCTGTAGGATCTATTTCCATGGTGTCGCCGGCGTCGTGAAAATGGGCAGGAGACCCCGCCGATAATGTAGATGAGTCCAGGATGAGCGTTGTTGATCTGCCAGGTGAGGGGCGGCGGTCGCTTGTTGCTGTCGCTGGGCGATGGGATGAGGGGCCTTACGCAGCGGTCAGCTTTAGGATGAATCGCAAAAGCCGGTTGATGCGTGTCGGCGATGGCTGAGTGTGAGGTTTCACTTCAGCTGATTTCGGGGCTCTTACTCCAGGTGTTGGAATGGAGATGGAAAGCCACAAAGGAATGTCCGGGTCGGAGGGGTGGGCAGCTGCTGAGGACATACAGTACAGCACGGTACCTTAGGTAACTTAGTAGTATCGTCGAAGTAACGGGCCTATCAGTTGCCGGTGTCCAGGTCCAGGTTCAGGTCCGAGTCCTTGGAGGTGCAAGTGGTCAGCAATTGGTTGAACCGTTCAGGATGTTTCTCGGGATGGCAGTTTCGGGAGACGTTGAATACAGTAATATCAAAACGCAACCAAGTGCCAGAAACAAAAAAGGGTCAAAATTGCATTGCGGACATACCGCGAGACGGTGGAGAGGCTGCTATTCCAATGCGGTCTTGGTCCCTCAGTTGCCCAGTGCGTTCACCTTCTAATAACTTAATGGGGATGTATTGAGTTCAAGGTTCTGGTTTGTGAAGGCTGCGTGCCTGGCGACTGGGTTGGGCTGGAACTGATGTCTGCTCTAGGCGGCTAGCGCTCTGCACTAAGTAGTTGGCACCATCCCACTAAACCACAGTGGCGGATGCTCCCCTGAGTGACTGAGATCTATGTCTGCCTGCGTTTGAAATGTGGTCTAGACTAGACAAAATATTGCCTTTGTTTACTCCGTTACTCCGTATTCAATGCTAATTAATGATTACGATATTTCCCTTGAGATTTGATGCTGGGAAAGATTTAGGTCACTGGTTCCGGTGGGCAGGTAGGTTCAAAGAGTAAAACAGACCCAGTGCAACGGACTAAACTCTGAGCACGTCACGTCTTTTTCTCTTGCAGCTGCTTTTTCGTTGAGCCATGCATCATCACAACTGGCGCTTATTGTTTGGATCGTTAGCGGCTGGCGAATGAGATTGCTAGAATCACAAGTCCTGAGCAACCCTTTGACGCGTCGCGAAAAAGGGCACTAAGTTTATGTATTCATGCTGCAACATTTGTTACCTTGTCTTCAAGGTACCAGACTAGGCTGCATGCCATGTCTTGATTGGTTTTATTTGCTTATTCTACGCCAGATGTTGTTTCCAAGCATAGTCTGTGGTTTGGTTGACTCCTCTCAGCGCTCGACAACACGTATGATCAACTCAGAGAGTGTGGTGCATCTACTGATGGCAAATGGGGTCCGCACAGAACAGTAAACAAACTCCTTACAGATGCAGCAAAGCATGGTGCAGAAGCTGTATTGAATCAGCGTCGCCCACGTTTTCCTCTTTCTATTTCTAAGGTAAGAAATTGGCGATTGTTCAACCTGCAGAAAATACTGCTGTTGTTGACGGGTCCATCCCAGTTCTTGTTGACATTGCCTGCAATTGGGGACTTCCTATTCGCTCATGAGAGGGTGTGCATACTATACCAGCAACGATGCATAGAACTATGTAATTTCCGCCCTGCATAATGTACAGATCATACTTGATAGGATACCTCCCTCCTGATGACTGGATGTACCACCACTGCGAGGGATATATACTGGCAGCTGGTAAGGTCTATTGCAAATTCTTCCAACATAGAAGTTCGTGCGATTATTGCACACTTCCGGGGCCCGGGTCCTTCAGGAGACCGCATCTCGATCTCGACAGGCGATAGTGAATTTGAAACGAATTATTCTTCATCGCCAATGGTGCCATGTAGGCGCAATGATATTTTCCATCCCGCCCATTCAATGGGCCATTGGCCCGAGTGAATATTACTTGTAGTAACAGCAAAAGCACTGTTCTTGGCACAGCTGTTCCTATCATCGGCCCAAGTAGACACTAGACTACTGTATGCATTATCGGCCGAGGTGTTGTGATAGGCCTCGAATAGCCGGATAGACGACCGAATCACGTTACAGTGTGTTCTTTGTGCAAAACACTGTGATCACCGCCTGGAGTTTGGTGAACGAGCACAGTTTTAGTCGGCATCACTTTCCGAGATTACAGCAGTCTTTCGCCAAGTTCCAAGGCCCAAGGCTCAGGGCTATGGACTAGGTTAAGTGAGTATTTTAGCTTTCCAACGCCTGAGCCGGAGGGGAGAGCTATGACCGAATTTTGAAGGTCATTCAATGGGAGCTCCACCGCCATCATTATCATTGATTCAGCGACATCATCCCACCAGAGACATAGGTTGAACGACTTCTCACATCAGGTCATTATTGGATTTTCTTTATCAGCCATTCGCACCCACCACCTCCGCACTCCGGCTGTCCCTTTCGCCCGTCACATCACAACATGGCCTCAATTGCACGATGCCTAAGGGCAGCTCGACCTTCAGTGTCCAAGCTGGCAGTGGCTCCCGTCGCCCGTAGCGGTTGGCTGGCTCCTTCCGCCCGCGCATTCTCTGCAACGACATCCAGTATGTCTCTATCATCCCCGCCGCCAGCTACCTTCCGACCTACTCAAACACCAATCTCTATGCACCCCCTCCACTACAAGCTGTGTATCTATGGGGCCCAAATCCACATTTTCCAGACTGACATCCAACAGGGGAAATCCGCAAGTACACCAAAGACCACGAATGGGTCGACCTCAACGCTGACAAGACCTCCGGTGTCATCGGTATCTCGTCATACGCCGCCGAGGAGCTGGGTGACGTGGTCTACGTTGAGTTGCCGGAGGGCGGCAAGGCCATCTCGGCCGGCGACGCCATCGGTGCTGTCGAGTCTGTCAAGAGCGCCGCCGATATCAATGCCCCAATCACCTGTCGCGTCACCGACGTCAACTTGGTGCTGGAGGAGAAGCCAAGCCAGATCAACGCGGTTCCCGAGGACGACTCACACGGTGGTGGCTGGATCTGCAAGGTTGCTGTTGATGAGCAGGGTGTCAAGGACTTTGAGAAGCTGATGGATGCCGAGGAGTACAAGGCCTTCACAGGCGCCGAGCATTAAGCTTATCCAAACTTGGCAGAGCGAAGGGCGGGAGTTTTTGACACGGAGCCTCAGGCGAAGCAGCGAGCAAGGGGTGAAGGGGGGTGACAAAGTGAGAGGGCACGCGTGGCCAATTGACCAATTGATTGTGAAATAGTTGGCGGTTCAACCCACACAGAGTACTAGGGTCAGTATTCATATCATTGCATCAACACAATTCTGGACAGGAGAGACGAATTAATCCATCCGCATACCTTAAATACGCGGAGCATATACGCACAACACATGGGTATTTTGTCAAAAAGCGCAGGCCGGGAGACGTGAATAGCATGCGTCGCGTCTATATACTGATCTCGTTTGGAGGATACATCCTGCAGACAAGACCTGAGTTCGTGGCCATTGCGGGATTCACCTCGTCATGAGCAGCTGCGTTCTCATTTGGTTTGGATCAAGTAGGAAGATGTGTTTTATGCCGGCACCCACGGCTCTGTGCTTGGGTTTGCTGCCCTATCGGCGTTGATGACAACCAGGATCTTCTGGGCGCCGTTGTCGACGAGCTGTTGAGCCACCTCTTTGCCAAATTCGATAGACTGCTCCCTCGACTTGATCTCCTTCTCTAACCTTGCGTCTGCACCCTCCTTCCCGTCCACGCTGACCACCGTAGCTGACACACTCAGCTTGTGCTCGCCGATCCACTTGGTCTCGACTCCGATAGGAACACTGCAGCCTCCCTCGAGAGTTCGCATGATGCTTCGTTCGACTTCGGTCGCCAACATGTTCTCCTCGTTCTCAAATGCCCTTAGTAGCTCGATGGTCTTCTCGTCGTCTGCTCTCACCTCAATGCCCAGAGCACCTTGACCGACAGCGTACAGCATGCCACCGCCCTCGGTATCGCCGTCCAAGTATTGTGCCACTCTGCCTTCCAGACCCATTCTGTGTAGACCAGCCGCCGCAAGAATCAGGACAGTGTACTCGGAATCCTCGGCATCTAGTTTCCTCAACCTTGTGTCGATGTTTCCGCGCATGTCCATAAACTTGAGCTTCGGGTAGTGGCGAGAGATCTGCGCCATTCTTCGCACAGAGCTCGTGCCGACTACACTTCCGTCGGGCAGGTCTGACAGCTTCTTGTACTTGCCCTCCAAGGCCTTCTTCACGACAACCACATCACGGGGGTCCTCTCGTTCCGTCACACACGCAAGCACACACCCCTCCGGCAGACTGGTGGGCATGTCCTTCAGACAGTGCACAATGATGTCCAGCTCCCCGGCCATGAGACCGGCCTCAAGCTCGTTGGTCCATAGTCCCTGGGTTCCGAATTTGTAGAGAGCGGTGATCTTGTCCTTGTCGGCGGTCGAGTGCATGCCATGGACCTCGAATCTGTGGTCGGGGTGGAGCTTAGTAAGCTCGCTGACGATCCAGTCTGCCTGCTTCAGCGCCAGGGCCGACTTTCGCGTGCCGACTTTAATCAAAGTCCTCTTGTCATCCGAAATAGAGGACGTGATGACCGGCCGGGTTGCCGGTGTGGACATGCTGGCGGTATTATGATTGGGATCGGAGTTTTCCGTGCTTTGTTCTTCTTGTCAATAAGTACTTGACTTGGTGCAGTTCATTTCCCCGCCTGGCTCAGTACAACAGGAAGAATGTTCGGTCTGTAACAGAAAGTCAATTGGATAGGTGGCGAGTGTAACCACGGATTGGGTAAACCAGCTGCTTGGGAAAGTTTTGACGGGTTTCGCGTCCAAGAACTTCAGCTCAGATTCCAGAGGACCGCGGGGTCATTCAAGGCGATGCGGGGCAAATCAAGGAATGGAACCCGCGCCTGGCCCGCATTCCTAGATCGGCGCCACCTGCAGAAGCCAAGGTGAAGGCACAGCCAAATACTGTAACGGTTACTGCAGCCATAATATTCCCTGCGTTGTGATTCTTCCAAGGAAGACATTCTTCTATGTGAGTCCTTGATTTCTTGATTCCCTGATACTTTCAGCCAAGGGACCAAGCAATTGGAATGTCCTCCCATAACACAGGAGACACCCTCGTACAATGACACCCTCGTACAATGACACCCTCGTACAATGACACCCTCGTACAATGACACCATGTTCGCTTCGTTCGCTTGGAGGGCCTCGATCAAGTAACCCGAATATCTACACTGGTCCAATTCGCCTCCATCTCCGGGTGCCGCCAGACTTCTTCTGGAAGCCCACGACGCCAACTTGAATCCATCAAGCAATTTATCCGATGGGGTAAGTTGCCCTACCAGATCACGTCGAGAGTCTATGACCCAACCATAGTCGGCATTTAAGACAGTCTCAGCCATTTTCTCCTAAATTCCGAACATCAGCGATAGAAATCATCTACCTGAGTGTAGACGGGGATATGTTCGAAGCAAAAGATATGGACTTGGATGCAATCGACGTGCGTGGATGACATGTACACCGTCTCACATCTTCTGTACTTGATGTTTCGACGAAAATGCATGCTCTATTCGTCACTGGTCCTGAAAGTTACCTGCATGGTTTCATCTCGCCTGTTCGGATGCCGTCTCTCCAGAAGCATATGACCAGCAATCGCTAAATCCCATGAGGGGTCCTATGCCTTCCCTGGAGCCAGCGGCTGGATGGTATCACCATATTGTGGTCACTTGAGGCGAGGAATATCGCATGAATCACTACCCACTGTCCAGCGACATTCCATCATGATACAGTACAGTACCAGGACAGTTAGCTTTGCTGATAGCATGGACTCCTTCCAAATTACCGAGTCTCGTGTTGGTGGCTGCTTATGATTTGCCAGGAGCTATGTACTATGTTTGTCCTTCGTTTATCATTGCCTATCTCGTAGTTGTATTCGTAATGGCCGTCGAACGAATACGCGTCTGTGACCTGTCCAGACATGAATGAACTACAGAGTCGACTACCCTGGGCAGTCTTTTCAGAGTAAATATAGTCACTCCATGGAACACCTAATATCCTTGAAAACGACTACTAAAGACTACGAGCGTCACATAGTCAACCGTTCCAAGTCGGCTTCGAAAAGCTCTTCAGTTCCAGTTTCGAATATATTTCTTTCACCGCCCATAAGTTACACAACGATCCTTTAGGGACTATACTCTCAACCATGAGACATCCTTTAGCTATGATTCTTCTGGTGGGCAGTAGCCTTGCCAGTCATTACCCTCTCCGGCAAGTTTTCCCGGTGTCATCATCTCTGTCCGACTTCCCAACCGCCGCTTCAACTTCACCCCAGAGTGTATCTACTCTCTCTGTCACGGCTTCCGGGGCCATACCTATCTCTACGGCTTCAAGCGCAAAGTGTGGCAAGGGCTACACTTACTGCGGTTATATGCTGCAGTCAGGAGGACACAGTAAGTCTCAAACTTGGTAGTGCTGTCCATTGCGTTGCTCGGCATATGCTGATGAACATTGATAGATTTTGCCCCTGAGGTCATTAACAAGACTTATTGTGATGCACTCGACGGGGCCTGTGTCGATGGTATTCCCAGTACCAGTACAGGGCAAGCCGTATTCTTGTGTATGAACGATAGTCCCACGAGCATTCAGCTATTCTGCGCCTGCGGTGGCAAGTGCCTGAATGAGGCATCGACCAGCAACATCGCTCATTGCGACAAGCCATGTGTGGATGGATCAAAATGCTCATGAACGCTTCCAGGCCATAGCCTGAGGTAATGATGGTATGACATCGTGTAGCGTTTGAGGAATTGGTTTAAATCAATCACATTTCTTGCCTCTCTTTGGCGTTGTTAGACATGTGCCCCCTGCAGAAATCAGATCGAATACTCAATGGCTGGTTATTCTACAAACATGTTACACCGTATGATAGTCACAGTATTTCTTGCACGAAAGCCTAACTTTTATTTTTTTATTTAACGTTCATCTTCGTCTTCAAATCTCATAAACTTTGTAGAAGTGACAAGCCGGACTCGGGAAAACTCCGAGTATCGGCCACTATCGGCCCCGCTCGAACCGAGGACTTCTCTGCGCCTTCATTGGTCTACAGTATCGTGAAAGAGCCCTCAAGAGTATCACCATCCCAAAGAAAATACATTACTTCGTACGCGACAACTCTAAGAATTGCTGCCATGGGCTCTATCCAGATCCTTGATGGCGGGTTGGGGACATCGCTCGAGGATAGCTATGGCGTGATTTTCGACCACTCGAAGCCCCTCTGGTCGACACACTTTCTTGTCGAGGGAGAGGATACTCTGTTTGCCTGTCAGCGAGACTTCGTACAAGCGGGAGCAGATGTAGTTTTGACCGCCACATATCAGACATCCATTGAAGGATTCGGACGAACGAAGACCCACGAACATCCCGAAGGGATTCCAAAATCGGCTATTGGATCTTATTTACAGAAAGCTGTGGACATCTTGGAGAAAGCTACCTCATACAGCAGTGCAAAGATTGCTTTGAGCCTCGGGCCCTACGGAGCTTGTATGATCCCAGGTCAGGAGTACACTGGAAAGTACGACGACACCCACAACTCAGAGGAGTCACTGTACAGATGGCATTTGGAACGACTACAACTCTTCACTGCGATTGAGGGATTGCCACAACGGGTTAGTTATGTTGCCCTTGAGACGATACCTAGACTAGACGAGTTGAAGGCCGTGCGAAGAGCAGTCCGCGACTCTGGTATTACTGGCCCATTTTGGGTCGCGTCTGTCTTCCCCGGAGATGACGACAAGCTACCAGATGGTTCATCCATTGACGATGTAGTCGAAGCCATGATGATTCCTACTACCCAAAGCTCTCAACCTTGGGGCATTGGTATCAACTGCACCAAGCTTCACAAGATGCCAAGACTAGTCAAGACATTTGAGGCAAGCGTGTCAGCCTTGATATCTTCCGGACGCATTCAGTACGCCCCTGCGCTTGTGCTGTATCCCGACGGGACCAAGGGCGAGGTTTACAACACAACAACTAAAAAGTGGGAGAAACCAGAAGGCCATGTTGAACAGGTAAAAAACCAAGTGAGTGAAAGAAGATCACATTCAAGATTGATGTGCTGACCGAGGTTAGGAGTCATGGGCAGCGCAACTTGCCAATATTGCGAAGACATCTCGCGAGAAGGGCATCTTCAAGGACTATCTGATTGGTGGCTGTTGCAAAGCTTCGGCTGCAGATATCAAGAGCCTGAAGCAAGAGACAGACGAAAGCGAATCAAAGTGAATGCGTCAGTTGCCGTTTCACGAAGTATATTTACAAAGCGCCCCATGTCACCAGATTCAGCGCAGCGGCCACCTTTATCGCATTTGCGATTGCTTTATGAACATGGCATATTGCGTCAACCTGCGCTGAGTCGTGCCCTCAATGTCTGTGCCATATGAGAACGCCACTTTAACCCCAGATCCCTAAAGATCACACTGATAAAAATTGCACTAGACTAGTCGAACAGTCTCGCCCGAGTCACTTCGGGGTTTCCCGTGGGGCGATAATTGCTATCTCCACAATATAAATTCTTCTACAAGCCAAGATCAGTTTAGTCCCATCGACGATGCCGATGACCGGAAATGGGCGGTCGATTGCGCAATGAACGCTATGAAAAGTTTTCAGAGGACTGTATAGTCATGTATAAGTCGACGTATCGTTCGTGTGATCTGCCAGATACAGTGCTACGGGCAAGACCTCGCTCTCTCGTTCCTGAGTGTCAATCCTCAATATCACGGGCTCCAGGTTCATAGTCCAATTCATCGTAATGCACTCGACCACATCGCCGGCTATTGAGCCAATTGGCGATATTGAGAAGCATGGATACAGTACTCAGGCCCCCCACGACGACAAGGACGTACTCGTCCCTCAACTCAATGTTGGTGGTCATGGTGCCACTCAGAGACGCCTAAAGGACTACCAGGTTACTATGATTGGTTTCTGCAGTGGTATCGGCACAGGTCTTTTCATTGGAACCGGTTCTGCATATGCGAAAGCTGGGCCTGCGGGTCTCTTGCTAGCCTACATCATTGTTGGTGCCGTCTTGTGGTGTGTCATGCAGAGCATCGCCGAGTTGGCAACTTTGGTAAGTTATCTGCCTGGCGTGCCATAATTTGTGGGTGTGATAACTAACGAAGCTATAGTTTCCCACTGCTGGTTCATTTCCTCATTGGGCTACCCGCTTCATCGACCCTGCTGTTGGATTTTCTCTGGCTATCTCCTATGGCTACTGCTACACCATAGCTATAGGATCAGAATGTTCGGCAGCTGCAGTTCTGGTATCTTATTGGACGGATATCTCACCTGCAGTGGTCATTAGCATATCCTTGGCGCTTATACTCGCGATCAATTTGATGAGCGTGAACGTCTTCGGTCACACTGAAGTCGTCACTGGAGCTATCAAAGTAGCTTGCTTCATCGGCCTTGTTCTTGTCTCTATCGTCATCACATCTGGAGGTGGTCCCACCCATGACCACATCGGGTTCCGCTATTGGCACGATCCCGGAGCTTGGGTTGACTACAATGATATCGGTGGATCAACTGGTCACTTTCTGGGATTCCTGGCTGCTTTTGTTAACGCTAGTTTCTCCTTCATTGGTGTCGAAACCGTTGTCATCACGGCAGCCGAGTCGGTCAACCCCCACCGCGCTATTCCTAAGTCTGCCAGTAGGGTCACATACAGAATTGGTCTGTTTTATGTCCTTGGCGCTCTACTGATCGGCCTGATCGTCGACCCACGCAACGAGAATCTGGTCTCGGGTACTGGCAACGCAAACAGCTCTCCGTGGGTCATTGCTATTCAGGAGGCCGGCATCAACGCCTTGCCCTCCATCGTCAATGCCTGTATTCTCGTTTCGGCCTGGTCTGCCGGTAGCTCCTACTGCTGGGTCGGATCGCGCATGATCGTGGCTATGACGACGGATCATCAACTGCCACAGATTTTCGGAAGAACCTGGAAGAATGGTGTTCCGTGGGTGGCCGTTATTACGTCGTGGTTGTTCGGGCCGTTGGCATACCTGAGTCTTGGCGCGGGTGGCGCTTCGCAAGCTTTCACTTGGCTCCTGAACTTGAGTACAGTCGCTGGTCTCATTGCGTGGTCAACATTATGCTTCTGCTATATCCGTTTTCACCGCGCACTCAAAGTTCAGGGTGTTCCTCGTGATAGCCTTCCATGGAAGTCGCCATTCCAACCATACACGGCTTGGGTCGGCTTCATTGGATCTGCCATAATCACCCTCATCACTGGATTTCCTGTCTTCCTCCATGGCAATTGGAATACGGCGGATTTTATCGCGTCGTATGTTGGTATCCCGATCTTTATTGTCCCCATTATTGCGTGGAAGCTTTGGCACCGGACGAAGTTGGTTCGTGCGAAAGACATGGATCTTTGGTCTGGTAGACTTATGTGATACTTATTGGATATTCTTACTACGTAGCATTCCTTAGCACCTTAATTAGAAATCAACTAGTTTAGAACACATGCACATACTCGTGGTCATATTCAGTTTAGTTCAATTTGTTGAATCACCGTCATAGTAGTCAATGCAGCTTAGGATGCGGCCCACTGAGGCACACCGTATTTAAGTAGGGTGTCAATTAAAGAAAGCGCCAACCGTCCGTACATAATTATCCTCAGAAAGATAATTCCTCGGCGGTTAACACGATCATCGTACGCTCCTTTTGGGTGTTTATTGCAATTATCGAGCTGGTATTCTTAATTATTCCAAGATTGTCGCTGAGGCATTCATAATGCTAGGTTAGGTTACTATGGCGAAACTAATTTGAGACGCTACTAGCCTTGAAACTATGGCATAAGGCACAGAGACGAGTATTGGGCTCCAAATTTCCTAAACCCCGGAGACGAATCCGGTTGACGACTTCCGGCCGCGCAACAGAGAGCCTACGGGGAGTTCTGTGTTCGAAAATGACTCTTATCATTGAGAACGACCAGCTATATCAAGTTTTAAGCAGGAAAATAATGCTAGCAAATGACGGCGAGAAGCAAGGTCGCTTTGACATGCAGCACGCTGCGATTAATTTGTTGTTGGCAGGAAGCTTGCTTGGGCACCCGTCCGTGAACCTGTCCAAGTCTTGAATATAGACACAGGAACGTTGGCTTGCACAACTATCTTACACTGCTTGGAGATACCGAGCTGATTTTGCGTCACAGAGGTATTTGGGTTGTGGAATACGCCAGCTAGTATTCGTTTTCCCCGGTGATTGGGAGTGATCTCTTCACTATACAACTTTTGAATAAGGTGCCGCGCAACTGCTCCTTCGTGTGAGAATATGCTGTAGATGGCGTCTGCTCATTGAAACAGCAATTCGAGTAAATCCACCTGTGTATGATGTTCACGTGCTTTGATAAGCCTGCTAAAGTCGTGGCCAACATCTTCTATCCTTTGACGCCTGGCGGTTGGCCCAAGTTCTAAGACAATCATACCTTTTACTTGCAGTCAATGAGTATACACACCGAAATTCAAGATAGCCAATGCGTTTAATCAAGTGATATAGTCACAACCTAGGGTTATAAAGGTTTTTGCGCTAAATTTGTTACAAGCGGCTGGCTTGACGTCTGCTAAGGTGATAGACTTGGTTGCTAAGGGCGCCGTGATACAATAAAACAGAAATATCCGTGAGTTGGGCCGGTTGTATGTTATGTAGGACGGAAGCCATATGTTGACAATAAATTTGAACCGGACCATGGACCAGAGTTATCCGTGTATTGTGCATCAAGGCATTTGTACTACAGCTTTCCACCTCCTTGTCATGCCCCACTCACCCATTGCACTATACACTACACACAATGATAGAAATTGTTTATTTCTTTCCATAAGCCTGAGCATCCACCTTGGGAAAGGCACCGGGCCAGAGTTTTGAATCTAACTACCTTAAGTGCCAGCAGAGACGTTGCGGTCTCCGGCTGCTTCAGCCTGCAAGGCAAATCCTCCAGACGACATATTGGCCCCAGATTTGGCCTGTTTATGTCAACCACTATCAAGTGTAGAGTTCCATTCAAACAGGAGCAGTACCTAAAAAACCTTGGGCTTTAGACGAGTCCGATTGGTCATGTTCTGTTTAGAAGCTTTTTATCACAATAAAGATACCCAACAGTGAGGAAATGATAACAGATCAGTTGCGAAGGCAAAGTAGAATGTTGTGGATGAAGAACTATCAGGATAGCTCGAATTCTTGTACCTGAAATATTTAGAATCGTCTGCTTCTTTGTCTAGGTTTGATGATTGTACAACTAAATTTCTCGCAGTTTGCAGCTTGACACCAAATATCACGCCTTGTTAGTGGACGGCCTCCCACTACTATTGAATTTCATTGTCCGGCTATGTCTAGTTGCAGCTCTTGACGTCCTGGAGATTGAGTGATAGTGATAAGGTTTGATTATAGGTTCCCACCAAAATACTCTCAAATGATAGATACAATGCGTGGGATAGACTGCGTAGATACTAGGATATTTGCCTTAGTCGATCGTATAGCCCGTTGCTCGGTTGGTCGAAACCTATAACTTGCGTAGTGTACAACAGCAGCTTGGTGCCGGTGCCAATGACAGGAGATGATAAACCAGTTTAACCAGAACAGCTTGTGTTATCGACGAGGATCTAGAAGAAGTCCAGCATCGAACTGTAATAACACTTGATTTGTCATTCAAATACTCTAAGCGACTGCTATTTGCTAAGGATAATGAAACTTGTTGTCATGGCAGGAAGCACATGCGTGCTGAGCTTTCCATCTGTGAATTGCCACGCCAGATTGCCAAACGGGACCGACATAATTTTGGTCACATCTTCTGCGATGGTAATTGAAAGAGGGCCTGGAAGATCGGCATAATCTCCGTTCACTATACTAACCATTACCTGATCATCAAATAGCCAGTAAGCTGCGTCAAGGGTTGCACTCTCAACAAGTCTTACTGGCTTTCCACTGAGTAGGAAATTTCGAACAGGTGGCTGAGTAACCACAGCTGCCATGTCAGTATGCACCTCGAATAGCTCCAAGCTTCCCGGCCATGTCCATCCAAAGATGCCGGTTGCACCTCGGTTGAAGGCCAAGGCATTCATGACTCGCGCTTCTCCTGGAGTGGGATCTCTAGGCCAGTATCCTTCACCATGAAAGACTTGAGGGTTGTGGAATTTCGGTAGCGGCCATCGTCCAAGCCAGTACTCGTAAATAGATAGATCATCTAGCCGTGAAGAAACATCCTGCACGTTGCCATCGCAGTTGTCACAGCCGCAGTCGCCCAAGGTGGCATTGCATGTAGTATTCCACTTGGAGAAGGTCGAGTTGATTATGATGGGATACACATCCTCCATAATTATATCCGCACCAAGTGAATATTCGCCAAAATAGTAATCCTGACAGTTCAGAGTAATGGCCACTGGATGATATGGATCAAGCTTATGGATGAGCTGTCGAGCATCTACGTCAGCGTTGAAAGGTTTCTGCCAACCATCAGGCCTGTGAACAAGGTTAGCATTTGCAACAATACCAAGGTAACCATTGGAACCCCTACTCATCTGCTGTCCAGTATGCGAATAGCGAAGTGTGATTCTTGATGGTGTTCACATGCTGCTCTACGATGGAAAGGTTTTCGTATGAACCTCTCAGATCATACATGAAGCGCAGACTCTGTTGATCCATGCTCGTATATACGGGGTTGGAATCATCAAAGCCAGCTAGCGAAATAATGGCGTTAAGTCCTTGCCCGTCGCTAGTGTAGTTCCGCACAAAGTCGTCACTAATTTCGGAACTGTTTGACCCATTGTATAGACTATAATATCCATATGGTAGCAGTGGTTGAAACTCGTTACCAGTATCAGGACTTTTGAAAAGCAAGCCACCTTTCAGGTAGTCGATCTTGGTCGCACTTCCGTCTGGATTGTCAGGCAAGTACAAGAATGTGGCATTCGTGCTGTAGGTTTTGTCGCCGAATTTAGAGGCGCCTTCAAGCACTACGTCGTAGGGTATTGTTTGTGGCTCGACTGCTGAAAAATCAAATACAAACTCAGCGCCTGTAGTATTGACCGGTATCGAATCGTTGACTAGAACAACATCAGATCCCAGTTTGATAGTGAAGTATAACGTGTCAAATGACTCAGTTGCGTTTCCATTGAACGTGGACTCCGACCATGGTGAGCCGTACCACGATGAGAACGCTGCATTCACGACAAAGGCTCCGCTAGCCTCGCCATCAAGATAGACGGAATACCGTGGCTTGAATTGTACGTAGAGGTTGGTGGCACCAGTGTCAGCGGGCTCTGTTGTGTGTCCACCAGGCTCGAAGCTTGGATAACCATCCTCGTAAACTTTGCCACACCAACGGGGCCAGTCGGTATGCTCACCCGTCTCCTGAGGGATTACTCCAACGAAGAGCAATGCATATACGAGTGCTCTAGTAACGTGCATCTTCACGCCCTGAATGAAAACCGGGAATTGCCAAAAAGCTCGCAAAACGCCATCGAAATACACGGTGGAATACTTGTGCCCCGCTCGATGGACAGTTTCTCGACAGTTCGGCCTGCGACATCATTGCCTTTGGTTTGGGCAACCGATAGGAAGGTGCATGTGTACAATCGAGTGCGACCTAATCGGCAGGAGTCTTCAAGAAGTGCAACGTTGTGAGGTCAGGGGACGATAAGCCGCCGCCAATCAGGCAGACGATATGTATCCCCGCATATGCAAATAAACATACTCCAATCCCTCTCGCGTCGATCACCCCGCCAGGAAGACTAGCTTGACTGGAGAGAACGCAACGACGGCTCTCAAATTCGGCCGGGGGTGGGCTACCAATGCTACTAGAGTAGCACTCTGCACTCTTCGATGAGTTACGTCTATTTCGGCATGTCCGCTCACCACGTCAAATTTCAGTTTACACCTACCAGAGGAGCGTCAAAGTTTATCCGTACTTGTACATACCTGTGGAGTCGCCTTCTCTGATGTTCGGGCTTACTCGGTTAAACATAATACTACTGATAACAAAATTGACATGAACGTATCGCGACGGACTGTACCGGCTCCATCGTTATCTCGCATATGCAGAATGCACACATGCTCAGACGGCGATGTTATGGTCTGCTTTTCATCAGTGATTGGATGGCCGGCAAGTATTATCGCTGCCGGGCCCACTCAGCACCACCTCTGACCCAAAAACCATTGGCGATGTCAGGAACACAAGACAAGTGGTATGCACATTTCGCAGATATTGCTGCACAGGATCAGCAATCAACATGTGACATGGGCTACATAGGCCGTGAAGCTTTGTGACAGCAAGCAAAACCTACAGTAACACTCTTGCATACCTATCAGCCCCAACAAAATCAACTGACCTGAGTACACAGATACAAGACGATTCATATAATGACAGGACACCCCAGAAGTAGCGGCATCGATGTTGGCTTCGACGGCATTCCTGGCACAGTGCATCTCGTGGACCTCGAGCACAGTCTCACAGCTCAACACGCGAGAAACCAGGCCGATGTTCTGCTCGTCCCAGCACCCTCTCAAAATCCTGACGACCCCCTTAACTGGAGTCCGCAACGTAAGAATCTTGCCGTGGCATGCGCTCTACTGTAAGTTCGGTTCCTCCTAAAACCATATGGCATGCACATTTGTGTCGTACGCTGAGATCGGCTAGTTACACCTGGTTCAATGGCATCGCACTCTCAGTCGTATACTCCGTCCTTGTCCCCCTTTCTGAGGCACTGGATCTCACAGTAGCAGACCTGAATGCGGGCACAGGTTACATGTTTTTACTACTGGGATGGGGCCTGTTGTTCTGGCAACCTTTTGCGTTGCAGTACGGCAAGCGGCTGACGTACCTATTGTCGCTGTTGGCATTGATGGCAGTCACTCTATGGAGTCCATACGCGCACGGCCGTGGCCAATGGATCGCGAAGAGTATCCTAACTGGGTTCTTTGCTGCACCAATTGAAGCTCTTCCCGAGACAAGCATAGCCGATCTCTTCTTCACTCACGAACGTGCGACATACATGGGCTGGTATGCCTTCACTCTTGCAGGCAGCAACTTCTTCGCACCGATCATCTGTGGTTTCATCAATGATAGAATGGGGTACAAGTGGGTTTTCTACTTCCCAGCAATCTTCATCGCCGCAACATGGACCTTCCTTTTTCTATTCATGGAGGAGACCAACTATGACAGGAGTATTGATGGTATCCTGGCACATTCTCAAACGAACGTGGCACCCACCAGTAGCGAGAAGGCCGAATCGCCCGCACTGGGGACCCCCGAAACTCGTGAACTGATTGTGCAGCCAAAGTCATTCTGGCGGAAACTCTCTATTGTCGACAAGCCACGCTCGTTCACGATGCATCAAAGAGCCTGGCAGTCCCTCAAGCTTCTCTCCTGGCCAGTTGTCTTTTACTCGGGCTTCAGCTATGGCACATATCTTGTCTTCTTTAACATCCTCAATGCTACCAGCTCGATCATCCTGGGGGGTTCTCCTTATAACTTTACCCCGGCAATGGTTGGCCTGAGTTATATCTCATGTTTGGTCGGTGTCATATTAGCGTATGTTCAGCTGCGGTACAGTCGTGTTCAACCGATTGCTAATACCTATCAGATCTGCCTTGACCGGAGTGTTATCAGATCGCTTTATCATTCGAATGGCCCGCAGAAATAATGGAATTTCTGAGCCAGAACATCGGCTCTGGCTCTTTACGGTGTCAACTATAGTGCTCCCAGCATCTTTGCTTCTTTGGGGTATCGGTGCTGCCCATCAAGTTCACTGGTTTGGCCTTATCTTTGCGATGGGCCTGACGGCATTCTCCAATACCTTTGGTATAACGCTGTCGGTCTCTTATCTGATCGACACCTACCGGGACATATCTGCCGATGCATTGACAACATGCATCTTGATTCGAAACACCATGAGCTTCGCAATTGGCTATGGTATCACCCCATGGCTTGAGAACCTCGGATACCAAAACTGTTTCATCAGCGCAGCGTTTGTGGCTTTGATGATATGCAGCGTGTACATTGTCATGATCATATGGGGCAAGATATTTAGAGATATGAAGAAGATGCAGTACTGGTCGAAGGTAAAGGGGTAGCATATTGATATGCTACTTGTCGAATGGCAGCCTCAGAGATGACAGAGCCGTGGTTTAGCACCTAGCATTTTATGCTACCTATATCTTTAACACTATCTAACCGATCATGTCCGCGTTATCAAGGGCGCGTATATTGGCCTATTTATCCCCACCCAGGGTCCCGACGGACCAACCATCTCCGGCTTGAGCTCATTAACCCTTATTACACCAATGTTACGCATTGTGTTCGTGATCTCCTCGCTTAGTACTGTGACACATCATTAGCTGACGTTTCTCAAGGATGTAAGCAGCACCCATGGGATTTGACTCACTCTCGAGGACTCGCCGGCACCCTTCCTCGCCATGCGTGCCATTGGCATACAGGAAAGGTCTACCAATGCCTACAGCTTTGGCGCCCAGAGCAAGAGCCTTGACAATATCAGACCCAGATCTAACTCCACCATCGATCATGATGTCAATCTTCGAAAATAGATCTGGGCGGTGACTGCGTATCTCGTACAGTATGTCAATTGGAGCTGGCGCATAGTCTGCTTGACGACCACCGTGATTGGACTGCGACAGAAAGGTGTCAGTGAACATGGTTGTCCGCCAGTCAAGTTTAGCCACAATGCTCTCACAATAACAACACCCTCTACTCCGTTCTGGATGCAAAGTTCCACATCTTCTAGACATTGCACACCCTTGACGATGATTGGCAAATCGGTATTGTTCTGAAGTAGTTTGTCAACTCGACATGACCGCTCTGGCGAGATGATCCCAAGTGGTACTTACTCGAATGAATGAGATGTCCTTCCAGGTCAAATTCGTGTCTTGATATCCACTAATTGCTTGGGAAACTCCCTTGGGCGAGGAGGTTGGTGGGACGTAAGCTTGAGAACCAGATTTCGATCGCACATCCAATGTCCTCTTCGATTGCCAGCAGACATCAACTGTAAACATGATGGCCTTTGCGCCAAGCTTTTCAACTTTCTTGATAAGAGACTTGGATACTGAGCGATCCTTATTCAGATAAAGCTGCCAAGACATGTCAGTATGACCCATGGTGCGTTTTGTTCATGCGTCGAAGCTACCTGGAATATGAGGCTTTGGTTTTCTTTTCGCGCATCGAACATCTCCTCAAGGCTGCATGATGCATTTGAAGAGATCTGTGGGACATCAGCTCACGCATTGGTAGATAACACGAGAGTTTCTCACCACTTGAATGATTCCATGCTCTCCAGCCGCTTTTGTGAGATTGATTTCTCCATTTGGGTGACCAAGTTTTGCCATGGCGGCAGGCGAGATGAAAATAGGCATCGATGACGACAAGCCAATGAATGAGGTCTCGGTTGATCCGCTGCTAGTATCTCGAAGGACTCGAGGACGGAAGAAGTAGCGAGTAAAGGCGTTTCGGTTCTCATAAAAAGCTGTTCACTCTGTTAGAATTTTCTTTTACCGATTTCAAACGTCAAAATGGCAGCAGACTCACTCCGCTCCTCATCAGATGCACTGCGATAATACGCCCATGCTGTACTGCTCAACACACGTTCAGCCCAGTACTCGAAATCTTGTAAGAGCAAGAACTTCTGCGCTACGGGCATGTCCCCTCGTGCCTCCTGGCGCTGACGCTCATCCTCAGTGAAGACCTTCTCTTCCGGAGCGGGTAGTGTTGTGGGATCTACTGGACCTAGCAGCATTTCTGATGGCAACGATTCTAATGCATTTGGAGGATGCAGCATTGCAAACTTTCCAGTAACATCTTGCCCTGCTTGTTCAAGAATAGCATGTTCACCACCAGGATGTGATCGAATAAAATTTGTTATGTCATATACATGACCCTGCATTATACATGTTAGCACCGGCGAGTCTTCGGATGCAATTTTGGATGCATTTCACCTTGATAATTATCCAGCAATCGTCTGAGGATTTGTGTCTTTGGACTTCATGGAACGATATCAATTCGGGTCGACCACTAGGCTGGTAGTTGTGCTCATCAATTTTGTCACCAGCGTCGCACTTCAATGGTTTCACCAAACTGTAGTGCGCTGCGGCTATAACGGCCTAGGTTATGATCTTGTTAGCGGAGATCTTCCCGCAGCGTGCATGCATCATTCCTACCAATGCAGCGATGATTTCTCCTAGACGGCCTCTTGTTTTCCTAGAAACCCTGGTGTCTATGAGTTGCATCGATAACTGCGAATCGCATCTTCGAGTAGTGTTTGTAAAAGGTCTTGGCCTTGCAGGCTTGGCTTGTACACCCCAGCGGTTCTGCACAGCACGTAGCGCAGCTTTCGGGCATTTCAGACACGGCCTGCACACCTTCATTACAGCGCCTGCAGTCATTGCAGGCTGTGGACAAGGCATTTTATAGCCAATGGACAAATGTGTAATAAAGCGAAGGTTAAATAGAATGAAGCAACAATGCAAAATGCCATATCTGAGGGCAACAAAAAGGTTCTTTACATTTAACGCTGGGTTATCAACGGAAAAGCCAGAAAACAGCAAACAAAAAACATCCGGCAATCCCAGTCGTCTCTGAAAGATATTTATTCAATATATATGCGATATGATCGTACTCGCGAACTGGCCTGTTTCGCTTGATCAGCTGTCGCTGGCAACTAAGGTTAGAAGCTTGACTTGAAGTCTCAATTGCTATCGCTTAAACTCAGCGGCTATACTTGAACTTCCAAGCACCCTGATTTTTGTGTGAGGGATTATCACCGCGTGTGTAGCGCAATTTAGACCCCCAACTCTCCACTTCTATTAAATTGCTGACACTAATCACCAAGTGCTGTTAAACACGTGGATTAACCGTGCCGACATCATCGAGCGCTGACTCTGCTAAACTCAAACACATCGTCGCTCTGTCTCGATTGTCGTTGCTCTTCGTTGCTGTTGATCATGACTCAGCCTGCGAATGAGGATAATGCACAAGGAGGAAATGCAGAATATGCCACACCGTCTTCCCACAAACGAAAGCGGAATAGCGTGAGTTATGCTGGATAAGTTCTAGCCGTTGTCATCAACTAAGGGTTGCTTCAGCGTGCCTGCGATCGATGTCACCGGGAAGGTCGCAAAGTGAATCTTCCTCACTTTAGGGCTGCAAGTCAGATGGCTGAAATATTCTAGTGTTCGTCCGACACAAATGGAGCGAGTTGTGCGCGATGCATTGAGCAAGGTGTTCCATGCACGTATGACAGACCAGCAAGGAAGAGAGGTGTACGTGCCTCTACATCATAAAATTGACACTTTCTGCCATTGATTCGCTACATCTTCATCATAATCTCTACTTACAAGATGATAGCCGGCGTCTCACAAGCATTTAACACCAAGTAACTCACGGCAAACGCGCACGCAGGCACAGACACAGGAACAGATCCAGACTCCCAGTCATGTTTTGCGACAAAGTAATCCCACAGGAACAGCCACCACCACCCAAGTATTGAAGACTCCCATGATACCCATCGAAAATCCACATACTTCACAAAACCATTCCCAAAACAACAGCATTTTCTGTACCTCGCCCTCGCCGTATGGTCACCACGCGCCTGATGTGTATGACAACAGCGCCTACCACGGCGCAACTGAAACTAACGTGCAATTTGAGGATGTTGTTCCGCCAGATATCCTCGAAAAGCTGGTTCAGATCTTCTACCATACTGCGTACCCTTTGAGGCCATATTTCCATTGGCCAACCTATCATGCACAGGTTCAATCGCGGCAGTACCGATCGGATTGGGGGCTTCATATCTTCACCATGGCTGTTTGCACAATGGCCGCTGGTCGTCTGTGCGATGGAATACTGATGCCGACTGGCCCTCATCCTCTTCGTGTCCAGGCTGCTGGGCTTTTCAGTAAATGCTACAATGCCGCAATGGACGCCATACCAAAAGAGCTCTCATCTGTACCAGATTACTACCATGCGATGAAGGCAAAAGCAATCTTGGCAGCCGCCTGTCTGCAAAATGGGGACTGGAAGAAGGCCGCGGTGCACTTGGGAGATTATGCTTCTCTCTCTGCTATGTCTGGGTTCTGTCAGGAGTTCAACTGGCCCACCGGTCTTGGTGAGATCCAGAAACAAGAGAGGCGAAGAGTTTTCTGGGGTGTCTATCAACAGGAACAATACATATCGAGCAACTTTGGCTTTGCATCCCGCCAGCGAGAAGTGAAAGCCATGGTTAAATATCCGGTCGAAGTATTTGATGACGATGATATCACTGAAGCTGGTGTGCAACTATGGTCTGAGCATATCTCTTTCATGAAGGGCTTTAACTTCTGTACTGATTTATATCGCATCCTTGAACGCATAGAGGGTACCATCAGGAAAAGACAGCAAGCAGCGCCGACAGAACCTGGCGGAAAGATTGAGGTGTTTTTTTCCGAGATGTATACCTCAAGGAAGTTGGCCACGGACAGTCTTCATCTCGTTTCTCAACTATACGAGGCTCTGCCAGACGAGCTCAAGAAGCCAAGAGCATTAACAGGAGATCTACGCGCTGATAGGTATGGCTTCATCTCCTGCAATGTTCTTCTTACGACTCAGACATTGCGAATGTTGCTCGTTGGTACCGGGAAGCCGAACCTCCATCTTCGTTGCGCCATTGCAAGTGAGCTCCTAGATGAACTCAGCACGATCCCGATTGCATTCTTCCATGCCTCTAGTACAGTTTCTGTAAGGTAGTTCCCTTCTTTTGGGTTTCTAGCTGTCGTATCGCGTGCTGATAATCCTGGCGATTATAGCTTCATCACTTGGCACATATTGGTCATATGCTTGGAGGCGATGTGCAGAGCGCGCTTCCAATCTGGACCTATCTTCAAATCCGTAATATCCTAACAGTTCTTGCCGACTTTCTCGACAAGATAGAGTCAGATCGAATGATTACTACTGGACTCGCGGAAAAGCTTCGAACACAGATTCGTCGCATTGATGACTGCATGAAACAAGGGTCATCAGGAGAACAAGAGGCAGGCTTGCTCTCGATGGGTAAGAGTCTGCTGCCGAATTGGCATAGTTTTCCATCCGCGCGAAGTCCTGGGTCGACTGATCGGCCATATGTAAGTTGCATTCCACATCTTCTGTCCGTAACTTTAATGATAACTATCGAAGACTGCGCTTGATTAAATTGCAAGACTTAGCTAATACTATCCACTGTAGCAAAATAGATCTCCGCAGAGCAATACAACTGCTACTTTCGGTACAACTATGCAGATGCAATCGCTGGTCCAGGAAAGAATGCCGGCAGCGGCACCTAGTAGTGTACTATCACAGCACAATGCCAATTATTCGTCGACCTCAACACTGGGCATGATGATACCTCCCGTCATAACCTCGGGCACTCAAACGTATGGCCTGGTGCAGAACTCCGACCCTTTCCAAGTGTCGGGAGAACCACAAATCGAAACATCAGATAATTCTATGGCTGAAACAATCTTCTCAGGCGAATTGTTCGCCAACTGGCCTTACTCGATGAACTAAGTTTTGTTGGCTAGGGGAGTAAGGCATGCAATTTGACTGGAGAGCCGGAAATATTACACGACGCAAGAAGCAGCAGCATTGTAAATATTTTAGGAAAATTAATCCTAAGCCCATCAAACACACTTTGCGATGCGGTTTGGCGGAGCGTGACGAATACCTGCGACGTCTTCACAGGATCAACAACCTCATTCACTTTCGGCTTGGAGATATACAGTCCTCTGTACAAGTACAGACCATGCCATCCGATGCCGTGGCGCTTATTGCAGTTTAAATCCAAACTTTAGATCTGCGAAATACTCCCACAATCATTTCAACCACGACATCTATCTTTTCTCGTACTATACTGTTCGCAGCACGACATGTTTCCTCGATCGTATGAGTCATAGCCGTGAATGCTTGCTCGATCCAATCAATCGCGGCGCAAACAGCCCAAACAGTCCAACAACTAGCCTGGTAAATGCCGTAACTCATTAAGGTGGTGATTGATAACTAAAACACAATCTGCAAAATTTTGTAGGTGGAAATATTTGGGGCTTGGATCCAGCATAGAATCCAGATGAACTTGAGATGGTGCCATAGCTGGCGATAGGTCGTCGAGGTTGTATCGAGCATGAGTTCAAAAGCCTTGTTATTTTCCAGTATCCTAAATCATCACGACGTGCCAAGACATTAACAACGTGATTGACTCGCCTAGATTGCCGATTTTTTTGCCTGTCTGATGTTGACCTGCCTATTGTTGACCTGGGGTCTGGCTCCACCGCCATTTAGGGTGAGTGGAGCTGTCACGCCAGGCCCGTGTGTTAGGATGACGCGACTGTTGGGCAGACAGCCATCAGGAGGATATCTCGTCTGGCTGACATGACTTCTCACTCTGCTATTGACAGCTCCCGGTGTTATGGCAGGAACAGGTAGTATAGCGACATGGTGAGCAGGGGTCGTTGTGGGGACGTATTGGGCAGATTCAATGGGCTGTTGGTAAGACTTCATAGAAAGGACATGTTCGTAGTCCTCCTTGTTATACATACACAATGACCTGAACTTTACAAGATGCTGGGTAGCAGTGTTGACATAAGATCTCTTAGACAGACATAGAGTTCGATGTTCAAGTTCTAAGAGGATACCATTGTCGGGGGGCGGCTCACATGGCGCAATTGGTAGATACTGGCATCGCAGTTGCTTCGAGCTGTTTTTTTTTTTGGGTTTTTTTTATAAATAGATCCACCTCCTGGAATGAGGTTAAACGTGTTCGTCAGTGGTCGTGGCTTTCTGCTTATTGATTAGGAAGGCTCACAGTTAGGACTACGACTTGGTCGTGTTGAGCGGTTGGCGAAAGAACCACCACCGGATGATTATGATAGCTCTGATAGCGATCTTTGTCAACTCCAAATGTCGCCTTGGGAGGAAGCCAAGCAATGTAGCCAGCGAGATGTACGCAACCTATTGTCTTTCTTCATGTCTTCGAGGACGACTGCGTATGCGATGCTCATAGCATCTAGACTTAATCGGCGAGGGCTTGGATAGATGAAACTTCTAATTAAACACCATACTCCGATGGAGTAATCGTTGTATCTTCCAAAGCCGACCACAGAGCCTCGTGAGGGGATTCAACCTTAGCGCTTCGGAGCGGTCAGTTTTGTGGCCAACAAGGACGGTGAACCTTGCACCGCCCCAAATTAGCAGTACCAGCTGCTGTGACAACTGTACAACATGAAATATGTACCTATAGTGGCGCAGAACGCCAGTTAGCGATGTGCATCATGTCCCAACATTGACCTGTCAAGCTAAGTACCACTCCAGTTGTTTGGCATGAACGCATTAACCTTAGATTAGTCTCTCGCCTTTCTACAGTGACAATAGATGTTCGGTCCCGTTGCAGTATCATTCGTAGGTAAGTAGCCATAGAATAATCCACAGACAGCTACAGCTACAAAGACAATCTCAACTTGTTCTGAGAAAGGACTTTCTGCCATTCACGTGGAGCAGGTCCAAAGTGAACTGCGCCTCGACGATTTTATTGATGCAAATAACAAATTTGAACGATACTACTTATGCCATTTTGTATGTTGTACTCAAGAAAGTTGAATTTCTAGTAATGCTGATGTAGCACTGGCATCCATGAGCAAACGTGGCCGGCTATAAGAGCTGCTATGGAGACGCATCGCAAGAAAGATTGTTGGGGGCCGCTCAGGCCATTTCAGCGGTGTAAACCTATCACCAAAAGAAGTTCAAAAGTTCATGTAATCTGCAATATTTGACGCTCACTTCCTCGATATTGCTAGTTGCTTTTATCTCAAATATTGCTCGTAACAAATAAGCCGAGCTATGCTATTCTCATAGATGTGTTGTGATTCACGCAGAATTGTTGACAGGACTTTATATTGCCTATATGACGACGATTATTCAGAAACAAGCAACGCGAGAGGTGGTTACTGAGCAACATGCGCACATGACGCCGTACAATTGATACTACAATGGATACATAAGGACAAGTACGTTGTCCTTCGAATCGGCGAATTGCCGCCTGAAGATATGCAACACGTACCATCATCTTCAATGCACTAGTCTAATGAACCTTTGGCTCATGATCGCAAGAAATACGATTGGTAGGTTGTTGCTTTTCATAGTGGACGAGCGCGGTGTTATGGTCGAGACGACACGGTCTCAGTATCAAAAAGGAGAAGACGTACTTCTAAAAGTATCTTGCGGCCTTCGACATGCAACATCAGAGCAACAATATGTACTGGAGTCGATCCACTGGGATCAGGCTTATCTATCGTAGCTACTCCCCTGATCAAGAGAGAATCGTGTTAGTTCGTGGAGGACCTGTTCCAGCCAATGCAATTTGATAGTGCGAAATCCGGTAGTAATACGTCGTCTTTATATCCCTATCGGTTCACGTCAGGCTGGCGGACTGAAATATGTCTCATAACTATTCGACTTCGTGGGTGCAGCTGGTCCTTTGTTCGACTAGAAACTACGTTTAGACATGGTTAAGGTGCTCCGGATATCGAGATAGCAGATTACCATGTTTCGACTTACTTTTGCAATAAGGGAGTTCCAAAGTTCATTCAATTTGAACTTGGTATCTACTCTCCAAGATAGTCATTTGACTATCGCAAACAAATCCAGTCTCGAAGAGCGGACCGTCTAGGAATAAAAATACACTCGGGGGCTTATGCATCATGCTTAAGCTACGTGATTGAAGTTCTCAATACTTGATGTTCTCTTAATCGATGGGTGCGGTAAGAAGTGGTTCAGTACACTAGTCTAGTCTAGGTGAACATCGAGGTCTTATGATGATCGCTAAGAGGTATTTGACTAGGGAGTGAATTAGTTACTAATTTTTCATATAAATACCAGCTCGATCAGCCATCAATTCCAAGCCACTTATTAATACAACACTTGAGACTAAACTGATATTAGTTTATCATGAAGCTAGCTTGTAATCTCCATTATCAAAAAGCCTCTCTTTACGAAGTCATGTCCCGAGATTCACCATGTCAAATCATAACCATAGCAAGAAGAATGGTAAGCAATGGGTCGTGATAAGACCCAAATATCCAACATTTGGAGTATCGTGCTACGAGGAAGGGAAAAAATGTCCTGGGTTTTGCCACACTCGATGGTTCCAGTGCAGTAGTTGATTATGCTCTAGGCAAGCAGAGGAAGTATTCAATCTTCTCACTTGACTTGGCTTCTCTTTCCCATTCCGACTGTCGATGTTGCATCCTAACAAATACCCATTCAAAGCTACATCGGCGCGATGTCTCCTTTCTCAACTAGTGCAGAGAATAGAAGTTACCCCACCGAAGTTTTGGCAGATATTCTGTTGGTTGGTGCCAAATGCAGCTCCCTGACAATTTCCTTCCTGAAAGGCGGTGAGCCTACACTTTAAATCGCTGTGGTATGTGAAGCTAGAAGCAGTCCATATTTGAAATTTGTGGTTTCCAAAGTGGATGAATTAGCCGTTGCTACAATCCGTGATTGCAAAGGCCGTGGTTGTAGGGGCCAGGACGGCGAGGCTAATGGTGGCCAGGTTCTTCATGCCTTTGCGTAGGATATCGAACTTGCTAAATGGAAGGTTAGAAGATGAAGTCCACGAAGGCACGAGCTAGACAGTGGCATACTGTACTAGATGACAATGCGAGATGAGTCAACTCAACGTTGTGATGTCGCCCAACTTGTAGACAGTGCTGCGAGGTAGAGAATGGAATTGAGAGAACAAATAAAACCATTTATATAAATGTTTAGTTGCCAAAAACCAACAACCTTGAACATAGCGTCGGATAGGGTTGGAAAGGGCCGACATCGAGACTGCATCTAGCTCAACGTGTCAAGTGCATCGTTTTCGGCATTGCTATGCTGTAAACGTGGAATCAGCGAATCGCCATAGTTCTACATAGAGGAACAGAGTTACTAATGCGACCAATGTGTGCAGGACGGAAAAACCGTATGAATTGAACGAAAACGTAGTCTGGTGCATCACACGCCTTGTCTTATAGCAATTATGCGTGAGCCACACATAGGCAAGAGAATGGAGGTGTTGGATAGCCCTCGTAACACGTGTGAAATTCTTAGATTTGCGGCGGCGTGAGAACATCTACTGCAGCGCTGAGAGGCATGTGTCAGGTGCCACAGCCAACTGAGTTAATAATTGAAGAAATGCGCCCTTGGTGGATAAAAAATATGAGGGATTGTCTTTTGTAATGCATATAAGATCAATGACATACGTATTAGGCTTACAGCCAAGAAACGGTGACCGGTCATGCCGAACGGGATACAGAACAAGCGGTATATGATATTGTCAAAAGCTAGTCAGAACAAGGACTGCGGAGTAAGAACTAGACAGTATAGATAGCTGTTTGTCTTCGCTACGAGGCAATTAACAGGCAGCCTGTAGCTGATCATGATTTCTGAAACTTAGTTTTGATACCGATGTTAATAGTGTGACTATCTGCCTTCTTAAAAGCACCGTTATTAATATAGAGCGCTCATGGGTTTTCCGCTTAAAAGACAAGGAAGACCCAAAGAGCTCTAGTTAATACATAACTGAAGGAGTTAACAGCACATGACGTGCCTTCACGGCCACTACTCGTAGGCGTATTCCAGTAAGAGGAATCTCGATGCGTAGTACTCATGTTGACTGCAATGGGAGAACTCAGTGGCGTGATGTGGGCATGTCCGTCAACAAGCACTATCGCGACACTTTCTGTGGCTTTCTTTTTGCACGAAACAGGCAAGACAGTGTCAGTTGCAGTGACTCATTGAGTACTGAGCCTGCTTCCTCTATCAAGTGGCTCTCGTCGTCTATGGACTGTTCTTTCATCCTTTAAGCGGGAACCGGGCCGCCTGTTGTAGGAATTACAGAATGTAATGCGAGATGAACCTTGATCTGTTTGTGAAGCGTGGGTGAAATCACATGTACGAATAAGAGAAGCTGCACGAGACTTACGGTTAGAGAAGTAACCAGTAAGCCCTAAAAATAGAGTCGCATCTTGAAAAAGGATAGTTTTTTGATACCGTGTTGTAGGCCCGGAGCTTGAAAGAATGATACTTAATATAATGAAGCGACGGTAGATATGTGACTGTGACGTTTAGGAAACTGGGGGAGGGGAATCGCGAGGTCTCGGAAAAGCACTGAGTAACTTAGTGGTCGGATTTCTTGGCAGGGTTGACTTTGTGACCCACTGGACGCAAATTTGCCGCTGCTAAGCAGGACCCACGACACGGACGCGGGCTCACGGGCATGCGGGCGGGCGGGAGGTCTCAAAGAGGAAAAAAGCGGTCCGATTGGATGAGATCATACCTCATTGTCGTTCACTATGAGCCGCATCTCGGGCTTTTGTCCGGGGCCGGGGTGTTAGGCAGTAAGACTATGCCAATTGCTAACTTGGCAGTTTGATTATGCAATGTAATCTGGTTGTTGCACATACCTGACCATTTGGAGTCGTACATCCCTCAGCCCCTAGAAAGATGGACTATTGGAACTGACGCGCATGCTTGAACAGTTCCTGCATATGGTGATTTCTTAGGTAGTGCTGATATCGTCTAATTAGCTTTCGTGAGGGGAATTGACGATGCGCATCTATCAGATCAGCCAGTTACCCACAATGCATATATACCATGTTCATGACGGATAGTCTCTGTAAGGCGGAGAAGCTGAGCGGACTTCTCATCGGCACCGAAGAATTTGTTAAGCTGTGATCCCTATGGAGGGCCTTGAAGAGCGAACGGAAGTATCGGCGCAAGAACCCCATGGCTCCATTGTATTTAAAATTCTTAATCTTATCTAAGTTTCTGTCTTAGTTTGCAATGTTTCTTGAATTACATACATATATATGCTCTTGGATTTCATCCTTTACTTTACTTTTAGATGCAGATGCTTGCAATACCACCCGTATCGATCTTGAGCTGAAGCCTTGCACCATCATACTTGAGTGCTCCCTTGCGAATTCATTTTACATTCATTCATCCTTGTCTTCCACTGTAATAAATATCGCCCCAGCATAGCCTATACTTGACATCTTAGGTACATCAATGACCAACTCAGCGCTAACGCAATGGTCAACACCCGGCACCGACATGTCTTCCGCTCATACGGCTGGAAGTGAATCAACCTGTCTGAATGCTGTCGATAATACCGATAACGAGCAGGGCTCTTCCGAAAGTAACACTGGCGATGGAACATACGACGAGAGCGATGGAATCGAAATGGAACGGCGCTGCTCTGCGGTGCAGTCTCTCGCACGCCAATACACCCAGCACTCCACAGTTGATACGCGCGGCAATGCAAAAATATTGTTTGCAAGCAACGACCCAAATTCTCCTGTCAACCCCCTTGGAGAAAAGTTTAATGCTCGGGCTTGGGCCAAGAACATTGCCAATTTGACTACGGAACATGGTCATGGCTACCGCACGGCCGGCGTTTGCTACGAGAATCTGAATGTCTTCGGATATGGTAACGAAACTGATTATCAAAAGGATGTTAGCAACATATGGTTAGAAGCGCCCAACCTGCTTAGTAGGGTCGTCAAAAGTGGACGAAATCAGCGACGAATTGATATTCTCCGAGACTTCAACGGCGTCATCGAAGCTGGAGAGATGTGTGTGGTACTTGGGCCGCCAGGTTCGGGTTGTTCGACCCTTCTCAAGACCCTTGCCGGCGAAACAAATGGTATTTATACCGATGGTAGCGCCTACTTTAACTATCAAGGGCTATCCGCTGAGGAGATGCACAAACACCACGCCGGTGATGCCATATATGCGGCCGAGGTTGACGTTCATTTCCCTATGCTCTCTGTGGGCGACACCTTGACATTTGCCTCTCGCGCAAGGTCCCCCAGGACGTTTCCACAAGGACTTACACGCAACGAGTACTGCAGCCATCTTCGAGATGTTGTGATGGCCATGTACGGCATTAGCCACACCGTCGACACTAGGGTAGGCGATAATTACATCCGTGGCGTGTCGGGTGGTGAGCGAAAACGAGTGACAATTGCAGAAGCAACCTTATCGAACGCACCATTTCAATGCTGGGACAACTCCACGCGGGGTTTAGACTCCGCCAACGCTATCGAATTTTGCAAAACCCTCAGGCTCCAATCCGATATGTTCGGCCAGACGTGTGCAGTGTCCATCTACCAAGCTCCCCAGAGCGCTTACGACCTTTTCGACAAGGCTCTTGTTCTGTACGAGGGTCGACAGATCTATTTTGGTGTGGCGCGTGGGGCCAAGGAGTACTTTACTGGCCTTGGGTTTGAATGTCCGGCACGTCAAACAACTCCAGACTTCCTCACGTCCATGACTGCTCCCTCTGAACGAGTCGTACGGCCTGGGTGGGAAAGCCGCGTTCCCCGCACTCCCGACGACTTTGCAGCGTGCTGGAAACAGAGTCAAAACAATAAGGGGTTGATGGCTCAAATCGGCAATTACAAGCAACGACACCCTCTGAATGGTACGGGCGCTGAAGAATTTCGTGCCCATAAGAAGGAGGTCCAGGCCAACGGCCAGCGGCTCAAGTCGCCCTTCACGCTCTCTTATGGTCAGCAAGTCAGGCTCTGCCTTTGGCGAGGCTACAAACGCCTTGTAGGAGCTCCCGAACTCACCATTTTCTCTTTGGTAGCGAACTCTTCCATCGCCCTAATTGTCTCCTCATTATTTTACAACCTCCAACAAACCACCGGCTCATTTTATAGCCGTGCTGCAGTAATGTTTGTTGCCATATTGTTCAACGCTTTCTCGAGTGCATTGGAAATCTTGACGCAATACTCGCAGCGGCCAATTGTGGAAAAGCATGTTCGCTATGGTTTCTATCATGCCTCCGCTGAAAGCTACTCATCTGTTCTGATTGACCTTCCTTACAAGATTGCCAACGCCATATTCTTCAATGCGATCCTCTATTTCATGAGCAATCTCAACCGAACTGCCGGTGCATTTTTCTTCTTCATGTTTGTCGGGTTTCTCATGACGCTTACCATGTCGGGACTGTTCAGATCCATGTAAGTCACATTACCTTTTTCGTGATCGAGGAAACCAGCAAAACTGACACAAGTAGTGCTGCGCTATCCCGTACTTTATCTCAAGCCATGGTGCCAGCTGCTATCCTTATCTTGGCCCTAGTGATCTTCACAGGCTTTGTCATCCCAGTTGACTACATGTTGGGATGGTGCCGCTGGATCAACTACCTGGACCCTGTCGCCTACGGTTTTGAGTCCCTGATGATCAATGAGTTTCACAACCGGAACTATGAGTGCTCGGATTATGTACCCAGCCCGGCCATCCCCGGCTATGAAGATATTTCGTCGGACAACATGGCCTGTTCCGCTGTGGGCGCTGTTAAAGGCCAGTCTCTGGTTAGTGGAGATAGCTACATCAACTCGGCCTACAAGTACTTTCATGTCCACAAATGGCGGAATGTTGGCATACTCATTGCATTTGTTGTGGGCCTTCATCTTATCTATTTTATCGCTTCAGAGTACATGACGGCCAAAAAGTCTAAAGGTGAGGTCCTCGTATTCCGTCGAGGCGTTACGCCCCCACCATCCAACAAAGGTGATGTGGAGGCGTCCATGTCTGGTCCTTTAACTATTGTGGGAAAAACGGACCGCAACACATCCAGCGAGCTGGGCGCTATCCAAGGATCAACAAGCGTTTTCCATTGGAGCAAAGTCTGTTACGATGTTAAGATTAAGAGCGAGACACGGCGGATCCTTGACCATGTGGACGGCTGGGTGAAGCCAGGGACGCTGACTGCACTTATGGGCGTTTCAGGCGCTGGCAAGACTACGCTCCTGGATTGTCTGGCCGACCGTATCTCTGTAGGTGTCATCACGGGTTCGATGTTGGTGAACGGTAAAATACGTGATTCATCATTTCAACGACAGACTGGCTATGTCCAACAGCAAGACCTGCACCTTGAAACCAGTACAGTAAGAGAGGCGCTCGAGTTTTCAGCTTTGCTACGCCAACCCGCTAGCACGCCAAGAACAGAAAAGCTGGCTTATGTGGATGAGGTGATCAAGCTTTTAGACATGCAAGAATATGCTGACGCCGTTGTCGGTAAGCGCTCCCGTGTTGACTTACCCCATGAGTGATAAGCAAGGTATATATATCCGGAAGATACTCGCTCATACTCATATTTTTAGGTGTGCTTGGTGAAGGTCTGAACGTCGAACAACGAAAGCGATTGACGATTGGCGTCGAATTGGCCGCGAAGCCGCCACTACTACTGTTCGTCGACGAACCGACATCTGGCCTCGATTCCCAAACATCATGGGCCATCCTAGATCTTCTTGAAAAGCTGTCGAAGGCGGGCCAGTCAGTTCTCTGTACAATTCATCAACCTTCAGCTATGCTCTTCCAACGATTCGATCGGCTGCTCTTTCTGGCCAAAGGTGGGCGAACAGTATACTTCGGTGACATCGGCGCTCACTCTAAAACACTTACAAGTTACTTCGAAGGTCACGGCGCTCCACCGTGCCCAGAGGGCGAAAATCCTGCAGAGTGGATGCTTTCGGCTATCGGCGCAGCACCTGGGTCTCATTCAGATGTAGACTGGCACCAGACATGGAGGAGTAGCTCCGAGTATGAAGCTGTGCAAGCCGAGCTCCAATCCCTGGAATCGTATGGATTGACGCGTACTGTTACGCAAGGTACAGCTAAGAACGAATCGCTTCGAGAATTTGCCTCGCCTCTTCGGGAGCAGTTCCTTGTTGTTACACGCCGTGTCTTTCAACAGTACTGGCGTACGCCGTCCTATATCTACTCCAAGGCAATTCTGTGCGTTTCTGTTTCACTCTTCATCGGACTAGTGTTTCTCGATGCGCCACTTTCGATCCAGGGATTACAAAATCAGATGTTTGCTATTTTTAATGTGCTGAGCATCTTCGGTCAGCTTGTGCAGCAGCAAATGCCACACTTCGTTACTCAACGATCACTCTACGAAGTGCGCGAACGTCCCTCCAAGACCTACAGCTGGAAGATATTTATGCTATCACAAATAGTTGTTGAAATACCTTGGAATTCGCTCATGTCACTGCTCATGTGGATTTGTCTCTATTACCCGGTCGGGTTTTACAAGGTCAGTTGCGCAGGACGCCATTTTCTTTTCTTTTTTTGGGTTTCTCCTACTATCCTTTCTTGTCTCTTGCCTAGTGTCGCTTAAGGAGCTACTCCATCGAACTCTTTTCAGTTTCGATACTAAGCTCTTATTAGAATGCCGAAGCCGCTGGCCAGACACATGAACGTGGTGCTCTTATGTGGCTCCTCATCTGGCAGTTCCTTATATTCACGTGCACATTCGCCCACGCCTGTATCTCTGTCACGGACACTGCAGAGGCTGGTGGCAACGTGGCCAACCTTTTGTTCACCTTGTGTCTGTTCTTTTGCGGCGTCTTGGCCACTCCAAATCGGATGCCCGGCTTCTGGATATTCATGTACCGCGTGAGCCCCTTCACTTATCTTATATCGGCCATGTTGTCAACTGGTCTGGCAAATACGGCGGTGACATGCGCGACAAATGAGCTGGTCAGCATCGTCCCGCCCAGTGGACAGACGTGCGGCGAGTATTTGGGCGCATATATGAGTGCAGCTGGTGGCTACGTTGTCGATAGCAATGCCACCGAGTCCTGCAGCTTCTGCTCGATCGCTGAAACCAACGTGTTCTTGACATCTATCAGCTCCAGCTATGCCAATAGATGGCGCGATTTTGGTATTGGCATGGTGTACATCGCATTCAATATTGCGGCAGCTCTGTTCCTGTACTGGCTGGTGCGCATGCCAAAGGGAAAGAACGATAAGACCGAGAAGAAGAAGAACGGCTGAGAAGATCATCAGGGATAGACAAGCTAGGTGGAATATGCGGGTTTTTGTGAATTGACATACTGGGTTGGCTGAAATCTACTCAAATTGCTTGTATAGAAGATATATGGATAGTATGGGGGGACCGAGTAGTCCGAGCACTAATACTTGTAACTATAGACTTAGAAGTCCCCATGGACAAATTTCATTGCATCTCTGGTGTATTTCAAGATGGACTGGGAACGATAGAAAAACCAGATAATCGCAAGAGAACTTTAGATTCATACCAGATATCTGAACCAAGAAAAATCGGCCACCGAAATGTGTTCAGGGAGAAAATTTTGGGCTTGCATAGCTTGAAGAGCATTTTGACACGTCTTTTGATTCTTTTCAGTGCCCTTGATACTTTCTGGTTGTAATGAATCTCCCCACTTACCTTATTTTCAAATCGAATATAAATACCTAGATACAGTCATTTCATGCCTAGCGATGGCCTATCGGGGCAACTATTTGCCGGTACAGAGACACGGCGAATTGCGTGGGCTCTTTTAGCAAACGCGTCAGAGACAAATTTGCACTGGCGTGGTCGGTCTGGGGGGGAATAACTGGTTGCTTTTTTCCATTCATGGAGTAGACGTGGTGTTCTCAACAATCCAGCGACTTCTACATCACGAGGCAGCAGCTGAGAAAGATATGCTAAATACCTAGGTTGAGTGAGTGCTATTGCTAGGTGGAACTTGGCCCCATATTAATCGGCCAAGCGGTCGTCCAACGGGGAATAAAACTGCCCGGGAACCCGTGCCTAGACGTGCAGAAATGTGATTTCCCCCACTGCATTTACCTATGCCCAACTTGGTGTCTCTTACGGTTAACATGGAACATGCAACGCTTGATTTCGTCATGTTCTGGAGAGAGCCTTGGCAGTATTTGACTGGATTTCAAATTTATTGCCACTTACAGGACCTCCCAAATCCTAACACTCACGGTTAAGTCAAATGAGGAATGACGTCTTCAGTACTAACCTACTGCTCGATATAGATCTGCAGCCCCGGCCAACACACCTTCGCCGATACTGATAACCCTCTTTGAGTCAGACACTTGTTTGTGTGTCGTCGCAATGGTTAGCGCGTCGTCTACAGTCGAGCAAGTTCAGGATGAACAGGTGTCGGATCGGACGTCCTCTGATATTGGGGGCCCAGCTGGGGATTTCAAAGCAACATACACAATGGCAAATGTCATTAACAGCAACACTAGCGACAATACTTTGCCTGCCGCACGTCTGAAAGCTTGCGATCGTTGTTTTCGGAGGAAGATACGTTGTGACAGGCATAAGCCTTGTCGTGCTTGTGAAGAAATTGACACTCCGTGCATTACTGCAAGACCAGCCCACGCGAAGTTGAACGATGTATTCCGAGCTCATCGCTTTGTGCGTCCCAGTGTCACTTTGAGTCTCGTCAACGACAACAGCAACAACTTCAAAGATCGGCTCATCAAGTTGGAACAAAATGTTCAGGCCATACGCGACCAGACCCGAACTCAAGTACATCATCAACCACCCAACTGGTCAAATTCTGAGCGAACAGATGTACACCCTGGGGAGAGCATGGAAACATCAACTTCACCAAGACTATTCCTTGGACAATCCTTATTCGATACGACAGAGAACATCTTTTTTGAACCCGAGAACCGAAGCCAAATTCTACTGCAAGGACTATCCCCTCAAACCAATAAGGATCCTGTTCTACCCATGTATAGCCATAGTAAAAGAAGGTGTGATGATATAATGAACCCATGGCCAAAGCCAACGAACAAGGTACTGTCAGTGTAGGGACCTACGACTGCACGCTAACGCTAATTATTGCAGCGCACAGAACCCGGCCTAGTGCTTCAAAGCATAAGCAGAGGCACGACTGCTAAGGTTGATCTCGATAACACCACATATGATTCCACTCCGCTATTTAAGGAATCAAATGTACATGACCAAGCCCTTGATTGGGGAGCCGAACCTGCAATAATCGAGTCACACAACTCAACGCCCCTAGTGTCGCAAATCCCATTTTTATGGACAGTCTTCAAAAAGAATATCGACCCGTTGCTGAAGGTTTTGCATGTTCCTTCTATGGATAAAACGATTCAAATGATCATACAAAATCCCAATAGTCTCACGCCGAAAGTGGAAGCACTCTTGTTCTCAATCTCTTATGCGGCGATCTCATCACTAGAGGAAAACGACGTAAGTGGTTTGGTGTGCACAAAAAGTATGTCCCGCTCATCTCATGGCAGGTTAATATATATCTGCGCAATAAGAAGGCTTATTTAATCACGCAATCCCGAACCAGCATCGAACGGGCGCTTGCTAAAGCTAATTTCCGGAACACTTTTGACCTTGGTGTTCTCCAAGCTCTGACTATTTACCTTGTGATTGCCCATCGCCATGAAGATATTCGTTGTCCTTGGGCACTGACGAGCCTTCTGATCAGGGTGAATCAGATTCTTGGCATATACACAAACCCCAAGTCTACAGGTCTGTCCCCGTTTGGCACTGAAATGGGTCGCCGCCTTTGGTGGGTCGTGTCTACGATGGATCTAAGCTATGCCGAGCATGACGGTACTCAGGCAGTAATTACTGATCGATCAGTCAGCCCAGACTACCCATCAAACATCAATGATATCAATCTCTTTCCAGAAATGGAAAGCTTCCCACGCGCAATATATGGTGGAACTGACACAACGCTTTGTCTCGTCCAGTACCAATTATGCAGCCTAGCGAAACGGGTACGCGCCACGACTGACCAAGCACGACCTACCTCCTTTAGTGCAAGATTGGCAATACAAGCCAGGGAGAAGTTACTCCATGAAAGCTATGAGCCGGTGAAACGGAAATACTTGAGCCCACATACAGATCAGCATGGACAATGGAATGGTGGGGAAGATCCTGCGACCACCGCCCGACGCATTGAGGCTACAATGCGCCTAATTATATACGAACCTGTTTTGCTCGCGGTTTCAAACCTTGGAGACGAAGAAGTATATAGGCGCTTATACTCATCTGCGGTTGATGTCGTTGAGTCTATCTCACTCATATATACTGAACCCAGATACAAAATGTATCGTGGAATACTTCAGTCGTCTGTCCAATGGCAAGCCATAGGATACGTAGTCCTCGGGATGTACCAACGTCCTTGGACTACTTACATTCAGAGGGCCCAGATAGCTTTGAGGCCGCTGATTGATAACATTGAGCTTGGGAAACATTTCAGGCCTCCGCGACATGCCACCACGGAGGTGCTGCTCATGAAAGTAATGGCAGAAGCAACCCGCACTAGGAACCTACAGGGCAAAGGGCCTCAAGTATGCAAGGAAGCACTGATGTATTGTGCCCTGTCTCTTTCAGACTTCCTACACGACACGCTGCCTCCGGAAAGACCTTGGGAGGTAAGTGGACATTCTTTTGGGGAGCTTAATTAAAGGAGGATAAGAGTCAATAAAGGCAATACGGGGATTCTTTGACGAGTATTGTTAATTTTTTAATTTTTATTTAAAAGTTATGTTACAAAATTATTACAAATACTATCAACTAGCCGTCGAATGGTAAAATTTCCGTAAGCTTATCAGCGCCGGTAATGGTGAACGGCCGAGGATTCAAATGCCATATACGCTCCAGGAGAGCGGTTGTGGGGGCAGGACCCAATACGGCTTCTACCACCCCGACAGTCTTCCCCATTCTTAGTTGACAGGGTCAAAATTCTGTGTTATGGAGTCAGGGGAGTGGTTGAAATAGATTTCATTTTCCCACGCGGCCCAAGAAATTTGCAATCTGGATGTGACTGAGTAAAACAGCAAATTCGGAATGGGCCATCCATGTGCCGCTTGCTGTGTAATTCACTCAGCATGGCATAGCCGCTGTCAGTATTTGGAGCCACACCGACTTGGGATTGTCGGCTGTAAATGAGTATAATCTTACATGTTGAGAGTAACGCGCCAGGTCGTGTACCTCATCGTACCGCCACCAGTAATCCGGCCCATGGAAAGTCCAACTACTTAACTACCGAGACTTAGATTGATCCGTAGACATCTACAATTCGTTGGATATATCTTACGTAGCACTATACCACTTTGGCCTGTCCTTCAGTGGGACTATGTCACACAAGATTACCAGAGCGACCGAAGATGTCGCTTATTGAGCATATAAAAGGCATGGTAAGGGTACTCACGAGGATATAGGAGGTATCGATCCAGAAGGCTATCGCTTTGTCTCTTCAAGCTCATCTACCTTAGCCTGCCCCTATTGAGAACTAAAACTCCGACCTAATCAACATCGCCACCTTACTAAAAGGGTAGTTGAGATGAAGCTCGCATACATGGCATAGAAGATGGAAGTGATACCCCACATATAAATAATAAGTTTTTGGTGAAGACTCGGTGTCCACTCGGCTTCTACCGGCCGGCTTACTGAGCATTCTCAAAGTCTTTGGTTGATAGTGCCTTTTGATAGATGTTTTTACTGGACAACGGTGTGGTTTGGGTGTGTTTCCAATATAACGTGATACTAAGGGTACTAAATCCTAAGCCAAGATTTCAACTTGGTTCCTCGTACTCGCTTGTTAATGAATGGGTTCGAAAAGTCAAGTATAGGATAATAGACGAAGAAACATAATGATGTGTGGACATTTTCAATCACTTTTGTAGCGCGTCGCTAACAGCCAAGGTCAAGGCGGGCTCGTGATGTATCGAACCTGGGCTTAATAACAAACAATCAGAGTGATATGTAGTGATAAGGTTGCTGTTAGACTATTTACTGGAACGTGCATATGCACTTGTAGAAATTCCGTTATTTGTGCTTAGCACATTTGAAGCAAAACAAGCTTGTCTTTAGAGGTTGGGAGGGAAGGTGTTAATTAGATGGAATTGAGTTGGAACTTGGGAACTAGACGCCATGGTGCTAGTTGTGAATACTACATTATAAGACTTCCGTGATGCCAGGATTTCTATTGATTTGACGAGATATCTACAGCATCATCATTGGTGAAAATTGTTCAAATATTCCTCCACGGCCTACGAGAATTCCAGCTGTGTTATAATTGATCATAAGTTCGTGTAATTCGTGCGGCTTAACGGCTCCAAAAAGTGTTCGCAGGTGACATCCTGTAAGGGTCCGCAACCATTCTAGCGATTGAATACAGCCCCATTTCATGTGTGCCTGGCTTAGAAATCCCAAGATGTGCAGCTTTATAATTTACGATATGCCGACAAGCTTTTCGAGGTTCTAATGCTCTGTACAATTTGATAGTCCTCACGTAAGTGGTAAAACGTTACGGATCCTACCCACCGGTACATGACAAAGCAAGTCCTCACTCCGATTTTATCTGGGGGAGATCCGCGAATTAATTCCTGCCATACGTACCGAACCATTGTGACAGTATGGAAGCGGGACGAGCACTCCACCTGTGGCAAACTGCTCTAGTTTCACATAAATCCAACTGTAAGTCAAATGTGGTCATCGAAAAGCGTTAGGGGGTTCAGAGACCGTGCACCAGTAACTCATGATTTACTCGCGTCTCTTGTATCTATTGGTAGTGTCTTGATATATTCCATGTTCTTAACGTCTTTCTTATCCAGTGCTCCTGTTCCACCGTGAATTCCAATTGCAAGATTAATCAAATCTTTGTCGACACCGCCCTCGCAGTACCATTCCGAGTCAAGCCATCCAGGCTCGCAGGACATAACCTACAGCATGCCATCCGGGTTAAATGCAATAGCTTCGTACTAACAACTGCATCACAATCCCTTACAAGACAATAAAGAAACCGATCATGTAAAGTTCAATCGCTTGAGTCTATGTTAGTTAATGTGGTGTTATCTTTGGTCTTTTGCAGGAATCTCCTGGGTCTAAAGTAAGTACAAGGAATAGTCTATGGATATGACACATCCGCAATTTTTCGTTTCTAGTAGCCTCTCGACTGTTTAGCTTCTCGAGCCACACAACGCTATCCGGTTTATGCCATTAATGCGATGTGCTTGAGTTCGCTACCGATATTATCAGCATCATACCTCACAGTCAAGAAACCAAGAGGTCAATAGGTCAGCCAACTTACTTTTGAACTTGTTGGCCAACCTTCATGTGAGGATATTGTACTTCCTCTCCCTCGTCTCTGCCCAATTGGAATTGATCTGCGCGGATCTTGCGAGCCTGCTCGGCCAGAATGTCATTGGGAGACAGATCATAGTCTGATGACAGGTGGTAGAAGAACGTCGATGAAATGCGGACCATAGGTCGACCGGGAAACTCCTTCTTGCGCCGTTCCACTGTGCTGAGGGTGGCATCGTTAACGACTACCTCATGGTATCCAGCCTTGATCAGACCACCAGTTAGGTGCTCCAATTGCTTTCCAGCTTGGACGAGCAGGTGTTGTCCTGGCGGTATGCTAACCGGAATGCGCTTGCCGGTGTTTCGTGCCCAGATATGGAGACCTGGGTATCTTGAGCGACCATGAATAGTCAAGAAGTTGAGATCTGTGTGGAATCCGGCCAGAATGCTATCCTTCTTTCCGTATCTCTCCAGATTCGAAGCAGTTGGTGCGAGAAGATGAGGTCTACAACCGGTTCAATATCATAACCTCCATCGCAGCAGAGTAGCGACTTACCCATATTTGGTCGCGTCGATAAAAGCTTCAGCAGGCAACCCCAAACCAACGGCAGCCATTCCGGCAATGTCTGATACGCTATATCATGCTAGTTAGCACACGATTGAAGCCATTGCAGGAGATATACCACTTACGCGCTCTTCAAGGTCTTGCCCCATTCGTTCATAGCAGGCTCCCACCGGTCGTGAATTTGAGGCGCATCGGGGACAATATTTGCTGCGTTGAGTCCAGGAAACTCGGTCTCGTAAGGTGGTTTATCTACCATTCTCCAAAAGAATCTGCACTTGGGATCTGGTGAATGTGCTTTGATGTCTACCGGCCTCTCTGATGGTGCTAGGCGCTCGATAACCTTGAGGCAAGGCTCGTCCACTGCACACTTTGGTTTTTCGGTGTTCTCTAGAGTGACACCAATTTGGTATCCCAACTCTGGCCTTTCATCCTTTTTGAGATCTTCCTCTGGTTGCGCGAAGTAATCCTCTAACAAGTCCAGAAATGTCTGGTTGTCTTCCTCCGAGACACGAGAGTCATGCACGATCAGCGCACCATATGTGATCAGTGCACTTGCCGCCTTTTTGCACTCGGCAATGACCTCAGGAGAATCTCGGGGGTTGTTCCGGAAGACGTCCACGTCGACAATGGGAAGGTCCATTGAGAGTTCCTTGTTCTGCTGAGCCCGGTCGGCCATTGATGATAACAAGTTGCCCATTGGTGCTGATTCTGCCAAGTTTGCCATCTTGATAGCGGAGCCTGGCACAGCGAAGATAGGAGGTAATTGCTTTTATACCTTAGAATAAAATCCGTGATGCGATCTGATGCATATGATGGCGACGCTGCAAAGGGCGTGATTGCACGATCAGGTGCCGCTTCAGGCTAGACGCACGTGTTTCGGGTGTCGTTGGTGCCGACGTAAACCGGCGGACAGAACACGCCAAGTGGCAGACAAGTGACCGAATCCGCGTCGGTCTCAGTCGGAAACCGTCAGCATACTAGAACATATTGGCTGGAGCTGACCTTGTTGGTTATGAATGTCGTGAAAAGTTTGATTTGTGGTTAAGATCCATGCATTCGAAAGAATCATGGTACATTTCGGTGCAACCGATGGGCTTGGGTTGTGGCTAGGCTAGATGTTTCTGTAGGCGCTTCAGTGTAGCTTTGGCGTAGAGTCAAGGGACAGTTTTTGCCTACCAGAACGCTTGTGATACAACGGGGACCAATTCACGCGCTTCAATTAGCCATCAGACAAGCCATGCGACAGGCGCTCAAGTTTGAAACCCGCGCATGACTGTCGCACCATGTTGTAGGTTTCGTAATATTTCTTGTAATTCCCATCTTCTTGTGGAGCTATTATATGGACGACATGGGTGGACAACTCATCGTAATCTGTTACAGAGGCATGCGAAGGAACGCGGTTCAGGGTGAGCGCACTCCAAGAAAACCGTGGGGCAGCGGCAGACTTCTAACTTCGCGATGGTTAGATTTCGAACATCAGCAAATCTAAATTCGGCCTCTTAGTATCCTAATTCTAGGGTATCTATCATTCCTTAATTGTAATAACTTTTAGTCTCCTACTATATGAAGTGTAACAGGTCGCAGATTCTGGCCGTTCAAGCAGTTATATAATAGGACTTGGGGATCCTGAACTGGTACTGTCAACAGATGCATGGCAACCTAGTCACATATGGGCCAACGCATCTATATCGCACATGTCGTAGATAAGAAGAGCTTATGACAAAAGTTGGTCCGAGCTTACCACATGTTTCGTAGCCAAGGGCGAGAGCTTAGAGGCGTAACCCAACCATTCCACAACACCTCACCCCTGTAATTGGCTTTGGGTGCTAACGACAAACGACGACATGGAGGACACCGTGACCAACGTTGATCGGGTCATTACAGCTATACGAAATGCCAATTTACAGCATCCAGACGAAGAATTACTCGAATGTTTTGTCCACGACTCAATTGATCCGGGACGAACCGCTCGCTATGTGCTACAGAGCCGCTCTATCGGAAGAGATGCACTTGACTTAACGCTTTTGCTATCTGACTGGAAAGAACTGATTGGTACATGTAAACTTATGATTTTTTATTCCTTCTAGGTCTCTACTAATGAACAAAAGTCACCCACGAACTGCCTTTTCACCAAAAGCTTGACAGAGTCTTTATCGCCGATATATGGAGAAGAGACGGCGGCAAATGTTGCATTACTGGCTTAAAGAACTCATTCAGTGATCCGCTGGTGGTCGCTCCTATACTTCCGATCATAAACCCAATAAGAAAGGTAACTATAAGTTATTTTGTCACTGTGGCCTCAATAACCTAGTATCAGCTGACCGGGGCATCTTTAGTCATTACATGAAATGCTTGAAGCTTTCCTCGGCTCCGAAGGGCAACAGTGGATCCCGATGAATGAAGCTGCGTCCCTGGATGCTCACCGGAAGTATTGGCTTGTCCGCAAATCTGCAGCAACAGCACTATCGCAAGGTTACTATCGGTTCACATTCCTTAAAGGCTCTGAGGTAAGTGTCTTGTTGCCTTTTTGGTGTATGCATATCATGGTTTTGAACCTGCAGTCTCACTAATCGATGTTCAGTACCATGTTACTACAGCCTGCATTGGAGGTCCAGCATGGCCTCCCATCCTCGAAAAGACGCCAGTGCTTCAGCCTCGCCAGTTTGCAACCTGCTCAGCTTCCGGCATGGGCACACCGGATGTCTATTCGTTGCAAATCTTGTCACGGTTTGCGAAACCTGTGCGATGGAGTTGCATTGATCGGAAAATCGCGAGGAAAAGATCACAACCACACAGTCAGTTGCCGGTTTTCTCACTATGGCGTCTCTTTCCAGAGCGTATCACCATGACTTCGACAATAGGCTGGCACATGGTACCAGCCTCTCTTCGCATACAAGTCTATCACTGCTTGGCATTTATGGGAGCACGGGTGTACGGGCAATCCTGCAGCTTGAAGGTCCAACAACTGCCATTTGGCATGTACCTTAAAACTTCAGACGTGAAATGGCATGAGAGCTTGGCCAACGAGTATGAAACGTTGCGCCTCGTGAGACGCTATACTCGTATACCGGTTCCACGCCCATTGGATCTCGTCTCCTACATGGGTGAGTCTTACCTCCTGACTTCCCAAGTTCCGGGCCTACGTCTAGGATGGTGCATCGATACACTGAGCGATGACGAGGTAGGCATGCTAGTCCACGACTTGCAGGGATACATTGGGGAGCTACGAGCGATACCAAAGGAAGTTGCTCCCGACTATGCCATTACCAATGCGCTCGGTAAGCCATGTTTCGATTATCGACTCAACGCAGCTTTGGATTATGATGAAGATCGGGGAGATTTCGTTGGGCCATTCGCGGATGAGGAGCAATTCAACGAGACTTTACAGTGTGGCGCATTGCCAGGTGTAACTCATCGCAGCGGACATGAAATCGTTTTTACACATGGGGATTTGAACATGAGAAACATCCTAGTGCGTAACGGCAGGCTTTCAGGTATCGTTGATTGGGAGACTTCGGGATGGTACCCGGGATTCTGGGACTACACTAAGGCCCATTATATCACGAAGCTTCACCGGCGATGGTTAAGGATCGTTGATAAAATCTTTCAACAGTATGGGGGATATGAGGATGAGCTAGCAACCGAGCGCCAACTTTGGGATTACTGTTTCTGAGACAGGAACGGTGTCCACACTCTCCCACTTGGGCGTCTTTCCCTTGCGAACCCGACAAGTGAACAGGGAGGAGGAATAAAGCATAGAAGATGATCGGATATTTAGCGATGATTCCCTATTTTGATTGGTGGCGTGGGGCATCTCCAGTCTATCAAGCGCCCGGATTGACTCTCAGTTGCGCTTATTTATCTAATCTAGGCCGTTCAGATAATCGACCGCTCCAAATTTCGCCGGATAGTTAATTATCGCCTCCGCCCCTAATTAGAAGGAAAAAGGCCAACAACGCCTGCTGCAAGGCCAATGACAGGATGACCCCATATCAGAGAGGGCAATTGACGACCAATCGTTTCGAAGCACAGTGGGCCCTCTATTCCAGGTTCAGTAGCACGGCCGCTTGTGCCGCAACAATCAACTTGTGCCCTTGATGAATGGTGGGGTCCCCATGGGGAGTGAACGCGCCACTCTTGAATGAGACTGCTTATGGTCTGAAGGAGAATTCACTCCTTGTCCGCAAATCTCGTTTCTAAGAAATGAATAACCATGGTACTGAACCGAAGTTCGAATGCAATCCGATGGCCCTATAAGAACCATTCCTAGACGCCATGACCAATCTCTACACAAATCTGCGAGGATCAGTGATTTATATCGCCAGCGTTCTATATCGTACTTGGGTGGTTTTTTTGCAAGTTACATTAATGAAGTCTATTCATAGTAGATACCATAGTCCTATCAATAGCCAAGCAGAACTGACCCGCAAGGCTTGAGGAGGGCGAGTTACAGGGATGCTTACAACGCTGCGGTGATAGGTTCAAACGGCGCGCGGCTAGCTCTAGCAACCTTTTGTCCACTGGTAGCATTGCATTCTGGCGACATTGATTATGCTGAAATAGTGAGTGTTGGCTGTACTATTGCAGCAGGAAGGCTAAGTGGGTCGTACGGCCTTTGTCGGAGTTGTTCTCGGCCTGATCATTATAAGGTCTGAGAGATGGGACTTGCATAAGTTTTCTTCATCATGCTTTCACACTTTTGGGACAGTTAGTCGTTGGTTTTTGCAACAGTGCATTCGGAAGACAACGAGAATGGCTCGTTGTCGCTAATTAATAGTATTTTGGTTGTCGAACTCATCCTTTCCTCTCATTACTTATTGATCAGTCCACGAGTGAGCCAGCGAGCTCGTCGTGAGGCTTATAACCGAGGGACAAGACAGTGGTCCTGGTTCAATGCTAACAGAAGTGGAGAGTCAGATAAACCTATCTGGTTTGGTTTAATAGCCTGATAGTACTGTACATATATAAGCATGGCTTCTTGTTCTGCGATAAGTACTATGGCTCTCATTCATCAAAGCATCCTGTCTCGTTCTTTGCCCCATATCCTTTTTACAATTACGAATTATTAACATGCCCCTAAACAGAAGCCTCGAAGCAAACTCTATCTACATCAGCTTGAATGCTCGTGCAAAGCTAGGTGAATATGTATGTTTTTACGGCCCTTTGTTACATGTTCATCAAACGACTATGAGATGAAGCATTGGGATTTGATCCACACCGACATAAACATGCGCCCTGTCCTCCATCATGCAAGCAATCGTGCCGGACCCTGGGTGTACGAAGCAAGAAGTGGCAGGCCAGAGCAGTCCATGTCCTTGATTGTTTTGATACGGGCGGACAAAATAAAAGTCACTCAAGAGTGACAGACATAATAAAAAGCGTTGCGGTAGATGGCAGTCCTTCCCCGCGAACAGGCGAAGCATTCACGTGTCGTATCTGGGTCAAAGATGTACTCGTGGCACTCCATACTAATGGCCAGATTGTGCTTCCATCTGACGTTAGTAAGTTTATGGCTATGTTCTTATAAGCTATTTTAATTACCGGTCTAATACTAATATTCCGTGTTAGATATAATAAAGAGTGTAACAGTTAGACATAGCCCTAATTATACGCCTTATATTAAAAGGAGCATAGTGAAGTAGTGAGTGTTGGCTGTACTAATACTACAAGGGAGCCAAGTAGGTCGTACGACCTTCGTCGTCGTTGTCCAGGGTCTAATTAGTATAAGGTCGAAGGGATGGAACTTGTAAATAGTCCGAGGGCCATGCTCCTTCATACTTTTGACTACGGTCGCGTGGTTAGTTTTTGTAACAGTGCATTCGGAAGACAACGAGAATGGCTCGTTGTCACTAATTAATGTTATTTTGGTTATTAAGTTCATTCTTTTCATTCATTTCTTAGTAATTAGTCCGCGAGTGAATTAACGAGTTCGTCGTAAGGCTTATAACCTAAGGGATAAGACAGTGGTCTTAGTTTAATAAGCGTAATAGTTATTAATAACATTTATAAATTTACGGGACGGTTTAAATTTAATTAATTAGTGTTAAATTAATGTTATTACTTTATTTTTTAATTATAAGCTTTATAAAAAAACTATAACAAGTATATTAACACGGTATTTTATTAAGTGAGAAATTAGCGTTTAAACGTATATCTTATTATTAATATACGGTTAATACTTATAGAGTTATTCGTTATATAGTTAGTAAGAACCTTAGTGTTCTTTATACTCTTTTCCCTACTTAGGCGAAACTACCTTATAATAGTTTCGCTATTAAAGTTCTCTCACGCTCTATTTACTTTTATAGTTATTATAAATCTGTTACGATTTATAACCTAAGTAATTATTAATCTAATGGATTAATAAGATTATTCTAGATTATTCTAAGGTATTTCCTTTAATATATATTGAAGTAGTGAGTGTTGGCTGTACCAATACTATAAGGGAGCCAAGTGGGTCGTACGACCTTCGTCGCGGTTGTCCAGGGTCTGATCAGTATAAGGTCGAAGGGATGGAACTTGTAAATAGTCGAAAGGGCATGCTCTTTCACACTTTTGACTTGGGCCGCGTGGTCAGTTTAGCAGCAGTGCATCCGGAAGACGACGAGAATGGCTCGTCGTTACTAATTAATGTTATTTTTGTCATCAAATTCATCTTTCCATTCATATTCTTAGTGATCAGCCCGCGAGTGAACCAGCGAGTTCGTCGTGAGGCTCATAACCTAAAGGACAAGACAGTGGTCCTGGTTCAATATAAAGAGATATCCTCGATATCTCTAAACACTTTCCTTAAGCAAGCTTATAAATACATTCACTTATACTCTCTTTACTTTACCTCCGAGTATTACTTCGAATTAAGTGCTTCCGCCTAATTAACGTTATATAATATACACATAACCTTAAACAAAAACTTATAAAGTGTAATAATTACGATAAGATTACTAAGTAATAAGCTTTTAAATATAATAATTATATTTAAAGTGTTGGAATATATTATTCGCGGTCTCGTACGACGGTTGGCTACGTAGTATAGGTAGTCACGCGGCGTGCTGGCAGTAAGCCACCACAGCCACGATGTGGCTGTCGGCAGCCAGCAGCCGTACTGGTGAACCCCTATCTATAGACCACGTACGAGGGGAAGAATCCCTTCTTCTCCTTCGTACGATAGCGCTGAATAGATCTATTTGTCGCCCAAACTGTACGGAAAGAAATGAATGGAGAAGCCATTCCACATAAAGACTTATTATTAAAGAGGAGAAATAAACGTTTTTTATCGCTAGTTATAAAGTAAAAGTTTTATATTAATTATTAAAGTAATAATATTAGTCATATAATTATAATAAAAAGGCTATGTAAGTTATCTAGCCCTTATTAAGGTTATTCTCGGCTTAATTATTATAAAGTATAAGAAATAAGATTTATTAATAACTCTTTTTATTATGTTTTATATACTTTTATATAATTAATTATAATAACACTTATAACGGGGCTATAAGTTATAATAAGTATATAAATAAATCTCTTTAATTTATACCTAGAATAGCTCTTAAGACAAGACATATTATAAGCCTATATTAACTTTACAAGTCGTAACGTTATAAGTTTGTTGTCTTACACCCTTATTATTAGTTCTTATAGCTTAGTGCTATCCGCACCCATACTCTTACACTAAGTACTTAGAAGAATTCTTATCACCTTTATAACCTTTACATTTTAATATTTATTAAACCCTTGTTAAAGAATCCTCGCTACCGGCCGGCATTCCTCGTAAATCGCTATTATAAGTAATAACACCGCTGAATACGGGATTAAACCCTTCGTTTCTGTTTTCTAGATTCCTCTCCCCCTTAATAATAGTATTTGCACTTTCCATACGATGGTAAGGAAATTCATGAAGACCCGCGCCCGAGTCTGCGCCAGGGCCTTCTTTTTTAGATGTTTTTGTCCTCCAATAGTTTCTGATGCTGTATCTGCCGGTTAAAGAAGAGGAAAGGGAGTGCCTACTTAACTTCTTTATGCGGTCAAATCCAACATCGAGAAGACTATTTAGCGCAGGCAGCGAAGCTACGACCACGGCAAAGCAGAGGTCAATAGTGTTCCAAACATATACGTCGTGGTATTGCCACGTGATGTCGTCGCTATATCGAAGAACTCCGATGTTGCGGAGAATTGAAGCGAATGTCGACATACCACCCAAAGCGAAGATAAAAATGAGTCTTGCCTTTTTTCGGGTGGGCATTTTGAGGCGTACCAAGATGGTGATAGGAACGCAGAGTAGGGCGATATCCGTCACCATATGAAGGGTACGTGTCGCAAGACTCACAGCCTTGGTATCAATACATTTGAATTCGTGCGGGTCTGCCATGCTACCGATGTAGATCAAGGAATAGCGTGCTGGAACCGGTATACACTGGAACGCCTGCAAGAAGACGGAACAGGGTAAAAGAAAAAGGAAGAGACTGATAAATATCCAGTGTATCGTCATCCATTTTCGCGAAGTCAGGCCAGTAATGCGTCGGTTTGCGAGGGCGACACTGAGCTTGACGCAAAAGACGCAGAAGTAGAAGAGAGGCTGCTCCACGTTGGCTATGCGGATGAACCAGTAGACCTCCGTGTATGTGCAGTCATGAATGTGCTTTCCCAAGCATCCCTTGGTTTGAGAAATGATATCGAGCGACAAGTAGACAGCAGCGCCAATCTGCGGTTGTAAGCAGAAGCAACAGTGAGGAAGCAAGGCGTTGCAGCAAACTTACGGCTCCGGGCAAGATCATCCAGTCATCAAGGCCAAAGCTCTTCTTCTTGAACAGCCTCATGTAGAGTCTTGCGGAAGTGAACAGGATAATGAAGAAGATTGCTATTGCTTCTCCAATTATAAGTGACGGACCTCCCGTCTCAAATTCGTAGTTCACCGGCCGAGTCGCGCCAAACGGCTCAGACTTATTCGGGTTGATCTGGGACGGTGAAATGATAAGCAAGCCTCGTCGTATCAGTGCATCCGTATCGCTGATTGGGGGATAACCCAACAGCGCTGATGGGTCCGACATGAGAAAGGTATCACCAGACAGACCAACGTGGGATGGGGTGCTCATGTGGGATTCGAAGTTCAGGATGTCTTGGTCTATTCAGAAGAAGAACAGACCGGGACGAGAAACGCGAAAGTAATGAGGGCTATTATCTGATGAGAGTCGGCTTTTCGTTATTGGTTGCCAGGCCGAATCGGGTACTTGATCGACAGTAATGCACGACTGAGGCCCAGCGTTAAGGCTCTGCTTACCTTAAACTGCAAGGATTCTACACAGCCTTGAAGGATCATTACACAATATGCAGAATGCCGTAATGTGACCCTACCCGGGGCTATTTTCACAGCCCCCATGCAACCATGCAGTCGAACCGACAGTCTTTTCTTATTTCAGAAGCCTGCTATGTGATGCTCAAGTGCCAATTAAGTACCTCTATGTACCGAAGAGTATTGACTCGGTGCGCAATCTTTGTGCCCGCAATCTCTCTGCCGATGACACCAGAAGTTGGTGTAGCGGTCCCCCGCAATCTCCCTTCCTACGACTCCTTCCGACCAAATGAAAAGGCTGCTATAGCCTATCAATTGGCTGGCTCGTCGGGCGTGCTGCTTGATTGACACTCAAGCTATTTTCGCAACGTGCCTCATCGGCGTAAATCAACCCTTATACTAAATGCGGGAAACAACGCAAAATGCAACAATCGTACGTGCAGATCTCCACACTGACCGACTGTAGACTTTTATAGCAGTTCTTGAATCTTATGGCTTCGCAGACTTGGAATGGCAATGAGATGTCAAGTATCCTCGCAACTGGCCGGCCCAGCGTAAATGGACAAATGTGGCGCTCATTTCATTGCAAGCAATACTGTCCCCAATCGCTTCAACCATCTTGGCTATAGGGGCAGTTGCTGTTACAGATGACTTTCAGCTTTCAGATCCATATACAACAGCTCTGCCCACAGGGCTATACGTGCTTGGCCTCGGGCTGGGACCTCTGCTGCTGGCACCGTACTCAGAAACCTGGGGGCGTAGAACTGTCTACCTATACAGTTTCGGTGTCTTCACAATGTTGAACATTGGGTGCGTGCTATCTCCAAATATCAACGCTCTTTCTATCTTGAGACTACTGAGTGGCATCGCCGGCTCAGCTGGTCCTAGCTTGGGAGCGAGCAGTATCGGCGACATATTTGCCGCTGAAGAGAGAGGCAGAGCTCAATCCCCGTACTCTTTTGGACCCGTCATGGGACCCGTGCTTGGTGGAGTAATTGGGGGTTTCATCGTGAATCGTACTCATGGTTGGCCTTGGCTCATGTGGACTGTGACAATTGCCTCAGGAGTTACCAACGCTCTTTCCCTGTTGTTTCTACGAGAAACGTATGCGCCCTATTTGTTGTCGCGCAAAGCAGCCATCTTGACAAAGAACAACCCGGCGTGCGAATATTGAGTCGAAGCCGCAACGCACGGTGAACAGTTGTTCGGGCGAGCGATGACAAGGCCAATCCGATTGCTTTTTACTTCACCCATCTGTGCCTTCATGAGTATCTATTTTTCTCTGTGAGTATGCGCTACTAATATATCCTCGGGTGTATGGCTAACCTTGTATCAGATTTTATGGCATATTGTATCTTCACCTGATAATAATTATACTCCTCGTTGGCCTGACTGAAATGTACGGCTCGTACTCATATCATTGGATCAATGGCATAACTGGCCTGGCTTATCTGCGCGCTGGAACCAGCAGTCTCCTTGGCGCGGCCATCACAGGCAAATATATGAACAAGTCATTCGCTTCCGCCTTCGCACGACAGGAAAAGCGCACTGGCTCTTCAACCACGACACCCGAACTCCGGCTTCCATTCATGCAGATCGGCATGGCTATTGTCCTTCTGGGGCTGATTATGTTTGCCTGGAGTGCAGGGCGTGCCTATTGCACCGTACCACTCCTTGGCGCAAGTTTCTTCGGCTCGGGTATGCTCATGGGTTACGTATGTATTCACACGTTTCTCGTTGACTGCTTCGGCAAATGGGCAGCGAGCGCCTTAGCTGCAGCAATCGTTACGCGGTGTGTCATTACCTGTGCATTTTGCATTGTGGGTTTTGAGTTGTACAGAAGGCCGGGCTACGATTGGTTTGTAGCCTTTCTGAGTCTCTCGTCTCTGAATATATCTGAAATGGCACAGGGGCTTGATGCTGTTGGCATTTCTCTGTATTGCGATGATGCCTATTCCGTTTGCGCTACAGAAGTACGGCTCCGTTCTTCGGGAGAAGCAGATAAACTTGTAATAAACTCATAATAAAACACCATGCGCCAACCTCCCATGGAAGCTGCACTGTGCTTGTCATAGCATGTGGGAACGAAGACTGCGTTCGCTGTGAAGCATACCCGTCCATTTCAGTGCGTGGAGACCCCCCCCCCCCCCCCCCTTTGGTGGCACATCAACCATACCGTACATCTTTCTCAAATAGATCAATGAGATGATGAATTGGAATATCGTCATTTTCCACCAAATTGATTATTTCATCCACCGTCCCCGGCTTAAAACCGCCTTGTCTCATATTAGCCTCAAATTTCCGTTTGACCAGATCCAAGGTCTCAGTGTGCTTGGGATGTCCTATAGGAAATTCCACCACGACCTCGGGGATGTTTTCACCAGTCTTCATGTCGATCTTGACTGCATTTGCTGCGCTTCGGACTTTATGATCATGGTAGTCCTTGGTGAATTGTTCGTCTTCTACCACTACCATTTTTTCTCGCAGCTGGTCAACTCTCGGGTCCGAGGCCCACGGGCTGTCATCCGAATAGTCTTCGCTGTCAATGAAGGATCCTTTCATCAGGGAAACGGCGACAATATACTGAATGCAGTGGTCCCGGTCTGCGGGATTTCTCAGAGGTCCTGTCTTGTCAATGATGGTTTTCGCCGCTTGCTGCGTGCGAATTGTCATCTTCTCAATGTCGCCGACAGTTCTTTCCACAACCTTCAGTCTCGTAGCAAGCTCGACTGCGGCTTCTGCAGCAGATATACCGTGACCTTCTGCTACAACGAGCTTGAAGAAGTGATATTCTATGACGAACGTCCCGTATGGTCTCGGCACTTTGATCTCTTGCCCACGAAACAAGACATCCTGAAAGCCCCATTTCGACGCTGTCAGAACTGAGGGTGTGCCTGGCTGCCCAGCCATCGCAAGAAAACAGAGGTGTACAGCACGAGTGCATGCATCTCCAGCTGCCCAGCCCTTCCGAGGTCCTACATTAGGTGCCTGGCGGAATGTGCGGAGAGGATGTCCATCCAGCCATGCATGGCTCAGAGCACTGAGCGCTTGGCCTTCGCTGAGTCCCATCAGATGCGCGACTACAGCCGTCGATGCAACCTTGACTAGGATAGTGTGGTCTAGACCCTGTTGGTTGAAAGAGTTCTTAATCTGTAAGACCCCTTGAATCTCGTAGGCCTTGATCTGCGCAGTGAGGACTTGTTTCATGGTGATGGGTTTTTCAGTGGCATTTCCAACTGCGTAACTGCGAGAAAGCCAGTCCGCAACGGCAATTATTGCACCCAGGTTGTCGCTGGGATGGCCCCATTCTGCGCCAGGATAGGCATCGTTGTGATCGAGGTAACGAATCAAAGCGCCGAGATCAAAAGCCCCTTTCACCGGATCAAGGGCAAATGCCGTTCCTGGGAGCTTAAAGCCGTTGGGGACTTTGGTTCCTGGCACCACTGGGCCAATGAAAGCCCGCGCTTCCGAAGATTGAGCAAGCGTCTCAATTGCACAGCCGAGAGAATCTAACAAAGCTACTCGCGCTCGCTTGTAAGCGAGTGGTGAGGAGATTTCAGTGTGGTAGACATAGGCTATGACATCTGAAAGAAGTTGATCGTACTTTGGAATGGACATGCTGGGCAATTTTGGAAGAGATTTGGAAGAATGTACAGTGCAGATGGCTTTCTGGCAGCAGTGGGGGATGGCTTGCATATTTATAGGAGTTGAGCTCTACCCTATGAGTTGGCAGGGTTCCGATTGGTGAATCTCTGCACACAAGCAAGAAAACTTTTGCACGCATCTCCGGTCTATTGAACAAGTGAGCTGGAATGCTTTGCAAGCCTATATTGGCTTTGAGCGAAATTCCATGATCGTTATAATTCAGAAGCCCTCCAACTTTTCCGTGTGTTTTCCCAATAACTCAACTAGCTCACCCAAATCATCGTCGCTATCGCTATCTAGCGAAAGTACCAAGTTTTCAATTTTTTGTCGTGTCTCTACGTCAATGACCGCTTGTGTTAGCATCCTCCATTTTTTGAGTATTTCTTCGTTCGTCAACAACGGCTTCACGCCTCTCGGCGCCTCTACGAAGACCTGAACTTTCTCACTTGTTTCGTCCTTGAATACTATCGTCACTCGCTGGAACCACATCGTCGTTTTGTCTTTGTTGAAGTCCGAGTTATGCACGCATCGAATCTTGCTCACCCACGTCCATATATCATCACGGTTCAGACTGGAAGGCGTAAACTGCTCTACAAGAACAGCCCTGTCCACAATCTGACATGCTGCAGCATACGGTGCACAAGTTTGTGCACTCGTAGAATCGGTTGGTCTTTTTGGTGTCCAACCACCTTTCTTGTATGCTAGTTCAGACATCTCCACAACGATCTCATGAACCACTTCTACATTACTCAACGCACCAGGGTGCTGTTCCTGAATTTTCCTGACACAGTCAATCGTTCCGTGGGTTGCTCCCATACTTGCATAAGGCTTGACGTTGACATTTTGGAGCTCCCAAATCTGCCCCAATTGCTCAATGATTCGGTGAGGTGTTGTGGGCGGTTCCTGCGTCCCGCCATTTCCAAAGGTGGAGATGAACCCGCCATAAGGGGTCTCCAGGACCTTTTTAATTCCAGTGTAGTTCTGTGAGGCCATTATGGCTGAGAAAAGTCCGTTGCGCGAGGCAAAGCCATGCTGCATGCGCTTCACCATAGAACCGTATTGTGCGCTCATAAGCCCACAAGCTTGGGTGCAAGCAATACCGAGCGCATCCTCGATATTCTGGACACCAAGTCCCAAGAGTTTCGATGATGCAACTGCTGCTGCAGCAGGCCCAAACACAGCACCCGAATGCCATCCTCTGGAAAGGATTTCACCACCTCGGAAAGCGAAGCCTACTCGAGGACCGATTTCATATCCAATCAGTGCCGCAAGGAGGAAGCTTCGGCCGCTTATGGGGGATGGCACGTGCTGAGTCAGGGCGCAGAGGGCAGGAAGCACCACAGATGACGAGTGAATGGGTGATTCGGAATGGAAGTCATCTAATTCGAATGCTTGAACAAAGGACGAGTTCAGAAGCGCTGCAGCCAGTGGGCCGACCTTCTACGCATAGTTAGCTACATGGACTTTTCATCATGTTAACTTGCGGAAAGAGTAAGAAGTGTACCTTGTCCCATCCCCATACCGAGCACGAACCTGGCGACTCCATAGATAGTGCTGCCCTAGTACCTGTTTCCGACCATGGCAGGTGTGAACCAATAACAGCACACGCGAGACCGTCAAGGATTAAATATTTCGTCCTCATTATCACATTTTCAGGAATATCACTCAGTTGCAACTCATGCACCCATCGACACAACTCAGCTGTAATATCGGACGGACACTTATCAGAGTTCTGAGGCATCGTAAGTGAAAATCCCAGACTGTCGTCTGTGCGACATGTACACTTTCAATCGTGATGTTCCATCGTCAGGTTGATAACTAGAGTATATGTGAGGAGTGTCTGAGGCTACTGGGCGGCGTCGCTGTCGCTTACTGTATGTCTTGGTGGGAAAACACGGCTTGCATTTGTTGCGGCACGGTGATCCTTGTTAATTGCCTCGCCCCCAATACTCTGCATACCACATACTATCGTTCTGCGTCATATCACACGAGACTCAGCTTAGATCCACCTACAATGTAGCATAATCAGCACGAGCCTCGCATATCAGCGCCCAATTACTGCCTAAGGTCTTCTCGTGCTGCTTTGCTTATGGCACTTTACCGATCTACAAGTTGTCAGAATTGGTCGACCCCACTCGCATTATATGACGGTGGGCCCTGTAAAGGTATTATTCCAAGTACCGTTAAGTACTCATGCAAGACAAGCATCACCAAAGCACATCGGTGTAATTACTACAATCAGATCCAGCCCCGGCCCGGACCCGCTCTGTCTTTGACGTACACAGTACAATTAAGGAAACAACATGGAGAAAATACAATCGGACTGTTTCTATCAGGCTCTTTCTGCGGCCAGTCAATAGGCTGTTACAGCCCAGCAGTACCTCATTTGTACGTTGCGGCGCAGACACGTGAAGCTAGACCGAACTAGACTCCAGGCTCGCTGCAAAGTTGGCATTTTCTCATATTATCCGTATTCTCGACGCGTTATGATTGATACGTGCTGGCAGGGGGCCATGGCTATGGACACCAGTGAAATCATTGATTGTAGATGAGATTATATAAGATAATCAATGCTTGTTTTGCGATCTCGCAGAATTACCCAAGGCAGCTCTCCCATACATCACTTTCTGACCTATAATTAATGGTGTCATTGCAGCCTGCGCTCATTTATATGTATTGGAGAAATGTCACCTTTCACCGTCTCTGTCTTTACGCTTCTGCTCGGTTTCGGGTTTTACCTTTTAAAGACCGTGTTCTGTTTCCTATATCACGAAAAACTACTGATCACAGATCTGCGAACGTTCCGTGTGTATAGCATTCCCATCAAGCATAATGCCGTGCAAGCTACAGAGTTCCGCAAAATATCACCGCTTGGAATCACAGCTAGCTATTGGGAGCATGCAGCCAAAGGTTTGGTGATACTTGATCCAGGCTTCAAAAACACTGCTGTTAAGGAAAGTCATATTACATATATGTATGAACTATATCATCATCACCAGATATAGTCATGAGATTCGACTAATCAAAATTTTAGTGATGGCAATCGTGGTATTCTACAATATCGCCAGCACCCTATTGGCCATCTCTTCGCCCACCATGACTACGAAGATGTTGTACATCTACTAGTATGGGGGCATCTTCCCACGATAGAGGTGAAAATGAAGTTCAGAAGTCAAGTTGCCAAGTTCATGGTTCCTGACCATTCAGTTCTAAGCGTCGTTCAATCTTTCAAGTATATTTCCCTTCATTGGCCGGTAACATGACCGTACATGTATACGCGTTACTAATAATCCCGTATAGCCCAGACACGCCAGCGTATCTTGTTATCGCCGCAGGTCTGTCTGCCTGGGTAGCGTCACATCCTAACACGATTCCTGTGTATAGAGGAGATTCTATTTACCAGAAAGATGCCAATGCTGTTAATGACGGTGTTGGCCGTGCTATTGCCGCATTCACTACAGTTGTCGCATTGACATATTGCCACCAGCAAGGCAGGCCATTTGACTTCAAGGTAGATCCAGCACTCTCGAGCATCGAAAATCTCCTTGTAATGATTGGTCGGGTAGACCATTGCGGTCTACCAGAAAAGCAGACAGCCCTTGTTCTTAACAAGATCTGGATTCTATTTGCCGACCATGAAATGACGAACTCTACTGCCGCATTCCTGAACGCCACTTCTTGTCTGAGCGACCCCATGTCAGCGCTTGTCGCTGCTGTAGCTTCGGCGAACGGCCCTCTCCATGCCGGCGCCATTGATCTCGCATACAAAGGATTTGAAAAGATGGGCAACGTAAGCGGCGTCGGGAGGCACATGGATGATGTACGAGCGAAGAAGTGTAGGCTGATGGGTGTGGGCCACCGTGTTTATCGGACTGCCGATCCGAGGATCTCATATCTTCGTTCCATAATGGGCGACCTTGAGGCTACGACATCGCAGAATCGTCTGCTTGAAGTTGCCCTCGAAATTGATCGCATAGTCGCGACCGATTCGTACTTCACATCGAGGGCCTTGAGCATTAACGCCGACTTGTACTCTTCTTTCGTATATGCTGCCCTGTAAGTATTCTCATCGTCATTAGCTAAAAAGTTGAACTAAACGCGCTGCAGCGGATTCGATCAAAATATATTCACGGCTTTTTCTATGACTGCAAGATGTGCTGGTCTTCTCGCACATTGGAGAGAAGGCATTGGTAAGTTCGACGTCTCTCCAAGCTGTATTCAGTCAATTGACTAGCCATAGGTGGACAGCCTTGTCTGTGGAGACCTCGACAAATCTTTACTGGTGAAGTGACTTCATAGTGTTTTCTAGTGTTATTCAAGATAGTTATAAGATAGTGAATCTATCGATTTTTTAGTTTGAATCCAGAAGAAGTGGGTCACGGGATTTGGTTCTTCGGATAGGTATATACTATGAATTCTTTCAGCGAGAGATAGGAGCGGCCCCTGAATGTGGCTTCGGGTGCCTCAACACCTGTAAATACTCTTTAGCTTGCTATAACAAACCATTGTGATCCACCGTATACTCCAATTTCTCTTTTCTTTCTTTAGACCGCTCTCTGTGTCCTCACAAAGTCTCAGGACCTTTCGTTACTTATGCCTTGAACCGACAAGGGGACGGCATTGCTTAACTCGTCTAGCTTACCAATCGATACTACAGTTGGGTGCCAAAAGACAACTAGAAGAGAAATGAACTCGTAAATTGATTCAACACCATCCGGAGCGTTGAAGCGGGTCAGTACAACGTCAATAACTGGAGTTCAGCGCCTTCTGTACGCGGAACAAATCCGTACCGGATACTCCATAAGTGTTCATACGTCTGGCACACGCACACTATGGGAGCACAAGTAGTTTAAATTCTGCCGCGAAGGGAGATGGAGATTGGAAGTATCTCAGACCATGGAAGCCCGCTGGTTCCGTGGACAACTCATCAACCTTGTTGAAGTAGCGGCGCACCTAGGTACATCGTACATTGCATAAAACCCCCTCTTCTTCAGTGAGTTTTATCTACGTAGCACAACTAGAATCATAAGTCAATGATCATCCATGGGCGTTGTGCTTCTATCCCTTGCTGCAAATTACTCGCTCTTGGTGGGGGCCATTGACGTGGCTGACTGTCTTGGTCGGATCCGGGGCCCATGTCACCCATCTTGTAGTTACGTCTCACAACGAAAAACGTTGGGGGCCGTTCTGGCCGATGGTAGGGTCACCAATCACGCCATGGTACACCCTCTTCTTAGAAGGATATACAGTTGGTATCACTTCCTGCAACCCGTTCCCAAAATAGTGTCTTACTAGTAACATAGCCCAAAGCTAGATAGGTCTTCAACATTGGTGGATGAAGTGCTGCACAATCAATCAGTCAAAGGCAGATCAAACATGGAAATAAGTAAGTGACGTGTCACATGGTTTGGTGCTCACAGGTTGCATATGCAGTGCTTTATGCTGCTTACATACATACATAAAGTAAACGGTTCGGTGTGTCGCACGGGTCTTGTCAGTCGTTCCACAAATGCCTATTTTTGGTCAAAATGACGCAGCGTCCATTTACCCTTGGCTTCCTCCTTGAGTGCAGCCCTTGCATATCACTCTTCTACTGTAGTTAATGATACTAAATCCCTTGACAACCAGTTTTTCTTCTCACGAGGTGCTTCGTTTTTCCCTTTGACCATAAACATACTTCTCTGACCTAGTCATGGCGACGGACGCTGAGAAATGGAAGCAGCTTCCTCAGGATCACTTGGCTCGCTCGACCAAGGTACCTTGGTACCTCCCGAGCTTTGAACATAAACTCAAAACACCTTTTCGAAAACTTCTCGAGGAGTGGAGCAATATCTCACCAGACAACGTTGTTCCTCACGTCTATCGAATTGTATGTTACACTAGAATTGGAAGTAGCTATGGCTGATTCGGAACGCAGCGTGAAGAAGCATGGCAAGTCTTCCCTTGGCCATGTATTGGAGAGTTTTGGTTCATCGAGCAAGGTCTTCGCCGCCATCCAGACTACTCTCAAATACTTAACCGAATCATCTCCGCTCCGAATTCTAGGTTTCTCGACCTCGGAACATGCCTCGGCCAAGATGTTCGCACATTGGCTCACAATGGCGCGTCGCTGTCTAGCCTGTATGGCGCAGACGTACTTCCAGGTTTCAGAGATGCCGGGTACTCCCTCTTCAATGACAGCGACCGTCTCGACACATCTCACTTCGTTACTGGTGATATCTTCTCTGATGTTGACGATCTCGCAAAGACGCGAGGAACGTGGGATATCATTCACGTCGCCATGTTCCTGCACGTTTTCTCGCTTCCCGACCAAGAAGCTGCAAGCAGGAACACTTTGAAGCTGCTCAAACCCACGCCGGGGTCAACGGTCATAGGGACACAGACAGGCTCACTGGATTCGGGGGATTTCGTGCTAAAGCCACCGCTTTGTGAGCCAGGAGAACACAGAGTGATTTACCGGCAATCCAAGGATACTTTGAAGAACCTATTTGAAATGGCTGCGAAAACGATTGGTCTGAGTGTGAATGTCTGGACTGAGTACGATGAGAATGAGGCGAGGAAAAGGGCGGAGGGAAGGAAAGAGAAAGGCGAGGAATGGGAAAAGAAGGGGAGGTTTTTCGCTGGCAACAAAGAACGCAGGATCTTTTTTCGAGTCGAAATCATCTGAGACTACGTCACATCCATTTATAGAACAATTGTCCACTAGTGAGTGGTTTATCATCCCTGGCTCAGTATATGTATCTCATCTTTTCTCTGCTTCTCATGATTATCCACCGTGAGGCTTCGTGATGCAGCTCCTGGCTTCTCCTATTTTCATTGCTACTAGAGCCTGCCAAGCACGAGACAGAGCGCAATAGCGCTTAACATGATCCACTGCGGACTCATTGGGCGCCCATCACGATGTGCCAACACAGTACCGCGGGATACCACGACTCCGTTCAGGACCAGGGCGGCCTCTCGCGTGACTGGATGCATGCAACAGATGCCAACAGTGACCCGTAAAAGAGCGCCAGCGTAACCCGCCTGTTTGGGGCTCAATCTGCGTCCAGAGAGCTCAGACAACCATTTATTCTTTTCAGCGTAATAAATGACCCAAGACTTGGTGGGCACCGGGATGCCAATGAAGGGAATCGCAGATGTGATGCACAACAGGCCGAATGCCGTTGATACTACGTTTGGGAGGTTCCTGAATGTCGCCATGAGGAGCCGCCTAGGTACGGAATCCAAAGAAGAGGAAACGACTTTATCTCCAAAATGTAGCTGCCGGGCTTGATATGGACAGGCCAGCCTCAAAAATTGATCTAGAGTCGATGTTCACTGCCTCCAGAAGCGAGTCAATTGAGAGGGCCAGCTTGTAGGCTGCAGTGTAAAGTGGTGGTGGAGGCTGAGTTGCGTCTTGTTCAAAGGGCATGTAAAGGCGTGGATTTTACTTCTTGTTACGCTGGGGAAAGAGGGTTCCCCTTCCCCAGGGCCCAGGCGCGTGACTAAAATCTACGGTTGTGACCCGTCAGGCAGATGGCAAAGGCGCAACAGCTGTTCGCGGCCGTCCACTGAAGCCATGGTCCGTCACCGCCTCAGAGCCGTCACATTGAGAAAATCCTGATTTAATCTCACTGTGGTATGTTTAGTGACTAGCTTATGCGTTTGCCGAGCAGGGTGGAAATCATCCATGCAGTACCTAGATTATACAGGAAGACGACATGCATCTTAGGGCCAATCAGGTCTCGGAGGCACTAGCGCGTGCCAGATGCATTGAATCCTGGCTCAATAATCTGCAAATTGGATGGCTTTGCTTGGCAACTTGCATTATCACCAGCATTTAGCCGCCTCATTTTCCGTCGATCTCGCTATGTACTACAAGTACCGGTATATCATACCCTGTTGCCTATGTAGGAAGGCCGGCTATTGTTAGTTATGAGGTAGGCTATCTATCACGAGGCATACTCCCAACTTATGGGGCTGCTTTGTTTACCTTGATTGGCGAAAACCACCTAGTCCCCCCTCGGCTTACTGATGAACCGAGTAAATAATAAGTAGATCGTCAGTTATTTCTCTGATGGTGCATATTCTACCTTGAGGTCCTACACAGCAAGGCAAGCAAGGAACGTTGCCATCACAGCCGCGTGTCCTCGCATATGCATCACCTTTCGGCTAACAATGGGATTGGGAGTATCGAAGCCTGTACTCAAGGTGTGGTCTAGCCTAGAAGCATCATTGGTGTGGTGGTTGGTTTAGCCTATGACAGTTTCTACAGTTGATATAGAGGACTGTTGTAGTGAAGGTCTGGTGTAATGCACTGGAAGGAAGAGCCTAAATCTACTCGAGCATAGGATCGCAAGTGTAATGCTCTAAGCGTGAAATGATAGTATAGGTACTGTCAAGTAGTATATAGAAGTCTGAGATTACAAAAGAGAATATCGGTGTACAGAAAGTGGGATATACCCACTGGCTTAGTCACGTGATCACCACTTCCTAAGTTCGGTGATCCGCGAGCTCGTCGCCTTAGTACACGGAGTGCTCCCGGTACACTATAGACATCTACAGTCATTTATATTGCCACAAATCAAGTAATGTTAATATATAACTTAGTATTTAAAAGGTTTAAACATATATAATAAAACTATTATTTTTTCCCTCGAATCTTTTCCTTAATAATATTAATGTAATCTTTATTACTTAATTTAAAAACGTTAATATTTTTACGTTAAATTTCGTTAATATAACGACCTAGCCTAGGTGCCAGCCTAGCGCTTGAGCAGCGTACAGAGTACGCCCGTGCGTAGTCAGTGTAAAATCCCCGCTTCGTAACTAGCGATGGAGATATTTTATTCTCCCTTCCTTAAGAATAAGTCTTTAAATATAACGATTGCCCGAAGGAGCTTATCACTTAGTGACTCTACCGTATTATTATTATTATTATTAAATACGCCGTAGGACTCTAAGTCCCTCGGTACCTCTCCGGATTAAACCGTACGGTAAACCTTGCCTTAAGGGCTGGACAAAACCCGTACGCTTCGTGTGCTCTACGCTCTAATAGCGTCTACGTTATAGTGTCTATAATGCGACGTTGGTTCTCACCTAACCAACGTAACTACCCCTGAAAAGACTGGCTATCCCCTATATAGGATAGTCTCCCCGTTTGTAATAGCCACCGAACTAGAACCTTCGACACGTTCGGAATTAACGTAGCCGCGGCGAGGTCGCGGCGTGTATCCAGTCTTACCGGAGCTATAGAGCTCCTTAGGCGTGCTTGAGCCTCTTCTAATAGCCCGCAATCGAGGAATACGTGTACGACTGTTTCAGGGGCTTCGCCGCAACGGCAGAGGGGTGTATACGCTCCGAACGCGTCTATTCTAAATAAGAAGGCTGCGAGTCCAATCCGTTCAGACCGGATTTGGAAGATTATCGTGGCTTCTTTCCTCTTAAACTTCTCGTACTGTTTTAGACCGGTTCCAGGGGCTTCATCGGCTAATGCTCTGCGTTGGCGGTCATCTTGCGATAAGCCTGGGTCCCCTTCGTAAAGGATCTCTGTACCTTCCGTAGCCCAAGCTAGGTCGATAGTTGAGTCCCTTTGGTTGTGTCTGCTCCTTGTTACCTCCCCGTACGGTGTTATTAACGTAAGTCGCCACCGTTGCGCCCACGTTGTTACTTTCTCACTATGCCTTGACTCTCGCCCGTGTATATCCCATAACGGGTGGTGGGTGTTAAAATCCCTTACGAGCAAGTGCTTTCCTTTAGGAGCGTCGCTTGGGAGCTCTGTTAAAGGGCTGACCCAGCTGCTTATTTGGTTCGGTGAGTAAATAGACCATATCGTGACTGGTTCCAAGCCTTTTGTAAGTGTAATACATGCCCAGTCGTGGCCTGACCGGGGGTGTAGTGTTATTATGTCGTATCTTTTGTGTACGTAGAGCGCTGCTCGTCCGCTGCTATATACTACTTTGTAGCTCGACTAAGATGGGCAGTAAATAATCCCGTTTTTCACCTATGGTTCTTGGAGCGTAATGAAGTCGCTACCTCCTCCCTTGTCTAACGCTAGTATTACGTTGGACCTTGATCCTACGGTATTCTAATAGAGGGTTGTGATTCCCATTATGCTGTAGAGGGTGGTGGCATTCGGCTGTCTTTTGCTGTAGTGGTCCACTGGCGGAGCCGAGCTGCGGACTGTTCCCTTTGGGCGGCTTGCTTCTTCGACCCGCCTACTGGGCGTCCGCGTTTTGATGACACTACGGTAAAGCTATCCTTACTTCTTGGCTGGCTTGTGTGGTCGGCTATAGGTAGGGAGTTAGGCGGGGTAAGCCGTCCTTTGCTTTGCGATCCCTCGGTGTAGCTACGGACCTCGAACTAACGTGGTCGGTGGGTATACGCCTCCGCCGCTCTTTCACGCTACTTAATCGCGGCTGGACAGCTGCGGTCCCACGCAAGGTGTGGCCCTGTGTAGTTGATATAGCGTTTTGTTCCCTTTTCGCCCTTTTAAGGGCATCCTTTTTCCCCGTCTAGGTGGGCCGTGGCTGCGCAGATGCCACATCGTGGTGTCTTTTTGCAGAACCTTACGATATGGTCGTATTTATAGCAGCGGAAGCACTGGCGTACCCGGAGCGTTACATCGTATGGTTCGCAGCTAAATACTAACGCTTCCCATACTAGCCCGTAGTCGTAGAGCTTCTTCGCTACCTCTACGCTATCCACGTGGATGATTAGAGCTCCGTACAAGGCCTAGGGGGCTTTTGGGAGGCTCTTCTTCGCTTTAATAACGTGGTCATCCACTTCGTTAACTTCGAGGATATCCCGTAAGATCTTTGTTTTATCGTGGGCTGCCCGTAATAGCTTTGTTAGGATGCCTTTCGCTAGTACCGTTACCTCCCGGCGAGTAAGTAGTGCTTTCTCTCCGAAGGCGCTACTTACCCACTGTTGGTTAATAGTGGCCGTTTAGATAGTCCCGTGTTTAAACGTAACTACCGTGTCGCCGCTATATAGCTTACGGACTGTTATCGTATCGCTAACGCTACGAGCTTTGTTTACTGCCTTTAATACTTTGGTAGTGGACCTATTCTTTAACTGGTCCCCTTAGATTCCTTTTATTACCACCTCTCTCTCGCGGCTTGCCGGTATAATTACCGCTTGCTTTTACGGGTCGACCCCGCTATGTCCTCGCTACGTACCCGCTACGACTTTAGCCTAGGTCGTATCCGTCGTGTTCTTCCTTTCCGTAAGGGCCACTTATACCGATTATACGGACTATAAGATCGCTTGTTATAACCCGGCTAGAGCTTTAATTATATCCTCTTTGCTAGCCGTACGGCTCCTATCCTCGAGGGAGCGGAGCTAGTACTATCGGCCTATTAACTCCGTTAATTCACCAGTCTTTTCGGGGGTAACTAAGCTGGTTATCATCGATTCGACAAGTTGTAGTTCGCTACCAGTAGCCTTATTCACATTCGCTTCGCTGCTTTTTCGCTGTTTCTCCGTTACGCCCGCGCCATTCGGGGCGTAGGTGCTCTTGTTTGCTTAGGGGTGGTGAAAACTCTGATCGAGTCCGCCCCACCCTTCGTCAATTGCCATCGGCGCCGCCATCGCGTTACGCCTACGTCTCGACGTAAGTGCGCGATCGTAAAAAGCGGGAGTCGATAGTAAGGATTCAATTGCCGTGCCCGGCGTGTTAATTAGACGCGATTTCGTAGAGTTACCGTTCTTTAGAGTTAACGGATTCTAATCACTTAAACCCCTTTGACTCTACCGTAATTATTACAGTTAGTTATACATGGAAACGGCCATTAACGAATCGAGAAATATAATATTAAACTCGAGTATAATAATCTTTTAAAGTTATCTCGGTAATTTTCGACGGAGTTATGAGATTAATAAACTTTCCGTTTCATCGCGGACGTTTTCGTATAATATTATATCGTAATATATTAAAGTGCTCTTCTCAGTATAAACAGTTCTCATTCCATTCACAACAGCGGAGCGAGGATACCGATATCAGTGCAAAGAATGAGAAGCAAAATGCATTCCTATCAGCTATAGCAGCGCAGGACGTAGCGCGAATCACATGGAGATCTTTACTATGTTTGCTGTTGGTCATTGTATGCTTCGTAGTGAAACCTCAAGACATGCCGATGTTCCTCAAGTTGGCACACCAGTTATCATCAGCTGACGAAATGTTCGAGAAATTTGCAGATAGCAGACTCAAAGTATCAAAAATACTCAGAAACCAGCATATTTCTTCGTTAGTTGTCGCGGCTTGCCTTCGAGCTAAGAAGACGTATCGGGGATTGGTGAAGAATGACAGAGGGCGTAGAAGTGAGTCACTAGGTTTTCTTTGAAGCCTGGGCTTGCTGTATTTTGGTGACTGACGCATTGTAGAAAGTACGTATACCGATGGCAATGTATAGGTTGCCACAATCTGAGTCTATATTGACTATCTCTTTGGGATCGGACACATCACCATGAAGGAGCACCACACTTGGAACACTGATTGAGACTATATTTGTTGAAGTCGAGAATAGACTTAACTTCCATATTATGGGTAGCGAGAACTTGGTTATGATCAATGCTGTCGAATAGAATTTTGACTCCAACGGAGAGTTAACCCACAACTCATGGAGATGCAGATATTATCCTGCTTCTTGCGATTGCATACGAAGATCGCATATATGCTCTCCATTGATTGCTGCTGTTGTAGTTGCTATCCATGCAGCAGGAATACAATCATTGCTTCTAGCAACAAGAGAGACTCGAAAAAGCTCTTGCCAGGACAGCAGGTTCGTAGCCAGCACCACGGACAGGTTGCAGAGGCCGCCTTCGCTGGCCGGTACACAGGGTTGGGACATTTGTGACCCCCCGCAGGAAACCTAGGGAGTAGGACGTCTGCGGGAAAAGAGGGAGTAACCCATCTCCTGTAGTCTCGAGGCACTTCCAGATGGCATCGTCTGTAGGCTCGAGGCACTTGCAGAAGGCATTGCGTGTAAGCTCGAGGCACTTGCAAACGGCTGTCACTTGCTAGTTACCCGAGGGCACCCGCAAGGAATTTCACCTGCCAGGCTCACCAACAGTCTCACTCAGAGTGCATTCGTGCTCATAACTGGACGACTCGAAGCGATTTATTGTCACAAACGCCTTACCATCCTTGGTTGCTTCATATTTGGTGTCTTCTCCTTGGTGAATGCTTTCTGCACCAATTACGAAGCTTTCATAGCGGCTCGAGCTCTCACTGGGGTGGGGGGCAGCATTATGATCACCATCATGATTCCCCCTGGTCGATCGCGCAACCTGTTCCTCGGCTTCTTTGCGGCGTTTCCTCCTCTTAGGGGCTCGCTGGGGGCCGTGCTCACTGGTATATTCATCGACTCAGTTGGTTGGAAATGGCTCTTTATTCTGATGTGAGTAACTGCCTGGAAGTCATCCTGCCATATTCATAAATCACCGAAGCGGAACGTTGACAGCCATAATAACCGTATGGGTTATGCTCATCACGCCTAAAGAGACCCCTATCGATGAGCATGGCAGGATCGACTACATTGGTGCATTTTCGGGAATGGGTAGCCTGGTGATTTTTAATATTGTGTGCAAGTAAGTTTGCCGTTATTGAGACGGAGGTTAATAAAAAAAGGCGCAGAAGCAACCACCGGCTAGAGCTGCCTTATATTTCTCCGCAGGAATTACACTCGTTGGCTTGCGTTTTAGATATTTGCTTTGTGAGGATGCCAAAAATTGATCGCAATGGCTGGGAAGATGATGGAATTGCAGAAGCCGAAGGAAACGGGCTAGAGGCGACCTCTACGGCTCTTTCGCTGTAGACAAATTACAAAGGTTCCTGAGCCTCTCTTTCTTTTCTTAGGAGTCTCACAGAAGACGACAATAATTAGGATTATGCCGAATCATAGTGTGAACAGCGACAATGAATGACCTGCTCATTCCCAATGCAGAGTTTAATGAAGCAGTGTTGTGCGGACCTCTAGTAGAAACATAAGACCACTTCCTTAATGCTCTTGCTAACATGGCACTTCCGCTTGTCAAAGTCGACTACTACCCGCCATGTCTCAAGACGGGAAAATCTAATTATGACAGCTTTTACAATTGATATAGAGGACTGTTGTAGTGAAGGTCTGGTGTAATGCACTGAAAGGAAGAGCCTAAATCTACTAGAGCATAGGATAGCGAATACAGTGCTCGCCTAAGCATGGGATCGTAGGTATAACGCTCTAGGCGTGAAATGATAGTATAGGTATTGTCAAGTAGTATATAAAAGTCTAAGAGTACAAAAGAGAATATCGGTGTACAGAAAGTGGGCATATACCCACTAGCCTAGTCACGTAATCACCACTTCCCAAGTTCGGTGATCCGCGAGCTCGTAGCCTTAGTGTACGGAGTGCTCTCCGTACACTGTGGACGTCTATAGTCATTCATATTATTATACACCCCCGAAGCTAGATTAGACCTAATCTGGCTTCCTTATCCGTTAAGTAACTAATATGATAACCGTAGTTATCCCTTATAGCTATTTGAACTACGGTGCTCTTAGAGTACGGGTTCTTACCTACGTGTTTCTGCCTAGGTGACTATAATCACTATTAAGACGACGTAAGTCTTTTGCTTCTCTAATAATTAGCTGCTTATTTATATGTTGTTAGGCATAAAGTAACAAGGCTAATTAAACTAATAAGTAAACTAACATACTCCTCGAGTACGTTATTACTTATTATAATACTTCCGTAAATATAACGGTTAACGTACCCCGTAATTACTTTACCTTTACTTATCTTACGGGACGAGTATACTCGTAAATAAAGGTATATTTACTTAGAAGTAGCTTAGAGCACTAATTATTAACGATTATTACTCTATTATAAAGTGTCGCGTAATAGTCGTGGTTAATAAATAATTATTATGGTTTATTATCGCGTTTAAATAATAATTATACCATTATTTACGCGATAATAATGGTTAAGATATAAAGCGTATATAAATAAACCCTTATAAGTATACATTATGCCGTATACCCTTTACGGATTTAAATTCAGTGACAAAAAACTAGCGCGAAGGATTAACTAAGGGTATACGGATTTTCAAAGGATAAATATACGGATTTACTAGGAAACCAATGTTCTTATTATCGTAATAAGCTATAATTTTAATAAATGAGTAATCTAACTATTATAATCTTAAATTAGTTGTTAAATTCCGGATTAGACTTATAATTATAAAGATATTTTAATAAGAAAAGTTAAGGTAAAAATGTAAATGTTCCTCGTTAGAAATGTATAGGCTAGCAAACTAACTAGGCCGGAATAATACTATAACTTATAATTTATTAATTAATTGAAAAATGTAGTAATATAAATGACTATAAATGTCCATAGTGTACGGAGAGCACTCCGTACACTAAGGCGACGAGCGCGTAAATCACCGAACTTAAGAAGTAGTAATTACGTGATTAGGCTAGTAAATATATACCCACTTTTTATACACCGACATTCTCTTTTATACTTTTATGCTCTTCCTTTTAGTGTATTATACTCGACTTTTATTATAATAGTCCTTTATATTAATTATAAAAACTATTATATAATGCTTCTTTATCTTTAAAATGGAATTATTCTTTATATTACTAGATTATAAGTTACTTATATATTGAAGTAGTGAGTGTTGGCTGTACCAATACTACAAGGGAGCCAAGTGGGTCGTACGACCTTCGTCGTGGTTGTCCGGGGTCTGATCAATATAAGGTCGAAGGGATGGAACTTGTAAATAGTCGAACGGACATGCTTCTTCACACTTTTGATTTCGGTAACGTGGTCAGTTTATGCAACAGTGCATTTGGAAGACGACGAGAATGGCTCGTCGTCACTAATTAACATTATTTTGGTCATTAAGTTCATTCTTTCCATTCATTCATAAGTGATTAGTCCGCGAGTGAACCAGCGAGTTCGTCGTGAGGCTTATAACCTAAGGGATAAGACAGTGGTCCTGGTTTAATATAAATAACGTAAAAGTAACGAAAAAGCTTTACGATTATAAACTAGTATAAAAAGCGTTAGTATTTAGCTACGAACTATACGATATAACGCTCCGGGTACGTTAGTGCTTCCGTTATTATAAATACGACTATATCGCGAGGTTTTATAAAAAGACGTTATAATATAACATTTACGTAGCCACGGCCTATTATTAAATGTTCAATGAACTTTACTAAAGTTCATTGTTTCGTACACTAGTCGTTAAAAAGACAAGGCGTATAGTTTATTGAAAATCCGTAAGCAAAGTTCATTGACCTTTTTAAGTCTAATTTATAAAATACATATATTAAATGGAAGCGCTCGGGCTTAGCATTTTAAATATATCTTTAGAATCGTCGTACGACATACATAGTAATAGGCATTCCGAGTTGAAATACTTGCGAAAAGTCTTAATGGGGGAACTAGTTAATCAAAACGCGGGGTATAAGCCTTTTTAAAAAGTGGGGTCTATGTCCGTCGTACGTAACTTAAGCAGTTTCGACTAGCCTAAAGAACTAGAGAGTAAGGTCTACTAACCGTCGTACGTAACTCAAGCAGTTTCGACTAGCCTAAAGAACTAGAGAGTAAGGTCTACTAACCGTCGTACGTAACTCAAGTAGTTTCGACTAGCCTAAAGAACTAGAGAGAAAAGTCTATAGCCGTCGTACGTAACTCAAGCAGTTTCGACTAGCCTGAAGAACTAAAGAGTAAGGTCTATAACCGTCGTACGCAACTTAAGTAGTTTCGACCAGCCTAAAGAACTAGAGAGTAAGGTCTATAGCCGTCGTACGCAACTCAAGCAGTTTCGACTAGCCTGAAGAACTAGAGAGTAACGTCTATAACCGTCGTACGTAACTCAAGTAGTTTCGACCAGCCTGAAGAACTAGAGAGTAAGGTCTATAGCCGTCGTACGCAACTCAAGCAGTTTCGACTAGCCTGAAGAACTAAAGAGTAACGTTTATAGCCGTCGTACGTAACTTAAGCAGTTTCGACCAGCTTGAAGAACTAGAGAGTAAGGTCTATAGCCGTTGTACGCAACTCAAGTAGTTTCGACTAGCCTGAAGAACTAGAGAGTAACGTTTATAGCCGTCGTACGTAACTTAAGCAGTTTCGACCAGCCTGAAGAACTAGAGAGTAAGGTCTATAGCCGTCGTACGTAACTCAAGCAGTTTCGACTAGCCTAAAGAACTAGAGAGTAACGTCTATAGCCGTCGTACGCAACTCAAGCAGTTTCGACTAGCTTGAAGAACTAGAGAGTAAGGTCTATAACCGTCGTACGTAACGTAAGTAGTTATTACTAATACTTAAAGCTAGAATAAAACATTTTATTCCTTATATTTATCTAGTTATTCTTATAAAACATCGTCGTACGACGCATTTTAATATTATTTAATATCTTAATATAATTGTACAATTATTCCGAGGTAGCCTTATAATGTTAAAAAAAGTATAGCCTATCACTTAAAGGCGTTATGGTATAACAGTTAAGCGGTAAACTCGATATCTAAAGGTTTAGGGTTTAATTTAGCTGACAAAATCTAGAAAATGGATTTTATTATTAGTACCGAAAAGTCCACCCATAATAGTCGTACGACGGTTACCATCCTCACTAGTAACGAAGATGTGAATAACATTATTAAGGGTTTATGTACTAATGTAAGTAATACTACGAATATATGTTATACGACGCCTAAGTATAATAGGACTTGTAAAAGGCCCTCTAGGAAAAGCCTGCTCGTAATATCGAGGCGTATAATAACAGAATCGACCCGGATAAGGTCCGCACCCGCCCGTCTTATATAAATGCTATTATGATTTAGAGTCGTAATAAGTAATAATTGAAATATACGTTGTACGACGACTAATAATAGTAGGGTTAGAGGGGGAGACTTATACGTAGTGTGTTAGGAATAGTGGAAGGGGACTATTCGTACAGTGCATTCGGGTAAAGGGACATTTCGGAGGATGTTATGGCAATTACAAGTGGCGCGACCATGTAGCTAAATGTAACATGTATGCTCTAAATGAGTTGGACAACGATGTAATCATGGTCGAGGGCAAGAGAGTTACAAAGGTCGAGTAAGTAGAGGACAAGTTTATAATAAGTATTATAAATTCATGACTTTTTTTTTTTTAATTGAATTAATTTAAATTATATACGTCGTACGACGTATAAAGGGAAACATTTAACCATTTATTTTATAAAGAATCTTAAATGGCGGTGAACATTGAATATTTTACATTTGTCGTACGGTACTCTTTGCTCTTTTTACCTTTCTCTTTTTTACATTTTCTTCTAATAATTTAGGAATGGATCCTTTCATTTATTTACAAGAATTCAAACTTGTGGTTTGCAAAGATTGTAAATATACATGCCTTAGTAACGAAACTTTTATATATCTTCGTACGAAGCATTACGAGATTCCTAAAGCTAGGAGGAGCCATATTTGTAATGCCGTATAATAGCTCCTTAGTATTCTTTAAACCCTAAAAGACCTAAATTAATTATAATATCCTAACTTAATACATGCGCTAATTCTAATGCTTTAAAAGCCAAGAACAGATGGATTTAAATGTAAAAGCTGTTAATATATTGCTTGCTAACTATAAAAGATTTAAGATCATTGTCGTACGAAGCATAATTAGAAGAATATATGGGTAAAAGGTGGGGATATACGGCGGAAAGCGACGATACCCCGTAATAATCTGCTATAAGAAACTAACGTCCATTGCTAATACTTCTTTATTAGCCGTAACAAAAAACGGTGGTTCGAAGTGTCTAGCACGTTGTACGATAACCAAGTTTCTTTAATTCGACATAGTATAAAAGAGGAAGCTTCGAAACATATCTTGGATTTATTTGTTATTAAATCTATTGCATTTAACCATCGTACGAAGATTATTCAAGATAATTACTATAAAACAAAGCCGAACCTATGGTTATAACGTGTTAAGTGGGTCTAACACTTATAAGGCTTAGATTTCGATAAGTTATAAGCATCGATCAGTCTAGATATAAGTTAAGGTTAGATAAACGAAACAAATGAGGCCTACGTATTAGAAGAACTTTGGGCCAGTTTGGACAGAGTCGTACGAAGCGCGTAAGAGACAGTAACCCTAGAAGTTGTAGGGACTACTATATTATTTGAAATTAACCGTAAGGCTATTGATTAAAAGCTTAGAACGCTATTCTATAGTCGAATGGAACTATTAACCGTTATACGATATACGAGCGTATAGAGACACATTCTTGGTTACTTCCACCGGACACAAAATTGGGCAGATATAAACCGACCATCGTACGAACTTATTAAATAATAAGGCGATACATTTAACGACTTAGTTGAATTTATTTAAATTTAACTAAAGCTAATATTAGAAACTGTAATTTCTATACTAAATCGTAAGTTATTAAACTTGTTGGTTTTTCTCTTAGACTACGTTATTCCCGATACACCGTACGAAAGTGTTCTTTTAAGCGCATTAAGCGTTTGTGGCTTAAAAGGTGATATAGAGATAATAGCTTGGAATAAGGCTAAGGATTATACTTGGATTTACTTAGCTGTTATCAAGTTTGCCCGGTTATTCGTCGTATAATAGTTATATCTTGATTATATACGGATTGATTTAATCTCGGAACGGGTATTTGCTTTAGGCTTGTTTAAAGTCGTACGACGGAAGGCTTAACGTTTTATGACGATCGTGTCTGACAAGTCTATGCTATCACCCATCGATTGGATATTCGAGTTAAGGTCGTACGGCTTGAAAATCCGCTTTATTATAGTTATAATGGGTTTTATCTTTTGGGAAGGTTTGTATATCACGTACTAAAAGATTATAGTCTTTATAAACGAGCTTTCCGAAATGATTTAGAATATTATAACTGAATTACGTCGTACGATACAAGAGTTATTATTCATTAAGGATGAATCTGACCTTTTAAGTGTTAATTTGTCAGAATTAAAAGACGATGTTAGCTAAGAGCGATCTAAGTATTCATTTATTCAAGACGATCGAAACTAATGGTCTGTTAATGGCTAGGACTAGGTCGTATAACGTATACTTACAAATCAACGACTTAAATTTAATTGATTTATGCCTGATTCTCTATCTTAAATGCCATTTTAGTTAAATGCTGTTAAAGATTATGCTAAGTTAATTAAGAGCTTTCTTAGAAAGCTTTTAATCTTAATGCATTTATTAAGTGGTTAACCAGGTCGTACGACAGAGATTCTAAGTCTTAGATATTAAAATACATCGTACGGAGGTATTCGGAACATCTTCTTATATAAAGGCTTGGTTTGCTTCGTAACTTCTTATTATAAGAATTACGTAATAACGGAACAATTAAAAGTTATCCACCGATATTTACCTTAAAATATTAGCATTGATTTCGTACGATATCTTTGGCTAGTATTACTATTTTAGCAAAAAGTTCAAGGGATTATTTAAGATTTAGCCGAAGTTAGCCCATTTCTATGGACGTATGATATCGTACGAAGGAAAGACGATAATAATATTGCATTCTAAGGCTATTTATTAGACGAACTTTAGTTTAGTGATAAGATGCGTAATATCTTATAATTACATAGCGTACGACTAATTGGGGTTAAGTTAAACATTAGTGCTTGGCGACATATTACAATTGCCATTTCTCGACGATTTTTAAATGGCGATTTCGGTGATTCTAATTACGAAGGCGATTATAAATCGTACGACGATATAGGCGACGAATTAGATAGCATTTAGGACTTATAAAGCGGCTATAGTACATTAGTAACGGGCATAATATATGCCCGTGAATTACAACAAGGTAGCTTTGGTATTGCCGTACGACAAGAGTAATTTCGGAAGATTAGCATATTATGGCATCGATTCTTTATAATTAGCATGTCGAACCAGCTATATAATACTGCTATTCAGTCGTACGACAAAGAACGGGAAGCATCAAAAGTCCAAAGGTTACATCGTCTAGGACAAGTTGATCTCCGGGGACTATTACGCCAAATGCTTGAAAAAGAGGATGTATCATTCCGGGGAAACTAAGAAGGGGTTCTTCGAGCCGTCGTACGAGGGTTAATACTAATTTTGCAGGTTATAAGTACTAGTGGTGGAAAGAGTTTATCATTTATGTTACCCGTATATGCTTTGTACGACGGTATTACCATTGTTATTATTTTAATGGTTGCTTTATAAGAGGATTTATACCGTCGGTGTTAAGAATGCCGTATCGAATCAAGTATTTAGTCTTTATCAAAACCAAAATCAACCCGTGTTATTTTAATAATACCCGAATCTATTATTATAAAAGCTTTTCGGATATTTGTTAACACGTTACGCGTACGATAACAATTAGATCGCGTCGTTTTCGATGAATGTTATATAGTATTGGATAGTACACCAGAATTTCGCCCATTACTAGCTGAGGTTGGTCGTACGATTATCGACTTTGGTGTTTAACTAGTATTCTTAACGGCGACACTACCTATTCGTGACTAGGCACATTTCTTTTCAATTATTGGGACGGACTAAAAGCAGGTTTAGATCTATCGTAATCGTACGACGAGGAAGAATATTACATATAAGATTATATACGTCTTTAGTATCGAAGATAAGGAACTAGAAGTCGTACGACAAGTCTAACGCATTCTCCAAGAACATACATCTATAAAGATTATTATATATTGTGGACGTATCGATTAAGCCGAACAACTAGCAGATGAGCTTAGTTATACGATGTACTATGCGAAAGTAGATAATCTTGAAGGAAAACGGAGACGGATTCAAGAATGGATTTCGAACGGCGGTGTACTTATAGCAACCAATGCTATTAGAGTAAGGTTAGATATACCCGACGTACGATACGTATTTCATATTAAATTACCACGACGAATACGCGATTATATCTAAGAAAGTGGACGAGCAAGACGTGATAATCTTCGAAGCGAAGCTATTATTATCTTAAGTTTACAACGTATAGTAAAGTTTGAAAAGGAGCTAGTATGGGTAAACCCAGAGCTATAAGATATACTAGACTTCGTACGAGGTATAAATGGTTGTAAGAGGGTAGTGTTAGATTCGGTTATGGATGGTATTTCTGACCGATTAGGATGTCAAATTAACGAAGAGCCGTGTGATTTATGCGAAAGAAATCAAGGGATAGAAAAGGAGAGGGACATGGTTAAAAATACGGACAGAACAAAATCGTACGAAGCTATGGCACAAATAGCTAGTATATAACAAAACCAAAGTACATGGTAACAAAGGGTCGTACGGCAAGATATACAAAGAGAAGTAGAAGAGGTAGAACAACTCAAGTAATGGTTAAGGGATTGGGATGGTATATGTATGATATGTTAGTAGGAGGATGGATTTACAAGTATTATACGACATCCAAAGGATATCTGCCCGAGGGAAGAGAATAGGGTTAGGGTTAGGGTTAGGGTTAGGGTTAGGGTTAGGGTTAGGGTTAGGGTTAGGGTTAGGGTTAGGGTTAGGGTTAGGGTTAGGGTTAGGGTTAGGGTTAGGGTTAGGGTTAGGGTTAGGGTTAGGGTTAGGGTTAGGGTTAGGTTAGGGTTAGGGTTAGTTAGGGT